ACCAATAAAACCAACCAATAAAACCAACCAATAAAACCAACCAACTTAAATCAACCAATGTCAAGAGTCTTTTTAATATCGTTTCATAAACTTCTTAATAAACATGAGTCGACTCATTGTCTGGACAAAAGCCTTGTGACAATGCCAAACGCTGTCCACAAGCTGAGGTTTTGAAACCGAGGAAACGAAGTTATTGAAATCACACAATCCACCAAAAGAACTATCAACTGGATAACTAATACCAATAATGTACCAAATTGAATACTATTGTTTGTTGCATGTCTAGGCACGAGTCCCCCAACTCTTACCTCAGAGTATGCCACAGAGTATTTGATCCAGTCTAAACTAGGTCCTGGATTTGGTATATTTTGGTAAATAGGATCCAGTTCAAGTTCAAGTTCAAATATAGATTGGTGAACTTCTAATAAGAAGAATTCATCGTTCTGGTTACCATTTTCCTCTAAGCTTACTGATGTTGCACTAGACATGAGTCTTCTCAATGAAAGTTTGGTAGGTGATGTTGATCCGTTCGAGAAATTTCCAGACTGTAAGGATACACGGGAAGTCTGCAACTGAGGCAAGACTTCGAGTTGGTTAGAAACCAGATTTAAGTCATTAGTTTTATGAATCACGGACTCAATATTCTTAGGTCTCATATTTGTGTCAGAATTCGGAGAGTGCATACCAAACCCCGAGTCTGTACTCTCCATGGGAATATCCTCAACTGCAGTGTTGCTAGCTTCGATTAACACATTGTCTGCTATGATAAGATCCTTCTCAGAATTATTTAAGAACAAACCAAGCGAAGGGTAATGTTTGAAGTAATTTCCATTCTCCTTGGAAGGAGAAAAACGATCAAAAGAATCACCGAAACAGAACCCTTCAACAATGTTGAAATAATCGAGGCTGCTCTGGAACTCACATTTTGTAATTGTGGCCACCATTTCAGTTTCTGAGTGCTTGATGCCTTTGGAATCATGAGCAAGATTGTCAGATAAATTGGCCTTCCCACTGGCTTCTGGCCGAAATAAGAAACAGAAAAAACAGGCTTTTAGAGTAATACTACCCTGGATAGCCCAAACAAGCAGTAAAACAAGAGTAATAAGTGTGATATCCCGTAGGAAATCAACGCTAGGATATTTTGTTGTCCCACTTGCTTCGAAGTGCAATTTGTGTTCTTCTTGAAAGCCATTACTATCATTGTCGAGCGTTCCACTGGTTTCCAAGCGTTCCTTGTTTCCACCATTTTGACTGTGTCCAAGGTTAGTTGTAATAGGTTTAAAATCGTGTTTCAAAATAAAAAGGAAAAAACAAGACTTGAGGATACAACTAGTCTTGATGCTCCAAACAACAAAGAAAGCAAGAATAATAAGCACGAAGTCCCTAACAAAATCAAAACAAGGATAGTTGGCCTCTTCTAAGTACATGGCAGATTCAAAAGTATTTTCATAGGGATTTTCAACTGCTCCATCGATTTCCACTAGATTTAACGAACTTTCAGTGCCAAGAGTATTGAGCTTCTCGCATGCCTCCAATTCAATGAATCCATATGGATCTTTATTGTTAGTCTCTGTGTGGACTCGTAATTCCATTTCTAACTCCAAAATGCGAAAACCTGGAATATTCGTAGTTTCAGCAGCCTCTACGTCCAGTGGATCTTCAACGAAGGCAATTTTTTCCTCCCCAATAGCTTCTAAATGTGGAAAGATTTGAACTTCAATATCGTTAATCTCAGTTGTGTCAACCTCTTCGACCTCTTCGATGGTTTCTAAGTGCAAGATGAATTTCACCTTTTCATCAAATTTGGGTGTGTAAACATCTTTGATTATCTCTAAGTCTAAGAAGAATTTTAGTTCTTCAGCATCAACTTCAGGTGTGTTGAGCTCTTCGATGGTCTCAATGTATGGGGTATTTGCATGCTTCTCAGTATCAATGCTTCGATTGTCGACCTTAACCGTCTCTAAGTGCGCAGTGTCTGCAAGCTCAATGATGGGAGTGGCGGCCTCAATAGTCGCTAAGTGCATAAAGGTTGCATGTTCTTCAGCAATATCTGTAGGAATGTCTGCATGTTCTTCAACATCGCGCGGAGCTTCGACTGCAAAGGTCTCTAAGCATTCAATGTCTGCATGTTCCATGCTGGAATTGTTATCCTCAAGTGTCTCGAAGTGCGTAATGTCTGCATACTTATCAACACTTCTTTGCTGTCCCTTGTCATTCTCCATGGGTTGAATAAAACTGGAGTACTTGACCTTTTTCGTCTTTCCCGACTTCTTTTTGTTCTTTCTGGCCCTGCTATTGGAAAATTTAGGTGCTCTAATGTTTAAACAATCATTAGGATTAATCATGCGAGCAAAAGCAATAGACTTGATTATACCAACTTCAACAGCTGTTTCCTTCGAAACTTCAGTAGCCACAATTGGCTCAATCATACCAGCATCAACTTCAGTAGCCTCACTTGGCTTTTCCATACCATCATCACCATTTTTTGCCTTTGCGACTTCACCTGCCACAAACAGCTTTTCCATACCAACATCAACATTAGTTTCCTCCGAAACTTCAGCAGCCATAATTGGCTCAATCACACCATTATCAACTTCAGTAGCCTTGGTTGGCATTTCCATACCAGCACCAACCTTAGTTCCAGTTTTCTTGGAGCGTTTCTTCACAGTGTAGCACTGCTTCTTGCGTAACTTGGAAGCTTTGCTCTTCGTTGGAGAGCTTTTCTTTTCAAACAATGCTTCAGCCCAAGTGGGTGCAATTGCACCAGGGGTTCTGCTCTGGTGAGGAGCCTTCTCTTCAAAAGAGGAAGTGGTCATGTTGAGACGACCACAAACACCATTGNCCCATTCCTTGTTGGAAGGAGGGACAGCCATGTTCTTCCCAACCAATTGCTTGGAGGGAAGAGCAGGAAACTTGTCAGCTTGGTGGGATGGCACTCCAGTCACCTTGGCTTCAACACTAGACCCACAAAGTGGATCAGCGGAGCCGGTCACAGAAGGCGATTCCAAAAGCTGAGGAGACCCTGAGGTCTTCACCACATTGCTAGGCAATGATGGTTCACAGCAGGGACTAGGAGTATCTCTATTCATAGACATTGCAACGTATTAATTGCTGATCGTAGGAAGAAAGATGTGGGTAAAAGGGAAGAGCGATTCTTGCTTTACAAAGTAAGTATATAGTCCACAGACACAGGAGCGCGCCCTCCAGATCCTCGGCTCATTTGCAGCTAACCAGCAGATTCCAATTCTTTTCTGGTAGTTTATTTTTCGGTCAATAGATCTCGTGAGATCTCTGATTATACCCTTGATATGGGTGCAAAAATTGCGTGGTCGCAAAAATAGTAGTGTCAAATTGCAATTTTGTGTTCGGATCATAAACGCACTCAATGTTTACCTCAGGATTCTGATGCAAACGGGCTTAGATAGGTGAAGTATATGAGCTTTGAAATTACAGGTTGCTGTAGAAGGCAATGTAAATTGGACGAATGAAAGGTGCTTTGAACGCCTCATACGAGAATTGAACTTCTGCAGCATAAAAAGCCCGCATCAGACCTTTTAATACTATCATCTATCCGACAAATCACAGAAAGATGTCTGGTATAAGAGTGTAATACACATATTAGATGGGTTATGGTCCATAATTTCAACATTAATCTCTGACTATCGTTCAGTCCAGCATCTTGCTCAACTTGAATTAGGAGTATGGACAGTAGCTGGGACATTCAGCCACCAAATGATGCATATTCAAGTTCTTTTGTCATAATTGTCCTCAAAATTGGACAATGCTTGTGATGCGACGGTAGGCAAACATAATCGCTACAATCTGTATACATATGCACTTGTAATCAATACCCTTCTAAAATTTCAGTTTGGCAACTTACTGATATCTGGGCTTTCGTTGGCAGTACGAGTCTACCTTTCTGGTTATCGGAAAGAATAAGTAAACATGATGATTTGGTACCTGCATTCAAGCAGAGTTACCAAAAGTTGGTACATGCATGATATGCACAGCAGCATTCTTTCAACTCGGCGCTACATGCATTCTTTCAACTCAAAGTGTACCAAGCAAAGAAATCACGAATCTGTGTTACTACCAGGCCAATTGCATTGATAATCGTCCCCTAATGCGTACTTTAGTTTAACTTATCCATTTTAATGAACTAATAAGTATACATCGGTTATGAGGTTGGCCAGTATATAGGATTTCAGACCAAATATCTATGCTGAAGTATTCATCTACCAGCAAATTGAATTCTTATGAGTATCTAGCCAAATTCAATATTCTGTGGAAGATGAATTCAATTTGGTGAGTCAACCCACCTATGTATCTTTGGTAAACATTTATTTTGTGTGTAAGAAATAATCGTAAATCATTCCATTTATCCCAAGGAGCCAGAATCTTCAACTTGGTTTAGATGAAAACCCACTACAAAATATTCATACATGAAAGATTAACTTCGTCGATCAATCTCATTGTTTCAGCAAAAGTCATTCGCTTGACTTTGCATAAATTATGGCTATGGTGGTTTTGAAGTATTCGGTCTTTTTATTGTGAACTTCGACATCCTTTTCGATGCAATTTGATAAACTAGACCTCTTGGATAAAACATCTTTCTCAAAAGATTACTCGATTTATCGACCAATTCCTAGTTCCACTTCGATTTTGCATTAGTTGCATTAGTTGCAACTTTTGTGTGTCCAATTAATCTAAGCTGTCCAAATTGACATTGAAGATACCCCAAGCATTATTATCTTGATAAAGTGTTCTCTTTTCACATCTTTGGACCCAAGACATGACCATCTTTCTAAACAGAATACTTACATGCGGTAATCTATTAAGAGAATCATAGAATTGTCGAACAGGACAGTCATGAGATTCTGTAGTCGCAGAATATGCTCATCATTCTCGAAGACACCTAAGCGAATACGTCAAATAGTGTTATATATCACAATGACTGTTATGCTGCATTACGCCATTGAGAAGAGCCAAGGCAGCTTATGTAGTTATGTCAAATACGGAGAGTCTACTACGAAGGATATTTGAATGTCTCGACCCTCTGGGTCAGTTACATGGAGGGGTCCAGTAGTGAAATGGGCTCAAGTTTAGCAGTGATTTGGGGAGCTCTTCAACTTTCCCAAAGCACCAGCATTTGAACATTCCCAGTCTCGACGAATCCAGAGCCTGCCCCGTGATTCCTGTGGATGCAAAACCTTCCTGTTGCACCATTTTCCTCGTTCATGCTGCGCGTGGCGGTCTCCGGTGACGTTCTGAGCCCACCCACCGCCACAAAGGCCGTGCCAGATCACATCACTTCTGTTTGTGGCCACCTGATCCCCACTTTCTATGCCCTGACTCACTGGTTAACCCAAACGAGCCACTAGAGCGCTTGGTTCACATTCACTAAATTTGGTGGGTTGTGGATGTACGCTCATTGCAGATGAATTCCATCTGGCAGGCTACGACTGTCATTATCTCCATCTGAATAGTAGGCCAGATAACATCCATACTACTCTACTGTTGATTTGATTGTCAACCAATCCGTCGCTGTGTTCTCACCTCACTCTCCGGAACCATCCTTACTACAATACCCTTGATAGTCACAATGTGGCCCAACTCACTCTCTAGAAAACCCATCCCACTCGCAATTGCCAGTGCCAATCACTCTGTGGCCCCCACCTCTTCCCAACACCCGTACCGCAATCCTCCCAGCCCCGTTCCACCAACGGCTCATCCTCTCACACTGCGATAAGCGCTCGTGACATCATTCCCCATCCCTGTGGGGCGTAGGGGGTGGGCTTGCCACCATCGCTTAGGTAAGCGGCGGGCCGAATCCCGACACGGACGCGCCAGCCTACCAGCACCATCTCCACCCAGATACCACGGCAGAACACCAACAGAGACCACCGCCACCACCCCACCACGCTGCTTCCAGCACAGTCTCACCCTACTGGCCAACCCTAGCCTCCCCTAGTCTCTCTAGCCCCCTGGCCTCCTTATTCCCGTAACCCTCCCGAGGCCCGGCCTCCTCGCACTCCGGTCGTGCGCGGCACTGTGGAGCAGTCACTCTTATCGCCCCTGAACTATATAAGCCCAGCGTTTGCTCCTTATTCTTATCATTGTACAATGTTGTTACAAAAATCCGTCGCCCTCTCTATCTTGGTCACCTTGGGTGTCCAGGGACTCCTCATCCCCTCGCTTGATGTCATCGAGGTGTTCAAGAACACCAAAGACATCGCCCCTGTTGCCGAAGGCCCAGCGGCTGTTGCCACTGAAGCCATTGCTGGCTCCGACTCAATCTCGCCGCTCTTCAAGTTAGACCGTGACATCATCCCCCACAAATACATCGTGGTGTTGAAGGAGAACATCGACGCTGACGCTGTGGCCTTCCACCAGGAGTGGGTGGCCGAGGAGCACGCCAACTCAGTGGCCAGCATCGACTCGTCCCACTCGTTCTTTGCCGCCACCCGCGACTTCAAGGCCGAAGGCGGCATTGTTGACACCTTCAAGATCGAGAACTTGTTCAGCGGCTACTCCGGGTTCTTCTTGGAGTCCACCATCGACTTGATCAGAAAACACCCTTACGTCAAGTACGTTGAGCAGGACTCGCTTGTCCACGCTACCGAGTTCGACATCCAAAAGGGTGCTCCCTGGGGCTTGGCCAGAGTCTCCCACAGACAGCCATTGAGCTTGAACTCGTTCAACCAGTACTTGCACGACACCGAGGGGGGCAAGGGTGTCACTGCCTACGTCATTGACACCGGTATCAATGTCGACCACGTGGAATTCGCTGGCAGGGCCAAGTGGGGCTCCACTATCCCCACTGGTGATGCCGACATCGACGGAAACGGTCACGGTACCCACTGTGCCGGTACCATTGCCTCCGACTCCTACGGAGTGGCCAAGAAGGCCGAGGTGGTTGCTGTCAAGGTGTTGAGATCTAACGGTTCCGGCTCCATGTCTGACGTGGTCAAGGGTGTCGAATTCGCCGCCAAGTCCCACTTAGAAGCCGCCAAGAACGGCAAGAAGGGTTTCAAGGGTTCTACCGCCAACATGTCCTTGGGTGGTGGTAAGTCTCCCGCTTTGGACCAAGTAGTTGACGCTGCTGTCAATGCTGGTATTCACTTTGCAGTTGCTGCCGGTAACGAAAATCAAGATGCCTGCAACACCTCTCCAGCCTCATCGGAGAAGGCCATTACCGTGGGTGCTTCCACCATTTCCGACGCTAGAGCGTACTTCTCCAACTATGGTAAGTGTGTGGACATCTTCGGTCCTGGTTTGAATATCTTGTCCACCTACATTGGATCCGAGACTGCCACTGCCACTTTGTCCGGTACCTCCATGGCCTCGCCACACATTGCCGGATTGTTGTCATACTACCTTTCCTTACAACCAGGCGCTGAGTCCGAGTACTTTGTCTCCTCGAAGGGAGTTACTCCAGCGCAACTCAAGAAGAACTTGATTGCCTTCGGTACCAGGGATGTCTTGAGCGACATTCCAAACGACGGAACTCCAAACATCTTGGCTTTCAATGGTGCAGGTCACAATTTAACCGAATTTTGGGGTGAATCCGTTGCTGGACAAGAATCAGTCTCCAGCCAGAAGGTGAGCCTTGACCACAAGATGGACCAATTGCTCCACAAGTTTGAATCCACCGACATTGTCAAGGACATCAAGGACATCGTCGATGAAGTGTACCAAGAATTGACAAACTAGATTTCACTTCTATAGCCTGCTTTCAATGCACATAAACGTTAGAACCAGTAGTCGTAGTCCACGGAGCGTGTCAGTCGCTATAGCCTTCCCTTACCTTCTCTAACCTTCGTGTGACTGTTAGTCTTACGTAAGCCGCCACCATTCCCGCTATCGCCACCTGCTGACGTCATCTTGGCACTATTCTTACATAAGCGAGACTCTCCACTAGTCCTACTACGAGCTTCTGTCACCAACATCGTTCTAACCACCACCTCATTATAGACCACACCCATAGACTCTTTCCATCCACACTCTCAAGATGTCCACACCAGCAAAGAGAAGACTCATGCGTGATTTCAAGGTATGTGATTTGCCCCACTGGTGGACGATCCCGTCCATTCCAGTGAATCACCACATCGAGATGTTGCCTTCGAGTGGCAAGGTCTTCATTCTAGCACGGCCGGGATCAAGATGCTCTGGGCGATGCAGATGTCGAGCACTCTCGTTGTTGGAGAAATGGTTAATGTGGCTCTATTGTTCCACTCCAAAACCACTAAAGCACCGATTACTAACATTTAGCGCATGCAACAAGATGCCCCCAGTGGAGTGTCAGCATCGCCGTTACCTGACAACGTGATGTCTTGGTACGTAACAGCGAATCCAGTCTACATATCCCAGTGTACTAACCTTTAGGAATGCAGTTATCATAGGCCCAGCCGATACTCCGTTTGAAGACGGAACGTTTCGACTCATATTGCAGTTTGACGAGCAATATCCCAACAAGCCCCCAACCGTCAAGTTCATAAGTGAAATGTTCCATCCAAACGTGTATGCCTCAGGAGAATTGTGTTTAGATATCTTGCAAAACAGATGGTCGCCCACCTACGACGTGTCGTCGATCTTGACATCGATCCAGTCATTGTTGAACGACCCCAACATCCTGTCACCAGCCAACGTGGAGGCAGCCAATCTCTACAAGGACCACAGATCGCAGTACGTCAAGAGAGTCCGAGAAACCGTGGAAAATAGCTGGAATGAAGACGACTTGGACGATGACCTGGACGACGACGATATTGACGAAGATTGATATGACTATGTACAGCAGTATTCTATAAACAAAGTAATGTATGATACCAGATAACCAACCCTGGGCTAGAACGATCCCAAGATGGGTGAATAAATCTTGAGGGTCGCCATTTTTAAGATAGACACCTCCAAGTAGTCAAATAAGTACTGGAAAACAAACATGATTTTGATGGTATATGTCAATATTTTAGTTCTTTTGGTACCACTACGGCTTTTGGGTCAAATAGGCCCTTTGGATGCAAGCAACCACGCAAAAATGTCACCATTCTGAACTCAGAATGGTATGTAGGCCCCTCCATATTCAGGTGACTATTTGAGCCACAAATAGTACCATTTCTTGCTCTGGGCCTGTTTCTGTTCTGCCTCTCTCTCCTGCTGCTCCGCAAGCTCCCTTTTTCTGGTTCTCTCCAACTCGTGCTTGTCGACAATCACCACTTCCACAGGTCTTCCCTCTTCTCCAATCCGCTTGTCTCTGGCAACTGCGAACAAGGTGATCAACACGGTGAGGAAAATGAAAAACTTGGTGACACCATCCATCTTCTTGACGTCGAACTGCTTGAGTCTGACGGGAGTCTCGGCCAACACGACGGGGTCCTTGAGCTTGAGGATCTTGGTGTCCTTGGTAGGGGTAGTGGTTTTGATGTGGGAAGGCACTTTAAATGGCAAGTCGTAGGGTGCTTCGAGGGTATTCCAGTTCTTGAAGTCTTCCCGCACGCCCCAGTCTCCGTATGCAATGTAGTAGCCCAAGTACTTGTCCTCGAGGGTCAACTTGGTCCACTTCTTGTCGTACTTGTCCTGGAGCTCTTTGAGCACCTGGCCCTGGTGGAGGAGGCTCAAGGGGCCAAAGAGCTTGGGATCCTTGAAAATGGGGGCAGTGTCGATGGGCTGGGTCTCGTCTGACGAAGACATCGAGAAGAGGGACCCCATATCTTTGAGGGACTGTACTGCCAATTGGGCTGCTTCCTGACGGGCTTTTTCGGGGTCCTGGGGTGGCTGAGCTGTGGAATCCTTGGCCACAGCGTAGGTACGGACGAGACGGGTGCTCGTGAGGGCACGGGGCAAGGTGCGGGCGATCATAGTGGTGGTGGTGGAGGTGTTAGCGTGGGAGAATCGGAATTTGTCGATGGATGTGAGCAGCACGTGATGAATCACATGATTTGAGGTGGTAAAGCGCGACACTGTTCACGACATTGGACCCAACCAAGTGAACCGAGGCTGAGATACTTCTGAAAAAGGAAGAAAGACGGTCAAGCTTGATCCCCTAATGAAGAATTTCCAACACACAGAGCGCTCATTTGTTAGTGTGTATCACAAAAGCAGGAGACCAATTAGCATCGAGGACAATAATAACGAAACTGGGAATATAGCTACTGGGAACTTGTCTATTGGGTGACTCCTGATTAATTAAAATCAAAACTATATACCCTGTGGATTGTTGTAGTTAATCGATATGCAATTCATTGAATACTGTTTTTTGAAATCAAGTTCGATAAATTTCTATCAGTTAGAATTGCCTGCGCACACGGTCCGCCTGAACCACAAAATAAGACATTGAAGTCATATCTAGCTAGCTCTGACCTTTTATCGGATCATATTGAGCGTAGATTATAATCACATTAGCATTTTAATAGCATGACCCAATTGAACTCAATTTGAAAATACTACTTGACGATACTGAGGCGGACACGAGTAATGGTGACCTGAGACCTCGAACAGTGACAAATAGGTCGGGAGGAGCCAAGAATGTGGTGATGATTCAAGCGACATTAGACTTATTGGAAGTACCCGTTGAACATTTATCTTACGGTTATGCTGGGCAATAAGAACTTTATGTCATAAGGCCATCGTTAATCTTTTTATTTAAAGGCCAGTAGTTATAACATTAAAACCGATTAGCTACCATGCGGGAAATCTTCACCGATGGAAATATATGGAAAAACCTACGTAGGTCACTAATGAATAAGTAGATAGTGAATTTTTTGCAGTAAATATTTAACCATTGGATGAGTGAACTGGAAAGGATACGTGAAGCAGCTCTTTTTTACGATTTCCTCTGATATTACAGTACTTACCAGCTGGCGGGCCCTACTGTGGCTCAGGTATACTAATAACTGAACTGTTATGGAATAACTATTATCGCTGTTCACCGCCTGCGCTTAGAGCTGCACCACGTCACGCGTGACACCTCGCGTGACGTGACACGTGCGTTTTGACATCTCCGTGACAGGTGGGGCCCCCACGGAGCCGCCGCGGTGCTGGGCGCTGGGGCACGGCTGCCGTACGTCCCTGCAGGGCTGGGCCAGGGTCCTGCGGTGCTCCCCCACCGCCGCCAACCCGCTGGCAATGCGCACCAAGCCCCTCGGCTAAACATGCCTCGCGGGTACCGGCATTGCGGGTACCGGCATTGCGAATTCTCAATCATGGAAAGTATACCCTGGTGATATGCTGGAGATAAAGTTTAGACAAGCCTGGACAGATCCTGCGCTGCAAGGATCTTCCCGCATGGAAGGTGAACACTTATGCATGCTGCCGGCACGGGACCTGGGCCGACATTGCCAGACACTAGTGACGGCTCTAGGAGGGGGTCCCCAGGCCCTATCTGCCACTCGCTCCTGATCGAGTCCATCAACCTGTTTCAGGTGGGCGCGCCTGGTCGCCGGCGCCACAAGAGGCTCCGGGCTTTTCCAGAGTCGATCTCTGATTCGATCGGGCAAGTTGCGCTCCATCGAAGATCTGGCTGGCGCAGAAGCCTGGGCCGAGCTGGACCCTCGTAGTAGTTGTACGCGGTGGTGGCGGCCTGGAGGACCTGCCGCGGGCCGGGACGGCGTTGGCAGCGTCGTTTCACGCCAGTTTCATGCCAGTTTCACGGGAGTTTCAGCTGGTAGAACCGAAAAGCCAAGCACGACAGCGACAACACCACGCTATTGGTGCAGCAACCCACCACCCTATTGGCTGGGGGAGCGTCTCGGCCGTACCAAGCCTCCCGGCCGACCAGCACTCCTCCTCCCGCCTTTCCACCTCCCCCACCACCATCGATGCTTCCCATTGTATTCGCCACGACCAGGCCTCGTATTTACGTGCTCCATTCTCTGCTTCCACCCGCATCCTTCACTCCTGTCCATCCAGGCCCATCCCCCGTTGTCCCGCTCGCCTCCCGTGGTCCCTGACTCGGAGCCCCTGCCATCGACCCCCCAGCGTCTCTCGTCGCAATCGCTACCAGTATAGTTTGACATTTGCGCGAGAACCCGCTTATACATACCCAATCGCACCTCGAGACTGCCACCACTCGTGGTACTCCAGGGAGGCCCAGTCCTAGACAGTGACAGTGTCGACACTTCGTGCCGCGGAGCCACGCTCTCGAATCCCGCCATCATGTCGTCCAGCCCTTCAGCCAGACCTCCAGACGTCCAGGTGATTGACCAGTTGTTTGAACTCCAGGAGAGTTTTTTTGCCCATGTGCTTCAGTGCCTGGAGACATTGGACCTGGACGAGATCCGCCTGCTCGGATTGCCGGTGGGCCACTTAGGACTCGTTTCCACCCCCGAGTTGGCCGTCAGATTCAACCTCGTCAAGAAGTACCGGCTCCAGCTCGCTCACTTGCACACCTTCGACGAGGCCGAAAGAGTGTACACCACGCTCTTCGAGTTCATATCCCCCAGTTTGGCCCAGCTCGAGCGCTGTTTCTTGCAAAAACTGGCCAATTTCGCCGTGGAGCCCAAGAACGATCTCAGCACAGAAAACCACACCTTTCTCGGTTACTTCGTCAACTACTTCTTCCCAGGCGACCAGCTCACCAGGGTGGTCCAGTTTGTTCGGGACTCGCCCGCCCATCTCCAATTGTGCCGCGGTAACCTCCAGGCCTCCCGCACCATGTTGGATACCAGGCTCCCCGAGGTGTTTGGCGAGTTGTCGTTCGAAATGGACATTTTCCTGATCAAATACAACTTGGAGCAATACTCGTTGTTGTATCCCCACCGCAACACAGATGAAAAACAGGCGGCCATGTTCAAACTCTCCATTCTCAAGGAGTTGGCATTCGACCCCGAAATCAACGACGAATTCGAGGCCAACTACGAAAATTCCATTTTGAGGCGAATTTTGAACAACGAAATGAACTCCAGCCCTAACACCTTCGACGAGTCCCAGCAGAAGGTGTTGGACCTCATGGAGATTGTCACCTTCCATCTCGACTCCATCCCCCGCGTGTACGATCTTGTGCTCCAATTCATCGAACTCTTGACCCTCAAAAAAGTGCCGTTGGAAAACAAAACGACAAAAGCTCCCATGCCGAACTACTGCCACCACTACAAGAACATGCTCGAAAAGTGGGTGGCCGAATGCACCACCCTCACCGATCGAGTGGTGGAGCAGGGCACTATGGGGCTCAGTTACACCAGCACATTTTTTGAATTGGGGTTCCGGCTCCAAACGTTCCACCTTCTGCTCAAAGACTTTCTAAACTTCAACATAAAGACATCATACAATAGACTCTTCTACAAAGACGAACTACATTTCTACGACCAGATTCACAGCTACTGCGAATGTTTCGATAAGATCGTCGCCATAATAAAGACTCATTACACCGATCCCGACCAGTTGCGAAACTCGAAATTTGCCGAGTTCGAAACCACGGACTCGCTCATCAAAGACGCCTTCTTCGACTTGCATCACTTCCACCAGCGATTCCAGTACGAAAGAAAGATTTCGAGAATATTTCACGAGGTCCAGCCACCGTGAGCCGGCCTCTAAATCGCCGACTTTTGGCTGTACCACCGCGGCAGCGTGCAGGTTGCGAGGCTCTGCCCCGAGGACCATGCCCTTCAATTCTCGTCCCTGTTCCTGGGATGGCGGCGCCAGGAGGACCACATCTAGGGGCCCACTATCAATTTTGCAACTGGCATGGTCACGTGACCGGCTGCCCCCGTCTATTCCTGCCTGGCTCCGGCTTCCGTGTCCCGTTTTCTAGCAGCCTGGATGCTATCCACTAGTATACACCAGCAACAACAAACTTACCATTTTAGCTAGCTTCAGTGTCCCGTTTATTCCTTATGTACCTACAATGCGATTACCAAAATCAAGAGAATACATAGCGCAAACGCAAGTATGCCAATGCACCAATCGCTGGCCTTCTCTCGGTTTCTCTCTATAATGACGTTGACCCGCTTGAGCCCCCGCTGGAGCTTGGAGTCCACCTGGTCGAGGTCGTGGTCCAACTCGTCCAACATGAACCCTTGCTCCTCGAGCTCCGACCCCATCATGCTGGCCTGCTGGTTGAGCGTGCGCATGGTATGGTGGATGGAGTCGAGCTGGGTGTCCTGCTCGCGGATCACCTGCTGCGACTGGAGCGAAAACGGATTTTCGTCCTGGCTGATGCGGTTGGACATGGTGGTGACTTCGCGAGGCGCTAGCCGTTGGGGTTGGCCCTTGGTGAACCCCTGGAGCGACGCCTGGCGGACTGCTGTTCCTCTGCGTGCCAACTCTTCCAACTCGTCTCGCCGTGCTCTGACGGTGGCAGCGCCCCCAAACCGGTCGGGGTCACGCTCACTAATCTGGACCGCCTGCTCCAAGTCCCGCTGGATCTCCTCGAATTCCTCGTAATTGTTCTCGAACTCCACGGGGTCGCCGCCACCATCGACGAGCGCCTCTAGCGCCTTAATGGTGGCCCACGCGTCGTCCCGTACCTCGTTGTATGGATCCATCTTGCTGGTGGTGAGGGTTTGGCTGTCTGGAGATACCTGGGCGGTGCACGCGTGGAGGCGCGCGCACGACCCACTATAGTTGAGAAAACAGAACCATACTAGAGCTTCTAGACACTGCCATGAACTCAGACACAATTGACGGCCCCAAGACAGAGAGATCGCACAGTCCCGTGGAGGTGAAGACCGAGAAGGCCGCTGAGCCCCCTGTGCACGAAGTGGTGGGCGGTTCCTCCGTCAGGCAGTACCTCAACAAGCACATGACCAAGACGTTGTTGGACGGCCTCTACGAGGTGGGGCGCACCAAGCCAGAGAATCCGTTGGTGTACTTGGGCGAGTACTTGATCCAGAAGGGAAAAGAGCAGGAGTAGCTCCAGAAGCATGTCAAAAAAGGGTGATACTGTCAAAAGCACCAGAGGGCAGATCTAAACAGAGATCAAATGGAGCCACTCAAGATAGTCGAGAGCGCGGCTTGCTTCACGTCTTGAGCAGGCTTTTGGTCCTGGGTCACTCCATAGTAGCCGTTTACGGCTCAAGACAGGACTGTAGATCACAGATCCCATTCTATACTTCCAATGTAACATAATGCATCACGAACATCAGAGCACTATGTAGATCAGTATTTGTAGTAGACTAGCTTAAGGTTCTGTTAAGTCTAGCTACAGATCTTTGATTTTTAGTACCCATTCTTGAATATCTAGCTACAGCTCTGTGATGTCTGCTCTATAATATCTCACCCACAGATCCGTATTTTCCAGAAGCTCACTGTGTCTCGCTCGGTACGTTCCTCAGTAAACATCCTTACTTGCTGTTCGCTGCCCATTTTTCTCGCTAGCACTCACCAGCCCGGTGCGCTCGTGCCATTCCTCCCTATTTTCTCGCGCTATTGCTCCCTATTTCCTCTGACCATTTCTCTCTGCGCACCCCCCAAGTGTCCCTAGACCCTCACTGGCCCCGCCATCATTCGTCCCCCTACCGCATCCTCACCTCATCAATTCAAAAAGGATCAGAAGGCAATATCCACAATGAACGGTCCCACGAATGGCTCAGCCAATCTAAGGCCATACTACGACCACGATACGTTTAATGCCGGCTACTCCGTCATATACAAGCCTGGCGTTGGTCTCGTTGACCCCCTGGACGGAAAGCGCCTAGCCGCCACCTTGTTCGAGGGCCTGGGGCCTGGCAAAGGTATAGGACTCAGAGGCGCCAACAGTGGAGGCGGGCTAGGTGCTACTGGCGGTGCCATCAATGCCAATTCCAGTGCTGCTGGGTTGGGCGGGAAGAACTACGCCTACGACTTGGAAATACAGGAGTACTTTGACGTGAGCAACTTGACGGAATTGTTGAAGAACTTGGTGTGGAGCTTTGTCAGGAACTACTCCAAGGCATTAATGAGTCAGCCGCTCGAGTTGGTTCGGTTGGTGTTGCAGGTGGGCCAGTTTGGCAAGGCAGAGTCCAAGAGCGTTCCCACAGCAGTACTGGACGAATCGGACTCCGAGTACGAAATCAACTACTTCCAGACGGCGGGCGAAGCGGCCGAGGTTAACGAGTGGTCCACGCCGTCCATGGCATCGTCTCAGGGCGAATCCCAAAAGTTGTCCCGCAGCCAGCGCCACAAGCCCAAGCCAACCAAGAAGATCCAGCCTACATCCACCCACACCATCGACGTGCTCAGTGCTATGATGACTGCCGAGGGCCCCATGGCTTTGTTCCGAGGTGTCAATGCCACCTTCATCTTCCTGACTCTTTCGCACACCATCGAGGCCTGGATCACCGGGTTGGTGTCACCATTCCTTGGAATCCCCGACCCTTTCTTCCTTGACTTGACCCATCTGCCCGACCCCTGGAAGCTGTTGTTACTACTGGTTGGTGCATGCGTTGCTACGGGCTTGATTCTTATGCCGTTGGACTTGATTCGCGTCAAGTTGATGGTGACCCACTTTGGTAGCAAGAGCACCCGTTCCGTCAGAGAGCTGCTCCGCAACTTTCCTCCATTGGCACCTCCTCCACAGGTGGTGGTCTTGACCACTTTGCACCAGCTCCTGGCCAGTGTGTTCCGCCGTGCTGCCCCATACATTCTTTTCATCCGCTACAACATCGACCTGTACAATTCGCCAGGAGTGTACACTGTGATGAATTTGGGGGCCTTGCTCATGGAATTCTTCATCAAATTGCCAGTGGAAAATGTGTTGAGAAAGGAACAAGTGCGGTGGTTGCTCAGCAACAAGAACGATCCTCGCGGGGTGGTAACCGTCACTGAAGACGACTTGGTTGTGCACAGCGAGGGCGACGACTTTGGGTCTGCGGATGTCAATGTCTACACTGCAGCTGGGGCCCGTATTGTGGTGGGCAACCTCTACAACGGATGGAGGGTAGGGCTTCTCAACCTTCTTGCGGTTTGGGGATATGCCCTTGTGAACACCAATACCACCGACCCCGAGCGGTTATAACCATGTACATAGAACGTGACAGGTGTCACCACGGCGAGGGCCGCATTATGGGCTACCACCTCGAACCAACAGCCAAAGTACGACGCTAGCGTTGGACTTCGGGTCTGGAGGTTCAAGGCAGCAGCAAATCAATCGAATGAATATTCCGGTTAGTATCGAATTCAAGAATAGGACAATGTAATAGTTTGACCAGATTAGGACCAAAATCCGGGGTAGGAATATAGGCTAGTTTAATAGTATAAGATTCCATCCAAAGAATGTAGAGTAATGATAAATACATTTTATGATTAGGGCAGTGTACCAGTTTGGATATTCCGGTTTATTCTCGAAGAATAGGGAATTCAAACAGGTTTCAATTGTCTATCTACGACTTCCGATCAAAGATGTAGACTGCTGGGAGAATTCCAGAGTAGCACGAGAGTTCAAAGAATGCAGTAAATATTCAGTCAGCACCAGAAACCAAAGTGTTTCGTTCGTACCAGAATTCGACCAATCGGGCAATTTGACCAATGTAAATAGTCAATTTCGTAGAATTTAAACAGGGTTGACAAGTTGACCAGTGTGATTAATTAGCAGAACTCGAAGAACTCTGGTGTGAATAGTCCGTACCAGAATTCAAAGAATCAAGAGAACTGTGACCAATGAAAATCTAGATCGAGTAGTCCGGTTTAGTGCAGAACGGAGCATTGTACTGTGAATATCAGATGGTAGAATGCGCTAGATCGAATCCGGCTTATCAGACAGAACAATGCACTGTAAATAGACAAGTAGAAATCAAAAACTAGTCAGTTTATCAGGCAGAACAATGCACAGGGAGTAGCAGTTTAATTGCGTAGACTAGTCAGCTTGCCATCGGAACAATGCATGTTCAGTTAGAGCAATCACAGGACCATCCTTCACTGCCAATTGACGGTACTCCACTCACCAACCACCCACCGGAGCGGATCTCACACCACCCGACCGAGAAGTGCCATGCACACCCCCTCTATTGACATCGTGCATCCGCCCGTAAACCCGCCAGCCAATTTTGCAGCCCCGACCCATGCAGCAACCATCAAACTGGCTAGCAATTAGCTGAATCCAGCTATAAGCATGCGTCTGGCGCCTCAGGCCAGCACGTGAGTTTCCTAGGGCGGAAGGCGCACGCATGGGAGCCCTCGCCTAACATCTTTGTCCAGTGCTCACAGCAAGAATCCCGAGAAAGGGTAGCCACCCCGTCTTGGCAGGCGGGTGCCGTGGCCTGACCACTGCAAAACGGCTCACAATGTCGTCTAACATCTCCGTCGTACCTGCTCGGCTGTTCAGCCCCATCGCTTGCGCCAGAACCACAACACGCACCGTCGCTATATTTAGGAATGGACCGATCACGACCGATCTAGACCGTATTTACCGAGCGCGGGCTCTCAACGGCGCTTCCCCAGTGCGAGCCCGTGCATCGTATATGGCCCGTGGATGCCAGGCTTATCCGTCGATGGGCCAGCCAGGCGTCGCGACGCGTGGACCCCACGCCCACCACCGCCACCACCGCCATTCTTCCCTCAACCCACCCTTCTGCACCTCCCATTGGACTCTTCGGCACCTTCCACTAGCCATCCGTCTCGCCTGTACCTGCAAAAAATACTTGATCTGAAGACGCACGCGCACAGAAACCTGGAAAATTATCCCCACCCTGCAACTGTGGGTGAAATCGCCTTTATCGCAGTATATATAACTCTACCACTGCCCCATGCCAGCGCCTTCCCACCACTGTGCCCATACCCAACTTGCCCTTCCGCCGTCCAGAACATGAGATGTACCGCAGCAAGTATTTGTTGAAGTCCCTACGTAAAGTTTTGCTCGTGGCGGCAGCGGTGCTCACCATCGTCGGAGTGCTAGCCGCCTTGCAACAACTGCCCCACGACAACTCCAACACCCTCTCGTCCTCGTCGTCGCCACTGCTCCAGCTCCTGGTGGCCAACGCCGTGGTAGACGTGTCCATCATCAAGTGCTGGCGCTCCTCGTGCAAAGTGCCCGACGGCTACACCAAAGTGGTTCCGCTGTTGGATCACGCCAACCCTGGCCACTTGTTCCGCTACTACCTCGTGGCCAAGCACCAGCCAGTGGCTACAGCCACCCGTGTGCTTGTGGAATTGCAGTTGGGACCATCCAAAAAGGACGTTCCTGGCGCCAATGTGCCGCCAGACACAGAATACACCGTGCTAGACGCCTACACGCTCACCAAGCGGTTTGTGGCCACCACCCCAACCGAGGGCGCCCTCCTGCCCGATACTGAGGCCATCCGTGACGTGGAGGTGTTGTTTGGCACCTCGGACTTTGCTGACGCCCGTCCGTTCCACCACGCATCCCACTATACTGCCGACGAGCAGGTCCATCCCGTGGTGTCGGCACTCAAGATCAGCGCCACCCAGGCTGACCACTACCTCAAGCAGCTCGCAGACTTCGAGGTGTTGAAGCAGGAAATGACCTTCCCGTTCGAAGGTCCCAAGTTCAAAGTGTTGCAGTTGAGCGACCTCCATTTTGGCCAAGCCACTGGCAAGCTCCAGGTCGACGGCTCGGTGTCGTCGGACCTCCGCACCATCAGGTTCGTGGAACACTCGTTGGATGAGGAAAAACCCGACTTGGTGGTGATCACCGGGGATTTAGTCGACCTCGATCGCTCCATCGACTACCGCTCAGTACTCCTCAAGGCATTACAGCCAATCTTGAGCCGCAACCTCCGATTCGTGTTCACGTTCGGCGACGAGCTTCTTGGAATTCCCAGCACCGATGGTGAAACTTCGGCCCGCATCATCCTGTTCTTGAGCTCGTTGCCCAACTGCTACAACTCCATGGCCGAATTCAAGGCCCTTGCGCATGGCACCGCCAATTACAACATCAAGGTGGTCAGGGAGGGTGCCGTAGCCGCTCACATCACCGTCCTCGATGCCCATCAACAGAAATTGGAGAACTCGCAAATGAACTATCTATACAGAATCAATAACGACTTCAAGGACATCTACAAACTCTTGTTCTTCCACTATCCGTTGCCACAATTCCGGCCTTTAGGAAAATTCAAAATCGTGGGCTCCTACAACGAAAAGCACCCGCTCAATTCCAAAACCGACTCCAAGTTCCTCGATGATATCATCAACTGTGGGTACCAAGCGGTGGGCGTTGGGCACGAACATGAAAATGATGCGTGCATCCTCAGCGAACACGCGGACAACAGAAAGATCTGGCTCTGCTACAACAGTGCCACCGGCGATTCCGCCCATACTCGCTTGGACTCGGAGTACGTCCGCAAGCTCCGGTTGTTCCAGATCGATTTCGAAAAAAAGGAGCTCTTGAGTTGGAAGCGCAACGAAAAGGATAAGTCTGGTTTTGACTATATGATGATTCACCCTATTCCTTGATATGGTTAGGGTGAGTATGGGGTTTCATCAAATGCATACTTAATATTAATCTTCAATTCTTCAAGGTTCTACAACTGGTACATATTTTTAATGTTATATTTACGGTAAAATCTGTAGTGGACCATCTTTGTTCCTGTTTCACCGGGCAGGACTTATTTCTTAGCAAGTTCTAGCAGTTAGTGCCGGCTTAATGCAGCAAGTTTGTTATACTTTGCGTGTTTTCCGTTTCACCCTATCTACTTTGTGTCGTATGCTTCAAGTGTTAATCCTCGTGGTTGCGTAGATGCTTTTGGAATGTTTTCAACCGTAAACATCAACCGGTTATGTACCCGGTCAATAACATGCGAGGGCTCGGCTCCGCAAAATCTGTGCAGATCTCGGATAGGCGACTTAAAAGGTTTTAGTTCGTAACGGTCGAGTTTTTGTAACGGTCAAGTTTCTAACCATTTTACAGGGAATCAGGTGCTCTTCGAACGGCAATTGTCCAGACATAGTTCCCCAAGCCATCCTGAATCTCAGCTAATTACAGTTGGCGAACTACATTCCCCATTGGTAAGGATTTACCCACTACATGCTATGCTTCCCCCAATAATACACAAAATACATCTGACGCACTTGGAACGCTCGTCAGTGTTTCAGATTTGATTGGGAATAGGAGATATAGTCACACGACCGGTGGGGAGCGTTTTCTGCATCATAGGCTTTAATAAATTGAAAATGCAACCACTTCTGCAGGTTTGTAACTAAAAAGAGATAAGACACACAGCGAGCTAGGAGTAGTTTTGCAAGGGGCACTCTGATAACGTCACTTGCCACGAAACCAAGTATGCAGCTAGTCATACTTCTGGGGTAGCTAGGATGAGCTCGAGGGATGCTGATTACGTAAGCTTTACTTTTTTCTTACTCAGCTTAAATTTTCAGCTCATCTCAAAACCATCATCCTAATCCATTAGCATCAATATCACACAGCCAATATGGGTAAAGCTAAGAAGACCAGAAAGTTCGCCTTGATGAAAAGGACGTTGAGCCAGAAAGACGCTCGTTTGAAAGATAAGTCGGGCCAACCCAAAAAGAAGGAAGATGATCCAGAACTCACCAAGAGTGTTCCCCAAGTGTCATCGGCACTTTTCTTCAAGTTCAACCAAGCTATCAAGCCTCCATACCAAGTACTCATAGATACCAACTTCATTAACTTCTCCATCCAGAAGAAAATCGACATAGTGAGAGGATTAATGGACTGCTTGATGGCAAAGTGTATTCCGATCATAACTGACTGTGTGATGGCCGAATTGGAAAAGTTGGGTCCAAAGTACAGAATTGCATTGAAGTTGGCCAAAGATCCCAGAATCCAAAGACTCAGCTGTTCCCACGGTGGCACCTACGCCGATGACTGTTTGGTGAACAGAGTCATACAGCACAAGTGTTACATTGTGGCTACCAATGATGCTGATTTGAAGCGTAGAATTAGAAAGGTTCCAGGTATTCCGCTCTTGAGTGTGGGTGGCCACGCTTACGTAGTGGAAAGATTGCCTGATGTATTTTAGGTGTATATTCCCTGGTTGGACATATAATATACGTGTGGAGGGCGCGAAGGTAATCGCACAACCACAAACACACTCGAATCTTTGCAATCTCAGTAGTGGGACTGGCTATTGTTGTAATGGTGTCTAGTTTCAAACTCGTGAAGTCGCTTACCCTCAGCACCCCCTCCGTGGTGTCTTCCCGCAATAAGGAGAATTGTAGCCATACTGGGGACACCCCCAGCCGTGTGAAAGCGTTCAAACGGAAGTTGCAAGGGGTCTCGATCACAAGCGTGGACCCAAACACCGCTTTGGATATCGAGCTCAACCAGCTACTTATGGAAGGCATCCACAAACTCCAGATATCAGAATCGCAGATTTCGCAGCCACCGATCCATCCCAGGATCAGTATTCCTCTAGAGGAGACTTTGAAGGATAGTGTATTGAGGCTCAGACAGGGATCCATTCAAGCAATAGATCTCCCCATGGTCACTTTTGAAGGCCTGGATGATGTACAGCTAAATTATTGCCGGCTTCTATTGGCGTACAATAAGCTCATTGAGCTGGTTTTGCGCAAGAATTCAGAGATATGCCTCTTCAATGTACAACTAAAGCAAGTTCTTGATACTCTAGCTGACATTGTGGCGGATCTGTGTTCTCTGTGCTCTTCGAAATCGGATATAGAATTCGATAGCACCGCCAGTGACTAGAGTTGAATCATCCATTTTAGCATAGCCAATCTGATGGTTCCAATAGATGAAATATTGACTGATACACTTCTCATTAAGTTTTGTTTTCTTCCTGTAGAGAGCTCTGCTCTTTCGTGGCTTGTAAGTCCCAGATTATTCTCGTCCAAGAAAGGTCTACACCACCATAACGGATCAAGATCCATCACCCACTATATCCCAATCCAGCACCACACACATCTAGGTCAATCTCTCCTTCTGTGTGCCAAAACCTGAAGAGCCGCAGTTCACTTTACTAAGTACTCACAGTGTCTTTCTGTGTACACCTCATTTGCAACTGATTACTCGTCACATTTGATAAGAGCGCCACTAAAAGAAAAATAGCAGCTGGAATTGTATCCCTACAATATGAATGAGTTATTCAAGAAGCCTACCATTAAGCGTACCATAAGCAACTTCTCCAGTGTCTCTTTGAACTCTGGTCATGGCGGCAATTTTAGTGGGCTCGTAAAACGCAGAAAGCCCGACCCAGACTTGACAAGTCTAGAGGTAATATCTCCTGAGCTTCACTGCTTAAGAGATTACAACTACATTGGCTACTCTACTTTCACGCCAAGAGGGAGTCAGCTGATCCTGCTTGTTGACTCATTCTGTAAACTCCAGACCACTTCAGAACAATCAAAGCTGCCGCCATTGTCGCCTAGCTCCAAAAGTAGCTGCAGGGCAACGTTTGAGAAATACTGTGACGAGAAGTTTGATGCCACTACCAGCTCCCAATATGCTAATTTCGGCTCTACCGTTGATTCGATATCGTGCCAATTGTCAGAGCTTCCGATTCAGGTTCTAGAAACCAGTCACAATTCGTCTATCTCGCTTGATCTTTCCAGACAGAGCCTGTATATTCCCAAATCCAAACCACCTCCCACTCCCAAAAGCTCGTTAGACAATTGGGAAGGCTTTTTGCCCTTACTTGAATCCTCGAACACACCGAAGAAAAGATTTGCACCCAAAAATGTGTTGAAAGTATTAACTCCCAAAGTCAGAAGACTATTCAAAAAATTCAACGGTTATGTGTGTAACCTGAAGGGTGATAGTCTAACTAGTACTTCCCGGGGCTCAACATGACAACTACAGGCTTATTCATTGTCTAAAGCACGAATTGAGCACTGGTAAACTTCAACCTGGTGTTGATGTAAACTACAAGTTGCAGTAGTAGAAGTATAGTTTCTAGATGAGCCTTGTGACTCACGGATGACGTTTCAAAGCTAAGGTATTCTGGAAAATTTTAATTCTGGCTATACTTAATCTAGAATATAAATTGGGCAATAAATACAGGGCTTTCTGTAATGTTAAGAAAATCACATAAAAACCTGTGGAGATACTGATGGACAGAAAGTATTAACAGGTAAGCTGAAGTGTACAGAACAATACAGGGTGAATGGATCTATTTGTAACTCTGGGGATATATTATCTGCTGAATATTGGCTTCTCATAGAAGGTATGTACTATATAATAACAGTTAGTTAAAGCATATCTCTTGCTGTTCAGCAGGAGTTTCTATACACCTTGCCTAAATTAGTGGAAATGGGGCATAATTTTTGTGAATTATTTCCTATTATACCCAGGTAATCAGAAGTTTTGTCCTCCTCTATATTTCTGACATAGGTATTATTTAAGCGGATAGTTGGATAGTTAAAACAATTTCTTCAGCAAGATTATCCAATTGAGACCATCAACTATGAATATTGCTAGTAATAACCTAACGAATACTACAAGAGGAAGAGCATTCCTTTTATCATATTATCATAAATCAATTTATAAAAAGAATTTCAAACCGTCCGTTTCTGTTCCCCTAGTTGTCTTTTACTCGTACCTGTATGAAGATCCGTAAAAAATAGGTGTGAAAATCGGCTCGTGGGTAGATAAAATAAGAATTAAAATTCTTTATCAAAGGGCTATACGCCTGAGAAAACATAATTGGGTAATCTTGTCTTTCATAGAGCCAAAATCATACTAGTTGCAAAATATTGTATTTATACAAATCACGTGATTTACTAGCTTCTTTCACGTGATTACCCACAGCAGGTCAATTATATGCAGAAATTGATGCGGTGGCTCAATGGTAGAGCTTTCGACTCCAAATCGAAAGGTTGCAGGTTCAATTCCTGTCCGTGTCATCTTTTTTGTTTTTTGAAGTTCATATTGATCTCCTCCACTTTGGGATGTATGTAGAATACCTGGAATGGCTTTCCTACCTTCCAAACCCACTTAAAACGCGTTAAAAAGTCGCCTGGAAGAATTAGCAGATTTTGATCACGTGATTTATTGAATCGGACGAGTGCACGACTTTTCAAGTTGACACGAAAACTCAACTCACCGTGGGCGTAACAAGGATCTGTTTCCACAATAAACAGTAACAATCCATAACGTCATAAAAAGTTAGCGGATCAGATTCCACATCACTTACTGGCGGAGCAATTGCATCTTGGAAGACACCTCAACTATTTCAAATCCGTTGATCCCATTCGAATTAAGAACCTTTGAAGTGTTAAATACCGAAGATGGTAGTATTGGCAGCGTCTATATGTACCCGTGGAGGTAAGGCATTGTTGTCTCGTCAATTCAAAGATTTGAGCAAGGATCGTATCACCGCCCTTCTTGCCAACTTTCCTAGTTTGATCAATGACTCCAGTAGTCAACACACCACTATCGAGGACGAACATGTGCGGTACGTCTATCAACCACTTGAGGAATTCTACATTGTGTTGATCACCAACCGTACCTCCAATATCCTCCAAGATATCGATACCTTGCATCTCTTTGCTTCCACCATCAGCAATTTATTAAGAAATGTGGATGAAGGTGAAATCTTCGACAATGCTTTTGAGATCATCAGTGCGTTTGATGAAATTATCACTTTGGGATACAAGGAGAATGTCACCATGAGCCAAGTCCAAACCTTCTTGAAAATGGATTCCCATGAAGAAAAGATCCAAGAAATCATTGAAAGAAACAAGGAATTGGAAGCCAATGAAGAAAGAAAGAGGAGGGCCAAAGAAATTCAACGTAAAGAATTGGCTAGACGTAACATGGAACAATTTCCTTCTGGTGGTGCCGGTGGCTACGATTCATACCAAACTTCTCAAACTACCCAATCATATCAACCAACTTATCAACCTACCCCTGTCATTGAGACCAACACTCCTTCTCCTGGACTTGGCGGCAAGCCAATCCACGGAAGAGGTGGCTTACAATTGGGTAAGAAGCCAACTAAGATCACCCAAGAAGCCCATCAACCCCTCTTGGCCCAATCTCAACCTGTTTTCCAACATGCCAGTACTCCAGTACAACAAAAGGCTCCAGAGAAGACTGCTTCTCCTGCTCCATCGGTGCCAAAGGTTCAAAACAATGGTATTTTGATTACTATTAATGAAAAGGTTACTGCAGAACTTACTCGTGAAGGTTCAATTGTTCAATCCGAAGTCAAGGGTGACTTGCAATTGAGAATAAATAACGCTGAATTGGCCAATTCCAAACTTTTGCTCAAGACTGCAAAGTCGGGTGGAATCCAATACAAGCCACATCCAAACGTTGACCGTAACTTGTTCACTTCCCGTGGAATCATTGGCTTAAAGGACAAATCTAAATCATTCCCAGCCAATGACCAAGCCATTGGTGTCTTGAGATGGAGAGCCACTGGTAAGAATGATGATTCCTCCTTGATTCCACTCGTTATCACTGCTTGGGTGAACATCAATGACCAAGGCATTGCTGAGGTCACTTTGGAATACGAGTTGACCTCCGACTACATAGAAGCACACAGTGGTACCAACCATGCTTCTATTGAAAATGTCAAATTGTTGGTCCCAATTGTGTCATCTGAAGTGAACTTAAACAATGAATCCAACCAAAACATCTCTTATGAAGTCAGTGACTTTGGCGTTATCTTTGATATTGGTTCCATCTCGCTTGAAGACTCTCAGGGCTCTTTTGAATTCACCATTCCAGCTAATGATGAAGATTCTTTGTTCCCAATAGAATTGCAATTCGAAATCAACAACACTGAAGTTACCGAAAGTGATGTTTCCTTAGGTAAGGTCCAAGTGATAGATGTCGTTTCCAACAACGAGGACGAAGCATCCTTACCATTTGATTTGCACTCAAGCGTTACCTCTGAAAGTTTCCAAGTTAATTAAGCCTAGTTTATAAAAGTACTTAGTACAATACAAGAATTCTTGATTTATTTAGTAGTAGATTTAGGATAGTGCTATTATATTGAATGAAGAGTAAAATCTGATGCTCAATTCACAAAAAAATTAGAATTGAACAACTGACACTATTGTTCCTAGGTGTGATCTGTCAATCATAAAATTAAAAGACGGTCTAATCCATTAGTTAGTTTAAGCATCTATTAGTAATTATTCAAATCTCGCCAAATTAGCGTTATTGTTTACAACCATTTCGGGTTGGAAAAAACATATAGATTAGTCCTGGTTACTAGAGTTAGTACTACAGGAGTCAGTTAATATCTTTTGTGTAAGAATCGAGTATAGTCAGTAATATTTTTGTGAGATATTAATTGTGGCCTTATCTATTAAGAATGGGATGATACAATGGTCACCACGGACTAACTGGCGGTTGTTTTGGCCCATGGGTGCGTCGGTGCACATAATAAATAAGAAATTAATAAATTGTACGTTAAACTAGACAAACTTTAAATAGATCCAGCTTCAACCCAAAATATAAAATGACATCCAAAAACGGAAACTATTGATCGATTTAATCTTCCTGTAATTTCACAAAATTATTGGTTGATGAGCCAAGATCAACACTAGTAATAAGCACGACACAGCGAAGGACGCTCCCAATCTTCATCATAAATGGGTCAGTCTTCGTAGACATAATACTGTGGACAGAAATGAAATCGTCATATAAGCGATTTGTTGAAGTAGCTTTAATGAACATGTCATCGACTCCCCGGATGTTTTCCGCAATTGAAGGCCCATCATCCAACTGAGCCTCAAATTTAGGAGCTTTAAACAATTGAGTCCTGGGTTATTGCCGAAGCATTTGGAATAAATTACCCGTAGTAGTTGCTCTCTTGACGAGGGTTTAATTCCGAAGACCACTGGCTCATGAAATTAGTGACTATTTCTGGCTTAGTTGGATCCTTTTGTTCAATGCAACTTTATCCAAGTAAATTGGAGTTTCTCTAGTAAGATATTCCTCAAGATTAATGCATATAATTTATCTTATTCAACGAGGTACTTGCTGTGATTACTAGCTTATCAGTGGTTAATCCTGCGAGTATCCATGTAGTTTCTCACAAAAACGAATTCCATAAGTACAGTTCATTCTAGCTATGTATTCTATATTACAAGGGTGATTCCAGAAAGCGCAATGGAGAATTTGATCCCCAAGTTTTCCCTGGCGTTCAACTCGTTCAACTGACTCAAGACCCGTCTGCGCGGGTCCTGGAGCTCGGTTTCTTTGTAGTTTTTCATCTCAGCACCGCCGCCTATCACCGGTTCCTTGACGTGGTTGATGATTATGTTGAAGCCGCTCAACGGCTGGGGAGCACCCGACACCTTGGCGCACTCGGCCTCGAGTGCCTTGAACTCGGCTATCAAGTGGTCCGGCACCATGTGGCCGTACAACTCGTTTTCCTTGATTCCGTTGCAGTTGGAGCACTCCAACACCATGCCCTTCAACAGCTTGTTGACCACCAACGGCGCCACGTGCTGCCAGATGCGGAGGTTGGTGGTGGTCTTCGACACCGAGTCGCCCTCGCAGTCGCCAAAAATCAACACGCTGGCGCCGTCGGTGGTGTTTGTGACGAGGAACGACGACGACACGTAGTGGTCTGTTTCGGTTGTTCTGGGTGATTGGTCGCACTCGCTCGACAGCCTGCCGTGGCTCAACTCGAACATGGTGATGTCGAAGATGCCGGATCTCCACCGGGTGTTGAAGGGGTGGGGCTGTAAGTCGAGCACCTTGTAGTGGGGCATGTTGGGCCAAATGATGCCGTTGAAGATATGAGCCTGCAAAGCATCAACGGTGTATTGGGACGCGTGGATGGTCTTGGGCTTGGCCATCGAGAACCCCGCCAGGTTGACCACCATGCCTGCGACGTGGTCGAGGTGGGGATGAGTGATGAGGTAGTCGAGCTTGCAGCACACCTCCTGGGCGGCCTGGAACGGCGACATCTGGCGCAAGAGTGCGAAAGGAGTGGTGCGGGAGGTCTGGAGGTACTCGTTCACTGCGAGCGAGTCGGGGTAGTACTCGAGCACCTTGGAGGTGGGGGGAGAGGTGGTGGTAGTCTCTTGGTAGATGATCTCCGCTATCAGCGACAACCCAGCGCCTGCGTCCACGCAGAGCAAGTTGCCGCTATGGGCATCGTTTTCGATGATGTCTCGGTAGCTGACGTCGCACGGCTTAACGAGCATGGCACAGGTGGTGCCATCAACAGGCCCACCGCTGGCGCCCAAGAAGGTCAACTCGAAGCTCATGGGCACACTATCAGACGGAGGTAGCACGGAGGTCAGGGTAGGCATTTGACAGAGGCGCAGGGGGGAGGGGGATCAAGTCGAACAATGCACCCGCACAACAGTTAGCCATCTAGTGGGACCGGTGCAGCAAAGCAGGCAAGATGGCTCAGTTATGTATCACCAGAAAATCCGTCCCCATCCCAAATTTTCCCCGTTCCATGCATGGGGCCGCCACGACTGGCCCTCCAGAATGATCTCGCCGAGCTTATCTATTAGACGACGACGCATGCTGCAAGCATAGAATGACGCACCAATATATGCACCAGGGGGGGTAGGATTGCCAGCGAGCCTCTACCATTGGCCAGCCCAAGCGGGGCTAGCGGGCCGGGAGTCCCAATTACACTCGGTTACACAATTGCCCCGGGTGGAACCTTCGTATATTGTTGGGAGGTGCTTCTAGAAAACCTGCCCCGTGCGAGCGTTGGCGGCGCCAGTTATTTTTTTTACGCCATCTGTGAAGAACCACCCATTATTGTTGGGACCCAGCCCTGTGAGCAACGCTACCGTGACAGTAGCCCTGTAAGGGCCATGGGCATTAGCGTACGCCCCCACGGCCTCTGGGGCGGGATATCACCTCAGGCACAACTTCAGACCCCGACACGCCATCGGGACAATTCCACCACCATGCCAGCCACAATTCGTCTGATGTCACACCCGCAAAATTACCCGGCAACAAGACAGGAATGGGGTACGATACCCGACCCTGCGAGCCAGAACCATCAATGTCAAACCCAGTGGAAGCCGCGTCTTCGGTACATTGAGGCGTTCTCTCTCGTTCATGCATGGAAACGGTGCATGGAAGTCCTCATCAACCTTATTTCTGACACTAGTGTGAAGCTTGAAATATGAAACGGTTGCTTCAAGGGGCTCATCCACTTGGTGCTCCCACCTGGTTGTCGAGGCTTTGGGCTCGCGCCGGTACCGCACGCCATATTTCCGTGCCTTACGTCCTTTTGGCACCGCCGATCATTGACGGCTATACTTAGCACTGTACACCCGCGTGCTCATTCCATTTAAGTAGGTTCTAGGTCAATTACTAAAAAATGTCTCCTAACACAAAGTCTTACATTGTTTTCATTACTTTTATATTCGTGGTACATGCGTTTTGTGAAGCCTCCGTCAGAACTCCTACAGCATAGAACAATAGCCAGTGCTTCCACGCTTCTGCTGACAACTACTGCGGTTCTAAACTCAACCGTTCCACACCGTATCATATGTGGTTCTATCGACCGTTCCACATTTCAGTTTGGGCGAAGACATAACCGCCGTTCCAGTGTTTACTCCTGCTTGCTGCCGTAACCCTTGATGTCTCTGGCAAATCTCCAGCTTTGGTTATCAATCTTGATGTTCTTCTCGAAGTCAAACCCTTTACCTCCGTCCTTGATGGTGACCATGGAGAACTTGTCGAAAGATCTAGCATCTCTATAGAACAAAACCCTCATACAGTCCATGACCACCTTCTTGGCTTGTTCCTCAGTGACATTGACATAGTCGGTGTCGTTTGGGATCAACTGTCTCAACAATGGGATGGCCAAGTGATTACCAAACCCGGTGGCCAAGGTTGACGACCCGTACGCAACACCCAATAAATCAACATACTTCAAGAAAGGCGAGCCATCGTCGTTGAATCCACCAACCAACACAGCATTCCACAATGGGTCCATCTTGGATCTTCTATTGTATAAAATACGGGTCAAGTACTCGTGGACGTGAGGGGCTCTCAAGTTGTGTCCCCCGTCGTTGTCATAGACTTCTTCGTCTGTTTCCAACTCGTTGAGAATTCTGTGTAACTGCTGCATGTCCGAGATGTCCCCAGAAATACCCACCACGGTCTCTTTGCCAACCCTGAACAATCTTTCGATGTTGTTGAATCTCATCAAAGAACCGTACGATCCCATGGTATCGGCAGCCATTATGATTCCGTCCTTGTACTTCAAGGCGATAACCGAGGTACCTGTGATGATTGGTTGTTGGGTGTGCTTCTTAGGAAACTGGTCGAGCTGGTCATGGGTGGCTTCCTGAACGCTGGCTTGTGCTATGGCGTGGTTGTATGCTCCGTATGTGTCATTGCTTGGACGTCCCCACAAAAATGGATCGTGATTCATGATAGTTTGATGTAGTGGCTAAATGAAGAAGGGGTGTAAATTTGTCGATTGAATCGGTTTCAAGTATCAATCTGTTTCAATTAGGCTCGTAATCGCGTAAATTGATTCCTATCCTTATGACACGTGTAGGATGGGTGAATTTGAAGCTGAACTGGGTTCTAGTTGATAGATGGCAGATACAGTATGGCTTGTAGCGAGTGGCAATTCGACGAGTTTTTGCCCTTGGCTGTGTGCAGGGTCTTTGTTTGTGTGCAGGATCTAATCCCCCCAGATCGTTCCCACAGAGGAAGGGAAGTACGGATGGGCACTAACTGGCAATATCCATGAAGGGGTTGGCTACTTGTACAAGTGCAAAAGGTTGGGAGTCAGGGTGGCTATTTGGGTATCGCTTTTGGCCAGAATTAGTGATTGAAAGCACCCAAACTAACTACACATAATTAAAATATCCCAAAAGCTTAGCCAACAAAGTCACCACCCGGTCATGCGCTGAAATCACCCATCATGGGTGCTACGAGTATCTTTCCAATATGTATATTTGATAGTGAAGTACATTTAACCTGGCCCAACCAAGTCGTACTCAGACCAGGAGGATGCCGTCCTGGTCCATGTGATCCGGAAGGTGTAGGAAATCAGAACACCAAAGCAGCACCTCCAGTGATGACGTTGTCAATTTCTTCTTCCTTGGGGGCCTTGTATCTGAATCTGCTGGACAATTGGCTTCTGGAGAAGAATTCACCATTTTGAGGCTCGACTGGGTTCTTGTTGAAGTACGAAGCACCTGCGCTGGATCCACTGGATCCGCTACCTGGTAATTCGCCATTTGGAGCCATAGGGTGAGCCTTTGCGGCGTGTGATACGTTTTCTAGATGTTAGCATAGACGGAGGATGTGCCGCGAGGTGGGTACTTACTTGGGGCAGTGTGGGGGCCACCAACGAACTTGATGAGGGGAGTGTGTTTGAACAATCTGGTAGCAGCTCTCATGGTGTGGGGGTTGGAGATGGAGTGGTGTAGTACGAGGGTTTCATTGGTCGTCGCTCCGAGGTTTTGATGGAGGTCGCAAGCGATGCCACGTGACGTGCTTCTACCGGTGAATCCCGGGGCTAACCAGTAATGGCCCCAAATGGAAGCGAGACCCACAATTATTGCAAAGCGGCGCTATTCGGCGGTAGGCACCTATTTGAGCTATGTCGTGGGTAGGAAGTAAGCTTGTCAATTTTTCGTGGGGGTCAATCCTCCCAAAACAAAGTTCTCGGATTTTGCACCCATCCACAACTATCATCGACTTGCCGCCAAAAGTGCTTCAGCGGATCTTATTCCTAGTCTACAAGGACACCGGACAAATGAGCCAGGTCTTAAGCTTTTTGTACACCTGCAAGACCCTCTACTGTAACGGAATCGGGATGGTGTACCACATTAAGCCCAAGAAGGTGAGAACCCATTCCGACTTCGAATGCTACTACGCCAGGAACATCAGGGTACTTTTCCTTTACCCAGAGGCTAGTATCAGTGGAACAGGAGAGAGGGCATTCTATTCCCACTTGCTCAGTTTTCATCGTGACTATGCTGGTCTCAAGTATATCACCGTCAGTACCACCTCGATTGACGTGCTCATGCTTGTGCGCTATCCCACTGTCAGGTATTTGAACATCAAATTGAAGCCCGACTTCAGTCCTCCTACCAAGGCAGAGGCCGCCAAGATCATCAAAATGAGGGCTAAGGCTTCGCCCACGCTCATCAGAATCAGTATAAACAGCAAGAAGCGTTTGGTCTGCGCTCGAAACAACCCCTGGCTGGGACTTCCATGGCGCCACAGCAATGTTCCAATTCCCCAGTTCTGTTTCGAGGAGTTGAAGGATTGGATTGGCACTCGCCAATCTCGCAGTCACCCGTGGTTTCACTTTGGCAGCGCTGTCTTGTCGCTCTTGGCAGGCTCATCTATCCAGCAGATTGAGCTCCACAACTTTGATCCTGCACTCATCTTCACCAACAGTCGCCGATTTCCCAAGCTCCGGTTGGTGCAATTCCATGCTTCAGCAGTGGGGTCGATTCCCCACTGGTTTCCGCTGTTCCAGCAGAAAAACTCGTACCGTTGTCAAGACTCCCGTGTCTGCATAGCTGTAAATAACTCGATGGCGGGAAGTCTTTTACTGAGGACTGTGGAAACCTGTCGCTGGCTGTGCAGCACTACACCTGCGCAGACATTGGCCAATATCAAGAGGGAAATCGCTCAAGAAAAACGAGCCAAACAGTCTCGAAAATGGATTCCTCGGCTTCACCAGCTTTTCAGTACGGGAACTACGTTGTCCCCAGCATCAAGCTACAATTCCCTGTCAGTCCATGTCACCCCAAATATGGTGGTGCTGGCAAATGTCGCGCCTTCCAGAAATCAGTCCGTGGGACGACCCACAAAACCACACGTGAAGCGACCTAGAATCCGCTCGACTCTCCGTACTTCACGCCAGCGATGTCAGACAAGTTACAGAGAACCATCCAGCGCTTCCAGGCCAAGATTGACAGCGGTTCATTCTACGAGGCCCACCAAACGTTGAGAACCATCACCAACCGTTATGTCAAGAGCAAGCAGTACTCGGAGGCAGTGGAAATCTTGTACCAGGGATCGGTGATCTTGGGCAAGAACAAGGAGTCAAGCTCAGCCAGCGACTTGATTCAGTACATGATCGAGGTGACGAAGGAAGGCGATCTTTTTGACAAGGTCAAATTGATCGACTCCATGAGCTATTTACCTGATAATGAGCCTGCCTTGGTCGACTTGGCCAAGCAGATCAGCCAGGCGTCATCCAGCAAGTACGGCGACGCCGACATGCACCACTTCTTCGGCAACAAGTTGTTGAACGCCGTGAAGCAAGGTGAAACCAAGGTGTTCCCATTGGCCGAGGTGCACCTTGTTTTGGGAACCTACGAATCGGTGCCATTGTACACCGACTTTTTGTACGAATGGTGGGCTGCCAACGGAGGTGATCCAGGTGTGTTCTTGGCCAGAGGAGTCATCAATTATGCATACTTAAAGAACGTGAAATTTGCTAGAGAGGTGGGGGACAGATTCATAAATAGATTGATCAAGGATGGCAAAATAAATCAGGACCAAAAGGTGACGGAAGGTGACGTCTCGGTGTACGTTGGAGACTACCCCCTCTTCACCTTCTTACAGCTACTTTTGTTAACCCTTACGAAAGACGCCTCCAAATTCACAAAACTATTCGACCAGTACAAACAAGCATTGCAGCGCAACAACCTCGTGGGGCCCATCGAACATCTTGGAAAACTTTACTTCAACCTTAAGGGCCCTGCCCAGGCTCCAAACATGTTGTCATTTATGGGAGATCTTTTTAAGTAGTTTCACTAAAAAAGTAGGTTATAAGCACAAGCCAATAATTAAGTAGTTTCAGGTTAATCTTTGGGATCCTCGTAAGTAGGATATTATACAAGCCCGTTTTTTAATTATATTCAGGTTATTCTTTGGGATCTTCACTCTTCAACAGCATTTCAATCGCATTTTCTGAAGGTTTCACTGGCGGTAGCTAGATCAGCATCTCATTTATGGCACCTGGCTCGACTTCAAGATGCTCAGCAGGTCGAGTGCCTGGATCAATTCCGGCCTCTTTGCACGGGTCAACTCGTGCACAGCATCACTGTAGGTACACCAGCGCCTCTCGCGCTGATCTGCTTCTGGCCAGTCCTGGCTCATTGAAGTAACGAGGAGCTCGTAGAAATGAAACTCAGACTTGGGGATCACCTTGGCATCTGTGATTTCCGACACCACTGGGGCCTTTTTGCCACGAGAGTCGAGCACCACCTCCAATTTCTTCATCACCCGGCCCTCGACCCCAGCCTCTTCCCAGGTCTCTCGGACGGCACTGACCAGGAAGTCGTCTCCCTCGTCAAGTTCGATTCCTCCCTTTGGTAGCACCCAGCGTCCGACATGTGCCATTGATTGCACCATCACCACCTTGTCCTTGGTGTCGTTCAAGCAGATGCATCCAGCCACCATTCTGGCGCCTGTTTCGGGGTTGTAACGTTGGTTTTCTCGGCCAACTCGAGAGGTTGTGGGGCGATCGACCATATTAGTGGGTAGTAAGCAGTGAATGGGTAGTGTTGGTTATTCCAGGAATTGTTCAAACTTCAGCAGTGGTCTTGCGTTGTACTTGCTGGTAGGTCGTCTCTTCAGAAGTGCAACTGGGAATCTCAATGGAGTGACTCAAGCTGCTCCATCTGGCCTTCTCCAGACAAACGTGCATGCGACGCACGTGAGTCATGTCGGACTTGCGGAGACATAACTTGAACACCGATAAGCCCTGGGCGGAGTCCCTACAGAAACAGCGCAAAGCAGGTAATCTGGTTACAGGTTGAATCCGCTGAATATAGAGTCGTTTGGGGGTGCTGCGAGTCCCTGGGACAGCTGCAGCGTTGGCAGGTGTCATCAAGCCAAGCAGAAGTTCCCCTGACATATTTGGGCGTGTGCACGACCCAGTCCATAAACAGCTACGTTTCTGGAACATAGACCTCCACAATGAGATTCGGAGTATTAGCATTACTGCTTGGGTTGGTGGCTGCTCATGGCAACCATGGCTCCCACGGCGCCATCAAGGAACGTCCCAAGGGCTTGTCGTGGGAAAAATGGCACATGTTGGAAGAGCACCGCATAGATCAGTTCAGTGCCGAGGTGTTCTTCACCATGCATGACAGAGGCTCAGGCTGGGGCCGTGACGAGATCTTGAACTTGTACGGGATCAAGGAGACGCCTGGAGACGGGTCTGGAATGGGAGAGGGTAAGACAGTCATTTCTGAGCAGGAGAAGGACTACGTTGTTAACACCATTCTCAACTTGATGGACACCGACAACGATCAGAGGGTGTCACTTGCCGAGTGGAAGGCCTATGTGGGTGAATTGCCAGACTTTGGCTACGGACAGGGCCACCATCTTGACTTCGAGGCCGAATACGAAGAGCATCACTGGAAGTTGTACCATGCCAACGACGATCCAGACGTCAAGATCAAGCACAAGGAAGACATCGAGCACGAATTGCTCCACCATGAGATGGAGATCGAGAGTGGAGAGGGCGGCAAGGCCGTAGAATGGTACTCGGACATCAGAATTGAACAAGTCCCCTTGAAGTATAGAGCGCAATGAGTGTACGATTAATCTATATACGTCGAACATCCTAGCACAACCAAAAAATAAGATATAAGCGTCACAGTTGTGACTCCCACCAATCTATACGTCGATCATCCTGTAAAGCCAAAAATACCAAAGTATATAGTTGAGCATCCAGGTCCGGAGAAGCCAATCTAGCCGAACATCTGGTCCAGAGCCGTCTATGCTGGCTTTACACCACGACCATCTAAAGTAGTTTTAATTTCAGCCATCTTCGCTGGCTCTACCCTTCTATGGTGCCAGTAGCACACTTCCTCAACTCCAACAACTGGCTGGAACAGTCTTCGGTCCCCTTCAAGCACGACTCGTACTCCTTCAACTTGGCGGCACATTCGCCCTGGATCTTTTGGAATGAAGGCACTTGCTGTTTGATGCACCCAGCCAACTCAAACTGCTCTTTATCACATCCGGTTCCGCCGTTGCTCATACACTTGTGGAAGGCAAGAAACTGCTGGGGACAATGGCGCGCAATGTCCTCCATCAATGCCTGGTCGAGGGCTCCGCTTTTCTCCATGTTTCCCCAAGATTTCTTGCAGAAAGGTGCCGTTGGTAATTATTGCAGATTGTTGGCTTGAAATTGGTGCAACTTTCCCATCAGATCGGGCGCATATACAGGAACTAGCGCCCTCACCACTACCCGAATTCACACACCAAGGGCGAGTCTGTAAGGAACCATCCCGTTGATCATGTCTCTCCGCAAGTCGTTGCTAGCCTTGACGTGGATCCCCGTGGTCTACACCTTTACCAATCACGTGTACCAGCCGTACCAGATCCGAGGCAGCTCCATGAGTCCCACCTTCAACCCTGGCACCGACTCCACCACCAAGGACATTGTGCTCGTCAGCAAGCTCAAAGTGAAGGAAACCTCGTTCACTAGGGGCGACGTGATCATGTTCCGGTCCCCAGAGAACCCCGAGAAGATCCTCACCAAGCGGGTGGTGGGGTTGCAGGGAGATCGAGTGAGGCCTAAGAGCCCCTACCCGAAAGCGCAGACAGTGGTGCCTCGCAACCACTTATGGGTGGAGGGAGACAATGCGTTCCATTCCATCGACTCCAACAACTTTGGACCCGTGAGCCAGGGCTTGGTAGTGGGCAAGGTGGTGACCATATTGTGGCCATTGAGCCGGTTCGGAAAAGATATACTGGGAGGACGAGATGCGAGAGAGTTGGATCCGAAGGATATGCTGGTCAAGCTGATCGGGGAAATATAGCGTGAGCTCGAGAAGCAGGTATGGCTGAACCCACTGCTCATCTAAAACATGGGTATATTTCGGTGGCTAAATACGATGTTAACTACTCACCACCCATGTGGGACAATCTTCTGTTAGCTAAATAAGTTGTGAAAACCACACGAAGTACTAGCCAAACTACGTGATAAGAACTCCGCCATCTTGAGAAGGAGGCCCAGCTTTTGGCTCGAGAGCCCAGCGGTGCCGGAGTGGACTTCCAACGAGTTCTCAAACGAGTCGAAGACGAATTTGGTCTGTCACATCCTTAACCCAGGCCCCATCTCACAATAGGACATCTCGTAACATGTTGTCATTAATTGCATTGTATATACTATTCGAGCATAGACCATATGGTCTCTCGCTTCTTCCAATAAACTGTTAGATTCATGATTTCGTGGTCTGGCACTGCAACAAAGTATCACCCATTCATGGATGTTGCTCAAGTAAATACTCATCTGTTAGATTGGGAGCTAATCTTCGCTCTATATCAAATGAATCATTGCTACTCTGTACTTTCACATTGGTCACTTTCAAGTCTCTTAATTTAGTCTCTTCGGCCTTTTGCAATTCGACGTTCCTCTTCCGTTTCAACTCGCCCAATCTCTTAAATCTGGTCACACTTTGTTGAATTATGTCAACAATCAAGGCAAACAGCAAGATAAGTCCAGCAGGAAGCCAAACCCTAATCAACACCCACACGATGATGGCCTTAAGAGCAGTTAGAAGCAATCGTTGATATCCTTTCTTACCGAGGACCTTCGCATCTTCTCTAACTCTTAAATGCGTAGGACTGAAGTCCTTGTTGATTTCCTCGTCGTCCATGAATTTTTCTGGCATCGTGTGGGTGTGAAGTAGTTAGCACTAAATTGATTTCGTGCACTGCATATACTGCTTGCAATTTGCCTGAACTTAAACAGGAAGCACTTAGCACCCTAAGTTAGACTAGTTCCTAAAGATAAACGACTTATTAGCTAGAGCTAATTAATAAAAGAGATGGTTGTCAAAGTTTATTCCAATGAATCAAAGATTATTGCAAATTACAAAGGTTTCCAAAAATTGTGCATAAATGTAAGAAAACGAGATATTTCAAAATAATGAAATACTTGTATTAACAACTTGAAATTTCTTTGAAATTGCTAAATTGATTGGACAGGATCATATCATAACACTTAAGTCTTTCCGCCTTTGAGTGAAATGAAACATCACCTACATTGATTCAATAAGAGTTATTAGCCAACCCATTTCCACAAAGCTTGGGGGTTCCACTGGGTGAATTAGGTGCAACACAATTTGAGGCTTTCAGAAACACAGACAGACCAATATTCATTTTTATTTTTGCTAATGAGAAGTATATTATAATCTACCGACTGTACATCTATTTTAATGGATGACACACCATTATCGTCAAACCTTTATGATTTAGTTAATTTTTAATTTCGGTTTTTTGTTGATTTTTTGCAACTTGGTGGGCAACATACGGAAGCATTAAGGAAGCGGATCATGTCATATAAACCGTTTATATTCAAAAGGTATCTATTAGATATAAAGCATCCTAATCTGAGAGAAAGTTTACTGGGAATACGTTCTAGATTCTTAAAAATAAAATTCAATACTATGCGGAAGATATTTGAGAAATGAAATAATACCAAAAACGCAACTTCTTGCGAAATGGAAGCCTATTATAGAATGCTCTTGAAATTGCCCGTTAGATACCAGCTAGAACTAGAAGGGTAGGACTATATTCTCGAAACACACCGCTAAAGTTGTTGTATTTTTTTTATGAAAAATAAGATGAATTTCCTTGCAAGGACTGTAATACTCATAAAAGAACAAATGCTTATATTCTCTGTATTGTAAGAATCGATAGGTGTACCATTCAAACAGTCGTGCGCTATCAAATTATATGACATTTATTGCGGTAACAGAAAAAGCTCTTTTTTAATCAAGAAGTAGCCGGTCTCGTATAGTGGTTAGTACAGTTCGTTGTGGCCGAACAAACCCAGGTTCGATTCCTGGGACCGGCAGGATATTATTTTTGCACCATCTACACAATAAAAACCACACTCACGTATATTAGTATAGTTCTATGTTGTTGTCAGTGTCAGTAACTTTGACTGAGTCGAATTTTATAGCTATAAGTGCATTTCCATCGCATTCAATATAATTCTTCGATTGAACCTGGTCGATTTTCGAATTATTCAAGTGCAAAGACTTATAGAACTCGAAGGACGTGGCATCCTTCTCCTTGTCGAGGATGGTGGAGGTACCAGTGATCATCACCGAAACACGGCCCAATTCGTTCTTATTGATATTAGCAAGCATCTCGAACAACGAGTTTCTTCTTTCATTGGGCGCCCCGCTTTTATCTTCTCCAGAGTTGTTGTCCTTGGCTGAGATCCAATCATGTACCAACAATGACACGATTGGGTTTGCTACTATGTTTTCATACTTTGTGGTTTTCTTTGGGGTAGATATGATTATGTAGTCACCCTCACTTCCATGGTAGTATGTGTAGTTCATAAGGGAAACATGGGGCACATTGTCCTTGCACGTGGCCAAATGGATGAATCTGGTCGATTTCAAGAGGTTGGTGACGGAACCAGGCAATTCTGACATGATATGATCCGATTGATGGCAATTGGTTCTCAAACAGGACGGATGTGTATTAATTTATACTGCGACTTATGTAATGAATTAGTAACTTTAAGGTCATGGGATCGGAGTAGATCGTAAGATCGGGGTACTCTGACTATACACCGGATACAATTGGGGTGTTCTATTGAAGTGGCTGAAATATGAATTGTTTATGGGCTAGTTGATTTTCGCTATAAATTTCTACTGCTGTAGTATCCTAGTATGTAGTAGACTCTCCTTTGATTCTTCAGTACATGAAATAGGAGTTATGGATTGCTGGTACTTTAAGGCTCTTCTTCTAACTTTTGACTCACAACATTTTGTGATCTACCCTGCTTTATCTTGTATACTTGATAATATTCCAAGATTCTGAACAGTCTTGGGATAGATGGCATATATCTAATTGCACTATTACTTCGATCATATGGTCACAACTGTAATTTTGAAATGGCGAGGGATACAAGAATAAACAACCAATCTTTAATACTCTATAATTCTAATTACTTTAGCTTCAATCAAGCCGGAAAGCTCAATAATCTATTTAGTTTATCCCATTATTAGGCAAGCTATCTGATGAGGACCAGCATCATTCGTAAGTTGTTCACAATCTGGTCAATTTCTTGTAGACGTTCAGATCGTCGATTAAATTGCCTAGCTCATCCAAAGATACATCCAATTGTACCATTTTGTTCTCCTCAATAATCAAGTTCTTGTTTAAATTAATATTGGTGATAATATGACCATCATTATTGGTAGTTAATCCAGTGGAATCCAATAATAGACCCAATTTATATAATATCTCCCAGTTGTTCTTCAACACATTGGCGGACCAAATCTTTTGGTTGATCTTGATGTTGGTGATGACCTTACTATCGAAATTATTGGCAGAAGCAACCGTGGAAGTAGAATTTACGTTGAATCCTTTCATCATATCTTCATATTCTTTATAGGCCAAATTGAAGTTTATGACCTGGAGATCGTGTTTCTCAACCCACCTTGCAGCAGCGATAGTCAATAACAACTCCAAAGAAGATAACGATTTGACGAGCTCCTGCGTATGGTTTGTGGATTGATTCTGAATGTACTTTTGAAAATGCTTATCTTGTAGAAATGGAGATTCGGTGGTTATTTTAGACATTGGAAATATGCATGCGTTATTGAAATCCTTATAGTTCTTTACTGTGTAGTAATTTTGATAGAGCATTCTTTTGAAAACAGTGCTAGAATGAAAAAGATGATCAACGTGGCTGTTCCATTCGCGACCAAAAGCTTTATCAGTCAACTCCTCGATTTTATTGTCATTTAATGTCAATGCTAGCCTTGCGTTTGCCCAAAATTCTTCGAGCGTATTTGGTTTATTAATGGATATCATTCTTTGTGAAAACCTACTTCTGACTCTTTTTTCGAGCAATTCTCTGGTAATAATCTTGCTCGAAATACCGACAACACAAATAGGCACCGAGCTATTCTGGGAGGAGTCGAACAAGTTGTACAAGAGCGTTTGCTTATTGTTATCTGTGAACTTTTCAAACTCCTCTATAATGAAGATTAACGAGAGTTTTTCTTCCGGGTTTTCTTCGGACTGCAATCTACCAGTCAAAAGTGGTTTCTCTTCATTTCTTTTGTTGAGGGTATTCAAGATGATATTCATTGTGTCACTGATAGACCGTTGTTCAAACGTCTGCAACTCGTCTGTCACAGTGTTTTGGTCCATATTCCGGTTCAAGTTATTATCCAATTGCTTGGCTATTTCTCTCAAAGCCGAATTGTCGTCTGAATGGATAAAAGCATTCAACTTGAATACGATATACTGTCCCCCATACTTGGTTTCCATATCGGCCAAGGCTGCGTTCACAAGTGAAGTCTTTCCGGAGGACCGAGGGCCAATGATCATAATGGAATGGCCCTCATTATCTCGTATAGTATGCTCAAGTAGCTTGTGGATTTCTATATACTTATCCTTAAGAGACTTGGATTCAAGTATATTGTTGAAGTTTCCCATGAGCTGGGAAGTAACCTGTTTCTTGATGGCATTGATGTCGTTGAGATCCACTCGTTTAGCTCTTTTAATAGGAGCCTCATGTTCTATGGACCTTCTCTTCTCCGAATCAAGCAAAGCAGGCTCATCGTGAGGATCCGTGGTCATCGTGTGGTGCTCGTTCACTACAGCATAGTGTCTAGGATATGCGATGTGGATTAGCTTCACGTGACCAAGTTTGGGGTAAGTCGATCCAAGACAATTCTGAGTTAAGGAGCTGTAGCAAGCACCAAAAATAGGAGATTTGCCTTGACGTCAACTGCCACCAAACTACGAAATGGGAAAGAGTCAAAAATGGCCAAGTGAAATAGTTTGACCATGACTGGAAAAAACTGTGGGGATGCGGTTTCACCCTCATGTCTGGAGTGGCTCGGACACATTTGCTGCTAAGTCCGCAAAGATAATAATATGGATAATAGATTTAAAGTGTAAATAATAATTTGGTTGTATCAGTTTGGTGTTAGCTGGTCTCAAAGTATTTTTTGCTTGCTCTTTCGTCCACCCTTAGGCCCCTTCTTTGCGCCAATGAAGGTTTTCAAAGAGCACAACTCTTGGCTAAAGAAGTACGAAGTTTGTCGAGAACCCTGAAACATCCCATCTAGATCTTTGGGTGCATAAATTAAATTTAGATTCAGGGTTTGACACACTTCATCTAGCTACGCATTTCCTCGGGAAATCTGAAACTTTTAACGGGTGGTGTTTAATGCACAGAACCTTGGTAGATACGAACAATAAGCCAATCTGTAACAGATTGTGCTACCACTGATGTATTTACCACATATATTAGGGACGAACACCCTCTGGATTTGATGGTGGTAACCATGTCTGAAGTGGGGCCACGAACTCTCCACAGGAACATCCTCACAGACTTCAACAAGACTTCCACCGGAAAGGTGTTTGAAAAGGACCTTCGAGACATATATGCCATGACTGTCATCTGCCTCGACCTCAAGCCAAAGGAAAGCTTCAAGCTTAAGTTTTCTCTTGTCAAACAGTACCCGTATGGCTTCTACCTTGAACAAGCTCTTGCAGCCATGAAAGACTTGACCTTGAAGGTGGAACTCAACCATACCACAACGTCCATTTCCTACAACATCCAGAACGACTTAGCGTTTGCATTATTGAAGAGGTTTTTCGAGGCGAAGCTTCTCCATTCACCTGCCGAAAGAACCAGATCCACCTTGAAGCCAAGTTTGGTTCTCCAGCCCACCCCAAAGGGAGTGGCAATTGTGCAAGACTTTTGCACCAACATAGGCATTAAAAAAGACAAACTTCCAGATATATTGAATTCACCGTTCAATAGCATGGATTTGTTCAAATTTGATCGAGCCCACTTGACTGACAAGATCATTTATTCGGAGTACTTGTTGTACTTGCTATTCATAAAGTTGTTTTCTAGAAAGCCAAACGTATGGACGCCAAAGAGTGGACCAGATTCAATCACGATGAGAGAAAGGCTCGATAGTGACCAAGGGACGGATGAGTTCAATTTTGAAGGTTTGACAGCTCCGTTGAGAGGCGGGTTTGAAGGACTATCAACTACAACTGGTACAGAGATCAAACACGAGCTGATAGAATCAGGTAGCAATCAGCCACAACTCATAAGTCCATTCCACCACCGTTATTTTACCAACCCAGAATCAGACTCGCATATTCAGTACTACGTATCCACAGCAGGCGTTCGACTCTTCAAAGACAAGGTCTTTAAAATGGAAAACCAAGGCATTCTGGTAAATTATTGCGTTAGTGGCAAGTCCATATGCCAATGGCTTTATGACTGTACAGATATCCTATCAGCATATGACTGTATCGAAATTGGGAACCTTTTTGTGAAATATAATCTTCTCACCCCGATCCGGTTGCAACCATCTAAAGCTTCTTCGAAATTTGCACCCTATAGAGACCATTTCTATTTAATGAGTAACTTGGGCCAGAAAGTATGTTACTGGAATCAAAGAAACGGGGAAAGAGAGTCCAGTAGTGATGATCAAGATAAACTTTCAGAAGAGATAGGTGAATTCTTTCAACAAGAGGAAGACGATTGCTCCGATACGTCTTCCGTCTTCAATTTACGAGATGTCCTTCACGATCATGGATTACGATATCTCTTCAAGAAACATCTTGAGAATGAATTTTGTTCAGAGAATCTTGATGCCTATTTCCTTTTGAACCAATTCGAAAAACGTATTAAAAGGTTGGGCAAGGTTGTGAAGTATAAAAAGACTGATGATATGCGGGTCTATGACAAGATATCGAAGTTTTCCAACCTGTGCTTGTCGTTGGCTTATCATATTTTTTTCACTTACTTGAGCTATGAATCGCCATTTGTATTGAACATTGACTATCAATTGAGGGATGAAATTAATTGTATTATGATTGAATCAAAAGGAGCGAAGACTCCGACTGATCATGATTCGAGAACTTCTAAAGAGGAGTCACCGAAGGACCAAGTAAAAATCAAAGCAGTCAGTTTGGATTTACCATCCAGAAAAACTGTTGAACACCCCTCATTTGGTGTTTCTTCGACTGTGTCAATTGTTCCCCAGACTATTACCGATTCCAGAACAGCTCAGTCCCAAAAAATTGTTTACACGCCAATAGATTCTATCAATACACCACTCGAGAATGGTACCAAGAAGTCACTTAGAAATCTTGCACGTATTTCAAAGTGCTTTAGTGCTATTTCAACCGAGATTTATAAACTCATGGAAGCTGATTCATTCCCCAAGATTGTGCATAGCGAATTGCTAAAGGAAGCAACATCGACAATCGAGATTAGGAAATCACACACTACAATATCTCAATAGCTATAAATACATATTCGATAAAATGATACTTAATTATGCAATAGGTTCTAAAGTGGTACCCTTCTTAATAGTAGCCCAACCAATCAATCTCCAATGCTTCTCGATTCTTCTAGACAAAGCAATCTTCTCGTTAACTTCAGTACAAGCAGGAGAGGTCAATTGCAAACGAGCCATATCGGCCTTAACAGCGAGAACTCTAGCACCAGTAGCAGTAGAACCGATATTCACCATCAAAACTTCACCAACTTCCAACTTTCTGACCTTGGCACCTTGCTTTTGACCATCAGTCTTGACACCCAACAATCTTCTCAACAAGAAGTAGTTGATTTCAATGTCTGTATATATGGAAGGTAAGAAGCCCTTGGAACCAACAACTTGACCAACTAATCTGTCAGCTCTACACAAAGTAGGATCAACCTTGGTACCAACACCGATCAATCCACCTGGAACAGCGAACTTCAAGTCGTTATGCTCGGCGAACAATGACACAATGTTGGAGAAAATTGGCTTACATTGGATCTTACCATTGTCATCCTTGGTGACAATACCTGGTCTAATCTCAATTTCGTCACCGATCTTGAAAACACCGTTCAAAATAGAACCACCAGCAACACCACCCTTGAGGTCGTCAATTTCAGCACCCGGCTTGTTAACATCGAAGGATCTGATGACTATTAATCTTGGGGTAGCTTGGAAGTCTCTTAAAGGAACTGGTATAGATTTGACAATGAATTCATTAACTGCATCGATGTTGTACTTCAATTGAGCGGAGATTGGAACAATTGGGGCACCATCAGCTATAGTACCTCTAATGAAAGTTAAGATGGATTTTTGATGTTCCAAAGCTGACTCTTGTCTCATTAAATCAACCTTGTTTTGTAAAATGATCACATGCTTCAATTTCATAATTTCAATAGCAGCCAAATGCTCAGATGTTTGTGGTTGAGGACAACTTTCGTTACCGGCAATCAATAATAATGCGGCATCCATAACGGCGGCTCCCGACAACATAGTACTCATTAAAATATCGTGACCTGGACAATCAACGAAGGAAACGTGTCTCAATAACTTATAACGACCGTCACATCCTGGTCTGGCACACTTTGGTCTGATTTCTTTATCGGATTTGAACGATTTGTAACAATCTGGTTCAGGACATTCTTCGTTATCACATTTATAAATTTTGGCGTTGGCGTAACCCAACTTGATGGTAATATTTCTTTCCAATTCATCCTTGAATCTAACGGTTTGAACTCCAGAGATGGCACGGACAACGGTGGATTTACCGTGAGCGACATGCCCAATAGTACCAATGTTAATGGTGGCTTGTCTATTAATGATGTCTGCGGATAATGGAGTTAATTCGGAAAAATCAACATTGTCTGGTTGTTCTGGTAATCCACCACCTTCTTCAAACTCTCTGCGTGCTGCTTCTTCGTCAAACTCTTCTGCTAATCCTGCAAAGCTGACAGACTTCTTTTGGGTCTCTTCGGCTGGTTGGGCTTCGCCAGCTTCATTGTCACTTTCGATGTCGTGCTCATACTGGAACTGTTCTTCTTCTTCGAAGTCTCCACCGATCACAATATCAGGTGTGGCATTTTCAATATCGTCGTAGGACATGTTGATGATGATATTAGTCTTGTGTGAATCATTTGTTATATGGTCAAATTTTTCACAATTTTTTTATCGGTGAAAGCACGACTTTTAGTCACCAGGAGTGCGTAAACCGAGCATCCAAAGGGTCTTTGGTGGTGGTATATGTCAGGCTTTGGAGAGGTATAGCGAGACTTTCCAGCAGTCATTGGGCCTGAACTCACTACTTTACATATTAGGACTTCTTTCTTTGGAATCTGTGAAGTAGTAAGAGCAAACTGCGATCCAGAAATTCAATGAGAGAACAGCTTTTCCTGAAACATGCTTGTAGATGCATGAAATTGATTAATAGTACACTATAGACAGACGGATCTCAATCGATCTGGGGGTTCACCACATTAATTTTAGTCCCTCCGAAGTATCACCGTAGGGGTTATTGTATTATACAAGGCCAGTCACTTGGAATATTGAATTTCTTGAATAGGTAATCCGGACTTTTCCTAATGGTCCTATTGAGTATGGAAACCAAAGTCGTTCATCACACTGTCAACGTCTTTCCAAAGAAGGTCACTATTCATATCGAATGAATCCAAGGACAATGGAATAGGCGATTCGTCCTGACCTGGAATGCCTGTGGCAGGCTGGCCCTCCTCCATAGGATGGGCATGGGTCAACTTTGAGCCCATCACTGGGTTCAGGCCATAATTGTCCACCTGTTGATAGAACGAACTACCTGCATTGTAGTATCTACCATTGTGTGCCTTCTTATTCGCTTGTGGATTCTTGAACCCGGATCCGTTGTTCAACCCCAAGTTCATACCACTCGAGTTCGGTGAATCTCTATCTGGTCTCACCTGTGGCGACGACTCCGTAGAGTTATTCACCACTTTAAATATGGAACTTCTCTTGCCATTAATTGAAATGGGTTGGGGGTCCAAAGGAATTGTCCTTATGATTTTTCTTGCTTTAGATTCGGCATTGACAGTGTTAGATAACGATCTCTGGCGGCGTTTCAGCGACGAAGTGGTACTTCCTGGTGTAGACTTTTGGCTTCCGCTGTGATTGCTTTGATGACCAGCTCCTGGCTTTTCATCATCACTGACCAACGCTTCCTCATTATCATCACCTGCATTGTCGCCTTCGTTGTCCAAGTCGTCTCCATATTCGTCATCAATTTCATCACCATCAACCTCGTTTTTCTCATCATCATGACTGCTGAACTTGGTCATTCCTACTTGATCTCTCAATAAGAATAGACAGTCAAAGAAAACAGAAGCGGACATTCTGTTCCTGATAGTGATGTTGAGGTTATTCAAGTTCTTCTCGTGCAACGTTCTGAACAATTGCCACATGTTCCTCATAATTCCACTTGATCTATGAGCAATGTCATGCTTCATTATCGAGGCCTTAGCCGCTAAAGAGATTGCAATCTCGTAACTTTGCTTTCCTGATCCTGTATCAACAAATTTCTTCATAGGTGAATGAATCAATTTGCCCAAAATACAAGCAGCTTGCCAAATATCTAAAATATAAACACCTGGCAAATATTTGACAAACTTCTTGTCCTTAATTTGAAAGGACTGTGTGTGGTTGATTAAGGTAATTGCAGCATTGAACAATTGAATCAAACCCTTTTGAAGTTCAAAACTCGACACCCTAGATGAATCCATGAAGAAATAACTCAATAAATGGACTCTTGCAGCATATAACTGAAACTTTCTGAACCCGTCTTCGGATGGAAGTTCGTGATTCATCTTGATTTCTAATTCATTCAATCTTCTCATGAAAAGCTTTAATATAGGCAACCTCTCTGCTGAATTTATCAAACCGTAGGGATCCATGGGGTTGGTATTCAAAGTTCTGGAGACTTGATCCTCAAAGTTGGAAATTTCCATCATAAACTTGATAGCAACTGGCAACTTGAAAGCAGACGAAGTAGATGTAGTCCAGATGGAAGTATCAAACTGGGTAAAAGCAGGAAAACCGAACGAAGTTGCAATCGTCTGTGACACTATATTACATAAGATCCAAGTCTTGGAATTTTCCTGGATAATTGATATTTGTGGTTGTGACTGAGTTGGATTGGGCTCTTGTGGCTGGTCTTGATGTTTGTATTGTGAGCCAGGAGAGTGTAATCCGATACGTACTGCCTGGAAAATAGCATTTCCAATCGTATTGTAGGACGAGTCAGCACTAAGCGAAGAAGTGATAGGAGGCCAATAAGAATATAATAAGAAGGCTTGGACCGAGTAGACAGACAATGCATTATAAATAGGTTCATCCTCTTCAATAGGATTGTATCTGGAAATGGGTGAGATCATGATTTCAGCCAAAATTCCTTTGACCAATGGAGAAAGCTGTAAAAGTAACGATTTCTCAGAGTCTTCGTTAAATCTTCTCAAAGAAACGAACATTATGACCCAAAACAAGGAAGGACATAACTTGTATATTCTTTCAGGGCCCAAAGATATATCCACGACAGGTAAGATTTGATGGTATCTTTCCACGTATTCTAAGTATAGTGATTTGATGGTCTCTGGTGATAGGGAAACAGAGTCCATAGTCTTTTCTTCACAATCCAACGAGTAGTGAGGGATTGAATGTCTGATTTCTCCCGTAGTATGCATGATGGACTCATCTAATGGTCTGTAGATAGATGGGGTGTTTGGAATGGAATTATTAGTTTCTGAAGAATTATGCGAAAATCTATTATCATAGGGAGAATTAGAGTGATGAAGATGGCTGTGTTGGTTGATGAGTTGTTGGTGTGGTTGAATTGAATTGGACGGAGTATGATTCTGGTACGGAAGGGGCGACTGTTGGGTTGCAGGTGCAAAGGTATTCTGGAAATTCAATGGGGATTGGACCTGGCTTGTCAAAGAATTATTCTGCCGTATAGCCGACTGACCCGACACTGGCTGTGTACCTGAACTGGAACCAAAGTCACTCTGACTTAAGGAGGGCACCTTAGCAAAGAGTTCCTGGGTCTGGGCACTTGTCAAAGTTTTCTTCAACTCGGAGAACTCACGTTCAATTTGGGCAATTCGAGCTCTCTTATAGGTTCTCTTATAGTCGGACTTCAAGTCACACTGGAGTCCCTTTTTCTGGCACCGAGTGCATGGATCGGGATGTTTTTCATGAGCATCACATCGAGACTTCTGTTGCCTGCACTCGACACATGCCATTCGCTTGAGCTTTCCCGACTTCAAGGTAGGGGGAGGAGTTGAGCTGGTAGATGTCTGGCCCCCATGGGTGCTTCCGCCCGGAGGTGAGCCACCACTCTCCTCCTTAAGTTGCTGGTTGAGGACTTGGAGCTCGTGTGACATGTTCGCAATGTGGGCTAGGTTGTCTAAGGAGTTCTGGACGACTCCATTACTCATTTTGCCGGACCCTTTGATAGTATTACAGATGGGAGGAGCTATTGGCGTGATGTAGAATTGGTGGATCCATCGCAACAAATGTTGATTTTTTTGTTCCATCACGTGATGCATACTGATTGACGCAGCGCATTTTTTAGATCTTTAGAGGCTAAAGGGGCCGTTGCTCTCGCTTAACAGCAAGAAGCAAGCAAGCGAGCTGGAAACAAGCAGTTTATCTACGCTAAGTGGGTGATACTAGGAATACAGGCAGCCTTGTCCGATATTCTGGTTGAAGGAACCAAGCCTGATGTCACGAAATAATTTCATCCATACAAACCTCTATTTGCCTGAATTTAAGGTGTCTTTACACCATTAATTTGGGGTTTCAGGGTGGTCTTCTCCAACCCTACATTTGCTGATCACAATTCTCCCGCTAAAAGTGTATTTCTTTGTTCTTAATGCTCCAGTTGTATACTATATATATCTCCCAAGGCAGGAAGATCAGCCCCACGACAACATACTATTTGTATTCCAGTCCAAGTCGAATTCCGGCGAGTTGGAGCCAAACTTCTTCAACATTGGCAAGACCAAGAGTTTTGTGGGAGCATCGGTGATGAACTCCACCTTCGACTTGGGATCGGCTTCGGCCCCTGGCTCGTGCACATTTTCGAAGTTTTTGGGCAAGTAGTTTAAGAAGTAGTCGTGAAGAACGGGCCCAGGAATGTGCGAGGGCAAGTCGTTCGTGGAAACAACCACAGAATCGTGTCTGGTATGGCGTTGACGTGCAACATGGCAGGCGACACTCAATAAGATGTCCAAGTCTTGAAAGTTGTGGCCACCCAACTCGTTCAAGCCAGTGAACGAGGACCCACGACGGCGGCCACCCGCGGCGGGACCACCCAAGACACCTACTGGCTCGAACGACAACTCGCCCATGCCCAAAACAAAAAACGTCTTGCCCATCAAAGTGTGCCAGAGGATGTAGTACGACTTGTGCTGCAACTCGTTGGTGAATATGGCTCCGTTGACGTCAAACCATTTTGTGGAAGCCTCTTTGTGGGGGAGTTTCTCGGCAGCGATCATGCTAACTAAGTGGTGACCCCTGTAGTGAGCATAAGACGGCTTGATGGAGACCTTGGGGATGGTAGAGGTGACCATCGAGGACTGTCTGCGTGGGGCAGAATGCCCCACGTCCTCGGTGATGCCAGAGAGCCCAGTGGCACTGGAACCTCTTCTGGAGTAAAGCATGTCTGACAAGTTGGCCAACGACGACGATGAGCGACGGTCGCCCTGTAACTCGCTGTGGGTGATGAGCTTGTTGAGTTCCGTCATGATCTCCAACTCCTTGCCTTGCAAGATATACTGGATCAACTCCTGGTCTGCAGGATTGGATCCGTGGAGTAATCTCAACTTCTTACCCACTGTCTCCTGGGTGGGGGCGTTGTTCAGGTGGAGCAATTGCTCGATCAAGCGCTCCTGGTCGGGACCGGCTACACTGAGGGGCACCTTGTAGAAATCGAGAGGGTATCCCTTGAAACCGAACTTCTCGTAGTAGTTGCCCACAGCCGAGTACAACACCCAGAAGTACTGTTTTCCCAAGTAGTAGTTGGCCAATTGGCGATCGACCTGGCCATCGCTGGTGACCATGTTCTTAAAGCTGTCATTTTTGGCGGGGTCGCTTTCTGCAATTTTTTGCGAGATTATGGCGTTTTCGGTGTGCTCAATGGCCTTGCCCACGAGAAGAGTGGCCAAGCCGTTGCCACGGTGCTCCTTTAACGTGAACACGTAGCCAATGACGAGAAAGTGTACATTCTTCACTCCAAACAGCGCAGGGTCTGGAATGGACGAGATGGCGTGCGAGCGATCAGCATCCTTGTAGAAGCCCTTGGACTGGGTCAAGGCGGTGGAGGCCACGATTTTTCCGTGCTGGTCCTCCAAGTAAAACACCTGGACGGGACTGCCTTGGTCCAAGGTGTATTTGTGTCTGACAAGTTCTGCGTCGCCAAACTCATCTGGGGTAAAGATCTCGGAGCCCCACTCGGTGCCGCAGACCGCGTAAACCTGGCGGATTTTGGCGGGGTCAGATGTGGTGTGGAAGGTGAACGACATAACGGTGGTGGTGGCTGGATAGGGGGTAGTATGGGGTATAAGTATGGGGTTGGACAGGTCATGTGATCAGCAAGCAAAGAGAGCCAAAATGCGACCCTGGGACCCTGGGACCCTGGGACACGAGCCGGGCACGCCGATACCTCCACTTCACTACACATTAGCAATAAAAAGGAGTCCATACTTTGTGAGATCTCCGAGAAATCTAAGACAAGGATACATAGACGATTGATCGTTGACAGGGATCAGTATTCAGAGCATAATTAATAGTTAAGTGTTTAGTTAGCCACGACTGGAGGGTGAAAATGGCCTGTCAAGCAGACACAATTAATGAAAGTACTTCATAGCCACCACGAGAGAGTGGAAATGGACTAAAAAAGTACAATTAATGAATCTAATATTTAGTTAGCCCTATTACTGATGACATAAGTGATTGCCAGAGCACAATTTAGTCATGGATAGTGACGTCAGATTACTTATCAATAATAGGCGATTCATCGTGTAGTATACAGTCATTCCTAGCAAATGTCGCGTTTCTATTGATCGGATCTCTTCGTGCATCCAAATCGTAGTGTGAATGTAATCGGAAATCCCGACTCACGGTTCAATTTTCCTGTATTTAATCTGTTTTCTCTTTGGATTACGGGAACTGTGATTGGGATACTTTGTAAAACTACGTGAAATATTACCGAGCGCTGCCTAGGTCACCCGACAAAATTAGTTAGGGGTGGTGTTACTTTGCTACAGAGCTAAATGTAGTAGATGCGCGATAATTATGTGGGAAATAATTCACGTCTCTGTAGTTTAGGGAAGGAATTATGCTACTAAAGAATTCAGGTTCGAGTTCCTCTCAGTGATTCGCAGCATTTAGCGTAAAAGAAATTATTATGCTTTCGGTAAATTCGACTCCGAACATCAAATTTGTCTTACTCAGCCCGAATTGCTGCTCTTTAAGTGAGAATTGTGAGGACATTATTAGAATTAATCCTGAGTATCTGACCTCGAGTAGAAGTTTTTAGAATTTGTCCTGAGTCACTGACGTCGAGAGGTTTCTAGAAAATTTGTGCTATTTCCAGTACGTGTGGGGTCATGTGCCTGCAAGCCCATCTGGTGATTCCGCCTCCTCCCCACCTGTCCCGGCCCGCATTCGCAATTTTTGCCGTTCGGCTGGAAAAGTCTTCTCTTCCACCCTCGACCCTGAAGATCAGCGATGGGCCCTGCGCACCACGTCAACGCTCTGACAGCACCCCAGCGGGTCACGGGCCATGATCGATGTCCAGTTCCACCGTAGCATTGTCTCTAGCGGTCACCAGATGTTCCCAGCAATTCCCACATCGGGCCTGCCATCGCTGCGGCTTCCTGTCTTGGAAGCCGTCAAAAAGAAACAGCGATGAAAATTTCCACAACCAATCTGAGGCTGCCATGTCGGACACAAACTGCCGCCGGCCCTTGGCAGGCGTGCGAGCCCGCGCAAGATGCGCCTCCATAACGGCTGACTAGTTGCAGCGGGTGTCTTTTGGGGCAATTGTCGCCGGGACGCTGGGTACCACGCTGGGGCTGGGCCTGTACCGGCATGGAGCTACCAGCGATGGAGACACTCACAACAAAAGTGGACATTTCCACCACTTTCTTCTTCTCTCATCTCCACTGGCATGCTGAAACAAGACGAATACTTCACTAAAGAGTCCACTAGCTCCTACGACTCTGCCGAGCCTGTGGGCAAGTGGAAAGAGTTTACCGACTCGTTCAGGCGCCAGGTTCCTGGCGCCACCAACTCCGGCTCCGATATCGAGTCGCTGGCGTCGCAGTCGGCGCCAGACCTTCAGAAAGGCCTCAAGAAACGTCAGCTCCAGATGATCGCCCTAGGCGGGTGTGTGGGCTCGGGACTCTTGGTGGCATCGGGACTTGCCCTCACCAACGGACCTGGCGCTGTCCTCGTGGCCTGGGCCATCGTGTCCACCTTCTTGTACTGCACCATGCAATCGCTCGCTGAGTTAGTCAGTGTGTTCCCAGTGTCTGGATCTTTCGCAACCTACGCCACCAGATTTATTGACCCATCATGGGGCTTCGCCATGGGCTGGAACTACGCCATCTTCTGGGTCATTGTGTTGCCGTTGGAGTTGGTTGCAGCATCGTTGACCATCAACTTCTGGAAGTCCTCCATCAACTCGGTGGTGTGGGTGGCTGTTTTCTACGTGCTCATCATCTTGTTGAACTTGTGTGGCAATAAGGGCTTCGGTGAGGCCGAGTTCATCGCCTCGGTCATCAAGTTGCTTGGGATTGTCGGCTTCGACATCTTGGCCATCGTATTGATCTGTGGTGGTGGAGACGAGGGCTACATCGGTGGCAAGTACTGGCACAACCCTGGCGCCTTCACCACCGGGTTCAAGGGCGTGGTATCAGTGTTGATCACAGCCACCTACTCGTTGGCCGGAACCGAGTTGATCGGGTTGACTGCCAGCGAATCCAAGGAAAACCCCAGGAAAATGATGCCCAAGGCCATCAAGCAGGTGTTCTGGAGAATCATCGTGTTCTACATGATCACCCTTACCTTGGTGGGGTTCTTGGTGCCTGCCAACAGTCCAAAGTTGATCGGGAGCTCCTCGAACGCCTCGGCCTCACCCTTTGTCATCGCCATCAGAAACGGTGGTATTAAGGCCTTGCCTTCCATTTTCAACGTCATTGTGTTGGTGGCACTTTTGGCCATTGGCAACTCCGCCGTCTACGGCTTCTCAAGAACCGCCTTGGCCTTATCAGAACAAGGCTTGGCTCCCAAGTTCCTTGGATACATCGACCGTAACGGAAGACCTTTGGGTGGAATCTTGTTCTCAGCGTTCATCGGGTTGTTGGCGTTTGTGGCCGCTTCTCCAAAGCAATCGACGGTGTTTGCATGGTTGGTTGCCTTGTCTGGTCTTTCCACCTTGTTCACCTGGGGCAGTATCAACGCCTCATTCATCCAGTTTAGAAGAGCCATGGCTCACCAAGGCCGTACCCTTGACGAGTTACCATATGTCTCCAATACTGGTGTCATTGGGGCATACTACGGGTTGATCATGAACATTCTTGTCTTATGCTTGCAGTTCTGGATCTCCTTATTTCCCTTACACCAGAAGCCAGACGCTACCGTTTTCTTCCAGAACTATATCGGTGCCGTTGTTGTTTTAGCTTTTTACGTGGGCCACAAGATCTACTCTAGAAACCTTAAATTCTTGGTCAACATTAGTGATATCGACGTGGATGCTGGTAGAGGTAAGACCGATATCGATATGTTGAAACAAGAAATTGCCGAGGAAAAGAGAGCCAGAGCTGCCTTGTCTTGGTACAAAAGATACATGGAATTTTGGTGTTGATTGATTTTTTGTATTTGCATAAATTCCCGTTGAATGGGTTCTCACGAATAACGATATTTACCACTGAGTGGTCATAGACTAGTTAAATAATTAATTAAATACCTTTATAGTAATTTAAATACCCTAAAGTCTGTGAATTAAGAATGTAGATATTTAGCAGCAACTGTTAAAAAATCTCGAAGCGGGTTGTGATTCTTGGAGATTCCTTCGACACTCGCCTAACAGAAGCATCCTAAACTCAAGAACTAAATGTTGTGCAAAATAATACTCTTTACTACAAACCTAACCAAACTATATAGTAAGTCCATTTTAGCTTTTTGCTGGAGAGACTTATTAAGAGCTTCTGATCTTAACACAATAAATTACTTTGTTGCACATAGTACTCTAGCTAACCCATTATTTGGCATGTAACCGCCAGAGCTAGACATGTAGGACGCAAACAATAGAAACCACTCCATTAATTTATTAAGATTGATAGATTATGGTCAAACTGTAAGTTCGAGAAGACTAGAAGGGTGTGACGAATCACTACTGAACTGATTGACTACGATCCTTAATACTTATGACTTAACTACGTAATGTGGCAAGACATATTGCTAGAACTTTAACTACCGGGATGAAGAATATAATCATACTACTATGGCAACTTGATCCACGACATACGACATTGTCGCATATTTTTCTTCTCAAATTTTTACTGAAACTAGAAGATATATTAATTTAGCGCATTTTAAGAGCAAATAAGCCGCCTGCGTAGCGTAATGGTTAACGCGTTTGACTTCTAATCAAAAGATTCCGGGTTCGACTCCCGGCGTGGGTTCTTTTTTTGCATCTGGTCGCATTTACACTCGATATTTCACTTCTTCTCATCTGGTATTACCCCAGCTCTAATGCACTTATTGAAATCACTTGGGCAGTCGACCCTGGACATAAGACTATTATGGGGGTCTGTGTTTCTCCGAATGGCCAGTTATGGTCTCACCAACCAAGTGTTGACGTTGTACCTTGAGTCTCTAGCCATTTCACCCGAGAAGATAGGAATCTTTATGACCTTGACTTTAATTGGAGATGCGGCTATTTCTTACATCTTGACATGGTATGCTGACCGTATCGGGCGCAGAGTCATCATGATGCTTGGAACTGCCATGATGTTGGCCTCGGGCTTGGTGTTTGCTCTGTGTTCGAACTATGTGATACTTTTGACAGCTGCCACCTTGGGAGTCATCTCACCTTCAGGTGACGAAACTGGTCCATTCAAGTCAGTCGAAGAGGCAGTGATTGCACATTTGACTCCAGCCAACCACATGCCTGAGATATTTGCATTTCACGGGCTCTTTGCTACTGCGGGAGTGGCACTCGGATCGTTGCTCAGTGGACTTTTGGTGGACTACTTAAATTTGGGCCAAGGTTACCCTTTGGAAAAGTGCTATCGAATTGTTTTCGTGGCTTATGCCTTATTTGGTCTTGCCAAACTTGTTTTGATGCTACAGCTCTCTGAAAAGTGTGAGGTTGATTACATTCCAAACGCACAAGAATTAGAAGAAACTAGTGAAGCTGAAGACACCCCACTCTTGAAGAAAAATCTTTCCCAAACCACTAGCTATTACTTACCAAGATTGTTGGCCATCTTCATGTTGGACTCTTTGGGGTACGGTTTCATGCCTTCAGCATGGATAGTCTACTACCTCAAAAAGACGTTCGAGATCAGTGCTTCAGGGTTGGGGGTCTTGTATTTCTTCGCCAACGCCGTTGACGCATTCTCCTCGCTTCCATCGGCGTTTTTGGCTAAACTGTTGGGTCCAGTGATGGCTATTTTAGGCACTCAAGCGCCTTCTGCCATATTCGTGGGGTCCGTTGCGTTCACTCAGAGTCTTCCAATAGTAATATGCTTATTGTTGGGATACTATACCACCTCCACCATGGATGTGGTTCCAAGGCAAGTTTTATTGGCTTCGATAATGCCTAAGAAGGATTTGACAAAGGTTTTGGGAATTGTGAACATCGGAAAGACGTTTGCTAGATGTGTTGGTCCTATTTTCACTGGAAAATTGGCTAGTCATTCGAAGTTGCGCTACGGGTTCGTTATAAATGGGGGCTGTGTATTGTTAGCAGACTTGGTGTTGGCCACCAACTTTCTACACTTAGATGGCCAGATCTTACGGGCCCAGAAAGTTGACCACATGATAGAATAAGGGGTGAAAAACAACTTGGGTCAATTATACCGGCCCTAGACAACTAATAGTATGGATGGAGAAAACATGAAAAGAATACATGAAAGGAAGAGAAGAGTTTGGATAGAATGAATGAAGAAAATACATGAATTGAATTCATGAAGAGATTATATGGATAGGGTACACGAAGTGAACTTCAAGAGTAATTTACTGATCCCAGAGGTGAATACATGAAATAAACATGATTCATAACTGACAACTGCCCACATGAATTATTCAATAAGGTGTTCGCCTACGGCAACCGGGTACGGTTGGAACATGCCATTTGATAGAACATGATAATATCCCAATATTATTACTATATAGTCATTTCGACCTGATTAATTAACTACTCCGGAGTAGGAGGAAACATGCAACCACTCGACCGTCATCGAATTGAACCCTGTGGAGGATATTGTACATGGAAGCAAGCACCTTGGAACTGTAATTGCTGTGGCTATTAGTGGAGGGTGAGCCACGATCAGAAAAGCATGTCCAAAGTACAACAAACACACAAGGCAGCCAAACATCCCATTAAGCAGCCCTCTCCACCACCAGAAGACTTCTTCTGCTGGACGTACATGGGCTGTTGTTGTTGGTAGTAGCCCTGTTGGGGGCCCCCGCCGTAGCCCTGCTGGGGGTAACCCTGCTGGTGGCCTCCGTAGCCCTGTTGGGGGCCTCCGTAGTTGTATTGCTGGTGCTGTTGGCCGTAACCCTGCTGGGGATATCCTCTGGTCTGTTGTTGGGCGTCGTAGGAGGGTTGAGCCTGGGCCACGTAGCCCAGTTGGGCGTTGCCGTTCAGCTGGGTCTGGGACCAGCTGGGCGGGGCTCCAGTGGGAGGGGTGTAGTCGTCAGCCGCTTTGTTGTAGGACATTGGGTTGAATGGGGGTAGAACTGATGTGGTCAATAATATATATGAGTGGTATACCGATCGGTCACGCGTGCGCCAACCAACGGTGGGTCATCTGGGGGCTGCGGCGATTACGGTATCTACGAGAAAACATGCTGGGCACTGCATGGGAGACTGTCTGTGGGGGAGGGACGAGTGGTGGTCTGGTGCCATTGGTAGTGGGCATTGGCCGTTGGCGGTGGGCATTGGCCGTTGGCGGTGGGCATTGGCATAGGTGGGCCTGGGATTATGGTAGTACGGGTGGAGCATTGATGGTAAGTGTAGCACCACGAGGACCCCGGATTGTTCGGTAGCCCAGACTGATCGAGGCTTATGTCAGGGCAGGAGCTGGCAGTGCTGGCACGTGAGGACTAGGCACGAAGGGGTCTTACTAATTGATTCTCGCGGTGCAAGTACCACTCTTAATTAAATTTCATTGCCTCAGTAGACCACCTGTGGCTGGTTCCATGTAATGCCGTAGAGAGCAGGTAGTGGAGGGCATTTTATTTCAACCTATTGTAGTCAGCCAGATCAGGGTGGAATTGGGTATGAACAATTCTGCAGGCCTCACGATCCGCAGCACAAACGCGACCTCGTCCTGACATCCTCGCCTCTTGGCAGTCAATGAATATCCTCTCCCTCAGGCGAGCTTCCCAAAATCCGTCTCCTTACTAGCACTGCCTGGCGGTTCCGGCAGATTTGTCATTGCGCCCGAAGCGCATCTGGCACTGCCCAGTGGCGCCAAGAGTCTCCTCGCCGGTACAGGCCCCACGGTTAGGTCCACAGGCCGATTTGGGTGCAAAATGCAATGAGGATGCACTAAACATCGCAGTAGCGAGATCGTTGGCCGGAAGCATGCAGGGTGTAGTGAAGTACGAGCTGGTTAACTGGCCATATTGGGCCTTTTGCTTGTGGCAGGTTACTTGTGGCCATAGAATACGTCACTACGTGGGTTCAATTAATGTACATAAATTTTGATCGTTCTACTATTAGAATCGGAAGGGCAACGAATATCCTGTATTCGAGCGTCTGCCTCTGGAAATCAGTAACTGTAGGTGAAATTGGGGTTCAAGTCACCAGCAATCACCTGTGCTCTTTCATCCATGGCATAGAATTTCTGCTTGTAGCTGTCGGTCTGCTTGACTCTGTTGAGTCTATACACGGTGAAGAAGTAGGCAAGCCCACACAAAATAGCAAAACAAGTGCCTGCAATAGCAACACTCAAACCGGGCACGTAGCCAGGAGCATCTTTTTTTAAGAAAATGAAGGTGGCAATGATACCACCAATATTACCGAAACCAACTTGCCATGCGGTACCCACACTCTTCCTGATGTGACTACCCATGTTCAAGGCAGCCCAACAAACCATAAGTGGCATGGCAGTGTACAATCCGGCGGCAGTAAGGAAACACCCTCCGTATCTCACATTAGGACTGTCCTTTGCACCCAAAATCATTGCCAACCCCGCAATACCAATGACGGCACTTGCAAGGAAAAATGGCAATCTTTTGCGGAATCTATCGGACAAGAAGGCAACAATGTTCATCATGAAGAATGCGGCCAACCAAGGGTAGACAGAGTGCTGGTTTGCGGAGGCTGCAGTGTAGCCCATGTCTCTGATAATGGTTGCTGCGAAATATGCGTAACCGTATGCGGGAACAATCATTCCCAAGTATGCCAAAGCTGGAAGCCACACCAAGAGGTCCTTGAAGCAGTTGAGAACATCCTTGACGGTGTTGGTGATTTCGTAAGCAGAAGCGGCTCCACTGTAAATTTCCAATTTTCTCTTCAAAAATTCACGCTCGTTGGCCTTCAAAAAACGGCACTCTTCAGGGAAATCAGCGATGGTCATGAAAAGAAGTCCGGCACAACCACAAGTCACCGCTCCTTCAATGATGAAGATCCATTGCCATGCGGCCAAGCCGTGTTTTCCGTCAAGCTCGTGGATCTTATAGGCAATCGCACCAGAGGCTGCACCTGCTAATGCGGTAACGGAAAAAAAGGCTGAGAATCTTCTTTGCGATTCAGCCTTGGTGTAGAAACATCCTAATAAGTAGAAAATGGAAGGGAAGGTTCCACTCTCGGTGAACCCGATCAAGAACCTACACACCACCAATCCGCCAAAGTTCTTGACAAAACCCATTCCGATAGAAATGGCTCCGAATGAAAGGATACATGCAGACAACCAGACGTGAGGCTTAACAAACTTGATGATGTAATTGGAAATAACTTCGAAAAAAACGTAGGGCACAAAGAAAACTGTCAATGCGATGTTGTATTGGTTACCGGTCAAGCCGAGGTCCTCGGACAACCCGTAGACGTTGGCGTTGGAGATGTTGACTCTGTCCAAGAACGAAAGGAAGTAGAGCAAGCAGAACGGAGGAATAACGCAAGCGTCGATCTTCCACATGAGCTTCTTGTCATCCACACCGAGCTCCTTTGATAACTGTTCCATTCTTTCATCCTCGCTATACGAGGTCACGTCAAGCGACAAGGTAGAGTCTTCCTTTGACATTGTGTTGGGGTATATGGGTTGTGAACCGATGGAATTTATGGTTACTTATACTAACACGGGGTAGTTCATGTTCCGCCCCGGTATAGGCATCTGATTTGAGTTCAGGCCCGGTGAACGGTACAAAAGTATGTTCCTCACCCCGCAGCCCGTAGCAAATTCCGCCGCGAAATTGTCTTCCACCACAAAGAAATCGGCCAACCCGGTCTGGTCTTCGAGATGTCCGGCTTCAGGAGTCCTCGCTGCTATGTAGATATACGTGTGCCGCTTTTCCATCGAAAACTCTGTCATTTTCTGCCCTCGTGGGCATTGGAGTCGTAATTGCAAAATGTGGGGAGAGCGGCGTGTCACGGCGACGGGCCGGAGAAAAGAGCGTAATCGGACACAATTGCGCCTTCGTATAATAATTTTCCCCTGCCTATTGAGTCACTTCTTGCCAATAAAAATCTGCGGCCCGTGACGGATCTTGCCGAAAAGACAATCGAAGCGAGATAGCGACCGAAAACGCCCAATAATGCGTCGCCCAATAGATGGTCCGAAATACTCAAGAGCGAGCTCTTAGGGGGTTAAGTATACCTTCATCCCATTTAGATTCTGTCTGGGGACCCTGCAGCAATTCCGCAGTGCGCATTATGTGACACCACCGGTCACGAGATAGACTCAGTTTTACGCACTAACGGTATGGATTTTACATTGCCTAATTGGGCGCATTTGGGTAAAACGTCGATAAAAAACCTCGACCTATATGCAGGTTGGCTGACGGAGAACATTAGAGCAAATTTTGCAGGCACTAGAAGTGGTCATTTTTGACCATAAAGAGCCTCCATATTTGCAGAACTTGTGCTAACACTGTATAGGAATGTCTTGTCTCTTTTTCAGAGAAATTTAAGGGCAATTTGGGTCTGTAACCTGGTATTTGTGCAATATTGGTCGCTCCAGCACAAATTTCAGTCTAAGGGATCATGAAGGCCCTTAATTGCAACACAGATAAACGTAAACATTACAATGGGTATTAAATACCCTACCACCTTTTTCTTGTTGATTTTAATGTTGAATTAGACAAGTTATAGTGAAAAGTTGGAAGCTGACCATCTTGCACGTGATATGAGTTAGGGCTCATGCCCTCAGGACTCATCCCAAATAGGAAGGTATGCTCACATGTTCACTACAAAACGCGATAAATGCACAATTCTCATCACGTAATATCCGGGTAACACCCATCTGCGCGACTGCTGAAAATTTTAATCCTGTGGGATCATTACCAGTGAGTCCTTAGCGAACTGGTTTATACTACTTCTTTTCATATACTGTCTAATCGTTATCAAGTAAACATGTCTGACGTCGAAGAACAATACGTTGAAGAACAACCAGTTGTCCAAGAAGAATTACAATTAGTTGAATTGGCTACCGCCATCCCAGCTGACGTTCAAGCTGCTCAACAAGAAGTCAAATTATTCAACAAGTGGTCTTTCGAAGATGTTGAAATCAAGGACGTCTCCTTAGTTGACTACATCCAAATCAGACAACCAGTCTTTGTTTCCCACACTGCTGGTAGATACGCTTCCAAGAGATTCAGAAAGGCTCAATGTCCAATCATCGAAAGATTGACCAACTCCTTGATGATGAACGGTAGAAACAACGGTAAGAAGTTGAAGGCTGTCAGAATCGTCAAGCACGCTTTGGAAATCGTCAACGTCTTGACCGACAGCAACCCAGTCCAAGTTGTTGTTGACGCTATTGTCAACTCCGGTGCCAGAGAAGACTCTACCAGAATTGGTTCTTCCGGTACCGTCAGAAGACAAGCCGTCGATGTCTCTCCATTGAGAAGAGTCAACCAAGCTGTCTCCTTGTTGACCATTGGTGCCAGAGAAGCTGCTTTCAGAAACGTCAAGACCATTGCTGAATGTTTGGCTGAAGAATTGATCAACGCTGCTAAGGGTTCTTCTACCTCTTACGCCATCAAGAAGAAGGATGAATTGGAAAGAGTTGCCAAGTCTAACCGTTAAAATGTCTATATTTCATGGGTTTCATTTGTGTATTTTATCTTTCATCTTTTATAAAACACAACTTAATGTATAAAAGAACATATTAGTATTGATGTAAGTTAACTATGCTGGAAGAGGCTAAACGTCTCTTCAAGTTTGTGAGTTTGTTCGTTTCCAAACTATTATCCCTCCCAGAGAAACTGCAGAAACGCTAATGAACTTGATAATGCTACTGGTTAGTCCATCAGTTTCAACGTTGGTGGACCATGCTCATAAAGCTCTGTCTTTGATTTTTCATGATTGTCGTGATATGATTATTAACTCTATAAAACTATACTTTTATGGGGTAAAATGTCCGGACGAAAACGGCCAGGAAATTGTTTTGTAACAAGCGTTCATATCTCTCGACTCTGCTGTTCAAGATTTCGATATCCTCTTGTTCGCCTTGGGTTTCTGGTGCTTTCAAATACCCCAGATTGACTTTTTTGACCTGGTGAATGGCCGCGTAGGCGAGATTGAGTCTCTTCTTAAAAGTCCTTCTGACCATCCACTCTCTTATCATTAATCCCAACATTAGGCAGAATGCAAAAATGCACCCACAAAAGATCTGGGTGTGTAAGAACGGTCTGGGAGCCAGTTCTTGTCTGAGGGCCAAGGCGATCACTTCACTGACCAAGCAGCACAAGCCACAAAAGATGTTCATACCGGACCAGGCTGCAGGGGCCTTCTGGGGTTCGTCCTCGAGAATGTCGATGGCCAATGGTTGGGCCATTGAACTTCCGATCCCCACAATCAAACCAATGAGGATACTGAAGCCCACCAAGGCACCAAATGTGGTCGCATTGATCCAATATGCAAATGTGAGGAGGGTAATCATGAAGCAGACAAACACAACCAAGTTGGCTCTCCCAAGACGATCAGCAGCGAGGCCCATGGACGGTCTTCCTATCACTTGAGCGCCATTCAACACCGAGGTCAAGATCGAGCCCTGCTTACTGGACAAGCCCACCGAGGTGGCATATGAAGCCATCGAAAACAAGAGAAGCACATATCCGATCAAGATTATGCCGAACCACATGGTCAAGGTAAAAAGGGCGTAGTTGCGGAAGATCTTGATGTCAAAGATGAGTTTTGCGGACTCCACGAGAAAGTCCTTTTTAAGACTGACTGAGAGCGGCACTGGCTTGGAGTTTCGAGGCTTCATCACGAGCCACACCACCATGGATGTGAACAAACACATGAAGCCCACCATGCGCAACGCCCACTTCTGGTTGCCAGTGTCGTCGACCACCTTGTGCACGCTCAAGGCAATCACCACGCCCCCCAAGCCTGCTCCGGAAACCGTGATTCCGATGGCAGTGGCCTTGCTCTTCAGAAACCAAGTGGGAACCACCAAGCTGGCGGGAATGAAGATTAGCACGAACGAAATACCCACCAATACTCCCTGGGTCAAGTACAAGTGCCAGAGTTTGGTTGCAAACGAAGCCAAGATGTAACCCGCAGTCTGGATGACGATGCCTGCGCCCACCACAGTTTTGAAGCCAAAGATGCTGTAAAGAAAGGCACTGATAGGCGCCAAAGTCTGCGCAAGACAAACCACAATGCCTCCAATCAAAGCAAAGTCGTAGGGCGTGGCGTGAAATGTGTCATGCTCAAGGTAGTACCCAAGAAATACCCCGTACGAGGCGTTGGAGCCCCAGGTGGAAAACGCTGCCAACATACCACAGAGCGCTATCACCCATGCGAATCCAGTGTCTACTGGCGGCCCGGAGTCTTCGGATGGAAGCTCGTCTAGCGATACCATGGCCTCGACGTCCTTGTCTTTGGCAGTGCTCTTGCGGGACACCATTTCAAGCTGGTTCAAGAGGATTTCGTCCGGGAGCGGCTGGTCGCGCTGATCCTGCTGGCGCTGGTGGGCATCCTGGTCGAGATCGTCCCAGATGCCGCTGATGATACGAGACACCTCGCCAGAGGTGCCAGACCTCACTTTGGCGATGGGGGCGTTTTCCGCGGCTGGATCATAGGTAGAGGATGGCAGGATGGGGACGGCCATCAAGTCCAGCGACGGCTGGGACGAGACGTCTGCCGACCGCTTTTTAGCTATCGAATCGTCTGCATCCATAATGTATGGGCACACATATGCGACGGGCACTGGCCTTCTTATATTTTCTGCATCTTTTGGTGGGGCATGTAATCGGAAAAAATGTCAATCTGGGATGAGTAATAGCTGCCAGATGTCGCCTGAACGGAAGCTTGGAGTGGATGAAACGCGATACCCGCGGGGCTGCGGATGGCTGGAGGTTCCACGATGGGAGTGAAGGATTATTGGGACGGTCTGGTGGGCTTCGTTGTGCTGATATGGATAAGCCAACATCTGGTCAGATGCAACGCCTGGTGCGGCATGCGCCCGGCTGACAAACCCGTTCTGGGCTATCTGAGATCTGCGGATTTCGCAAGAACAGACGGAGATAGATGGTCATTCCACGGCCACAAACCAAGGAGATAAGATCATCTGCAATCTTCAAGTTCCATTCAGTCAGACTTGTGTTGAAGGAATGCTTATCCCTGTAGCTGGGATAATATTAATAATTAATTCAAAATTTGATAAAATTGCAATCGGCAGAACTTCATACTTTTTAAAATGAAATTTAATCGACAAAATTTATGTGCCCGAACCCCCCCGAATACATGGCACGCTTTGGTTCTTCCCTTCTGGATTGCTTCGAACGGTTCATTGCAACATTAATAATATCAGCCATAATAGTGCTCCGGTAAAAATAGCGGTAGGGGGCCCAGGTAAGGAATCCATTCGGAAGTGCAGTAGATATCGTAAGTTAGCAGAAGTTTTATCAAATAAGTTAGAAAATAGCTAAATTAGGAAAGGAGTTATATCGAACTGGTAGTTAAATCGCTTATAGGAGAATATCACTTAAAGCCTGAGTGTATCACTTGGCACCTGCTGCTACATCGTAAATTCTTTCTCTCCGCTTGCCTATCCTACTAATAATCTTGCTGTCAGAAAGAAATATCTCACCTCGCAATATGGATGTTACCGAGTTCCATCATTCACTCGTATAAAACCTCTAATCTTCAGATCCATACTCACCTACTGAGCCGTAGCTTTCCAATGAAGTCCAACGCCACCACGAAAAGAGCTTCAAGCTTTTTTTACTGATTATTGCAGTAAAGGTTTTAAAAGTGTCGAATTCCTGTCCACAGTTTCCAGCCCCGTCTCTGATTTCGCTTAACACGATGTCATTGAGTCACTGGCACGCTGTCGCCTCGATCACTTTTTGCAGCTGAGCCGCACCGATTCTCCACCGTCTGGGCTCGGCACTACCGCACTGACCCTTGATACTCCTATTGATCACCAGTGGCGGCAACTTCATCTACCTCCACCACCGCCGCACCCATATCCACACACACCTCCGATGTCGGGCGCATCTGACTTCTTAACAAAGGGAATTGACCTAGTCCAAAAGGCTATCGATGCCGACACCGCCACCAGATATGAGGACGCCTACAAGCTCTACTACAACGGGTTGGACTACTTGATGTTAGCCATCAAGTACGAAAAGAACCAGAAGTCCAAGGAGCTCATCAAGTCCAAATTCACCGAGTACTTGACCAGAGCCGAACAGCTCAAGGATCATTTGGAGAAACAATCCTCTAGCTCCGCAGGCGATCTGTCAGCCAGCAACGGATCCACCAAAGCCAAAAAGGCGGGCGACGGGGGCGACGATGACGATGCGGACACCAAGAAGTTGCGAGGCGCATTAGCAGGCGCCATTTTGTCGGAAAAACCCAACATCAAGTGGAGCGACATTGCCGGCTTGGAGGCTGCCAAAGAAGCCTTGAAGGAGGCAGTCATATTGCCCGTCAAGTTTCCTCAGCTATTCACGGGTAACAGAAAGCCCACCTCGGGTATCCTCCTATACGGCCCTCCTGGTACCGGTAAATCGTACCTCGCCAAGGCAGTTGCAACCGAAGCCAACTCCACGTTTTTCTCGGTATCATCTTCAGACTTGGTGTCGAAGTGGATGGGTGAATCCGAAAGATTGGTCAAGCAATTGTTTACCATGGCCAGAGAGAACAAGCCTTCCATTATTTTTATAGACGAAGTTGATGCATTATGTGGTCCCAGAGGCGAGGGCGAAAGTGAAGCCTCCAGAAGAATCAAGACAGAATTGTTAGTACAAATGAATGGTGTGGGCAATGATTCTGCGGGTGTTTTAGTCTTAGGTGCAACCAATATTCCATGGCAATTGGATGCAGCCATTAGAAGAAGATTCGAAAAGAGAATCTACATAGCGTTACCTGAACTTGAAGCAAGAACCAGAATGTTCGAGATCAATATTGGTGATACTGCCTGTGAATGTACCAGTCAAGATTACAAGATTCTTGCAGAAATGACCGATGGTTATTCTGGTCATGATATAGCTGTCGTTGTTAGAGATGCCTTGATGCAACCAATCAGAAAAATTCAGCAAGCAACCCATTTCAAGCCTGTCGAAGGTGAAAACGGAGAGGAGAAATTGACACCCTGTTCCCCAGGAGATGATGGTGCGAAAGAAATGAGTTGGATGGAAATAGAGACAGACCAGTTGAAGGAACCAGACTTGACAATCAAAGATTTCATAAAAGCCATCAAGAGCAACAGGCCTACAGTTAACGACAGTGACATTGAAAACCACATCAAGTTCACGGATGATTTTGGACAAGAGGGTAATTAGGCAGGGCCCCCCTCATTGCATCGCAAACAACCAATTCTCAGAGAGTGGATGTCTGATTTCGAATAGCATTTACACCAAAAGTACTAAAATTACATAATTTAGAAATTAAACTGACTAACTATTGGACTGGATATACAGTCATGACCTCAAAGCATTCTTTCGTGGTAGCACTTTCATCCATGATCTGTAGAATCACCAGGAATTATTATACAATGGCTTCATCGCTCAACGATCAAGGGCCATTGGAGACCTTGATCTATTTCTTTGTGGAGATCTATCCCTCAATTTGTGAGCAAAGAGGTCCTCTTCTTCATCAGCAGCAGTATTGGAACCTCCTGCCAACTTGTGAGCAAAGAGATCTTCCTCCTCTTCTTCGTTGTGGTTTCTGCCCCCACGATTGCGGCCTCTAGACTTGTACCTGTCCGGTCTTCTTCCAGACCTTTCTGGTCTTTCGGATCTATGAGATCTTCTCTCTGGTTCTCCATGTATCAAGTAGTATCTGGAGTATTCTCGGGCATTCTTGACCTTCTTATCTGACTGGAATGCTTGTCTGATCTTCAATTCGATCGAGGACTCATCTTCTTCCATCTGTTGCGATTGTTCTTCATCTTTGGTATCTTCCAATCCGAGTCTAGACAACAAGTTTTGGTGCTTACGGAAAGCAAGAATAGGTGTATAGGACTTTGCTTGACTTTCTTGAGTGGCACCCTCAAGGCCATCACCTTCGATGGGGTTCACCAAGATTTGGTTGAGGGCCTTACGGCAGAATTCCGGGGTCTCGAATACCACATTGACCGAGGTATCATTGATCCACTGGATTCTGAATGTGATTTGGTCATCAATGGGGAATGGCTCGTACACGGTCTTGGGTTCGCCTTCGGCATCCTGCTCTTGCTTGACCTCGAAGTTCACGTAGTAGTCAATAAATCCTTTGATGTCTTCGGTCGAAAGACTATCAACACCACGGATATGTATGGCCTCGGGTCTCACCACTTCGGTGAGCCCATCGATGTCGACTTCTATGGTCTGCTCATTGATCTGTGCCTCTCTCTCCTTTTCGATTTCCAAGGTCTTGGTCATAAGACCTCCGTATGGTGCTGGTTCAGCCATGGTATGGTGTTGTTGATTGATTTTTCAGAATTGTATGTGCAGGCACGAAGATGGAGGTTGGGGTTGGTGAGGACAGTGTCATTAAATCGACGATGCTTGGTTGAGTACACTCCATCGTGCCGTAGCTGGTGGATGTGTTTCTCTTCTTTCGGGCTTTCTCCAGGGTCGAATAAACCTGGTACTAGCAAGTTAATATATCTTTTAAGACAGCATTAATTTCTTCATTACTACATTTGTCTGACATACTTCGTACATTACTTTCTATTGAAATCTTGACTAATTTACATGACGCTAGCTGGAAGGATCCTGCTTTCCAATCCCCGAACTCTTGTGCTCAGCTCTCTTCTTTCACCTCCGTCTTACCTTCTCGGATAAACAACACGTTGTTGCATCTGATGAATATTTCTCCGATAGGCTCCTCCTTGTCACCATCAACTTCCTTGGTGTCCTCGAGCTGGAGGTTCATGTAGTTGTCCACCGACACTAACGTGCCTTTGTATTCGGTACGGTTCCACTTCAATCTGACCACCACGGGCTTGTTAATGAGTGTTTTGAGAAACGGCTTGGGGTTGATGGGTTGGAACTGAACGTTAGTATGCTGCGCCGACTGGGCTTGTTGCAGGGCTCTACTTACCGACATTGGTGCTGGGCCTGTATCTGGAAGTACTGACCTAGTAATGAGCTTACGCGGCTCATCTATGGTGGGTCACGTGCGCCTCTGAATCAAGAACACCTCACAGTATACACAAACTTCATACTACTCCAGTCTACAAACACACCGACCTGGTAACTGCCGGACTACAATGAGCAAACTAGTACAGGTGTACCTCATCGGAGCGGTTGTCCGTTTTGTGCTCCCGGTACTTGTGCCCAGCATAACACACGCTTTGGCCAAAAGCGTGCTTTTGTCCACTCCCATGGACTCGTTTCCTTCCCTTGAAGAGGCATTCTACTACCTTGAGCACGGCATAGGCTTATACGACGGTGGTATTGTTCACCATCCGCCCTTGTTGGTGATTCTTTTGCTGTTCATACACGGATTGGGGCCCATCTCTAGCGTGTTGTTCAATGGGTTGTGGGCATGCATGGACTTGTTCATTGTCACGAGAATCATCGATATCAACAAATGGTACAACGAACACAACAGCAACAGGCGTGGCCGTAAATTGGCGCGTTTCAACGATGATTTGATTGCTAGTTTCTACTTGTTCAACCCGCTCTTGGTCTTGAGCAACCTCCTGCATTCCACATTAACATTTGCATTGCTCTTCCTCGTCGAGAGCATTCATCAGCTTGTTGTCAAGCGTCGCTACTTCCATTCTGCTGTGGCATTGGCAGCCTCTACCTACTTTTCGGTCAATTTGGCATACTTGGTAATTCCAATGACTGCTCTTGCACTCACCGTTAGCGAGGCCAGCCAAAAAATTCCATTGGCACTGAGGTACGTTTTGACCTTTGTTGCAACTCTTGGCTTGTTCTTGTTGGCTTCTTTTGCATCGGTGAACTCTTGGCTGTTCGTCCATCAAGTCTATGGAACAGTGTTTTTCTTTGATAAGATCACGCCAAACTTGGGCTTATGGTGGTACCTCTTTACAGAAATGTTCGAGTTTTTCTCTCCGTTCTACGTGGGATTATACAACTTATACTCGTTTGTATTTATCTTACCAATGACGTTGAGATTCTACGAGGGCTACGGAAAATCAGAAAAAAAGACATCAGGTCACGGAGACTCCTTCTTGGCTGTGGTGTTGGGTTACATCTGGATCTCATTTACCAAGTCGTATCCAACTGTTGGTGACTTGGCCTTCGCAGCTTCGCTTTTACCATTATTCAAGTCTACTATCCTTCCCTACTGCAGGTACACATACATAACAGCATTAGGGTTCTTGGTATCATTGCTTCTCTCCCCCATCTTCTACTACTGTTGGATTGTATTGGCGACTGGTAATTCGAACTTCTTCTACAGTATTAGTTTAATATGGGGTGCTGTACATACATCGATTTTGATGGATTTGATCTGGGGAAAATTGACCTCGGAATATATTGAGGAAAACAAGATCCCTGAAAAAGATCAGAAAACATTGAGATTGACTCAAATATAGTTTATAGGATATCAGAATACACACCTTAGAGGACCATGGTAGGGATTTGGTATTTGTCGCGTGATTTTGTATCACGTGGTGGCTCGTTTCTCCCACCAATCACACGCGAAGAATTTTGAGCTTGTAAGTATAACAAAAAATTTCACCATACTAACCAAGTACGAGAATTGATACAAAGTCATCCATAGAGTCAGTTGATCCGTACTCCCAAACATCGTACACTCAGATCCAGTACAAGTACCGTCCATACTACCGTCAGTATAAGTACACTCAATCAGCAGTATCACATATCCCTATAGATTCTACACAATGTTGCGTTCTACTCGTTATTTCAGCACCGCTGCCTCAGGAGTGAAATTGACCTCCCGTGAAGCTTCAGGCAACTTATCCACATTGTCCGTTGTTGTTAAGAATGCCGGTTCCAAGGATGGAAAGTCTGGTGTTGCCCACTTATTATCCAAGTTTAACTTCTTGAACACTGGTGCCAAATCTGCTTTGAGATTCACCCGTGAAAGTGAATTATTGGGTGGTGTTTTCTCCTCCACCGTTGGTAGAGATGCCACTGTGTTGAAGACCTCTTTCTTGAAGCAAGACTTGCCATACTACGTTGAAGCTTTGGGTAACGTTTTGACCAACACTTCTTACCGTCCCCACGAGCTCAAGGAAGTTGTTTTGCCAGCTGCCCTTGCTGAAAGCGCTGCTGCCCATGGCTCTAACGCCTTCACTGCTTTGGAAGCTTTGCACGAAGTTTCCTTCAGAAGAGGTTTGGGTCAACCATTGTACTACGATGGTACCACCAAGATCTCCGTTGACGAGATCGCTGAATTCGCCTCCAAGGCCTACAACACCTCTGCCGTCAGCATCCACGCCTCTGGTGTCAACGGTGAAGACTTGGCCAAGTTCGTCGAAGAATCTGCTTTCTCTGCATTGGCATCTGGTGCTTCTTCCTCCCCATCCGTTGAATCTTTCACCGGTAAGGAAGCTCGTATCAGAGCTTCCGGTGAATCCGTTGCTTTGATTGGTATTCCAGTCAAGCCAGCTGACTTCGGTAAGTACGAAGTCTTGTCTGCTGCCATTGGTAACTCCCAATTGCCAGGTGTCTCCACCCCATTGGCCAAGATCCCAGGTGCCACTTCCTTCTTATACAAATACCAAGATGCTGGTTTGTTCGTGGTTTCTGTCTCTGGTTCCGGTGTCAACGTTGCCCAAGGTATCAAGGAAGCTAAGAAGGCTCTTTCTGTTTCCGACTCTGCTTTGACCGAAGCCACTAAAGCTGCTGAATTATCTGTTGCATTACAATCCACCTTCGAAGCCCCATTGTCTGTCAAGGTTGAAGCCGGTAAGGCCCCAGTCTCCGAGTTCAACTACGTGGCTATCGGTGATGTTGACTACTTACCTTACGCCAACGAATTATAAATTTCCTGTGCATAATCCTGAGGTAATAGTCCTTGCTAATCCATTCACGTTCATCAAAAATGGCTGGGTAGTCATTGCCTGACCCTTCTTCTATAACAAATATACAATGTATCGACCAGCGGTAGTCTAGACCTTTTACTCTCTGTTCTAGTGCCCAATTCCTGTTAGCGCCGATTATATTCGGTCGTGCGCGCACCGTGCCCTTCGGCCTCATTGATTGTTTTTTCATCGAGAAGACATAGACTTCTCCACCCATTCCATCATGTCTGACGTTGAAGATGCCGCCTTCAATGAGGGTGTCGAACATTTCGATGACTTCGAACAACCAGAACACTTTTCTGACGACGAGTTTCAAGAACCTGAAACTGCCGATGCCAACGGAGAATTGAAGACCGCTGATGGTAAGACCATCATCAACGGAGGCCTTGGTCCAGATGATGCTGCTATTGCTGCCCAACCAAGAGCCAAGACCACCAAGGAGTTGGCCATACCCAAGGAGAAGCGTAACACCACTCCATACATGACCAAATACGAACGTGCTCGTGTGTTGGGTACCAGAGCCTTGCAAATATCACTTAACGCCCCAGTTTTGGTTGATATCGAAGGTGAAACCGACCCTTTGCAAATTGCCATGAAGGAATTGGCCCAAAGAAAGATCCCCTTGGTGGTTAGACGTTATTTGCCAGACGGCTCCTTCGAAGACTGGGGATGTGATGAATTAATTGTTGATCACTAGACTCTATTCCTACGCCTACTGGACCCTACCAAACGACATTTCATTTAGTATTCGCTGAGTCATGTCTTTTATACTTGTACATTAATCAATATATGCGTCAAGCCATTTTGACGCTAATAGTAACTTTCTTCCGTCCATCTGTTCCTTGACGAACCCCTCGACCATTCTATCGAAAGTGGCCCGCGAAAGCCTGTTGTCGCCTGACCCGATCTCCCCAAGTTGGACGGAGCAACATGCTTCCTTCAAGTTTTCCACGTCTATGATCAAATCCTCGCTGTACTTCTTGGGGTCTTCGGCCTCAGCGAACACCTTCATGGCGTTGTAGATGGTCATTCTGTCTTCAAATCTCAGGAACTCTTTGGCCATGATGTTCAGGAACTGGGTGAAGTTGATCCCACTCCCGTTGCCGCCTTCCACGGTCAACATCGCTGTTAACTGGTCGTCTCCTGGAACAGCCATGCCCAATTGCGTGTAGAGATTGACCAAGTCCTGTTTGGTGATCGTAGAATCCCTTGATTCGCCATCGATCAAAGTAAATGCATTTCTAAGCTGGGCTTTTTGGTTATTGGAAAGGGTATTCAAGGCCAGCATCGTCAAATCGCTTATTGATCGTGTGAAGGTATTGCCTCTGTGCTGGTTCTATGCTTATAGTTCTCTTTCGAGCTGATGCGTTACACTCCCTCTTGGCAACTCTCGTCTGTTGTTATACTGTCGGCTATATGATCCCGTCACTGCCTCTATCCACTATTATTTATTTCGATTTGATCTCGCACTGACGCGATATAAACAAGCTGATCTCACCTGGTTTGGCACCACTAGACTCACTGCAGACCAACCAAAGACTGGCTACTCCACTTGTACAATACCCAAGCATTCTGGACTGCTCCACATCATGGATATATACAACCAGCCGGTGGTCATAGACAATGGCTCAGGTAACATCAAAGCAGGATTTGCTGGGGAGGATAAACCCAAGACGTATGGGTCGTCTATCATCGGAAGAACGAAGTATCAGAAGGTGATGGCTGGCTCGTTGCTCTCCACAAGCACTACCAGTGGAAGCACTGGTGGTGGAAACGACGTTTCATCCTCCCAGAACCACAAGGTCCAGGAAGATACTTTCATAGGGGAGTTGGCCCAAACAAACAGAGGTATTCTAAAACTTTCGTATCCCATTGAACACGGGATTGTCAAGAACTGGAGTGACATGGAAAAGTTGTGGTACCACACGTACACTCAAGATTTAAAGATCAACTCCGAAGACCACCCGCTACTCATTACAGAAGCACCGTTAAACCCCAAAACAAACCGAGATAAAATGTCACAAGTGCTATTTGAACTGTTCAACGTGCCGTGTCTCTACATCGCAATCCAGGCGGTCTTGTCCTTGTATTCTTCGGGAAGAACGACGGGAGTAGTAGTAGATAGTGGAGATGGAATCAGTCATATTGTGCCCATTTTTGAGGGTTTTTCTTTGCCTGCATCGATAAAGAGATTGGATATTGCTGGAAGAGACATCACCCACCAGTTAGCATTGAACTTGAGGAGAATGAGCGGGATATCCTTGCAAAGCAGCTCTGAATTAGAGATTGTACGTCTCATCAAAGAAAAATCATGTTTTATTTCGAAGGATCCCATAAGAGATGAGAAGTTGTACTCCAACTACTACACTAATGATGATAGTGGGTTGTACCTGACATATAAATTACCAGATGGGCATCAAATCAAACTAGGAAGCGAGAGATTCAGATCCACCGAAATATTATTCAACCCACTTTTAATCGGAGATGAGTCGCCAGGACTCCATGAGTTGACCAATTTGGCTATATCTAAGACCGACTTAGATTTGAGGCCAATATTGTACCAAAATATAATTCTTTCGGGAGGCAATACTCTATTGAAGAATTTCGGAGACAGAATGCTCAACGAATTGAAGAGCCAACAATTGATTAATGACAGTCCCAGTGTTTGGTCAAACAAAAATGATAACTATAGTACCAAAATGAAAGTGAAGATATTTGCCCCTCCAGAGAGAAAGTACTCCACTTGGATTGGTGGGAGTATTTTGGCCGGGTTGAGCACATTCAAGAAGATGTGGATAACGTCAGCGGAGTATATGGAGGACCCAGAGATAGTTCACAGAAAGTACATGTGATTCTATACATGTATGAAAGAAATGAAGTCTCGGCTTCACGTAACATTTTAACAAGAGCGTAGTCGTTTATTGACAACGGTAATTCCCGTTAGACTGTACATACATAAATAAGGTCCACCAACTATTCTCGTTGGACATTAAATACATAAATGAGTGTATCAGCTGCGAAATTGTATCAATTATTCGTAAAAAGTTGGATGATGTTCATCTCGGACCTAAATGCAGTAGTATCTGTCACCGAAGTCACCAAGACCAGGAACGATATACTTGTCTTCGTCCAATTTCTCGTCGATACCACCAGTGATGATCTTGACCTCTGGGTACTTCTCTTGGAAGGCCTTGATACCTTCTGGAGCTGCCAACAAATTCAAGAAGAAGATTCTGTTCATTTGAACACCTCTGGACAACAACACTTCCACAGCCATCATGGCACTACCACCGGTGGCCAACATTGGGTCCAACAAGAAAACGTATCTGTCGCTGATGTCCTCGGGCAACTTCTCGTAGAACAACTTTGGCAACGCAGTTTCTTCGTCTCTTTGGATCAAGATCTTTCCGATTCTAACTGATCTGCAACAGTCTCTCAACCCCATCTCCATAGACTCACCAGCTCTGACGATGGAAACACCACAGATCTTTCCCAAGAACTTGGCTCCTTGGTACACCTGACCACCATGGCAGTTGATGGTGGCTGTCTCCACTGGGAGTTGATTCAAACCTTCTTCCACCAACAATCTGATGATTCTGTCAGAGTAGAACACGAAATCACCTCTCTTTGTCTCCTGGTCACGGATAATGGAGTACAACCCAATGAGCTGGTTGGTTTGAGGAAGTAAGATAACGTTTTTATGGACTTCTTGCGAGGACGACATGGTGGATGCTGATAACAATTTGCGATGGGCGCGCAATACTTTATATGTTCGTAGTGATAAGTGACAATTTGGCGACGGTATGGTTCACGACTTCACACCAAGTAAACCGAGTAGACGTTATGGTGCTTACAATTGCTACAGAAGGAGCCTGTTGGTGGTCTGGCATCTATGCTAGTACTGGGCTTGGTCCAAATACTAGATATCAAGCCATTCCACCAATGAAATGAGCAATTGGTCGGGCCGAGTCCTCGGCAAGTTCCTGGAGGAACTTTCTGTTCAGACACACCTGAACGCTCCTGTGGGGTGGAGTCAATTTGTCCTCGAAAAGAACCTCACCAGGCTCTGGATTGTAGTAGAAACTATTGGTCTGAAATGAACCATCACCACTCTCCATTGTTCACTTCAAACACATTTCTGATATGAGATCCCCCAAATTCTACACTTCTAAGTACCGTGGTTCGATTAGTTCGCTAGCTCTGCTGGCTCAATCCCTCGTATATTTCTATAATACAGTTACTCCTCTTGTGGTGGCACAAATGGGTTGTCGATTATCTCGCTTCCATCCAATGGAGAAATGGTCAACAATGAGGTACATCTCACAACCACCAATCCTAAATCTCTGGTGGCGTCTGTGAATACACTGTCATCTTCTGGGTCTGTCTGGTTAGTAGTGCTCATGTGATCCGAACATGTTCCTCTTCGGAGAACTGGTGGTCTGAAAATTGATCTTTGTTGTACATACCTCTGATGTTTTCCTGGACGTCCTCCAAGACCAAGTTCATTAATTGATCAAAGCCCTTCAAAACACCCACGATTTGTCTTCCACCAATGAATTTCACCCTGATACGTTGGTCCTTATACTTGTTCAAATCCAAAATAGCATCTCTCTTTGGACCTTCTTGTTTGGTGGCCCCTCCAGAGGAGTTATTGTTGTTATACCTTCTACGGTTGTGCTGTCTCTGTGATGTTAGTGGGTTGGGCCAGAAATGCATCCACGATACTCACATTGTCACTCATGGCTGTTGATGTGCATCCGTTGAATGTAAGGCCGATTTTTGCTGGTGAGATTGAAGGTCGTGCGCCTGGTCCCGGTATCATTACCACCACTAGGTAGGCCATCTCTGGCTAATACTTCTACAGGTTTCTCATGGATCGTGCTATGCAGCTTCCACGGGGCACATGTCTCCGTCAAATCCTTTTGATTCGTGTGGTTCTATGTATTATTACACCTTCTTTAAACAATCTATGTACAAGTTTAAAATTCACCTCTCAACCACAATTGAGTTCTCTTCTTCATTTCAGATCTTCTCAAAAGTTGTCTCTCGTTCAATCCTTCCTCCTGGTTCACCTTCTCCTTCAACATTCCAGTGAAGACATTGACCTTCCTTTGGTCGATGTTGAATTCCTTACTTAATTTGCTGATGGTCCAGACTTTAGGATCCTGGGATCTCAATGCTACTATTTTCTCGACAATTTCTGGTGTCACTTCATAGCTTCTGTTGCCTTGGGCTTCATATCTATTAATGACTGGATAGTTCTCCAACTGTTCCTTGGTGAATTCGTTGGCGTTTGGAAGGTTTCGTCTTGGGTCAGACTCTGGTAAAAATGCTTTGGGTGTCTTCATTGATGGCTTTGAAATGGCAGCTGGTGGATTGTGGACTAATCCTTGGGTCTTCTTAGGTTTGATGTTGAATGCCGACCTGGCCTGGTTGTATTGATTGATTGGTATTGGTTCATACTTGACACATGAAATGGCCGTCTTCGAGATGTTACGTATGCTAGTTCTCATCATCTTGACTTAATATGTGTGCCCTTTGCGTCAAGATCGATACCCCTACTGTTTCGTAGAAAACTTTTCATTTTTTGTTCGTGTGCAAAATTGAAAAATGGTCACGTGATTTTGTATCGCGTGAGTAGATTTCCCCATAAATGGACTTGGATAAACGATTAATGTTTGGGAGAAAGTTCCAGTACATGTTACATGTTCAAGAACAAATTGAATTATTGTGCTTTGTACATTTGTTCTCTGCCTACATGTATGCAAAAGAATTTTTAGAAATTTTAGAAATTATTGAAGAAATATTATGAAATTGCTACATTATTGGCTACTCAGAATCAATTGATTATTCTAGCAGATATTGGTAGTCAAAAGGTCTAGCATGGTTTGAATCAATTAAATATAAAGCGTTCTCTTTTGATCTCACAAACAGGACAACTAGACCAAAAATTAGCCTGGAAAATTTTGGTAATCAGTTACCAAGGAAGCTGTTAAACTAAGCACAGGATTCATACCTAGGATTATCTACATTTACCTTCAAAAAATATAAAAAAAAGTAGTAACACGGCTCATTTGATATACATATCATAAATAAGAAAATGATTTCTTCGGAACAATATCACCTAAGCCTCGATCCTTTCTCATATGCTGCAAAATGAGAAATTGTATCCTGGTCAGAGATGAGTTTATTACCATGGAGAATCGGTTTAGAGACAAAACAGGAGTAGTATAAGTTCATGGAACTCTGATGTACATGATACAACAATTTTGTGGGATCACGTGAAAAGCATCCACAGGTTATGAAGTCTTCCACTAGACATGTGGCGGAGTAAAGGATGATTACGTTATTTAATCAGGAATAAACTATTTGACAATGCAACGAGAAAGACTAGGCCATACTAAACAGGGTTCATAGTGCTACTGCTTAATGTAAATTTAGTATCATACTCCATGGGATCGTTCAATTCTGGACTTTGCATTTGGCCGACCCAAGGTGAAACTATTCGGTTTGTTCACATGCCGTTATTTAACTTGATACAGAATTTTAATGTGATCAACGGCACCAAAAATTGCCCTGAAGGCCTATTGAGAGCTATATGCCATATTTTTCCTCAAATTTATCAGCTAGCCAAACCATTTTAGTTTACCTGCTAAGAATTGCATAGAACAATTACTTATTAGGCCAGCAGGATCCCGGTAGATTCTACTGCCTTAATAAGGTGGCCAAGTTCCAAGGCTTGACAAAGGCTAGACTCTGTAGTTAGGTTGGACTAAGAATAACATAAAATAAAACAAGTGCATATTGTAGCAAAATAACCTTAATATTCTGCATATAGATCTATCAGAAATTCATTACTGATAAATCTCTCTATATATAGTATCCGTCCTTATCCTCTAGCAAATGTTCTTATCTTGGGAAATGCCTTAACCTTAACTAACTTTCACATCATTACTAATTTACTTAACTTGATACTTTAACTTTGTTTTTTGGAAACACATCTGCTTTTTGTAGACGTTAAGTTCTGAGCACTTTCTTGTTTCAGGATTTAGGCTGGTTACAGCATTTTATTACGTAAGCCACACTACTTTGTGCGAGTATTCTCAAATAGCTCATTGATATCAACAATTATCCGATATAGTGTAACGGCTAGCACGGTTCGCTTTCACCGAGCAGACCCGGGTTCGACTCCCGGTATCGGAATAATTTTTCCAAAATCTTAATTGATTGATAATCTTCACAGTATGATAATAGCCTGAAGCAACATTTTTTTTTGTGTCGGAGCAAGAAAAACCGATACGGCGTTCAACATGAAAGTCAACCCATTTGATAAACGCCCCGGAATAATTACTATCTTTACTATTTCCGAAGATCACCAACAGCTTTAGTGTTTATAGGGGTTGCATTTTAAGACGCGTCTGGGACCATACGGCAAACTGAGGTCTAGGGCTGTCTAATAAACTTAAATCAGAGAGTTTGGAGCGATTGCTAGGGAGATCAAAAAATACGACATGCTTTCAATTAGCGCATTCCGATCCCGGCGAGAATTGTCTAGGTTGTACAGAAGAACTCGTAATATGCGTGGATCCAGGCATAGAAGTCCAGGCAATAACATGCACCTCCAAAATGTAGCAGGATATGAGTGGCGAACAGCCTTATACAGGCCCCACATTCCTGATTTAGCGTGCAGATCGTTCTAGTTTCATATAATTGAGTGAAAGGGGAAAATGGGGACCTGTAACATCAGGCCATGGAGATAACGGGGTTTGAAACCTGAGTTCGGCACTTATTTAGTTCGAGACAGCTTGAGGCCAGGATTTCGCATGCTAGATAAGAGTCTTACCACGGGAGTAGTTTTAACCGACGGGCGACTTAGTGCGGCCAGTGAAATATTATTTGAACGCATCTGGTTAAAATGAGTAAGAGCTTACATCATGGCACCCGCGACGCCTCGGCTCCTAAAGCACCCTAGGCTATGGGATGCCACAAACAACTCGGGGATTATCCTGAGTAGGCAATCTGTGATTGGATTAGGCCATGACGTGCCTCGCCAAGGGCAGGTCCCTTTCGCGACCTGGAATGAAATATTAACGTAGGGCGATGCCTCACCAACGTGAATCCCGCGGCATTCTGGTTTAAGCAAGCACTAAAGGGTTCTGAAACAATGTAGCTGATTACTGGAACGAGGGACGGATATAACGCCCCGATGGTTCTAGGAGGTCGGAAATGCCTATGGCCACTCTCAAATGGTGCCACTTGGGGCTGGTTTGCCAGTTGATCGACGCATGTCATCTACGAGCTCGTTTACGTCGCATGCGCTCGTTGACATCCGTGCGTCGGTTGACATCAGTGCGTTTGCAAGTGATCCAGGCACGCCTAGACTTGCCCTGAGGGCTTGACACCATCAGACAGGTTGAAACCCTGCACGAGGTACGCCTCGTGTGAGGTTTCAGCACTCGAGGGCGATTGCTGCTGAATCCGCTCAAAACCAGGGAAGCTGGTGCCGTTCGAGATAGGTGGGTCCACTGGGGCCAGGAAGATGAATCCCGAGACAGGCGCATACACTTCGATCCGATCGTTGGCAGAGAACCCTGTAATTGGACGAGTGATTTCTTTTGCTCCAACGGTCGGTTGTCCTCCACTAAGCCCTATTGTATTCAAGGAGTATCGTGTATGTACCCGCGTATGCACAAGTATGCCATAATGCAGCCCACCTGGGATCATGCCCCAAAACGGGACTACTGCAGCCAAATTGCCTATTGTTTTAGACGACCACGCCCAACGAGATTTTAAGACGCCGGTGGGTGGTCTCACACAGCGTTCCTTACGCACTATTACCATACCGGTGTTGCATAAAATATCCCTGCCCCACAGAACTGAGGTGAAATTGGCTATTTCTTCCGATCGGCACTGGGGCTCCACCATTGATGGTTTGCCACACTGGTGGACTATTCTTGGTGCATGTGGTTATTGTCTCATGTACGGGCGCATCTGGTATTTCCGTTCAATGGTTATATATAGAGCCACTTCTAACCATTTTCAATATCTCCGACGTAGGTGCAAGTTCTTGCTTCAGTCACTGTCCACATCCTGCTACTGCTACCATCATGTCAGCGTTTCTCATGTTACAGGACACCTCACAGGTGAAAAGAATCCAGAGGGACAAGAAGAGGGTGCCTCGCGCCAAACCCAGATCCAGCGACTCTACCTCGGTCAGATCGGACCATTCGAGCGAAAGCTCGGGTAAGAGAAAGGTGTTGAGAGCCGACCGTCTTCCTAGCGTCGCCAGCTCCACCCCCAGCTCTAGAAACCCCAGTGTCGTCAACTCCACCTTCAAACACCCCAGTTTCTCGTCCACAAGAAACCCTAGCATTGCCAATTCCACCACCGCCTACAGAAACAACAGTATTGCCAACTCTACCCTCGAAGACTACGTGCCTTTGCACGAGCGCAAGAAAAAGGTATTTGACCTAGACACATGCTCGTACGTCTACAAGACCATTGAATTACCGCCTTTGGAAATGAAGATCAGTGAATTTGAGCAAAAATTCATGGCATTGACCAACGAATGCAAATATCACCATTTGAACGAGTCCTTGAATAAGTATAAGAAGGATTCAGGCGAGTTATTGTTTTCGGTAAGAAACGCGCACATCTTGCGGTACAGTTATTTTGAAGAGTTCATAAATGATTATCAATTGATCCAATTAAAGGCCAACCAATTTAAGAGAAACGGCGACCACAAGCTCAAGTACATGAGAAAGATCGCCAAGATCACCATGAGATCCGACGAGGTCAACGGTTTCCCCTCAATGTTGGCGCCTATATCTGCCGATAACGTGGATGAGTTGAAGACTGACGAAGAATCCGAGGATGATGAGCAAGACGAAGAAATGGACATGATGTATAGGTTGAACAAGTTCAGTTTGACTGAACAAAAGCCAGAGAAGAAAGCCTCTGACAAGCCTGCAATCAATGTCAGAATGTTGTTCAAATCCAACCAGTTCTGGAACAATGTTTACCAGGACTTGAAATACGATTCTATCCAAGTCAAATCCACGTTCAACTACTTTGAACTTTTGCCACCAATCCACCAAACCATGAATTTCTTTGGGGAATTAATAGACTACTTGCTTTACAACTTGTTCATATTGTCGGGCGACCCCACCAATTTGGAGTCACTTGCTGACGTTCAAACCATCCAAAATTACAACTTCTTTTACTACAAGGACTTCAGCTACGAGTATGTACACTTAATGAGAGGGGAGCACTTCAAAATGTACAATAATCAATCTTTGATCAACGGCAGCATCAACCACATGAAATCGACCGACAGCTTTGGCCGCAAGAAGTCCAACTTTGCGGGTGAAGTGGATTTGGATACTCATCGAGTTTTGATCTCCAAGTTGATTGAAACCGTCATCGAGAACTTGAAGAGTGCCACCTCCATAAGCCAATCAACCTCCAACATGAACGGATACGATGATTTGTTCGGGTTGTGGCGGAGCCTCTTGAAGTTCACGTTGAACGAGTTGATCATCGATGGAAGAGATGGCGGAAACTCGGCCCTCCAAGGTGTACAAGAAAGAAACGAGACCGAGAGAGAGGACGAAGACGAAACCAGCATGATTTTCAAGTACTACGAGATGTCGAGCTCCAAGTCCAAGTCCAGCAAGATGAACCGCAACGAGAGCATCAGCTCCAAGAGCACTGCCAAAAGCCTAGACCAGTCGATCATGTCAGGATCCAGATTCGATTCCATTGCATCCAGTGTGTCCTCGACCAACTACTACTCGCAAAACGACATGCAGACCATCTTGGCTGCTTCCAGCCACAAGACCTCCGACGGCTTCGACGACATGAAGACCACCATCTTGCCACCACCCTCTACCACACACATGCATGGGGACTTCCCATCGCCCAAATCCAAAGGCTTCGCAGCCAATGAGCCTTCTGCTCCCCCCACACCCTCCAAGAAGAAGAGGCTGATTTTCAGCAAGTTTAAGAGAGACAAATCCGCCCCATGATCCAGGGCCCCTAGCATCACTTCACTTCTACACGTATGTATTTAATTCTGTTAGAGAACCGGATATCTATTCCATCTTACATCCACACCTATAACGTAGAGCCCTCCAGCTCCAGCTGTGCCCCCACTAATATTACTCCCGCTTATTGTTAACAATGCCCCCGATAAGCAGGTACCATACCCCATGCTGCATCGGCAAAGTAATGACGGTCGCTATCCCTGTCGCACAGGAGTGCTGGCATGAGCACGTTTTAAGGGTATAGTTCCCGAAGGGGTGGCTTGGCGCCGTGCACCACACTCCTTTTTCCGATGAGATACTGCAGGTGTTTAATTACATGCTCCGATCCCGAGTGCATGTCGCACAAAGCCTCGATCGGGTTATGGGACTACCCAGACCGGATGCCGGTGGGACCGGCACCACATCGGTATCCAGAGGGTTGACCGTGTCGGTGGCAGCACCCCATTGGCAGCACCCACCAGGCCCAGTCTGGAGCATCCACCACGTATTCGTGGGTGTCCTGGACCACATGACCCCGACGCTGTCGACTTACATCATTTCAGGTAGTTCACGTTACAGCGCAGCTTCCGTCTCCTTTCGGAAAAATGGTCAACAGCCAGCTTCTAATTTTATCGGTGTCTGAACCGACACTGATGACATGGAAACGGCCAGCAAGGGTCTTGAGGGGCACCCCCGTTGGAGGACGTGGTGGTGTTGGCCGTGGTGGTGGCCATTGAGGTGGCCATGGAGGCGCCTCCATGGCACACCAGGACACCCCCAGCCCACCACACTCGCCGGCCACTTGCCGTTTGCAGAATGGCGCGGTCACTGGTATTCCACATCGGCGTTGGGATTATGTGTCTGAGAAATATTGTGGCAATTGTGCGTCTGTGATGAGCCAGTGTCGTGATTTTTTGTGTCTGTGCATGTAATTGCTGTTTTGCGACCCATTTTACTGATAGCATATATATAGATCCACAGCCAGCCCCAACTACCACCTCCATTATACACTTACCAGTCACTCGCTCAACAATGGTTCCATTACCCACCTCAGACCGTGCCTTGCTCGGCGAACATGCCTTCTACGAAACCGGCAATTTGAAGCACGTTATGCCTTTCATGAAATTCCAGAATTACGACCTTGTGCTCAAGAGATACAACCATGGCTACGCCCACACAGGCCACGACTCGGGGGTCAATCTCAAGGCCTCGTTGTTGATGGTGGCCTTCGGAGTGCTTGTGCTCTACTTTGTGTCCAAGTACCTCATTCACCAAAAACCCACCAAGGAAGAAGATGAAGCCCATCATCTAGTATGACCTGAAACTGATTTTTCGCATCAGGCCTTTAATTTGAAAATTGGCCATTTTCTCGCTGAAACTTCACAGCTTCCAGTGCTTGCATTCTATTCGTCATTCTTCGCGTTAATCCGCATTGGGTCCTTTACCCTCCTTTTGCATACTTCATTTCTGGACTCGTCCTACGCATACTTCGACCAGTGCGTTGGTATCTTCGGTTTCATGGATCATATTTCTTTACTATGTCTTAACTAATCTTATTTAATTCCCCTACTTTACTCAATTCAATGTCCCAGATATTCCAGTCGAACCAGATGATTGTAGGAAATATTGTAAAAATGTGCCAGATACTGTGTGCGTCGATGAGTTGGTACACCGGCTCGAAGTCGCAGGCTTCGAACGACATCCCTATCATCATCCACACGTTCAAGAAAATCGGGATCAATGGAATGAGTCGGGTCTGCGACACAGAAAGCATGTTTAATTTAGTCAAGATTTTGGTCTCGAATGGTAAAATTTGCATCGAATTATTGTAGAGAAAGAAATTCTCCTTATACTTGCGGTTCACCTTCAAGGAATGTGCCACCCACAAAACAATCGACCCGAATCCATACAACAAATTGATCTTGGCGTTGTACCCGTAGTTCCAATTTAGCTTAAGCTTTATGCAATGTCCCACATAGATCATCACCATCACCACTTGCCAAATTACCAACTGCTTTGGTTTTTTGAATAGTTCAAAATATCTCACACTCACACAATTGAAGTTCGATAGCACAATTGCAAATGCCCCGTAATAATCAAGGGTCTCGGTAATTCGATTGTCTCTTATGTGGAACAAAATGCTTGCAGACCACCCACAGAGTGCAATAATGATAAAGTACACGTATTGGAGGTACATTAAGTGGTAGGTGTCGTGTGGATCTTTGCGGTTCTTGTTGTATTGGTGTAAAACCTTGAATAAATTAATGTAATTGGCGTAGAAATTTCCAAACGAAAAGATGACCAGAAAGATCTCTTGGATTCCAAATACCCTGGTAAATGGCCACTTTCCAAAGAATTGAACCATCGGAAGTCCGGAAGCCTTTCTTTGTTCTGTGATTAGTTGTTGGCATTTATAGCTGCAGTCGTCTTCACAATTCCAGAAGATGGCACTGATCGCCGATAATTGATGCTTCAGAGTGAAATAATCGATCTCAATCTGTCTTTGGGAGAGGCGTGGTTCTATTTCCTGTTCCCGTTTGTACACTTCTTCTCTTGATGCTTCGATCTCTTGGAAGATGTTACGGTAGCGACAATGCATTATCAGGATACATTCTTTGAGACATGTTTGGAATTCCGGAAGTGTATCACCGTAGGACGCATTTGCCAACCCATAGAGGCTCGCAAAGGCTATCACTGCTGAATTTGGTCTCATGTGGTTGTGCTTTATCTACCAAGTGGTTTTCGTGAACTTAAAACCACCACACACGTGACTTCAGACACGCGACCACATACGTAACTCCGAGTCTAGTCGTTTGTCTAAGAAGTTTCATCGAAGAATGTGTATTTGTATCAGAGTATTTCTAAGTAGTGATACGAATGTTTAAGATGGAGAGTTTCTCCAAATTTAACTAAGCGTGTTAATGATCGGAATTTTCACTCGGAGTTTCTCCAGACAGTCCTCTCAATTCACAAATGTCTATTTGGACTCGTGCAATGCTCTAGCTTGAACTTTGACATAGGCCACAGTAGAAAATCCGATGACAATAGTCAGGAAAAGCAAGATCAAGTTGATTGGGATCGGGTTCATGTCGAAGGTGGTATGGGTCAATTTATCCAATATGGTCTGACTGAAATTTAATGCACCAGAAATGGTCATAATAAGGCCATAAACAGTGCCGAAGGTATCAAAACCAAATACCATGGCACAGTAGTCACCAACTACGGTGTAGAACAATGGTCTGAATACCACGAAAAGACAGATGTTGATAACACCAGCAGCATAATTTCCAAACAAGCCAAAGACACCAATGGTGAGGGAAATCGCCAAAGTGGTGGTTAAGATGACCACCGATGAACAATTGTCGAGGAAAAGACCCACAAATGGAACAGAAATGAGCCCTCCCAATGGCAATGCCACATCAAAGAGTTTGTTCAACTTCTGGGCACTTTCCAAGTCGATCATGTACGCATACTGCGAGCCGATGGTGGCCACAAAATAGTTCAATCTCAACATCAGAATGATAGTGAACAAAACCATAAGATAAAACCAAGGAGTAGCGATCTGGTACCTAGCAGAGTGGCCATGCAAAACGCCAAAAATACCCCCCGCATGTTTGACCAATTGCTCTTGGCCTTCTTCTTCGTAAGGTTGTCTCAAGGCGTCACCAATGGAGTCTCTTCTTCCCAGGGGACGAGCATTTGAGGACGAGGCATCGGACTCCAACAAAGGAGAATTCTCATCCTCAGAAGTCACGGTGATGTGCTTTGCGGTGGCCTTGTATGACTCGCTGGGCATGATGGTGATCTGGGCCAACATCATGAAGAGAGGCACCACCAAGTATACTTTGAAGAAGTTCGCGATAGTGAAGACTCCATTGGATTTGTTGTAGAATATCTTGTAGACCAAGAACACGGCCGAAGAGGCATCAAATGCTCCGGTGATGACGGCGAGAATGATTCCACTCTTCTTTGGGAATGCGTTGGAGAGCTGGAACGAGGAGATGAATGCAAAGGGTCCACCCAACGACAAGAAACCATACCCTAAAATGTACGGATCAATAAAGCTAGCGGCAGCACTGATGGTTCTGGCGTAGATGAAGATAACAGACGCCAATGACAAGAAGAACGCTCCAAGTAATCCACACACCTTGGGGCCATAAATGTCCAAGGATCTACCGATGACCAAGGCAGAAACATTGGTCACCATGGCACCAACCGTGAACATCATGTTGAGCTTCAAGTCCTGATTGGTGCATTTGGCGGTGGAGTCGGCAGTGACGAAGAACTCGGCTGGTTTGGAAAGGATGGAAGCAGTTTGCATGGACATCGAGCTAGAAGAAACGTCACAAGCATGTTCATAAACGTGCTCATCGATAAGGATTGGCTTCAACGCAGCGAAGCCAAAGATGGGTCCTGCTGAGAGAAGACACCATATGACGGCACAAATACACTGGGCCAAACGACGAGATTGCGGGACCTCAGACATGGCGAACGTTGGAAGAAACGTGGTGGACTAATAAACGATACTGGGATCGATAGGCAATTAAAAGTGGTCCACTATGACTAGGGGTGGCAGGTGAGATGGAGGAACTCGATTGGAGGGACAAAACAAATGGGTTTGGTCGATAAGCAGGCGGAAGGGTCGGCGTTAGATGAGGATATTACTCGATGTTCCATGCATAAAATCGAGGCTTATAGATAAGAAAAAACTTGCCACGTGACTCCTTGTGGTCTGGAGTGGTTGTGATTGGTATGTCAGGCGAGCTGCCCGGGGAATGGGACATCCTGGCTGATGACACCGCTACACAAGGAGTATTGGCAAACTCCGACTAGAAGTTTTTGGGGTTTCCACCGTGCATTCTGAGTACAAATACCAGGCGTCTAGAATCATTTGGTGAGCATTCTAGAACAAGTGTCAAAAGTAGCGAGAAGTTCTGGCCAGCTTCTTACCATTAGCCAGACACGAGACTGCCTTTTCCGCCCGAAATTTACACTCAAGTCACTGTCTATCAGGAATTAGTTTATTAATATTGCTGGATTTGCACCCATGATTATTCTATACACTATTTACACACTGGGGTCTTTTTTCAGTGGGTCCTCTAAGGAGCCGTAATGGGATACCACCTCGGTGGTTTCGGTTTCAACAACTTCAGGTCTGTCCAAAGCTTCGAATGGAGCGCCAGTGAGTTTGCAGTAAGCCCAGATGGCCCCAATTCTCACAGCAGCAGCAGCTAAGGTGATGAGCATACCACCAAATGGGGCAATTACAAACGCACCAAAGGCTCCCCAATCAGAAGAGTCATAGATACCATTCCAGATCAACAACAATTTTCCACCCTCTTTGGCACTTCCGTAGTAGACAGTACCAAACACAAACACAGCAAGCAAGGCACCCAAACCACCACACATGATGTCGAAACCTCTGAGGAACCAGAACCACGAATCACTCAAGCCTAGGAACACAGCAGGAATAACGGCAGCAGACACCAAGTCAGCGATCAAGTAAATTTGCAAGATGTTGTCAGCCACCTTCACTGCCAATACAATGATGGGGGCCATGATGATGATCACCAAGCCTCTGATGTAAATGATAGGCAATTTGTTTCTGAACAAATCGTTGGAAATGGTAGACACCATGGCAGATTGCAAGGAGTCAAAGGTACAGGTGGACAAAAAGATACAGAAGATCAACACGAACGCAATAATCCAGTTAGGCATTTTGTCCAACAAAACGAAAAATGCATTGGCTCCGTTAGGATCCAGCACTGTCAAGTCCCCAGACCACACAGCCAAAAACCCTGGAACACCCACAAGAGTGGTGATGACAAACACAGCCACTGAGGCAATGGAACAACCAACAAGCAAATCCTTGTTGGTCTTACTGGCGAACGTCCTCAACCAGAAACCGGCCATGAAACAGTCGTTGGTCAAGATGGCCACAAATAAAATATACACCAATTGCCATCCGAGCTTGTTACCTTTCAATAAGCCACTCTCGCCAATTTTTGAGGGATCAATATGGATGTACGATCCCATTCCGCAAGCACAGATGATGATCAATATCACCACCAATGCACCTTGGAAATTGTCGGTGATGAAACTGACCTTGAAACCACCGTATGAAGTGTAGATGGAAGTCACTACACACTCCACAATAACGGCCCCCAAAGCACTCATTCCCGTCAAGGTTTCGATGGCTCCACGAACGGCAGACAATTCACCAATCATGAACAAAAACATGGTCAAGCAGGTGAAAAATGACAAGTAAAGACTGGTGACAGGACCATACCGTTGTCTGACCCATTCGGTGAAAATGAACCCTTCTGGGCACTTTTTACGGATGATGGGCCCCACCAAAGCAAACCCAAAGATGGGAATGGCACCGCACAAGGTGTACACCAACAAACCGTGCAAACCGGCCTGGTTGGCAATCTGAGAGTAGGTGGCCAAGATACCCACACCCATGGCTAATGGTTAGTATGATATTTTGTGCTAACTATCCTCACGCAAGTTTCAACTTGATCGAGTCCGTACGGTATAATCTCAGACTTTGAGCTTCTAAGAAGAAGCAGAAAGACACCCGTAAGTTAACACTCTACAGTATTTGTGATAGCCTGATCTCCGCCTGGAGTACGTACCTGAGGCAATGAAGTTGAGGGCCAATGGAATGCCCCTTTGGGTTCCGTTTGATGATAAGAATGTGTTCAGCGAGGAGTATTTCCAAGCCAAGAAGAGCCCGGTGAACAACAAGAAGGCATATGACAAGTAGATGATGGCGTTGTAGCCTTGTGACGATAACTGACCCATGGCAAAGCTTTTCAAGTGTATTCGATGAGTTCAGGATGGTGGGCCGGCTTTATATTCCCACACGGACTCGGGCGAAATTATATGCGCTTACAGGGCTCGGAGCAAGTTGGGCAAGTGCTTTTGCTTTTTGAGTGGGAACACTGTTGGTGAGCAGCACTGGGGTCATCTAGCAAGAAAGCAAGCTGGATAGGACGAGATGGGGGTTGCTGGGGGGACCAGTTGGCGGCGATGGAAGCTGTTGGCAAGGGGTGGGTCATTTCTGGCACTGCTCACGTGTCGCATCACGTGGAGATAACATCGAGCTTGTTTATTGCATGGCATTACCAGATCAACTGATGCTCTTCACCGGAAAAACTGAGAGATGCGGGATGATGTGAAGTGATCTAAAATCAACTGATGTTTCACACCGGAAAAATCTTAAGAAATGCCATTAAAGATGGTGTGCAAATGGTGAAGTGATTACCAGTTTGGAGGGGCAAGTGAGGTGATGTGCGGGAGGCGAGTGACAAGAAGTGTTCCTCACTGATGAAAGACATTTGATCTGGTCTATGGTGGACTTCGCTTCAGATGTAGTTCCCGCCCCCGGAATATACCAACACGTGTATATATGATTTCCGATCGCCAGGAGAGTTGATGGAGCCCCGTTGAAATGGTACAAAAGCAACCCCAAAAGCCTAAAATTGAAAGGCACAGTATATGGCAGCTTAGCTATCCCAGCACCGAGCCAGGCTGTCCAAAGGATCCGCACAAGAGCTATTACCCCGTTGAAGCTTATGCACGCACGTGACTAAAACTGCAGTCTGAACCGATCTCGCACTAGACTCGGTACCTCGCAAAAAACGTCCTCTTCCAAGATCACTCTCCATCTCGTTCCTACGTCCGCCCAACTGGGCAAGTACCGTATCTGTGCACTTTCACCACCATTCTGTTGGTGTCTCAAGCCCCTCCGGTGGTTTCGGAGTCTCGTCGCGTCCTGAACGGTTCTTCTTGGCGCTTCGTGGATCTTCTCGTACTCATGGCATCTCAGCTCATGGCATCTGTCATCGACGCGCTTGTGTAATGTTGACGTCGCGTCACAAACTCGAGGCTGGCTCGTACTTATTGTTGTCACATGATCCCACCTCCAACCAGCTGTCGTCTTGACGGCCCCAGGCTGCTCGTCTAATCCTACATGACAACAGGCCAGGGCACACGGCGGTGATAGTCTAAAAATCACGAGATAATTGCTGGGACCAGTTGGTGGGTTTGGCCCCTCAATGCGCAGCGATCGGTACTGCCCACCACCAGATGGTCCATTGCACACGATCCCCGTCTCACCACGGCAGGTCCCACCTGGCACCCACTGGCGCCTCCGTAGCCCACCTTCCCGCCGGGATCACGACGCCATTGTCACCAAACGCCTCTTACGTAAGCCCATCCGTCCCCGTCCTGGTCTCACAACGGCGCAGCCTCTCGACTAATTTGTTTGTAAATCTTCCAATATTACATCTGGTACCTGACTGCTTTTCTCCTGTCATCTTTTGCTGACTTCCTCCCTGTCTTTCGTCGTTGGTTCCTCCTGAGCCGGCTGCTGGTTCTCTCCGATCCTGATCCTGCTGATATCCCCACAACTCCATGTCAGACAATACCCACCACCCTGGTGGCTCCACAACCTCCAGCCCTTGCTTCAGCAAGCAAAACGAAGACACCTCCAACACCCTGTACGACTACGAGCTTGAGGTCGACAAGGGCCTGTTGACGTCGCCGTTCAACCCGCCCGCCTCCTCGTTCATCGCTGCCGATCATCCGGGACTCCAGGCGTCCAGCTCCAACAACAACATCAAGGTCATCTGTCGGTTCCGTCCCGAAGACGACTCGGAGAAGAACAGAGGCAATGTCATCGTATCGTTTCCCGACTCCCAGAGCGTCACTGTCGACGGCAGGGACGGTGCCTCCACCTACACCTTTGACCGCGTCTTCCAGGCAGACTCCACCCAGGAAGAAATTTACAAGTTCTCCGTGTACAAGTCGGTGGACGACTTGTTTAATGGCTACAACGGAACCATCTTGGCCTACGGCCAAACTGGGTCCGGTAAGTCCTACACCATGTTGGGGGCAACCGACTCCAAGAACAACCAGGGGGTGATTCCCAGAATATCACAAGAAATCTTTGCAAGGATCCAAAACGGCTCCTCTGAAATTGAGTACACCGTGGGTGTTTCCTTCATGGAGCTCCATTTGGAGCAGATAAACGATTTAATCGACACCTCTAACAACAACAACCCCGACCATAAATTCTCCATCCATTCCGACAAGGCTAATGGAATTTATGTGAAGGGATTATCACAAGCATTCGTTTCGTCCGTTGATGAGTTAAATTTAATACTATTGCAAGGGTTGAAGTTCAGGACATCTGTATCCACAAACATGAACATCGAGTCCTCAAGATCCCATGCTATATTCCAAATCAAATTAACTCAGAAACATATTCTGTCTGGAATAATGAAGCGAAGTCATTTGTTCTTGGTTGATTTGGCCGGTAGTGAAAAGGTTGATAAAACTGGTGCTCAGGGGCAAACTTTGGAAGAAGCCAAGAAGATTAATAGTTCCCTTTCGACTTTGGGAAATGTGATCAATGCATTGACAGATGGAAAATCTACTCATATACCATACCGTGATTCCAAGCTTACTAGGATATTGCAAGAATCCTTGGGTGGTAATTCTAGAACTTCCCTTATCATCAATTGCTCTCCATCTTCCCTCAACGAACCTGAAACCCTTTCAACACTTAGATTTGGTAATCGAACCAAAAACATCAAGAACACTGCCCACATAAATACCGAATTGAGTGCAAGCACTTTGAGGCAAAAGCTCTCCCAATTGGAAAAGACTAATGACAACAACCAATTATACATCAAGCAACTAGAATTGGAGTTGGCACAATGGAGAAACGGTGACAAGGAGCGGAAGATCCATATTTCACAATCACAATCACAACTGCCCCGTTCGTCGTCGATACCGATTGGTGCCAATATACCCTCCAGTGTTAGAAATTCTATGATATCCCCTCGCACCCCAACCAAATTACCAGTACCAGTTGGAGCAGTTTCAGGGACCGCCAGCACAGGTGCCGCGCTTGCGGCCGCTGCTACCAGCAATAATCCTACACCTGGTTCAAGAATACCATCAGGTGGAATGATTCCTATTCCTGCATCTTCTTCCCCATTACCTCCTTCAAAGTCAACCTTCCAACTCAGTGAAGACATCGAGAGAAGAGACAAAAAGATTGCCGAGTTAGAACAAATAATCCTTGGCATGAAAATGAATAATCTCAGAAGTAGCCACGCGGAAGATTCGAAGTTGTTTGCCCTTGAAAATTCACTTTACAAGATTAGCAACAAGCTCAATGATGTTGAAGCTATTAATGATAATTTGCGCAAACACTTATTAATCAGTGAAAAGATAATTGAAAGCCGTGATCTCAAGATCAATAAACTCAAGGGCTCCTTGAAAGAACAACAAGTTCAAATTTCCCGGGAGACGTTAGGGTTTCGTCATAAATTGGGGGACATCCAACAAAAATTGGATATATTGAATAAGGAAAAACAAGAAGAAATATACTCTCAGGCTAGAGAGAGCATAATGAGAGAGAGTATGTACTCAGTGGATAGCAAGGCTAGGGACAGCATGTTCTATTTGGACAACAAGACAAGGGAGACTTTTATAGATATGGATCAGAGATCGTTCTTGGAAGAACAAAAGAATGCTAGGAGAGATGCAAACATGGTGCTCAGACACAATGAAAGTAAGCTGATTCACCTGTCCTCATCAATTGATGATCAAAGCGTGAAAGAAGTAGCTACTTTCTCATCCGAGATTCCAATTGTATCAGCCTCTGAGACTGATTCAAGGCATTCAGTGAAAAGCATGAGAACTATTGATGAACATAGAATATTCAGGACTCCAGTTATTGCCCAAAAAGGATTTGATTTTGAGAAAAAGAGCCTGAAACGTTTTTCAAAGGTTGCCCCACCTACAGAGGATGATGATAGTCTCCCAGAATGTGATCTTGACGATGTACAGCTTCCAGAAAGTAACCTCACAGGTGACGATTTGTCAGGTAACGAGCTGTCGGGAAATGAATTGTCAGTCAATGATGAAAAAACCAGTAACTCGGAAACATTGACTAGTACTGGAGAGGACTCTAAGATGAATTTGAAACGATTCTCGTTGATTGCAACCAAAAAGAGAGATTCAGGCGACGAAAATGATAAATCAATGTCTAACAAGAGTGTGTCTCTTATTGAGCATGATAGCACCATTCTTAATTTCCATCAGGAGTTTCTTTCCATAGGCGAGTTTTTGGCTGAAAGCAAATCAAAAACTGGCTTGGTGGACACCATCAGAAATTCAATAAGCGATCTCAATGAAGATACTTCAGAAACATCAGGTATGTTTGATGATCCTCCAAATTCACCCAAAGCTGGCCTTAACTTGAGAATCGTTAAACCTTTACGTGGGGGTAACATTATACAGAAGATGAATTTATTTCAGTGATAGACTGGTACTGTTCAACAAATATACGAGCTAGCGAGGCTATTTATGCAAAGGATTATGTACAGTAAAACAAACGAGGCCATTAGGGCCACCAGTGGACACTCTAAGTGCATTCTGACTTTCTGCCCAATTAAGACTCTCACAGTAGCATTGCTGGCACCAGTATTACGTAGTCCCTGCTATCGTGTTGCTGTAATCTTCCTTCAAAAAAGCATTCAAACTCCGAGCACCCTTTTGGTCTTGTGCGTTTTGCGCATTATAAGTGCGAATCGGACCATCACTAAGTCTACTTCTTCTTAAACTACACCAATTGTGTGCTATCTCTGGCGAACAGGACTACAAGCTCACCATACACCATGCAAATTTCCCAGGCCCGTGAGGCCAGACTCAGCGAGCTCAACAACCAGATGTGGCAGGCAGGAGTCACAGGGATGCTTCGTGGGAGTATCTTTGCACTTGTCTCAGGAGTCTTTTTCAACTACAAATACAACCACGGACACAATGTCAGGTTCTTCAACACACCATACAAGGTGTGGTGGTTCATCAGTTGTAACGTTGTTGGAATCATTTTTACAACCGACATCGCTAAGCACAAGATCTCGCAACAGGTTGCGGTCGAGGATGAAATCAGGAGGAACGAGTATTTGCAGAACGAAGTGTACCGGAAGTGAACATGGTGCATTCCAGCTTCAGTAGTGATGCTAGCGGTATGAGCTCTAACGGAGTGAAGGCTTACTTTCGGCTAGGTGCAACGCTCTGTTGATGTGACTAGTAGGTGTATCTTCCGTCAGGCAATGGAAACCTCTATCAGCGGAGGAACAGGTTGGTGATTTAAATTCAGACGATATATGGCTTGGTCACCTTTGGATTGTCGAATTGACCAGTCTTTGGCCAACACCAATGCTCTGAAGGCACTACAATCTGGTGAAGCAAACAAATGAAACTCTTCACGCTACAAATTCAGTCACTACGGCTGCTTTGAAAGATGTCAGCCAACTATTTAATTAACGTATATATCATGAATGTAATTTTGGTAAGTAACTGCAAACCACGCTGTGGCTAGACATTGAATGACTCCTCGTGGTACTTTAAGCCGTACTCCTTGGCCCAAACCTTGACATTCAGAACCAATCCTTGGGGCCCTGCTCCAATCACCCAAATCTTCTCAGCATCGATGTCTGCCTGTTGGACCTTATTTTTAGGAAGATCTCGACAACAAACGAGATTATTGGAGTCATCATGTACCGGTCCAGAGCACTGCGTGAATCCCTCGTTGATACACCAGTTATAGTACTTGTAATTCAAAGTTGGTCTTCCTTTGTACACTTTGTGTTCGAGGTTTAGTCTCTTGACTAAGCTGGTGAACTGTTGAACGTACAGTTGGATGGTTTCAGATGCGTTTTCACTGTAATGTGGAATAAACTGGTCGTTGAAACTACTGGTAGTTTTGTTAGAGTGCACCCTTGTCAATGGTTCACTGGTTGACTGAATTAATTCTTCAAGAGAGTTCGAGTCAATATCGTCCTCATGGGCAAAATGAGGATTCGACGACTTGAACGTATTGTCATAGGCAGCACACTCTTCATCATCATCCTGCAATTCCTCTTCCTCAGCTACATCCACAGAAACACGTACGTTTTCAATTTGGTTTTCATAATCCAAACTGTAACTATCGTAGCCATCTTCCAAATCTTGCCCTAAAAGTGGATCTGATTCACCATTGTACATGTTAGAGGAAGAACTAATTTTGGAGAAGATCGATGCAAGACTCTTTCTGTTCCTGACTCTTGGCTCGTTGTCTTCATCTCTTAATTCGGTATCACCAGTGACAAAGATTTCGAAGTCATCTCCATGGATAAAACCATCGAAATACTTCAAGATATTAATATCTCTGAAATCCTTGATAACCCATATGATCTTGACAGGAATTCCATGATAATTCATGACACGAAGTATGGGTAATGCAAACGATATGGCAGACCCTCCCACAACTATAAGAACTCTCTTTGCATTAATACTCAATTTACTGATTGAGAAATTACCGGACTCTTTGTTTTTAGAGTTAATGAATAACAAGTGTGGATCGTAGGACCCACAAATAAGATACTTGCGGTCGTTCAAGATTTGAAAGGTACTGGGTCTGATGATCAATTTCTGGAAGTTATCTTGGGGCAAAGAAGCTAATGTATAAGGGTGGTATTCTGGAATGATCTGGTTGTACCATCTTTTTATGAATGATGAGTGATACTTGGTCAACCTTATATGAGCACCGGGGTTTTTGGCTTTGTTAGATATGAGATTATTTGGAAACTCCACAAGTAACAAGCATGGAGACACAGTGATGACCTTGAGATCCAACTTCGTTGGGGTGCCTTTGGTCAACCAAACCCTGTATGCTATTTGGCCAACCAAAATGCTGAGGTTAAGGATGGTATAAGGAGTGAATTTTGTGGGCCTGATATGGAACTGTAAGCATATGACGATGATCCAGGACCAGGCATAGTGGTTAATATAGAATAACCTGTAGTATCTGTTTCTCAACTTCAGCAAAGAGGTGATGATAATGATGACAAATCCAAGAATGCTTGCCCAACCATACAAGTTCTCTGTTTTGAGGGCCTTGGCCCAGGTGTTCTTTTTCTGGAAAAATCCACAGTAGAGCACGGTATGGATGATTGCCTGGATGATGATAATTCTCGACAAGGTTTTGTGGATGGGCAATAGGTTCAAGTAAAGGGTTTTTGGAAGGGGCGAAGGCCTGATACTAAGAAAGAGCACGGTGGGTAAACACACAGCAGAGACCCTTCCCAAGCGCTTGGCCAAAAAGATCAAGTCGCCATGGTAGAGGTCTACCAACGAAAGCGACGACAACAACGAGATCCAGAACACGATCTGAATGATGGAGCCGGCATGGTACGAGACCTTGAAGATGAGCGACTTGACGCGAGAAGCCACGGCTGCCTTGATTTGTGGGAAAGCGTGACGCTTGGCCCGTAGAGCCTCGCCAGTGTAGATGTATGCATTGAGTTTATGGTTGATGGGGCGCATGATGGAGATCCGCCTGAATGGGCCGTAAATGTTGAGGTAGTTGTAGAGCGGGATGAGGAGCACCACCACCACCAACACCACGGTGGCGATGGCACCGTAGCGGTCGGTGGTCAGCTGCCGTAGCCTGGAGTACTCCTTCGATTTGGTGATGGGGTAGTGGAAGTACTCTCCCAATGGCGGCTCAGTGTTCATGGGGGACGTGATGAGAAGGGGTGCTGATGGCCAAGTTAGGAACAGGGCCTGGTAGCAAATATGCAAAGAAGTTCTGGCAGGGCCGAATGTAATTATCAGATCGGAAGATCACGTCAAAAAGCCATAGCAGCCCAAAAATTGTCGTGCCTGAGAAATTGGGTGAGATCGAATAGATAACCGCGGACCCAAGCGAACAATACCCGAGCCCACGATGGGACGGCACCGTGGCGTGCCAGTACATGCGGCTGAGAGGAAGCTTTGAGTTGGGAGCCTAGATGACGGAGGAAGCTGGTTGGAGGGAGGGAAGGGCAGTAATTAGACCCAGATGCCTAGACTATTGTGGTGCGGCATGCCAACATAATAATTAAATATTAGTTTCAATATTAGCTTCAATAGGTAGGATAGGCGCAACTGAGCCAGGGACAGATTTGGACTGAAACGGGTGCGGTTTTGGCAGTGCGTAAGGCTATTAGACTGCGGTGAATGATTTGCAGAGAATCTGCCAGTTAGCGGTTTTCACTTCGATAATTTAGACTCATTGGGGAAGTCTACAATCTTCGATATACATCATCCCGCATCTGTGTTTGCTTCTCAAACTTCTAAAGAATAGTGGCACTCTGTATACTTTAGCACCGACATCTGTCCGTATCATCGATACACAATTACTCATGCATATTTCAGAACTAACATCTGTCGAAATTATTGATAAAGTATTCTCATGTGCCATCTCTCATCTGTCTGCAATCTTCGATACAATATCAACACTCATGAAGTCTACACACAATTTAAGCACAACGCTCATTTAAATTAGCACCGTTACCTGTCTGAATCTTCGATATGATTCCATTCTCATTTAATTACCGAACAAGTACGGCTGTTCGTCTCTCCTCTTTCGGATTCTGACCACCTGTTTAGAGCTGTCCCACACCAGCCGATGACGACACGAGCAGAGGTAGTCATCACCCATCGAGGGTTTCTCTACAATTACTGGATCTATCGTCTATGAATAATACACACTCAGTCGAACTGAAGTCTATGCTAATGGAGCCCTGCCCCAGGACCCGCACTCAGTACAAATTCCTTATACTTTTCAGCTTTTGCTTTTTAGACTTCGACATCTCGATCATCCCCGAACGGGTGGGTTTAGATCTAGACTGCGAGTAATTGCCCTGGTTGGAGTAATTGCTTTGGCTTGAGTAGTTTCTACTGCCGAAGCCCGTGTACCCATTATTATTGCTGTAGTTTCTGTCGTTGTAGCTGTTGCGGTTGTTGCGGTTAGCGTTCCCGTTCATGCCTTGACTAGGGTTCCGTATGTATCCTGTTCTTGTAGGTTGTTTGCCTGTGTCATACTTCTTGAAGCTGACAGCAGCAGGGCCTCTAGGTGGCAATCTGCCCGTGTTTGTAGGCTTGTCATTGCTGGAGAAATTTCTAGGATTATTCCCATAATAATCACGTTTGTTACCGGAACTGCTTCTTTGCACCTGCAAGAAGTACAACGGTCTGACGCTCTTAGGGAGATTGCTGCCGCTAAATGCACTGCCAAAGTTGGGCACACGAGACGTTCTGGACTCAGGGCACTCATCTCCATAATGCTCGGGACTGGCACAATTGTAACAGTATATTATGGGAAGTACCAGGCTCTCTGTTTCGTCTTTATCGTTGGGCTTGGTCAAGTAGGACCGCCAAATGCTGGGGCAGTTTTCTTCACCGTGGCTGAAAGTATCACAGTCACGACAGTACTGTCTCTTTCTGGTCTTGCTAGTGCAACTGGCCGTCATGTGGCCCTTCTCTCCACACCTGGAGCAGATCATAGTGGTGGGGCACTGGGTCTCATAATGGTCTCCTACTACACCACACTTGTGACAGACCACAGTCTTACACTTGGCCCGTATATGGCCTCTCATGTGGCAGTTGGCACACAAGGGCCCCAAGCTCTGCTGCGAGTTCACGGTGGTACCGGACGAGGGGTCTGTCACTCCAAAATAACGGCCTTCTCCTCTCAACTCGATCAACTCATCTGCGTCGTTATTGACTTGTTCGAACGTGAGAGATGTGATGGTGTTCTTGTCATGCGTATCATTTTCTTTATTTTCTTTGTCATTTTTGGCCTTTTCGGGCTGGGACTTCGACACAGACTCGACACCAGATTCCTCCTTGGATTTGATGTCCTTTGCGGCTCCGTTTGTCTTGTAAGGTAGTATTTCTGACATGGTCGATGGATTACAAAATTTTCTATGTCATCTACGTTGATAGTGCTATCGCACAGGAAATCACGTGGGTCAACACGTGATCCAGAAACACGGGGTCAGGCAAAGAAGAGTTTAGGGATATGGCAAGCAAAGGTACCATCGTCGGCTCAGAAAGCAGAAATCCTTCCATCTCTATGGCTCCTCAAAAGCATTTATTACTCTTATTAGTGATCGCGTTATGTATTCATTAAGTGGTTTCGCATTTCAAGCAATTGCCTGCTACTTGTCTGCTCAGAAAAAACATGAGCTTCCAAGAGACCAGCAGGAGGTGGGAGACTGGAAGAAGATGGGGACAGTGGTGCTAAATAGAGCCTTACTGCTTGTCTCTTTTCCGTCAAAGAATTGTCGTTAGATTGTGACACATCATGCCCAGGTAATGGTGACCAGCACGGCTAATCATTCTCTTTTATTAGCCTATAATACATTTCTGACAATATGTTCACCCACCTGGCCCTGGACAGAGTCATCGGTGGTCTGGAGCGAGGACTTCAAGTACTCTTGGTTCTTGAAGTATGCCAATGCATAGCAGGAACTGGCAAACAAGAAGAAGATAGCAACCACAATCAAACTGGTGACTTGCAAAGTCAATGAGAGCCACTGGATCACACTCATCAACAAGTAGAATCCGCATCTGGGCAAGTTGTCGTCAAAGTTACGGATAAAGTTTGTGAATTTGTCTGTCAACGGACATATCTTCAACAAGAAGGGAATCTCAACGAACACGACTATCAATCCTTGCACGATACAAATGATGGAGAATATTATGACCAAGGAGGCGTGGAAGATGTTGGCAATACCCAAGGCCAAACAAAGCAAGACAGTCAAGAGACCGATCCATTGGCCATACAAAGAGAAGTTTTTCTTCTTGAAATCAGACGAAAGACGTCCGAAGATGTTGTTGGAGATTGTCTGAGCAAGAGCCATTTTGTATGATCAATTGAGCTAGAGATGACTGGTTATAAAGTGGTAGTGGAAACCGTGTTAAAAATTACCTGAGAAAAGTAGTGGGGTTGACAAAAGACTATGAGCATCTTCAGATAGAGCCAAGAACAGAATAGCAAAAGATCGCTGCAAAGTCGTGGGAAGTGCTAACGGATTGAAGAACTGTGTTGATCTGCTAGTAATATAACTCGTCTAGTCCTTACACCCTTTGTCATTACCGTGGAATAAAGCTCATAATGGGAAGAGAAACTGTCATTGCACTTGTTGGAAAACCGTCTAGTGGAAAATCCACCACTTTGAATTCATTAACCGATGCTAACGCCAAGGTGGGTGCGTTCCCGTTCACCACCATCGATCCTAACAAGGCCACAGGCTATTTGGAAGTCGAGTGTGCCTGTTCTAGAATGAAACTTCAATCTCAGTGCAAACCCAACTACGGCTATTGTCGAGACGGCAAGAGAGGTGTCCCCATCATGTTGTTGGACGTCGCAGGGTTGGTGCCGAATGCTCACTTGGGACGTGGTTTGGGTAACAAGTTTTTGGGAGACTTGACCGAGGCCGATGCCTTGATCCATATTGTGGACGCCAGTGGAACCACCAATGCCGAAGGAAAGGCCACTAGAGGTTACGATCCACTTGCAGATATCGAATGGTTGCAGGACGAGATTTTCAGATGGATTTTGGGCAACCTTACCGAAAGATGGGGCTCGGTGGTGAGAAGACATACCGCTACCAAATCCAGTACGTTGGAGACTTTGAGAGCACAGTTGGGTGGTTATTCGGCAAACAAGCAATTGATTGGTAAAGCATTAGATCTTTTACCAGGACTTGCTCCATTGCAGGAATGGGATAACGAAACCATCGAGAAGGTCGTGAAAGCCTTCATGAAAGTCAAGTTCCCCACCATTTTGGCTTTGAACAAGATGGACCATCCAGATGCAGACAAGAATGTGTCTAAAATTATATTGAAATATCCCGACACCAAGGCGGTGTTGACCTCGTCCATAACCGAGGTGTTTTTGAGAAAGTTGGCTGGACAAGGATACATCAAGTACGACTCTGGCACAGAATTTATTGACACAGCAGACGATATTCCTGGCTTGAAGCCATTGGATGACAAACTTCGTAATAGAATAGAGAACATTAGAGACTTGGTCCTCTACAGGTTCGGATCGACAGGGGTGGTGCAGTTATTACAGGCAGCAGCCGAGACCTTGGATCTCATTCCATTTTTCCCGGTTAGAAGCATGAATTTCAATGGGGAGGTATTCAGAGACTGTGTGCTTGTCAAGAGAGGAACCCCAGTGATTCTAGTGGCCAGAAAGATCATGGGAGAAGTCACCATTGCATCCATCGAAGGAGTGGGTGGAAACAGAGTATCCGAGGATGATACTGTCGATGTGGGCAAGAACGATATCTTGTCTTTCAAGGTGGTTCCGGGTGGAAGATAGGCCTGGTGCTGGTAGAACTAGGTAGGAAGCTCCTAAGACCTGGCTTCCCGTAGCTTCATCTGTATATCGTGTGTTACCATCCATATCGTTTATAGAATTGTACATAATGGACCCACGAAGAGTGGTAATAGACGATTTTTCTAAGCATAAGACTGTATTCAAGTAGAATGGGTTGTGAATATTAGTGCTTTTGCAATACAGACTTTCCAGTAGTAGATGCTTTTCACGGGCTAACATACCTGGTAAATATTACCGAAGAAAATCCATTTTCAATACTCTTCTGCTTAAAAGACTACGTTGTACACGTAAGCCGCCAATGGCTCTCTGTTGAAATGGTTAAACGGTTTCTGATTGTAATAGACGGATTCTCACGTAATAGATGGATTCTAATGTAATAGACGGATTCTAGGGAATTGTAGCATTTCCAGATGTTCTATCGAGCTCTACTGTATCTATATACAGCACCGAGTATATGTCCTTAAAGACTGTTTCTACTGATGATATTGTGGTCCTCCAGGATCAGTTCTACAATTGTGCTCGCCTGATAATTTGAACCAGGTGATATCCGAATCGGAGCAAAAAGTAGCCCAGCACAAATGAGTGACCATTCCAAGCCTACAGACACTACGACTACTGAGCCCGCTACGCCCAAGGAGGCAGTCGCTGAACATGGTGAGACCGTTGAAACCACCATCAAGAGCGTGAAAATCACCAAGGAGCAGACGGCAAAACTACAACAATTGGTGTCGCTACTTCCCCAGATCTTGAAAGAAATCGACAATCAAGAGTACGACGAGATTTTCGGCTGGAGGATCAATGTGGCTGACAAGGAGCACGTGGACGTTGGGGTCAGAAACGAGATTCTCTTGAAGTTCTTGATCGCCCATGAGTATGACGTGCAAGCCACCAAGGCGAAATTGGTCAAAACATTGAACTGGAGAAACGAGTTCCAGCCGTTGAGCGCGGCATTCGACGAGGTTTTCACCAAGGAATTGGCTGATTTGGGAGTCATCACCTACTTCAAAGACCTCGACAACCACAACTTGAAGGTTGCAACCTGGAACCTATACGGCAACCTCAAGTCGCCCAAGAAGATCTTCGAGAAGTATGGATCCGGGGCAGGCGAAGACGACGAATTGCGGCCGGGGTCCCAGTTTTTAAGATGGCGCATCGGGTTGATGGAAAAGTCGCTTGGATTGATCGACTTTACCGACCCCCACAACTCCAAGATCGGCCAGGTCCACGACTACAAGGGGGTGTCGATGTTTAAGATCGACCCAGGAATGAAGGCCGCCACCAAGGAAATCGTGACCATCTTCGGGGACAACTATCCCGAGCTCTTGTCCACCAAGTTCTTCGTGAATGTGCCCTCGTTGATGGGATGGGTATTTACGTTTTTCAAGAAGTTGGGGGTGATCAGCGCCGCGACTTTGAAGAAGTTCCAGGTGATGAACCATGGCGACTTGTCCCCATGGTTCGGCAAGAGCCGTCTTCCTGCCGTTTATGGGGGTGACAACGAGAAGGTCAAGCTGATCTTCGAGTTGGAGGCCGCCCAGAGTGTCAAGGTGAGTGCTTACGGAGAGATCTTATTGAAAAAATTGGGAGACAAGCAGATCGCTGCGGTCAACGACGATGTGGAGTAGGGGGCCCTAGTCACAGCCGAGCCCTATAGACAATAATGTATGAGTCCCAAGCGAGCGGGGTGGATCACCGTGTAGGCGATAGAGGGGAGGATGGGGAAATGCGAGTTGACTGATAGGAGGACCCTTCCTGCACCTGGAAGTTGTTCCGGTTGTTCCTGGCAGTTTCGCCGACGACTCGTGGTCAGGAGCTGCGGGGCCAGGGGTGGTGGTGGTCGTAAACACGCAAGTAGCCACCTCGTCATTTACGATGGTGGGAGCACATTGTGGGGTACATCACGGGGGGGTGTGTCACGCGACGCGACCTCCGGGTCCTGTCGCAGCACCACTATGACGCACCGGAGTGCGGGTCCGCCAGGCCACAATAACCACAAGTGGGCCGCTAGCCCACGATAAGCCCACCACGCCACGGGACCACCGGATGGCTAAACCGCGTGACATCCACCATTATTTGCACCGTTACTCCCACCGTTACTTCCACAGTCCTACTTCCCCCTCCCTAATCTCCCTCTCCCTCTCCCTCCCTAAGCCTTGGCCCGCACCACATTGTCGTTGTTCCCGCAGCAACTCTGCCCAGTAATTGTTCCACTCGCAACCGCTGTGTACACTCCAGCCTCCAACGCCTGGAACCTCCGCCCCTCTGCGGAGTTATCTTTGATCTGAGATAGTTAGTGACGATATCCTATCCGTGGGCCACAACTGCCCAGCACAGCACAGCACAGCGCCAGTCAGACATCCAGTCGACATCACAAATAGACATCAAGTGGCACGACTCTCGGCCTTGCACATCCAGTGACTTCCAGTGACATCCACTCTGCTACATCACCACCTCCACTACTTCCTCCACCACTAGTTCTATCCCTCCTCCTCCCATGCCCCGTGCCTTCAGCCTCGACAAGTTCAAGCACAAGGTGGGCCGCCGCTCGTCAGAGCCGTTGTTGTTGGTGGAGCCCAACCCTTCCGCTTCCGATAGGAGAAGCAGCACCAGCAACCCTTCCATCGTGATTTCTGACCCCAACCCCAGAAACCACGCTGACGACTCCGAAACAGGCCCCCAGTACGCATCGTTGACGGCCCACCCCCGTCTCCGAGCCCAGTCACTTTCTATCATCAACTCCCACTCTAGATCGCGGTCCCGGTCCCGCACAAGAAGCGGCAGCACCCACGCCGCCAACACTTCCAAGAAACAGGTCAAAGAGCTCATCAAGCAGGAAAGCGCCCACATCATCCTGAAGAAGTTGGTGCACACCCTCCACGAGTTGGGGCTCCAGAACCCCATCCCGCTCAAGGCCACCAACGGCTCCCCCAACGGCTCGGTGTCCAAGACCACCAAGCTCTACGTGGCCAACACCAACGACTGTATCTACCTTGCGCCCGCTTCCCTGGCTAGTTTCACCTACGAGGACGTCGAAAATGGCGGCAACGCTTCCAACAGCAACAATTTGAACGCCAACGACCTCTTGGACATGGACTCTGAATACAATCAGCACGCCTCGCATGATGACGAGTCGGCAGTGGTTTCTGACGACGACGACCCCATACTCAGTTCCCACTTCAACGAAAACGTCCGCCGACACAGCAACAGCTTCAACAACAGCGTGACCGCAGATCCCAACTTGGAGAACATCCCCTCCAGGTTGCAGCAAAAGATGGACTCGTTCAGTTCTCCTAATTACCTTTGTACCAAAATTGATTCCGACAAGCCTATTCCCCACACTTTTGCCGTTATTATAGAGCTCAGCAAGGACACCAGAAGTGTCCGTGATGTCAAATTCGAATTCCAATCCATGACCAATATACTATGGCCCACAGGTGATCCATACAGCAAGGGCCATGTTCGCGAACGCTTCAGAATCGGCCACATGGAATGGAACACAAGTCTAGGCGAGGCCGATTACTATATCAATTCATCCAACACCAACGACGTGAAGACAAAGAAACTCACCCCAGACGACCTAGCCAGGCGTACTAGAGAGTACAAGCTAATCAATATTAGAGATTTGGCAAACGGGGTGGATAAAGCCAATAAGGCGAAAGAAGACAATTGGCTGACCACCTCATCCAACGGAACTCTCTCGTACAGCACTCCCGGGGCTTCATCTTCGTCGCCAAACGACGTATTTAAAGCGGGTCACTATGTGTTCCTACTTCCAATTTTACTTCCGCAGCACATCCCAGCTACTATAGTGTCTATTAATGGTTCACTAGAACACTCTTTGTTTGTGTCTTTTTCCAAAACCAGTGACAAGATTAACCGTAAGGTTAAAGTTCTTGGAAACTACCAACTTCCCATGGTTAGAACACCACCATCCTTTGCAAATTCGATAGCAGATAAACCCATTTATGTCAACCGGGTTTGGAATGACTCTCTCCACTACATTATCACATTTCCTAAGAAATATGTGGCATTAGGAGCAGAGCATGTGGTGAATGTCAAGTTAGTTCCTTTAGTTAAGGATGTGATCATCAAGAGAATCAAGTTTAATGTTTTGGAAAGAATTACTTATGTCTCGAAAAATTTGTCGAAAGAGTATGATTACGATAGTGAAGATCCTTATTATTTGAGGGGATTATCATCCGACAATAAGGTCAGAGAGAGAGTGGTCCCTTTGTGTGAATTGAAGACAAAAATGAAGCCAAATAACACATCTGGTAATGAGCCTTACAAAGAAGAAGTAATAAAATGTCCCGAGAATAATTTGTTGTTTGTTTGCTATGAGCCTGATGATGAATTGGACAACTTAAACTTGAACGATCCCTTATGCAAAGGCGATCAGCAACCAAACACAACCATTGCATCTCCTTTGGATATTAATATTGCCTTACCATTCCTCACCACAAGGACGGATAAGACCATGCTCACTAACTCAGATGGAGATGACTCAGATCTTACACCAAGACAGGGTTCAATTTCGAATGATAGGTTTGCTTCTGTTGATGGAATGGGTAAGAGACCGTCTAAGTCGGATCAAGGTGCTCCTTCTTCCCCTGGTCTCTCACCAACTTCACCAATAATTGGCACATTGGAGACAAACATGAGTCACTCGTTCAGCAACAATGAAGATTATTCAAGTATGAATGATTTCTTTACTCCGGATTCTTCTGCGTACATCAATGATGAACATGGAACAAGTTCCAGCCCAAGTGAGAATATTCAACTGGGGTTCACACATGTGGCACGGGCCTTGTATCCAGACTCAAATTTCAGGCATGTTCAAATTCACCATAGATTACAGGTTTGTTTCAGGATCTCTAAGCCTGATCCGAAAGATGATTTCAGAATGCACCACTACGAAGTTGTTGTTGATACGCCGTTAATTTTGGTAAGTTCCAAATGTAACGACGAGTCGATCCAATTACCAGAATATGATGAAATATTTACTACCCAAGAATTTGGGGAACCTACAGGATCCAAGCCAAGATTCAGAACCCCAAATTTTGGCACTGCAAGTTACGACAACAACGGAGTTACCATCAAAGCTTTGAACGAACAGGGAGATGAACGCTTACCATCATTTGAAGAAGCTACATCTACCCCTTCGTCCCCAATTACCAGGACATTTTCGATCTCTGAGGACCCCTTGAGTCGAATACCATCAATTTCAGCGCTGGGACCGTCTTTCAATCCGAATTATCTACCCAGGGGTCCTGCTCCCGCTTACGAAGCCCCATCATCACCTTCTCCAGCTCGCCCCAGTAATCTTGAGGATCCAGTGCTTGGCCCATTGAACATCGATCAATTGGTGAATCTTGATTCAGCTTCATCAAGTTCTACTATCAGAACTTCGAGATTGCGATCGTCTCTAGTAAGTTCGTTCGCACCAGTCTCGGCATTGTCAAGTGACAGTGCAAGTGGGGATCAAGAATCTGGCACCGCTAAGTCATCAAGCAATAGCAGTACTGGCAGTAACGATAACGGAAGTATAAGAAGCCAGTCACGCAACGATGAATCCAGCTGCTCTTCAACTTCGTCAAACGAGCCTGCCAACCAATATTCATTGGAAAACTTATCAACACCCACTTCGTCGTTCATGACAAATGTTGACCCTACGGCTCTTGAGCCTGAAATTGAGACTCAGAAGGAAGATGTCACTGAATCCAGCAGTGAGGCAAATTCTCCCACGAAGACCGAAGCTTCTGATGAGAATGCACTAGTTTCCGACGACTCCGAAAGTGAATTCAAGGACGATGATTCGGATGGCGAGAACGAAGACCAAACTAGTCTCGTTACCCAAGAGACTAACTTTTCACAGAGATTACCATTACTCCATTATATGAGTAATGAGACGATCGTCACCAGGAAACAACTTAGCCGTACGGTGACAACCAATACATTAGGAGTGACCAGAGAGGACGAGGAGTCTGATGCCGTTACCTATCAGAATAATAATGTTTCAACAATCTCAATTGGCAATAAAGGCAAGGTGCCTGTCGCTCAAGATTTAAAGACTTATATATCATAGATACGTCGTGCCTGTAGAACGGGTTTCGATGTGAACTTAATATATATTCAGGTTAATATTTAGATAAGTTTAGACAGTGTAATTTTGCCCTTTGTAACAATATAAAGGGGGGAAAGAGGTAGAGTTTGTGTGAAACAGAATGTGGCCTGCCTTATTATGAGTCAAATAGTTGACTTGTTCATTCGCTATTGGCTTGCGAGTGTGAATTGAAAATAGTATATTTTTCGCAACTATTTGATATTAATTGCACCCAATGAAAGCAAGTTTAATGCTAATACTGGACTAACAAATAATAAGTACCACAAACCATCTATTATTGACCCGTGGACATCAAATTCAGTTTGAGGGCTCTATGGACATCAAACACTCCCTCAATGGTTCTCAAACTTGATGGTTCAATAATTCGATTTTGTGAGAGATAAATTCTTGTAGTTAAGTTAGGATGCTTTCACTTGTGGTTAGCAACTAGACTGAATTATTTGTATCTAAGCCCTTTTGTAAAGATAGCAGGTGCCTGCAACGGCTAGTTTTCTGTTACCCAACATCGGTGTATTTAATCCACTCTGATTACATAAGCCTATTCTCTACGCGAAGGTGGAGTCTATCAATGAGCTGATCGATTCCTCCATTCTTTCACAATGACATTGACCATCCCGCCAAACGGCAAAGTTGCCGTGATTGGTGCCGGAGTCTCGGGACTCTCCTTTGCATATTTCCTCAACAAGCTTCGTCCCGACATCAATATCCATATCTTTGAGAAGAAACCACATGTAGGTGGCTGGATCGACTCATTGACATTGTCCACCAAATCTGGTGACTCCATACTTCTAGAAAAAGGCCCCCGTACGCTCCGAGGAGTCAGCGATGGGTCACTTTTGATTGTTGATATCTTGAAGAACCTAGGGCTGGCCCAACTGATTGAGGTGATAGAGAAGAGTTCGGTTGCAAATAAGAAGTACCTATTGGATCATTCTAGAGAGTTGCTCCAAGTCCCTGACAGTGTACAGACTGGGGCAAAGTTTTTGGCAAAGAGTGGCATTTTAAAATTTGAGCTTCTAAAGGGCTTTTTCAAAGAGCCGTTTGTCCCCCAGCGAAACGACGGAAAGGACGAGTCCATTGAGTCCTTCTTTCAAAGGAGATTGGGCTCAAAGCTCCTTACCAACAACGTAATGAGTGCGGTGCTACATGGGATTTACGCGGGTGATATCTCCAAGCTCAGTGTTCGGACGGTGTTGCCCAAAGTGGTGGAATTGGAAAATGAAAAAGGCTCCATCTTCAAGACTTTATACGCCAGATTCAGAGAGAAGAAGGAAAAGGAAGCAACTTTGCCACAGGCATTGAAGGAGTATGAGGACATGATTTCTCCAGAGTCAAATCTCACTCAATTATCTTCAGAGTTGAAAAAGTTTCCTATGTTAAAGTTGCTGAATGGGTTACAAGAGTTTCCTAGAAAGATTGAGGAGTATTTAACTAAACAAAATAAGGTACACTTTCATTTTCGGTCAAATATTACTTCGGTTAGTCCCAAGGGTGAACTAGCGGTTGAAGGTGAAGAAGCCCAAAAGTTTCATCACATCAGATCAACAATTTATACCCACGAACTTGCCAGGTTATTGCCCAAGGAGTCATCGGAATTAAGCGATACTTTGGCCAGACTACAGTATGTCAATGTATTCTTGGTGAACATCTACTCACCTAAAGTAGAATTGAAGCCTAAAGAAAAACAGGGGTTTGGATTTTTGGTTCCAAAGGGGGAAGATGGAAGATTTGAGAAGAATCCAGATTGCTTACTTGGTGTAATCTTTGATTCTGATGTGGAGCAGAATTCTATTAAATTCATAGGGGGCGAACCTGTGGAGAATGGAAATGCTAGTAAAATCACTTTGATGATGGGAGGTCACTATTATAATAAGATCCAGATTCCTTCTGCTGGAATTAATCTTAAGATCGTGAAGAAAATCCTCTCTGAGATCTTGAAGGTCGATTTGAGTGAATCCAATCTTATCATTAGAGACGAAGAGTCCATCGAAAGCAAGGACATCCAGGGATTGAAATCCAACGATATATTGATCTCATACAACCTTCACAAAAATTGCATTCCTCAGTATAATGTTGGATATGGTGATATTAAAAACGAGTTGGAAAGTTGGATTGAATTGAACAATTCCAAGCTTTCGTTCGGGGGAATGGCGTTTGGTAACGGTATTGGTGTACCCGATTGTGTGACCAATGCGTTAGAACATGCTTTAAAATGTAAATAGCTAGCACCCCGTAAAATCGACTCCAAAACACGAAAATCCTGAACATTTGTGATGAATTCGTAACGGACATTGAAACCCCGATAGTTCAACTCTCGTCTTTGTATCTCGTTACCACCTTGCTTTCGTTCTTTGAGTATTGGATAACCAAAGCCTTGTTGAAGAATTCCTCTGATTGTAGACATTTCATGGCCAAACCCGCGTGCACAACACTGTCAAATACCACATGTGCTTGTCCTCTCTTACGGTTGTGGATTTCGACTATATCTCCGTATGTGGAGAACAACAAGTATAAGCTGTGTTTGATGAGGGTAGGGTTGATTTGGTCATTGAGGTTCTTTAAGTATAGGGTCTGCGACGGTTTGAGGTTTTCGGGATCAAGCTTGACCTTCTTGGCAACAGAAGCCACTGGCTCCAAGGCGTGCTTGCTCATTGATACGAATTAGGGGGCCGGAAGGATCTGGTAGTCGCCTGATTGAGCTTCGGTGATGAGATAGTGGGGCTATATGCAGTCCCAAAATACTGGAAGCACTGGCCACGACTCGGGTGACATACGCCAACAGCATCGAGATGGCTCAAGATTTCTGAGGGCTGTGGTGGAGGGTGGGAGGGGGCTTCAACTAGAGTATTCTTTAGCATGTGATAGTTGCGGTGGCTCAACCATCCACAGCTGGAACTATCCGCACGAACCCTGTTAGTCGGTTGCTATTGCTTTCCTGGGCATGGGAAAGTGACAGTGTGCCAACATAGCCTCGTTGCGGATTCCTCGGAAACTCTGCGGGGACGCGCCTGGCACCGTGGATACCTGGAATTCCTTCCCAGAATATAAGCCCATCCATGACCCCAAAGCATGTGACACATATCACGTGATTACACGACCCCGGTTACCTACCCGACAGCAATGTATGGCCGACGTCACTGATCGAGATCTGCTCTGCCATTAGATCATCAACAGGAGGAAGAAGCGCTACGAACCCCACCTAGAAGACATAGTCAATCGTGCTCGTATGTCGTCTTCCCAGTTGAATGCCTCGTTGTTGAGGCTCAAGCTCTTGGATGCTCTAAGAAGCGGTGAAACCGCCAAAGTTGATGCGATCATCAATGAGTTGACCTCTACCAAGTCGACCATCAAGAACATCGATATCGTCCAGTTACACCTGACAATTCTACACTACGCAGTGCAAGTGGCACCTTTGGCCACATTACAATACTTGTGCACCAATGCCCAGAAGTACAACCTAGACATCAATGCCCAGGATCAGGATGGCAATACTCCCTTGCACTTGGCAGCAATGTCCTCAAGATTCGATATCGTCAAGTACTTGCTCTCCTTGCCCGAGATCAACGACACGATCGTTAACTTGAACAAGAAACAGCCGGTTGAAGAGTGTAAGGATTTGAGCATCGCCCAATTGATGCAGATTGAAAGAGCCAAGTTTGTTGAGCAATCCGCCAGTAAATTACGCCAGTACTTTAGCAATCGTGATATGGACAACTTGGAGAAGCTTTTGGTCTCGAATCCCAGAGCTTCTGAGTTGTTGGACATAAATGGTGCTGATCCCGAAACAGGCAACACTGTCTTACACGAGTTCATTAAGCATGATGATATTCAAATGTGTGACTGGATTTTAAAGCATGGCGGTGACCCATTCAAGAGAGACAAGAGAGGAAAGTTGCCTATCGATTTGATTAACGGCAAGAACGATCCTTTGAAGAAATTGTTAAAGGTCGCCTCTAAGGATCAGACCATCATGGATCCTGTTGTAAACACCTCCAATGCTATCAAGTCTGGAGGTGCCCCTACTTACAAAGGGTACTTAAGAAAGTGGACCAACTTTGCTTCGGGTTACAAGTTAAGATACTTTCAATTAGACCAAAATGGTATTTTGTCATATTACACTAATCAAGATGATACTAATAATGCATGCAGAGGATCCTTAAATTTGGGATTTGCTACATTGCATTTGGATTCTTCCGAGAAGTTGAAATTTGAAATCATTGGTAAGAATGGAATGAGATGGCACTTGAAGGCTAACCATCCAATCGAGACTAATAGATGGGTATGGACTTTGCAGAATGCAATTACAATTGCTAAAGATAATATCAAGAGAAAGAATAAAGGACTGATACAAGCAGAAGAAACCGCCGAGCAAAGTTCAATTAAGGGTGCCGAAGAACATGAAGGAAGAAAGCATAGATTTCACATTCCTGGACGGAGATCTCTTTCAAGGCACAGAAGAACTGATAGTAATGTGTCATTGAACTCAGTTACCAGCGACGTCATTCCTGCTAATGAGGAAATTGTTGACTCCAGTTCTTTATCTAGATCAAGTACCCTTTCCAAGAAAGCTGGAGGCTCACCAAATTTGGCTCAAATCAATGAAAGTAAGCCTGTTCAAGGGTTAGTACCTCCTCAATCAAGATTAAGTGTTGATGATCAAAGTAGTTTCAACGCAGAAGCATCTGATGTTGAGAATTTCGACTACGACTTAGATGACAACGATTTTGATAGTGATACCGGCTCTATTGCAGTAAACAGTGATCCCTCGAGAGACAAAGTTGATGGTCCATTAGCGGATCAAATTTCTACTGTGAAGAGATCGTTAGATGTGGAGTTATCCTCCTTATTAGACCTTTTCAATCAAGTGATCAACTCCAGAAGCAGTGCAGGGAATGAGGAATCGAGCTCGGCCTCTAGTGAACTCGGAGTTTGTAATGTTGGATTAAGTACTTTGAACACAATTCAGGATCTTTTCCAAAAGTATGATTCTCTCATACAGTCAAGAGAATCCAAGTTTGTCCGTAAACTTGAAAGACAAGTTGAAGTGAACAAGTTGTGGGAAAATTCCATCAAACAATTGGAAGATGAGATTCATCAACGTGAAGCAAAGTTGGCTGAATACGATGGGAAGAAGAAGCAACTCAAAAAGTATTTCTCTGCTAGCAAAGTTAGTGGCTCCAACAGTCCTGCTGCCCTTGGTCCTTCTGATTCTTACTCTGGAAGTATTGATGCTGCTTCGGAGGTTCCAGGCGATGACAAAGTAATTGAGACTATTTTTAACGATTCCGATGAAGAGTTCTTTGATGCTGACGAATTTGAAGATGCTGAAGAATCTGATGCCGAAGTTCCTGATATTAATATCGAAAGTGCCAAAGAAGTTGAAGCTGACATTAGAAATGAGAATGCTCCTTCTGTGGGAGCCACCATTGGCGCGGCTGGTGTTGCTGGTGTTGCTGGTGCTGCCATTGCTGGAGATAAGTCTCATCAGGAGAAATCATCAACTGCTCCTGAGTCATCAAAGGCTAAGGCCGTTGAGAAGGAATCAATTTCCGAAGAAGAAAGAACTGTCCAAACTGAAGAGTCAATTGAAACCTCGAATTCAAACCTCAACTCTACTCATAGCAAGGTTAACGAAATGATTCAACAAGAAGGTTCGTTCCTTGGTTACGAAAATCCTCCAAGACAGAAATTGAGCATGGATGAGGACAACAGACCCAAGGTTGGGTTATGGGGTATCTTGAAGTCAATGATCGGTAAAGATATGACCAGAATGACTTTGCCCGTTGCTTTCAATGAACCTTGTTCCTTAATTCAAAGACTTGCTGAAGATGTGGAGTACAGTGGGTTGCTTGACCAAGCTGCTACTTTTGATGATTCTACTTTGCGTTTACTTTATGTTGCTACTTTTGCTTCTTCATTATATTCTTCATCCGTTGGAAGAATCGCAAAACCTTTCAATCCATTGTTGGGTGAGACATTTGAATACTCTCGTCCTGACAAGAATTATAGATTGCTTGGTGAACAGGTTAGTCACCATCCTCCTGTTAGTGCATGTGCTGCAGAATCTCCAAAGTGGGATTATTACGGACACAATGAGGTCGATACCAGTTTCAAGGGTAGATCATTTGACATCAAGCATTTAGGTAAGATGTTTTGCACCCTTAGACCCGATAATGGAGTAGTTGATTCCAAAGGACAGAAGGTTGACCATGAAGTGTACAGCTGGAAGAAGGTCAACAATTCAGTGGTTGGTATTATTATGGGTAATCCAACCATTGATGTGTTTGGTCAAATGGAAGTCAAGAATTTCACCACTGGTGACAGTATCATTGTTGATTTCAAGCAACGTGGATGGAAGGCTTCTTCTGCTTACCAACTTTCTGGTCAAGTCATAGATAAGAAGGGCACTCCTAGATGGGCATTAGGTGGTCACTGGAACTCCAAGATCTTCGGTAAGAAGATTTCTGGTTCCGAAAGCGGCCAGTCTTTAGACAATGCCCAAGGAAAGGTATCCAGTGATCCATACAGTGGCCAGAAATTCTTGATGTGGGAAGTCGCACCAAGACCAAAGGTTCCTTTCAACTTAACTGCATTTGCTACATCCTTGAATGGAATTGATGATAATTTGAAGGGATGGTTAGCTCCAACAGACACCAGATTGAGACCGGATCAAAGAGCGATGGAAGAAGGTGAGTACGACTTGGCCTCTTCAGAGAAGCACAGAGTGGAAGAGAAGCAAAGAAGTGCCAGAAAGAAGAGAGAGCAGACCAAGACCACCTACAAGCCTAACTGGTTCACTAAAGACAAACACCCTATTACTGGTGATTCTTACTGGAGAGCCAAGGGTGACTATTGGGCCCAGAGAAAGGAGCACAACTTGGCTAAATCCGGTGATATCTTCTGATTATATTTCTTTTTATAACTAGTACATATGTAATGTTCGCTGATTGTAGAATTGGAGCCGCTGTGTGGTGCTACCAGCAAGAATATCGGCTCTCACATGCACGTGACCAGCCCTCTATCTCGATGCTCATCGAGTTTTCACACTGAATAACCTTCAACTCCAGAAACAATGGGTAAACGGAAGTCCAACTCAGCCAACGCTGCTATAGCGATAGAGTCCACTGTTTCGCCTATTCTTGAGGTGAACTACAAGGATCCTTTGTTCACAGTTGCAGCACATCCATCTAAGCCGATTTTATTATCTGGGCTAGTGACTGGGCATGTATACTGTAATAGTTATGACGCCGAAAAGCTAGAGGAAGCCCAGAGTGCTGCAAGAGAGAAATTCAACGCTCTTGAAAAGGAAGCTTTTGCCCAAGGTAAAATTGGCCAAATCACCAAGTCCGTGTCCCAACTGAAAAATAAATGGTGGACCATCATCGAAGATCATACCGAAATTGAAGAGGCTAGTCATATAGTGACCAACTGGAAGACCAAGAGGCACAAGGGCTCTTGTAGACATGCCATCTTTGATCCTCTTCCTGGCTCTTTGGGTGAGTCTATTTTCACAATTGGCACTGATCACACCATCAAGAGGGCCAATACTGAAACAGGAAAAGTGATAGGTAAGGCCAACATCGTTGAGCATTTTGAAAATAAGTCAGATTCTGTCACTAAACTCTGTCACTCGAGTACCAATCCTTTCTTGTTGACCGGCACCGAGGACGGGCATGTGTTGGTGTTCGACAGTAAGAACCTTGGTGAGAACAAAATTAAGTTCAAGGTTCCGCTGGTCCACGATGATTCAGTCAATCAAATCATGGCAATGCCTTCAGTATCAGCATATCACTACCTTTCGTTGGGTTCAACCACTTTGTCGCATATTGATATCAGAAAAGGAATCGTGACCCAGTCGGACAGTCAGGATGATGAATTGCTTTCCATGTGCTACGGAATGGACAAGAGCAGTACTGCCAATGATACTGTGTTGGTGGGGCATGGAGAGGGCATAGTGACAATCTGGAAGAACTCGAAGAACAGGTTCATGGATCAGCTTTCCAGAATCAAGGTCAACAAGACGGCCTCCATCGATGCCATCATGCCAACCATGAACGAAGATGACGACGAACAGGCCGCGTCCGTTTGGTGTGGTGACAGTGAAGGGTTATTGCATAGAGTCAACTACAAGCGAGGAAAAGTGGTGGAGACCAGAGTACATTCTTCCGCAAGAGGTAAGTACGGAGCTGCAGACGAGGTCGGTATTCTTGATATTGACTACGATTATAGATTAATCAGCGCAGGTATGGATAGCTTGAAAATATGGTCGGGCCAGGATTACGAGTACGATAGCGAGAGTGAGCTTGATAGCTCGTCGGGACCAGAAGGAGGCGATGATTCAGGCGATTCCGATTCAGATGACAGCGACGATTCGTTAGGATCAGAAGAATTTGCATTCGACTCAGACAAAGAGGACAAAGAGGACAAGTCTGACGACGAGCAGGTCGAAGAGAATGGTGAAGACGAGAACTCCGATGAAAGCAATGCTTCAGATGACTCTGACGAAGCCCCAGAAGAAGATACCCAACCCAAGATTGCAAGAAGAAGACCATTCCCAGGAACTGCACCTAGCACGAAAAAGAAGACTCTTGACCTCAACAGCAAGGTAGAGCCCGAGCCTGCTGAACCGGTAGCTAAGAAGCCCAAGGTCAAGCAGATGTCTACCAAACAATTGAAGAATCTTCAGAAGCACGAGCACGGCATTCGGAGATTTGAAGGGCTTTGAGGTACAGACAATTGCATGCATGAAGCAGACTTTTGAGAACAATTTCGACAATTTCAATGGAAAATCCTTTATAGCCAATAGTCATTATTATACTCACTTCTCTACAATAGTGGAAGAATAGTTTCTTCTGTAGCTAATAGTTAATATTCTCTATAATCCCTGGAAGTATTGTACAAGCCGCTCGCAGCTATCTAAGCTCCTCCAGCCATGCTTCTCCCTGTAACAGACTGTAGCCCACAGAGTACAACCACAGGAATAGACACCCATACTTCACTAGTCTTGAAGTACCCATTTCCTGCCGCACTGTTCTACTAACTAGCTGGCTCGCACGACAACCAGTGATCGCCATGCGACATCTTATCGTCCTGCACACCCATCCATATCACTGACAATTCCACTTCCTTCACTCAGCAAGTAGCCATGGAGGGCCTTTCTACCGTCAACAATGTCGTGTTGAACAGGCGGGGTTATACCATCCAGGGTACGCTCATTTTGTCGCCGTACCATGTCGTTTTCAGCTTCACCCCCCCTTCCACACCGTCATCCTCAACACCATCCCCGGGTCCCACTCCCGTAGCACCAAAAGAGATTTGGATCTGTTACCCGGTGGTTGAGGCCATCAGCAAGTCCCGAGGCTCGTTCCTACTCAACCAGTCAAACAACGAAGTGTCCATCGATGACAGCAGAGATCACTACACCTCGTCACACATCCGTCTCCAGTGCAAGGATTTCACCTTCTACTCGTTCGACTTCGTCAACGATGGCATATGCACCGAAGTCTATTCCAAGTTGAGCACCCTCATCAGCAGACCCAAGTTGGAGAACGATATCAAGGCGTTCTATGCATTCGACTATAGACCCAACTTACTAGAGCAGAAACTTGAAACGAAGGGCTGGGACCTTTACGATCCTGTCAAGGAATACGAACGCCAGGGTTTGGTCTCTGGCGAGTACTGGAGAATTTCCACCATTAACGAGGACTACAAGTTCTGTCCGTCGTACCCTAACCACTTGGTGGTGCCCAGCAGTATCTCAGATAATGTGCTCAAACACGCGAGCAAGTTCCGCTCCAAACAGAGAATCCCAGCTATCGTTTACCGACATCGTGGGAGCGTAAACGGCAACATCATAGCCAGGTGCGCACAGCCGTTGGTGGGGTTGAACATCCAGAATCGGTCGATCCAAGATGAAAAATTGATTACCGAGATCTTCAAGAGCCAGGAGTCAGAAAGATTTAGCAAATTGGACGAGAGCAACGAGTTTCAACACCAGCCCCACAGAAATCTAATTGTTGACTTAAGACCAATCACAAATGCCATGGCCCAACATGCCTTGGGAGCGGGAACGGAAAACATCGAGAACTATAGAGGAAAACGTACACAGGGTTCAAACGAGAAACCTCCCAAGAATGTCAATGTCAACTTCCAAGAACATCAGAACTTAAGGCAAGTAGACAAAATATTCTGTAATATCGATAACATCCATGTGATGCGGGATTCCTTGAACAAACTTACCACAATCTTGAACGATTTGGATAAATTTCCAGTCAATTCAGGAACCTCAAACTACCCTTTGTTGCAGCAGGCCCTCACTAAAACCCAATGGTTACATCGTTTATCAATAATATTGCAATCCGTGGACAGAATAACCAAGTCCATCCACTTGAACAACACCAATGTTGTCATTCATTGTTCCGACGGTTGGGACAGAACCTCACAAGTATCTGCATTGGCCCAGCTTTGTCTCGATCCATTTTATCGTACACTTAAGGGATTCATGATTTTAATAGAGAAGGAATGGGTCAGTTTTGGCTTTAAATTTTCCACTAGAGGAGACCATGGTGGATGCATTGGGGCTTTGTACAAAAAACCAAAGAAAGCACAGGAACGGGAGTTCACTGATACATCTTCAGAATCTTCTGAGATTGAGCTTCCGGTTAATAGTCACACTGGAAAAGTTACTTCGTTCTTGCAGAGGGCAGCCACTCATATCAAAAACACGGCTAACGGTGCAAGTAATAACAATTCATCCCTGAATTTAGAAGGTGAAGTGGGGGAAAATGGGGGAAAGTTTTTATCGTCAAATTCGTCCTATAATGGTTCGAATGAGAAATCGCCCATTTTCCATCAGTTTCTTGATTCCGTGTTCCAGATTTATAGGCAGAACCCAACCAAGTTTGAGTTCAATAGCCGTTTCCTCAAGAGGTTATTTTACCATTACTACTCGTGTCAATACGGATCTTTCCTATGCGATTCGGAGAGAGAACTCAAAGAGGTGTATAAGGTACAAGAGTCCACGTTATCGGTATGGGATTACTTTAACTCGCGACCAGGCGAGTTCATAAACCCATCGTTCAAGGTGGACGATGGTGATGACAATGGAGTGCTCTTCTTTAATTATACCGATGTGAAGTGGTGGTTCGAGCTATACGGCAGGTCTGATGAGGAGATGAACGGCCTCTCGAACTCATTAGATAGGAAGTTTGCCCAGATGAAGTTGAGTTAGCACTGGTCGGCCAACAGTCCACTTAGGTACCAGTAGTCTTATACTTCTTTGCATGATAAATAGCATAGTTGCATACACACCCATAACTGGATTCAGTGTAGGATTTCGCAGAGAAAAGAAGTAGTTAATTCTGAGAATAGTTTTGGCTTCATTAAAAGTGATCTTGCAAATGACACACCCAATAGGCCAAATTGAAAACTACTTTAATCAAAATGGACTCTATCCGTCTCTTCTCTACATTCTGAGGTTACTTTCGTCCTCAGCCAATTGATCCTATTACGTCATAGATTATGGTGCGAATTCGGAATTGTTATCAGATCAAAACTATTTCGTGGAGGAACCTTATATGGACTTCGAGAATCAGGATGAAGCTTCCACCTTCTTATAGGCATCTTGTTCCCTTTATAAGAAGCAGAGCAAATAGGTACCATGGAACTTCCTCGGGTCCTCATGGAGTAGATGGCAGGGGCCCCGCAGCTCATATTCCCCATCAAGGTTTAGCCATCACCGACCCATTCATATTGTACCAAAGCTACATTCAACAGGGATTACTCGAGAAAGACGAGGCCCAGCTACGGGCCATGAAAGAGTTCCAAAAACTATATCACCGTATAATAGACTATAGACCACCGGAAGAACTACAGATCAAAATGAGTCTTCTATTGCGAGAAATCGAGTTAAAGCAAGCACAAATGATGTTGGACAGTGGAAAATCGGGCTCTCCCATGAAGCTTGGATCTATCCAGAGGTACTTCCGTAAGGATCCTGAGGCCCAAAAGAAACAGCTCATCAAGGTCATCACCGACGAGGAGGAATTGATTAACTTTCCATCCCCGCCGGGACTTCTTGTCAACGGAGAAGTTGGGTGTGGTAAATCTATGCTAATGGACATTTTTGCCAGCTCATTACCACATCATTCTAAAATGAGATGGCATTACAACAACTTCATTTTATGGGTTTTTAATGAGATTCATAAAATTCAAGGTCAAAAGACAATGATGGCCAACCTTGGCCAGAAAAAGAGCTTATCGATGGAGAACGAATTCATCTTGTTTGAAATAGCACAAAAGATGATCAAAAAGAATACTGTCCTCATGCTAGATGAATTTATGTTACCAGATATTGCATCTGCAAATATTATAAAGATACTTTTTACTTACTACTTTAAATTAGGGGGCGTTCTAGTGGCCACTTCTAACAAACTCCCAGAAGAACTCTATTCGAATGAGTTCCACAAGTCGAAATTCAAGAGTTTTGTGGGAGTGTTGAATGCAAGATGCCAGTCTATCGACATGATGAGCAACAAGGACTATAGAATTACTGTCTCAGAACAGGAACCAAACTTGGTGGTGAAAATGGACCCAGAGCACGAGAATAATTGGGATATACTAATAAGGACCAAGGCGTTAAAAATTTCTCCTGAACAATACGAAAAGCCGTTACATGAATTGGGGTCTCCAGCGTCTTTCACAGTGTATAATAGAGTTACCCAGTTGCTGTTGACCTTTTTTGACAACACATGTTACTTAGATTTTGCTCAAATTTGCCAGGGGCTATACTCATCTTCAGATTACATTACTTTGGCTTCCCGGTACAGAACAATTATATTGGATAATGTGCCAATAATGACGATCAAGATGAAGAATGAAGCCCGGAGATTCATTACTTTATTAGATGCGATTTACGAGTCTAAGTGTCAGTTGTACATGAGGACAGAAGTGGATATCGACGATCTATTCTTTCCTGATACAAGAGATGACATAAGTGACGAAATCCGTTCCCGATTACCTCGAGATTTCTCGGACACTCTCGATGTGCAAGAAGAAGAAATGTTCTCCAAGACTAGCATTGCATTACAAAATCCCTACAGGCCAAATACCTCAACCTACGAAGACAAAATGGAGACGTTTGAAGAAGAACAACGCAAGACAGAGGTAGATTTTAAGAATACCAAGGCATTTACTGGAGAAGACGAGAAGTTTGCCTATAAAAGAGCGGTATCTCGTATCAAAGAAATGGTCAGTTCTGACAATTGGAGAAGCGAAGACAGGTGGGTACCTATTGATGAGAGCATGAGACCATGGGAATCCCACGAAGAGTTTGCACAGAAAGTAACTTCTGAGGTCCTGGAGGCTGAAGCAGACGACAAACCCATAATCCAAGGATTACATCATTTCTGGGCCATGGGACCATGGACCACAAATCAAGGAAAAAGGCTCAAGGATTCTATTGCTAAATCTTGGATCAGATCCAGCATTAGAGATAATTAATTAGCAGCAGTTGCAACTGAATGCTCGGTTATGCTACAAATACCATAACGGTTTTCGTACATGCTGTCATTAATGCATGCATTGTCGTGCTTTTCACGGCAGAGACTGCGTATAAAAATATGGATGTAGGTAAACCAATCAGATACACAAGCCGTGTAAGTCAGCCCCCGTCAACGAAACACAAGCATTGTGAATGGCCTGATTTAGTGACGAGCCGTGGATGTAAACCAAATCACATGCAACATAGTCACGTGTCTATTACTGTCAGTCGTCTTCCCCAGATTTATCTCCATGTCCGCTATTTGTTTACCCCTTATAACGTTGCATCATGATCCTTACAGCAGAACGTCTAGTCAGACTTGCCTATAAGTACCCAAGCCTCCATAACTCATGGTACCTTATTGCTTGTGCATGTTTGACAGTCGTCAACCAACCCCAAGAAATCCCCAGCGTGTTCCATTTCGCCTTGAGGCAGCAATTATTGGAATCAACCACTGATACCTCGTTGTTGACCAACAAGTTCTTGATCCAAATGGCCCAGGATTCCATTTCCTCCTCCACAAAGTACAAAGACTTAACTGCTGTTGGAGTGAACTTGCCAGACATTCTTATTCCTTACAGCTACTATGACAAGCTACCACTCAAGTTCAAATACTCGTCTTCGGATGATATTCTGGCATGCCAGTCCCAAATAGCAGCCAAAGTCAGAGAAGTCATCCTCAAAAGTGTGGCCTTGGCGGGGCTTCCCAAGGCCATCAATGCATTGATGATCTTGAAAACGGTAACCCCTACGGCCATGAAGCCCTCCACATTGCCAGTCCGGCCATGTATCGTCAAGCCAGGCCACGTACCATCATCAGACATAGTGGGAGAGGACCTTAACGGAACCAACTTTGACCAGAGTGCCGACACAAAGGAGACCATCGACGGTCCGATATCGCCAAGCTCGATCAACGTCAAGCGGATCCAGGAGGACCTCTACCGGGGCTCCGAGTTCTGGAACGCGATTTACACCAGCAAAGTGAACACCAGAATCAAGAGGCAGATGGTGAATGCCTATCCTGACTTGTGGTACTTTGCCTACCACAACGTGTACTCACCACTCTTGAGTTTCACCGAAGTGTTGTCGGCTAGGGAGACCTCGATGTGTGTTGTAGCCAGTTTGATTCCCCAGGATGTCAACCCTCAATTAAAGGGTCACTTAAAGGGTGCCTACAATGTTGGCGTGAGCAAAGAAGAGTTGTCCGACTTGAGGGATTTGGTGTTTGACGTGTGTGACTGGACTGGCGGTGTCACCTGGGCAGATGGCAAAGAGGGCGTTGCCAAGTTGTAGCTTCAGATTCGCATCCATAGCTAGACGCTAAATATATTCGAGAATGATTCTTTTAATAAACACCCTGAATATGCTATCTGAGCCAAGCCCCACCAAGAGGGGATCTACATGTCGCCATTAGTCTTGTGTATTGCTTTTATATATATCCAATAATCGATAGTGGATGTAGGGTTGATGATGCTATTATAGCTTGATTCTATCCTGTCTTCTGATCAATACAACTTGTAAACCACAGAACACAAAGAATGCCAAGTATACAAAGACTGCTCCGAACACGGTCTTGGCCACAGCCTCACCGTCCTCGGGGTCTTCAGTGGAGCCCATCATGGTTTCATGGTTGGTCTGGAACAAGTATCCAATCACAGATAAGATAACCACACCAAATGCGGATAAGATGGTACAACAGTAAGCCTGGCCGGTAGAAACAACTGCTTTCATCCTGGCGGTCTGATTGTGGGGATGGGAGTGTTGATATCGTCTGAGGCTCACCATTATCGGCCACCTTTTGCTGGAGGTAGCGGATTGGTTCTCGCACTACCTCCTATCAATTCATCAGCGACACTGGGGCAGGCTCCTGGGTGGGCTCTGTGTCTTCTGCCGCGGAGTCGTCCAGGTTGAGCTGCGAAGACTGGAGGAGTTCTCCCTCGGCAGAGTTGTGTCTGTTCAACAGAAGATTCTCTTGCAGTGTGGGCGAAGATACGAGCTTGGGGAATGGCGACGAGAGCGGATACTGATACAGTTCCAGGGCGAAATTGGGCCCCGTTTGTGAGGTGTGGAGGGTTGTGTCCGCCAACACTGAGGAAGAGTCGGCTGCTTGTAGTTTTCTTCTCTTGAGTGTTTGCACCGACCTATAGGCCTCCTTCAAGAGGTGGAGCCTGCTGGTGATGATATGAATGCTGTGGAGATACGCCTGAGGGTCATCGTCGGAGGCTATCGACTTTATGGCCGTCTGAACTGATGTGTAGGTTACTGGGGCCGTGGTGATGTGCGGGCCGGACCGACTCGAGACCGTCGCTGTGGCTTCTCCAACCGGCTTCTCTGCCGGGGAAGTGGATCTTGGGGGTGTTGCCGACCCCGAGTATGATCTTGAGCCTTCTCGGCTCAAGTTGGGCACAGTTGTAAGGTCTCCCGCAGCCATGGGCAAAGAGGGTGTGGGAGTTCTGTTGATGTTTCTTCTTTCCAGGCTTTTTATGGGCGAAGACTGTGACGAGTTGGTACGGCTTCGCCTGTACTGCAACTTGACAATCTTGGTGGGTGTGAATTCCATCTCGAGTGTGTCTGGAGGGTCTTCTGGCTGGTTGGTGGGTGTATGGTCGTAGTCGGGGACGGATGGCGGTGCAGACAGTTCTGGTCTGGGGTCGGAGTATCTATCCTTATCGTACTTGAGGGTAATGATCCTACCAGTCATACTAGGAGAAGTCGCTCGTGCAAGAAGGTTCCTGTTCTTGTTCGCAGTCATTGACCCACTGGATCATTGTGGTCGTGCGCGCATTCGTTGGACCAGACGAGTGAATATCCACAACGAAGGTGAGCAGCAGTATCGACCATGACGACCGCCGAGCTTAGCCAAAAGCCAGAGAATGAGCCCTTGATGGCCACCGTGGAGCAGCTCCTGGGGCTCATCGAGTCCTTCATCGAGTTGGGGGTATTGGTCCATGACAACCAAGGAACCCAGCAATCGCACACGGCATTGACCCACAAGACCAACCAGGTAGTCAGCCAGTTGTCCGGCTTGACGGCGAGCCCGTTCACACACCAGTACCCCATCCCAGTCGATGTGATCTCCTACATTGAGGATGGACGTAATCCCGATATCTACACCAGAGAGTTCATCGAAGTGACGGCCAAGAGCAATGCCAGACTCAAGGGCAAGATGCAGGGCTTTGCCAGGTTGAGAGACGTTTTGGGGGAAANGTTGGGCGAGGAGTTTCCCAGGCTCAAAGAGAGTATAGAGGACATCAAAAAGAGGACCAATGGAGCCACCTAGGGGGATATTTCTCAGGCAACATCGAGGCGTCGGAAACAATACCAGTTGAGCCACCAGTGGGGAATTTGTGGCGCTGGAAGTTAATATTGCCGGAGCTGCGGCTAGTGGTAGCGACCACGGCCATGGTGGTGTTATTTTGAACCATGTTACTAAGAATTAGTGCTGAAGAGTGCTGGAGAGTGCTGGCTGGTCAAATATTATCAATCACGGTTACAGCGTTGCTCAAAAGATCAACAGCTGGATCATACCATGAGGGTAGAATTTGGGAAAGTGTTATATGGTTTGGGTTTTAAATCAGTCCGGACCATCCCGATTCTCTGTGGACAAAAGCAGACACATTTGCTACAATAGCATTGCAGGCATTATCATGCACAGAATAAACTCTTTTCGTTTTTCGGATGCTTTTGATCAACTGGAATTCCTCTGGTTGCTAAGTTATACCAATTCAGCTTATTTTTTGCAATTTGCGAGAGTCGTTGGTTTCACCTTCGAAAAATTGCCAACCTCAATGATTTAGTAACTTCTGTCATTATTTTTGAAGACAACCTCGATTTATCCAACTTAGGTAGAACACCTTTCCTATTGAAGGGTTATCGATCAACTGGGCCGGCTGGCTAGCTTGATTAAGTACTGATCGTAAATAAATTAATTAGCACCGTTAAGACGCACGGTGCACGATTGGTTCAAAACCTTAATAGGGCCAAACAAGGGATGTAGGTACTTATTGCAGAAATTATACGCGGGTGGCTCCCCCGTAATAAGTTTCCGCGCTAGTCATGCAGCTGTTAACAATATCCCATAATATGGGGGGAAAAGAACGCTGCCGGAGCCGTAAACTCAATAAATCTAGAGTGGGACTGATTGACAGGATAAGCACAAATAATCGTTCAAATCGGACGCTTTTCGGAGAGTAAATACTTCAAAAACCCAAATTGTACCCTATTGGGGAGTCAGGTAGCTTCGGCGCACGCAAGATTGAGTGGATTCATGTAGGAATAGCCTCAAGTGAGTGGAATTGCGCGTGGTAAATCCCGATTAGGGCAGACAATAGATCTAATTGACGTGCAGCTGGCAAAATTTTTTTGCGGAGGCTGGCGGTGCAGCAATTGGGGAACAAACCTGCCTCCAGCAGAGAAGAAATTACGACAAACTGGGCATTGTCTGTCTAAAACGGGCTAGATCCCAACTGAGGCGCGTCAGTTAGGCATTGTTGTAGTATTATCCGACCGTAAATCCTTGGAAAGGACATGATAATGCATTGATCGGGATTGTCAACTGAATTGCTGGTTGAATCCCTGGATTAAACCCCACTGTAGTGTAATGTAAGTATAAGTATGGAATGTGGTCTCGTCAAAACTTTATTTGTTTTAGATCTGTATCAAACCTACCCAACTTTAGTCCTTCCTTTACGCATTCTGCAGCCATGAACAAGTCGAAGAACACCCAGTTCCTTTCACTCATTTTGTTGGCTTTAGCCGGCTCTGCACATGCAGAGGACCCAGCTGACACCACAACAACCGTTACAGTCACCCCAACCGTGACTGCCACAACTACAGTTGGTGTTGTCGAAGAGATCTTTGAGACTGCGTACGTTTTCACCAATACCGATGGTGTTTTGACTACCTCAACAGTAATTGGTAGTACTAGATACGTCACTACTGCCATTGCTCCATACCCAACCCCTCAAAACAGTTCTTTGACAGCTACTGAAGCTCCTGTGGCAACTTCTGTGGGACCCAGCACGATCGTGAATGGCCCATCAGTTTCAGGTGCACCAGTTTCCGCTTCTGGCGGAGCTTCCTCTGCCGCAGGTGTTTCCTCTGTTGTTTCTAGCAGTGCTAATCCAGCTGGTTCTGATTCGAAGACTGCCTCATCTGCCAACGCTCCTGTGGCCACTACCCCAGCCACTGTTGCACCTGAGCCAACTCAAATCACTTCTACTGCAACAGAAATTGCCACCACCGTTGTGACCATCACTTCATGCTCTGACAACAAGTGTACCGTGGTCCCAGTTACCACTGGTGTCACCACTGTCACTGTCAGTGATGTTGTTTATACCACCTACTGTCCATTGCCAGGAAAGGAAACCACCACCGCTACTACCCAAGTGACTAAGGAACCAGTCCCAGCCCCAGCTCCTGGAACCGAAACTAAGACACTCACTCAAACCTCGTTAGAAACCGTGACCTCCTGTTCCGACAACAAGTGCCACGAAACCAACGCTCCAGCTCCAAAGCCAGAGACGAATGCCCCAGCTCCAAAGCCAGAGACTAATGCTCCAGCTCCAAAGCCAGAGACTAATGCTCCAGCTCCAAAGCCAGAGACCAATGCCCCAGCTCCAAAGCCTGACACTGCTGCTGTCACTGTTACTGCTGTTGAACCACCAAAGCCTGTTGCTACCACTGTCACCAACACCGTTTCCAAGGCTGCTGTTACAGTTTCTGGTGTGCCTCCCCAACAAACCACCTCCGTGGTTGTTCCACCACCAGTTGTGACTCCTTCTGAAGGTAATGCTGTCATGAACAGAATCAACATCGGAGCTGCTGGTCTCTTGGGTGCATTGGCACTTTTGTAATCGTATGTCCAATTAATATTAATGTATAACTAATAGCTGCAAAATGTAGATGATAGACTCATGACTCGACGCACGTGGCAAATATCACGTGATTCAGACCACTACAATTCTCTTCCACCCATCTCCGCTTGCACACCAGACATGTTACAGTTGTTTGGAAGGCCCTTTGGCCATTCCCTCAGAGGGACTTCTCCCAAGTGTAGAAGGAGTTCTTCTACACTTCTCAACATATCAAGATCCGTGAAAACGTCCACTGTCGATTGGAAACCACTCAAGGGAGTCCAGGGTAATTTGGCAACTTTAGAACACCAAGCCAAGGCTTCAAAGTTCAGGGGATTCATCTTCGGACTCATGATTGGAATGCCTATTATCAGTTTCGGTTTGGGGTGCTGGCAAGTCCAGAGATTGAACTGGAAGGTGGAGGTTATCGCCAGAAGTGAGAATGCTTTGGCACAACCTCCCATTGAAGAGCTTCCCGCCAACCTAGACCCAAGTGTCATTCCCGAATTCGAATACAGAAGGTTTAAGGTCAAGGGGGAGTTTGACTATTCGCAAGAGATGTTCTTGGGTCCAAGGATGAGAAATGGAATTTTAGGGTATCTTGTGGTGACACCTTTCAAGAGATCGAGTGGTGGAAAACCTATTTTGGTTGAACGTGGTTGGATCAACAAGGACAAAGTCATCCCAAGTACTCGTGAAAAAGGCTACTTGTCGCATTTAGCTCTCCCTCAAGGAGAGATCGAGATCGAAGCCTTGTTCAGAGTCATGCCTACAAAGTCTTCCTTGCAGTTCGAGCACAAGGATGGCTCACGTTTGTTCAACGTGCACGATGTTCCCGTAATGGCAGCACAAGCAGGAGCTTTGCCCATCTACTGTCAAATGATCTATGACTTAAGAGACCATGTTGAATGGAGAAAGGACAGCAAGAGCACTTCCGGTTCTTCGTGGATGTCGTGGTTGTCGAAGCCGCAATCCGGAAACAAGAAGGATGACGCCCACTTCATTGCTGACATGGCTGACGATGACTTGACTTTGGAATACCAAGAGTTCGAATTTGTCAACGAGGGGGTTCCCATTGCAGCATACCCTAAGATCAAGCTCACCAACAATCACTTGCAGTACTTGATTACGTGGTTCGGCCTCTCTATTGCCAGCGCAGGCTTGTTAGGATACACTTTCTTGAAGAAGGGTAGCCATCTGAGTGCCGAAAAGGTGTTGGAAGCCAAGAGAAAGGATATGGGCAGAAGATTCTAATATCCTAAGTGAGGGTACAGGAATTTTTAATGTCAAGAAGAATGGACAATGGATTTTTTTTGAATGTCAAGCTTAGACAGGGAAGATTCCAGAGTATGGTATTACGAAATTACAGCAAGTCTAGTACGTCAATACTTGGAAGACGATCGATTACAAAATACGTATATCTGCTTTATTGTATATAGAAGCTATGCAACAAGCGGGTGGCTTGCAGAACTGAGCAACCCAAATAGCACCACCACAAGTGATATATCAGCCAAGAACATTCCAAAGATCTCGTAGTAAGCCAAAAAGCGCACCACCAATGGCTTGTAGTGGCTCAATTGGGGCAACACCATGGATCCAAAGGAAAGGCCTTTGATCAATAAGCTGTTCTCGGATGCAGTGGCAAAAAGATTCTTATTGGAACTAAGCATGTAGAAAGTTGCCAACAAGACAGTTTCGATGGTGGAGAACCATGTGAAGAAACTCTTGACTGGAGTGGCCGAGCCTAAGCCACGGATATAGTCGTAGGAGGATGCTTGGAAGGCATAGTTGTCGGAGGAATAGAAGTGGTAGAAGAAGTTCCAGAACACGGCAATATACCTTATGACCAAAAACCGGAATTTCCACAATCTCTGCTCGTACTGGTTGTAGGCAACAAGGTCCTTTTGGTACTGGGTTTCCTCGGGGTTTTCTTGGGGAATTCCAAAGGGAGAGCCCTCTGGCTGGGCTCCAGGTTGGCCACCAGCATTTGCTCCAAACATGTTCTTCATCATCTGCGAAATTGGGTCTTCACCATTGGCCTCGTGTTGGTCTCCGTGAGATAAGATGCTCTTGAAGATCTGGTCAATGTCTGGCTCTTCAACAGGCTGCGCGATGGTGTCGATGTGCTGGATCTCGGGGTCGGCATCAGGGTCGACGTGGTGATTTGGCTGTGGGGTTGGCGATGGAGACGCCTGTGGGGTCTTTGGTGCTTTATCCAATACCGACACGGCCGTGTTGTCCTTGACGGAAGAACCCAGCCCCAAAATAGTGTTCAACCGATCGGAGGCTTGGCCCTTGGCCATCTTGGCCTGTCTTCTTTCACGAAGGATCCTCTTCTTCTCCTCAGCACTTAACGGTGTGTCTGACATGGTTTCAAGCTGGCTGGTAATGGAGGTGATGGTACTGAAAATCGATTATATCCGGACTGGCATGTTAGGTGCAGGACGCGAACCAGCTCAGATAATGAGTATATTTGCCAATACACAGTCCTACAAGATCCGTACTACAACACTCCTCAGAGACTGAATCCATGAGTTCGAACAAAGACCCCGCCGACAGTTTGAACTACCAAGAGCAATTACGCAGGCAGACCATTCTCAACTCATTGGAGAACAGAGACTACTTGTTGGTGATTGCGTCGCAACAGCAGAAGTCTGTGCTGCAGGTGAAGTACGAATTGATGATGAAGTTAACGGAAGGCTGAAGGTACGGGATGCTGGAATGAAAGATCGATAATATACATAATATACATGAGAATTAGGGAAGCATTAATGGAGGGATCTAGAGCCACTCAGATCAGGAATAGATGGACAGCACAACAACCCATTTACCTAAACCGTGGCTTGGCCACTCGGTCGTCCGTCCTCTTTTTGGCGGGTATGCTGCGGGCAGTATTGCTGGAGTCAAACAAGCCCCGCATGTATCGAGGAGGCTGGTTCAAGTTTGGACCTCTCTTGGACACTTCTGGTGACCTGCTTCGTGTTGTGGGCACCGGAGGAGCTGGGATCCGCGATAATCTATTTCTCTTGTCTATGGGATTGGCCACAAAGGAACCTTCGTTTGTAGTGTAGGAGTCATCGTCGCTGGGCCTAGGTCTGGCCGCAGGTACGCTAGGCCGGGAAACCGTGTTCTGGATCTTGGTTCTTTGCCGCACTGGGGGTCGAGTAGGCCGTATGATTGTAGCTTCTTTCGGTTTCGGCTTGCTCAACGTTTCCAACTTGCTCTTCAAGGTCTCGTTTTCTTCTTTCTTTCTGCGGAGCCTAGACTGAAGCTCGTCAATTCGTGACTTGCATGCTTTCTGTTCTTGTAACTCTTCCCACGCTTTTCTGGTAGGACAGCCAGGAAAGTCCACACACCACATGGTGATCGACAATCCGTACATGAAACTGGCAAAAGACTCGTTGAATCCAAGGGCCACCGCGTCGTGAATCAGCTGGAGATTTGTCATGTTCACGTCCAATTCTTCCATGGCATCAGAGACTCTCCCAAACTTCTCACTGTTCACCGCACTCTCCATAGGCGTGTGTTCCACATCAACAGGGTAGTGTATTTTGGGAGACTGGGTCAACAAATAAAGCCCTGATGACCTCTGCAGCTGTCTCCTTTTCGCCTGTGACGAGGGGGTCACGGGCCGGGAAGAATGCAGCATGTTTGTGGAGGATTGCAGCATCGTTTGTTTAGATTTAAGGTGTTGGGTCACGTGCAGCATGGTATCGCGATACCTCGAAGAAAGCGGGCGGCGCACGACCCGAATAACCTGATGGGTGCAAACGGGAACGACAAGTCCAACGAGGTTTTCGTGTTTGTAAATACGTGTACTTTTGTAGCTTAGCACTAATCTAGTCTAATGACGCCATGGCCCGCGCGGATCATTCCAGACCCACAATTTCCTGCCATGTCTTGCCCTCTTTTTTCAATTCGGCCAACAATTCGTCTCTAATGTGAGCAGGTAAGCCTGGCCCCTTGTAGGCAAAGGCGGTGTAGAGCTGCACAAATGTGGCTCCGGCCTTACCAAATTCAAGAACGTCTTTTCCAGAAGAAATTCCACCACATCCAACGAGCACTAACTTGGAGTCCTTGGTGTATTTACGAAGAGTGCGCAAGGCTTTCAAGGACAAAGGCTTCAAAGGCTTTCCCGACAAGCCGCCTGCTTGGTTGATGAGTTCCCTGTTGGTGGTACGCAAGCTTTCGACAGGACGTGATATCGTAGTGTTGGAAATGATGATCCCGTCAACCTTGGCCAGTTTAGCGGAGTTGGCAATGGATTCAATTTCTGGCTCAGTAAGATCTGGGGCAACCTTCACCATGACTGGAGGAATCTTACCCAACAAGTTGGCACCGGCGGCATCTCTTTCCCTCACAACAGTAGTCAACAAGTTGGTGAGCTTCAGTTCGCTCTGCAAATCTCTCAATCCTGGGGTGTTAGGGGAAGAAACATTAATGACCAAAACATCGGCATATGGAGACAAACGGTCCACGCCCTTCACGTAGTCTTCGACTTCGTCACCAAACTTGTTTTTACCCAAGTTGATACCAAGAAGTCTTCCGTTTCTGAAAGCATTTGAGGGTGCATCCTGACCGCTTTGTCCAAATAACTTCGAGAATCTGGTACGCAAAGTAGCAATAACGCTGAAATGGCCGGTGGAATTGAACCCGTATCTGTTGATAACAGCGTCATCTCTGGGCAATCTGAAAAACCGAGGTTGTGGGTTTCCAGGTTGGGCCTCGGGAGTAATAGAGCCAATCTCGACATAGGAGAATCCAGTATTGAACAAACCATCAATAGCCTCACCGTCTTTGTCCAAACCGGCAGCAAGACCAATTGGGGATTGCAAACGAGTGCCAAACACATCTACACCAAGAATCTTCGCATCTTCGGCGTTGAGCTCGGGATCCAGGATTTTAGGTGCCAAGCCATACTTCAAGAGGGAAATACCAAGCTTATGTCCCTCTTCAGCGTCCGTGAAAGCACGGATAAGTGGACAGAAGACGTATTCATGGATGGCAGATCTGGAGTCGAGGCAGTAGTAACCTCCAATTGACAAACCGATGATACCACCAGCAAGAGCAAGAGGCCCTGGGAGAATGCTGGCCTGGTGCACAGCTCTTCTTCCCAATGGATTGAACGCTTTGAAGAATCTCATTATGGTGGAGTGATTGGCCAACGATACTAGGCACTTGAAATAGCGATATGCGAGCACGTGACCCATATACTAGTGGCTCACCACCAACCAAGCAGGGAGGACCCTTTCCCACAAATCAGGAAAGGGAAAATTGAGCTTATTACCCCTTGTATGTAATATGGCACTTCTGCCCTAACTTTCCGCCTTTTTGAACGGATTTGTCCACATCCTCGATAGGCCTAATGGCTGACTCAGGTGACCGGAAATGGATTATTCACGTGATTGGGCCGGAATAGGGGCATCTCTGCTCCTACATACAATAGGTGAGATGCCTGAAAAATTAGTAGTACTTTAACACCATCAACTAGCATTATCATGGGGACTAAACCACAGCATGCCGAACGTCTTCCAGGCAAGTTCGACAGAAACACTTCAAAGGATGGCCACCAGTCCAAGCGTCCCAAAAACCCTCGTTTGAGGAAGGGATTGGCCAAGACAGACCGTGAATACAAAGAAGCAGTCAGATCAGCAGAGAGAACAGAGATGTTATTGCAAGAAGAAGCAGGTTTCCTTGAAGCCGAGGGCATGGAAAAGACTTACAAATTCCGCCAGCAAGATATCCAGGAAGCTGTGGATGTCAGCACTGCCAATAAGAAGTTCGAATTGAAATTGGATGAGTTTGGTCCATATACTATGGACTACTCGAGAAACGGCAGGGAGTTGTTGATTGGGGGACGCAAAGGCCATGTGGCTGCTTTGGACTGGAGAAAGGGTTCTTTGGATACCGAGCTCCACTTGAACGAAACCGTGCACGCCGTCAAATTCCTTCACAACGACCAGTATTTTGCAGTTGCCCAAAAAAAGTATACCTTCATCTACGATAAATCGGGGTTGGAACTTCATAGGTTGAAGCAGCATATCGAAGCCACTCTTTTGGACTTCTTGCCATACCACTTCTTGCTTGCAACTGCTGGACATACCGGATTCTTGAAGTACCATGATGTTTCTACTGGTCAATTAGTAAGTGAACACAGAACTAAGCTTGGGCCTACCCAAGCCATGAAGCAAAATCCATGGAACGCTGTCATGCACTTGGGACACGGAAATGGTACTGTTTCTTTGTGGGCACCAAGCATGTCCACCCCATTGGCAAAGCTTTTATCTGCAAGAGGACCAATAAGAGACTTGGCTGTGGACAGAGAAGGTAAGTATATGGCAGTTAGTGGATCTGACAAGACCATAAAATTGTGGGACTTGAGAAAAATGCAAATCATGGACACATATTACTCCCCTACCCCTGCCTCATCATTGGACTTCTCCGACACAGGCTTATTGTCTGTTGGATGGGGAAGTCACGTCACAGTATGGAAGGACATATTCAAAACCAAGCAGAAAGATCCATACATGAACCACTTGATACCCGGCTCCAAGATCGAAAAGGTAAGGCATGTTCCATTTGAAGATGTTCTTGGTGTTGGACACCAAAATGGATTCAGCTCTTTAATTGTCCCAGGAGCTGGTGAAGCCAACTACGATGCATTAGAATTGAACCCATACGAATCTGCTAAGCAAAGACAACAGAGCGAAGTCAGATCCTTGATGAACAAGTTACCATTCGACACCATCACCATGGATCCTACAATTATTGGTAAGGTGGACAGAAGAGCCATGGCCATCAGATTGAAGCCAGGTGAGATCAACGAATTGGAGGTGGTCACCGGTGACGAAAAGTTGCAGCCTAGACCAGATGTCCTGAGCAAAAACTCGAAGTTGAGATCGCACTTGAGAAGGAAGAAACAGAATGTGATTGACGAAAGAAAGATGAGAGTGGAAAGAAACTTGAAGATGGAGAAGGAAGCGAGAGAGAGAATGAAGATGGAGGAGCAAGGCATATATGAGGAGGAAGATGTCTTGGACCAAGCATTGAACAGATTCAAGTAGTTGTATAGGCTAGCATAATGTACATTAATAATAGAGTAATGTAAAGAGAAGCAAGTTGTTCAAGCAAGACAGAGAATAATCCTCGAGAAAGTAGGTGTTTATTCACCCAATCAAGTTGAAAACTAGCCCTTCCATAATTTCCTTTTCCCATAACATAGCAGTGAGATGTTCTTCGTAGGTGTGATGTTTGCTAAAACTGTTGGTTTTAACTTGCGATTGCCCTTCATCAGCATGGAAATCTTCTTGTGGCTCAGGCTCCTGATGGTCTGCTACGTTTCCTATACGTTGTGACTGCTCTGCTTCAAGATCCTTCTGTGGTTCGGGTTCTTGTACGCTGGTACATTTAACTTGTGACTTACTTTGATCTGCTACCTCCTGTGGTCTAGGATCGTGTACCCGGTCAACGCTATTGGCGTTCAAGTACCTTTCGATCTGTTCTTGGTCGGTGGCACTAAGAAAGCCGAACAAAACCAACCCGACTGTAGACTTTTTAGACGAAATTGTACCAACTTTCACTAGAACCTGACAAAGATTGTAGATTTGTTGAGTGTCATTCAATAAAACTAAGCGCAACCAATTCAAGTTTGACACTTCAGGCCAAAAGTTGTCCAGATAGCCAACTTTGGAAAAGTAAGAAGAAGTATGGAACTCTAGACCCAATTCCAATGCTTTCGCTTGAATGATCAAGCCACAGGGAACATGGAGTTCCATATCCTCCTCTTTACCGTATCCAACCGTAAATGGCCTGTCGAAATATGTGGAGAATTCTCCATTTCCCAAATCTTCGGGGTTCATGAGAAACTCGAATAACTTGTAGAGGTTTTGTGGAGCGATGAATTCGGCTATGGTCGACAGAACCTTTATAGGACTACCAGGAAACTCTGCTAGCCAATGGATAACTGCTTCAATGAACATTGAATTTGGTTCCATGGTGGCAATGAATTTGCACCCACTGAATGCGCACAAACGGCTTCTAGAATATTGCCTACAATAATACTGAGCACTTTGAGTGAACTGAGCCAGGAAATTTCTAGGCAGCTGTATATTTATTAGCCATTAGAATAGAGAGAGATATAGATAGATAAGTTCCCAGATCAATGAGAGGTTCTAGCAGAAATAGAGAACTTGGAGTAGTCAACCGTGATCAAGTCACCAAACACATTAGATGGAGACCCATCGGCACCATTGTTCAAGTTATTCATGGCATTGTTGAACATTTCCACGAGATTAATTTCTGACTTAATGAATTCTAAAATAACCTTAAATTTGCCGTTTGATTGTTCGTTATGCTTTTCCAATTTCTCCTGTAAATTTAAATCTTCGATAATCTTGATTAACTTCAACGAATTTTCTGGATCCTCGAAATTTTCTATGCTGACCAAGCCTGAGTAGCTATCGGATTGGCTCTCAGAACCTTCGTATTGTATCTTTTGGTTCAACACTATAAACCATGCATTGGCGATTTGTTCGTATGCAAGCTGTCTGGTGTACTGAAATTCGTTGTTGGTGAAGTTTGGCAACTCATGGATTAAATCAGTGATGTGATCAAGGAAAATTAGGGAATTTGGGGTATTAGTCTCTATAGGAGGTAAGAAGTGAAGGATAAAATCAGACAAACAGTTGAGAAATTCGTTCAAATGCGACTTGACTCTAAGGTAGGAATAATCGCTTTCAATGTCACACTTGTAAGGAAGATGGGAAATGATGTTCTGGAACTTTTCTTTCAAAAGCAGGAGCGAATTTTGGACTGTGGGTTTGGGCGATCTGTTGTGGATGGTTGATGCAATCTCGGGATGAATTTGGACAAGGTCAAGGAGTAGGTTTTGTAATGCTTTCTGGTCCAAGACTTCAATCAAACGCGTGACTGGCAAGGTTTGACCCAAAATCTTTGGAGTTTTTGACTTTTTGAACTTGTTTGATGAGACTTGACTATGCACTTTTCTTTGGGAGAACTTGTACTGGGACTCAGATGCAAATGGGGGAGAGGATACGGCCACTGTGGCGTTTGACTCGTCGTCCAGAAGCCTTCTCTTCTTGATGTTTGATTCGTTCGTAGACGCTGCGTCGACTGGATGGATGCTGGGGGTGTATCGGGGAACGTCAATATGGAAGTCGGATGTGGAAGTGGCACTAGAGCCGAAAGAGGGAGCTGGGGGTTTGATCCCCCACTGAAATCCTGCTGAGACCATGATTAGGGTGTTTGATGCAAGTTTCTTATGGTTTTATGCTAGATGTTCAAACTGATGGCCAGTGATGGCAACTAATGGTTCTGCGGAGGGACGACTGGGTCACGTGTGCTTCTGCTGGCTTGAGCTTTCGGTGGATGGTGCAAGGTCAACAAGTGTCGACAACGATATAGCTATATGGGTTCCAGAACAGACCTTCAACAAGAGTAAGTAGATGTGAACTGGGATGATAAACTTGACGATGGCGTCTTATGTGTAGCTGTTACCCGGACCTGTACCAGTGCGAAATCTCCGGAAATGTGCTGACTATAAGAGTCGTGCATTTCCACCTAGTGGCTGTGAATGGGTGAAATTCAGATGGATTGGGGCTATTGTCCCGTGCCTGCAACATGCCTTGGATCAGAGGGGCATGTGAGACAGTAGGAGGTCTTTTTGTGGCTATTCTACATGGTGTCCTCTTTCGTGGTACTTTGGTTATACTGACATGATGCTTTTATTGTTTCATAGCTTACTATATACATACATTCGTAGGGGTTCATCTGACCGAATATTCGTTTCTTCATACTCCGCTAAACAGACGTCTTGCTGGAGCTGGTTTGGCTGGGAATTCTGTGCTAACCTGTTACAACTAGTAGTAATCGTTTCCTTCATACTCTGAGTCGTTAAAACTGATGTCGTCCTCATCGTCGTACGCAGACTCGGAATCCTGGTCGTAATCAGCTTCGTGGAAGCCCACATACCGATTCCTCTTAATTTCCACCTCGTCGTCGGTGTTGATGTCTTCGTCGTCGGTGTGGTCTGCTACCTTGGAGTTCGTGAAATTGCCTCCGTTGATATTGTTGGTGCCATCGTCCTCGTCATCGTCTTCTTCCAACTCAATCTTCAACTCGTGGATGATATCGAAGCACTCAGCCAATAAGGCATTCAAAGTTCCTTGGCCCTCTGGTATCTGGTTGTTGATGATGAATTTCCCGTCACTTCTAAGATTATCTAAAGATGCCAATTTGAACTGGAAGGGATACAATTCACGTAAGTTATTCAACCCGTTGATTCTCTTCAAATCGAGCAAGCATTTCCTCACCGTAGAAAGCTGGTTATGTATTGGCTGCAATGATTCACTGACGGGTTCGGAACTTTCAAGTAGCTTGTAGATCAACGAATAGCATCTTCTCAATAAATACAAAATAAGGATCTGATTCTTCCTCAAATGCTGGGTTATCCCAGTAGCAGACGAATTTTCAAGACCCTTGATTTTCTCATTCAATTGTATTCTTTCGTCATCGATTCCCTTCAAAAGCTTTTGGTAAGTATACAAATCAGTCTCTCTTAAGGTCCATCTTCTTGTTATAAGCAAATTCTCTAGGGTTGATTTCAAGTCTATAAGTTTGTAGTATAAACCCTCAAAGCCCTTATTAATGCTCTTGAATCCTTCATTGTCCGCAAATGATAAGGACGTTTCGAACAAAGTCGACAAGTTAGTGGAATCTGTTTGAATAGACAAATCATTCAACAAATTGTTGCAATCATCCAATAACCCATTCAACACAACTTGCAAGGCATTGAGGCTCTTTTCGTCATTTTCGAGTTCTTTGCTGTGGAATTTACCGTCGGTCAAGTCTCTTGTAGACTCGATTTCTTTAAGCTCATTCTTAAACTGAGCGATCTTACCAAGAATGAATTCTTGGTTCTCTGGTTGAGGTGTGATGGATGACTGAGCATGTGTATCTGATGATGGCTTTTTGTTCGTGAAATAGTTCAAAATAGACTTTCTTATCGAGATTAATTTATTATAGGGCTGTTCAAGATCGGAAGGAATGTTTCTGAAGTTATCCTCCAACTCCTTGTATAAGCTTTCGCAACGATTCAACTTATTTCTCAAAATCAAGTTTTCTTCTATCTTATGCATATTCTGTGCGTCATTTTCGCCATACCCCGACATGTCGACGTCTTCGGTATCTTCATTGCTTTCACTGGCAATGATATCTCTGATTTCGTCCAATCTCAGCTTTATAGGCTCCAAATCCTCCAAAGTATAGACTTGGCATTCCCTCAAATGATGGAGAAATTTATTGACAGTAGATAAGGATGAATAGGTTGCAGGGGCGAACTTGATTAATCCACAAGTAACGAAGCATAATGACACCAATTGCCAAATATCATCAATAAGCAAATCGTTGGCGTTGGGCAAATTCAACGTCATTCCTTTCAACTCTTCGTCCTTTCTGGAGATCTTTAAATCATGTAATAAGTTCAAGAAGTCATCGTATATCTGATAGACCTGCTTGGAGTTGATGTACTTGTTTCTGTCGTTCTTCAAGGACAACAAAGTGTTGTACATGTTGAGGAACTGTTCGTGGAGCGATTTCTCGTAAGTAGGAACAGGCGCCTTGGAAGAAGACGACTGGGAAGGGGTTCCCGGACGAGTATTGTTGTGCGAGGTCATGATTGCCAGATTGACTTCCAATTAGTCAAAAACCAAACGTCAAATGATGGGAAGGCAATAGTGGTGGTTGTGATTGTGTGCCGCTGGAAAGCAAAGGCCGGGGCTATCAGCGGGATTTGAAAGATCAGAAACGACGTGAGATTCAGTACTATGGCACAAAATGGTACGTGGCAATTTCGTAGATAGATTCAAGGGCAGCGGAAGTTATGGCGTGATAGGAGTGGTTGGAACTATCTGTTGTAATGATAAATTAGGGTCACGTGTGCCACTCACGCATTCGTCACTACACGAATCACCACGAGCAAATACTGATAGACTGTCATCAGCAGTGTTTACCACTAAGTGGGCCATGGTGCTGACGTGACCGCAGTAAGTGACATGGGCTTGTTTATTTTTGGCCGGAAATGTGCCCTTTCTTCTTGGGCTAAGTCCTTATGGAGCTTGCAATATAGAATTTATAGATCAAAACCGTTTCCGGCTCGACGGATGCGGAAAAGAAGATTAAACCCATACAATGGATCCCGGATCTTTAGGTGAAGTGCTTGCGATACAAGTTGTTCGGATCATGCAACGATGGCTACAATAGCGGAGCTCTTCCGGATGATAGTATCATTTTATTAACGTAGAATCACCAATAAAGTCATGTACGAAAAAAGTACGGTAGAAATAAAAGTCACAGAGACATCATAAGCCTGACAAAAATTAAATATAAGCAAGTAGGAAGGTCGTGGTGGTATCATGAATTAGATGGGCGGATTAGCGATCGGGGTTGGCCACTTGGAGTACATTTCTATTGTAGTCTTCGTCAGCCAACGACCCTTCGGATAATCTGCGTCTTCCCATCATGATTGGATTTAATCTTGGATCGACGAGCCCGGAATTGGCATTCAATCCCAGTATGCCACTGTTGGGAGCCGTATGGTCTGAGGGGTGGACGAATGGGTTGGACATAGGCATATCCAACGGAGACTTGGTTCTCTTGGAGCCCTTAGCGGTGTTACCTCTTCCGAGGGTGCCACCGGCTGGCTTGTCATAGAACTCTTCTTCGTCATCGTCATCGTAGCTGTTACGACGTTTGATGATGAAGAACACGATTCCTGCAATCAAGGCGACGGCAGCGATTCCTCCAACAACACCACCAACGATGGGGCCGGTGTTGGAGCTCTTGGACTTAGGAGATGGGGTCGGGGACGAGGACGAGGACGAACTAGCGGTGGGAGTCCCCTGGGTCACTGTTCTGTAGATGACGGAGCTGCCGTCGCTGGCAGAAGAGGTTATGATGGTGGTGGATGCAGAGTCAGAGTCGGATTCGGAGTTGGACGAGCTGGTGGCGGTGGTGGATGGAGACGACGAGCTTCTGCGCGAGCTGGAAGAGCTGGTGGACGAGCTGGAAGACGAGCTGGACGAGCTGGAAGACGAGCTGGTGGACGAGGAGGCCTGCGATGCGCCATCGGTGGCCAGGCCAGACCCCGATCCCTTATAGACATTGTAAGCGTTGGAACCACCGCAGGTGTCCTGGCCAAAGCCAGCACATGGCACGTTACAGCTGTCGGACTTGGAGCCGGACGGGAAGGAGCTCAAGCAGTAGCATTCATTTCCGTTTTTGAGGGCGACGTAGGGGGAGTCGGGACACTTGCCAGCGCAGTAGGACGAGGTCTGGTACATCCAAGTGCCTTGGGAGTCACCGTTGACCGAAGAGAAGCACCCGAGAGGCGTATCGGCACGGACCACGGCCATCATGAGGAGTAGCACCAAGAACTTCATCGAGTTTGTTGTTGTGGATAGGCAGGGGCAGCGAGTGGAGGAGGAACGACACACGGGAGCACGGACAGGCGCTGTGACTGGTACACTGAGATCTAACAACGAGTGGTGGTGGAGACAACGGAAGTACAGCACTGATGAATATCCTGCCAGAATCAGGTTCAGGTAATGACTAGTTGTAGCAGTAGTGAGGCCCGCACGACGTAACCCTTGACACACCAATCGAGAAATTTTTCGCGTCGAAAAGAAATTCACGCCTGGCCTCAATCAGGGGGGGTGCCAGGGCAATGGCCCATCGAAGGTCCACGCAGTGGCCAGGTGGGCGGTGGTGACAGGGTGGGCGATTGGGAAATTGGTCTGTTGGCCAGTTGGCGAAGAATCGGAGCCATGGTTCCACTGCCATTGTGTGAAGAATGGACCCAGCCGGTTCCTGGCGTTGAATGGGCCTGCCGTTATGCGCGTCGAGGACGCCAGTGGCCCAGCACCGCGTCCAGCGTCCAGATCGTGGTGGGCGCAGGCAGCGACGGTAATGACGGTCGGAATATTCGTCTAACCGCGTCTGGTCGCCTGGATCCTCCCAGTCAGGCAATTGTTGCTGGCACAACAATCACTTGTAATTAGCAGTCGTGGCGGGGGTGCAGAAATACGATGGGAGGGGGGAGAGAGTGGTGGATATTGACGGAATTGGTGGATATTTTCTAGACGATTTTCCGATTAGTTGATTCTGGGTGTAATGTAGCTCTGGGAGTAAGTGTACTCGGGGTGTATAATGGGCTCTAGGATTAATTGTACTGTCTAGGACTGGGACGCAGTTTTCTGGCACGGAAGGGGTATTAATTGTCGTCTAGTACTTTAATTTCTGGCCACGCCCGACGGACCCCGACAATCCGTATCATGTACTGCCTTATTTCTACTCTAGGACGATGTTTTATTTCCTGGTGTATCAATTATCCCCGGAGGCCTATGTTTGTAACGTCGAGGAGTTTTAATTGTTTTCTAGGTGTTCAATTTCTGGCTTCTAGAAGTTTAATTCTACCACGAGTCTTACTGTGTATATTCTGGATCCCTGGAGCATCGATTCTACTCACTAGGTGTTTGATTCCTGACCTCCACGTATTTAAATCTACAACATCTCTTTACTGTGAGTTATCTCCAACAGATGGAGTGTTAATTCTGCTACGAGTGTTTACTGCAGATCAGAACTCCTTTGCATACTCAAGGAGTTATTGGCTCTGTTGATCAGGTGTAATAGTTCCTGACCACTGTGAGAAATACAACTATAATGCATTTCTGCGGTAGCATTCTAGAAGTATTTGAACACGCAGTTAATTCTGGTTTCACCGATTAACTCTCTGATTTCGATTATATTTGCCACTTGAAAGCCAATGTTATACTGTGAGACTGACAATGGTAATTCTATTCAATCTATCAGTGAAAACCTGGCTTTAGAGTACTCAGCCCAATCTAGGCCATTCTGGAACAATAATTGCAACTGGATTCTCGCCCAATTCGGTATTTTGCTAGCCCAATTTGGCATGGCCCTGACCCAATTCGACTACTTGTATTTTTGACATGATCTAGTTCGTTCCAACTACTCTGTACCAATAAATACACTGCTAATCCGGTCCACATCTAGGCCCAGGACATGTACCATTATCTGCTAATAACATGAAGTAATTAGACACTGTACAAGGTGCTAAGCCAAGCCCACTACTATTAATATTAAATAGTACCAATTTTATTCCCCCGATGCGCCAATATTACTAGTACTTCTCACCTCTATTTACTACTAATTTGTGTCTCCTACCACTCACCGGTAATATTTCTCCATTTAATATTACATCCATGTCTCCCATCAAATGGCATTCACATCCAGTGCACATTCTTCGCTCATCCGTATTCTCGTCCATGGTAGTATTTATCGCCTTCTACCAGTACACACTTCTCAATTTAGTATATGCTTATTGTCTCCTACCACTCTCTATACTACTCCACGTATATAATGCTATCTGTAGTACATCCCCTTTGGGGAGAATCGACCCAACTGTTGAAAAAGTCGACTGGTGCTACTTGTCCTGTTTCGCAGCCTGGCCGCGTTTTGCACCCATTTATGCCACACCAGCCTGCTCGTGGAGGGCACCATAACTGCCCAACTCACACTGGGCCACCATCTGGCGATGTCCTGCCACCGCCTCATTGACCGCAGCTGGCGTCACCAACGGCATGGCGTCCCATGCCAACAAAAGGTTGACCATCCACTTCTCGGCCCTCACTGGGTCGATGCCGTAGAACTTTCCGAAATAGCGGTCAAAGTAGCTCACCAACACATCCTTAATGGTCTCGGCGTCGTTAGCCGCCGCTGCTACCGCCATGGCCTCTCGGTATACCGGGTCGTACATCATCCGTCCAGCGATCTTGCTGCGGTGTGCTACCACCACCTTGAGGTCCCGCACGCTGCGGTGGTCCTCCACCATCTTATCCAACAACAACCGGTCGTTGAGCTCGGCATAGTCCACTGCCACTTCCTGCTGAGGCACGCGCTCTACCGTGCTGGTGGTACGCAGGCTCTTGGTTGCCTTGGTGAGGTCCCGCACCACTGCCTGCTTGATATCCAGCTTGCGACGGTTGTGGTGATGGTTTGAGGCGTACTCGAACTGGAGCCCACCATCGCCCGAGTCACCAAGCAACCCGTCCTGCCAGTATTGCTTTTCTGCGGGGACGTCGTCGCCCATGGTCTTAACCTCCTGGATCTTGAGAAGAATGCGCTTGCACAAGATCTCAAATGCGATTTCTCCCTCCATCTCGTCGCACCGCATCATGGCCAAAATGAGTTGCGGGTCGCAGCTGGTCAATTTGGCGATGGCATCAGGATGCTTGGGCATGAACACCAACATGTTTTTCTCCAGTTTGGCGGTTCCCAACAGGCTGCGGAGCTCCATGGGGTCGTGGCTGATGTAGGGAGTGCTAGACGGGATTCCCCTGGAGAGACGGAGCCCGTAGCTACGGATGGAGTTGTCGTAGGATACCACGTCTTTGCACACGCGCTGGACGTCCACCGCCAAGCGTCGCAAGCAGTGTACGTCGTTCATCAAGAAGTACCGCACAATCGACTGGGCGTAGTTGAGCTTGTGGTCGAGGGTGAGCTCGGGGTTGCGGGCAAAGAACGAGTTGGGTCTTGGGCTCTGCACTCGTGTCTGCAACTGGCCCAAGACTGCCGGAAACTCGGTTACGAGGTAGGGGTTGCTGGCGAGAAACGGCCTAAGGTTGAAGTGGTAGAGCACGGCGTAGGTGAACAATTGGCGCCCGAACTGGTTTGTGAAATGGTTCAAGTACTGGGTGTCCAACCGCTTCAATGCCTCGAAAAACGGCGACTGGCGCTTCCTGGTGCCTGGTCGTGATTCCGCATCTTCCAAGATATGGAGCACATTCTCCATGCTCCGGATGGAAAAAGACTCCACTGTGCCGAAGGTTTTGGAGAGATCAATGGGTGGCGCATCTAGCGGGTTCGGTATGGGCGGCGACTTGGTGTAATGCCGTATTCCGACTCTTCGGAGTGTTCTGATCATGGTTGTGGTTCATGTCTCTCTGCGAGACCGATTTATGGTCGAGTCACGTGTGGGTCACCCAGAAGACATACTCTGACACTAATTGAATGCATTGAGAAGGATATTATATACATTGATGATTGTCTTAGAGCTGAACCGACGCTGTTGGCGTAGTTCTACTCAAATACAGGCTGGACAATATTCGTAGTTTACTGGGGAAATGAAACAAGCTTAGCAAAATAGAATCAATAGATCAGAATATTCCTTTTCTTTCAATTAACAAACTCAGAATAGAGTAAATATGTACGAGATACAGTGTTCCTTCCCAGCAATGAGAATATTTTGAATAACTTTAGTCAACTGGGTTTAACCACCCTTGTCATTTCCTATGCCTGAAAATATTCATTTAAATTATTATCAACTAGATATTCTAATGTCTATGAGCTATCGCTTTCTCCTGTCTAAGAACTCCAAGTCCTTTCCACTGTAAAAATGAGATGCAAATTCCTTAATCCATTTTTCTTCAATTATCATACAATTTCTCATGAATTCCTTACTGGTCAATACCAACTCATGATACAAGACCACTTTGGGTGGAGGCTTTAGGGAGTGTAAGGAGGACGAAGGATGGATGTAAACAGCCTGGTTCTGCTTGAGTCTCCTAAATGAATCGCCCATTTTTGAGATACGTGCAATATTAGGAAAAAAGCCAGACAAAATCGCTTTCTGAATCATTAAGGGTTTATTTTCATTGTCATCAGTCTCGTCTTCAATTCCGATCTTTTTGCACAATCTCTCTAATTGTTCTCTGATATGTCTTACCCTCTTCAAAGTTTTGTACTGGACGAAGTGATCCTGGCACCACGTATTCGAATACCCGGTTTCCACCCACTCGTTCCATATTTTAAGTAGTGTCAAATGATCGCCCTGTTCTTCGCTGAATTTCTCGTGAGCTTTATCTGCTTGCTCTTTTTTGTCCTTGGGTCTATAATATAAAGTTCCGGACTCCCCCAACATAGACATTATTGACAATATATCCTCAAAAACCCCATACTTGGAGCTCTGTAGCAATGCCTTCGTGAACATAGGGTCAATCGGAAATTCGGCCATTTTTCTACCCACCTTGGTCAATTCTCCCAGTGAGCTTAAAGCCCCCAACGAATATAACAATTCAAGGGCTTTAATGATCGATTCGGAGCTGGGGGGATCCATGAAATCGAAATTGATCAAATCATTGATCCCCAATGATAATAATAACAACACCACTGAGGTGAGCTTGACTCTAAGAATCTCAGGCACGGGATTCAATTCCAACTCATTATAAAAGGACCACTTGGTGTACAACCTGAAACATTTACCTGGACCCACTCTACCGGCTCTACCGGCTCTTTGATCGGCCGAAGCTCTGGAGCATGGAACTACCACCAAACTCTCCATTCCAGTACTGGAATTAAACACATTTTGCTTCACATAGCCGGGGTCAATAACATAAGCGATACCATCGATTGTAATCGATGTTTCTGCAATGTTTGTGGCCAATACTACCTTCCTAGAATTTTTTGGTGTAGGCTCGAAGATTTTGGCCTGTGCCTCATTAGGTAAGTTTGCATATATGGAGCACACCAATAACGGCTTGATTTGAGAGCCTAGTTTCGCCACGGATTCATTTAGCGATTCTTCCATTGTTTCGATCTCATCTTGACCTGTTAAAAAGACTAAGATGTCACCAGGCAAGTCTTGAGTTAAATGAATTTGAAAGATGGTGGTAATTGCAGCTTGTATATAATTAGCCTCTGGGTTCTTGGTGTAATGAATTTCAACTGGGAATCTTCTTCCCGGAATATTGAGAATGGGAGCGTTATTGAAAAACTCGGAGAACTTTGTTGCATTAATGGTTGCAGAGGCAACAATTAATTTTAAATCACTTCGAGCCTGGCAGATATCCTTGAGAAGACTTAGCAAAATTTCCGTGGAAAGAGTTCTTTCATGGGCCTCATCGATCATCAAAGCGCCATATTTCGATAACTCGGGATCATTTAAAAATTCTCGCAATAGCATACCATCAGTGAGATACTTGATGACAGTATTTTCATTCGATTTATCTTCAAATCTGATGGTATAACCGACCTGCTCTCCCAACTTGCATCCATATTCTTCAGCCACTCTGGTTGCCACCGAAGTCGCTGCCACTCTACGTGGCTGAGTGCAGCCAATTATGAGTTTATTCCCTTCCGTTCCTTTCGAGTAACCAGCCTCATCAAGGTACTGAGGCAATTGAGTAGTCTTACCAGAGCCTGTTTCTCCAACAACAATTAAGACCTGGTTTTCCTGCACGGTCTCTAAGAACTGTTGTTTGAATTTGAATACCGGGAGGGACTCGCGGACTTCCAATATGGTCATCCGTTTCTTTTCCATTTCCTCCTCCACATTCAGCGGGTCTTCGTTCCCCTTGATGACCTCATTCTGGTCAAAGTCAACGTACTGGGATTCGTCAAACACGAACTCATACTGGTCCTGATCAGGCAAGTTGATCTTATCCGTATCTATGGTGGACAACTGCGATGCCTTCTTCATTTGGTCCAATTCCCACTGGTTTTCATACCTATTTTTCTTCTCTCTGGTTCTGGTGGTGTCCTCCTTGTCATCGTACTCGGTCTTTGCGTGTAATATCTCGTGCTTTCTCTTCTTGTCTTGAGAATCGTCTTGGAGCTGGAACTGGACCCGTTCCTCCTGGACGGAAGCTTCTGTGATTACCTTATAGATTTGCTTTTTTTTATTGTAGTCCTTGCGTTCTTCGTTGGAAAGGTGTGGAAGCGATTCGTAGTCCTGAATCTCTTTGTCCAATTGCTCTAGCTTGAGCTGCTGGCGTTTCTGGAGGTACTGTTTCCTTGAGGCATTGCGTAGGTCGGCAGCAGCATCGGTATTGGCAACAGAGCCAGAATTGGCTGCCTCTGTTTCCTTTTGGCCTAGGACATCTTCAGGTTTGGAGCTTTGCTTCTCTTGGCTGGTGTGTTGTTGTGATTCTGCCTGTTCTTCGGGCTGTTCGTCGTCCCAGTCCAAGTCTCTCTTTCTTCTCTGGCCACGGCCGGTCTGAAAGCTCATGTTGATGGTCTATGCTGTGATGTTTTCACAGCAATTGATCCAATTTTAAAGGTGCAGAAAATTTCCAAAAGCGCCGATAGTACTAGTATCAAGATCAGCTCGTTTGGTATGACTTCTCTGGTGAAACAGGCTTCTTCTGTTGTGGTCTACTTGCGACTCCACAGACAGTACTCTTTCGCTTTTCGTGGTGATAGGAAAGTCTTCAGGATGGTGGTTGGCCTGGTCTATCTTGTACTGCCAGTTGAACTCTTGCAGTGGTAGTTCTGAGCTCTCTTGTCAATACTTCAAGTGCACTCTACTCCACTCTTCGCGCCTGTAGTGCGGTGCGAAGACCATCACCAAATCAAAAATTTTGGACCTCAGCCTAACCGCCCAATGCCACAAGAAAGTTCATCTCCCCTCAAGAGCAAGTCGTCTCGGATTGCACCAGACCAGAACGACTCGTCCTTCTTCGAGTCCACCGACAACGTCAGCGCTCCAGCCGACAAACCATCATACATTCCTCCATGGACCGAGCCCTACATCATTGGAGTGGCAGGAAACTCGGGATCGGGAAAGACGTCGGTGTCGCAGAAGATCATCCAGGAGTTGAACCAGCCATGGACGGTTCTTCTTTCGTTTGATAACTTCTACAACCCGTTGAACGCGGAGGAACGACAACAAGCGTTTGACTGCAAGTTCGATTTCGATACTCCCGAGTCTTTCGACATGAACCTCATGTACGAAACGGTCAAGTCGTTGAAGCAGGGAAAGAAGACCGAGATCCCCGTCTACTCTTTCAAGCTCCACAACAGGACGTCCAAAAAAACCACCATCTACGGTGCCAACGTCATCATCATCGAGGGAATCTATGCATTACATGACCAGAGGTTGTTGGACCTCATGGATATCAAGTTGTACGTGGACACCGACTTGGACGTGTGTTTGGCCCGTCGTTTGACCAGAGACATCCTCTACAGAGGCCGTGATCTCGAAGGAGCCGTCCGTCAATGGGAAACGTTCGTCAAGCCCAACGCCGTCAAGTTCGTGTTGCCCACCATGAACAACGCAGACTTGGTGTTGCCCAAAGGGTTAGAAAATGACACCGCCATCTCCTTGATGATCCAGCATATCCAGAAACAATTGTCCCACAAGTCGTCCATGCACTTGAACCACCTCAAGGCTCTCGGAAGAGATCTTTCATTTGACATCAAGAACGTGCCAAACTTGAAACTTCTCCCGTTGACCAACCAAACCAGGGGGATCCACTCCATTTTGTTCGACCAGAACACGGAAAGATCCGACTTTATTTTCTACTTCGACAGAATGTGTGGTCTTATCATCGAAAAGGCCCAGGAATTCTTGACCCATTTCGACCCTGTTGATGTTACCACCCAGGCCAACTACACCTACAAGGGGTTAAAGGTCAACGACGAAGTCATTGCCGTCAATATCATCAGATCCGGAGACTGCTTCATGAACAGTATCAAAAAGACTTTTCCCGAAATTTTGATTGGAAAATTATTGATTCAAAGTGACTCCATGACAGGTGAACCACAATTACATTACGATTCATTACCTCCCAACATGACCAAATACAACAAGAAAATCTTGTTGTTCGACTCGCAGATCATTAGTGGTGCTGCATCGATCATGGCCATCCAGGTGTTGTTGGACCACAGGGTCAAGGAAGAAGACATTATCTTATGTACTTATTTGTCCACCGAAGTTGGATTGAGAAGAATCAAGCATGTTTTCCCTTCGGTCAACGTGGTCATTGGTAAGTTGAGTTCAATGGAAGACAAAGCCGATTTGTGGTACAACGAAGAAAGATTCAAGGACAGTGACTGGTTATTCAGAAATAGATTCATTGATGGACTTTATTTCGGCACACGTTAAGCATGCATACATAAAATACAGACTGATTTTATTAGATTGAAATGTATTCTACTCTTTTCATGGAGCATTAGTGTAGTGTGATCTACCTTGTGTCATCGCTGTACTGAGTACTTAGTTTACTGCGATCTACGTCATAGTTTATTCTTTTTTACAGAATCATTTTCTGTTAATAAGTTTATTCAGTACATAAAACCACCGAACGTGCTATAGCCAGTAAGCACCGGACAATGGTGAATCTTGTCAGTACTAAGTACTGACCAAGATTAAACATCTGAAAATCATGTAAAATGTAGTTGGTTCAGATGAATTAATTTCAATAAAAACCGTTCATGACTGGAGGTCACGAGAGAAAGCTACTCGTACCTCATAGTTGAATCAAGCATCCGCCAAGAGCACTGATTCAACACCCATGCTGCAACCTTTGCCATCTGTTTTGGCTCAATTCCTGGCCAAAGAGGAGCACCAGCTCTTCCTGCCCTATCAGTCCACTGCGAATAAATACCCTGTACGCCGTTCAAGCCGCGCTGGATCAACCAGCGTTGCTCCCAATGAGAGCTACACCCGTACGCAAATAAATATCATACCACGCGGGGATTCTCAAACTTCATAGCAACGCTTTTGCGTCTCTGATGTCTTCTACATCCAGTTGGTGGAGAGTAGTGGCCCTCGTAGGAGGGCCGAGGGTTGGACTTGTGATTCACCAAGCACTGGGTAGAGTTGGCCATGGCTGTGGTGGTGTATGCAGAGCCCCTCAAGGTCTCGAGCTGCTGGTCAAGGTTGTTCAAATCGCACAACGACACCCGTCTCTTTGTGTGGTGGTTGTCCACGGAATTGAACGATACGCTTGCTTCCTTGGTGAGGTCGGGCACGCTCTTGCACTTGCTCAATTGGGTGTTGTACACGAGATAGGCATTGAGGGGGTCACCAGGGTTGTTCCCAGTAGATTCCAATGCTAGTGAGCACCGTCTTTGATTCGACATCTTGTTAAGGTTTGCCTCAGTGGGGCTCTGCCCCTTACTTATAGTGAAAAATTAACTCAGCAACTGGAACAGATCTGTGGAGACAGGTTTGTGTCGCGATGCGCAACATCTGCTGATAACAAAATGTGGGATGAGGGGGAGCTTAGAGTGACCAGGAAATTGGAGGGGGCATCTAGAACGTTCTGGCGAGTGAGTATGTAGTGAACGATATCACTGGAGCCTCGCGAGGGGTCGCTAGCATCACGGTTCTAGGAAGTGGCATTTGATTTTTGCACCCAAGCAACAATAGAACGGCTAGTTGATTAGGAACTTTGCGCGAGCACCAACCATAAGCCGCCTCGGAGCTCCAGCTGAGGCTAAAGCGCCGTGAGCAACGTTGGACAATTCCACGATACTTGCTGTAGCGGTTGGGCATGTTGCTCTCGGTGTTCAGAGCCTCTTCTCGCTGGAATGGGGGTGATTGCAACATCACGACATCCATACTTCACTACTGTGGGAAACATCCATACACTCAGCAAATTTCGGGATTCCATGGTCTTCTTCGCTGCTCTTGTCGAGTCGTTTCGTGGCTTGGCTGCTTGGCGTCAACAAATACGATCTGTTGGGCTGTCAGGTGCTAAGCGTTGCACGGCCCTGGCTCTACCCCTGAGACTGCGTACAGAGTTGTTTGGGTGTGAGTTTGCTCCTAGACGCCACGATTGGTCTAGAGCAATCTGGAGTCTCGTGTTGGTTGGTGTGGGTGTATCCTGTCAAGCATTGATTCGTAGTGCTGTCAATTAGAAGGGCAATATTGCAGTTTTTTGACTGATTTCTCAAAAAATGATAAAATAGCTGGTAAGGGATAATGGACCCTACTTAATGAGAGAAACCAAGCTTGGTGAATTGGGGCAACAACACTCTGGTAAGAGTACTTATAGGTAACCAAGTAGACAATAACCTTCGGTAGTGCAATAACTCCATTTGAAGCCGTTCGGAAGGACCCTCGTGTTGAAATTGAAATTTCAAGAAGTAATAAAGCCTCCAAGTTATGACAGTTCAGATACAAGATCTCGGATGCCAATCATCCACTATTGCTTGCTGGAGCAGAATCCTGTCGTACTCAAACTGCAACTATCATTGCACTACAAAAGTGGCGCCACTCACAATTTGAGCCTACAAAACTTACAACAGTCCTTCCTTCTGTCCCAACCCCCTACAGGGTTTGGCCATTTTCACACGATGTGGAAGCGGAAACGAGGTCTCAAGGGGAGGCATTCCTGGCTTCTTTCTCCAAAGAGTCCTGCCAGACGAAAAGCCATCTGCCAAAGTTGAGCCAAACGCTGAACAGCCACGCCACTGACGGAATGGCTAGCCCTAGCCTGGCCCGACTCATTCTGGCCCTACCCTTCTGACTTGGATTGTTAGTGAGATGGCTGCAATCCGACGCTGCCGCCAGCTCCATTGCCAAAATCGCCCCACAATCACCACCCGGGAATGTCAGGGTGTGCTGTCGGCGGCTACACTCACTGTGCTTGAGCCAGCACCCAAAGACAATCCAGCCACAAAGTCACCTATTGTGTCGGTGGTGGTGGTGATGGTGGTTGGAGTGATGTGCTCATGGTATGGCCGGAGAGCCGCGGCGGCCTTATAAGCCCGTGCCCCTCCTGGGGCCTTGCCGGACATTATCACCCGAACGCACACGACTACCCCGGGGCATTACATCCGAGTATCTAACCTTTACTCCACATTTTGATCTCCGGAGCATATCTGGCATATCGGAGTCAAGGGATTTGGACACTCACCGGCTAATCTATATAATAGCTGTTATCTCGAAAAATTCGATTTCAAAAAAGTGACTCACACTACCAACCTTAATCCACCATGGCTTCTTCAACCTTATTGTGGAAACGGGCATTGCCTACAACCTCCAGGATAGTCAGAATGTACTCTACGTTCAAGCCGGCATCTCCGTTGACAGTCCATGACATCAACCAGCACACCATCGAGGCCAAGTACGCTGTCAGAGGCAGTATCCCCATCAGAGCCGACGAGTTGCAGTCCTTGATCGACTCCCACCCCACCCTGCACGGGTTGCCCTTCTCCAAGATCATCAATGCCAACATCGGTAATCCCCAACAGCTCCAACAGAAGCCGTTGACCTGGTACAGACAGGTGTTGTCCATTCTCCAATACCCAGAGTTGTTGGACGAGGTCAAGTTCCCCGCAGACGTGGTAGACCGTGCCACCACCTTGCTCAAGCACTTAGGATCGGTGGGTGCCTACTCGCCTTCCCAGGGTGTTCCTTATATCAGAAACTCGGTTGCACAATTCATCTCTGACAGAGACGGCTACGACGCATCTCCCGAGAACATCTTCTTGACCGGTGGTGCTTCTGCAGCCGTGACTTACTTGTTGCAGATCTTATCAGCAGGACCCAACTCCGGTTTCCTCATTCCTATTCCCCAGTATCCTTTGTACACCGCCACTATTGCCTTAAACAACGCAAAGCCCATTGGTTACTTCCTCAATGAAGACAACCATTGGTCAACTGACCCAAACCAGATAAGACAACTCATCAAGACCAATAAGGAACAAGGTGTGGACATCAAGGCCTTAGTTGTCATCAACCCTGGTAACCCCACTGGCTCGATTCTTTCTGAACAAGATATCATTGAGCTCATTGACATCGCTGCAGAGCACGGTATCGTACTTATTTCGGACGAAGTGTACCAAGAGAACATTTTCAAGGGAAAGTTCCTTTCCATGAAGAAGGTGTTGTGTGAATTGAAGGAATCCCATCCACACTTGTACTCCAACGTCCAACTCGCCTCCCTTCACTCTACTTCCAAGGGTGTCAGTGGTGAATGTGGCCAACGTGGTGGTTACATGGAATTGATTGGTTTCACGCAAGAAGTGAAGTCAGTGGTATTCAAGTTGGCAAGCATTAATTTATGTTCTGTTGTTTCTGGTCAAGCATTAATGGAATTGATGATTAATCCTCCTAAGCCAGGTCAAGAATCTTACGAGCAATACCACCATGAAACTAGTGCTATCCATACTGATTTGGAGACCAGAGCCTCTGCTTTGTACGAATCTTTCCTCGAGATGGAAGATATCTCCTGTAACAAGCCAATGGGAGCTATGTATTTGTTCCCTCGTCTTCATTTCACTGAAGAACACTATCCATTGTTATTCAAGAGAGCCCGTGATCAAAAGCAGTTGCCCGACGATACCTACTGCATCGAATTGTTGGAGCACACTGGGATCTGTTGCGTTCCAGGAAATGGGTTCGGTCAAGTCGAAGGCACATACCATCTCAGAACCACCTTCTTACCACCAGGTACCGAATGGATCGAGAAATGGACTGCTTTCCACAAAGCATTCATTCAAAAGTATAAGGTTTAGACAACTATGTTCATTTCTACTCAACGTCCTTATTTCATTATTTATTGAATACACGATATTTAACGCGATCATACTCTATCATTACTATCTAACGGTAACCAAGCTTATACGGTGTACCAATTATATTTAACGGTAAACATTACCCAAGGTGATGGACTTAATCACGGTGTAATCATCGATACCGTGAACGGAACCTTCTCTACCGAAACCACTCTCCTTGACACCACCGAAAGGCATAGCAGCGTCGGTGAATGCTCCGGTGTTGACAGCAACCATACCCGATTCCAAGTGCTCAGAAAGGTACCACACAGTGTTCAAGTTCTCGGAGAACACGTAAGAGGCCAATCCGAATGGAGAGTCGTTACAGGCCTTCAACACCTCGTCCTTGTCTTGGAACTTAACAATGGCACCCAATGGACCAAAAGTCTCTTCGTGAAGCACCTTCAGGTCGAGAGTCACATCCTTGAGCACGGTTGGGGCGTAGAAGTTCTTACCCAAGTCTGGCAACTTACCACCTTCAACAAGCACAGTGGCACCCTTGGAAACTGCGTCTTCAACATGGTCTGCCACCTTGGCAACAGCCCTTTCGTTGATAAGACAAGAGTGGGTGACGCCCTTTTCGAACCCGTATCCGATCTTGAAGTTTCTAACCTTTTCTGCGAAGGCCTCACAGAACTTGTCGTAGATACCTGCTTGGACGTAAAGTCTGTTAGCACACACACAGGTTTGGCCCAAGGATCTGAACTTAGAGATGATGGACTGCTCCACGGCGAGGTCGAGGGTGGCGTCGTCAAACACGATGATAGGGGCATTTCCACCCAATTCCATCGACAACTTCTTGAGGGTGGAAGACGATTGCTTCATCAACAACTTACCCACGGCAGTCGAACCGGTGAAACTGACCTTCTTGATGAGTGGAGACTCACAGAACTTCAAGCCACACATTGGTGTGTTCTCAGTGGAGGTCAACACCACGTTGAACACACCAGGAGGGAATCCTGCTTCGTTGGCCAAGTAAGCAAGGGCCAAGGACGAGAGTGGGGTCTGACCATCGGGCTTCAAGATGGCAGTACATCCAGCAGCAAACGCAGGAGCAGCCTTACGGGCACCCATGGCGGATGGGAAGTTGAATGGACACAACAAACCGACAACACCAACTGGTTGCTTGTAGGTGATGATCTTGTTGTTGTGGTTGGAGGGCTGGATGGTGTGACCGTACAATCTCTTTGCTTCTTCGGCGAACCACTCGAAGTAGGAGGCAGCGTACTTGATTTCGCCCTGGGCTTCGGCAAAAGGCTTACCGTTCTCCCAGGTGATGATGGTGGCCAAATCGTCCAAGTTTTCGATCATGAGATCGAACAACTTTCTCAACCACTTGGCTCTGTCGTAGGGCGAGGTGAGCTTGAACTTGTTGTAGGCATCGTAAGTGTTTTGGATGGCGTAGTCGATTTCTTCCGGGGTTTGGTCTGGCAATTCGGTGATGAACTCTTCGGTGGCGGGGTCGTACACCTTGAAGGTCTTGGTGGATTTGGAGTCGTACCAGCCACCGTTGATGAATGGTTTGGTGTGGATCAATTTGGGGTTCTTTAAGGTAGGTGCCATGGTCAAAACGTGCTGAAGATCAAGTTGTTGGCGGATTGGTGGTTTATAACTGTCCGGGGTGGATCCGCGCGGGTTGCCCAAACAGGCAGCCGCGCTGGGGTCGGTAGGACTCCAGCGAGCCTGATACGATCTGGCCGTGAGAAGCGGAAGATTTGCCATGCAACAGGATGAGACGGAACGGGGCTATCCGTGGGTATAGACGCGGGGGAGTAGTGAGGCATACTGCACTTCGATGCCAATAGCCATCAAAATCAGTTCCGAATGTTCTTTCTTTTGTTCCAGCTGGTACTCTTTTGTGCCCTGCTATTTTGTTGCGGTGGGTACTTTGTGCGGTGGGTACTTTCTTTTGTCTGTCTAGCGACGCATGCAGGGCCTAGCGGGGTTTCCCGCTAGCTGGCACGCTGGCCATGATGGATCTGCTAGTGGCTGCGAAAAGTGGTGGCGAAGGGTGCCACCCTTAGGAAGACATATAACAGCTCCAAATGTCCCGTTTGCTACACCTATTCTGCCTACACGACAATGCGCTTCGTTTACATCCTGACATGGCTCTGCACCCTCGCAGTGGGGGCTGCCGTGCCTTTGATCGACATGAACACCACAGACGCTAGCTCCACCTACACCAGCCACGAAGGGTACCAAGCCAAACGGTTCGCCAGCTTGACCGATCTCTTCAAGTCTCTGTTCTGGGAAAAGGTGTCAAGAAAGAAAGACCCGCAGGTTGCGCAACGCACGGTTATTTTGATCGATGACACCAACTCCACCTACTTCTTTGGCGACTCGGAAATGACAGATTCCACCAGCTCGTGGTGGCGTCCCCGTCAGGTGGAGATGACTGAAGTCCAGTTCGGCGAACCGACAGACTTGCACATCCAAGACGCCCCCGTCAGCCACTGTGTGTCATCTGAGTACTCCAGTGCGGGTGGCAGTTATACCCACACCTACACATGGTCCCAGACCGACAACCACATCTGGGCGCATGTGATGGACGGGTCGCTCTGGTTGTTTGGACTCCGGGTGTCAGCCGACCTCCCACAGTGGGCAGGGAACACCGATACCGCAACCTCCATCACCTGCCCCATCCAGCCAGGACGGACGGTGCAGGTGTTGGGGACCCTGAACTATAAGGTGTACCCACGGGCCCGGAAGCGGAGGCTTTTTTTTGGGATGTCTATCCGGAAGTATATTGACAACTGGGAGAACGTTAAAGATAAGAATTACGGAGACTTGTCCCACGTCTACTTGCTGACCGACCAGACGTTGAACTACTACTGCACAGACCGCAAAGAGAAATTACGGTGCGACGAGGGCCCGGGAGGCGAGGCCTGGCACCAGTGGGACTCCCGGGGGTACCAGGTTGCCGTAGCACCCGCAGAGCCTGAAGTCGGGGGTACGTAGTGACTGACATGGTGGCTGGCATGGTGGTTGTGACGATGGTTAACATGGTGGTTGTCACGGTGGTTGACGTGTTGACGCGTTGACGTACGTCTGCTGCACCTCTTGCGCACAGGGTCTAGTACCTCGGCAGGAAACCTGCACCGCTAGCCCCGAGCCGACCCGGACAACAACGAACTTAGCCGGACCAGCAGCCTCCTGATATAGCGCCCCCCCCACAATATACAAATGACCCGGAACCACCATGGCAGCATCAGTCTGCCAGCAGGCAAGTGACTCCCAGCATGGTAGCTATCAACCCCCGACTCCCGGCAGACCCTGGCGTGTCCAGGCCGCGATTCGGTACTAGCGGGCATAGGACCCGTCGGTCGCGGACTTAAGGGGAAGTGCGTACCTCAGCCGTTAGGTTCTGCGGGATAGTGCCGTTGCCGCAAACCTGCCGATGAGCATAAACTATAAAATGGCCCCCCGCCGCACCACGGTCGCCACCCCACTAGGGCCTAGCACTATGATGTTGATGACAGACACTTGGACCCGATTGCTACCCTTTGGGTACCTCCGCGAGAAGGTGTTCCGCAGACGGGACTCCCGCAAGGGCCACCGTCCCTCCCCCACCCGTGCCAGCACCACGCCCCACGGCTTTGGCCACTGCTCCACCGCCAAAGTCCTGGACGAGTTCTTTCATCCTGGCGAAGAAGAGTCTCCCGCCACCACTAGAGCTAAAACCCGTCTCAGGAGGTCTGCCACCGTTCCCCTCCGCAAGCAAAGCGTGGTCACCTCCAGCCACGCTCTCACTGGCCAGACCAGCTACTCACCACCAGAGTCTCCAACAATAACGCCACTGGCGTGCCCCATGCTATCGCCGCTGTACTCGTCGGGCGGCTTTCTCAGTCCCGGGATTACCCACCAGGACCCATGCATGCTATCCAGCGACATCACCATCGACCTTTCGCTCCGTCCAATCAACACGAACCAGCTGTCGGCGTACTCGACGTGGGAATTTGCTCTGGACAGCAACAAGAAGGTACGATTTCTGTAAATAGGCAGCTTACGACTTATGACTATGACTTTACTACGACAAAACCTACTTCAAGACTCTGGAAGTAAGGACTACTGGCTGTAGACCCTGGCATGCCGTCACGTGCGGTGGTGATAATCCTGGCAGCGCGATTTGTCAGCCGGCGACTTGGTTGAATCACGCGATTATGCACGTGATGTGATTCCACATGACCTCCCACCATGTGATCTCCCATCACGCGACAGTGTCTGCACGACATTCCCCCTACGCGCTCCGCCACAAACAGACAACATTTCCATAAAAAGAAACAGCACCGGTCGTGTGCACACCGCCGGGCCCATGATCAAAACTTTGCTAGCAGGACATTTACTACCACTTCATTCACCTGGATCCTTACCACCGCCAGGGTTATCATCACAGCCGATAGTCCCTACGACCCCTGCCCCCAGATTGCCTTACTTACCGTCCAAATCTCCCAGCTAGACCTAGATAGCCCATCTATTTTCATTACTACACCAACACCTCCTCCAGCATATCCACATATCATGCAATACCAGGTATTATTGCTCCTTTTAAGTGCTACTTTCTGGCGCAACGTCTTGGCTGATGTCGACATTCAAAAGCCAGAAGCTGGCGACTCATTCTCCGCTTCAGGAGGCGACGTCACCGTTTCTCTCGAGTGGAAGGATGACTCGGACGACAGTGAAGACGCAGACTCGCTTGACAACGTTTCAGGCTACACCATCTCTCTCTGTACCGGGTCCAACTCCGAGATCGAGTGTTTCTTACAGTTAGAGCAAAACCAGAAGATCGAAGGCAACAAGTACTCGGCAACAATCAAAGCCAGCGATGCTCCTAGTGGTAACTTCTTCTTCCAAATCTATACCGAGTTCGCAAAGGGATGGACCAACCACTACTCGCCCAGATTCGCATTAACCGGAATGTCGGGACCCAAGTCCGCCACCATCACCATCAATGGTGCTCCAACGTTGGTATCATTGGATGTCAGTGCTAGTGGTAAAGAACCAGACCCCCAATTGAGTGCCGGTGACGGTACCTCCATCAACTCGGCATCTTTCACCATTCCATACACAGAGCAAACAGGTAAGTCTAAGTTTGCGCCAATGCAAACTCAACCAGGCTCCACCATCACTGCCACCACCTGGTCTCGTCAATACCCAACCAGTTCGGTATCGTACTTTTCCAAGCTTGGTGGAACTGCCAACGTCCGTACTACCATCACACCGGGCTGGTCCTACACACCTAAATCGGCCGTGAACGCGGCATCTGTGGCTCCTTTCCCTACATACTACTACCCGGCCAGCGAGAGAGTCACTAAGGCCTCGCTCAGCACCGCTGCCAAAAAGAGAAGATGGTTAGAGTAGGTTAGTGTATTTTATCATCTCTCAATGTTTTGTCTGGTTATTTAAGACTGTTCGGATTAGAAATGCGTAGCACAGAGGATTGTAAAATCAGCCCTTGCCATGGGGATAACTGGATTAGAAAATTACTCTGGGAATAGCCAAATTGAATAGCTGGTGTAAATTTGCAGCGATAGTTTACAATTACTGATATCTAAAGTACTTATAAAACGGGAAATTTGAGTATCTTGAAATATAGTTTGCAATTCGAGCGGATTAGGCTGACCTTTCCTAATTGACAAGAAGCTTTAGCGAAAGAATCCTCGTATTTTAGTGGGTGACACAGCTGCCACATTATCCTTACAGTGGGCAGCAACCAGGAGTCTTTGCTTGGTGTTCACTACAAGTTTCTTCCAGTAATAGACTGATAACTGGAGTGCTGGCCGATCACGTGCCGCACTCACCAACCAACTACGACTCCATCATTTCCTACAGCCACATCGCCACCATGTGTATGAAAAACCCAAAGCCGCTCACTGCTGGGCACGAGTATGGCTACCTGAGTCTAGAATCGGCCCTCCAGGTGCCGCAACAGGGCACCGTTGCCAATGTCTTGGCACCCTTCACCAACCACCAGTCATTGTGCGTGTCTGGCGAGCCCAGATATGACGAGAAAACATCACCACAAGCAGTCTGTGAACAGGCTGGCCGTGCAGAGCTGGTGCTGCTTTTGGACGAAAAGTCGGGTGAGTGGGGTTATGACTTTGAGAAGCAAGTTCCTATGCTGAAAAGCTCCAACGATCTCACTTCAGTACGCACGAAAGTGTTTTTATTGGTGGTTTCGGTGGTGGTGTTGGGGTATCGTATGGTGCAGACCAGCCAGAGCGGGTGAAAGACGTCTACTACGGATGTTCGTGAGGATTGGAGGACCATATTGTCTAATGGTAGTACTACTACCTCGCAGTAGTGGAATGGTTCAAATCCAGATCCAGTTCGGATTGGAAATGGTTCCCCGGAGATGCACTCGACCCCATTGGGATGCACCCGACCCCATTGGGTTACACTCGACCCCAAATAGATAGAGAAGGAACTAATTGGCTGCTGAATCCGTGGAATATCGGCTGGCACCGTTCCTCCCAAAGAAGCGATCGGTGCGGAATACGCATGTAATCGCTTAGGTGCAGCTTGTCTTGCAATGAACTGCCAGCCATCAATGCGAATTGCACTTATTGATTAATTGCAGGTATCGAGCCTACAATGCGATTATCGCAGAGGAGATACTGTGGTGGCCACCAATGTGGTATCTTTCTCAACCCCCCAACCCAGACGATGCCAGATTAGCTCCAAATCCAATAGATGCCATCGCTACCCCACTGCTCACGTGAGGAGGTACCCGCCAGCGATATCACATATCCGCTAGGAGTCGGGTTAACATGCCCAATTAGGCAATGTTTGCGCAAAATTCCGACTCCGGGGACGCCATCGCCAGTATATATAGCAGCCATTTCTACCTTTGCCTCCAGTCCATAGCACCTCAATCCCAATGAGATTCAACCTCCACTTGTTATCAGTGGCCCAGCTTGGCGCGGCTCTCACCGTCGCCAGCGGCCAGGACACTCACCAAACTCCCATGTTGCAAACCGTGGAAGAGTCATTCATGGACACCATCTACGGAGAACTCGTGGCTTCGGAAGGGCTGCACAATCACAAGATGAAGTTGATGCTGCAAGGCTATGCTCGTCCCGCTAACGAGTACGACTACGGCCACCAGCAGTACGTCAACGTCCAGTCCAAGTTGAAGTTACCCGCTGACGACGACACCTCCGACATCAATCAGAACCAGAACATGTTTGGAGGTATTCTCACCTACGCCCACTTCAAGACCGCCAGCTGCTTTGACCCAGCATCCTACGGCTCCGAAGCCATTGACATCGCCATCGTGGGGGCTCCTTTCGACACTGGAACCTCGTACCGTCCTGGTGCCAGGTTTGGTCCTGAGGCCATCAGACTGGCAGCCAGACGTTTGGGTGACTCCAGACCCTCCAAGGGCCGCAAGAGCAAGGAATACCCTGTCAACCCATACGACAGCGGTACCCACAACTACTCGATTGTCGACTGTGGAGACGTGGCCATGACTCCCTTCGACAACAGAATCGCCTTGAACCAGCTCTACCGTGGCCAGCGTGCCATCCACCAGCACCAGGGCAATGTGGGAAAGGTCCCCAAGATCATCACCATCGGTGGTGACCACACCATCACCTTGATGGCATTGAAGTCGGTCCACGAAGCGCTTGGTGAGCCTGTGCACGTCATCCACTTCGACTCCCACCTCGACACCTGGAACCCCAAGGTTCTCGGCGGTGGTATCACCGAATACATGTCGTTGAACCACGGAACTTTCTTGCACTACGCACACGAACAGGGCTACATCGCTCCCCAAGGTAACTGGCACGTCGGCATCAGAGCTCCCTACCTCGACGAGGCCTACGACGGCAAGCATGACAGCGAATGCGGCTTCTCCATCATCCGTGCCAACGACATCGACAAAATCGGTGTGGATGGCATTGTCAAGGCCTTGAAGCACAGTTTGGGCTCCAAGCCAGTGTACATCTCCGTTGACATCGATGTGTTGGATCCTGCCAATGCTCCAGCTACCGGAACCATGGAAATTGGTGGCTTCAGTGGCCGTGAGTTGATCAGTATCTTGGATAAGTTGGTGGGACTCAATGTGATTGGTGCAGACGTTGTGGAGGTGAGTCCTCCATTCGACACCAACTCGGGAATCACCAGCTTGGCCGCCACCTCTGTGATCGACTCTTTCTTGAAGATGTTGGTAAAGTAAGCGAAGGTGCTCTCGGTGATCTCAAGGGCAATGTGTATTATAAGCCAATCGATGGGAGAAGACACTCTCCAGAGAACTAAATAAGTATGTCCTGTATTGAAAAGTAATATTAATGAATTTAAGTGATTAAGAGTAAGATATCCGTTGTACAACTCCTAGAGACACAACCGAACTGCCTAAGCAGTTTCAGTGTGTTCGTGAAACCAGCACCGAAAGGGACGCAATGGTAACGGTAATACCATTGCTACGAAGGAAAGCCTTGATAAAAGTAGCGTGACACTAAAGATATTCCTTTCAGATACGCCGAATCAATTGAAGATTTTGCAGTCATCGAGTAAATAGGCCTTCCGAAATTGGGACGATTGCAAAATGTTCTGCCTGTAAATAAACCAACAGCTACAGTGTAGTCTAACGACCAATGCTTAGCATAACAACTCCAGATATATGCAAAACTGACTAAATCAATGCCTACTAAGCAGAGTATTTTATTTCTCCATCACTAACTTCCCGAGATATGCTCCACCGATGGACTGAGATTTCACCACTAGTAGGAAATTGGTGCAAATACAAAGTAAAAAATCCATGCAACACCTATCGAGTACTGTAATAGATGGGGAAGTCCCGTACTAAAGGCACGAGAAACTTCACCACCATTCTTTCAAGAGATATCGCATCTATACCTTTTGTGCGTTTTCAGAGTGTTGCTATACGTCATTTTATACGCTCTTTAATGCACAGATGAATCCGCTGCTCCTTACTTCACGACATCTCTGGAGACATCCTCCTCGGGGAGGGACAAAAACAGATTACCTTCGGCCCAGACCGCCCAAGCGGGAGCCTCAATTACACTACCTAATTTGCTCAGTTGCGAGGATAACTCTGGGGTCAGGAATAACCCTCAAAGCATTTGGTACGAGATAAAATTGCCCCCAGTTGTAATTGGCTCCCTCTATTTGGTTCAGTTGTGTTTGTCCCCAGTTGTTCCTGATGTCTATTGTTAACTCTATGTAGCCAAGGAATACACGTCCCGTCACTTTTCTGTCTGTCTGCACCTGACACCTGCAACCTCTTAATGGTATGAGCACGGAAACAGGGGAAATGTTTCACCGATTTATGTAGGGCCGAGGGACAGATACCATGCCAGAACCGCTGACACTAGTTCGCAGACACTCTCTATGGTGCATAGTGCTCACAGCCGCCGCGACGACCAAAGCCCGCCAATTGCCAGAGCCAGGGCCATTCCTCTAACACCGCCCCTGGAGGCACAGGCGCAGACAGAATGTCGCGCCTCAATGTGGAACAGCCGTTTCCAAACACAGTAACGAGGCTGTGAGGCACATCGCGCACTACGCAGGACCAAATCATGGCTCCCACCACCAGGAGGGACAATACTCACGCCAGAATGCGGTCAGGAGGTCAGGCTGCGGCCAGCGCCTTTGCCAGCAGCTCGCCAGTGCCTGGCCAGCGCCTTGCAAGCCCCCACAGCCCCCACCATCTCGTTCCACCCCAATCCTCCAGTTTCCCCACGGGCGATCTTTCGGCCTCGGTTGCGTCCCACCGACACTTTTTCTGCGGTGCGCAATCATCGCACTATGATGTAGCATTGTTGTGACTTCTTAAAATGGAATCACGATCGGGGCGGTGGCTCCCCACTAGACATTTGTGTGCCCAGCAGGCAGTAGCAGCGGCCCAGACACTCGCAGTCCCACCAGATCACAACCAGACACTCTTCCCTATTCTTTCCGTTTCACCCTCGGACCTCCTTCCTTCCTTGTCTGTTTGTTTCTGACGCACGTGACCGCCGACAACAATTAAAAATAGTATAGCGAAAACAGTTTTGCTATCCACTCTTCTTCACGATGGCCCAACGAGACTTGACGTTCAACGCCCCCAGACGACAGGTGTCTAGCGAAGAGGAAGGCGACGCCAGAAACCCTTTCACAGGCCCCAACGAGGTCGACGAGTCCAGCTTCGAATCCCAACAGCGCTCCAGCGCCACCTCCTCAGAAGAAGACGACATCAACCGTGAGTACGGACGTCCGTTCAACGCCTACAACGGCTACTACGCTCAGCACGACGGCACCACCTCCAAGCTCCTCTCCAACGACAACTCGTCTAGCGAAGATCCCTTGGCCGGATCAAACAGCGGCTCCATTCCCCCTCCTCCTCCCAGAACCTCCAAGCACACCTACGCCGCTATGGGTTACGCCAGCACACCCACCAATCAGATCAACGTTCCATCCGAGTTCGACAGGTATCCTTCTATGGCTGGCTCAAGAGTGGTATCGTCGACGTCCTTGAACAACTTGGCGGCTGGCGCTCCTGCTGGTGCGGGTGCTGCCAGCACCCAGCACAAGTCGGATGGCGAGTCGTCGATATCATCGAACCCGTTCTCAAACGGTACTGATTTCAGCCCCTTTGGTGGCTATCCGGCATCCTCCTTCCCCCTCCACATCGACGAAAAAGAACCCGACGACTACCTCCATAACCCCGACCCGATCGCCGATGCCAACTACGACAAGAACAGATTCATGGCCGACTTGAAGAACATAGACAAGCGCTCTTTGGGTGGCTTGATAGGTCTCGTTGTGCTTCTCATTGCCGCCATCGTCGTGTTCATCTTGTTGCCAGTGTTGACCTACTCGGGAGTTACCAGTCCACACAAACCGGAATCCTACGAGATCTTGACCCATTACAAATACCCCCTTCTCAGTGCTATCAGAACCAGTTTGGTAGACCCCGACACTCCTACTGATGCACGCACTGCAAAGGCCAGAGACGGTTCTACTTGGGACTTGGTGTTCTCGGATGAATTCAACATCGAAGGCAGAACTTTCTACGAAGGAGACGACCAGTTCTTCACCGCTCCAGACCTTCACTACGATGCTACCCATGATTTGGAATGGTACGACCCAGATGCCGTCACTACCTCCAAGGGTACCCTCAATCTTCGTATGGACGCCTACAAGAACCACAACTTGTTCTACAGATCCGGTATGGTCCAAAGTTGGAACAAGTTCTGTTTCACTGAAGGAAAAATTGACATTGCCGCCAGATTGCCAAACTATGGTGGTTTCTCGGGTTTATGGCCTGGTTTGTGGACTATGGGTAACTTGGGTCGTCCTGGTTACTTGGCCACCACCGAAGGTGTCTGGCCTTACTCTTATGATGCCTGTGATGCCGGTATCACCCCCAATCAATCTTCTCCAGATGGTATTTCTTATTTGCCTGGTCAAAGATTGAACTCTTGTACCTGCAAGGGAGAGTCCCATCCTAACCCTGGTAAGGGTAGAGGTGCCCCTGAAATTGATGTCATTGAAGCAGAAGCCGATACTGCAATCAACAATGGTGTTGCTTCGCAATCTTTACAATTGGCTCCTTTTGACATTTGGTACTATCCTGACTACGATTGGCTTGAAATTTACAACCTGTCGGTCACCACCATGAACACCTACACTGGTGGTCCATTCCAGCAAGCGCTTTCGGCCACAACAACTTTGAATATCACTTGGTATGAAAGAGGAAATGTTGCTCATAATTTCCAAAGTTACGGCTTCGAATATTTGAACGATGATACCAACGGTTACTTAAGATGGTTCGTGGGTCAAGACCCAACTTTAACCGTCCATGCAAATGCCTTGCATCCAAATGGTAACATTGACTGGAGAAGGTTATCCAAGGAACCCATGTCTATTATCATGAACTTGGGTATCTCCAATAACTGGGCTTACATTAACTGGCCATCCCTTCATTTCCCGGTCGAATTCAGAATCGATTATGTCAGAGTTTATCAGCCACAAGGTAAAGTTCAAGTTGGATGTGATCCTCAAGATTACCCAACCTACGACTACATCCAGCAACACTTGAACATTTACGAAAATGTCAACTTGACCTCCTTCGAAGACGCTGGCTATAAATTCCCTAAGAATAGATTGTTAGGTTGTTAATTCTTTGGGTATTCTGACATGACGACTAATGAATTTTCCCTTCAAACTATCCTGATCACAGCTTAGTGCTGAGTGATCTTTGTATTTCTTAGTGTTTTTGGTTTTCTTTGTTGTACCATAAGTTATTTTCTCGATCAAAACTACATACTTTAAATCGACATTCTTATAGAACTCCTCCGTAAATTGTTTGGCCATAAACTAACGGAAGTATGGACCATACACGTTCCAGATCTTCCTTACTAAACTAATTTTAGTTGGGATGTCGTACTCTTTATTGTTTAATTCGTTCAAATCTCTTACCCAGTCCTTAGATAAACTCTTCGGTAAAATTAGCTGGGCAATGATGATTAAGTTGACAATTTCAATAAGCAATTTACCTTCATAGTTTCCTGGAGTATCCTGTTTAGCACCCAAGTTAATCAACAAATTCTCAATGTTATTCAATCCCTTCAAGCAAAGAATATTGACTTGTTTACCATTGATGGATATCGGCTTGGCACCGAGGAAGTAGTTCCAGAGCTTATATACGATAAAAATGGATGGACTTATGGAAACGATACCAAACACCAATTGTTGAGACTTTAACAATTTGTCAATACCGTTAATTGCCAATCCTCCATCAACCTTTGTCTTTTGAATTTGAATCAAGATCGATCTGATTAAGGATCCTTTGAGAATCGAGGTAACAGGCAGACGTATTTGGTCTTCATATTTCGACATTAACAAAGTCAAGTCTCCATTCTGAATTGATTGATGAATTTGTTGTTTGTCAATATTGGTTACATTTTCATCACCGAGAAAATCGATCACCATTCTTTCAAGGGAGTCCAAGTCTGATTTCAAAGATTCTTTAGAAGTTATACTCAACTCGTCATCATGTCTCAATATGTTAAGCATATCGTTTACTGGCTTAACCAACCAATTCTTGAAAAACCCGTAAACGGTGTCGACGAAGTTGTGCTTGAACCAGTGAATGATTTCATCCTTGTTGTTGTACGCGTTAATAGTCTGCGAAGGACCATACACAACTAAAAGGAGTAACAATGGCCAATAACGAGTCAAAAATGAAGGCTGTTCACTTTGGGTTGGGGTTTTGGACAACGTGTTGACTTTTCCTAAGAGCTCGTTAATTTTCTGGTTTTCTGATCCTTCCGTCTTACCCAATAATTGCTCAAGGTCTTCAATGGTTTTTGATTTGTCGTTCAATTTCATTCTGAGCATATGGTTAATTTGGTCAGTGTATGCTTCAATCTGCTGGTTAAGCTCAGCAATTTTACCCTTGATTTCGTTATTAACCAAGTTGAAGGGAGACTTCAACGCGGTTTTGACCATGTGCTTATACCTCTGGAGGGAATTGCCCTTTGAGATATTCAACAATGCCAAGGTGGGGTTGTTTTTGATCAACACTGTGCTGAGGATTGCTTTGCCAGAGGAAAAGAGCACGTTGAAGTAGTGTTTAGCTCTGATCCAATTGTTGTAGACCAAATTGTCCTCGTGAATGTTACCATTGGAGGAGGTAGTGAAGTCGTACAGATCGTTTCTAGCCAAAGTGTCTTTGACTTTCTCGAATAAGGATATGGTGAAGCTGTAGAGCTTGAGCGGAGTGGTCTGGACCAAGTACACCGCCTTATTGGTTCTTGAATTGTAGAGATCCTCCCAGTATGCCAAGTTGCTTTTGAGCACTAACGTCTTATAGATGAGCGAATTAGCCAAGTTGAGGTTGAGGGTCAAAAGAACGTAATAGTTGATCAATTGTTGGGTGGTATCGTTGATCTTGGCGATTCCGGCACCATTGTCGCTGGGCGTGTCCACCGTGGTGCTGTAGATGTGGGCAATCTTTCCCAAGTCGATGGAGGACACTCGGTCGAAACTGAAGTCTTCGACCCCCAAGAGGTAGTAGAGCTGCTGGAAGGCGTCCAGTAAGGTGTTGAAGGCGTCTGCCTGTTGGGCGCTAGCCTCCAGCACGGCAACCGTGTCTTGGGAGTACTTGGCTAGCTCATTGGTAAGGAACGCGCTGGTCAAGGAATTGACTTCCTTGAACCTGGCCTTGATGCCTAGTGAGATGCGGTTATTGGAATTGATGGAGCGTAGCACCCGCGACGACTGGGCCGAAGGGGGCCGGATGCCTGGTGTTAAAAAGTCCATTGGGGTTTTTGATGGTGGGATAGCAATTTTGGAGATGTTAATGTTCGCACTGGTGTGCGACCGCAACTGGCTGCAACTGGAGAGATAGAGGTGGGATGGGAGAGAGTTGGCCTACAAGAACGACTGGAGTGTCTATGTGGCGATGGGGATGGTGGGAACAAGACAGTCCAGATGGGCCAGACGGGCTTGTTCTACAGTGTAGCTGTTCGCCTGGGGTATTACTGTAATATCATTAGATCTAGGGAGCTTGAATATCAGTTGCGAAAAGCATCGTAGCAATGAAATTGCAGAATCTGGGAAAGATAGAAGTTGTCGAGTGTATCGTGAATAAAAGGGTTAATTAGAGTAATACAGAGCAGTCCTGGTAGGGCAAACTCTCAATGAGGATTAAATTGGGAGCTGGTGTTCCTTTTCGCTATTCCTAGCTTAGGATCGCGAAGAATCCACCAGGAAAGTCAAGTAGAGTTCACAATGTGATATGAATTGAATAACTGCAATTCAAACCTGTTTTAGTCTCTTTTCACTGCCCATTTGTGTCCTGGTTTGGGAATCAATTGCAAACAGAGCCGTTGCTGAATAAGCTGATCCCAGCATTAATTGAACTACTTGAGTAGTTTTACTTTGAACTTATTGGATTAGTCTGATAAATGGATAGTGCCAGGTATGGTTCACTCAGTTGAACTAGAGATATTTTGGGCCCGTACCTGGAGTCCTCCTAGCTTGCAACATCCTCATGGCTTGCAATTGGCAACACTTGTACCAAAGTGACCTGGAAGACAATCAGTGGCCAAATTGGATTCCATTATCGTTCATTACTGTGGGTATCTCTCACCTTCTTATCAGATCAATGAACTCGTGTGATGACTAGCTTGCGATACAAAATGACTCAAAAAGAATACCGCCCATCCACTTGATGAATCTTGGTTGGCTATCATTTCTTACGCTTTGATCATTACTTTCTTCATGGTCATCTTGTGGTCTACACGGTCTCCGACCTGATCCAGTCAGCCTTTATCCTATCTACTGGTCTATTTATTCGTCGTCTTGGTTCTTGTCATCCAATACACCACTTTCCTTGATCAAAGTGTCGATGTCATTATCGCTCCAAACTTTGTGGATGACCTTGCCAGGATGCACTTTGGACAAGCTCAAGGTGGCAAATTCAAGCTTATCGCTGTTCAAGGTGGAAGAGTCCATGGTCTTGGACAACACCTTGATGGCCAACTCACAGGCATCTTTCAAAGACAAGTCGTCCTTGTAGTCTTTCTTCAACAACGTCTGGGCAGCCGAGTTGTTGGCACCGATGGAGGTGGCCTTCCAGCCGGAGTAGTTCCCGGATGGGTTGGATGTATACAATTGGAACTCGTATCTGTCGTCGTAGCCAGCGTACAAGAAACTGACACCAAACGGTCTCAAACCACCGTGTTGTGTGTAGCCTTGCTTGATGTCACATACCCTCTTGATCAAGGTCTCGCAAGGGATCTCTTCGTTGTAGGTCTTCAAGTACTGCTGGGCCTGCACTCTGGCGTTGTTGACCAAGATGAAGGCATCTGCGGTCATACCAGCCACGGCACAGATCATGTTGTCGTTGATCACATAAAGCTTTTCAGCGGAGCCGTCGTTGTCAAATAACTTGGAGGTGACCTTCTTCTCACACGCCAAGACGACTCCCTCGGCTGACAATATGCCAATGGCGGTTCCCGCCATGGAAATGGCTTCCTGTGCATACTCCACCTGGTACAATCTCCCTTCGGGGGAAAAGATGGTGGTTCTGGAATCGTATCTTCTCGACATGTTGGTTGTGCAATTGGTCCACTGGCAGGGTGTGGGGACGGATGAAGGGGCAAAAGGGGAGGGTGGGTGTATTTACTGGAGGGAAGTTATGGTGGCAACTGGCCGGTTTTTCAGGCCCAGATATTTTGGGGCGCGCGCACGACCCGGCTGTTGCACCTACTCCCACCAAACTGCAGTTGGTTTGGGGTCAAGCCATACTTGCAACAAACCCTGCCACTGCCAATGAAGATCTTCGTCAGTTCGGTCAACATCCCTATTGGGTATATCCGACCTCACTTCCCGTCGCTCTACTGGCCGCTTGGGGCCTCCCTGCTGCGCTACCAGCAGTCGTTCCTCTACTATGGGGTGGATATCTGGCGGTTCACCGTCTACTGGAGCCTCATCATGTTTGGCGGGTTCTACATCGTGGCGGCATTGATTGCCGTGTTCAACGTGGAATTCAATAACCGCCGCCACCACCTCCAGCCGCTGAGTCGAAAGCGTGCTGGTACTCTTATATTTGGGCTTCTTTACGTGGTGATAGGTTCGTTCAAGGGGTTCGTATCGGGGGCCGTGGTGGGGTTGATGCTCAGTGCCATCTATAGGGCTGGAACCTTAAGCATGAGTACTTGGATCCCGCTCAGTTGGGCCATTGCAGCCGTGCTTTTCGATGTGTGCAGCTCTTATCTGACGACCCTGTCCGTGATGTGAGCCAGCTTTTCCGCCATAGGCGGTAAAACAGACCGTGAAAATTGGTTCAAGCATCTTGAGCTTTCTTTTTCTGGACGTGCATCGAGAGTACCATATACTCGATAGCAAACCAACAGATACCAAGTATAAGACGGTGGAAATGATCGGACATTTAAAGGACCGGCAACTCGAAATAACTAGTACTTCCAGGTCAAGACTCGAATCAGCAGCAAGTCAGCGCAAAAGCGGATTACAGCAGTTCTGCATCAGCCAAATATCAGCTCAAGAATCAATGGCATCTACTTTGCAGATTGCCGTTTAGGCTGTCATCCACTAGCGTATGGCTCCTCGCCGTGGAAAATATGAATCCTATCTGCAAAGCCTCCTCAAGAAGTGTATCGCGGCATGTTATAACCCCCAGCTAATGTCGTCAGCTTACACCAGGAAAGATTTTAAAATAGCCATTTTTGCCTCACATTACACCTCCAGGTGATTAGATCTACACCAGTGCAATTTACTGAGAAAAGCAGCATCTCCTCAATAAACCGAAGCTTCATGTGGCGCCATACCCCAAACCATTTTGAACCTAGTTCATCACTGCTGCACACTAAATGTTTCTACATTTGACTCAGCACCGCATCACAAACCAATTAGTTCAATTGTAATTGTTCCTGACAAACAGATAGCATCTATTCTTGAACATTGCCACACGATCGAAATCATTCGATTATCAGCCGTTCAACAAGTATCGTTTACAACGGTGGTTACCCACTGGATTTTGAGATTATCCCGAGTAATTCAAAATAAGTCTCTCGGAGTTTCACTATTTTTTACCATTGCCCATCTCACTTAGCATCGGACATTCTCCGCAGTTCCCGCTATTAGTGGGGCAGAGCACTCAACTTCGCATATTTCACACAAATGTCACTTCAACAATTGCCCGTTGTAGTTCCGATACATTCTTCCAGTTCAATTCTCATTGCATATCGATTCAATCTGGGCATCTATTATTGTGCAAAACATAATCCCATTTTGTTTCTCTTAATTGGTATTTATCCCAAATAAACCTAGACCAGTTCTGAAAATCTATTATATTAGTCAATTTACACTAGTGGCAGTTTAATGGCATTGTGAAACTGCCAACTCCAGCTAAATGGTATACTCTATAAAATCCATAAAATTTCTATATACTTTTCTGGGCTTCGACACAGAGCAACCCTTCATCGATGGTTGTCGCCATTAATGACATTCCCGTAGTAGCTGCTTCCATGCATTCTGTAGGGAAGTCCCAGCCGGAAGCTCTAACTTATGGGTTTTGAAATGGCCTTCGCACGATCTAATCTGATAATCAATATTGTGCACTTCATCTCCACAAAACACCACTAACCAACCATAATTAGGACACCCCCATCACCAATTCCCTCCACATATCCATCCCTGCCATGTCATTCGATTACCTATCTGTGCCTCCGTTGCAGCACGAGTTCTCCATCCGGCCCACGAAAGCCACAGCCTCCCACGGTCTTTCTATACTCTCTCACTACCTGGTCAGCAACCCCTTGTCCACATTGCTCAATGCTTACTTGAACACCAATGGCGTTACCAGTACCGTTTCTACAAATACCTCGGCTACTGTGTACTCAATAGCCTCGAGTGCTATTAAGGAGCTTCGTTCATCCAACTCGTTTCTCACCAAAGCACTGGAGACTTCTGCATTGTTTCTGAAGGTCCGAGCAGCCGTCCAGGTATCGATCATAAATCAGGACTACGACATAGCCCTTCAGTATCTCAACGATTACTCGGCCATCGTCAGCTTTTCCTCGCAGCCGAAAGACCACGCCCATTTGAGAGACAATGCCTACCTCGAGTTCTTGTTCTACCAGTTTGTTGTCAACGTTTACCTGACTATATTCCCGTCAAATGATCCTTTGAAGTACAAGGACTCCAACGACACGGGAAGCTTCAAGTCCTTGGATGGTATATACAAGAAAATTGCGTTTTACCACAATAGAAACGAGTCACTATTAGCATCCTGCCCTCCAGAAGAACCCATAGAATCCGATGATGAAACTAGTGACGAGGTATGCACGGAATTGAAGTTTTACTGGCTTTCTAAGATCTTAAATCTTGTGGTTCAGTTCAAGAGGCTCGATTTTGAGGATTTCTACAAGGATTTTATATCTATTTTACTTGCATCTGACAAGTCCATGAAGTTCTTTGTCAATGAGTTGGGTGTTTTGAAGTCACGCATACTATCGATGTTTTGCATTGTGATTATCTTCCTCAAACCTTTCAAGGATTTGTCCTTGCTTGATATCGACAAACTGGACCTAATAATCAACTTGTACACTTCGGACGAGCAGTGTTACGAATATGAATTGTACAATCAAATCTTGGTCCCTTTACTGCAGTCCAACTTTGCATTGGTCAAAGCCAATTTGACCTTGAACGAAGGGTTTCTCAATAGATTCTCTGCCGAATTGGGGTTCAGTGTGCCTGTTTCGCTTACGGAAAGCTCTCAATTGTACGGCAAGACTAAATCTACATCAGCCCGGTCAAACTCACAAATATCTCCACATGCAAGCGTCTCAAACAACCCAGCAGGCACCACTGTCAATGGCAATAGCCCTAAAGCTTTCCTCCAGTACGTGAGCTCCATTATTGACTACAAGAATTGCTTATTGATATTCTCGGTTATCAAGCAAATACCTCGTTTGAAGTTAATGAAGCTCTTAGGTTACAATCTTCAAGAAACCAGCGAGCAGAAAATAATAGAAATCAACGAGCAAATTCTACTTCTTATTTCCAGTCTTGGGCTAGGTAAAATCGGGATTGGCTACCAATTTGATCAAGATATATACTACAATAATGGATCCAGGAGAGAATTGGATGCAGAAGAGTTGCAGGATGGATTGGACGAGCTAACCAACGAGTTGAGGGCCGAGAGTATAGCCAAAATGATGAAGGGTGTGCTTCTAGAAAAGCTTCTTGCCCCATAAGATGAACTACACCTCTATCAATAATAATGCATGTAATGAGTAATCAAACTTTTCTAAACAGTTTGACTATAATAAATATGGTTGATGCTAGCTAAGCTCTATGTTAAATGAGTTCTGTGCCTGTTCATTCAGTTGGTTCTGTCTCGCTCCATAGTACTCTTCCTATGAGTTCCATCATTTTGACCCTTCCAGCCAATGCGTTAAACCGGACCTTCGAAATGTCCAAACTGATAGCCTCTTTTTCCAAGATTAATCGTTTGATTAGGTAGCAGGTAATCATGACTAGAAATACCCCACAATCATCAAAATTATCCTGCTGGTCACACTTCATTTTTATCACTTCTATGGGCCTGTTGGACTTGAGGATTCCTTTACACGATTGTAGTCTTCGGGTCAATTCGCCCAACAACTTATCTGTACTGGAATCGCCCTCATCAATGGTCATGGAATCGTAAATGTACAAGCGGTTCTCGAGCACGGAGAGAAGGCCCAATGCCCAGTGATCTCCGTTGTTGACCTCCTCCAAGTCAATATCATCGTAATCGTCAATAAAATTGATAGGAATGAATATGAATTTCAGCTTCTTCAAATCATCCAAAGGAAGGATGTTTTCTATTTCGTCACTAACTGGAAAATGTAAAAATAACTGGACCAACGAGGGAAAAAGCAATTGCACCTGGTGGTTGAAGGAGCCCTTTTCCTTCAAGAAGGTCTGGTGGATGAGCTCATACACGAATGAAATGTTATTATCGTTGAGCCATTCGCCAGGCAAAATGTGATCTAGATCAGACTTGTATAATGCAATTGACTGATACTGAAGTATTTTTAATTCCGAGCTTGTGTTAGAACTCTGTACCTGGCTGGAACTCTCGGTTTTGACATGGCTGATGATCCGTGAATGCAACTGTTTGAGATCAGATTTGGCTAAAAAAGGATTGAAGATCTGAGATCCCATGGCTGATTCCGAGCCTATTTGTTGCTGTCTCTTCACCTGGCGAGCCCGAGCTGCGTTGATTTTCTTCTGCTGCTTAATCTCCTTTTTTTCCAGTTTGCTCAAACGCTTCTTGGGGCCTCCCTGCCCGGCCTCGGGGTCCACTTCGGGATCCTCCTGCATCGGATTCTCTGGTAAGACGATTTCCCACGGCAATTGGTCAAACCCGTTGCTTATGACTTCGGCCCCCACTTTTGATGCTTGGAGGCTGCTGTCAAAGCAGAATCCCTTGGCGTCGTCGTATACAATCGCCGGCATTGTCGTGGATCAGGGTCTTGGACATGACAGTTAGATTGGCGACACGCGTGATACTGGTGCGCGTGACTAATGGTCACGTGCTAAACTTCTCATCAGCCAATTCTAGAGATCCAAACCTATACTGCAAAGGTCGCCACAATGTTCGGACTCAAGAGCAGAATGGGCCTTCGCGGCTCGGTGCTCCTCGGCTCCCGCTGTCTAAGCATCCAGACCAGACCGCCTTTGTCCACCTACAACACCGGTCAGCCTACGCATGAGACCAGGCCCCACTATCTTCCCACCCCAGGCAACCTAACCCCAGGAATCAGCGCCTTGGAGTACTACACAAGAAGATTGGAGCTCATGAAAGATCTTCCGCCCAAATCAATTGCCATTTTGCAGGGAAACCAAGTCAAATACTCTTCAGGAAGTGTATTCTATGACTTCCAGCAAGACAACGACTTATTTTATCTCACTGGGTGGTTGGAACCTGATTCGATGGCTGTGCTTGAAAAGAAAGGCCTGGAGGGGGACGATGTGATCCTCCACATGCTTGTGCCCCCAAAGAACCCCCGGATGGAGCTTTGGGAAGGAGAAAAGCTGGGATTGCAAGGTGCTTATGACTTCTTCAACGCCGACCTTGTGGAAGATATCAACAAAGCCCCTCAATATATTGACCTGTTAATTTCGCTGAATGATTATATTTATTGGGATGATAGGCTGGGCAAGCGCAACGCCTCCAAGTTTTCAAACTTTTTCAATTTGGGTGGAAAAGAGTCAAAATCTGGAACCATCCAGACTATCATAGAAAAATCCAACAAAACAAAAATTGCACTTAGTCCTTTGGTGGCCAAGCAGCGGAGCATCAAGTCGGAAGCCGAAATACAGGTGATGCAAGCGGCTGGTCAAATTTCAGGACGTGCTATCAATAAGGCGATAGCTAAGGTGGGTTCTCCGTCTCCATTGTATACCGAAAAGACCCTTGCAAAGTATTTGGAATACGAGTTTGTCAAAGGTGGGTGTGACAAGCAGGCTTATATTCCAGTTGTTGCTAGTGGTAAGAACGCCTTGACCATTCACTATACCAGGAATGATGATTTGCTTTACAGAGACGAGATGGTGTTCATCGACGCTGGTGGAAAGCTCGGAGGATATTGCGCTGACATTTCGAGAACATGGCCCAATAGTCCAAATGGGTTCAGCGAACCACAAAAAGACATCTACCAAGTGGTTTTGGATGTCAACAAGAAGTGTATTGAGTTGTGTGACGAAACGAAGGAAATGTCTGTTCATGACATTCATGAGCATTCTGTCAAGTTGTTGACCCAAGGCTTAAAGAACTTGCCTGGGTTCGCTGCTGTGACTCCCACTGATGTTGTTACCACCTTGTATCCTCACTATATCGGCCATCATTTGGGATTGGACTTGCATGACATTCCTTCAATATCACGGTTCCAAAAGTTGGTCCAGGGTAATGTTATCACCATTGAACCTGGGTTGTATATCCCCCAGGATGACAAATGGCCCAAGCATTATCAAGGTATTGGGGTTAGGGTTGAAGATGACATAGTCGTTGGTAAAAACAGTGACGATATCTTGAATTTATCTGCTGGGTGCATCAAGGAGGTAGAAGACATCGAGGCGTTGATAAGTAAGGGTGAGGTTACAACTCCAGGCGCTCACGAAGAGTTAATCATTTTGGATATTTAATAGATTGTACATATCACTAACTATATACAGGTGTCAAATCACAAGATATTCATGTAGAACTAACGACCAATGTTCAACAACAACGAGTTCTTGCTGCCAGCATCTGAGTCGGAGCCTTTACCACTTGGTAAGTAGGAAACGTTAGGAGAATTGGCCAAGGTTTGGGCAATGTCCTTAGAAGCTTCCAATCTTCTGATCATTAACAAACCATCACCTGCCTTTGCCAAAGCCTTGGAGACAGTCTCGGCACTTTCAGCTTCACCCTCGGCTCTGATGACGTTGGCCTTTCTCTCCTGCTCAGCCTTCTCAACCAAGTACTTGGCTCTTTCGGCGTCTTGTTGGGCAATTTGCTTCTGCTCCACAGCCTTGGTGAACTCCCTACCGAAAGTCATGTGGGTGATCGAGACATCTTCCAATCTGATGTTGAACTCATTTGCTCTGGTGGACAATTCTTGTCTGATTCTGGCGGAGACAACTTCTCTTTGGGTAATCAACTCAGCTGCATCAAATTGGGCAACGATGGACTTTAACACTTCGTTTCCGATGGCTGGCAACACTCTTTCGTCGTAGTCCAAACCCAAGCTTTGGTAAATAGTAGGCAACTTCATCACTTCAGGTCTGTGCAACACTCTCAAAGTCAAAGACACGTTCTGTAAATCTTTGGACCCAGTTGTGGTGGCAATAGTCTTTGGTTTGGTTCTGNCATCGTAGACGATGGCCTTTTGGAGCCATGGTACCAAGAAGTGAGTACCTTCACCAATCACCTTCTGTTGAACACCGTTCAATCTGTCGAAAATGACAGCTCTCTTACCACCTTCGACATCGTAGATAGCAGATTGGCCAAGAGTAATGGCAATACCTGCGGGAATAGCGATCTTGGATATTATTTCTGCGATTCTGGAAGACATGGTGGGATGAAGGGATTACTACTAACAAGCCGCCACTGTCTTTGAGTGCGGTGGATGGGGTGGGTTGCAGGTTGCGTTTTGCAGGTTGCGCCACCCACTCCCACCTTAGGCCAGATAGTCGGTTGCGAAGTTTGGATTAGAGCACTGGCGGGTTGACCAGAGCGTAGGAAGAGGGTAAGGCTGTGAGGAAAGGAATTGTTGCTACCATGTATTGTTAGGCAGCATGGTGGGACATTTCGGTATTTTTTGGTAATTTAGGAGGGCGAGCAGCTTGAATCAATGGAAGAGAATCAGAAGAACCATGATACAAACATAATGTGACTTTTGGGTACGACACTTCCAATGCAAAAAATCTTCCTTTATATCTCCTCACACTTGTAATTGATATCAATACTTCTGGAAGACGAATCCAGAAGGTTATCGTATTAGGGGAAAAAAAAAAGTACGGTTTCCAACAAGATTATGACTAAAGATAGAGATAGATAACAATTAACTCGTAAATTCCATCGATCTTTTTATTTAGGAGTCGAAATCGATGTTTTGAGTTTGGCTATTTTTTGAACTAATTCTATAATTTTGCAATATTTTTTTTGTCTAATCTCGTTTGACCCACACAATGAATCTTAGATACAACAGCCCTTTAGGGGTCTATTTTAATCGGAGGCTTATTGCCAGATTTTGACAGGCACCTGGATGATACTTCGGGCAAAACTAAGTTCTGGTTTACTTTTTCTCACTCTGGTAAATATTGAATTAGATTATGCTCGGTTTCGGATATAAATACTTGCAAGGACTTCACGGAAAAAGCCAAATCGCTCTATCTCCGAACTAATTGCCGATTCGAGCATTGTATTGCTTCATCTCGCCAATGAATGTAAACAGTGATAAGTCCGCTCTTGTACCCCACATTCCGTGCCCGCTGCTCAAGTCTGGATTCGGGTCATCCCCAGGCAAAGAAGTAAATCAAAACATGGTAGCGCCAGCCAGGTTTGTGTCATATCTATTGTTGCGTCGATTATGCCCGATATCGGATGCACTCCGCGGGAACTAACGATCCACTGGGCCTACTAGTGACTAACAATTAGCGTAGTATTGTTAAAATCTAGTATACAAAATCAAAGGGACATGATGGTAGGAGGATAATTTGCCGGGTATGAGTAGTATCCGCAACAATGAAACTCATGTCGCCGCGATACTTAAATGCAATCAATTATCAATAAAGTAAACCAAGGTCCATGCAGCACCAGCAGCCACGGAACCCGTGGCTACCATTTGTAGCCCCTCGAATAGCTTCTTATGGCGTGGACAGTCATCACCCAATGAAATAGAGGTCTTGACATAACCGAAAATGAAAAGGGTAATCAACATAACAAGCACAGAAATGAGCAAACCGGTCTTGACGAGAGTGGTGAAAAAGTATGGTACAAGGGGTACGAAACCACCAAGGAAATATGCGATACCAATGGTCAATGCCGAGGTGAATTCTCTGCCTTCGGCAGGCTCTTCCAACCCTTTTCCGAACCTGATGACAAACTCAATCAAACTCTTGGGCTGAGCATCCAAATCTTTCAAGAACGACCCGATGGTTTGTTCGGAGGCACCTAATTCAAACATGATTTCGGCGGCTTCTTGGTTAATGCTTTCTGGTTTCTTGAAGAACTGTAATTTTTCCTTCTTGACTTGTGACTTGTAGTATTCCGACTCCGATCTGGCAGCAAGGTAGCCACCCAAACCCATGGAAATGGCTCCGGAAACCAACTCGGCCATACCACCGGTGATGACCAACTTGGAGTCACCCAAGGACGACAAACCGGCGGTCAAGGCAAAAGGAACCGTCAATCCATCGGATAAACCGATGATGACATCGGACATGACTCTGGGATCAAATTTGTTGAAGAAACCCTTTTCTTCCTCGTCTTCGTCGTCCAGCGCGTTGACGCTCTTGGCAGCGTTCAAGATGGCCTCCTCGTTGACGACTTCTTGTGCACGGTCTTGGTTGTCGGTGGAGCCGTATGGGGACTGGTTGTTATCTAACAAACGGTTGACTCTGTCCAATTCGTCATCGGACTTGTTTTTGGACAAAAGGCCACTGACCAGGTTTTTGAGAGCGACCAATGACATGGTGGGCTATGGGAGACTGTGGCTAAGATCAATTGCTGAAGGCAGCAAGATTGGTGGATGGGATGGCAGACGGGCGGGAGCGACAGAGACTCGATGATGTCCAACAAGCACTGGTGGAGGATGGACAGAAAGAAGCAAACAGATAAATTTGCAAAATTAGCAAAATGGTGGTTGATGTTATGAAATAGCCCTTTGCAGATTCTTATATATAGTGTAGTGCAACTATTTCGTTTGTGGTTGTGCGCAGGCGTCCTGCAGGGCGCCCGGTGCTTACATTTGATGGCGGTATGATTGGCTGGGATCGGGGAGGGTGCGGAAAATACCCTTGACAGCGATGGCCAAGGCTATCGGCCACACTACAAGGGATGGCGTTTCAGGGACGGCACGACCTAGGTATGTAAGCTGGGTTGGTGGCTAGGCCGAGGGAGGGCAATGGGAGGGCCATGGTTCCAGAATATGGAAGGTGTCAGCATGGCTGGGGCTCACCTGGTAGGCGTCTGTGGTTCAAGGCAGGTGTGGACGTCCACGCTTTGCTGCGTGGGACTGCCCAGGACCCTGAGATGGGCCCATGGCGGGCGTTGGGAGGATTGTGGTGGCCCGTGAGGTTTCGGCATCTCCAGTGGTGGTAAGTATGTATAGGTGTTTGGTGGTCGAGTGTAGAGTTCCTGGTCAGTTCATGGTCTTTTTCTGATTTTGGGGCAATGCGATTTTGCAGTTAAACGGTGGGTGTCAACTGCACTTATACTGAAAGCTGGGAAACTTTTCAGACGCGAGGTATGAGCAGACGGGAACACTCGGATGGGATTGCGAGGAACGGTGGTTGCAGGTTCCAAACTGCTAGGATGCGTAGACCACAATGCTATCGCCAGTTTGGTCCACCCACCACGAATTCTCAGCTTGGAGCCTGCGTGAACGTCCTCCAGCATCCTCCAACATCCTGCACCCACAATTATGGAAGACGTTCTTGGATGATGGAAATCAAGTTGTACCCGCAAAGAAGGTGATGATCCCGGTACAGGCATTAGTGGCAATACGCCGGCACCGGACGCCATGGTTGGTGCTTCCGTTGATCTGCAAAGTGCCCCCACGGACCATGGCCAGGCCCTAAAACGAGTCTGGACCTGATGGGTACCTGGGGAACACAAAACAGGGTTGAGCCTCGGTGGGGGCGCCCCCACAAACAATGGTCAGAAATCCTCAACAAAATCGGTGTTAGCAAAGCATCCGAGGATGGGTCGCCGAGGGCTTAGGACTCGGGGACTTCTCAGAATGGATTTATGGTTTATTTTCTGCCGGTGACAGACCACTCGTCCCATTGCCAGGACTTAGGCGCAGCCTTTAAGTGCACTGTTGCTCGCTATACCAGGCTTAATTTTTGAGGTTTTTTCTGTAGGAGGAGTAATAGCTATGTTTGCAGCTACATCGATAATATTATCAAAATTTTAGTCATAATATTTAAAATGTACCCTAAGCCGGGATTTACTGATTCAGATATGAACCAAATATATGATATCCCTTCTGTTCGTAAAGTTATTAATAAGCTAGCTATTAAGTGTATTTGCATAGATATACTGTTAACCAATCTTGATAGAACTGATGTTATATGTTGGGATATGTCGCATACGTTGGGCACTTAGAATACTCGTATTTACTGGGGAGCTATCTAAAAAAATAAGTATTCAACTGGCCTTGTTGGGCTTTGTGCAAAACCCGAGCCTCAGCTTTCATCGAATGCCTGGTACCAGCTCACCGATATTAGTAGTCTCCCTTGTGGATTGTAACCTTACGGATGTCATATCAATATCAGGGTCATTGGAATAGTCACATGACTTGTTTCGTGAATTAGGTCCGTTGGAACATACCCGAAATACGAGACTACATTAGGGTTAACGACATTCAGCCAGACACGCGACGGAGACATTAAGGTTAGTACGACTCAATGATCAATGATTAGTAAGAGAGAAGGCAGAGAATGTATCGTAATGAAGCTTGGCAGCCGCAGTGACAATTTACTCTCAAACGGTAGAATCAATAATGAGAAGAAGATCAATATCGGAGAGATATCTTGGAGGAGTGTAATCAATCACAAATTTAAAAGTGGTGAACCGTAAAATTATGTTATAAATATACGGTGGTATAAGCACACGGTATTTTGACGAGATTTATCGGGTGCTCAAGTCTACTGATAAAGTATACTAAATATCGTTTCAACAAAACTTCCATCTAAAAGTCTCATACTCTCGGTGATAATATTTCACCTGCACACAAGGTTTTGTAAAAACGTCCCTAGCACCTAACATTATATAATGTTATTATCATTTTTATACAAATAAATAAATCTGAATTTTTCATTGTATATTCTGCTACTATAATGATTCAATGTCCAAAAGGTTACCTTCCTTTGGAGGGTGGGATTATCTATAATACTGTAATATACTTATACCAGTGTATTTTTCTTAGTTATTAGAGGCTTTATTCCCACAGAGAATAAAGATAAACTTAATAATAACAATCTTTAAGATTATAATTTTTAAATTATGGCCCAAAGGAATCATGGTTCGGCGGCGTTGTGGGTGCAATAATAATCTAGTAACCCAAATTATCATATAATGAATATTCTATATTCAAGTAAGAACTAGATCATGACTCTAGAACGTGCTTAGAACTGTGAGTTGATGAGGAATATCGGTCTGTTAACGGGTACCTAGAGACGAATACAGAGACAGACAAAAGATATGGAACAGGCAGAGACAGATAAATATAATGACAAGACAAAATAAATTTGACAGAAGTGCGATAATACACTACAAATAAGCGTAAAATAAACAATTAAAGAATAAAATAGGAGATACAATCGGTGATGGCGAACAGTAGGGTAGCATACTTGTGTACCCTCCTGATAATCTGAAAAGCAAGTAGAGATATGGCTATATGCCAGGGAGGAATTCTGTCTATAACTGTAAGGCCACCTCGTAGAATTACTAGGTAATGAGCTGAGGGTGTAACTAGGACGACTACGTATATTGTTAATTCAGCCATTAAAATGATATCCGGTACAGTGTTGAGAGCACTGGGGCGGATGTAAAACACGTGAGCTAAGTCACGTGCTGAGATATTTCAGGACATTTCGGGTCTCCAATATCCTCTATTAAAAGTATGGCTGACCTAGTACGAGAGACGCTCTACGTCAACAACCTCAACGATAGAGTATCCACAACGAAGCTCAAAGATGCGCTTTCCCAGTTGTTCGAGAAATACGGAAAGATTGTACAAATCACCGCCCATTCCAACTTGAAGATGAAAGGACAAGCATTCATAACGTTTGAGAACAACGAGGCCAGCTCGTTGGCCCAGAAAGAATTGGATTCCCACGAATTGTTCAGCAAGAAGATGCGCGTGCGATTTGCCAGGTCTAATTCAGACAACTACCACATCACAGTCACAGGAAATACTGCCCCTGTGGAAGACAGAAAGAAAACCAAGGAAGAGGTGCTGAAAAAGCGAAAACTCGAAACAAAGCCCAAGAGGTCAGCAGCTTCGACAGCAACGAAAAAGAGGAAGGTCCAGGACTTCAATCTGTTGCCACCTCACAAAATATTGTTACTCCAGAATATAGGCTCGCAAGTCGAACCCAGCCAGTTGAACGAATTCTTTGAAAAGCACAGTGGCTTCATCAACGTCCGTTCAGTCAAGGTGAGGAACTTGGCGTTCATTGAATACGATAGCGAACCCTTGGCAACCAGTGCCTTGGACAGTATTGATCAAGAGGAACTCAAGGGGTTGTTTGGGGAAGCCGTTCTATTAACATATGCTAAAAAATAGTGTAAATACAAGAGTTTTCGGAGTGCTATGTGTCTATAGTGTCAGTATAACTAGTTGGGAATGTGGTACATGTTATAGGAACCCATATCCAGACCAGAATTATAATATACTTGATTTTGAGCATTCTCATTCATTGCATTTGGAAACGTTGGCAAGTTGTTGGTTGGAACGTTGAATGCACTACTGTTCGGAGCACTGAACACGTTTGTGGAAGCATTATTGCTGTACTCCACAGAGTTGACCGGTTCCATCATGGCAGAGCTCATTTTGATGTCACCCTGGGTGCTTTCAGGGTGAACTGAATTCATCGATGGGAAGTTGCGTATCTGTGAATTCTGGGAGAAGGGTAAAACCATTGGCTGCATCTGATTTCCAGTAACCGGCATGAAAGGAGATGTTTGTGGCTCATGGTTTGAAGAATGTGGATTTTGGTTATAGTTAGGATACACGTTCAAGTTTTGCATTGGTGCTCCTATCATCGAGCCCATATTATCTGTAGGAACAGGGAAATATTGCTGATCGTTCATGGCGAGGTTCACATCGTTTGGTTTTGCGAAATTCATGTCAACACCAATCGATTGTAAGTTCGGAGGACGAAGTACATTATTGGCTTCATTATTCGGAACTTTCATGGCCATCATATTCATCCACATTTGATCAACATAATTCGCACTTTCAGGATGAGTTTGTGAACAGGGCGATTCATTTGACGAACTAGGCGAGTTATCCGTGAGCGATGTGGGGATAGAGCTGCTCATTTCCGAGAAACCAGGTTGAACTGTCAGGTGCCTATTGTTTTCCAGATTGTATGAAACCACGGTTTTGAAACCCTTGCCCAACGAGTACATAATGCCATTCAATTCATCCAATTGGCTTGCTGTGAATTGGAAGGAGTGCAATTTCTTCAAAGACGAGCTTGGGCTCTTGAACAAAGTTTCTTCTTTCAAGAAGTCATAAGCCGCCATATGTGTTTTGGTAATTTTCCAGGAATAATAATATGTAGTGGAATATCTTTGGAATAATGTAGTCAACATAGACCCCGTGCGTTCGATATTCTGGGAGAGATGCACAATCCTTCTATAATAGTCGTGGTAGCGTGGATCACTTGCCAACCTACTCTGATGATCAAGCTTTGCTTGCATGGAAAATCTGATAGAATTAACTCTGGTAAGATGTGAAAGACATGACTGATTTGATTTATGCATTACAATTTGCACAATGGTATTCAAAACCAAGCTATGGTTGCTGAACCTTCCATGGAAAATTTCAAAAATATATGGCAAGAAATCATCATGTATGGTTCGATACGTCTTTGCCACATAAAGATAACAGTTTTCAAAGTTTGACTTCTTTTCGTAATGCAAAAAAAGATGGAAATAAAGAGTCAATAAACTTGTTTTGGTCAAAATAAAGGTTCTGGCCTTAATTATATCAAGGAGTTCATCAGTAGAAGCTTCCAAAGGAATGATCAGTCTTTCCGGAGACAACTTCAAGATGTCCAAAGACGTAGCACAAGTCTCTTCCAATTCGTTCATTCTTTGCACCAACCGACTAACGGGACATCCGTTGTTAATATCCAAAACCAGGGCCAATATTGATCTCAAGGGATTCACTCTAGGTTTTGCAAACTGATAAGCGTCCACCACAAACTGTTCGATTTTAAGATCAGCAATATTACTATTTTTTGCAGTCAAAAATGGCATTTTGGTATCATAATGGACATAATCAATACTAGGAAGACTGCCGACTGCAAACGATTGGATGAGATCCAATCTCATTAAGTAGGTAAATATTTTTCTTCCTAGATGGTTGATTTTTTCATCGTTACGGCAATCCTCAAACTTGTCAGGTTCTCTGTGGAGTCCCAAAGCATAAACCTGGTTTGCCATGGTGCCCAAACGGTCTTGGGACTCACTTCCATCCGCCAGTTCGCCTTCTTCTGGCGCATGGATGGCGTACACAAGATGGTACACCAAGGCCTGAAGTACGGTGAAATGGACGGTTTTGTGAGGGTCTATGAATTCAAGACAGATGCGGGCCACCTCAATGGCGACCAAGTTGATGGGGCTGTTTAATAAATATTTTTCCTCGCTGTCGCTGGCTTTCAAGATGGCATCGGTGACCTGGATGCGGTTGGAGAACAACGACACGTAGGAGAGTCTGGTGATGAAGAGGCAGATGGCGACAGTGGCCAAATCCAACTTGGTTTCGACGCGCACGCTTTGCACGTATGTCTCCAGGTAGTCGATGGGGCCCACGATGCGAGACAAGTCCTCCTTGAACTTGATTTCGTCGAGGAACGGGAAGAACGGGTACAAGATGCGGAAGAACTTGTCGATCAACGTCCACAACACCTTGCGTGTGGGCAACACCTTGTGGATGCGCTCGACAAGCTGGACGTCTGCACCAAAGCGGCCGTCAAAAAGCGTGCGTGCTAGTCGGATGTTGCTGGCCTTCAAGTGGTGGATGCCGTTGAGGTCGAACGACAGAATAGGGTCCATGGGATCGCCCTTGGCCATGGCCTTGCTGTGGAAGTACTTTTCCACGTTGTCGGAGCCGACATGGTGCAAGTCGGGGGTGGCGTAGATCTTGAATGTGCCCACCTTCTCCACCAAGGTCTCCCACAACGCACAGAGCCAGGGGTCGCGTTTGACAATGGATACGTTGGAAAACGGTCCGTAGTTCTCGCAGGTGTCGTCGAGCAAGCGGGTGGGCGAGAACCCGTCGTAGAGGTTGAGCACGTCTGTGCCACTATCGGCAGGCGGCGAGAGGCCTGTGTCCTTCAAGGTGTCCTCGAGCTCCTTGAGGCGCTTTCTCAACATCAACACCTCGTCCAGCGGGTGGTGGGTTGGCGGCACGGAGGGTGCCGGTTCTGGCACCGATTCCACCTCGTCGTAGGCATGGTGCTTGAGGGTGTCAGATGCCACTCGGCGCTCGATCTCCAGAAACGACACTGGGCGCCAGTTGGACTCGTAGGTGCACGAGAAGCCGCTGTTGGTCTTGACACACGAATAGCAGGGCGATTTACGATCACACTTGGTCTTGCGTTTCTTGCAGTTGGTGCACACAAACGTGGGCTTGTTGCGTTTCTTAACGGAGCCGCCAACGTCCATGACGAGATCCATTGAAGCTGGGCCACGCGGGTATCAGTGGCAGGCTGGGGTAGAAAAGGCAGCGATGATGCTCACTGGAGAAATTTTGGAATCCGCAGAAGAAGGGGTATTAACGGAGCTAACCTAAGGTGAGTGCGGAGTGGATGTTGGTGAGCAGGATGGAAGCCAGAAGCTGCGCAAACGCCAGGAGATATAGTCTTCGCAGGGCGCGCAGCTGCGGAGTCGGAGGTTGAGGGGTCAAGACGTCAGAAATCGAAATTTATGTTGGCACTCACTCCGGAAGCTTTTTAGAGGCCTGCAATTATGAACAATAACACCACTAGTCAGAAAATATCCCTGATGGGCCAGTCTACGGCAGGAAGCGCGCTTAGTCCACAGGGTGCGTCATGCACCCGGAATCTACCCCGAGCTGGCGGTAATAACCGGCCCAAAACAGCACGCATGCCCGTGAATTCCTCTCTGATGATAGAACACCGCTTGTTTGACTGGGCCAATGACAGGTAACCGAGCATGTACAGACGTTGGCGCAACCGTTCGGTACGTGGCGATGCAGGGCCTGCTGCCCGAAGCCTGATGCCCGGAACCTGCCGCTGGCGGGTGAAACAGACTTCTCTACCTTTTTACCTTTGTTCATATTATCGTCCCTATTGTGGCTGGACTGCCACCTATCGATCTGGTGAAAACTTTAAACTAACTCAGACTTTGAGCCAAGCAGCCTTGGGGGCTTCCTTACTAAAATATGCGAAGGCTTACGAGGAGGCTCTGCGCATAGGTGCATGAACTAAAAATGAGATCTGGTTGGGCTAGTAGGCACCCCAAAATAGCATGTGAATTTACTGTCCCCAACCTTCCCCGGACCTCTAACTGGGGAGTATTCCATCTCAGTTTCAGGTGAAGCACTGTCGTGGCTGGTGGCCAACATTTTCATCGATGCCTCTGCAGTTACGACACGTCACGTGCGATATACGAACTGGCAGGCATAGCCTGCCACCAAATGAGGTTATGCAGTTGCCCTGCTTGTGCACGTCAATTAGACTATCGTCCCTGGATTAGCTTTACGGGGCTTGTTACAAACGATAATGGACCCACATTTGGTGCATCTGGCTATTGTGATACCGAGTACTCCCTGGTCAATCAGGAGTATATATTATTTAGCCATGGTCACCATCGCTATTCGATATATTATTTACTGGACCATGGTGGGGGAGTGATTCCAGTGAAAAAATTTCTGCATCTAGACTAACTACTGGACGTCTACAGTGGAGTGATTTCAGCGAGTTAATCCTAGACTATTTGATGCGTATTTGTACCTTTTGCGTTGGGGAATGATCCCTGCCAAGATACATCTGCATCTATAATATTCCATTTAGTGGGACAGGTCCCTGCCGATACCGATTCTGGAATAGTCTTTAGTGGACCCTGCTACAATCGGAGAATGATGCTCTGCTAGTCCAGCATCACAGTTACTCTTCTATTTAGCGTACTGGACCCACATTTGCCCTGCGCGATTGCAAGGTCTCCTCCTCTTCACCTTAATTTCTGAAATTATTTCTATGACGATTAGATATAAACCCAGTAATGTCCATAACTTCTTCTCTGTGGAGAAGAGGCGAAAATCGTCAACCAAGGCGTGAGAAGTGGTGGGGGAGATAAAATTCGAACCAATTCAGTCTAATTTCGCTACATTTCATTTAAGAGATTTAATGAACATACTTACTGGATCTGCCACTGCCCGGAAGTGATGGCTTTCTGACAAAAAATCCCAGACCATTTCCTTTACTGGACCTGATACATTTGTGAAGCCCCGCAAAACGGTATTATCTAGAATATTTCTTTGCGTCACAGTCGGGTGGAATGAGGCACAGTCAACAGAAATATCCAGACTACTTCTTTTCTGGACCCTGCTACAGTTGGTGCAATGAAGCCCTGCTTAACAACTCATCTAGACTATTTCCCTGGACCCTGCGAATCTAGTTAATATCCTAGACATGTCCTGTATGTATCATTTATTAACTGGACCTGCTACAAACGGAAATGATGCCCAGAGAAACGGTAAGATCTGCGTCTAGAATATTTCTTGATGCATCATCTACTTACCCTGGACCCACATTTGCTCAGCTAAACTAACATCTCGCCTATGCTGTGTATCATGTATCTAGACGAACATTGGTTCTGCTGACCCAACACCTTATCTAAGCTGTGTACGTATCAAGTATTTAATGGACCCTGTACAATGCAGTGAAAGAAGCCTCGATCAATCGTCTCGAATATTACAATTCCCCTTCTCTTCTCCCAATGTCTCTGCTTGGTATTCTGAACTGGTACATCACGTTTGTGGATGTGCGAGTTCTTGGTAAGAGATTTCTCGAACTATCGTGACCTTATTCAATTGCTTCAACAACTGATCTGTGTCGTATTGATTAACTTCCTAGACTATTCCTGTATGTATGCATCTATTTAGCGGTTCCGTAGGTGGGCTGCACGTCGGATATTAACGACTCCTCGCTCTCGTACGATGGATCCTGGCCCTCGTTGTAGAGGAAGAACTGGACAAAGATGGTGAAGTCCAAGGCCAAGGTACCAAACGACCCTGCCAACCACGAAGAGTTCACCCAGAGGTAGTGCCACGACATGTCGATGGCAAGAATGGAGATCACGTAGGTAAGGTTTCCCAAGCACGCAAACAAGAAGAACATGAACGAAATGCCTTCGCATGACTTACGCTGGTAGTTCAACAAGATCTGAGGCACTCTGGACCCAAGGTAGAGCACAGCACACAACCAGCCGAACGCCTGGGCCAACGGGTCGTACACTAAGTCCTGGGGCTGGTGAACCTTGCCTGGATGCTTGCTATCGTTCAAGTACTGGATGTACCACCCAACTAAACCCGCAGAGATTACCAAGGCCACCATGAGGGTCTTGACCAAGGCTGCTTGGAGGGTGGACAAGCTGGAATCTTGAGGAGAGTCCTGCAGCTCAAGCTCGTGGGTTGTGCTGGAGCCGTCCTGCTCAGGCGACAACACTGTCACCAACACGTCTTCGTTCATGGGGTTTGCTGGCGAGAGATGGATGTAGTCGGCCTTTTCGCCGTGGCCGTACGCCAAACACTGCCACAACAACACGATATCTGCCAAGGTGTAGTACACAGCTAGCACAATCATGGTGGGCAAGACTCCCTGCATTATCAGTCCCAAAACATTGAAAACGTCACCAGCTAGCCAAAGAATGATGAAGGAAAGCGATAAGCCTTCCGATGATTTTCTGCGGAAATTCTCGTAGATTTGCGGCGCAAACACAATGATCCAGCACGCTAACGAGATCGACCCGGTTATGCCACTGACAGCCCTGGCGTCGATGATAATAGGAGGAGGAGGAGCCATGATGGTGAGATGAGAACTTTCCCCATACTTTGCGGTGAATTTTTCCATATCGCGCGGGCGTGACTCATTGCACGTGCCGCACGGCGCTTGGTGTCCCAATCGAGTCAAGCGAACCTTAGGCCTCGAGATGAGGGATTACAGCTGAAGGTTTGGAAGGGGAAGTGTTACGAATAGGGAGAAGTATGGCGTTGTGACTGTGGCGTGACTGGTGGCTCGGAGACCAGCTCACATGCAGGCTGCAACCTGGTGCTGTCACACGAGTCTTAGCTGCTCGGAGTGACACATTCGCGCAGGCACTCCGAGGTCACGTGCAGATAGTCACCATAGGGTCAATTATGGTTGGAGAAACGCTATACAGGCGAGGCTATTTTCGGAGAGCGAGGTTTAAAAAAGGGATTTATCGTATTAAAACAATATTTAGTACTATTCAGTAGACTTGAGCACACCGTAAAATCATAAGGATCTTCCTACAATTTATTCTGTAATTTTCTGATTCAGCCTTCACCGAGATTATTCAGCTAATGTGTCAGCTGTCTCGGTTTTACTTGCCCTGTGTCACAGGCATCGGGTCTAGGCTTCGGCGCCGTGTACATCGGCCTGCCGTTCCATCAGCCATTCATAATACGAAATTATTGTCTTGGTATGCAAGTGGAGTAGGGTGTTGGAAGACGTCTTCACCCTTAATGTGTAGGTTTAATGCTTCTCTATTCATCATTACGTTGTGTACCAGCAATGTTTTTATTTGTTTTTGTCCGACCTTAGTCTTTATTGACCTTGGTTTATGTACCTTTGGTTTATTATAGAATCCGTATAGTCTTAATTTTCCAATTTTTTCTCTTATCTTTTCAGTTTTGCCCTTGTAATGTGCGAAGCTGTACTTATCATCGAAAGATAACATCATAATTGTTCAACACTAATCAAATTAATGATTGAGCTAGGCACGTAATACGTGTATTGTAGGATTATGGTGTTTCCTTCGAAGTTGAATTTTAAGTCTCCAACTGCTTTGACTTCCATGTTTGAGCTAGCTGTACTGAGCGCAATATCAGGATTATGTATAACGTTGATTAAAATGTTTTATGTCGTTGAATATAGAGATTGTTGCACCACTATTGATGATGAATACCTTAGAGCTCTTCTATGCCGACTTGATTAGAGGCTGCAACGAGTCAGAGTTGGACATCATTACCATTTTTTTCCCTTTTTTAAATTCATCTTGGTTCCGCTTTTTCTTGGATTTCCCATTTCGACCTTCGGCACTCCGTGTCGTCTTCTTCTTGGGTGGTGTTCTATCCCAGTTAATGAAATTGGGATGTTCCGTGATTCTTTCGTAAGGAATCGTGAGTCTTCCTAATGCTCCTTCGATTTCTTGCGCGAATTCTAATAGTATTTCTCTATTTTTATCAGCGTATTCTTTGGGAGCATCTAATTCTTTTAAGATACGTTCAACTATTTCTTTGTAGTTCTCTTCGCAGAATTTCTCGTATTCCTTGGCGACCTCGTCTAATACTACTTCTTCACTTCCCTTACCTTCTGGGGGATTTAATAGAATGTCGAGACCTCCGTCGGAGTTTGCATTTTGTAGGTAGAATATTAACCTCTTTGGGATACCGTCACTTATAGTGGTTTTCTTCGATGCATCATGTGACGCGGTGTTTCCAGCTAACACTCTCTTGCGTTTTGATTCTGCAATGTGTTTAATTTGGTCCCGTAATATCTTTCCGGGGTTTCTCTTCAATATCAGATAAATTACTGATAAGATGCATAAATGCCTGCTGTCACTCCATTTTAAATGCTTGACGAGGCCATTTTTTTCGAAAGATTTTTCAAGTAGAAAATCGACATTGTTGAAGAAACTCCTTGCCATTCTTCCTTTGTATCCGAAGATTCTAATTTCTTTTGGGGGGTTTTGGTCTTCAGGGTTTTCCAACATCCATTCGATGTCAGGAAAGTCCTCAGTGACGTACCTCAATGCGTTGTTCCATGGTCCAAGAGTTTGAACATCCTCTTCATCAAATGGAGGCAATTCTTTGAAGTATTTAGCGTAGAGTCTTTCAGCAACAATAACGGGATCGGCTGTGATCTTAGGCACAACGTCAGTGCTTGGATCAAATTTCATCTCTCCCAATGTTTTCTCCATTGTGTTTAATCTTCTTGAGGATAAGTCCTCTCTCAGTGAAGTCTTGCTTGCAGCTTGACCAATGGTTAAGCTTTCAAGTTTTCTTAGAATCGATCTGTTCGACTCTTCCAATAACTGAGTTGACTCTCTTGCCATTTTTAACATGGTCTTCACGTCAAACATTTCTGAATTGACTTTCGAGAAGTCTAACTCAAGTTTGTCCCAATCCTTATCCTTTGATCCATGGTTGAACTTGTCTGACGCAATTGGATCATCGAGGCTGGCGTAACCTTCATCAGCAGCGGTGTCATTGCTCAGCACAGAGGTGAGATCATTGATAGACTTGAGGTATTGACACATTTTTGGTTAGGACATTTGATACTTTTGACTTTTAATCTGTTGGAGAAACGTGATGGAGAAACGCAAAAACCTTGTGTATAGGCGCAGCTATATTTCTAAGAGAGCGAGGTTTAAAAAAGGAATTGATCGTATTAAAACAATAGTAGTGTACTATTCAGTAGAATTGAGTACATAGTAAAATCATAAGGATTTTCTTGATTATTTACACTGTAATTTTCTGATCCAGTTTTCGCCGAATCACACAGCTAATTTGTCAGCTGTTCGGTTCTGGTTGCCGTTGCTCCTGTGTTGGGCTCAGGCTACGGTGTTGGGTAAATCATTTGCCGTGCCAACAACGTTTGCCATTTTACAACATTTTGGTTTCGCTGGTGCTTGCCATTTCCATACCATCCTATTCCCGATACTTGCGTCCTTGTGTAATTTGTCTTGCGTAAATCATATTTGGTCATGTCTGAAAGCACAATGTCGCTGATTTGTTATGTCGCATTTCTGTGGTCCTCCATCAGTTAGTACTGTATTGGTGGTTTCATATTATTCATAATATACAAATGGTAGGTGTACTATCAACCGGGCGAGGACCCGTAGATTCGGCCAGTTAATTGCCAATTCGCAAGTTAAATTGATGGTATGGATCACCAGACCTACGCTCGAAATCTCTCTGTTATATTTAGCAATATCTATATAGCTAGTGAAAGGTTACCTTGTGATCTCTGTATCCTGACATTATAGTACACAAAGTCATCTCACAACTTGGCCCGCGAAGGAGCGATAAGCGACTGCTCAATCTCATACAACCGGTGGATCACATCCTTGAAGAATTTTGCAGCCACCACCCTCTTGATCTTTTGCGTGGGGGTGACCACATCTCGTTCCACAGTAAGCGGGTTGATGTCAATATGTATGTTGTGCAACAACTCTAGCTTGTTAAGTTTCGTGCCCACATTTCTGTTCAACTTGGCGAGGAACTTCTTCTTGCACTCCACCTTATTCATCTCTTTGAGAAGATCCTCAGGAGCAGGTTTGCCCGACGATTTGAACCCGCATTCTTCGGTCAAGAACCTAAGCCCCTCTGTGTAGTCAATACCAGCAACACCTACCACAAAGGATCTTATAGAGTCTCCATGCACAAACAACTGGTTGATACATGGGTTGGATGACAAGTATTTGTTTTCCACCTTCTCGGGAGAGACATACTCACCTTGGGCTAACTTGAAGAAGTTTTTCACTCTGTCCACGATGTATATTCTGTTATTGATGGGCTCAACATAGGCGATGTCGCCTGTCAAAAGCCATCCGTCCTCATCGAACATTTTCTTGGTTTCCTCAATGTTGTAATAGTATCCCTTGAAATTCGAGGTCCCTCTAACCAAGAGCTCTCCCTTCCCGTCTTTAACATAGTAGTTCATGCTGGGAATTTCTCTCAAACGGAATTCTTGAGTGACCGCGGATGATCCACAAGAACCTGGGGTTTGCTCGTAAATTCCACTGCTGCACATACAGGCGAACGTCTCGGTCATTCCGTACAACAGTCTAATACCAATACCCAATGCTGCTTTTAAGTACACGATAGTCGAGGCAGCAACTGGAGCAGAACCAGTCTGAGTCCATTTGAGATTTTCAAAGCCAACCAACGATTTTAATGCCTTGTAGGGAGCATAGTTGTCGTAATAGTAATGTTCTCCGGTAGAACCATCGCTGAGACTCTGTTGCTTAGTCTTGTACTCAATGATGCGATTGATCTCTTGTTTTTGTTCCGGTTCAAGGCGATCTACTGCTGTTTTGATATAGGACTCCACCTTATTCAATAATCTAGGAACAATCGAAAAGTAAGTGGGCCTGAAGATTCGTAAATCTTCTAACATCAGAGTAAATGCATCTTTGGGCTTGGAGGCACCAACTTGTAATTGAGGGAATCCCAAGTAGTACCCCGTTATCAAAGCAAATGCGCTGGTTTGTCTTTCATAGATGTGAGTCAAAGGAAGTAAAATGAATGCCTTATCATTTACTGCCGCATGTGACAGCAGAGACGTAAAAACGGAACCTCCAGCTGCAGCAGTCGCGTGTGAAATCATTGCACCCTTGGGCTTGGACCCTGTGGTGCCTGAAGTGAAGGAAATGGTATACAATGACTCTGGGTTTGGATTCAATTCGTCGATCCTGTGAGTTTTACCTAAGTTTTCGATCTGATGGATGTCATGAACTTCGACCTTGAGCTGCTTAGCACTGGCAATCAAACTTTTATCAACTAGCTCGATGGGGTCCATGGAAATAATAGAAACAAGGTTGTTCATGATATCAGGGTGATCCCTCTTGAATTGCAACAAAAGCTCGATTTTATCGTAGCTGCAGACCACCACCGGGCTCTTGGTGAGCTCCAAGATATACTTAGTGACATCGGCTCCAAGGTTGTCGTACAATGCGGTGTTGGTAATGGCATACGCACTGCATGCTAGATCTGCCAACAACCATTCCATACGGTTGGACGCAAAAATCGACAAAATGAACGACACGCTCTTTTCAAGCTCGTAGTTCTTGTTGTCGACGCCCGTGACATCGCTGCCGTAGGACTTGTAGTCATGGTTGTGGTTTCTGATTTTTTGGTGGGCATCGGAGTCCAGAAGGTAGGGGTTGTGCTGCAACGAGTAGAGGATGCCGGACCCCAAGTTGCGCTTACGCTCGTAGACCTGGGCGTAGGTCAAGGACTCGAAGCTGGGGCCCAGCTCGTGAGTAGTGTAGTTGTAGGGTCTGGACCCCATGCATGGTCTGTCTGCGTACATGTGGGCTGCGTTGTTGAAGAGGTGGTTGTAGGTGGCGAGGTCGGGGTGGAGGGCCTTGATTATGCCTGCTTTCGTGGCTCTGTTGCGGTACACGGGAGTGTAGCCTGGCTGGGCAGGCGCCACTGGGTCGTTGAACAAAGCCTCGGAGCCCAAAGGAAGGTACTTGGACACGGCACTGGTGGGCTCGCTAGCAGGAATAAGGTAGGAGGACATGGTGGTGGCGACAAGGGGCAATTGCGAGGGGATAGATGCTGGGGGTTGGAGCCAATGGGTGGTGATGGTCCGCTTTATATGTTCTGAGCCAGGAAGCTACCCCGCAAAAGGGCGCATCGGAGTCGAGCGGGATCTGTGGAGCTGCCAGAGCCCCTCGACGTGGGTGGAAGTGGGGAGGATGTCAGCACGAGGAGGCGTTGATTTGGTCAATAGCAGCCATATAGGGGATAGGGGGCTCCTAATCCGCAAATGGAGTGGTAACATGTAGTTCTGGTCATTGGTAGCACCAAGCACCAGATGCAACTGAGAGTAAATCGCACTACCAATTGGGCTAGCTAGGAAAGGAAGGCAGTGTGATGGATCGGAGGAGCCAGCCAAAACAGGCAATGTGCCATGCTAGCGACGTGGGGTCTAGTGTGGTCTTGATTAGCGACACTGGGACGGCTATTAGCCGCAAGTCTGGCGGAAGTTCCCACTGGCCTCTAACGGGAATTTTACGCGGATTATTGTAGACAATAGGTGGGTGTAGGTTGAGCTACAGACGTATTGGGCGATATGAAGAATTGAAACCAACTGGGTTGGTGATGCTATGGATGGTGACTGGGGGTGGAGGAGGTGGAGGAGGTGGGGACAATGGCAGCCGGGAAAGAGAAAATAGCTGTAGGGAGCCACTATTCTCTGGCACTGGCTCGCGGAGGTCGCGCTGGGGTTGGTACTGGCGCTTAGGCCGCTGGCGCTAAGCTAGCGAGACGACAGAGGCTAGCAACCAGAGCCGCTCTCAACACAATAAGCCTAACTGGGGCCATGGCTAGCTATATAGGCCTGGCTAGGCAGAGCTGTTCTCACCACTGAAGACTGGCTATGGCCACGGGAGCTGTAGGCTTGACCAGAGCTGTACTCAATGTAGTTATGGCAGTCTCACTGAAGGCAAGCCATGGCAGTCTTACTGAAGCCTGGCCATGGCAGTCCCACTAATACACAGCCAGAGTGCAACTATGGCCGTTCCCACTGGGCCTAGCCAGGCTACTCTCACTCCCTACCTTTTCCTCCGTTCCAAGCACTTGCTGATGTGCTGGGCAAACCGAGCGCCTGCGATCTTACGGCTGCAGTTTTCACACTGGAAGTATCGAGCAGTCTCCGTACTCTTCAATTTCTGCTTGTCCTGACCAAAGATATCCCTGTTGGACCCCACCAGTGTGTTTGAAAACGAACTGCCGTTGGCGCTGCCCACCGTCTTCTGGATCGAGATGCGGTTGGCGATGTTGACCAACGTGTGCTGGCGAACAATGTTCTCCAACATGTCCTTGAGTAGAGACTCGGCCTGACGGTTAATATGCGGCTGACACGGCTGCGGTGTTGTCACTTACCACCACCTGAAACGTAATGGGCTGGTCGGTCATGGTGCTCGTGGAGCGTTTTTGCTGTCGCGCTCATTAAAAGGTATTGGTGGGAATGGGTGAGAGGCAGAATCGGGTAGCTTGCGACGCAAAGGGACGGAAAATGGCTAAGAGGGTGGGGTATCTGGTTGTTAGAACTGGTCCACAAGGTGGTCGGTCCATTTGCTTTGGTTCCCGTTTTCCCGGTGGAATTAGGCCCGTTGTAGCAGAAATCTGGGCGTGAAAATCCGCTTTTGGGGCGTATCAGCCTGTAACACCACTTTATGGGATCCCTGCCACCTTCTTTGAACTCCATTGGCCATTTTGGATTCTTCCAGGTACATTCACGGCGATTCTGACACAGTAGTGGCCCCCGGGCTGTTCTTGACACGTGATATATCTCGCGTGATTAAGTATGGACTCATCGCTCCTTCCAACCCCATCATGCTTGAAGACGAGGCTATCATCCCCCAGGGCGAGTCGAACCATGACATAGAGGACGAGGTCCAGGACTGGCGCAACCTTTCCAAAAGTCTTGGTTCCAGCACCAAAACCCAAGCCGCTATTCCCAAGAGAGGTGAGAAAGAGTTCGAACCTGATGGCACCTCTGTCCAGAACAGAGCCCTCCAAGAATCTCGCGAGTCGATGTACGAAGCCCTTTCTGGGCTTCGTGGACACAGCTTGAAGCAAAAATTGGTGGCAGTATGGATGTCGGATCAGGGGCAAAGCATAGTCGTTCATGCCAAAGGTAACTACTTCAGAGACGTGGGAATCCCTGTCAACATCGGCACCAAGGTCAGAGGCGGGCTAATGTTGAGTCCGTTGGAAACTGTCTACTTGGTTGAGCGAGGCTCCATGGTTTGCTACTTGGGAGATGCCCATTACGAGCAATGGTTGTACAACGACACCAAAGACTTCGATTACGACTCGTTGGTGATGTTAGACCTAGGATTTCTCTACGCCATCGTTGCTGAGACTAGCCACTTCGACGTGGACCAGTATCAGGTTTATTCCTATCTCAAGAGGCACGGTTACTTGATTCTTCAAACGAAAGCCAAAGAGCAACGAGAGCACCAGGCAAAAACCATCAACGCAAAACAACAGGCCCACAAGAGCACGCCCGAAACTCATAAGAGCATTCCTGACACCCGAAATCTCAGCAGTGGACTGATGTTCCTGCTTGGAATTGGAAGGAAGCTCTCACAGGCCACATCTTATTGGGGGAGCCTATTCTCGACGCTCATACACCACTGCAAAAAAGCACTTGTCTACATTCAAAGCAAGCTCATCTCAATGGGAGTTTTCGCAGTTCCTACCTCCCACTCGTTGCATTACTTCACCAAACACTACTTCAACTATACTGAAGTATTTCAGTCGCTAAGGATCACGCCCTCATCGGCTGTTCCCGCCCCTTCCTCGACCTCGCTGTCTTTCCAACTTGTGTTTGATGTTTGGAAACCTACAACCTCCTTTTCCAAGAAATCGCCCCCTCCCCCAGACTTCCAGCTCTGCGTGGTCAACACAGACCACAGTAATTTTCCATCATTGGCTACTATACGGTCGTTGTTCGAGGTGGTCAATAAGGAGGAGCCAGTGAAACCAACCGAAAAGAAGCCGAAGAAAAAGAGCACGCTTCCACCTACCAAAAAGGAGCTCAAATACCAACGACAACTCGAAAGACAGGCTCGGTTGGATGCGAAAGTCCAGCAGCGCAACTTGTACTTGAAGACCAGAGATAACAAGCTCAAGTTTGGCTCCAGTGGGGTTAACGTCATCATAGCTACCGTAAATCAAGGTATCCTCAACTTCGTTAATTTATCCGAAGCTGACTTCGAATTGAAGGAAATCGAAGACTTAGACGTCATTTATCCAGGAAAGGACCACGGCATTGTATATATGGACGGCTGATTTTGGTTCACATCTACAGATATAATTGTACTATAGCACCAGGCATTTGGAAGGCTTAATATTGTTATTTATGTAGCTGGAGTGGCAGCTGGAGATCCTGATCTCTAGAAAACTCTGGAATAGCAGGCTAAGAACCAGTGTCATTTCCAGTGCCAAAGGCTCTAGATATTTTTCTGGGCCCTATGCATTCCAGACGATTTAATGTTATGTGTGACGAATTAAAATGACAGCACCGCAGTCATATTTCCTCCCTTATAGATGTATGTGTGGGTATGACATGAGCGTACTGGTGCAGCCTTCAACTAGTAGTTCCAGTATTGAAAGCTACATGCTAGTTTTGAGATAAGGATATGCACTTCGGAAGGATTAATGTTCTGAGGTTTGTATACCTTGCTCATAAGTTACACTGGCTTTTGTGATTAATGACCTGTGTTCGATCAGCATCCCGTGAGCTTATTCTTGGGAAATTTGTAGCCCCCGGCTGAAAAGGTGGTAAGGTTAACATTCTGGTAAATATTCAAATGCTCCTGAATATAGTTGTATGTTGGGTAGTCGTCGGGGTCACACCCCACCTTTGTCTGGCCAGGTGGTTGGTACACCCTCACGTAGTCGACTCTCATGGTTGCCGGGAAGATGAGTGCAGGCCAGTCAATGTAGGCCCAGTTGTTGGAAATACCCAAATTCATGATAATCGACATGGGCTCCTTGGGTAGCTTTCTCCACCCCACATTGCCGTTGGGATGAAGGGCCGTTGAGCGGATGGTCATGGTGGGATCGAGTCCTACGAACCATGTCAAGTAGCCGGATTCGTCATCGTTCAAGTACTCGAAGCCGTACCGCTGGAAGTTGTGGGTGTAGTTTCCTCGCTCGTACCAGGTTGTGTTCAAGGTGGTGGTAGCTGACACCGCCTGTTGGAAGGGACCACCAGTATAAGTGTTCATGGTGGTGACGGAGTTGTTGTGGATCTGAATGAAGTCGTAGTCTGGCATGTACCAGATATCGTAGGGAGCCACCTGCAAAGACTGGGACACTCTTCCGTTTCCGTTGGACACTTCTCCTTCCAAAGCGTCCACCTCGGGAGCACCTCTGCCCACGCCTGGGTTGGGATGGGCCTCCCCTTTGCAGGTGCAAGAGTTCAATCTTTGACCGGGCAAGTACGAAATTCCATCGGGGTCCGACTGGTTGGGTGTGATTCCGGCATCGCACAGGTCATAGGTATAGGGCCAGACACCTTCTGTGGATGCCAAATAACCAGGACGGCCCAAATTGCCCATAGTCCACAAACCAGGCCACAACCCCGAGATGTTTCCATAGTGGGGCAACCTGGCGGAAATCTCGATGATGCCCTCGGTGAAGCAGAACTTGTTCCAGCTCTGGACCATTCCTGAACGGTAGAACAAGTTGTGGTTCTTGAATGCGTCCATGCGGAGGTTAAGCGTTCCACCGGCAGTGGTCACGGCATCTGGATCGTACCATTCCAAATCCTTGGTGGCGTCGTAGTGGAGGTCGGGAGCGGTGAAGAACTGGTCATCGCCCTCGTAGAAGGTTCTTCCTTCGGCGTTGAACTCATCCGAGAAAACCAACTCCCATGGCTCGCCCCGCTGGCTGTCACGAACGCGAGCCTCAGCAGGAGTGTCTGGGTCCACCAAGCTGGTACGTATGGCGCTCAACAACGGATAGTGGTAGTGGGTCAACACCTCGTACGACTCGGGCTCGTGGGTGTTGAGGATGCCTGAGAATGTGAGTACCGGGAAGAGCACGAACAACGCCATGGCCGCGACAAAGAGCACCACGAACGAGATCAATCCCGCCATTGCCCTGCTATCCATGGTCTTCAAGTCGTAGAGAAACCTGTTCTTGTCGTACTCCTCGTCTAGCACGGGGTCTGGGTTGTGGAGGTAGTCGTCAGGCTCCTTGTCCTCGATGTAGAGCGGGAACGACGACGCAGGATAGCCTCCAAACGGGCTGAAATCGGCATGGGGAAGCGAGTTGGGCCTCAGGCCGTAGTCAGAGGGCTCGGGCATCAAGTGTTCTTGCGACGACATGAGCGTTCTGCTGTGGGGCGCGTCGTTGTCGTCGGAGTACTGGTCCACGTACTTGGAGTGAGGCGAGCGGCTGTTTTCGCAGCCATCGTCGAACGACAGAGAATTGGTGGTGGAGGAGGGAGACGGGTCGGACGACGGGTCGGTGAACGGGTCCTCGGGACGGAGATACCCGTTGTTGGTTAAGTCACGGTTCATGGATGTGGCTGCATCCAGTAGGCGATAGCTTCATATATATAGGCGCCAGTCTGGGTGCCAAGTAGAATGCGATTTTCTGTACAAGAATAATGTCTGCACGGTGCTAGCGACACCGGCCAAGGGAAAACTACGGGATGGCGCGGGACGCAGCGAATGTGGAACAGCTACAGCTCCCACCATAGAACCATAGACTACTTCAGTAGTGATACTAGAGCTGGCCGTGAACGAGGAGGCTCGTCGGCCTGAATATTGGGCTAAGAACAACGCTGGTGGATTTGCTTGCGCTGTCACGGGACTTCGTCATGGTGGTGCTTTGGTGTCGTGTGGGGAGGTCGCGGACATGTTTTTCTTGGGCCACAATGCAAATTTCTTAGGGTTGCCGCCTGGGCATGCGCGCATGCTGGGCAGGCACAGCCACGAATAGGAGATGGTGTCACGTGCCATAATACACGTGCCACAATCACGTGGGTGATCCATCGGCACGCGTCCTGTGCACGGTGCAGGCGCTGACGCGCCCCACGCGTCAAGTCCCAAGTAAATAGACCACAAAGGCGCCAGGTTGCAATGTGTCTAGAATTAGCATCTCAAAAGGCTTAGCTCCGTAGATGCCCAGCCCAGTCAAATTAGACATATTGCAGCCGCCATATCCGCATTTCCTTCTCGCTACCACCACCGCCACCACCTACGCCGCCCCCAGCTACCTCCCTGCCACCCCCTTTTGCATTGCCATGCAGCGAGCGCTACGTAGCCGAGTCGCGGCGCAAATTTTTATAGTGCTGCAGTGCTGCAACCGACGCCTACCAGTCGTCTAGCCCGCGCCTCCTGTGCCTTTAGATGCCCTGTCTTTTTTTGCCCGCTCAAGCGATGGACCCGGCTTTGTAGTATCTCCTGCACAGGTTTATCCGGACATATTTTGTGAGACAATAACTGACACGCCAGCCCATTTTACATTTCTGTTTGAAGCTCCACCTCCACCCAACCAGAGCCTCACAGGCATCCCATCCCGCTACAATCGCTCCTCCTCCTGGCCACCACCTCTTCTCCTCGTGCCATCACTTCTCTATCAGCTGCTCCGCGTTTCCAGCCCCAGATCACGCCAGTATCTCATCCCTCTGTCACTGATCTGAACCATGTCACAACGAGACCTCACGCTGAACGGCCCCAGCGAGCCCCGTTTCAAGCCCAACAACCCGTTCGCCTCTGAACAGGACTCTCCTGACCAATCTGCATCCAATTCCTCCCGCAACTCCATATCTTCGCCTGACACCGACTCGCCCTATGGCAAGCCATTCAACGTCTACAACAACCACATCAACACCACCCACGACAGTTCTGCCAACTTGTTGTCGCAGCAGAGCTCGGCCAACCCGCTTTTGAACGCCTCCTACACCTCGCAAAACGCGTCGTCCAACTTCAACACCTCGTCGCTGCCTTTCCTCGACAAACAAGGCTACTATGACGACGACGACTCCCGCTCGTCCTCGGAATCAGGCATCAATCCGTTCGTACAGGCAGACTTCTCGCCTTTTGGCGGTTATCCAGCATCGTCGTTCCCATTGCATTTGGACGAGAAGGAGCCTGACGACTACCTCCACAACCCAGACCCTGTAGCCGACGCTGCCTACGAGAACAACCGATTCATCCATGACTTGAAGCACATGGACAGACGGGCGTTGGGCGGCTTGGTGGGCCTTGTTGTATTCGCGTTGGCAGCCATCGTCATTTTCATCTTGTTGCCAGTATTGACGTACTCGGGCTTGACCCAGCCCTACAAGCCTCAGACCTACGAGGTGTTGACCCACTACCACTACCCGTTGTTGAGCGCCATACGTACCAGCTTGGTGGACCCAGACACTCCCCAGGAAAACCGCCAGATGAAGACCAGCAAGGGCGAGACCTGGGAGTTGGTGTTTAGCGACGAATTCAACGCCGAAGGAAGAACCTTCTACGAAGGGGATGACCAGTTCTTCACGGCTCCTGACCTCCACTACGACGCCACCAAGGACTTGGAGTGGTACGACCCTGACGCTGTGACCACCGCCAACGGAACTCTTAACCTTCGTATGGACGCCTACAAAAACCACAACTTGTTCTACAGGTCTGGCATGGTCCAATCCTGGAACCAGATGTGCTTCACCCAGGGATACTTGGATATCTCTGCGAGATTACCCAACTACGGAAACACCACCGGATTGTGGCCTGGTTTGTGGTCCATGGGCAATTTGGGCCGTCCTGGCTATTTGGCATCCACGGAAGGTGTCTGGCCCTACTCATACGAGGCCTGCGATGCCGGTATCACCCCCAACCAGTCCTCTCCCGACGGGATTTCGTACTTGCCTGGCCAGAGATTGAACTCGTGTACCTGTTCTGGTGAAGACCATCCCAACCCAGGCGTGGGCAGAGGCGCTCCCGAAATTGATGCGTTGGAAGGCGAGGTCGATACTAACGTAGGAGTCGGAGTGGCATCCCAGTCGTTGCAATTGGCTCCCTACGACATCTGGTACTATCCCGACTACGACTGGGTGGCCATCTACAACCACTCAGTCACCTCCATGAACACATACACTGGTGGACCCCTCCAGCAGGCGCTTTCTGCCACCACCACCTTGAACACCTCCTGGTACGAACGGGGCAACTACACCCACAACTTCCAGCGGTACGGCTTCGAGTACTTGAACGACCACGAGAACGGATACTTGACCTGGCATGTGGGTGGTGACCCCACGTTGATGGTTCATACCAACGCATTGCATCCCAACGGGAACGTCGACTGGAGACGTCTTTCCAAGGAACCAATGTCGCTTATCCTCAATCTCGGCATATCCAACAACTGGGCCTATATCGATTGGCCCTCCATCCACTTCCCAGTGGAAATGAGGGTGGATTACGTGCGTGTGTACCAGCCACCAGACCAAATCAACGTGGGTTGTGACCCCAAGGACTTCCCCACCTACGACTACATTCAGCTGCATTTAAATCTTTACTACAATGCTAACTTGACATCTTTTGAGGCTGCTGGCTACAAGTTTCCTAAAAACAAACTTACAGGATGTTAGTTCATTGAGTAGAATTCGACCATCTAGCCATAGATAATAAACACTTTATAGAAATTGTGTAGGCCGAGACACTAAGAGGTGTCAACGGTAAATTAATATTGTAGTCGGTCAGAAACGAGAGTGAAGGGTCATACTATTAATTCTGATAATCCTGATCAGCTTCTCCTGCAAAAGCATAGAAATTATTTATTAATAGGTTCAAGGTTCCGTTAACCATGGTGGTACTACAATTTTAGCAGTGGCTAGAAATATTGCCAGGACGAGAAGATTACTGTAAAAGAGCCTAATTTTTTAGTTTTACATCATTTCTGCTAAATTTCATACGTGATGGTAAAAGGCTTATGTATAACAACCCTCCTGGCGGTTGTGATATGTCCGGCCTCTACATAGTGCCAATACAAAGGTATTTCCAAAACGTAGGAAATACATGATGCCTTGTTTCATAGCCTACAAACACTCATTGTGAAATCGTACAAGCATTCCCAATTTTTTGAAAAATATGTGAAAAAACTAGAATAATACAAATTATGCATCTAAAAGTGTTATAACCACTAAATAGTTCGATCCCGTAAAATGATCGAAGATAGTTCCAGTTTGGGGAGATCGAAGGAAGCAAGAGATGGCTATGTTTCATTTAGTCCATTCTCCTCTTTTGCCATTAGCTCAATCCTAGAGCAAATTTTGCTAGAAAAACCCAACTTTATCTAGCTTACTTGCGACCATTTGCCTCATGTGCTTATCCGTGCACCTCTTTCGCTGCTCCATACCCGCAACCCACAAGGGCCTACCATTTCCATAGCTGATAACTCCTCATTTTGTGACACTCGCATGCAAGACCCGTTCCTGCACCCAGTGCCCCCGCCAAATCTCCATATCAGGGAGACTACTCCAATATATCTCCGATAAGCCCAGACTCCGATCAGTGTCTAAGCCAGTAGTTTGCAATACAGCATCCAGTTGGTTAAAGTCCGCAATTGAAAAAGTCTAGCCCAATTTGCGTATCTACATCCGAAACCAGCACTATCTGTTGCCATCTACAAACCCCGTTAGGAAGGCAAACTTGACTGCCGATTGAAACCACCAAATTGCCTGTGTGAATATCACCGGGAAACATCCAACATCCGTGCTTCTTCAAATCAATCCTCGCCCGCATGAACAACCCATCCATTAACTTTCACGTACAGGCCCACCAAACCGACTTTCGAATTCCCACGGAACTTATTAAGAAGAACTTCAAATCGATCCAAAAGCTCATCGAGAAGCAGAAGAAACAAGTTTACGAAGATGTTGCTAAGATCAAGAAAAACCCGAAGTTGCCGGCAACTATCAAGTTGGAGATGATCCGCAAGTTGATCAGGGGATTTGACCAATACTCCAAGAAGTTGGCCCAAGCCATAGAAAAGGATCGAGAGTACAGATCGCGGCTTCTGGCCAGAATCGATAATTTAAAAGTCCTCGAAGAATGCTGTCTAGCGGAAGCAACCGCGATTCTGAGCGAGGCCAAAGAAGAGGAGCAACTAAACGGAGAAGGCAAGACGGATGACCTGGTTGATCCAAAACCCACCGAAGAGATACTACCTTCCAATGACAAATTCTTGGATCTTCACAATCCAAAGTTGATCAACTGGTACCGCGATCAAACTAATTTGCTTATTGTGGACTACCTCATCAAATCGAATATCAAGAAGGATCGCAACATAGGAATCTCCCTTCTTAAGAACTTCGCCAAAACCGATCCGAAGTTCTTGAAACTTATTGACTACGATCTTTTTGAGAACTTCAATAAAGTGTTTGTTTCAATAATTGTTGACCATGACTTGACGCAAATTATCAGTTGGTTTAATGAGAATAGGGCTGTGCTAAAGAAGTCTGGATCCAACTTGGAGTTTGAGATTAATTACTGTAAATTTTTGTCGTTAATCGAGAAGGGGGACATAAACGAGGCCATTAACTTTTCCAAGCTTAACTTATCACCATACGGAAATAAAGAAAACTACGTCGATAATGAAGTCAAAAACCACGAACTTAACTGGAATAGATTGAAGGAAATCGGAGGTCTTTTGGTTTATATGGCGATCAAGAACACTTCCAACTCTACAACCACTGCATCTACTTTTTCATCATCTTTAATAATTAATTCCTCAAGATTCAAAGAGTATGAGAAGTTACTCTCGGATGAGAGATGGGAAAACTTATCCCAAAGTTTTCTTACTAATTTCATCAAGTTGTACGCTATTTCACAGAATTATCCATTGTTCATTTACTTATCGATAGGTTTATCGAGTTTAAAAACCAAATCTTGTTACAGAAATACCGAGAATACAATATTCAGATGTGGTCACGAGGTCCAGGATTTGCAGAATATAAATACAAAGGACAAGAAGTTTCGTAGTCCGGAATACTACTATAAGATTCTTAACAAGAATAATAATTGTCCAGTTTGTTCGCCAGAATTATTTGAGATTAGTCAGAATTTACCTCATGCCCAGTTGATCACCAATATATTCAACAACCCATTCAAATTGCCTAATGGTAATATCTACCCATTTGACAAGTTGCTCATTCCTAGCGAAAAGTACTTGTCAGAAAAGAACACGCTATTGAGAATGGGCAAGGTGAAGGATCCATTGACTTCGGAGATTTTCATGATTGATAACTGCGTCAGGGTGTATCCTGCTTGAACAAGCAAGACCTTCAATATATAGAGTTATTTGTTGTGGAGCTGCAGCGTAACGGTTCAACATAATATTCAATGCCACTAATGATTAACATTATATTACGATTAACAATATATCATGATCTATTCCATCAGTAAATAATACCTAGTCTGAATCATCGTCCGTATCCTTTTTCTTTCCTTTTTCCCTTGGTTCCAACTTTTCGAACACGTATACTCTAGCATCCCTCTCACTGGCAGGCTTGGTTGTATCTCTGGTACTATTGGTTCTTCTGTGATGGTATTCAGGGAACATTCCCCAGTCGAATTTTCCCGATCTCTGTACTCTGTATCCTACTCCCCTGCCTAGAATTTTGATATTCCATGAGTTGTAAGGCTCACCTTCAAATAATGTCAACACAATCTTACTGTGGGCAGGCTCCTCAGCGGTGATATAGCCTCCTAGGTCGTTCTTCTTCAGATCATTAACAATTTCGAAAACCCGTTTACAACTGTTGAAATATCCGTCTATTAATTTCTGGTGGTCCACAATATTTCTCTCCATATCCTTGATACCCTTTCCGCTATGGGGGAAGTTGAACATGATGTAGTTGAGTTTGTTGTTGTCTTTGAACAAGGAGGTCTTGATTACTTTGGTCTTTTTGGTGGGAGAAACCAACTTCAAGCTGGTTTCAAGGTTGGTAGCATCCACTTCGTGGAGGATCTGGCAGCCAGCCTCTTCCAACGCACGGAGATGCTCCTCGACGTTTGGATATTTAGCCACTAGCTCCTCCTTGGAGTCGTAACTGGTGGCTATCACGTTTTCAGGATAGATCAAGCCTTGTTTCACGATAGATAATGCATAGGAAAAGTCGCCCTCACCCACCAAAATTATTCTGTCATCGTAGGTGAAGGGAACCAATCCCTTCTGGTTGTGCTGGACGTGAGTCTTTTTCTTGTTCCCTCCACTCATTGACTTCTGCTTCAATGTCTTCGATTCCTGCTGAGCCTTGGACAATTGGGACAACTTTCTCAGCTGTTCTTCTTTGAGCGAATGACGGGCAAGGGCACCCTTGAGGCCCTTGGCCCCTACGTTCTTGCCTTTGAGTTTACGTCCCATTATCTGTGTGTGATTTCGTGTTCGTGAACGAGATTGTGAATCCGAATATCTAATCGCGATGCCCAATTTTTCAGTGCGATGGAGATGAGAAGTACCCTCGATTATGATAGGAAAGATACAGCATTTATTTGGGAGTAAGTCATAAGTTAGACACAGTTATTAACTACTTTGCCAGCCAATTGGGCGATTTCCCTTAGGGATGTTTTCGCGTTGTAAGCCCTTTAATTCAGACTAAGTATACAGGGTTATATAAAGCAAGTGAGATTATTTACACATTGGCCTATTGAATAGGTAATTGCTATCCCGATTTTGCAATCTTGTGTCCTTCCATGTAGCTAGTGATAATATTTGATATTGTCTAGCATTCCCCCGAATAAGTTCTCTTAAAATTGTCTATTCCTTCTATACTATATAGGATTTGTTAAGTTATTCAAACATAAAACATCTATAGCTATGATCATAATTACCCATAATTTGCGTTTTCGTACTATTCACTAGTGTTCATGGAACATTCCTGGCCGGAAATTTTCACTCCAATTAAAAGGGTGTTAGCACAGACGATACTTCTTCTTTTGAGTTATTACAGCTTTTTTTAAATTCCATCTACAAATATCTACATACTCTTGCATTATTACCAGTGGGATGAAAGACTCCTAGCTGTATTATTTATTAAAGCCTTCTTAGCTATCACTTTGGCTACACCAGCTGTGTATCTGTTTCCAGATACTGCTGATAGATATCTTCGTCAAATAAATTATAAATGCACCCTTTCTTCTCCGTAATGGAACTCGTCATCGACATGCTCATTGGAAATGCTTTGGGTCAAGGGCTGGAGATTCACCTGGAATGAAGAATTGGAATCCTCGCTTCTTTGGACTGACAGCAACTCGACATTTTCATCCTCTTCTTCTTCCACTTCCAGGGCCTGTTGGATCTCTTCGTCGTCTTCTTCTTCGGCCTCTTCCTCCTCACTGTCACTGACGTCGTTAAGGACTTCCTTATGCCCATCATCATATTCATAGAACAACATGAAGGTGCCTTGGCCGCTGAGTACTTCATCCTCGTTGACGACGTATACCGACTCATCACTGATTCTCCACCAGGTACCTCTGAATTTACGGAAACAGATGTAATGACCGTAATTATGGGTACCGTAGTGAGAAATCACTGCCTTAAGACCGTAAAGCAAAGAAGGATTAGCCGCAACTTCTTCAGCACTTGTGGTTGTAGTGACTGTTTCCTTCTCCCTGTCCTCCATCTCGAAGTCAGAGCCGGAGGAAGCCTCGGAGGGGCTTGCAGAAACCAGGTCTTGAGGGACTTCTGGGTCACTTTTCAATACCGATCTCTCATCCTGCTTCCTGAAGGATAATCTGGCATCCATGTTGATATCTTCAGGCTCAGCTGTGTACTTGGAGAGATCTAAAGTAGCGGGGAATTGAACATTGCTGGGGTTTTTGACAATCAGATAGGTTCTTGGATCGAACACAGATCTGTTGATGTGGATGGATAATAATGGCGGTGGTCTACTCAAGAAGATTTGTTTGGATTTCTTGCTCTTTTTGATCATTTGCTTGATGGTAAGTTTTTCAAACACATCGTCTGTTATGTGTGGATGCTTCAACTCTTGATTGATGGAGTCAAGTCTGGATTTGAACTGGTCAAGAATCTTTCCATTGGGGTTTGTTTCTTCTAGCGTGGCCAATTTTTCTATCAAGAAATCTCTGGTCTGATTTAAACCGCATCTATTACAGTTCACGTCCTCGATGATTTCGGGGGTGATCCAGTTGTCCATCAACCCGTTCAAGTTGAAACTGGTGTAGTAGGAGGAGTTATTGGGCAAGTTCAAACTCAACCCACTTGTCACCGAATACCTAATTCCTCCTACCTCTCCACAGGTCAAACACCCGATCCGATCAGCAGAAATTCCATCGACCGGGGTTATCAATTCCAATGGATAAAATTTATGCTTGTCGTCCATGTTGGGATCAACCTGGAAGGCTGGAACATACACAGTGCCAAGTTTGCCCAACTGGTCTCCAGCGAGAACGAGGTTTTTGACGTCTGCTACGTCAACGAATTGGTCTGCTGGGGAGTCTGACTTTTTGGAAGGTTTGCCCTGCAAGCCCTTGAATTCTTTTTCCAAGAGTCCCATCACCAACTGGTAGAACTCTTGGGCGTCCTCTTGGTTGTACCCCGAGAAGAAGTTTTGCTTTGGGCCATTGGGCATTTTGTTGAGCAATTGCTTGGTGCTAAATTCCTTTCCCTTCGTTCCGTAGCTGCCGTTGACTTGCTCCAACAACGTCTTCAATGCGTTGGTGAACACAAGTTCTGGCTTGGGGGTGGTGGTCTTCATTTTCATTACCTGGCCGTCTTCTTTGGTATCGAGTTCGAGCTCGCTGTAAAGGTACGAGTCGATGAAGGTTACCAACAGCCTCGACGAAGCAAGTGATTGTATGACGGAGTTCATGAAGCAGGTGTTTCCCTCGTTACTGATGCCGCCAACCTCGCCTCCGTTGGCGAGGGCGAATCTGGCTTCTTTCAGTTTCTTGGATGCAAACCTCGATCTGTATTTGTAACCGGAGTTCATGGTGGAGAGCAAGCCGTTGAAGATTTGGGGAAGACTGGGCACTTTATTGGTAGAGAAGGCTATCGAAACAACAAGGACAGCAGAAGCAGTGGCCACGAGTTTGGAGTTGAGCGAGATGGATGTGAAGTGGTCGGGCAAAAACTTTTCAAAAATGCCGGCGAAAAACAACGTGAACGACGAGGTAGGGGCTAATTGGGCTAGGAGGAGTGATAAGATGACGACTGAGACTGATACAACGGGTAATCCTCGAGTTATCAACGACATAAACGGTGCTGTCTGGGGGACGCTGGACCACGACAAAAGTGCTTTCTAGAAAGGGAAAGCTACAGCGAGATTGGGAATGTTGGCACGACGGCTTACTACTCGTGACAGAGGGGTGCGTGCTGGGGCAGGCCGTTGGGATAGTTGGATCGTTGTAGGTGATGAAGCTGGTGATGAATCAAAATTTTTTTGTGCCATGCACGGTGGGGGGAAATGGGCGGTGGGAGCAAGAATTGGACTGGTGCCACCAGAATGGCAGAGACGGGATGGAAGCGTGGCAGGGCCGGCGCTTGAGACTACAACTGGTCGTACATATATATTAAACAAGGTATATGAATTACGTAGAACGACGGAGAGAAGTGGTGAGTGAGAGAGCAGAGGTAGTCAGGAATCAGGCAGAAGCACAATTCAGATAAGAGCACAATGAATGAAGATCACCCAGTAGATACTCGTCAGATAACAGGAATGTACTTCAAGTAAAAGTGAATTTCATGCACCCAATGAGATATAAGATGTACCGGATAACACAGAATTCACCCTATATGTAAGATAGCGGGATTCTATTGTCATTGAGATACAAGTACCAGATAACAATAAATTCAATGAGTCTTCACATACCACTGATTCCATTGCACTGTATTCTTGAACAGAGAATTCCATTGAGAACTCTAAAAGAAAATTCTATTGACCATACTCTCCACTGATCCCATACCCAAGAGCCACTCATGGCCTCTGGTAGATGGGTCCCCTCCCGAAGTTCTGGTACTGGCCCATGGGAGGCCTGTCTTTTCCCCATCCACACTTCAACGGTCTGCCGTTGATGGTGAAGCCAGCCAATTGCACAATGGCCAATGCGGCTCTTTCGTGGGAGTCGTACTTGACGAATGCACAGCCTCTCTCGGGATGGAACTTGAAGTCAACGATGAACCCGAAGTTTTGCAACAAAGGGATCAAATCAGTTTGTTGCGAGTAGTGGGCGATGTTGCCCAAGTAGACAGTGGTCTGCCACGACGGAGTCTGTCTCAACACAATGTCGTAAGACTGGGGCGACATCACCGGTATGTTGGCCTGCTGGCTGGCCTGCTGGTTTGGGCCACCCTGGGAGGGAGCAGGCGAGGTGCCGTTGGGAGGCGATATGGACTGCAAAACGGGTCCATTGCCGGAGCCTGGCTGCAATCCCCCTTGCAACTGGGGAGCGTACTGACTGGGCAAGCCACCCTGGGCACCCATCTGTTGCTGGGGCATGAGGTTGTTGTTGTAGGGCCTGAACGGACCCCTGGCGTTGTTGTGATGGAGATGATGACGATTGTTTCTAAAGTTGTTGCTTCCCGAGTGGTGCAACTGCTTGTGGGAGGCCCAGTTGCAGCGGATGGCCCTGCCGTTGATCCACTGGCCGTTCATGGTCTGCAACGCCAACTCGGCGTCGGTCTGGAGCCCAAACGTCACGAAACCGTAGCCTCTGGAACGCGACGTCTGCATGTCCCACATGACGTGGGCCTGTTTCAACGACAGGAACTTGGTAAACGCCGTGTACAACGTCTCGTCGTCGACCTCGGGTGACAAGTCACCGACGAAGATGTTGAAGCTGGGCTCGTCGGGACGCGAGGCGCTGTTGATGGTAGACGACTGGAACGCCCAGTTGATCTTGATCTCGGCGTTGTTGATGAGGCGCCCGTTCAAGGTGTGGAGGGCCACTTCAGCTGCCTGGGTGTTTTCGAACTCGACGAACGCGTAGTTGAAGCCTGGCTTGTTCTTGTCGTTCAACACCTTGACCGACTGGATGGCGCCGCCAACTGAGAACATCTCCTTCAACATGTCTTCTGACACTGACTTGTGGAGCATGCCCACGTAGAGGATCATCTTGGACACCTCACGGCCGCCCTCGATGGCGCTGGCGGGTGTGGGAGTGGTTTCGCCACGAGGCTCGTCGGCGTGTGCGCTGTGGGACTGTTCTGGCTCAGGCTCCTGGACTGGCGCGGCGTCGTCCACTGGCTGGGGTTCCACCAGAGGCTGGTGTTCTTTTGGGTCTGTCATGATGGTGATGCAATTACTCAACCACTGTGATTCACGGTGGGTAGACGAAATAAACGAGCTCTATCAACAATTATAACCAACAAAAACCAATAAAAAAATCGAGATTCCGGATTGACTGGCGAATGGGTCGAATTGGGGTTCGGAATCAGCAGAAACGGGAAAGTGCGGCTCAGAGACGTGGCGCGGGAGACTTGCTTCGGGTGCCTTGACTCAATTGATGCTAGTGGGCTGGGACGACGGAGCAAAGAAAGACGTGGTGGAAACTCTGGCCAAGCGTTGGATCCAGTCAGCGAGAACGAGCGAAAAAAGGTGACACAAAAAAATTAGTTCCGATCGGGAGGAAGTGGGGGAGGTGGTGAGGGTGTTATGTCCCTGGGAGGGTGGGAAAGAACGGGGAATGGACTTTAAAGGCATTTCTGGAGTAGAGATTGCATTATGATACATCTAAACTTATCAAAAATATAATTCTTTTACCAGGGCGGTTTAGGAATTAAAAATCTTCAAAGGGGACACTGATCCGAACAGTCGCCGCACTACGGCTCCGACGCTACAATTAACATTTCCAAGGGCACTTCAAGCATCGGTTCGACCCCAACACTGAACTGCTCTGTCAGGACAATGTAATCGGGTGGGACACCGGGGGACACCGTGGGCGAAACTGTATTACGTAATTTTTCACTGCAGATTACGTAAGCGCTCCACCGGACACCCACGGCATCCAGCAGTGGCAGCGGCGCCCCTGCGCTGCAATTTCCGCCCTCGTGTACTGCAACCATAACATGGACTAAATCACGTGATAATAGACGCAGGTGATAAATATTTATGTTTGCACGTGACGCATGACCCGTGACTCCATTCCCGTGATCTTTCCTGTAAGTCCAGTCGAGATGCCCATGGTTCTCTACATAGCAGTACGGACCCACGACCCTACGCTTGTCAAGGCGATAAAGTCGCATCTTGAGCGCTCAGGAAATCTCAATAAAGCCGTCAAAATCCGCAGAGATGGAGCCGGCTTCTTTATTCCCACTACCGTACAACACCCAGATGAGTACTTGCACCAATTCGACATAGACCACTACGAGTTTACCCCCGAGGACTCGCCCATGGAAGCTGCTGTGCGAGAGCATTTACTTGCCCGCGGCACTTTGCCGTCAAAAGTGAATTCGTTGATGCTGGCAGTGCCCAAGAAATGGTCGCTCTACCCTCCGTTGATCTTGTTTCTGGGTGAAGCATTTTCATCACCACAATGGAAGGAATATGCTGATGACAAGCTCTATGCCAGCATTTTGCGAAAATACCCCAACTTCACTCACATAGCTCTCAACAAACCCATCATCAAGACAGATGTAATGCGAAGACCCTTGAACATCACGCCCTTGTACGGAGACTTTGGCCCCGAGCCCACGCCAGAGCTATACGACAATCCCACACCAGTCGACTTCAAAAGTGGATTCTGGTGTGGGGTTAACCAGAACGGAATAGATCAGAACTGGGCTCCCTTGTACACCATGTTTTCCCGTGGAAACGTCAAGGAGAAGGCTCGCGTGCTTCGCGACTTTGCCTGCAAGGACAGTGTTGTTTTCGATCTCTACTGTGGAATCGGGTACTTTTCTCTCTCCTACTTGAAGAATGGGTGCAAAAACATTTTCTGCTGGGAATTGAACGGATGGTCGATCGAGGGCTTCAGGAGATCCGTCAGCCCCCACTACAGCTACCAGATTTTTGGACCCGAAGATGAGTTCAACTACGAAATTTACACCCAATTGAAGGACCAGGTAAGAGTATTTATATTCCACGAGAGCAATGAACATGTTCCCAGACGAATGGCGACATTCCCCGATCTGAGCATCGAGGTGACCCACGTGAACTTGGGGCTACTTCCTAGCTCCCAGGGGTCTTGGGATATCACGATGGGAATAGCGAAGAAGTCACTACGGGACGTTCATGTGCACGTACATGAGAATGTTCACATCAGCCAGTTTGACGAGTTCAAGGAGAAGGTGGGGCAGAAGTTCGGACCTGTTCAATGGCTTGAAAAGGTCAAGACTTTTGCGCCCGATGTGTGGCATGTGGTAGTGGACGTGGACGTGAAGAAAGTTAATGGGCCGTGAATCCCTGGCTGAATACATGGAAAAAACTCGAAAAGTATAGTGACATAGCTACGAGTACGTGAAACATTGGCCATGTCGGTTCCGGTGCCAAAATTCTATGCCAAATGGAGCTAGTAAGTGGTGAGAGTACGGTCGCAACCGCAAGTAACTAGCAATAATTAATAGATCTTTTCAAGTATAAATAATACTTTGGGTATTAGAATAATCCTGCTTCATGCCTTCTAATGGCGAATTTGACTTGAGCGAGTTGCAAAATAGTCTCCGTGACAATTTCAAATCACCAGCTTCTCTATAAAGGTTATCATTTTGAGTCATTATAGATACTTGTGCCATCAAGAATCAGCAGTTGACAAGAACATAAAATTATATACTAGACAAGTTCACGTTTGCATTAATATTGTAGAAAAACACAATAGTTATTGAAGTAATGTGGAGCTGCATGTGCCCAGCCAATATGTCCTACTGGTTCGAGAGAGTCTCATAATTCGGGAGGAGCATTTAGAATTTGGTTTAGAACAAAAAGGGTGTCCAAAGAATCAGAATAAGTGCTCATATTAAGATAGGATCCCCTCCAGCTCCTATTTCATTATCCAGAAGCACACATGGTGGATGGGTAACTGGAGATTTTGGGGTCTCATCATAATCTTAGTTTGTAATTTAATCCTGTAATTTCTCACTCATGTGAGATTTATCTCGAATTTATCATGGGAGAGAGCCTTCTATCCATACTTCAGATACGTAAGGAATAGCTTGCTATCATAGATTCATATGTTCCACACTGTTGTATTTCACACACGGATCCGTATTTTACATTGGAGATACTGTACTCTAATTGCTATGGTCCATCACTACCATAATTCAATCACAGATGAGATCCATCTCTTGTTACACAAAAGTTCCAGTACAATTGTGCATGATTACAAATTTTGATACTTTTCTACTTCACGTATTTTAAATATGAGACACATTTCTACCCGTAATTAAATAGTCATCGCTGCTTCCCAGACATATGAATCCACTCCAAAATATTCCCCTATTTGTAAAGTCCACCTCGGGTATTAATGCTAGTTTACTACCTATAAGCACTGGTAGTCTACAGCGCATAATTGTCTCCCATTAACATCGCCCGTATTGTCCAGCCCTACTAATTCTGACTAATCCTTTACCAATTCCCCCGCGCGCCCCGATCCTCAATCTCACTTATCGAGAACCATCGGGTGCCCACCCACAGAACTCAGTGGCCCTAACCAGACCAGCAACGGTCATCTCCCCACAAGCGAATGTCGCGGCCCATGTCGCACTTCCCCAACGGCGCCGGTTGCTCCCCCAACCCCCTGGTGCATCCTGCCGACCTCTACCACCATGCCGGGTGGGGCCACATGCATGGCACGCCTGCCTAAGTAGGCTGGGGACGGAAAACTCTCGGGGATCGGGAAATCCGGCGAGCTCGCAAACAGCCTCCGGCGACCCGCGGGCTTCATTGCAATTTCCATGTCGCTTACGGCTGACGACGACAAGGACCAGTCCAGCGACACTTCCATTACCAAACGGATCCCCGAGGATGCTAGCCCCAGTAGTGAAGTACGGATGTTGCTACCAGCGCCTCGCCAGCGCCGCGGGCTGCCCCACGACGCCAGAGCCCGCCCAGCTGATCGTGGCCTCGATCTCCGTCCGGCCTCAGGGTGACACCTGCATGGCAGCGTTTACAGGTTGGCGCCGGGAGTCCCCGTCGGTCTGCATGTTAGTCGCTGCGCCATGTTCCCTGTCCATGATGTCGATTATGTCACTTCGATGGTGGTGGTATTGTGTAAGAACGGCTGTTTGGGTGTAGCTCACCACTTCGTATTCCTGGATAGATTTTTGCACTGTCCATCTCCACCACGTAGGGTCACGTTTTGCTATTGCTGTCTGCCCAATTGGCCACGAGAAGCTCCCAATTCTGTCTGAGATTCTGAATTCATCCCCAGAATTGCACCAGAGGATTAATCCACCAGAACATCCATACTTCCATTCCACCAGAGCACCACTAAAGAAAGACTTTTCTCCACCAGACCTCCATAGGAACTTCTCCACCAGAGTACTAAGCATCCACACCTCCTCCACCAGAGTACTAAGCATCCACACCCCTCCACAAGAGTACCAAATCCATACACCCATCCATTGTCCCATCATCCCATCCATTCTGACATGTCGTTCAACAACGTCAAACCCGATGACGACGATCTCTACGACATCCTCAGTCTATCGCCGCCAGCGGCCAAGCCTAACGCCCAGCTGTTTGCCAGATACGACCAGTACCATCAACCACAAAACGACTCCTACAACATCTACCAACCCATCCATCCCAGCGCCAACGTCAACCTCAGCGGCTCCAACTCGCTCGCAGTGAATACCCAAAACTTGTCCAACTCCAACTCCACCCCCAGTCCATCCAATGAGTTGCTATCGCCCACTAACTTCAGCAACTACACCAACAACAACAACACCACCCACAGCTCCAGCAACCTCTTGGACCCGCGATCGCCTAGCGCATACTCGTCGCACTCGCTCTACTCCGATGCGTCGTCCAATCCCGCCAGTCCCTACATCGATGCCTCATCCCAGTTCTCTGCCAATCCCCCTGTGACCAACCAGGCGCTCTCGGACTTTGGCGGCAACCCGTCGCAACAGTACTCAGGCATCCAGTACTTGGATTCGGACCCTAACGCTCTCAGCACCTTCGACACCGAAATCGCGTTGGGCGGCTCCATTTCCAATACCAACTTAGTGGGACTTGATCCGCTGGCCCAGGCGTACGTGGCGCCTCCCCAGTTCAACTACTCCGTCAACAACCAGCCGATGTCGTTGGAATTCAACGTGCCCAACATGGGGATGTCCAACGGAATGCAGTTAGAACCAACAGGCGCCAATGCTGCGCTTCCCGACACCGCAAACAAACTCACGGAAAACAACTTGATCAACTACACAAACTCGATTAAGCAACACCAGCAACAGCCACTGATTTCCATCCAGCAGGCGCCCCAGGACGTGGCGGCAAAAACCCCGTCGTTGTTCAGCAATTCATCGGCAAACTCGTCGATCCACAACTCTCCCAGAGCCACTGGCGAGCTCTCCCGACAGAACACAGGCAACCAGCAGGGAGGAGCGCAGGCGCAGAAATACAACGGGGTCAACAGTTTAATTCCCAACAGCCACTTGGTGTATTCAGGCGCCAACTCGGCCCACTCCAGTACGTTGGACGTTAGCCAAGGAGGGCTCTTGAAGCCCGACGAGTTCCAGTCGATCCGCAGAGGCAGAAAGAAGAGCCACTCGTCCAAGTCGCTATCGCGGCCCACGTCGCGGTCACAGTCGGCTTCGCGAGGCAAGTCGGAGGACGAGAACATGGGCGATGACGACGAAGACGATGACGACGAGGAAGGCTACGACTACGACGACTACGACTACGACGGCAACGAGGCCCCCAGCGGCACAGTTTCTTCCAGAGAAAAGATGTTGGAGTTGGCGTCGCCCTCCAAGCCGGCCAAGAGGACCCAGAAACACCCCAGTGTGTACGCGTGCCATCTCTGTGATAAGCGGTTCACCCGTCCCTACAACTTGAAGTCCCACTTGCGAACGCACACCGATGAAAGACCGTTCATATGTAATGCATGTGGAAAGGCGTTCGCCAGACAGCACGATAGAAAGAGACACGAGGAGCTCCACACGGGAGAGAAGAAGTTCCAATGTAAGGGCTTTTTGAAGGACGGGAGTCCCTACGGTTGTGGCCGCAAATTTGCCCGAGCAGATGCTTTGAGAAGACACTTCCAAACTGAGAACGGGAAAGCATGTATCCGGTTACTTATTGAAGAAGAAGAGTTGGAGAGACAGAAGAACGGAGGTACTGGCCCGCCAATCACGGCTGCATCCGTCAAGCTTGAAAACGAGTTTGGCGATGACGCAATGTCCGCCAGTACCAACTCGAATGAGTACTTGACTCCGAATGGAGTCTCCATGACCTCCATTCCCCAAGTGGCCATTTCCCCTCCAGACTGATTCTCTCCCGAAATATAGCCGTAATGTATTAATATTAATGTGACGACTGTAGAAGTGGAATCCGGAAATTCTTGTGTAAATGGATGGCAATTTGCAATGTTAGTCTTCAAGGATGCACTTTTGGGTGTTATAATTCGGAGGAAGGTGTAGATAAAATTGAAGTTTGGTCTAATTTCAGAGAAATCTCCAGTGAACCTATTATAGACACAATTGTCAGCTATTGATAACTAGATAAAATGCCTGAGTGTTAATTGTGTAACTATTTCCAGTCCATCTGGTTTTAGCTATATTATACTCGTGCTTGTTAATTTGAATAATTATGCATATGCCACAATCAGTTTTGCTGGGACTACTGCAATCTCTCATCTTCAGTCCCGAGCCTGCGAAATGCTCATACGGCTTGCCCAAGTATAGATCACTGATGCTTTCTCCATGTATACTTTATAAAAGTGCATGAGAATTTTTTATGTTACGTTCCCAATTAATAAAATAGTTATTTACCTAAACTTCCTCCCCAAGTAAACCTGAGCTTTTAGCCGTTCTGGAGCAACTTTCTCTGCCTCGCCAGCCCAACTAAATCTCTGTAGATACTTTCCCATACTTATCATTTGGTGCGCGCACTTCAAGCTGTTCATAGCGTAAGTTCAAAAAGACCAACCTTTGCAACCAACACTCTTAATCCCATCATGTCGCTCGGCCACGAAGATGACATGATAGACAGGCTATCCACAACCCTCAACAATGCCGATGCGCCACAATCGAAGGCGGAGAAAGAGCTTGCCCAGCTCCAACAATCACAACAAGAAAGAATGATTCAACAGAACAAGCATTACCTCGAAGAGCTCTTTGTTGAGAGTCGAACCCAGCCCATTAAGATCAAGAATGTCCAGATCACCAACAGTCAGTCTTTCCGTACTTCATTCTTGGCCAGCCAATTCGAGCCGTTGTTGAAGCACAACACCCCAATCGGACTCGAAACGTTTCTCAAGAACATCGAGCAGGTATCCAAGTCTTTCATCAAACTCGGATTAGTTCAGGACTTGATGGTGTCGGTCAATCACCTTCCTCGCTCCTATTTCTCCCGGCCTTCGGCCAGTCTTGATGTGGTTCCTGTCTTCAACATCATCCCTGTCAAGAAGTTCTACGCGAAGACAGGAACCAACATTGGTAACGGCGAGGGGGATGGTTACATCGAGTTCCAGTTCAAGAACCTTTTTGGTGGTGCGGAAAATCTCACATTTGACGCCATTTCAGGTACCAAGACTCAGAGTTCGTACTTGATCAATTACAACCAACCTTTGTTCAACAACGCCAACTTCATACTTGAAAACGTGGGTTACTTGAACACCAGAAAATATGACTGGTTTAACTCTGATGTCACTATGAGGGGACTTACCAATAGAATATACACCCAGTTAGAAGGGGGCTTGAACCATGAATTGACCCTTGAGAACAGTTGGAGAATTCTTAATAACTTGAACTCGAAATCGAATGACATTTTGTTCCAGTCTGGCTCGAGCTTGAAGTCATCCTTGAGCTATAACATCAACTACGATACTAGAAATAATCACATCCTACCAACTGCTGGAAAGTACATAAAGGCAGGAGTAGAATTCAACGGTTTAACTAAAAGCACCAGTTCTCCATTCTTAAAATCAATTCTTGAATCTCAGTTTACTCTTCCTGTCAAATCCTTAAAGTCTAGCTTGGTTTTCACTCACAAATCAGGTGTATTGTACCCACTCGGAAACTCCAGCTTCATCTTGGATAGATTTTTCATTGGTGGTCCTAATGATGTGAGATCATTCACCATGAATGGCCTTGGCCCCAAAAGTTACAACTCTTCTGTTGGTGGTGACGTATTCTTGAATGGAGGAGTGTCCTTAGTATCCAAAATTCCAGGTATCAGTGAAGAATCAAACTTCAAGCTCCACAACTTCGTCAACTTTGGTAAATTAATGCCTTTGCAGAAGAAATTAGGGCTTGCTGGTTTAGCAAAGGATTTCAGTGGAAATTATTCCGTCAGCTACGGATTTGGAATCTTGTTCAACCATCCAATGGCGAGATTTGAGTTAAACTTCGTTTTGCCATTGGCAGTTCACGAAAGAGATAGTATCAGAAAGGGAATCCAGTATGGAATTGGTGTGTCTTTCTTGTGAGGATTATGCCTGTCTTACATACCCCTTATAGTCATTTTTCATCATGTATATATGTATATTTGTACACTTAATAGACTTAATATGTCATTGGATATATAGCATTTCCAGTGATGATCAGAGTAAAACAGAGCAGAAATCAATGCAGACTAAGATAATATAGCGACTGTCGATCATAGAATCTAATTTGAATTAGATGGCCCATTTGTGGGCATTAAAAAGAATTTTTGGGCAGCTAGGGTGTACTTATTTTCTGTTTATCCACTGGTTGTGAACTTGAACCACTTCAGGTATTATCAAACTTTCGATTTCGAGGTTCTCTTCGACTTGTTCTGGAGTCAATCTGATCCATTTTTCTTCACCCTTCGAGTTAACAAAAACCACCTCCTTCTTTCTAGTTTGCAAAAGATTTCCAATCACCAACTGGTGCTGGTAACGTTGCAAAGCAGTTTTGGCCTTTTTGATTAAGATGGAGTCATCGGTCTCCAATTTGAACGAAATGATCATAGCAGATGGAGCCCAATTCTCAACCAATCTACTCAAAAACTTGGGGACTTGTTCCAAATCAACCACGAGCTTTCCTCCTCCGTCTTGGGATTGGATTTTGTGCTGAGGAGTTCTGGATTGAGGCAAAAAGAAGTCACTAACTGCGGCCGCCAAGTAGAATAATGCCTTGGACTCGACTCTATGCAATAACTCAGACACCGACTTCAAGGTGAAAAGGTACTGGTTGACAGTCGTAAACGGGATCAAAAGCAACGATCTGGATTCCTTGGCGTCCTTGTACTTACGCAACACCTTCAACATCTTTTCGGCGTAGTTGGGCTTAATCTCGATCTTGTCGTTGGCTTCGGTCATGTAGTCCAAGAAGCAATTGGTGGTGTGACTGTAGTGTCTTGAGTAAGGAAGGAGGGAGAATTCTCTGTGCAAGAAGATCACGGCATAGCCGTTTTCAAGAAAGTTCTCTGCCGAAGTGGCACCTCTGGTACCGGCACTGAAGTTGTCGATAAATCTGACGGTGTTGTTTTCCAATGGCACGGTAGTTCCACCCGAGGTAACTAGCGCAATGGGCTTTCCGGATGTGGTAGCATGAAACTCAATGAACGAACGAACTTCGTCCTCTATACGAGGAAGATAGCTGGGAGGCTTGTACGAGTTAAAGTATTTGTCTTCGTCAGAGAGCTGAGCAACTGGGAACTCGGGCACGGTCCGGTCAATGGCAGTGTCTGGCTCGGGATTCGATGTGTGGTACATGCTTAGTGATGGTTGAAGAAGAACACTTTTGTTTCGTGGGGAACTTTTTGGTGAGGTGCGAAGAGGTGCATAGTAAGCAAGAATCCTCCAGACACCACCATATGACAGAAACCAACCGAATTGTGTTCTTGGATGTGAGTAGCACGGACTTGTAGCTTAGCACATTACTAACAGCAGGTTTCCAACGGAAGTATGTGAAGTGTGGTTGTGGAATCGACAGTACTAACATTAGGTGATTTGAGTGGACGCATCAAGATCGAGTTGTTTGAAGGCTTGCCACGGTACGTATAGCAGGATCCCATGGCGTAACATTGACCAGCTACTGGTATTGGGGAACTTTTTGACATTGAAATTGTCTAAACTCCAAATACTGGAAACCAGACATTATTCGTTGATGTCTCTGAGTGGGTGTGAATCCCGTACTAACGTCAGTACCACCGAGAACTTTAGACAGTTTTGCACGGGAGAATATAGGGAAAATAGAAGACCGGTGGGTTATAAGAATGCACCATTCCACAGGATAATAAAGGGCTTCATGATCCAGGGAGGAGACTTTGTCCGTGGCAACGGCTCAGGTTCCACCTCTATCCACGGAAGACAATATTTCGATGACGAGGGCTTCACGTACGACCGTAAGTATCACCATTGGAGCTCATCAACTACCATCTACTAACCACAGACAAAAAATACACCGTTTCCATGGCCAACTCGGGCCCCAACACCAATGGTTGCCAGTTCTTCGTGTGCTGTCGAGACGTGCCAGAATTGGATGGGCGCCATGTGGTTTTTGGCCGTGTTGTCGAAGGATTCGACATTGTGGACCGTATTGAAGCCGCTGCAGTAGACAAAGAAGATCGACCCCGCCAGGAAATCAAGATCGTGGACTGTGGCGAAATGTAATTAGCAGACACCAGGGGAATAAATTGCAATAATTATTCCACTAATAGGCACAATAGAACTCGAAATTCAGGTATTCGTAACCTGGGTGTACTGCTAACAATCAGGAATAGCTGAGGACAACATATACCAGCCGTACGTTGCTTCAAATCACAAAATTTCAATGTTCTGGCAAAGAGTTGAGTACTGAAATCATTCCAGTGATTTCCTAACCACTAGAAGTAGCACCATCTTTGGAACTGTCTCAGTCCCTGTAAAATCATCAAATACACCTTTTCTTCGGTAATTTGAAGCCAACCTCACATTTGTAGCTTCGACACTTAGTTCATGGAAGCATCCAGCGTTTTGAATATCACATGGACCGCTTGTTACACATTCATGATTGTATTCCCTGTTCCTCCACACCATCCTTGTACTAGTCATGTCTCCTCTCATTCATCACCAGCTTTCCTCGAGATTGCAGCAACTCTCTCGTACCAATAAATTCTCTCCTCGTTTCAATAATCCTCTAAAAGCAAAACTCAGCCATTGATCGATTTGACGGAATAATTCCACATCAGAAACGTCCCCAATTCTCGTTCACAGTAATCCTAAGCCAATCTCTTCAACTTTAACTGCTCCACGTCTTTCTGACTGGGCTTACTACTTTGGGCATCGAGATTTCGCCTGCCAGAGACCAAACTGAACATCCAAAAGCAAATTATGGCTCTCTATCATCGAGTAGTACCAATCCAACCCCAATTGACTGCCAGTCCCGTACTACTCCTGTTAAACTATCGACCAAGTGGTGGTTCGTGACCTGCACACACGTTTGCAGCTACCAGATATGACATCGCACTCGGCGGTAAACTGCTCCACAATCCATAGTCCACCACATTACTCCATCATCTATAGCCCATCACATCATGTCAGCAGACTTCTGGAACTCTTCCCAGCATAACAAGTGGCAGCTTACGCGGCACTCGCTTCTCGAGAGCCGACGTAGGCTCCTCTTGCTCGAGCGCAAGATGATCCAGAACGGACTCATCAAAGACTTCAACGTTGCCTACGACTACAACATGAGGATCTATCTCCATAATCGTACGTATGAGTGTTCCTGATACTGGTTCTTACAAGCAATCTAGTGCTTGTGTCTTGATCCCGGTTCTTTCCAGCTACTAACCGCAGTCATCATCAAGTTAGGACGAAGACTCAACATCCGCCAGGTGGCGTTAGCATCGGCCGAGATCTACCTCACTCGATTTCTCACCCGTGTGCTGTTGAAGGAAATCAACGTATACTTGCTTGTTACCACCTGCCTCTACGTGGCATGCAAAATCGAGGAGTGCCCCCAACATATCCGGTTGATCATCCTGGAAGCCCGCAACTTGTGGCCCGAGTATATTCCCCACGATGTCACCAAGCTCGCGGAGTTCGAGTTCTACCTCATCGAGGAGATGGATTCCTTCCTCTTTCTCCATCACCCCTACCGCTCACTCCTCCAAATACGGGACTTCTTGATTGAGAACCAGGCAGTTTACGGATTCACGTTGAATGACGACGAGCTCCAAAACGCATGGTCCTTGATCAACGACAGCTACATAACGGACTTGCATCTCCTTCTCCCCCCACATATCATCGCAGTGACCTCCATCTACATAACCATCGTTCTCAAAAAACACCTTTCCGCCATAAGAGGAAGAAACGAAGGTGCTGTTCCTGGACAAAAGCCGGACTCCTCCACTATGCATATAGACGACCTCATGACCCTAGCCAACCCTAAGGATACAACTCAATCAGAGCCTGGTCTGAAGAGTCAGCCGGTAGAGCTTGAAGGCACCAATTTCCAGGATATGAAATTGGACGAGGACACCATCAAAATCAACCGTTTCATGAATTTCTTGGACCATTCACACATAAATCTCGACGAGGTGGTAGAGGCCATGCAGGACATTATCAACATCTATGTGATCTGGAACAGGTACAATGAGGGTACCGTCAAGAAGACGCTTCAGATGATGCTATTAAATAGGTAATACACGGCTGACACCATTAGGATAGGTTTGTCGGCCGAGATCGCTGTCGCGACTAGCCGGAAAATGCCATTAACATGTTCTCGATTCAGAATCACCTTATAGGGAAATGGTGCTCATACATATTAAGATGAAATCTGCTGAGGTCAAAATTTTGCATGTGATGCGCCGCCGACATCCTCGGGGAATATAGCCCCCAATATACACCTCACGCTTGGAACGCCCATTTTCGACCCCAGTCTCAGGTATCCCAACCATGCCAACAGGTACATGCACCCAACAGCCGTGGATTCAGGGTGGGCACGTGATCGCGATCCCCATCCAAGAAGTGTACGCGTGGCATCTTGAGCTGGCTCCAGTGGGTACATGCGATAGCACCTGAATGTAGTACGTGCTCGTGACAGAGAACCTGGCCACCTAACTTGCCCCAATACCACCCACCACACACACACAAAAGGGACCTCCCAGATCAAACGATCACGTGACGCGACATTCTGCCATCAAAATTTTTTTTGGCACCACAAGTGAAGAACGTTGCCAGCACCAATTGCACCTTCATAGCGACCCACACAACCCGAACAGCTTCCCCAGTCTGTTGAACGTCCTTGTTATTGCACCAGATCCGGTCCATTCTCCAGACCTCGAGGCATCCTCACACCATGACGACAGACAATGCTGAATACCACAAGTCGTTCTTGGCTTCCGTAGAGCGGAACCAAATGCATATATCGAGACTCCTTCTCACCAGTCTCTTTGCGTTGAACATGTTCCAAGCAGCCCAGCCATATACCTCCAAGTTCATCAGTTTGCAGTACGAGGAGTCCCTGGACCCATTATTGTACGGCATTGGCATCGACGATACCTACTACGTGGTCACCTGGGTGATTGGGCTCACCTTTCTTAGATCGTTCCTCATGACGTGGTGCTTTAGCCCGTTCTCGTCAGTCGTATTGCACATCCACTCTCGCAAGGCCAAGGTCAGGTTTGCAGAGCAGAGTTGGTCGTTTGTGTACTACACCATCTCGTTCCTTTTCGGAGTGTACCTCTACATCGGGGCCCCCTACTACAACAACATCGACAACCTCTACATCGCATGGCCCCACGACCACTACACCCACATGTTCAAGACGTACTACCTTGCCCAGGTAGGCTTTTGGATCCAGCAAATCTTTGTGTTGAACGTGGAAGAACGCAGAAAAGACCACTACCAAATGTTCAGCCACCACATCATCACCTGCTTGTTGTTGATCGGATCGTACTACTACCACTTCACCAGAATCGGCCACTTGATCCTCATGATCATGGACTCCGTCGACATCTTTTTGGCCGCAGCCAAGATGCTCAAGTATGCCGGCTTCTCCACCATGTGCGACATCATGTTCCTTATGTTCTTGGTGTCGTGGATAGTATTGAGACACGGGGTTTACAACGTGTTGTTCTACCACGCCTGGTTCTACTCCACTGACTTGATGCTGGACGGTCAATGCAGTGGCGTTCCCCAGACCACCAGATGCTGGACTCCTACCGTGATCAAGGCGTTCTTGGGCTTGCTAGGAGGCCTCCAGATCATTACTATTGTCTGGATGTACTTGATCTTGAAGGTAGCTTACAAGGTTATCACTGGAAAAGGTGCAGAGGACGTCAGATCTGACGACGAGGACACCGACCACGAAGGCGAATCCAAACCAAAGGCTGACACTACCTCTGATTCCGAAAAGGAAAAGGCCAAGGTTGAAAAGACAGTGGCTGCTAGCGAAGCATCTGATGATTCATCCACCACAGATCTTGACGAACCGTCAGAAAAGTTGCAAGAATAGATTTGTTACCTCATTGTACTATAGACATGGCTAGTAGACCGTATTTAGGCCCACAATACTCCATATTCAAAAATGCCAGTAAACAAGTACCAGGACGTGTCGGGTCACGTGTTAGTTAACACGTGACCGATGGGTTTTGTTTTGAAACACCACCCAGACACAAGCACCAACTAGTCATGAACGGAGCAAGGTTTAGTGCCAGGGCGGCCAAGCCTCCCGGAGCCAGCAGCTTGGTCTCGAGCTCAGGATCTCTGACTTCCGAAAGCGGGGCGTCTCGCCAATCGTCAATCACTGTCGCTGTCCGAGTGAGGCCTTTCACAACCGCTGAAGAAACAAACCTTATCAAGAACGAGACTGAACAATTCTTTCTAGGCGACGGCTCATTCAGTACTCAGGACACCCCTTCGAAGAGTCCCAGAGTTTCTCCCCGTGCCATCCGCAAAATTGTCAATGTTGTTGATGATCGCATGTTGATCTTTGATCCACCAGAAACCAATCCATTAACCAAAATGCAGCGAGATGCCTTCCCCAACAACCATACCACGCGAATCAGGGAGCATCGCTTTGTCTTTGATAAGCTTTTTGACGTACCCGCCACACAGGAAGATGTGTATTTTGGGACTACTAGACCTTTGTTGGATAGTGTTTTGGATGGGTATAACGCTACGGTGTTCGCGTATGGTGCCACGGGGTGTGGCAAAACTCACACAATCCTGGGTAATCCTTCCAACCCTGGAGTTATTTTTCTAACCATGAAGGAATTGTACCAAAAGATCGAAGAGTTGTCCGACACGAAATTGATCGATATCAGTTTATCATTTTTGGAGATCTACAATGAGACGATTCGGGACTTGTTGAACCCAGAGACTCCTCACAAGAAGCTTGTGCTTCGGGAGGACTCCTACCAGAAAATCTCGGTGACCAATCTTCTGTCACACAAACCAGAATCGGTGGAAGAAGTCATGGAGTTGATTTTATTAGGAAACCAAAATCGAACCACCAACCCAACCGAAGCAAATTCAACCTCATCCAGATCTCATGCCGTGTTGCAAATTAACGTTATCCAGAAAAATAGAACCGCAGATATACAAGAACAGCATACATTTGCAACCTTATCAATAATTGACTTGGCTGGTAGTGAACGTGCAGCAGCGACAAAAAACAGAGGTATTAGACTTAATGAAGGGGCAAATATCAACAAATCATTATTAGCCTTGGGAAACTGCATCAATGCCCTCTGTGACCCAAGAAGGCGGAATCACGTCCCTTATCGTGACTCGAAATTAACTAGATTGTTAAAGTTCTCTTTGGGTGGAAATTGTAAGACAGTAATGATTGTCTGTGTATCACCATCTTCCCTTCACTATGATGAGACTTTAAACACCCTCAAATATGCAGATCGAGCAAAAGAAATTAAAACTAAACTTATTCGAAATCAACACAATTTGGATAGACATGTGGGATCTTATCTAAAAATGATCACGGAGCAAAAGCAAGAAATAGAGGAGCTCCGAGCAAGAGAATCAAATGTCATTAACCAAACAGTAGTCCACCAACAAAAATTGCTGCACAAGTGCTTTGCGTTACTCTCTGAGAGTATAGGAAGTATCAAATCATCCTTATCAAAACAGAATCAGGAAAAATGGAGGAAGTACTTTATTCTTGCCAAAAGAAAGATTCTCTTATTACAAAGGATTAATATCGAAGATTTAATTATGGGATTTACTAAAGTCTTGGATCATTTTGACAATTTGGATGATGTGAACACTATGATGCAGCTTTGTGAGCAGTTGATTAACAAGGTTGACTCACAAATCAGTGAATTGGAAACACAATATTCAAAGCCCAGTGAGCTTGATCATGTTCTTCTTGGTTCGGCTACCCAAATTTTAAAGAGATTGAAAGAAAATGAAGGTTGGACTGATTCTCACTCGCTGATTTTTGACTTTATGATTGATTCTCTAAAGGAGTCATTGGAACGGGATATTCTTTTCAATTCATCCATTCTATTCGATCATTTAGTATATCAGCTCAGAGATTTCAATTTCATATCCAACGAGTTTATCAATATGACCTCCTTATTCGCAACATTTGGGAATGATTCCACCGAATTGAAAAAGCACTTTGACTTAATTAATAACAATGTGATAACTGCACTTGAACTGTTGGCTAATGGAGATTTTGATATAGCAATTGAGCAAAGCACTTCTCAATTCATGCAAGAAAAAATTCGAGAACAAGATAGTATCTTAGCTGACGATTTGAATAGCCCGGAGGATTTGGAAGGTCTCAGCGACGGTGATAGTCCTACAAGCAAGTCAAGTGCAAGAGCTCAAACAGGTACATTCTCTAACAAGGCGTTCAGAGAATCCAAGAGGGGTCCATTATCACCATTGAAGGCGTCGCCACCTCGAAATTTCAAAAAAGTCATTAGCAAAAAACCATTAACCCCAAAGTATTCACCTCGAAAGAATGCTCCGAAAAAGGTGCGTTGGGATGTTCCGAAGAGCGACTCGACTATGATGGAGAGTGATGTGAGCATGGATGATTCCATGCAAAACATATCAATGAACAAAAGTGAAATTGAAGATGATTCTCCCTTGGGAAACTCAATAATACATAAAACTATTCTTGGTGACGAATTGGACTTAAAATTCGATCCCACTTTGGAGGCGTCGCCAGTTTCGTTAGCACCTCCCAAAGACAGACTTGATGATATTCTCAAAGCAGATAATAGTACAAAGTCTGGACATTTCCACAACAAAAGATTATCAATCAATCTCGAATCGGGAAGAAATACTCCAATCAATTCGGCGAATCTTGAAACAAAACATAACAGCAACATCCCACTCCTCAACAAACTGGCCAGCACTAAAGTGATTGCATCAAATAATGGGTATTCGAATATCCCTACACCGACCATCAATCCTACCCCTGGTACTATCATTATGGATTCGATGAAAAGATACGGTAATCTCGAAGAAGGAGTTGAAGCTCGCAACATAGAGAGTAACGGCTCTGATAAAGTTGACTAGATTGTCTACATCCATGACAAAAGCCATATTTTGGCTTCATATATAGATAAGTGCTCCTGGCACCCTGCATAAACTAACGAGTTACGATTACACTATACTTCTGATAAAATTAATTCATTTGTAGATTTTTATGAAACCTTTTTATAACCCAAGCTACTCAAATAAAGTATCGAACTTGCTTAAAGACTGTGGAGGCAAATGATCACATAATCACACAATCTTTATCTTGAGCAGCATTCTTACTAGTGGCAGTAGGAACCGCTACCCCATTAGCATTAGCAGCTGCCAACACATTGTTGGACTTCTTTTTTCTTAACTTCTTCTCTAATTTAGATGCCAAGTCTTTATCGGCCATTCTACTCAAAGACTTTTCATCTCCATTCTCTGCAGCCTTCTTATACCATGTTTGTGATTCGTTCACATTCTTGATACAACCAATACCTTTTTCATAAAAGTTGGCTAATGCAAATTGAGCTTTTGGTAAGTTACACATGGCAGCTCTTTTAGCCCATTCAAAGGCTTCACTCTCGTCTTTTGGAAGATATGGCTCGTTACCAACAAGATACCAAGCACACATAGCCAACATAGATTCTGGATCACCTCCTAATGCAGCTTCTGTGTAATAATGAATAGACAAATTGCTGTCTTGGGGAACGATTTCACCGACTTCGTAGAACTTACCCAAAATTGCTGCTGATTGAACGTGTCCTAATGCGGCTGCCTGGGAGTATAATTCCAATGCATATTTTTTGTCAGGGATAACAATATCCTGGAAACCATTGAAGTAGATTTTACCCAATTCATAAGGTGCGGCTGCGATCAATTCAGTGGCAACATTGGATGCTCTTTCCAACCATTTGATACCCAACTTCTTTGTTGATGTCTGCTGAGATAAACCCATTCTACCATAGAAGGAGTAGACGCCCAATTTGTACATGGCGGCAGGATGATTCTTGGCTGCAGCCATTTTGAGGTACTCGACCGATTTTCTTGCATCTCTACCAGTTCCCAAACCTTCTTCATAGCAATACGAAGTTCTGTAAGCAGATTCCACATGGCCATGTTTAGCAGCGGATTGAAATAATTGGAAAGCTTCTCTATTCTCAATCTTTTCTAAAGCACCCGAACTGTAAGCATCTGCAAGTAAGTATTGGGCTTCCACATAACCCTTATCTGACAACCTTTTGAGGTAAAGGGTCGCTTCTTTCAATAATGCACGCTTCAACTTTCTGTCATCGATTTTATCGATGTTGTCGCTATTGAGTAAGTCAATGGAATTGGAAGACTTTGACTTCTTATGGTTCTTCACATTGAGCGATTCCTTTTCAAGAGGAAGAGGGGCCTTTCTTGGCGAGTTTTCCACGGAATTGAGTTGTGAAGGATTTAAACTAGAATTAGTGTTAGTTTCATCCAATAATAATGCAGTCTGAAGCATGTACTGAGCGTACTGGAACAACACATTGGGATCATTAGATTTTTTAGCATTCTTTCTGTATAACTCGATGGTCTTGATTCTTGGAAGCAATGTGTTTGAGTTTTGACCGAGGTACTGGGTGATAACGTTTTGCGAAAAGTCCACCATACTGGCATTGTCGTTTTTGTCATAGAAGAAGGAGGAAGTCGACGACACTGAACGGTTGTGGCCATACTTGCCGGCCCCAAGAGGGGTGGCCAAGTTGTTCTCCGACTTGGAGTACTTGTTGTCAAGCGAGCTATGCTGGTTGAGATTCAAGTTCGTCACTGAAGAAGAAGTAGATAGTGGGTTGGAAGGAGGTGAGATGATGGACTCCTTAGCAGGGAAAACCGGAGGAGGGGTCAGTGCCTCATACACTGGGTAAGGAGCCGAGGAGCTGCTCAAGGTTCTGGCGCCGTTATGGAGGGTAGGGAATGGATTTTGCGAGTCGATGGTGTCACCTGGATGGGCCTCGACCGGGGAGGTAGCTGAGCCTGATCCTGATCCTGATCCCGAGACCACGGAGCCCGGACCAGACGTGATTTGGGCCTGGGACTCGTGGACAGGCTGGTCGTGGTAGAACTGGGGCTCAATGTACTGGGAAGGCAACGGCTGGACGGCCGTGTTTGGGTCCTGGACGACGTGGGGGTCCTGAAGCTCCACGTCCACGGGGTATGGGGTGTCAGCAGGGCCGTGGGGCGCTTTCTGACGGTAGGGGTGGCTCATGGTGGTGGTGGAGGATGTGGATCTATGGTTAAAATTTAGCCAAACCGTCGCGATCGGTCACGTGGTGCCAAGGGTTTGGTGTGGTGTGGGAGCTGGGCGGGAGTAAGGCGTTTGCGGAGGGTTCAGCAAACGACAAAGTGATGGGAATGTCACTGGTAGAAGCTTTGGGGACGAGTTTTGGCTAGGAATTTTGTCTAGCTAGTTTGGGCCCAATTTGGCTAGCGATTTTTGGCTAGTTCTGGCTAGTTCTGGCTAGTTAGGCTAATTATGGTGCTAGCGAGCGCTGGAAACGCGTGGGAGTCGTCAGTACTTAGGAGGTAGGACTGGCTGGTACAACGAACAGCGGGTGGTGGCACGGGACTGGTGACACTAGACTGGTGGAAGCGAGAGAATAGGCGCTGGCAGAAGAAACGGGGTGGCCATAATTGCGAAGTGATCGCCGGAACACTTCGCAGTAACTAACCAGAATGTGCAGGCAGAATACTACGTCATGAAATGGGCACAAACACGGGGCCGGTGAGATTGCAGGAGCGGTGGGGCCGTTGGCGTAGCGAGGCGTATCCTCGGTTCGAAAGAGGCAGGCGGTGGTGGGCGGTCAGTAGCAGCCTCCGCCCCTCTGTACTTGTGCCCGTGGCACCAAAAATAGGATTGATCTGTGAGTAAACATAGCATTCCGGGGAGATCGGCGGTACGCGAGCCAGCGCGAGCCGGCGGGAGCTAGCGAGGGCTAGCGAGAGCGGGTGGGAGTGCGGAGGCTGCGGAGCATCGTTCATTCATCACCAACACACATTATTAGTCTAGCTACTGATACTACCCATACAGAGTCTATTCCAATGATCTGTAATACTCAGCATTCTTGGGTTCTTACTTCTTAAGTTACTGATTTATCATCAGATGCTCCTTCAATACTGCCACCAGTTCGGTAGCGGGACCGCGACTCCAGGGGCGTTTTTGCCAGCAGATGCCGGATTTGCACCTAGGCTGGTTTTGCAGCCCTCGCTAACAGTGCTCTGCTAGTGGGACCCTGACCAGCACCAGCCAGCCAGCGGTACTGGCACATCAGTAACTACACAACCAATAGGTTGTTAGTGTGTACGGGAAGTTGACTGTACGACTTCCTGTGGTGCTAGACGACGGACGGGTCTAGAAGCATCCACTGGTCTAGACCCTTAGAAGCCAATGTGGCACCAGTGGCTTTATCAGGCTAATGGGCAGAAGTTGCCGCAACATGGCTGGTAGGCCAGAAGTGGCCGTAGCTTGGCTGGTGGGCCCAGCAGAGGGCTTTGGACCCAGAATAGTGTTGGTAGTATGGGTGTTACTTGGAAATTGCCTTGAATAAGCTTCTGACTTAGAGGGCCCTGCAGGGGTTCTTACTTCACTATCGGCCAGGAGAAGCCATCGCTTGACTAATGGGGACAGAAGGAGCCCAGAAGTGGCTAATCAAGCCAGAAATAGCAATCACTTGACTAATGGGCTAGAAGAAGTGATAACTTGACCAATGGGGCCATGAGAGGCAACAATGACTAATGGGGCCTCGAAGTAGCCTAGAAGTGGCGAATCGGGCCTGAAGTACCCATAATTTGACTAAAACATCCCTACAGTGACCCAACTGCCTCTCGGGCAGTCTCAGTTGTTTCAGCCAACCCAGTTGGGCTCAATGAACCGCTCTTCGGCATACAATTATCAGTATATCCTCTCCAGGTGCCCTCCCAAAGACCACCTGGCCAAAATGTATTAAGCATCTGACTCGAATGTTGATAAATAGTCAACTTTGGTAAAGCCACAAATTTACGGATGCTTCGATAGATCCCTCCCAAAGCACTGCTAGCCTGCCCTTATTCTACACCTGCTCTTGTCTATTGATTAGGTCTACTCATAATACCTACCGTTATTACCATCGGGAGAAATCTATCCTACCAAGCAGTACACCGCCACAAATGCAGCCACCACCATTCCAATCACCGTCAACGATGGGATGCTTGCAGGCCGTATATCGTCCTCCTGGGACAACCTCGCCCGGTCCTCTGGGTCCATGAACTCCAAGCTCTCACCTATGTTGATGGGCTCCTCTGCCTTCTCGGGCTCGGTTGTGGGGGCTACCACCTCCTGCGCCTTGGCCACGTCTACCCGGTTCTGCTCCACTAAGTCGGGAAACTGTTTCCTGAACCTGACGTTCTCCCGCATGTTCCACTCTTTACTCTCTCTGGCCAACTTCCGCTTGACACTGTCGCTGCTGGTGATGGACCCTGCCGTCTTTTCGTCTCCGGTCATAAAACTCAACAACCCCGTCAAAATCGTGGACACACTCCACGCTGGGTTCCATGTGTCGGGGTGGAAATCGCTTATGGACAAGCAGAGACGTTGGTTGCATGCAAAACGGCCGTTAGGAGTGACCATGGAGATCGAAGGAGGCTTGAAAGGGTATTCTTTGGGGAACCGCAAGATGCCGTGATACTGGCCATCCTCGTAGGGAGACTCGGGAGGCCCGGTTATCACGTAATGCCACTCCAAGATGTTTTCATCGTTGGGTTTGGCGATGACAAAAGGAGGTGGGTTGGCACTCAAGAGCTTATACTCCTTTGTAAGTGCTCGTTGCGATTGCCTAGTAGCCATAGTGGTGGTAAGGATGGATTGATGATTTGGTAAGCGTGCGAATCCAAATATATTCTATGAAATGCTCAGGCATATAATCTACCTGGATGGGGCCACAGACGTTTTGTGCTATGGAAACCCCCACTATATCATGTTGATGGTCCCTATGGGTTAGATTGCGTCTCGATCCTAAGCTTTACTTCAATAATCTAAAAAAACATTGCATCGGAGTTTTGGCCATGTTCTTTATTGACCTCTTGATGCAACTGATCCGATGCGAATACTGGTGATGATTCTCGAATAAGATGTTAATACTCTGAACAAAAAGTGGTCTAGCTCGCGTTGAATTGTTCTCTAAAAACACTATTCAAAACCCTGAAAACCCAGCTTGCTCAAGGAAGGTGAAACTCCATTTTGCATCAAGCAAGTTGAAACACCGCATTTCGCATCCAATGTTGAAGTACCTCTCAATCCCGAAAGTGAAGTCAACGGATTGACAATGCTGTAGATGAAAGCTGGGCTGGTCAGAGTGGTCAATGCTATTCACTGCATTATTTGTTAGTGGGCCCTGCCTGGCCAACTGCCAAGATAAAGCTGACCTCTACCAAATATACGGTATCGCCGCTAGCATCGAGCTTGGAATTCAATTCGCCTGCATCCATCTTTTCGTTGACACTCTTGGTCAAGTGATTCTCAATGAACTCTCTCTTTTGCCATAAGTGGGCTCTGGTCTCCCTGGCACTGGAAACATTGATGAGACCAGAATAGGGGCCGAGAGTATCGTTCATGGAGTCGACTTTCAAGCCCCCCATATGTCTCACGGCATTGGTGGCATTCTCACTTTGTTCACAGGATTCGACGTCTTCGTTGTAGAAGTCCAAGATCAACAACCATCCGCCAGGCCGTAAGAACGTGGCCAACTTCTTGGTGACGTCCCTGTAGTTCTCAATGTGGTGATAAGAGATAGTACACACGATCACGTCAAACTGGCCCCCGAACTTCGCATCCAACTCTGCCTGTTTGGCAGGGTCAATGATATCATAGAGATAAGAAGAGATGGATAATCGCTCGGATCTGTTGGCAGCGGCCTTTTTGTCAAACGAGTCCAAGAACGGTCTGCTGATGTCTATTCCCACCACTTCTGTGTGAGAGTCACCTTGCAAGTAAGGAAAAAGCCTCTGTGTGAACAACCCGGTGCCGCAGGCAAAGTCCATGAGTTTGATCCCGGGTCTAATCAACGGGTAAGGGAAGTCTTCCGAGGGAGCACTGTGCTGGGCTTTGGATCCGATCGACAACGTCTGGGGGTCCCCCATCAAGCTAGCGGACTCCTCGCGGGTCTTGCGGGGTCCACTTACGTCGAACTCGAGAACAATTTTGGCCATGATCCTACTCAGCACCTGCATGCCCTCGGTGTTCTCATACTTGATGGCGAAGTCTTCATCGAACACCTTGTTGTTGGCCGCAATGGCATCGGTATGGGAGAATTGGTGCATGTTGAATTGCCTTGATCGTGCAGTGCGAGGACTTTCCATTTGTGGGGTGGTTTCGCGCGGATAGGGCTCCTACTGGCAGTGTCAGGATGATTAGTCCACCATCTTGGTGAGGGGCAACTAGTGGGGCATCTCATGGGGAATTCTCATGGGGAATTCTCAGGCGTCCCGCTAAGGCGTTGCAGCTTCTTGCCTAATGGTCCCGTGGCACTTGTGCCACTCCTCCCGAAACAGTGAAATAGCCACTGGATTGGCGATCTCAGCCGCACATCTGGATGTCCCCTGTGCCTTGAGTAAAAGGAACAACCTAACCACGACAATCCCCAATAATAGCCTACAATACGAACTCATACCTGGAGTTATTCTGGTCTCGGATTCTCCTATCCGCTTTACTGGGGCCCGCCTTTGGATCGGCAGCTTGCAGTCACTCACCGCAGTATTTTTCGCGGCCAGCCCCAGGACTCCAGCACCTACTCAGGCATCAATAACGAAACCTTCAGTTGGGCTGGACCTTAAACCAGAGACAGTCGCCGGAAGCGAATGGCTTATTATTGCGGGTGGTCTGCAGTGTTTGCTTCGCGACTTGGGCGATTGCCGATCTTCCCCAGCTCATCCCGTCAGATTGATTTGCCAATGCTAATCCCGGATGCGCTAAACAAAATAGGTAAAAGTTCCGCATACTGGAGATCTTATCAATTTCACCATCGATATAAATAAGCCTCCAGGAACCCCGGGACGGAGGGTGTCTTATCTGTTCCCGCTGCAATCAAGTGGCAAGACTTAATCTTTCAGTCCGTTTGCTTACTATTTAAATCGCTGCTTGCCGCAAGTCGACTTTTCCCTTATCTGGACGATCTTGATTCCAGCCCACCCACCCCAAACATCGACACATACTCTACCTACAATGGTGCCCCATCCCCAACTAGTTGATTCCATTGCAAAAGGCAATGTCCACCAGTGCCTCCCTGAGTCTGCCTGGGCCACCGATTTAGCTGCGAAATACGAAGCTGCGAAGAAGATCACTGGAGTCGAATCCACAGCCAACGTTGTGTTTGATCCTGCTAAGCACCTTCAGTTCTACGCTGATGGCCCCATTTCCAAGCACAAGTTCAACAACACCAGAAGACTCACAATGGAAGAGCTTGGCTTGACCCACAAACACCAGATCTCTCCTATCGGAGTCAGTGATCCCTTTCCCCTCTTCACCGATGAAGCCATTGCGCTCATGAGACAGGAGATTCTCCAAAAGGACTTGTTTCTCAAGTACTCGAGATACTGTTATAGCTCTACCTCCGGTTTGGACAGTGTCATGAGAGGTTACGTCAAGAACGACGATGTGATCGACGCTCCCTTCACGTACCAAGCTTGGAAGCACCCCAAGACTATGGAATTGGTAAGCAAAATGGCTGGGGTAGAGTTGGAAGTTATCATGGACTACGAAATTGCCCATGTTAACGTTTCAATGAAGGACCCTGCCCATGCTGCCGAAGAAAGAATCGTCCATGCTCAAGCAGCCAGTAAGGGAGACTCCAACGGGAATGACATCCCAGCTGTGGTCGGATGGCACCACGACAGTTACCCATTTGTTTGTGTATTGATGTTATCAGACACCACCGAGATGATCGGCGGAGAAACTAGCTTGAGAATGGGCCCCTCTGGATCGGGTCAAGTAGCCATCGTTCCTGGCCCTCAGGCCGGATATGCAGCTGTCCTCCAAGGAAGACTCATAGAGCACATTGCCCCAAGCCCTATTGGTATCTCCGAAAGAATAACCATGGTTACCTCCTACAAGGCCAAAGATTGCATGAAGAAAGACACTTCCGTTTTGTCCACTGTCAAACCCGAAGTCAATTATGGCTCTATTTACAATAGCTTCTATTCGCAATGGGTCGACTACCGTGTGAAAACGTTGAAGGATAGATTAGATGTGATTAACTCTGGTTGTAGAGATAAGGATGGTAACTTCCAGAAACAGGAAACCATCGAATTATTGAAGGAAACAGCAGAATATTTGCAATCTACTTGGAAAGAGATGGAAGTTTCCCCTAGCGAATGGGAAAAGATTGAACAAGCTATCAGGCCCAAGTCGGGCTAGTGGGATTATGTGTATGAGCTCCACTACTCGACATTGAAGACACACCTTATGTATGAATGAACGTAAATTGTTTAACTCTAAGATTCCAGTATCAAGGTTCCTTTCTACATTGATTCCTCTCGTTGTTTATTAGTATCTTCATATTAAGTAGTAGAATGTAATTAGAAGTATATTGAAATCAACTCTATATTCAAACAAACTGCAAGGAAGAATATAATTGTAGTGGGATTTATTATGTTTCAAGAGAAGCTTAGATCAAAGAAAGATAAACCGATTGAGCGGCGTGCTTATCCGGATGATAAACAGAATGAAAATGCTGATCTAGTATAAGAATTGAATTTTGGAAAAAGAATCATAAAAACTGAATAAAAATATGAGTCACAGTGTAAGGGATTTGGGGTTTAAATCAATACATCAATGAATTGGTTAGCATGATTATTCTTATTTCTATTGGACGGTATCTTTTGATGAGTTGAATAAAAATACCACTTACAAACAGACTATTGACAGCATAATTTCGACCAGAAACCCTTGTGTTCTTCATGGTCATCAAGGATCTTCTGTTGCTCGTATTGATTTTGTCTGTTTGAAGGAACATTCTCAAACTTCTGGGTGTTCTGAGGTTGAGTCTTGATGGGTTGGTTCGTTAACAAATCACCAGTACTTGAGTTGATGTTGTTTTTGGAGCCAGAGTGTGGAACGCCACTTTGTGATTCTTGCTTAATTGGAGGTAATGGTCTGTTAACCAAGTGTTGCAACTTTTGTTGATGCAATTGAGCAGCGCTGAGTTGTTGCTGTTGCTGACTTTGACCATTTTGCTGTTGATGTTGTCTGCTTCTTCTTTGGTCACGATGACGTCTTTCTCTTTCGTTAGGTGGGTTTGGATGACCGTATCCATGCAAGTTTGGTTTCTTGTTGATAGAAGCATCCCAACCTTTACCCCCGTTGAGATGAAGCCAATCATAGTCACCGTCGGCAGTTTGGCCCAAGTCGTCCAACACTGACAAGAGTAACATTCTGTACTCTTCGTACGCAGGCTCGGCATCAAATGGCAAACTTCTAACCGAATCCAAATATTCCGCAAATTGTCTTGGTAAGCCTTCACACAAAGTAACTGCAGGAGTGGTTCTCTTCTTGTCACCAATCTTTTCGTACTTTTGCTTATTGGTTGGCGCCTTAAGACCTTGCCAAGGTAACTGGCCTCTCAAAAAGTAGAAGAACACATGACCCAAGGCTTCCAAGTCGTCTCTTCTCAGCTGTTCTCTACCCAAGTGGGTGTTGATGGACATGTAACGAGCAGTACCACTCAAAGACTTCTTTTCTCTGTAAGGAATATGCTGTTTGGTTCTTGGATCACGGTACTGCTTGGCCATACCGAAGTCAATCAAGTGGACGTTGTTCTCGTCGGTCAAGCCCTGACGACCAATCAAAAAGTTATCAGGCTTGATATCTCTATAAATCAAGTCATGACGATGGACCTCTTCGACCAAGTCCAACATCTGGTTGGCAATTTGCACCACGGTCTTGACCGAGAATCTTCTGCCACACCAATCAAACAAGTCCTCGAGCGAGGGTCCCAACAAGTCGATGACCAAGATGTTGTGCAAGCCCTCCTGGCCGAAGTAGTAGGCGTTTGGAATGCCGCCAGACCCCTGCAAATGCTTATATGTTCTGTACTCGTCTCTCAACTGGGGCGCCTCGGTTTTTCTGGGCTCGAACTTGATGGCCACAGGAACCCCGTTTATTATGTTGGTACCTTCGAAGATGACACCGAAGGAGCCCTCCCCGATCTTCTTGCCGATCTTGTAGTGCAATCCGACCACCGAGCTGTTGGAGTTGCTGGTGTTGCTGGTGCTGGGGTTGTGGGTGGCGGCGGCTGCTGCCAACGCGGCTGGGTTGGAGGATAACTGGGCACGGCTAGACATGGTGTCCTTCTCTATGGATGGTCCAGATCAACGATCAACACAGGCACGATACGATACCCGCTGGGTGTTGTGAATGTTCACACAAATCAATCAATCAAGCGACTCGTGGAGAGACGGCAAGGTGTAACTGGTGCTGGAGGTAGGCTTCAAGCTATCCGAATGGGTCCACTGTGTGGTAGTAGAAATGTCCAACGAAGTGCTACACTCTGGTGGGAGTTGCTGGTTGAGAATTGTAGAACGAATTTTTCTCTGCCGTTCACGAGCGTTTTTGTGGCGGAGGTGCGACGGTACGAGTGACGAGAGACGAGATACGATTAGGGGGCAGGGATGGTTGGATGGTGCTGCTGCTGCTGCTGCTGCTGGAGGTCCTGCTGCAACGACGATAGGGTGCCGCTGCTGGGCTGTCCGGCTCCGCCCGGAAGGCGCTGGTGGCTCCGTTTGGCATGAAGTTGTGAGGACCAACGCACGTGACCTGGCGATGTGGGCGAGGAGGAGCCTTTTGCCCAATGCGGAAGTCTCCTGGTGGGAGGAGAGTTGCCACGACGAGCCATGAAGAAAAGGTGGAGGGGCCGTTTGGGAATCTGGCCGGCAGTTAAACTGGTGTAGAATAATTTTTTCATTGCACCGCCTGGCTGGTGAGGCAATAATACCAGCAGAACTGACCCGTCAGCCCTGGCGACATACCACTATTTCACTACCTGAGTGGCTAGAACAATAATATTTCACAGTAAATAGCTTTTACTTTGAGAAATTGGAAAGCAATAGAGTAATGCCAATAATATGAAGATGAATGGAAACTTTGGATGCATCCAAGGATCTACGTTATTTTGGCTGTTTCTACTGGTTGTCACTTTAGATTTCGTGCAAAAATTGGAAAATTTGTGGAAATTACAAAATGGGGCTGTCCCTTTTGTGGTTTAATATTCGTAGCGAAGTCCATATTTGTACACTTCGTGACACTTGCCAGAACTAGATCGATAGCAACGTAGATTGAATCAATTGATCACCTGAAAAGTACAGTACAACAATCCACTCACTAAGATAAAAGAACAAATTCAAGTCAAGTGATTTCCGTCAATACTCAACATTTCAGCAAGTCCGAAATTATATCCGACATTAGCTATTATCTGACACAGCAACGTAGTCCTCAGATTATTAATTGCTCCCGCAAAGGTGGCCTGACATACCAGTTACACAACAGAAGTTGGTTCGTAGACCTGCCAAACCCCAGATCTCCGTTCCCGCTTTGTACCACAATCTGCTACATCGCCGATAACCCCAGTACTACGAATATCTACGAATATCAACTCTTCATATTTATTTTGCACCTAGTTCAAGTCCAAGCCGAGAGCCTCTCTCTGAGACTTGGAGTTAGGGTCGAAGTATGGCACTTCGGCCAAAGAGGTGACTCTGGTACCGTGACGGGCCTCCTTTCCTTCGTGGTCCCAGACCGCGTTGTGTTGGGAGATTCTGTTATCCCAGATAGCAGAGGTTCCCAAGCCTTCCTTGGTAGGTTGCCAGTTGAATCTGACCTGGATGTCCAAATTCTTCTCGTAAATATCGTACAAGTAGTTCAAGATAAGGTCGGACTCGGCAGGCAACAACCCAACGATTCTGACAGTCATAGGTCTGTTCACAAAGAGAGACTTCCAGCCAGTGGCTGGGTGGGTTCTGACAAGAGGGTGCTCTCTCTCAATGAACTTGGGACCGGCAAATGGGTTTTCCCTGTCGAGGTAAGGATGTGCCGATCTGTAGATCGCAGTCTTACCATCCAAGAACTTTTGGAGAGCAGGCGACAACTTGTCGTACGCAGCATAACCAGATGCCCAGAGAGTGTCACCACCAACGGAAGGAATGGCATCGTTGTGCAAGTGGGTGATACCTGCAGGCTGGTGCTCGTGGACCAAGTCAGTGTGCCAAGTGGAGTTTCCGAGCTGAGAGTTCTTGAAAGAAATTGGCAAGCCAAGGTCTCTGAAGTAATCTTGCCAGATGACAGAGATACCGTCGACCAATCTGGCGGCTTGTGGGTGCACTTCGACCTGTCCCCAGTAGTCACCCAATTCTAATTGCTTGAGGGGAGACAAGTCCTGGTCTCTGAAGAACACAACCACTCTTTCGGCAACCAACAAGGCCAATTCGTCCTTTTGCTTGTCGTTCAAGTCAGCCAATTGCAAACCAACGATCTCGGTACCAATGTGCTTGGTCAAGTCCTTGACTTCCTTAGCAGCTCCGAACAACGCCTTCTTCTCAGGGTCAGCGTTCTTGGCTCTCTCGATGTAGGCGTAGTCGGCATCTCTGATCTTGTAGGCTTCATCAGCAAACTTAGGGATGGTGTCAGCTGCAGGAATCACTGGGTACCCGTCAGGCAACTCAATGTTGTGTCTGGCGTAACGTGCCTTGGTGGATGGTGGCAACCTGTCCTCTGCAGACTTGTGAGGAGCGATCTTGATTCCTCTTTTCAAGGTAAAGCCGAGAGGCTTGAACTTAGCAAGCTTCTCAACCACGTCGTTGAATTCGTCTTCTTTTACTGGGGCAGTGGTTGGGGCCATGGTGGTAGTGTTAGATGCTTCTGGGAAGGTAATCTGGTTGATCTGCAACGCGGACACCAGGTCTTTTTATACCGATCGCTAGCTATGGGGTAGTTCGATTTGTCATCTAGGTATATCAATTAATTTGGGACCACAGGTGTGGCTGCGAAAAGCCTCATTAGCAACTCCCGATTACGTCAGCCCAGTAGGAGATTTCTACTCTAGTTGAGATTACACCAGAGACATCGACGAAATATACGAGGGGAGCCCGGAGAGCACCTAGGAGACACTCGCTGGGCATTATGGCGACTTTTACATACTGTTTACAGGCTCCTAGGTCCCAGCGACTGGCGGTGCTGGTGACAGCACCCTGAGAGCCACGGCTGATGCAATTCTATTAGACAGGGACGATTTCCGCCATACCTGGGCCAATTCCGCGCTAGCACCACCTGCTGCTTACAAATGACAGGTGTTGGGATCTGTTGATTGAGGATGGCGAATGGGCACGAGCGTGCGAGAGCGATTCAAGGGTTGTGGGGAATCTGGGTTGGTGCGCATGGATGGGCCCTGAAAACGTGAGGGCAGTAGAGGTTTAAGCGAGCCAGCATTGCCAAGTAGAGCAGGTGGAATTCTAGGAGGGTCACCGAACATATCGGGCTAGCTAGTTGTAGGAAACGCAAGCTGCTCGCAGCTATACAGCTGGTTTGGCAAGCACTATCGAGAATATTACTGATTGCGTGCTTATCTAAGCTTGCCCCATCGAGCGAAAGCCGCAACGACGGTGTGGCACCTATCATTTTAATCAGCGGCACTTCCGGACTCAGAGGTGGGCTCCCAGCACCGAAGTAGCCGAATCAGGAAGGCAGCATGCTAGCTCCACTGATCCAGCGTTGGTGGCACTTGTGCTGCCCATTACACAATAATGCTAGCGATTGCGATAACGGAAACTATTGGACCGCAGACATTTCCTAAAAGTGATTGTGCTACATGTGGTTCAGGGATGCGCCCTAGGTGTTGTTACAAATATAGTGCTATGGGAGCACCTGCTTGGGGATTATCACATTCGTGGATTATTTATTTAATTAGTACAGGGAATGGGCTGCGATAAGTCATAACTGGCCCATTCATTCGCAATTGAGGGTGGTAGAAGCCGCATTAAGGTGGCCTGTTTCTAAGCTCTGGGGGTATGAAATCAGTCCGCTGTTTAGGGCTGCGCTCTGTGGCGTCCGAGCTAGCATAGGTGTTTAATTCCGCAGAAGCTATGATATTTTCTCGGAATTCTCGAGGCTTCGGTGTTACATTCGCTCTTAAATTACCAGTGATGTAACAATCTTTAGGGCTGGTCGCTTCCTTGGTGTTCCCGTTACCGGCTAGGATGCGTAAGTTAATTATTTCAACCAATACGAGTCAGGCTGAGACAATGCTCCTCTGCGAATTTTCAGTTACACTGAGAAACGCATAATTGGCCACCCCCATTACCTTCGTCTCTTTACTTCTTCTTCTTCTTGGCGTGCAGAGTAATGTACTCCTGGAGCTGCTCGTCCATAATCTCAGTCACCCTGTTGTACACTGGGTGCTCTCTGATCATCATGGACCAGGCTGCGAGCCGGGGGTACTTTTTGAACAAGTCTTCCTTCATGCCAGTGATTTCCTTGATTCCCACTTCGTTGTCAAAGATGTTCTCGTACACTGGAAACGTGAGCATGATATCTGCCCCCGTAAGCTTGTTTCCCACAAAATAGCCCGAACTTTCTTTTGCGAGCTGATTCTCCAAGTAGTCCATGTTCAAGAGCCACTCGTGGTAGTAATAGGCATTGTTCAAGCCTTTAGTGATGATTTTGGTGAGCGACTTCAATCCCCGGGGAGCCACATCCTTGGCGGCCGAGTTGATGAGAAGCGAGATCATCAACGGTTGCAACGTTCCCTCGGCATAGTGCATGAAGTAATCTGCCTGGATCTTTTCACGAGGATGGGTGGGGGTGAGAAGTTCAGAATAATCATAGGTTCGGATGAGGTACTGCACGATGAAGCCACTTTCCGCCAACACGAGCGGGGCCAGCCCGTCGCCATGGAAGATTTCGAGAATTGGAGACTTTCCCAATGGGTGCACCTTGAAAAGCTCTTTTGGGCCTCTCCAGGTGGCTGGGTGCCGTAAGTGGACCTTGACTTCGTAGTCGAGGTCCAAGAGCTCAAGAAGGAACACTATACGATGTGATCTTGACTGGTCAAGCCTGAGGTTAGTGGGTGTTTTGGACAAGGAATGCAGACAGGGCAAAAAATAGACGAACCTGGCCGAAATGCCAGAAGAGCCAGACACTGCCATTTTCCAGCAATTTGGGGCTGCTAGGAGCCTACGTACCAATGCAAGACGAATCTGTCACGCTTTCTTTGAATTGAAGCCATTTGATGCTGTGGTGGACGTCCACCAGGCCGTGTCCATCCTTAAATAGTTCTCGATGTTCAAGGACAATTTCCTAATCGGGGCAAGAATTTTGCGGGGGGATGCTCATCTGATCCTAACTGGGCCGTTATCGACGATGTGGGGCATACAAGCGGGGCCCAGAGACGGCCCAGGGACCAACAGAAAATGTATTGGGGATCGATCGCTGGGCCAGGTGAGTGTTGAGCTCGTCTAGCTGAGGAACCAAAAATGGTTCCCTGGCCATTAGGTGTCGAATTTGGTAGCATTCATGGGTACCATTTTGACAATCAGTTCTTCCCCAAGAATAGTATTAAAAGATAGATGGTAGGCGATACTAAGATATCTGAAGAGTACTCTAAAAATTGATCTACCAGTTGGTAATACTAATAGTATTAAGAATATTCTTATAACTGATGAATCACTTGGTCAGCCAGTATTAAAAACATGAATAGTTTAGCTCAGATCGTAATGCTAATAATGTTTAACACAGCTCCAGTGACCACAATGCCATTTCTAATACTCAAGTGATCCTATTTGACCCAATACAGGGTGATATATCTGTGCTTAGCTTGTATGTACTCTACTGATGAACAGAGCCGACCATGGGAACATAAAACCATATACATGGACCTAGCTAATTCATAGTTTTCAGAATATACATAATCGGACCATCACAACTTGGACTTGCCTTCAAGCTTCTCGATGATCTGGTTGGCCTTGACATACTTGGGCTCCTTTGCAATGAATTGGGCCCACTGGTGCAAGTGGGGGTACTTTTTGTAAACGTCGCTTCTACCAAAGATGGACTGAGCCCTCTCTGGATTACTGAAGACATTCTGCTGGATGGGAAACGAAGCCAAGATGTCTGCGCCGTTCAACTTATCACCCACGAGATACTCGCTACCCTTGGCATGCTGGGCCTTGGCGATGGACTCCAAGTAGTCGAGGTTCTTGAGCAACTCGCTGAGGTAGAATCCGTCGTTCATAGCCTTAACCACCTTGTTGACCAAAAACTTGGTTCCAAACGGAGCCATTTGCTTTGCGGTTTCGCCCACCAAGAGCGACACCAACAATGGCTGGAGGGTACCTTCCACGTAATGCAGGAACCACTCGGCCTTCTCCTTGTCGTCGTCGGAGCTGGGCACCAACCGACCCTCGGTATCGTACTTACGGATGAGATAGTTGGTGATGTGTCCAGACTCGGCAATCACCTTGGAGGTGCCGTCAGCAGCGACAATTTCTATCACTGGCGACTTGCCGAGCGGGTGCACCTTGTTCAACTCTTTGGGAGCCCTGAACTCTTTGGTCCGCTGGTACAACTTGAGCTCGTAGTCCACGTTGAGCTCCTCCAAGAGCCACAAGATTCTGTGGGATCTGGAGAAGTTAAGCCAGTGCAAAATGATCTTTTCGGGCATGGCAACAATATCAAGCTGAGATTAGAACCAGAAGAGGAGAATGCCGGATACCGTGTCTGTTAAATACTCGAGCAATAGCCGTTATGAATGTAGTCTGATTCCGCGACACAGCAATCTATGCATATGATAATGTCGCAGACAATTGGCATTGTCTGGGGTCACCAACGGTTTGTAAGCGATGGTCACGGAGGGGAGGTGGTGCCGGCGATACACGGCTTTGCCACTGGGCATGTGCAGTTGGCGATGGCGGGGCCATCTGGAGGAAGATTGTCGATGGATGAAAATGGCTTAGAATTGGCTGTGAAAATCGTGGAGAATGCAGTGCAGATGATGGCCGTGTCCCGCATCGCAGGCAGGTAGATGGCTGATTCCAGAGCCAGAATTTCCAGGTACTAGGAAATGGTAGCTGAGACGAATGCATGTGGCTGCGGTAATTGAATTGTTCAGGTCCATAATTGGTGTGAAAAGACAGAGCCATAATTAAATCATTGGACTTTGTGAGCTAAATCGCCCTTGAATCTACATACTTCGTTGGCAATTGGGGCACCACGAAGGATTTAACAGGTTAGCGCATTGGTGGTTTCTTATCCTTGCATCTCGTCACTCGTTATAGAAATACCGTAACACCAACAACGAGGATCTAGGAGCTGCGAAAAGTAATATACTACCAGAGGCAAGTCCGTGTTATCAACCTTTGTTGAAGCTTGTCAATGCTTGATAGGTATTGTAACTCAGAGAATTCTTTTATGAAATACTTATATACTAATATGCGGTGTTAATACGTCTGATGCACCGTGGTGTCTCCAGTGTAAAATTATGACTCGAATTCGATGTCAATAAAATTCCTGGTTCCGTTTATTTCTGTGGCTTGCGTTTATGATTACCTTTATTTGCCCGTTTTCTTTTTGGTGCCCTTTCCCAATGAATAAATCCATTATAATTGATTTCATCATGGTTAGCATGAAGATTTTGAGACATGTCTGCATACATTCTTATTGCCAGAATCATAGCCTCTTGTGTGAGTTTCATACTGCTTTCTGGAATGTTTAAATCGGTCATTATCTCCTGAATATATGGAGTGAAATTGCAAAACTCTTTATAGCTCGTAACAATTTCGTCCATCACGGCCCGCTCTGCATATTTTCCTTTAGGGGGATTGAGATATATATCATAAGCTCCAAACTTATTTTTTGACAGAAGGAATGTGGATAACTCTCTAGGGACAACATCGTCCATTAGCTCCTCCTGCGCGTCACTCGATGATGCGTAGTTTTTTGAAAGGGTTCTATTCATTCTCCATTTGAAATATAGTTTGACTTGATAACGAAGAATTGCATCAGCCTTTTTCTGGATTACCAGATTAAGCCAAGTCAAAAAGCTTCTGAAACGTTTTCTTGTATAGTCTGGAACAATAAGCCTAACCGCAGTAACTGCTCTTTCTAGATGGAAGTCAAATCTTGAGAAGTATATTTCAGCGTCCCTACCTTTGTAGCGTGCCATTTCAATATTAGGAGATGGAGTTTCTTTTCCATAGTTTTTGATCAACCATTTGTACCCTTCATCGTAGAGGAACAAGTTTTCCAAGACGTATTTCCATTTGCCAACTACTTTTAGATCATATTCGTCGAAGGGAGGTAAGTGCTTGAAGTATGCTCTGTATCTGGTCTCGGCATCGAACTTAGCATCCCATTCAATTTCGCTCGTAACTTGACGAGTGAGTACCAGCATTTCCTCAAGTACTAGGGTATCATCATCTGAAGTATCACTACCTGCGGGCATATCTGCCAACTCGCTTTCTAATTTGGATTCTGGCTTAAACTCTTCCCGTGGGTCACCTAGAAGATTATTGATGGTCTTGCCTCTAGCAGCACCAGCTTCGGGGCTGACGAAACCAACACCAGTAATGTTGTCATTGCTAAGGACAGTGGTCACATTCTTGACAGGTAAGTCGCTAGTTTGAGCCATCTTTTGTTAGGGTACTTTAATTCTTTTGCTCTTATCTGTTAGAAATTATCTCTTTGAGTATATGCTGGGGGTAATTCAGAGATGGTGTAACTTTCATGTAATTTACAGTGTTATCACACAGTTTAATGCTATGCGGATACCGACAAATCACTGAGACTTACCCCTGATTATAGTGGCCCCAATTGTTGTTGGAATTTAGATCTTACCGTGCAGGCTAAAGAATAACTAGATGGGTAAAAGACTTTTATAAGTAATTCTTTATTTAATAATATTGTAACACACAATCTGATACTATTCGGCACACCGATAAACCACAGGAATACCGCTTAAATAAATCTAAATTTGTATCTCTTTCATCGGATCCGCACCGGAATATTTCCCCCGTCCTTTCCGTCTCTAATTTCAGATTGGCGAATACATGCTTCATTTGGTGATTGCACGTTCCATGTTAAGCTTTTGCCTTATGAGCATAATGATTGTTGCCCTGTTAACATAATAGTGCAACCTCGCCTTGTTTGCAACTTCATAAATGCGCAATTCGGGTCGTGTTCCACCAACTCAGTGCTGCACGTATGTTCATCATGCATCTGTTGGAACATACGTCCTAAGCGAGATTATGGCGCGACATCATAATTCTAACGACATTATGAGAACCGCGACATTGATAAAATACGACATAAAATTCCGCTTTAGCAAAATTGCAAATTAGGAATAAGGCTACATTATGATGTTAACCACTATCATCCATACGGAAAAAGCTTAAGACGAAACAAGCCAAGACGAAATGAACGAATCCAGCTGAGCAATTACCAAAAAGAACGAAAGTAATCGCTCAACTAAAAACAGAGACGGAAAGAACGGGTGAAAATACTCCCGTACGGATCCGATCAAAGAAATTGAAAATAGTATTAGATTGGGTGTTACAATATCATTAGATAAATATTTACATATAATAGTCTTCTTCTCAAAGAGCAAAAGTACACCTGCACACAGAATCTAAATTCTAACAATATGTTCATCATGCATCTGTATCTCACGTGATTGGTCACGTGGAAGACAGATCATCTCATCTAATTTTTTCACGACTACTCTATTACCACCACAATGTCAGAATCCGTAGCGAAGGTCAATGCGTTGGTGCTTGATGCCACCCCGCTCATCACCCAGTCAGCTTCGGCTATCCAGCAGTTTGCTGAAAAGTTTTACACCACTCCTGGTGTCCACAGCGAATTGAGAGATGAGCACTCCAGAAATCAGCTTCTCTTATGGGCTGACAAGTTGCAAGTTAGACAGCCCAAGCCAGAGTCCATTCAAAAAGTGTCCCATTTTTCCAGACTCACTGGTGACTATGCAGTGTTGTCCTTGAACGATATCCACATAATAGCTTTGGCCTACGAATTGGAATTGGAAGCCAATGGAAACGGAAAGTTGAGAGAATACCCTGGTGAAAAGAAGGAAGGAGATGAAGAAGCCACCACCAAGCCTGCGTACCAGAGAAAAGAATACAAGCCTAGAGAGCCAGAGCCAGAGGAAGAACCCCAATCGGTTGAAGAGGACGACGGATTTGTAGTTGTCAAGAAACCACAGAAGAACAACTGGAAGAGAAAGGGAAAGTTCCAAGCTAAACCCCAAGAGGCTGCACCAGAGCCAGTACCAGAGCCAGTACAGGAGCCAACACAAGAGTCGGAGCCTGTGGCGGTAGAGACAGTCGAGGAGGCGGTCCAGCAAGAACAAACCCAGCAAGAGGTGTCACAATTGGAATCAGGGCTCGAGCAGGCTTCGCTTGAAGAAAAGGCATCGGACGTGTTGAACGAAGAGTACGAAGACGACGACGACGACGGGGACTGGATCACGCCTCAGAACTTCAAGGAGGAAATGTTGAAGGACTCCAACGAACGAGTCCAGGAAATCGCCGATTCGGCTTCTCTCCAGGTGGCATTGTCTACGGGAGATTTTGCATGTCAGAACGTGGCCATGCAGCTTGGCCTCAGTTTGATGAACTCGTTGTCTGGAAGAGAGATCAGAAGAGTCAGAAACTACATGTTCAGATGCCACGCATGTTTCCGGTTGACCCCGATCCCTAAAGACGGAAAACCAAAGCATTTCTGCCCCAAGTGCGGAGGCAACACCTTGATCAGATGTGCTGTGTCCATCGAGAGCACCACGGGGAAGATCACCCCTCACTTGAGGGCCAACTTCCAGTGGCGTAAGAGAGGTGACATCTACAGTATCGCGTCTCCATTGAGTAAGAATCACACCAGGCGTCAAGGAAGAGCTGGATACCAGCAAAACAAGGAGAACCGCCACAAGTCGTTGCAGAACCCCATCATCTTGAGAGAGGACCAGAAGGAGTACCAGCAGGCCATCAAAGACAGCGAGTGGCAGCGGAGACAGAACGAGAAGATCATGGAGCAGTGGATTGGAGGCGGCAGTGCCGACAACTTCGTGTCTCCGTTCATGATGAACGTGAAGAGCTCGAGTGTGAAGGTGGGCCGGGGACGGAACGCAAATGCTTCCAAGAAGAGAAAGTAGGGTAGCAGATAGAGATCGAGAGTGGTGAATAGTGAGTAGGCCATAATAATAGAAAGTGCATCAGAGAAAGTAATGGTGAGTAGGCTATAATAATCGAAAGAGGAGGGTATACTTTTTAACGAAGCCCAGCGTATCGTAGATGAGTGAGTGGGCAAGAATAATAATAATAATTAGAATCAGGCTGGGTTACTGTATAATTGTAAGCCGGAGCACACAGTATGGTTGAGCAGGCGATAATAGTAGGAGTTCAGTTTAATTATTGTTGTACAATATAGTAATCCAGAGCAAAAAGAGAAAGATGGATTTCGTTGAGAAAGTGAGAGAGTTGACTGATAGTAATAGAAAGTGATTGAGATCCAGAGAAAGGCGAAAGGGCTGTACAAGAAAGGCAGTTAGTATGTAAAGAGTGGGAGACTGATAAAAATTCATAGTTGGAGAGCATACGGAGAATGCAGCAGAGCGAGCAGTGATGGAAAGTCATAAAAAACTCCGAGAATGTTGTGTTGGCAGCTAGTAGAAACTCGTAGAAGTCACGGACAAGGTACAGAGGTGCCAGTTCCACCTCGCTCGCTACTTGTCCAGTAGCTCTCCACAGTGTAGCTTACCATTTGCCTCTAGATTCCAGCGACTGCCATAGCCTGGACTGCGCGGTGCGACTGCCATAAATAGCTAGCGAGGCTACTGCGCCAGTGCCCTGGGGCGCGGTTTTGGTACCACGAGAAGTTGACAGGTAACGAGGGAATACCACAGTAAGCATCCGTGCTACCCCCGCTACCACCAGCCAGCAATAGCATCATCCCGTCACCATACCCTGTGCCACCAGCTTCTAGTTGTACCACCACTACCACCACCACTCCCAACTATCTACTTATCACACCCATCCTCCTTCCACCGCCTCGCGTACAGCAACAAACGCACCACTTCCCACTAGTAAATTGGTTCACGCACAATCACTACATAGCCTTCTCGTGAAGCCTGCAAGACTCTACACCTCCATCACGCGCCCACCAGGCACCCTGCTGCACTCCTTTGCTGTCCACTACGCAAATTGACCTGGCTTCCCCCGTCGTGTTGCTTTCTCCATGAGTTCGGCGCAAGCAGCAGCGTTGGCTGCCTTTAAAGGCATCAAGAATGACGACAAGAAGCTGTTCAAAATCCCCCCACCTACACGAACGTACACTGCGCCCACTGCAGCAGCAGCCAAATCCAAGCAGGTGCCCCGAATCCAGACCAAGTTTGCATCTCCGTCGCCCAAAAAGCCCGTGTCCATCTCCAGAATCAACACCCCCACCACGCCCTATGCGCCATCCAAGACGCCAGTCGAGTCCCGGGCCATCAAGACGCCAGTTGAGTCCCAGGCCATCAAGATGCCAGTCGAGACCCGGGCCATCAGGTCGCCAATCGAGAACCAAAGCACCAAGTCGCCTGCAGAATCAAAACCCAGAGCTACTCCTAACCAGAGTCTAGCAAGTGACGCTGGTCCCTCTCCACTAGATACTCCCCGTTCCCGCCAACCTTCGGTGGACCTCTACTACGAAGTCGAGTCGGCACGCTCTTCCCCCGTGGACAGGGTCTTGCCGAAAGCCCCTAAGGTCGACAAGTTCAGAAAGTCATCATCCCAGCATTCAAACCTCTCACTTGGCTCTTCCACCAGCTTGCCCCAAGATGTGATCAAAAACCTCAAAACCTCCATAGACTCCAAAGCCATCGCCAACGACCAGTCCCAGAAGCGCTTGTCAATGCAGTATGAACCCTCAGAAATGATCAAAAACATCAAGAACTCGATTAAGTCCAAGCAGATGTCGCGGGTCCTGACCACCGAGTTGTCGCTCAAGAACCAGGCCCTTATCGATGCTTTCAGGGATAGCGTGGACCTGAAGAGAATCACTCACCTGAGCCAACCAATCGGTATCAAAGATAGAAGAGTGAGCGATTTTGGTGACCATGCTACATACGATAAATTTTTTGATAGAGCGAGCGATCGAACCTCCAACAGATCAAGCATCGACCGACCATTCGAGAAGTTTGCATTCGACAAACCTGATTCAAATAGTTTCGACAAGGAACGATCAAGCTTCGAAAACGTGTCAAGCTTTGATCGTCCCTACAGATCGAGCTTCGAGCGGCCAGATAGGTCCAGCATCGATCGACAATCCAGCATCGAGAGGCCCGAAAGATTCAGCTTTGACAGGCCTGATAGATTTAGCTTTGAAAAGGATAGGGACTTCGCTAAAGCTTTTGAAAAGCACGATAGTGCAGCTTCCGTTTCCGATATCATTTCGACAAGGTCTGACCAAGAAAAATCGGATCAAAGCTTCAGGAAGCCCACGTTCGCAGGAAACTGCAGGCAAAATGGAGATGATCTTGCAATTTATCAAAAGCCAATTTATTCCAACTCATACTCATCCATCGGCTCGTCCATCCTGCTTCCCCCAATCCCTTCTTCAAGTCCGGCAGCCCCGGCTATTGTCATAGAACATAACTCCTCAGATGGTGGTGATTTTCTGGAAGACGCCACCGACTCAAAAAGTTCAAGGAAACTCGGAGAGTCCAAGGAAGAACAAAAGCCTTCTGATTTGGGAGATATTCCCGAGAATGATAAATTGGGAACCCTTCAGGAAGCATTTGTAAAGGTGAAACTGGATAGAAACATTTCACCCATCACCATACCGCCTTCATCCAATTCATGTGCTAGAAGTCCTAACGGGAACAGTTCTGATAACCTTATACATACAATACCCTCTCCAAATGTTAAGTTATCAGATTCTGCAAGATCTTTTCTTGAAGAGAAGGCAAAGCCAAAGCGAAAGCCACCTCCGGAGATGACGCTCGATTTGCAGCCTGTAAGGCCAGATGATTTACTTGATAAAAGAGGTGTTCAAGGCACTCCCTACCTGATATTTTCAAGTAAATCTCTGACTTCAAATCAAGATGATGGCTATTTTACCGATCACGATTTTGATTTTATTGAAGTAATTCCTAGATCGAGTCTTGATAGTCAACGGACTGATAACACAAAGACGTCGCAAGCACTTCCAAAATTCCCTGAAGGAAAGCAAAAGAATGGCGACCACAAGCATTTGTTCAAAAGAATACATAAGCAAAAGGGAATCGATACTACCGTTAACCTATTAGAAACTAGCGGAGACGAAAGCGAAGTCTCGCGTCCACCAATAATTACCAGAGCCTCCGCACCCATTTTGACCCATCAGAACCAGCCCATCCAGCTTAAGACTACAATGAGAAAGACTAATAAGAGAAAAGAGAAGAAATACTCTTTCAACGAAAATAAGCCATGGAAAAACCATATAGATCTACACTATGTTTCAGAGCAAGAAAGAAAGAGATACGAAGGTCTTTGGGTCAGTAACAGAGGAAACTACTTGAATGATGTGGTGACGAAGCTTTTGGGAGTTGACTATGACAACCAGGAGGTTTTCAGAGCAGAAAGAGAAGAACATTCGGGTAAAGAAGACACTGACGACAGCAGAAAGAAGATTTCTTTGAAGGCCGCTAGATTGAGTTCCAAGGCCGACTCTTCCAATTTCAACGACCTGCAGAATTTCCACAATTTGAAGTCGGCCGAGCTCAATGACTTGATGCACGGCATTGTGGTGAAAAGGATCTGGGACCGTAGTCGATTGCCTGCGGAGACCTTGCGCACTATTTGGAACTTGGTTGATTTCAGAAAGGACGGATGCTTGAACAAAGCTGAATTTTTGATCGGCATGTGGCTAGTAGATCAGTGCTTGTACGGACGGAAATTACCCAAGAAGGTGGATGACACCATCTGGGATAGTTTGGGAAATATTGGAGTGAATGTGGTGGTTAAGAAGAAAGGAAGAAGATAGATTGGCTGTGGAACAGCCTGCTATATAGAGGATACGAGAATGAATGATTCAGTAAAGGAATATGTATGAATAAGACATTATGGAGAGGACGCATGTTGCATTAAGTGACTATAGATATGTATGACTAGGCATTTATGTTCCTATCATTTTGATTTGTATTTGACTTATTTGCTTGGGTGATTATGAAGAATTTTGATAAAATAGACTAAGAATATCCAGCAAACATCTGTTGAGAGATTCCCTTAGTATTAATAATTAGTAGCTCTGGCAGTAAATGATGCAGATTCACACGCTACCATGCGATTTATTTTATGGAAAATGCACAGCATGCTATCAAATCACTTATTATGAGGCACAAGAAGTGTCGACTTCACTTAAATTAATGCAAAAAAATTTAACCTACTGTACTACTATACAAGCTTATGTGCTATTGGTCTGCCATTGGCCAGACCATTTCCATGCGTTTTTGCACCAAATTTTTTGAAACACAGCCAATTGGCCCACTTCACTTCCTTGCCATTAATTCAGATACAAATACTAATAATCACTCAATAAATTCGTAAGTATTCAGCTATCGCTACTTCCTCCGTTTTTACATTAACGTATTCCTATACTCCCTCCACACGACCTCGCCTGTCAAGCGGTCTGCACATGCCCCGTTATGTTTCGCAACTACGGCAGCGTCATGCGACACGCGACACGCGACATCTCAGGTCTATGCACGGCTTGCCAGTGAACTCAAGAACGCTATCCTGTTCATTATACCCGTTTAGCAACCGTCCTCCCGTCGACCGAGACGCCGTGTTCCCGAAATAGCTGTTCCTTAAGTCCCTTCACTGCCTGCCCCGAAATCTGCTTGCCCTCCGCCATTCCCTACCAAAATACCCACCATGAACCTCAAAGATATGCTATCCAGCCACATGGCCCAGGCGTCGCTCTACAACGCCCAGGAGCCCGAAATGAGCAGCTTTCTACCCCAGCAGGACGAAGTGGGCCCAGAATTGCTAGCAGATGAAGCCACACCCCTCCAAGACGTCTACTACCTTCCTACGCTACTTACAGCCATCCAGAGAGAGTTGATAGATGCCACGCTCCACATTTTCAGCCAGGACTTGAAGACTCAGATCAGAGCCAAAAATACGAGAAACTCGATCGAGAGCTTGCTCGACCAGCCTGAGAAGGAAAGCAACGGATTTGGAAGCCACAGTCTTATGTTTAATAACATATCGCTCCTCTTTGGCCAGCTCACGTTGATCGACAGCCATCCGTCGTTGTTGGTGGACCACTTCATTCCCAAGAAGTTGCTTCTTTCCGAGATCAACTCGCGCTTGGTGTCGCTTTCAGGTAAGTTCCAGTTGTTCAACAGGATCGTGGACTCGTTGATCGATGGAACGGATACTGGCGGCTTTCATCTCTTGGTAATCGCCCAGAGTATCAAGGAGTTGGAGTTGATAGAGTCCATCATCATCGGAAAGCAGCTCTACTACGAGAACTTGAGCTGTTCCAAACTCTACACTGACACCCAGGAGCCACCCCAGCCTTCCAAGGGATCCAAGGGCTCCCTTTCGGTGTACTTGATAACCTCCAGCCAGCTCTACAACCATTACATGAAGTTCCCTAGTGCCGTCGAATTCAATTTGATTTTTAGTTTCGACATGAAGCTCGACGTCACCAACCCCAGCATCCAATTGCTCAAATCCAGAAGTACCAGCCAGCTCCCCATCGCCATCCCTGTTCCGCTTTACTCTGTCAGCCACTTATCGTTGCAGATCCCCGAGCCTAAGACAGAACTCACTCTCAGCAACAACGATGCCACTAACCCCGTATTCAAGTGGAAACTGCAAGTGTTGGACACCTTGGTGATGAACAGAGAGAGCTTGCTTGACACACAGCGGCTCGACAAGGACTTCTTTTTGAAGGTTTACGGGCGTAAAATGGAACGGTTTCAGAAATGGGCCCAACGGGGCGTAGTCGAGACCCAGATAGCAAAGTTGATGGAGCCATTCGATGATAGTTTGACCTTGAGGTTTTCTACAGAGCAAGTGGCCAAGAAATTGGAACTCGAGTATCCGTCCTTAAAGAAGGAAGAAGGAGAGGGAGTGAGTGATTACTCGTCATTCCGCATGCAATTGGTGAGCTCCATCAGCCTCAAGATAGACAAAATGACGTTGCGATTGAAGGACCTCTGGGAGGACAAATTGATCCACGAACGCACAAAAGAATCGAAACGCCAGCTCCAATACGATGCTGACGAGGACTCGATCTCCCAGAACTATTTGAAATTGCGCAAGCTCAACGACCAGGCCATAGCCAGCGAGAAGAAACGCTCCAAGGCTGAGTCTGACCATTCCAAGAACCAGGAGCGTAAGGACGAGGTGGAGTACAAGCTCAAGACATTGCAGGAAATTGCTTCCAAACCCACCACTCCAGACAATCTCCGTGACCAGGAAACTATCATAACCAAGCTCAAAGAGGAATTGGACAACGTGAGTGCCGAGTTCACCAAGCTTGACGAAGACAACGAGCTGGTCAGACAGAAATACCAAGCTAGCTCTGCCACTGCAGTCCAGTTGTCGTCAGTATTAGCCAAGTTGAGTAGCCAACATGCCGAGATCGAGGCCAAACTCAACGGCCCAGGAATGACTTCCTTACCATCGCTCATAAAGAAGGACACCCTCTTGAGCATGGAGGTGGAATTAAACCGAGTGAAAAAGAACACTCAGTTTCTTGACGCCTTTTACAAGGAGAAGTTGGAGAAGTTGACCAAGGAACGCCAAAAGATCTTGGAGGCATCGTCGTCGGGGTCCAACAGCAGACCCACCAATCGCATCAGCAGAGGGTCTACGCCTTTGTAAGGCTGTGATGGATTGCCTCAATGCTATTATTAGAGAGAATCCATGCAATTAAACGTCGGATCCTTCTCCTTCTCCTTGCCTTTTCAGGGAAAGATCCATTTAATGAATCGGTTGGGTCTCCATAATATAACGTGTGATCCCAATTCATCCTGACTACGAAGTAGCATAGGCTATCCCTGCCATTCAGAGTTTATGAGTACAAGTTATCGTGCATCAAACTAAAGAGGACAGGTCCACTGGAACATGCGACGCAGCCTATAAGACCAACAAAGTCTCTGTGGGCATTGACTGTTCTATTCAAGCTCTCCAAGTGAAGACTCCGCTCAGATGGAATTGATTATTCCTTCAGCAGTCTGTCACCAACACATAGTGAGGCGCTCCATAATACTCTGCGTGCTAGCTAGCTCAAGTGCTAAAATATAGATCGCCAATTAAACGAGACGCCAGATCCAGCAATGTCACTCAACAAGGCCCATTGTGTCGTAGATTAGACAGTAATTACCCCTTGGTGGTAAGGGCCCTCGTAATATTATTTGTTGCCTAAGTCTAAATGTCCAGACGCCAAAGGACTTCAGACGAATAATGTCTGGGAGACCTTGAATTGAAAGCTACTTTTTTTAGTTTACACTAAATGTAAAAAATTGATGCTGCCGATGCTGGTGGACTAGTTAATACCAGCTTTATATTCTGGAAAGAGCTTGTCACCCTTTATACGCCAGTTCGTCAATACAATAGCTACCCAGGGACTCTTCTACAATTTGGCCGGTACTTTGAGTCACCAGCCCCAATATTTCTCGCTACACTATCCATGAAGCTATTTGAACAGGCTTCGGTGACAGAGCTTTTAATTATACATTTACATTATACAGATCTAAGAGTTTTTATTGCTATGGCCCAGGCCAGAACTTAGCATCATCAGCTCTCATGTCCTCTCTAGAATTTGGGTGACCCTCACTATACTTTGCGCACCAGTCTCACTAATTCTCCCCTACTAGTTAGCTGCCCCTCGCTACACTTTGCGCACCAGTCCTGCTCCCTCTCCCTACATTATTGCTGACTCCCGCTACGTCACAGTCCTCCAGTTACTCTTCCTATATGGCTGACCTCAGAACATTACCTAGCCTAATAACTCACCCATAGCCCACTTCGCACCTTCACTACTCTGTATTGCTTCTCGCTATTTTCTCGCTAGCCTTCCTACCCACGCTAATCCCCGCGTTTCTCCGCCGCGCTCCTACCACATCTACCCGCAAGAACAGCCAAGCAACCATTCGGAACTCCCGGCATCACCAAGTTCTCCTTCATCTTCTCACTACATCGTGGTTTCTCCTCAATGGTACTGCAGACATCCACCCTATTGCAATCCCTCTCGCAATTGAGAGCCTACCGAGCTGCCCAGGGGCCAGTCTCCATCGCTTTGGCAGTCATTAGAGACGCCATTGTGTTGTCGTTCGTGTTGAACTGGTTGGCGTCGGCATCGTCCTTTCTCAGAGGCTACGGAATTGTGGGAGCCTACAAGAAGCTCAACTTGAGCGTCAAGCAGCGGTTGTTCCGGTTGTTTTTGAGCCTCCCGCCAGTCAAGAAGAAGGTCGACAGCGAGCTCCTGGCCACCGTGGTGAAGATGGAGGCCCAATTGATGCAGAACAGCGACGAATTATTGCAATTCCCCATAATCCCCAACCAGGGACTCCGGTACGCCGAGATCTCGGCCCAGTTGGACCAATTGCAACAATTAAAGCACACCCAGTGGCAGAACGGGCGCGTCAGTGGTGCTGTCTACCACGGCGGCGACCAGTTGTTGGAGCTCCAGTCCAACGCGTTCCACAAGTATGCGGTGGCTAACCAATTGCACCCAGATGTGTTCCCTGGGGTCCGCAAGATGGAGGCCGAGGTGGTGTCCATGGTGTTGGACATCTTCAACGGACCTGTGGGCTCGTGTGGCTCAACCACGTCAGGGGGCACCGAGTCGCTCTTGTTGACGAGTTTGGCTGCTCGGGAGTACGGCAAAAAGACAAAAGGTATCACCAAGCCTGAGGTCATCGCTCCAGTCACCGTCCATGCGGGAATCGAAAAAGCATGCTACTACTTCGGAATGAAACTCCACAAGGTCGACTTGGACCCCGTCACCTACCAGGTCGACATCCGCAAGGTCAAGCGTTTGATAAATGGCAACACTGTTTTGTTGGTGGGCTCAGCTCCCAACTTCCCCCACGGAATAATCGATGACATCGAGGCATTGAGCGGGTTGGCCACCAAGTACAAAATCCCCTTGCACGTGGATGCATGCTTGGGCTCTTTCATTGTGTCTTTCTTGGAATCCTCCCAGGTTCACGGCAGCAAAATCATCCCCAAATTTGATTTCAGACTTCCTGGTGTCACCTCAATCTCGTGTGACACCCACAAATACGGCTTTGCTCCCAAGGGCTCATCTGTGCTTTTATATAGAAGTCCTGAGTTGCGCCAGTGCCAGTACTACGTGCTGAGCGACTGGACAGGAGGGATGTACGGTTCGCCTACCTTGGCCGGCTCAAGGCCTGGAGCATTGATGGTCGGTTGTTGGGCGACATTGGTCAATATTGGTAAAGATGGCTACAGGCAGTTCTGCAAAGAAATCGTTACTACTGCCATGGAAGTCAAGCGGGCCATCCAAGAACACCCGGTGTTGAAAATGCATTTGGAAATAATCGGTGACCCCATCGCTTCTGTGATCTCTTTCAAGGTGACCCCAATTTCTGAGAACGTTTTGAACATCTATGAGCTCGGAGACGTGCTCAACTCTAAGGGCTGGCACTTTTCGTCTCTTCAGAACCCCTCTGCACTCCACTTTGCATTCACCAAATTGAGTATCTCCGTAGGTGATGATATGGTCAAGGATTTGGTGGATTCGGTCCAGCAACTCCTCGTCAAGGAACCTGCCTCGGGCGAAGAAAAGAAGCAGAGTGACACTGCTGCGCTCTATGGTGTTGCAGGCAGTGTCAAGACGGTTGGTATTGCTGACAAGATAATTGTTGCATTCTTGGACACCCTCTACAAGGTGGAGCCCACCAAGGGACCCGACTCGAACTAGCGGTGGTGTAACTGTGCCTGGGATTATAACAATTTAATGAACGAAAACGACCATCAGAATGTATTTCTGAGTACTGCAATTGAATAAACTGTAGAGAAGCGTGATAGATGCTTGGATCGTGACAAGCACTGACCTAGGTGCACTTCCTAGTTAGCTTCCTGGTTAGATACCACTAGAGAAATTCAGAGCTGAAACAGTTTTGACAGTGCTGGTGGTTGCTCGAAGCTGAATACAACAGTGGCCGTACATGCTTCTTAATACCTACAATATCGTATAGTCCAGGTATGATTTCATGTAAATTATCAGTAAGAGACTTGTACAACTATCCTGCAATAGTAAAATTGCATCTACAAATATCTTCTAATAATATTACCCTGTAATCCAAAAGAGCTTGTACTAGTAGCATGTACTAGAGTACAAGTCTCTTCTAATTGAATGACAAGTACCTTAATGACTATCTGTAATCGAAATCCTGTAACATGTAATTATCTCCGTGACACCTGCATGACTCACGCGCGTTCCCGATGAGGCAACTCAAGCAAAATTTTACCGCGGTGTGAACGGTCCAGATAAGCACAACACTCTATTTAGACCCTTGGACTCCCTAGACCGGCTGCCCCCACTAGAACACCTCCAGGCCCAGCAAAGCATCCCTACAGCCGCCTTCCCCATTGGCCTCGAATCTCGACTGCCAACCACCAAATCTGTCCCTCCCAACGTCCCCCTGACGACCCACACGAGGCCCATTGTCCCTCAAAAACGACCAGAAACGGCCGTACAAACCCAACCCAGCATAGCCTTTGGCACCCCATCATCAACATGCCCACCTGTGGAGACGTCTCGCTAGTGTCGTCCTTCTTCAGCACGCTCTCGTGTGCCAGCTGGATCTGCGCCCAGCTCCCCCAGATCGTCACCAACTACCGTACCAAGTCTGCCCACGGCATCTCGCCGTCGTTCCTCCTTCTTTGGTTCTTGGGTGACTTTCTCAGCTTCACCAGCTGCCTCTTGAACGACGCAGTCTTGGGGTTTCAGGTGTACCTCAGCGTGTTCTTCCTCTGCAACGACATCACCTTGTGCTTCCAGTACTACTACTACAACTCGGTGTATCCCGCGAAACAGGCACGCTACGTGCCTGTGCACGCAGAGCCGTTCCCGCTGGTGTTCCCGTCGTCTCCCAATGCTCCAGACGCAGAGCTCCATGCCACCACCACCACCATGAACATCCGCCACCACGCCAAGGACGCACTGCCCCAAAATTCGCTTTCAGGCAGCAGCTACAATTCCATTAACGATCAGTCATCCATATCCAAAGCAGCCGCCATCGGAGCGCTCATGAATGCCACCGTCTCCAACGCGTACCCCACCGGGGGCTTGGCCAAGCGTGGCGACCCCAAAGAGTCACTAGGCTTGGTGTTGGCGTGGGGCTGCACGGTTGTGTACATGAGCTCCAGATGCCCCCAATTGTACAAGAACTACTTGCGCAAGTCAGTGGAAGGCATTTCCCCAATTCTCTTCGGGGCAGCATTGATGGGCAATTTGACCTACACGTTGTCGATCTTGACCAGTTGCGAATTCTTGTCGGAGGACTCCAAGAGCGACTTTTTCATGAAGGAGCTCCCCTACATCCTCGGAAGCTCAGGCACCATTGTGTTTGACATGTTGTACTTCTACCAGAAGTACCTCTACCGCAACTCAGGGTCGCAGGCTGCTATTGCCATGCGCGACTGGGATGTTGAGAGAAGAGAGAGCAACGAAAGCGATTTCTTGATATAGAGCACTGAGAGCCTTCGGGGCTACAATTCAGCATAACTAGGCATAATACACATTACATATAGCACTGTAATGGGTCCATCGTTCCTCCGTACAAAACTAAAGCATAAATAAAAACCATAGATATATACAAGAATAATACTACTTAATTATAGAAAGGAATCTAAGTTAATCTACATGCCTAAGTGACTATCTCTCCGAATACTTCACTTGAATCAACAACATTTTTATTGATATGACAAAGCTCCACACTTATACCACAATAACAAACGATGAATCATAAAAGCAAAACTGTAAGACAAATTCCTGAACTTTCACTTTCTTCCTTCGACATGTTTGCCAGATATTTCAAAAGTTGCACTATTTTGAATAGAAAAGGATTAGAACTGTTTCCATCTCTGTAGTCTCGAAGATTCGAATTTTCATGCAATTTTTGTTCCGATCAAGAACGCCTCCAAGTTATGAATATTTAAAAGCTCAGTAATGGTGACCTGAAGCAAGGAGGATAATACTACCTGGTGGCTCTTGTGGTTCATAAAAGTTGTAATAAGGACTGGTTATCATCGAGACCTGCATATAATCTCTCCTCCATAACTCGCTTACAGTGAAAAATTAGTCCCATATACCAAACCCATGCATAGACCCATAAACACCCTAGGCAGGGTCAAAATGCGCCTACGGCGTCCACTTCCTTGGAATGCTTCATTTCGGGGGCTTGCCACTGCTTTTTCCCCATCAAATACGACCCACCAGGCCACAAATGAGGCCCCACCATTCCAGCTCAATATTCGTTCTAAGCCATTTTCAAAGCAGATCCCAAAGGATCTTGACTACTTGAGTCTTCCCCTCGACACATACCCAAACCCATTATTTGGAATGACCAAGCAAGAGATATTGGACCTTTCCCATGAAGTGTACAATCATTTAATTCAGATCCCTTCCAAGCACACACAAGAACAGCATAACTTCGGCTTAAATCTCATAAACATAATAAAAGAAAGTATTCTAGACAAGCCTGATTTGGTGTCTAGATTGTTGCTTAGACATGAATCCAACTACCATATGAGTTTGAATGGAGAGTTGTACTCCTTAATTGTGAGGTCGTTGGACCAAGCTTTTGAGCATAATCTAGTGCAAAGCTCCATCTTTGAATACATAAAAGATCCACTCTCAAGCAAGTTTAGAAATGGATTTTTCTTTAGTGTTTCCAAAGTACTCCACATGCAAGAGAAGCAAAACTCTGAAAAATGTGACATGATTTTAAACTATTTTAACAAATTAGCCATGTCAAAAGTGATTAATAATGAAGCTCTTCTATTGAGGACGGAACTCTACTATAAGCTAATGCATCTCACTCCTACGGCAAAATTTTCAGAGCTTTACCTGTATTTCTTCCAGCTTAATATTCAAACCGAGAATCAAAAACGGCTCCTAAGTCTTAAAAAGACGTTAATGAGGGGCGGGGAGACTGATAGATTTGTTGCTAGGACAGGTTGGATAAAACCAAAATGGCATGAAACATTAACAACAGAATTTTCCGAATCCTACCAGCGCAAAATGATCAATTTCTTCTCCATTAATGACTTGCGAGAATTCAGCGAATATTTCATAAGAGATCAGGATCTAGTAAACTCAAACTTGTACTTAGGCCTTCTAGTTGCCAAATTTGAGAAGAAATGTGTGGATTTGCAACAAGTAAATTCCAAGGCAAGAGTTGGTGACTCCCTGTTCGATGAGGATTTGCAAACAATATTAAATACTATTTTAAGTCATGTTATGACGTTTAAGGGACCTAAAACCTGCATTCGTGTCTTGAAATATATGGTCAAAGGAAATCTTGAAGTCAAATTTGACACCTTGTTGGTAATTATGAAAAAATTGAGAATGCATAGGCACTACCAAGAAGCACTCTTATTGATGAATAACATTGACTTGAACCAGTTGTCCCGCTGGCAAAGTAAGGAATTGGTGGAAGAAATATTAAAATTGATCAAGACTCGCTACCCAAAATCACCCAAGATTTTGATTGGGTATACTTCTTCAGTATTTGGGGGTTCTGGTGATGAAGGAAATAAAGGTTTGGATCTATTGAATAATTTAGAATTATTGGGAATAACACACGGAAATGGCAAAATGGGAAAAGTGACATCATTGGACAATATTCAAAAGGCTGCCATTGATAAGAGATTGACAGGCTTTGAGTTTACAGGCCATGCATTGGCAAATGTGTACGAAACAATATTGGAATCTTCGGATCCCAACGAAATCTCCTCAGAATTAGTTCACCAGTTGTACTTGAACTACATCAAAATGTANGAGGATCAAAAGAACTCTAGCACGACAGCACACAGAGTCTTTAATCATATGGATGACCGAGTCACAAACGTATTAATCAATTTTCTACTCAGAAGAAAACGGGGGTCTAAAAGTTTTGTGATCAACAATTCAAAAGATAGATTTGAAACTGCCAAGTCGATTTTCAATGATTTCAACTCAAAAGTTGAGCTAACAAGACTCAATAGAACCACTTCTTTGTCTGACATATTGATATATACCAGTCTTCATATTCACAAAGACTATAACTTTGCTGCGGAAGTGGTTAGGTTCTCCAGGGAGCATCATATACCATTTACCTTCAATCAGATTTACCCCTTTATTAAATTTCATTACGACAGAAAAGAGTACAGATCTGCGGAATTGTGGTATAATGAATTAGTAAAGCATTCAGTCAAGGCCACTGCTCAGCCTGCTAAAGAATTATTCCGAATTGCTCGTGAGCAAGGCTGGAAAGTGAGTGGTTTTACATACAGGAAACATAGGATCTACAACAACTATAAAAGCATAGAAGAGAAAGAAAAGTTGAAGACCGATCCATTGGTGTTCATTGGAGATGAGGATATTGAGGATGTTGTTACAGAGGAGTTAATTACGGGCAAATCGGTGGATGACGAAATTGCAGACACAAATTTTGCTGATGAGTTGGCATCAATATTGTATAAAGTTAAGAATGAGGCTTAAGCAAGTTCATACCAACATCAGACTGCCGTCCCATCAGATTGTGGGTTAAATAGATTATAGATTAACGAATAATGAAGAATCTTAAAGTAAAAATTCGAGCGCTGGATAAGAGAAGGCACACGTTCCATAACTCGTTGCCAACACCCGCTAGTCGGATCAGTAGTAGGTCATAAAGTAAAAAAAAAGAAAATAGTAAGGTTTGTACTCGTTGTGCATGGTGCTCGATTTAGGGGTCTAGGCAGATTATGCAAAGAAGCAAAAGTGTTGAAATTGTATATCCGCTGCCGCACTCCAATTTCCATTTTCTATTCTTACGCAACGCAGGGGGAGGCTTGTGGCGTCGTTGAAAATGGTCTTCAATAAACGAAATCAACCACAAAAACTACTTCTATCTTTCCGAAATTGGCCATTATACACTCTGGTCCCTTGATTCGCTCGGGAAAATGAATTACCTTAATTTTTAAAAGTGGGACAACTTTAGACTTGCTATTGTTGTAAGCTAAATATTAACTCAATTTGCGTTCTAGGAATATTTTTTAGGAAATAAGTGGATGTACGCCAGATAATTTTTGATTTGAAAGTACCTGTATTATCAAACTTGTGCCACCTTTCAGTATTATCTATCCTACGTTAAATCCGGGGTTACTTAAGAATTTTTTAAACTACAAGCATCATGCAGGTGATCATCTAGAGATTATGCTGGTAATACGCGTTTCTTGGTACTGCGAGATAACACACTTGTAAAGTTACTGGTTATAAAGTCCCCCCTTAATGAACCTCCACTTCGCTATCTAATTCATTATTTGTATTTGACGTATGCCGATTTCAAGCCTCAAAACTTAGTCCTCTAAACCATTTAGTTTTACCAAAAAAACGTAAAATTTTGTTATTTCTGCGAGGGAACATCCTTGTTCAGGGTAGCACACAAAAAGCAAGACATTTTTGTAGTTTCTTAATTAGCGAAGTTTCATAGTAAAAACCAAACTGGTTAACGTTTAACATGCTTCAGTGGGTTTTGAAACTGAAAAATATAGATTCACTTTTTTGTGATTCGAATTTCTATCTTATGCATCATTACATTACTCACAAAATCAGACTTTGCTTTTGGGGTACATAGGGTACATAGGGTCTTTTGTTTATTTCCAAGTTAAAACTGGCACGAGGAATCAGAGTAGTGGAAGGTTAATTTGAATTTCCTAAACTCTGTTAGGTCTTAGGGAGCTTTGTTCAAAATAATTTTTGGATAAATGGTCATTCCTTCTTTCTCTATTTTTTTATTGGAATCAAAAGCACAAAATTACCTAATGGCCAGAACAGAGCCCTTCAGCCTGTATTTGCCACACATACTCCGTACTCCTACTGTTACATGGTAAGACGGTGCACGTGACCCCAGGTTAGATGTTTACATTCTATCCCCAAAAAGTATATGAGCGCCGCACCCGCCGCACGAATCATTCACTTGTTTATAGTTCAACTCATACTAACACTTCTAAGACTACTAGCGTAACCAATCGTCCACTTGGTACAGTTTCCGTCCAGTTGATGCACACAAAAGTTACAGGTTGAATAGAAGCTCTCCTTATCCCAAATTATCATAATGGCCATCGATGGCGCTACCACCAACCCAATGCGATGGAGTACAGATGCACTAAGTTCAAACGAGCCAATGATGAAGGATCCCGAGATCATGGATACCCTGGATATCGAATCTAACATAGCGGGCCAAATTGGTACCAGCAAAGAAGTAGATCTCGAAAGAACGGTGCATAAGGATGCGGTCCCACAAGATGCAGAAATGAAAGATCCACCCATGGTAAATGGCCAGAATAGCGTCTCGGGACCGGGTGATGTTTCCATGGCCCAGTTCGACATGATATCCTCGAATATCAGCGATACGATCTGCAAAATGACAGAAATATACAACCAGGTAGGGTTCTCGGAGTCCGAGATATCGGTCAAAAAATCAGAAATCTTCATAGTCATCTCGGAAACAATTGCCAACTTCACCTCCAAGCTTCAGAGGGAAAAATGCACGATCGAGAACGAATGTGAGTGGCTCAGACAGCATATAAAGATTATCTTGGCGATGATAAATGACAGTAATGGGGAATTGACCCTTTCGAGCCTTGACCGTGGTGTGGTCTTTGTCAATCAGCAATTGTATGAAGAAGGGTACACGCACCAGCTTCGTGAAAAGCAAGCCAACAGAAGCAACACATTTTACAACACGTCGCCATTCAATATTGAATCTTCATCGTCCGACGGGGAACAGGAAGAATATCAAGACCCGAACAGAAAGATCCCCAAATTGTCATTGCTCCAAATTAAATCAAAATTGAATTGCATCTTTCTTGAGGTGCTAAGAGCCTTTGTTGTGCCTTTCAAAAGATTGGTTCTATCCGCATCAACCTACAAAGAACAACTAGACATAATAGGAGAAATGTATTCGTCCAATCCGAATTTAGCATTGATCAAAGACTTGCCTGATAGGGAAGAACTCGAACTTTACTCCAATCTTATAGACAATTTTGAAATAACCTTAAAATCATTAAAGTTAGAAAAAGGTGTGGACCAATTTATGCATGTTAACGGAGGACGTGATCACACCTTTATTATATCAAGTCCCAGAAAATTAAGGAACAATCATACAGAAGAGATCAATCCTGCAACACACGAAACCCCAACTCGCATTCAAAGCCAACAAGATGATCCTCTAATTGTCTTGAAAGATATCAATTACCAACTCATCAGGGCCATACGAAGTTTGAAGTACACCAAAATTACAGACGATATAATTCACAGTATAAGATGTGAAATCGACTTCTGCAACAAGGAGATTTCTAAACGCAGTGAACAGGTCATCAAAATCATTGAAAGCTGCCTCAGTAACATAAAATTATTGTGCCTTACAAACGACCAAATAATAGAGATTCAAAAACAATACGACATTTCGACTACCTCTGAATCGATTTCGAATGAGGGATACTTTGACATAGATACATTAACTTTCATCAAACAAGACCCAAAGAATTTTGGGCTCAAAGAAGAGCATATTAACTACTTGAATCGATTTTGCAACATCCTCAACAGAAAGAAAGACAACAAACAAAAGAAATATGACACGTATGTTAAGTCTTGTACTGAATTGTGGAAGAAATTTGACGAGAAGACAGAATATGTTGAGCAATTCTTGGCTGCAAATAATTCATTGAGCGATGTATCAATTTTGAATTTTAAAATTGAGTTGAATCAGTTAATCATAAAAAGATCCAAATATATCGAAAAGTTTATTTATGACAGCAGAAAGGAAATTGAAACTTATTGGGATAATATGTTCTATACCACTGAAGAAAGGAAAGCATTTAAGTTCTACGAAAATAGTTACAAGGACCAGGATCAAGTGGATATTGATATTAATCAGAGTGGCATAAACGATGATAAGGAACTAATCTTGCTTGAGCATGAGCAAGAACTCGAAAAGCTAAAGTTGGAGTATTCGGAGAAGGAAAAGATTCTTCAATTGAATAATCAGCTACAGGCTCTTCTCAAAGACCAAGAGTTTTTGAGAGAATCATCTAAAGACTCGTCGAGGCTTCTAAGCAAGAATTCGTGTAAGATTTTGCTCAACGAAGAAAAGCTTAGGAAAAAAATCCACAAGCAATTACCAAGAGTGATTGACTCCTTGAAAAATGAAATCAGGGTATACAACCTCGAAAGGAACACATTATTGAAAATCAATGGAACAGATTTCTATCAAAGAGTTTCAAGCATCGAAACTGAAGTGCTGAGTAAATCTAGAAGCGCCAGAGCAAAACCTGGGCTTGTGGCTCAATCATCCCCCACAAAACTCGGTAACAGAGTAAACAAAGCTTCTCCCGTTAAAGTAACGAAATCACCATTTACATCAAGCATTCAGAGAAGTGCACCAATTGGAACACAAAGGTCCTCACAAATATCCCCACAGCCCGCTAAGCAAAGACCCTTTTTGAGCAGATCGAACAACAAAATAAACCCAACCGCGATTAAATTGACGAACGTCTTTTCTGGCTCCATAGCAAGCAACTCCACAGTGACCAGTCTAGAAAGCCCAATCAGATTCAATTCGGCTAGTACGCGTGATAGAATGATGACCCACTTGCAGCCGTTGAATAACCCTCTAGTGCCACAAGAATTCAAGAGCACTCACATTTACGATGATAATGATACTTTAAAAATCAGCACTTTTAACAGGTCCAAAGTTTCTCCATTGGGGGTAAATAACCCGAACAGAATGAATTCAGCGAGATCGCCAGGAATAGGAAACCAATCATCTCCCAAGCATGGCTACGAAAAAGAAAACTTTAGCTTCGATGTGTCGTCAGCGAAAATTCAAGAAAAGTCCAACCAAATAAGCTCATCTAGAAGATTGAGCATTGGAACTTGTGACAGCTCAACTTTGATTGGAGATGACTACCAAACCTGGCGCGATGAACAAATAAAACAATTTAATGTTTAATAGGAAAGTTCTTTAGTTCTCTATGTATTAATGCAAAATTTTGGCCACGATTTCATGAGGCTATTTTCTGTAGCAACAAAGACTTTTGGAGCAATTGAAACTTCTAGTAGTTCCAAACTGAATACATGGATCGATCCATCCTATACATATCATACTACATTGTCATTTCCATCTTAATCTATTCATTAGTTTCATTATGTAGTACAAAATCAGAATTACCCATAGTATACATGATTAGCTGGACTTCTGGGCGTCGCCCGAATGAATCTGGAGGCCACCAACTTTGCCGACAATAACGCTAGCGGGATCATCCTCTGTGTCTTCCTCATCATCTTCATCGTCATCGTCTTCATCGTCATCGTCGTCATTCTCGTCAACAACCTTCTCATCTTCGTTGTCATCTTCATCGTCCTCTTCCTCTGGATAACCTCCCAACTTTAGGACAATTCTGTTAACAATTTCATTATAGTCCATCATTCCTCCCATTCCTATATCACCATAACTTCCCACGACTTTCTCCACTGGTTTCAAAATTTCTATCCATGGCATCTCATCAGCAATCAATCTCAATTGCCTCTTTGTTGTTATGGCGTTATACGAGTAGGATACCATAGATGGGGCCAACAAGATTGGGTAAGAGGTGTTCCATGCTCTTATGACATTAGTAAGAAGATTATCACATAATCCCAACGTGATTTTAGACAATGTATTAGCAGTAAGAGGACAGACAATCAAAATATCCGCCCAACGACGTAATTCAATATGCAAGACAGGATCCAGCCTAGTCCTCCATGTGCTCCATTCATCAGAATCTCTCCAGATTCTCACTTTCTTGGCCTGCTCCAAATGGCTTAAAGTTTCTTGAGACAAGAAGTTCTCGCTGGACTTGGTCAAAATCAATTGGATGGATATCTTCTCAGGAGTATATATCTCAAAAAGTTTCCCTATTATAAGCTTGATTTTGGCAGTTGACAATGCACCACATACACCCAATAACACATGTAGTTTGCCATCATCTTGAGGCAACCGAGGATCAATGTTGGCATTCTGCTCGATGAGACCTGAGCTGGTTACGGGATTTTCATTTCCACTCTGTTTGGGACTTGCAACCGACTGAACTTCCGAAATCAGCCTGCTAGGAGCAGCTGAGATCAGACTATCACTAATTGCACTGTTAGAACCACTTCTGGAACGGATCTTTCCGGGCTTAATGGCCTCGTCAACAAAAAAATGGGCATGCACTGACGGCACCTTGTGGTGGTGACCCTTTTTCGGAGGATTTAATGCATAGTCTAGGCTGGTAACCGAGTCGTTGCCGAAATGGCCAACGTTGATATTGGGAGAGACAGCAGGACTCGTTCCAGGGAAGTTCTCCTTATGATTTGGGCTGTCCCTAGAGCCCTGGAGTTGTATACTGGCATTATTGTGGTCCTTATCCTTCAACAATGCGCCCCCAGCGGGGATGGTCTCTCTCAGTTGCGATGCTGAAAGTAATGGCTGGACATTGATGCTACGTGCTGATCCGTTGTTCAAGATGGGTGGGGGAGAGGGACACCTCAAGTTTGAAATTGCCATCACCGACGGAGGGATCTCTCCTGGAGCTAATTCTGCTGATGGAAGCATGGGTGATCTCTTCCTACCAGGAGCAGTTTCTGAGGTCATCGTGTGGGCCTGTGTGGGCGCTATAGATGGATGAGGGGGGATTGAAGTACGGAACTAACGGACGCTTTTCGGAATTGATCTGTATCACTAATCTTGGATAATGGATGAATTGTAGTTGTGGTGGTAAGGAACTATTGAGCCATTTGGTAAGCGGATGACAAAAATTTTTCCCCTGACCTGCATCACGTGACCATGGATGACGGTGTGGTTGTGGTCGTGATAGTATGACCGATGACCAGATGAGGCAATGACATGTCTGGCGTAGATGACCAGAGGGAAGCGATGACGGAGGCAGTGGCTTCGCTTATTAAGCAGGCTGCTGGGAGCAGCTGGTGGCACGATTTGGGTGTTTCAGCTGCCGGGATTGCTCAGGGAGTGTTTTTGGCCATCCCAGCAATGACACCGCTTCGACATCTCGGGTGTCACAGCATGCCAGAAGGTTCCATGTGGTATAGAGGTGTCTGATTTACGTGTCAGGCTCTAGTTCTAGGATTTTCTGAACCAAAATTGCGGGTGCCGATTCTGACCTCAAGTATGCCTGAATTCCAGTGTTGCATCATTTCAGCCAGGGTCTGTAAGTTCACTAGTTGCGAGTCTGAATGGCACCGTACTAAAGCTGTCTCTAATGATGTATTTTTTGGTGGCTCAGCGTGTCTCAAATACGGCAATTGGGGCTCATTTAACACATTAGAGAAAATTAATAACGAAGCTTGAGCCAGCCCAGCCACTCCAGAGAACAGAAGCCAGGATAAAAATAAGTTTCCCATTTTCCTTCTCCACACTCGTGGTCCCTTCCAACGCTGCTCCAGTATTTTGGTGTGCATTACCAAGGTGCTTGAACCCCGACTGTTACGTTCACACGTTCAAATTTCCATCGTTCTACACTTTGCGATACCCAGAATGTTCTAGATTACAGAGCCCCTATTGATTCACTGGCATGGATAACCCATGGTTCACAAACCTAATAGCCAATTCAACTCAACTGTTTGGGCAAGAAGGTACGTCAAAACAGGCCTGGACTCAGTTAATTCGCATTTTCAGTTGGTACTGATACAATTTCACTTCTTCAGATATGCAGCATCATGTAAACGGGCACCATTGCATTGTCAAAATACGAACGGGTATTTTGATTGCAAAACAAGATGTAAACATGTGTGTCAGCCATTACACAGTCTATTTACTCAATTGTATGATGACAACCTGCTTGGAGCAGCTAGGTCTGGAGTAAATTGGAGAGTGTTGAGAGATGCGAATTAGATGAAACGACTAATCCATCATTTGTAGTCATGTCAATATCTCAAGTGTCGTTTTGTGCATATGCACCCAGGAGGTTTCCTCCCGATGGCTTTTGGGTGCATTAGCCTGAATGTATCTTGGTTAGTTTACTGGAATTGGGCGAGGCAAACACATGCAAAATAAGATATAAACTCTCAAGTGCTTCAAAATTTCATGATCTAACCGCTGTAAAAAAAAAAGTGGGGGTTCCAACAGATAGCATTGACGGATCGAGTGGACTCTAGCATCGATGTACCTGTATTTTTTATGCTCGCGGTTTAATTCCATGGTGCAGAAAAAATAAGGAGGGTCCATGTGGGGTACAAACATACTGGTTTGTACTGACTCCAGCTAACAATAAGCGAAACAGTCGTTTAAAATTAAAGAGTACTATTTGAGGTTCGAGAAACAGGGGAAGATTGTGCGTGAAAATCTTAAAAATAGGCATTTAGCAGCCTTGAAACCTGGAATTTGTGAATTAACTACATGGTTACTTAAACAAACAACAAATGATTTGGTCTAATTGCTGGGTCTTGAGAGTATTGTCTATTATGTTCGAAAGTTGGTCAGTAGCATCCGTGCTCCACGACTCTAATGATCATCTCCACCTGAAATGTTTATCCCTTCGAAAGAATTCACCAAATCTCGGGCCCTTTCCGCTTCTAAATCTTCAGAAAGCTTAGCTTTTGGATCCACATCGACTGGAATAGCTGGATGAGATTCGTTGGAGTCAATATCGGCTAATGTCTTCGAAGAAAACTTGATTTGGGGCTCCTTATCCTGTTTGCTCTTTCTGAATGTCTCTTGGGTTGGTTTGACTGGCTGTTGATATTGTGAATACAGATTTGCGGAGACTGGTGTACTTGATTGAGGGATCGCTTTCCCAATTTTACCAGGTGATGGGAATGACATGGATGGGTGAATGTTTGGTATCTGTTGAGGGGCATTGTAATAATATGGATAAACCATATAGCTACCAGGAACGTTTGGATTTCCTGCAACTCCATTATAGAACTTTTGTTGCAACATATTTCTTTCAAAGGCCAAATGACTTGTCACATTAGCACCATTGAAAGTGTTTGCTCTAGAAATATTCTGCAACTTTTTATTACCTGGATACCCTAGGGAAGAATTTGAACGGGGGTTTGATGGATGTAATTGTTGCAAGACATAATTGTTGTAGTCAGGAAACCTATCGTACCGAACTGTCAAAGACCTGCCCTCGAAATCCTCATTGTCGAAGTTTTTTATTAGCAGTTCAGAAGTTTCCTTGTTACCAGTGGTAACAATTGCAAAACCTCTACTCTTAGAGTATGGTACCTGATATTGAAGGTACGAATGGTCTATTACCATATCATCCACTTGCCCAGATCCACGATTATAAGATCCCATGAGCGTTCCTGATTGCATTGGGATCTCAACTCGAAGGATGGAAAGTTCAGTATCTGGGTCAATCTCTTTTGATCTAGTAATTAAAAAGTGTTTCAAATGAGCCCAGGTAGAAGAATAAGGTACATTTCCGATGAATAAACGGTAGGCATTGACCTTGATCAACTCATCAGTATCCTCATTTTTAACATAGATGAGATTATCCTCATCTTCTATATTTTCACTGAGCAGATCTTGCTGCTCGGGTATAGGAGGACTGTATGAAGTATCCCTATTACTTACCATATTGACAATGAAGGGTGGCACGGGCTGTTTTGGTACACTTCCTGCATTGCTTGTGCTTGTTCCGGAGGATGTAGAGGAAAAGGATGTCTTGTTACTCGCTAGGCCAGTAGAACTACTGCTTCTTGAATTTTTCCGAGAGTCAAAGGATCGATTCGAAGAAGACCTTCTTGATAGATAGCGAGGCTGTGCCACCGGGGGAGATGGTACCCCTAGTTGGATTGGATGTATCGAAGAAGAGTGAGGCCATTGACCAAGAGCACCAGAAGCATAGTTGGGATATTCAAACTGAGTCAGATTTCCTGGGGGGGTAGGTAAGGGGGTTGGTTGGAATTTAGGGGGATGAGCTGCCGTGGATGAATTGACTGAAGGAGGCAAAGAGGTTGATGGTGAAAAATTGCCTGAACTCATATCTTCATTAACGCCGTTATTGAAAGAGCCAGGCATAACGGGAAAGTAGGGGTTATAGTAAGCAGATCTATTGATAAAACTGGAAGGGGGCATGGGCGTAGTGTTGGAAAGTTTAGCATCCACAATGCTGTCACGCCACTCGAACCCATTGAGGGACTCCAAGAGGGTTGTACATAGTTCCCAGTTACTTAAATGTAATGTGGCGGAGATGGTTGCTGAATGGTCCCCTGTTACTGAAGAATTTTCACCATTCTGGTGGCTCTTGATCCCCCTTAGTAACGTAAACAGTACCACAGAGTACGAGACATTGGTGTTGTAGGTGTAGTTTGCCTCAATGATGGAGTCCACAAGCTCTTCCAAATCCCCCTGCTTGACTGTTGATGGAAGGCAAGTTAACTCAAGAGTGTAGGTGTACTTGAAGAAAGGAGGGGGTTCTTGAAACTGGTATGGTGTTATTGGGTAATTGGGATAAGACGAGCTCGGAACAAAAGGATTAGCATTCTTGTTATACTCGGGAATAGAGCCTGAATCCGGTTGTTGGTAAGTCATCCTGAAGAATGAAGTGTGCAATAGTGTGTCTTGTGGGATTAATTATATTAATGAGAAATTAAGGATGAAAATTAGAAATTTGATGGCGTTTCAGAACTTTGATAAGGGGTTGGATTAACTGAGGGTCAGTTTGACAACGAGTGAAGTACGGGAGTAATCTTCGAGCAACTTCTTTTTCGATGTGAAATATTATTTGCAGTGGACGCTGGTGGTATTTTTGAAGTAACAGGAAAAATTAGCGGCAGGGTCCGAGGTGGGGATAACAATTTACCCCAGTTTTGTGATGAGAAGAGGTGAGTGAGAACAGAGAGTTGAGGCTTTTAGAGTATCGCCTATGTGCTTACATGTAGTATCAGTGTACAATAGCATTCCCAGAGGTCTACATTGTGGCAATATCCTCTTGATTATGATTAGACGGCAGAAGTCATTACCGGAGTCCAAAAACATCTGTTCAAGTTTGTTGGCGAGAGTGGCTTAAAACTTTGGGCGAATCAAGATGCGAGGGGACGAGGGGGAGTGTACTGCTTAGTGGCCAATAACTTATTGGTGTGCAACTCAGTAAAAGATTGATCTCACTTGCAGCAGCTTATCTAGGAGCCTCTAACGATCTGCTATGGATGCTACCCGCGATGGATTTGAACTATTTATGCATGGTCTATCGTTGGGTAAGTGCGCATAGATCGGCAAAACGGGGAGCTACAAATTGAGTTGTTCGAAACTTTGGATGGTTCTACACGTACTATCGTCTTGGAGCTGCGCTCTACGATGACTTCCTCTAAGCAGGGGATCAGAGTGACAAGTCTCTGTGAGACCGTGATGTATTATTCTCTGCACGATATTAATATTTTTTGTATATTTTTTAGTAACCTTTTGTGCAGGAGGTGATTCTCCAAATCGTAACCAGGCTGTATGCAGGGACACACCATCGGATTTTGCAACTCCCTCCATGACACAAACAGAACTTCCAGGGAGAAGGTGTCCATGAACTGTTCCAATAGTCCTTGGTGTTTGTTCACAGCCTGATAATCCTGTCTAAGACAGATTTAATGCACCAAAACACGTAAAATTCTGTGTTTTAATGGTGGAATTCATGAACTTTCCGCAAATGAGTTAGCTAATAAGAGAATAAAGTTGTAGGGACATTCTGTTCCAACGATAATGATATCCTCTTCTGGAGGTTAGTTCTTGTCACTCACTACTTTCCCTCTAAACTGGAAGGTATGTACTGATAATACACTGGTTATATCGCTGAAATGGTGGAGTTTGCATATTTACCTTAAAAGCGTTCTAATATAACCTATCCTCTTTGATTCTATCTTTGGGAGTGTCATTCTGTCTCTGCAAATTGTAAACTGAAACTAATTTTTGGGCTCCTCCCGGGATGTTTTGAGTGGAAGATACTGTTCAATTTTGTTCTAGTAGCCCATCGAGCTTAAGGTAAGGAAGGGTCATTGATGGTAGATGCTATTTGTGCTTCAGGATCCATCGGTTTGGATAGGTTACTAGTAAATGGATTTATAAAGCGAAGTTAGTATTTGAGCTTCTTTCATTTACTCCCTTGCAAATTTGATAAGAACTTTGCTTAAGGTTTGTACTTCAGCCAGATCATACTCGAAATAGTAGAAGCTACTAAGTTTAGATTCATCATCACATTCAATAAGAGTTCAAAGTCTCTAACCCTTTTAACCCTGGATTACTCCGTTCAACTGTGATAGGCAAACTACTTGTTTACCTATCCCCCGGTTCATCTCATCCCACTTAATAAACCAAAGAATGCATCCAAATTCTTCACCATCTGTTTCGTAGCAAATTAAATAAGAGCGATACCAAAAGATACTATCTTCGAATACTGCAGAATGGTAGTTTGACAACAACTAACTTGTATCACCTTTCTCGTATTGAACAATTCTAACTCCTTGGAACTATGCATCTTGAGCATATTTAACTTGGCAAAGTCAAGAAGGAGCGTACCCCTAGTACAATGCTCTATCATTAGGCACACACTCTGCAATGCTAATCTAATGGAGATTTTTATGCATATATTTTGGATTGAGTCTTCAAATCTTCATCTTTCGGTGGAAACAAGTTGTGCATTCATTTTCTAGCTTGCAGTAAGCTGGGGTTGAAGTCATTGTATATTAGCGAACATGATCTGCAACAAAAACGCCACAATTGTATCATTGATGGTTTGCAGTGAACTAGGTGGTATTAGACCCTACTGAAGCTCTAACGGCTATCATTAGAATTACTAAGTTAAAATTACGTCTACATTTTCGGTTACAATTTGTTTGTTATGGCCGTTCCGCTGACAATTCTTAGAGCAGTCAAACTTAGCTGTGTGATTGATTGGCATTGTATCCCCAAACTTTTTGGGTGTGGGTGACTTTGTGACTTATTTATGAATTACTTTTTACGAAGGTGAGGATTCGGTAACACTTACTTGATTCGACACGTGAAGCGCAATGCACGCAAGCTATCCGACCGTTGACTAATGCACCAGGCGAGCTGCACCGTCTCAACTACCATCATCGATGTTACGTTTCATACAGCGCGGAATGTATACGTGAGATCCGCCCCAGGGGTCAGTAATTTGTGTACAGTCTCCGCAAAATAATAGTTTAAATATGGACCATGAAGTTATTCTATTTTGATACAAATCATCGATTTATAGTCTTGAGAAGTCCAGTTCCGCCGCGATCTAAACTAATTACATACTCAGCATATGGTGCTGAGCTTTTGTTTTGGAATAGAATGATTCGCAGGACGCAACAGAAACTTGTTTGCTAATGCTAGTTTTACCGGTAACATTACCAAGCAGTACGCTAATAATTTCTAAATATTGAAAGTCAGGCTTACATGAATGTTGTGATCTTACGTGGTATTCAAGTCTCTAGCTCATACGTTCCTAGTTTCATTAGTAAAGTTGAAATTGTGTTGGAAAGTGAAACATAACATCCGATCTTGCCTATCTAAATAATCTGAAACAAATTTTGACTTACTGAGGTATCAGACTGCTTAAATAGTGAACAACAACATCACGCCCGGACATGAATATGCCAAAAACATCAACTACTAACACTAATTTACTTTCACGCTCTCAAACCAAACAAGAAAAATTGAGTTTAAAGTTCGGCTATAGTTGACATTTATCTTCTTGTATTTACACTTTTTAGCACCGAGTGTTCTAAAACTGCAGCTAAGAATAAAACCCATGCGGTCACACCGCCTTCGCAATCCCCAACCAACTGTAATGTCGGGTCAACCGCAAGTCTGTGTTACCATAGACAAGTGTGAGGCGTTATCTCCGACAATGTCACCCGTATTGTTAAGCAAAATTTCTATGTCGGCTGAGTTACCGTACAGTTGCCCCACAACCCAGAGAAGATGTCAACCAAACTGATGGATCAATCCACAAGTGGGTAATCCCTCATGCAATTCAGATCTGCAAGCTTATTTTTTGGATACACGAAGTCGTCAGGAACCAACAAATAAGAGATGGCCAGGAACCAACAAATGGGAAAGGGCTAAGAACCAAGAAGCAAAAACCGTAAGCTCTACCTCCGAGCATCACCGAATCCATTTCTAAACGCGTTTGCTGTACCTACCTATATGGAGGCAGATCTGGGCGGAATCCCATGCTTCTCGTATTTCCCTATTGCAGAACGAACTCAGTAAAGAAGTATTATTTAAACTCTAAAGACAAAAGAAATTGCCCTCTCATTAATACACAGCATGGTGCTCATGCTTGCGACATTACCATCACTTCTATTACAAATAAGGCACGTATTACTTGAGCAACTGAGGCCAATGACTAATGGGCCAATTGCACATGGGAGAATGAAATGACAAGACTTCTGTGTTTTAGCCACTCATGCTTTTGCCCGGCACTTTTGCCCGTGAGCATAATTTTCCGCCCAGTGTCCTTTCGCTAACCTAGACCATCCGTATAACCTGCATATACACCAAGATCAGGACCGAGATGGCTAACTTAAGCCTTTCCGCATTGAGTGCCGCAACCGCTAAATTCGCCAGCTTTCACTTTCCACTAGAGCTTTGCGTATTGTTTACTCGAGATTCGTAAGAAGAAATAACTGCGCTCTTCGGACGATTGAGTGAAACCTCACTTGATCTACGCGCATAAGCTAGAACCTCCACAACGTTTCCAACGGTTTTAAGGCACATGAAATTTAGATCAAAGGTATTCTGTTGAAAACATCTTCGCCAGTTGTCTTCATCAAGCATTTATTCGAGGTATAACGCGCCCAACTGCAAGCAGCGATAATTGCTGTTAAGTACAGTTCACTTTACTTTTCCGAACCCAAAATCAATTCTGCTCTTAAATCAGCAAGCCCAAAGTTCCTATGCCAGTCACCATGCCAATTTTTCAATTTGATTTCTACGCGAACATTTCTTTTCAAATCATCATTTAAGCCACCTTCCCTTTTGGGATTTAGGATTGGATTTCTATCCCAGAAAAATTATTTTTTCTCTAATCCACTTGATTTTCTACGTGAGTATTTTTTTATGCACAAAATCTTTATTTTTTAGGTACGTCTTCCAGGTGAGAGGTTTGAATACTTTTATGTAATCCGAAGCATTATTTTAGAGATAAATTGTCTACTTGTTACCGTACCTACTTTGCTTCACACTTTGAACCAAGCTATTTAAAAGATTGCTCAAGGAAAAGTACATAACTCCTTAACTAAGCTTGAAAGAATCCGAGTCCCAGATCAATCGTTCTTCGTCATTCCCTTAAATTTTTTTCTGATTATTTATATTTTATCTATAGACTTGCACATCAAATCGCTACTACGAAGGTACCTTTCAACCCTGGTACCTACATACCAGTCCTTTCATACATTCATTCGCATTCGTTCTTTCAACATTAGTCCTCAATCCTGACATTCAATCTTCTGGTCCCATCGACTTAATCATCTTTTTCAATTCTTCAAAACGGTTCTTTTCATTGTTTGAACTTCTAGTGGAGTACCTACGTCAAGATTCACAAATCGGATCGGTCCAATTCATAACGAGAAGCTAAGATTACTTCAATATCGACCAGTCATATTCAACTTGCCCAAAACATTCACTTGTCTACAGGGTTTATGCTGCCAGGAATAACATTCATTCCTTTTTACATCAAGCATTCTTGAATGCAAGTTTAGATCATTGCTTGGGTAGATAAACAGCCCTTAAGTAGCACATTGACGCAGCTCCATCCAGGTCCAGACTATCCATCCACGTAGGCCATCATTGCCCGCTACTTCACGTCCACCACAACAACTCTACCTTTACCTCGAGGCAGGACTAGTATTAGTGAACCGACAGGGGACATCAGTAACAACCCTTTCGTGATCATACGCATTATGGCAAAGAAAAGACTCAATCCCGACATCAAAAGAAGAGTTAGATCAGGCTGTTTAACATGTCGTGATAGGCATATGAAGTGTGACGAACAGCAACCAGTCTGCAAGAACTGCATCAAGTCCAAAAGAAAATGTTACAGAGGAATAAGGTTAAATTTTACTCAATACACCATATATAACCCTGAGGATGCGTTACCTTCAGCTTCTAATAACCCTGTGGATCCGCCTGCCGGTGAATTTAAACTACTCGACCAATCCATAACAATAGCATCCCTATATGCAAATGGGAAGAGACCCTACAAGCCTTATTTACACCTTCACAACGCTGAAGATTTGATAGAGTCTGACCTTCAATATCGACAAGATATTTATAATCCAGTTCCTTTGAAGGGCGATGTTACTTCGGCACATTCAAACAATGAATCCAATGAGCATTCCAGTACAGCATTAGAATCTTCATCTATAACAATCCAGCAAAAAATAGAAAATGCTCCTAATTTTGATCAAGATACTATACCTGAGAACTTTGACATAACGAACTTGCTACTAAACAACAGCTATTATGCAAACCAAAATGCTTCTAGTTCGTATACTACAACTCCTGGACCTCAACAGTCACTTTCACGAGTTTCTAACTCTGAAGAGGAGATTCAATTGCACCTGCAATTACAAGTTCAGACACTGCAACCTTCAGATAGACATCTACAAATCCTACAAGAGCAACATCAACTTCGACAACCTGAACCACCACCATCTCATGTGCAGCAATCTGCGCAGACTCATAGAGATTCCTTAACTATTCCTATTTCGCATTCCCAGTCAGACTTTTCAAACCTTTTAAATCAACCACCTCCTACTTCTACGATGAACTTTCCTCCAAACCTCAACATTCACGTCTATATTAGGCTTATCGAAAAAGAGAAATACTACTGGTTCTTGGATCTATTCAATGAACTTAGCATCTGGAAATCTGTCATACCGTCGTATTGCCTAAGAGAATTAGAAACTGGATCTGGAGAAAACAAGCAATTCTTATTAAATTGCTTGTTAAATTGTTCCATTTATGCCAATATTAATATAGTTGACCTTCTTGATCAACAAAAGAGAGAGTGGTATTACGTTAGAAACACCAGTCCCATTGAGCCGGAAAGCATTAAATTGTTCGAGAACTTATTGATTAGTATAACATTGATTCTTTTAGGTGTGCATCTTAAATTGAATCGAAACGAGTGTACACCATTCACTAAAATTGTTCTTAACAACCAGATTAAAATCTTCAACAAGGTCCTACAAAAGCTAAGGAGTATTTTACAGTCAGCCAACTTCCATTCAATTCTATTAATTAATTCAGTCCAATCCATTATTATCTTAAAGTACTTTATCATGAAAAAGTTTGCATTTGAAGTAGACACAGAGGTATCAACTGACCTCTCGAATCCTTCAGCTCCAGTCATTTCTTCCGGTGATCAACCTATCACGTCAATTCAATTTTCGAATCCGTTTGCGCATGCTTCAGGATATGAGGTTTCCATCAAACAGGAGGGCAAAGATGAATTTTCGGAAGACCTTGAAGAATCAGATCATGGAGGGAATGAAGAAGATGATGATGAACATCTGGGGGAGCAATCTGACCTTGAAGATCTCGATGAAGAAATTATTTATCCAGATCCAAACGAATTCGCTCACTCTTTCCAAAGTCAATCTGGGTATCTTGAGTCAAGTATTGGTACAAGCGGACTTCTCACTAAATTTCTAAAGTTGAGCCAATTCGAGATTTCCAATTTAAATTCTTCATTTGAAAGGTTCGACATCCCTCAAACACCAATGTTTACTGCTGAATTACCTGTTTCGACCTATAAAAGTGACTCTCTGAAACTAAGGGCTTATACGTGGTATCTTATCAAATTAAATTACATTACTCGTCATCCAAACTGCAAGTCAATCCAAGTTGATTACAATTTCATTTTTAGAGACAGTAATATAATTCTTCCAAAAATGGGTCAGTCCAGTCCTACAGAGCCTAGCTTAGAATTCGAACAATCAGCATCTGCCAATCATAGGATTGTACTTCCAAACGAGCGTGGGGTGGCTATCAATCTTCTCCGAGAATTTATCAATAAGTTAATTCATATTCACGATGGACAGGTGGTGCAAACTTCCAACCTGAAGTTAATTACTATTTTGAGAATCATCGATGAGTCAATGGTGGACGAATCCATTAAGATTGGGTGGAGAAGTTCTTTTGAGTGGACTCTACTGAACATCTCCAATGAGGAGTACGGTATGGATGGCAAGAGGAAGGGTGGGACCAATGAGTTGGAGCCGTATTAATATTCCGAATCAAGTTTTTAACTTGAGTATTGGAGTATTGCTGAATCTTTAGCCTTTAACCTTTTCCATAATACATATGATCTAATAGTATATGACACTGCTTCTATCGAATTGTAACGAAACGATCGTAGAGTAGCTTCAAAATGTGGTGTGATCAAGATGCAAAAGTCGAGGAAATCTAGCGAGCGTTGCTTGCTCCAAAAGTGAGCATTGGCAGCCGGTACCGTAAATCCCACCGGGGGAGCAGGGTTGTCCGCAACCGAGAAACATAGTGTAAAATTAACTAAATTATCTAATTTAGTATTTTTCATGTGACACCGGGAAAAATCACAACAACATTATTATGCATGATGGCGAACGCCCTTATGCCTTCACGGAATTTTCCGAAAGCACAGGGTCGGAAACCGTTGCCTACTGAGCACTTTGGGAAAGTAGCGAAAGCTGGCCACTCGTAGGTGGAATCACAACAATAATAACCCTCCTGGGTGCTAGAATTTTGCACCTATTCTGCACAGGTTGGGAACCTCGCCAGAAGCCCCCACTCAGGGTCTGCGTATTGTGGCCTCATAGGGTGGGTGACGCGAGAGATGGTACATGCCACGAGGGGGGTGCCTGGCACCACTATTGCAACATTCCCGTCGAAAACCGAGCCAACCTTCCTCAACAGGTATGGAGAACGGGGAACCAGCGAATTTCGGGGGTACATAAAAATAACGCTACCAGTTGAATCAATGTGGCGTTTCGCCTAAGATAAGATGCCGTGTAGCATGGGTGATGCAATGCAGGATGCTGGGGGAACCGTTAGCGGTGGAACCATAGCCAGCACTGTGCAGCCGCGCAGCGGTAAAAGCAGAGGAGCGTTGGGTGATCAGGGAGCTACAATGGCCCACCACGAGGAGTGGGGTTCGATCGCGGCCGGTGAAATATGCTCAATTGCTGGATCGAAGTGTAACTGGTGGCACCTCTGCAAGATATCACCCTAGATAGCTTAAAAGTGTCAAGGCTCAAGTGACCTATGGGTGCAGCGCGCAGGCCTGCGGCAGTGACGTCCGCTGGGATCGGATGGGCACGCATCTGTGGACAGGCCCAGCCCGGGATCACATGCCAATTGCTGGAGGTGAGCTCGCTAGAACTATCCCATTGACCGGCCCAGGCTACGGTTGCAGCAGCATGGGGGACCGCCCTAGCCAGCACGCGCCTGTTGACAGAACTACCAGTGCAACTACAATAGTCGTAGTTTTCAACGGTGCAGGTGGCTAAAACGCACATCATGCGTGCAGCCATATCGTCGTGTAGATCCGCATAATTCACGGCCAGGTTGAGTCCACGCGAACCACCTGCCAGCGCGGTATACATTTGTGGCGGCGGCGTCTGCTTCTGTACACGAGCACAAGGATCTCAAGTGCATCTTGCACCAGAGCGTTGGCGCATGTACGACGCCGGGGTAGCCTGGACGGACCAGCCGTTGGCAACCTCCATCTTGTTCAGAACGCAGCGTCCAGGGTCCCAGTGGTGGGCACTCATGGACACTTCCAGTAGACTGAGGGACGAAAACGCGAGCACCCCCACCAAGACAGTGGGGTTGGTGGGACGTGCCGTACCGTCGTAAACGTTACCGAAACCTTATCCGCCCTAACTACTGGTTGGGGCCGTTTGTGTCTGCAATGGAAAGGGGCCAGTTCTAGACTGGATTTGACAATGTAACAGAAATAACCCCTCAGGAATGCCTGCCGCTTTGGGTCCATGTCTGGTGTTGGTGCCAATGGCTGTTGGAGCTCTGCACCCGGTGCAATACGGAGTGAAATATGCATGTCTGCTTTTTGATGCTGCGATATTTCTACAATCGTATAACTTCATCTGGAACCTGGCGGCCCGGTTGTGGAAATACGAGATGACCCAATCCGGAAAACCTGGGGCACAGGCGGTGTTCCGACCCGTGTGGCTGTGTGCTTGGGACGTGGTATTTACTGGGCCGGCGTCCGCCTCCGTTTCCTGGGTCCCGCTGTCTGCGCTGGTGGACCGCTGCCGGCCGCGCCAGCCCAATTTGCGGTCTCGGAGTCAATTTTCGCCCTGGGTGCGCCGCCCTTTGTGTCACCGTCGCCAGGCGCTCGCCCCGTGCCCTAGGGGTTACCCGGCCGCAAAATTTTCACCTCTCCATATGAATTGACAATTTTTGTCTACTACCGCCAACTCTTCTGACCACTACAAAATGTCTTTAGGAACTTTATACTTCAGCGAAAGAACCAGAGCCTGGATCCCCAAGGCTGTCATCAAGCACTTCGACTTGGATGTCAAGATCGTCGATGCCTCTGGAAAGGACTTCACCGACAAGTTCCCATTGGGCAAGGTCCCAGCCTTTGCTGGACCAAAGGGCTTCAAGTTGACCGAAGTCATGGCCATCACCATCTACTGTATGTATAGCATTGCTTGCCACCTAAATGATGAGAAATTTTTTCAAATTAAACAGTTATCCCTGTCTTAATAGATCATGTCGAGAATTCATACTCTGAAGGTTTACATGTGGCGAGAGCTGATGATCAGCACATCTCCATTGACACATACTAACATCTAGTGATCAACCTCGCCGACCCTAAGTCCAAGTTGTTGGGTAAGAACGCAAAGGAGTACGCCGAAGTGTTGAGATGGGCCTCCATCACCAACTCCGAACTTATCGGTAACCAAATGAAGGTCATCAAGCCATTGCTCGGTGACGTTCCATACAACAAGAAGAACGTCGATGAGGCTGCTGAATACACTGCCAAGATCATCGCTGTTTTCGAAGCCAGATTGGCCAACTACACCTACTTGGTTGGTGAAAGATTGACCATCGCCGATATCTTCGGTGCTGCCGGTTTCGTCAGAGGTTTCCAACACCTTTACGCCGACGAATGGCAAAAGAAGCACCCTAACGTCACCAGATGGTTCAAGACTATCATCAACCAAAAGATCCTCCACGACGTTCTCGGTGACTTCACCTTCGCTGTCAAGCCTCTCGAATACACTCCTCCAAAGAAGGAAAAGAAGGCCCCAGCTCCAAAGAAGGAAGCTGCTCCAGCCAAGAAGGAAGCTGCTCCAGCCCCAGCTGCTGACGAAGAGCCAGCTCCTGCTCCAAAGCCAAAGCACCCATTGGAACTTTTGGGTAAGCCAAAGGCTGCTTTGGACCAATGGAAGAGAGTCTACTCCAACGAAGAAACCAGAGAGACTGCCATTCCATGGTTCTGGGAAAACCAGTACGACACCGAAGACTGGTCCTTGTGGAAGGTTGACTTCTTGTACAACGACGAATTGACCATGACTTTCATGTCCAACAACTTGATTGGTGGTTTCTTCAACAGATTGTCTGCTTCCACCAAGTACATGTTCGGTTGTATGGTTGTCTACGGTGAAAACAACAACAACGGTATCACCGGTTTCCTCTTGGTCAGAGGCCAAGAAATCTTGCCAGCTGTTGATGTTGCTCCAGATTACGAATCCTACAAGTACACCAAGTTGGACGGTTCCAAGGAGGAAGACAAGAAGTTCGTCAACAACATGTTGGCCTGGGATGAACCTGTTGTCGTCAACGGTGAATCCAGAGAGATTGCCGACGGTAAGGTCTTCAAGTAAACGGACTCGTTGGATAACTAATCCAGTTACTCTTATTGGTTCAATTCGGAATTTTATAGGAATAAATGTCTTTTTATGAGATATCATGTAGATCCGCTCGACACACCCGTGAAGGCCCAGAAGTGCCACGAGTTTTGTGTTCATTAATTAATTTAATTTTGAGTCGCTGAGAACTCTAAATTTATGAAGCAATACTAAAATTAATATGAAAAGGTGAAAAGAGCGTCAAATTGTAGATTTAGTAACCATGCAATAGTAATAGATTCAATTTATCACTGTTCCTTAGTAAGAAGTACAATTATTAGAGAATACAAAAAATATGTAAAATTGCTGAAAATCTTGAATTTCTTAAGTTTACTATGGTACTTCTTAGTTGGTAGTATTTTCGGCAATTTCACAAAATCTGAACATTTTTCAGCAAAATCCTCAGAATTACGATGAATGTAATGGCTGCCATTAATACAGCAAAGTACTATAACCTTTTCAAAGAAATTGTTTTTGGCTCTATTAATTACCAGTATCGAACAAAAATCGTTTAAATACTTAATCGAAATACTATTTCAGGGTTATTTATGTGTTATAATATAAAATAGTAGGTTCTGACCTTAGAAATTAATAGTTAAAAGATAATGATAGTAAGTTGCCTACGGGAATGGACACAACGCAATCTTTAGTGAAATAAGTCTTGTCACAAGGTATTACGCTCTACCATTTCTGCCATTCGACCACCTCTGCAAATATAAGTAGGTATCCACTTATAAACTTAGATGGATACATTTTCAACTAGGGATTGTTTTGTCACAATACCTCCATCTCCTGTAGCTAATTATTTACTAAGATTGCCAGTTGGTATACCAAGCCGCACTAGGACACTACAGTAGGAAATTATAGGTGAGAATGCCCCCAAACTATATTCTTAAATAAACAATGTGCAACCACACTTACTATAACAGTTGCTCACATTGCCATTGGACCACTCTATCGTTTGAGAAACAGCAGACAAGAAGCTTTGTAACAAACGAATTAAAAATAGAAATGCACTCATCATAGTAGCAGAATGCGATGAAATATCGTAGTTCAGCAGGAGATTGCTCCTTCGATAACAGTGAATAGGTTGAGACTTTCCGCAACTAAAAAGGCTACAATTCGCTACTATACACATCACATTTGACTAGGAGCCAATAGTGGCACAATTTATCTTCACCGTCGCGGTACTGCGAATTTCAGATCTGAAAACATCCGTACTTCACGAGACGAATCGAAATGAAACGAGTCGTATCAGCCAGCAGCCTGTAGGATCTTCCACTTTAGAAGGAGCCTAGAAGCCCTCTTACTTGCCCCCGAGACGCCCCTTTCTCCCTTCCGGGCTTGTGAAGTATCCACTTGCCCGACATGGACCCTGCCACACGACATGCGCGACACCATACGCGACCTCCACGTGACTACAACTCAATCCTCCGATCAACAGAAAACTTTGACACCACCACGGTTTCTCCAAACGAGAAGCTCAACATCCCGGCAATCCACACCCAGCCGGATCCTCGTTGCACGCGTCCCACATAGCCAGACACCCGCCAAATCCGGACCAATTGATCCCAGCACTTCTACCATGGCGCTTCCCATTTTCAAGAGCCCGTTCATACGTAACATACGAAGGAGACCTTTGTCGGTGATTGTTCCGATAAGTGTGATTTTGGTGATATACTACCTCTTTTTCAGTGCTCCTTCTGTGTCTACCAAAACCACCCCCAAGTACAACTACAACAAGATCTCCAAGGGGTGGTTTGCTAAGAACAGAGATTCTGTGATTCTTCAGAACTTGCCCAAGAACCACATCAGCCACTATGACTTGAACAAGTTGACCAACTCGCCTGACGCGTTGGCTCAGCAAGAGGAGGTGTTGCTCTTGACCCCCATGTCTAAGTTCGTTCCCGAGTACTGGAACAACATCAACGCGTTGACCTACGACCACTCGTTGATCACCTTGGGGTTCATTCTTCCCAGAAACACCGATGGAGAGGTTGCGTTGAAAGCATTGGAGTCCTCTATCAAGGACCTCCAGTCTAAGAACAAGTTGAACTACAAGAAGATCGTGATCTTGAGACAGGACTCTAACTCGTTGGAGAGCCAGAAGGAACAGGACAGACACGCATTGAGCGTCCAGAAGGAGAGAAGAGGCATGATGGCCTTGGCCAGAAACTCATTGGTTTTCACAGCGTTGTCTCCCGACCACTCGTGGGTCTTGTGGTTGGACGCAGACATCGTCGAGACTCCTCCTACTTTGATCCAAGACTTGACGATCCACAACAAGCCTGTTCTCTCTGCCAACGTGTATCAGAAATTCATTAACAAGGAGACCAACCAGGAGGAAATCAGACCTTATGATTTCAACAATTGGGTCGAATCCGACGAGGGTTTGGCCATCGCCGCCAACATGGCTGATGACGAGATTATTGTGGAAGGTTACAGTCAAATTGCCACCTACAGACCTTTGATGGCTCACTTCTACGACCCCAACGGTGACGTCTCTACTGAGATGCCTTTGGATGGTGTTGGAGGTGGTGCTGTATTGGTTAAGGCCGATGTTCATAGAGATGGTGCCATGTTCCCATCGTTTCCATTCTACCACTTGATTGAGACCGAAGGTTTTGCCAAAATGGCCAAGAGATTAGGGTATGAGGTCTTCGGATTGCCCAACTACTTGGTCTACCACTACAACGAGTGAACTCTATTTAGTTGATTATGTATTGTAATTGCATTTGAGTTATTTTGCGTAGTAAGGAAGACTGAAGACTATGTAAGACGTTTTAAAAGGGTCTTATTAACCTGAATCAAGGAATTCGAGCTACTCTCCAAGTTACTCCGAGTCTGTTTTCTAATTCAATCGAGCTAATTCGGACAATTTTACGTTAATATAATTTTTGGCTTTGGTATTGATACCATTATTGGTAGCCTTCCTCTACTCATAATTGATTCATTAATAGAGCGTTAATAGTAAGCTTACAATAATATAAGTATTTATAAGAATTGAGAGCAAAAATTAAACATCGTGAGTAATTCATGGAATTGATATTCAATTTAATTCGTTTTTGGCGAAACCAGTTACAGAGTAATACTACTATCAGAACACAAGAGCTTCAATGGCACTACCTGAACTTGTCAGCTCTATTGAAGTATGCTTTGTGCTATTTTTTTCCCGCAATGCTATGGAATGTCTCTTCTACTGTGATTAAAAATTAAAATTTTTGATTCTGTTCACAATTAAGGATAGTAACTTTAAATTACTTCTTTTTTATCCTAAATGCCGTAATTAGGGTCAGCATCCCCCAACACTTCTCTAGGGCGAGAAAGAGTATTTGCTGTGGTATTTGTGGATGCCATGATAAAAGAAGAACCAAAAGGCTGAAATTAGATAAGATTAAACGTCAGCGGTCCTGAGTATGAGATTTTTTAGAATTCAGCCTCCGAAGATGATTCATTTCGGAGCAAGTCCCGCTTATTCAACACTCATTGAGGCCCGATTGTCGTTCCATTTTATACACTTTCTTACTGTTACTGCGAAGCGCCAATTATTTTTATAAATGTACACACTATGGATAATTGGAGTGAAATATTTGTTAACCACAGACCCGTACCGCATCTGTTGCCCATCGCTCCCTGAGCAGGATCACAAAATTCGCAGCCTATAACCTCCTAACACATAGGAAGAGATTTACAAAGAAATCGTGGTCCTGATTGGGCCAAAAGCTGCGAACTTGAACCCCTCTCCTAGCATGCCATAACCCACCAGTATGCGGTGCTTAAGAGCCAGTTCGGCCCGTCCCAGCCCCCAGCCCCTGTTGGCCATCCCTGGCCCTGGTATCTCATCCCGGTTATATGCACACCAGGATGAGCGTGCCGCATCCAGTAATTTCCCCTCGCCGCACCGATTTTTTTCAGATGAGGTCAATAATTCAAATTTATTCTCCCATCCTTCACTCTTCCACCAGTACCTCCCACCAAAATGCAACTCTCATGGAAGGATATACCAACTGTGCCAACAGCAAATGATATGTTGGACATTGTTCTTAACAGAACCCAAAGAAAAACCCCCACTGTCATTAGACCTGGGTTTAAAATCTCCCGTATTAGGGCTTTCTACATGAGAAAGGTCAAGTTCACATCCGATGGGTTTGTGGAAAAGCTCAACGATATGATCACCGGATTCCCCAACATCAACGATGTCCACCCCTTCCACAGAGACTTGATGGACACCTTGTACGAGAAGAACCACTACAAGGTCTCGTTAGCTGCTGTGTCCAGATCCAAGACCTTGATCGAACAGGTGGCCAGAGACTACGTCAGATTGTTGAAGTTTGGTCAGTCGTTGTACCAATGTAAGCAATTGAAGAGAGCTGCTTTGGGTAGAATGGCCACCATTGCCAAGAAGTTGAAGGATCCATTGGTGTATTTGGAGCAAGTCAGACAACATTTGGGCAGATTGCCAAGTATCGACCCCAACACCAGAACCTTGTTGATCTGCGGGTACCCCAACGTCGGTAAGTCTTCGTTCTTGAAGTGTATCACCAAGGCTAACGTCGAGGTCCAGCCATACGCTTTCACCACCAAGTCGTTGTACGTGGGTCACTTTGACTACAAATACTTGAGATTCCAGGCCATCGATACTCCCGGTATTTTGGACAGACCCACCGAAGAAATGAACAACATCGAAATGCAGTCGATCTATGCCATTGCCCATTTGAGATCGTGTGTGTTATACTTCATGGACTTGTCGGAACAGTGTGGATTTTCCATCGAAGCCCAGGTCAAGTTGTTTGACTCCATCAAGCCATTGTTCGCCAACAAGTCGGTGATGGTCGTCATGAACAAGAGTGATATCATCAAGACCGAGGATTTGGCTCCCGAGAAGCAGGAATTATTGAAGGAAATGGCCAACTTTCCCGGTGTTGAAATCATGCACACCTCCTGTTACGAGGAAACCAACGTCATGGAAGTCCGTAACAAGGCCTGCGAGAAGTTGTTGACTGCTAGAATCGAACAGAAATTGAAGGGTACTGCCAGAGTGAATAACGTGTTGAACAAGATTCACGTTGCCAGACCACAAGCCCGTGACGACGTCGACCGTTCTGCTTTCATTCCTGAGGGAGTCAAGGCGTTGGAGAAGTACGACGTCAGCGATCCTAACAGAAGAACTTTGGCCAGAGACATCGAAGCCGAAAACGGTGGTGCTGGTGTGTTCAACATCAACCTCAAGGACAAGTACTTGTTGGAAGACGACGAATGGAAGAACGATATCATGCCAGAAGTGTTGGACGGTAAGAACGTCTACGACTTCTTGGACCCAGACATCGCTGCCAAGTTACAAGCATTAGAGGAAGAAGAAGAGAAGTTGGAAGCCGAAGGCTTCTACGACTCCGACTCCGAAATCGAAGACGAGGAAATCGAAGACATAAGAGAAAAGGCCAACTGGATCAGAGACAAGCAAAAGAAAATGATCATCGATGCCAGACACAGAAAATCTTTGAAGAACAAGGCGCTCATGCCAAGAGACCAGATCAAGAAGTCTTTCGGTGAGATGGAAGAGCACATGTACTCGTTGGGCCACGACACCAACAAGTTGAGAGAGAAGGTCGGCAAGGCCAAGGCTGGCAAGGAGTTGTCTGGTGTGGACATCTTGAAGAAGAACCAAGGCATCAGATCTGCCAAGATCTCCAAGAAGCAAGCCCCAGTCAACCAGCCTAACAGACTCAATGATGGTGTCAGTGATGGAGCCATGAGATCGCAAGCAGAAAGATTGTTGAAGGTCCAAAGAAGAGACAGAAACAGAAACGCCAGACAAGGTGAGGGTGACCGTCACAGCACTGCCATGTTGCCTAAGCATTTGTTCAGTGGTAAGAGAGGTATTGGTTCTACCGACCGTCGTTAGAGGGTTTTCGGATTCAACATGTTGGCCACTCGTTGGTCAGTGACTGTTCAGTTAGCTTGTCTAGTTCATCGTCGTAGCCGTCGGGCTATTGTTTATTTAGTCATAATTGTGTAATAGGTTTAGTAATATAAGCATGGAAAGTAAGACGTGATGGGCGACCTACTCGTAGTTGACATGCATGCGTATGCCTGTACATACGAGCTGACGTGCATGCATAGGCAGTTGATGTTCTTACATGAAGTTGCATGCGTACACCCAACGGTTATGCAAGGATGATCCACCTCACGCCGTCACCGGTCACCATCACGGTAGTGCCACGGAACAATGCCCGCACGCCTGGAATGTTCGGATCAATAGACTCGGGCAAGGCGGCATCGGAGCAACCACCACTGCACCAAGCCCTCGTCATTGGCTGTAGCCGTTCCAACATCGTATTTGATCCCTCTGACAGGAGAGTCCCGCAGCCGTTGCGCAGCTTCTGGCGTATTGACGTGGGTGCCTGCACCGCCAACCCTGTCTTTCCAACAATAGGCAACCACAGTCACCACAGCTGTCGGAGCAGGTTCCACAACAACCGTTTGCCGACGTCCCTCCGACAGGGACGCGAGCACCAAGCCCCACTGGCCCACCTCCAGGGTGCCCACCACACCGGAACTGTGGTGGACCCAAAATCCCGTGCACTTCTGACATCGGGATTCGCTTCCTTTTGTGTCACCCAGCCCTTAAGAGATAAGAGATAAAGACAGCCCCCGACTATTGTCGTTTGACTCATACGGACCGTCATACTTATACTGTCCATTGCCTGGCTGTCATTCAGCTCCTTACTCTTGCCACTCCATCTTGGCTTCAACTCCCCCAACTCCATCAGCTCCTTTAGCTCCTGCAATAGATCGGAATTTCATCTACCCTCTACCACCCTCTACCATCACGAGAACTCCAAAAGCTCCACAAGACCTCCATTCTAGCCTGACGTGCACCATGAGCATTGCCGTCCCCAAGTCCGACGTTCAGTCCATGAGACTTCCCCCCAAGTCCGCCAGGTCCAGAGGGTCCTCCCACCCTGCTAACCGAGCAGCAGATCACCCTCCTGGCACCAAGCGTATCAGCGTCAAGGACCCTCGTACCTCCGACGTCGGTGCCTTCAGCTTTGCCAGCGTCAACGCGGCGCTTCCGCCCAACACTGGCCCAGCAGGAACCGTGCCTGTCAACGGCAGCTCGTCCTCGTCCTCGTCCAACTCCAAGAACTTGAGCCACGTCCCGTGCAAGTTCTATAAGCAGGGAATCTGCCAGGCAGGAAGCTCGTGTCCGTTCTCCCACAACTTGGATGGAACTTTGGCTGCTGATAAGTTGCCGTGCAAGTACTTCCAGAAGGGCAACTGCAAATTTGGCTTGAAGTGTGCCTTGGCCCACTTCTTGCCCGACGGAACACGAGTCAACTCTAAGAGCCTCATGCTGGGGTCAGGATACCACCAGTCGAGTCGCCGTGGCCACCACCACGGCCACCAAAACAGTTCTAGCAGCAGCCACACGCGGTCCAACTCGAATTCCCAGCCGCCTGCTGCTCCCACCAGCCATTCAAACGCTGCTAGTACCTCCACCAGCCTCTCTAGCACCCACCAGACCCGTTCTGACCTGCTTCCAACAGCCAACACTCATATCTGGAGCCATCCCAGCGACCCTCCTTCCACTTCGCAGCCAATTGATATCTCTCTCAGCGCGTACGAAAACTATTCGCCACCTAGAGCTAGCACCAGTGCCAGCAAAGTGGCCCAGTTCATCAACGTCAGGACGGTTTCGCAGCCATCGTCGTTGAGCCAGGACCTCGCCAGTGCTTTTGGGTCCAAAGTGTTTGCAGACTACCCCAGCGCCAGCTTGCTGGGTTCTTCTGGCCCTTCTGGCCCTTCGTCCCAGCAGTGGTACCAGTCGTACTCTGCAGCCAATTTGTCGTCGCCACCCTCGAGCTTCTCCAGTAGCGCCAATCCTCCTTTGGTGCAGTCGCCACCAGGCTCCAGTTTCAATCCTTCGTTGAGCAACAGCAGGTTCTCGTTTGCATCCAGACCCTCGCCGCAATTGGCGTCCCCGTCGTACTACTACCACAACAGCAACGACTCGTCGGCCATTGTGGACGACGACTCATCCAACGGCGGCGACGACAGCGCCGTGTTCGAAGAGGACTACGTGCCAGGATCGTTGAGCGACATCATCTTGACCCCCCAGGAGTTGATCCGACGAGACTCGAGGTCCCAGTCGGGCACTTTGTTGGTGAGACCAAGCTTGAGCAGCATCTTGGACACCAAGGAAGAGGCGTTGGACTCGGAACCGCTGTGGGGCCAGAAGGCCCATGCCCACAACTTTCAAAATGAAGCGTTTAGAAAAACGACGATAACCGTTCCAGAGGTGCACGAGGACGTGTTTCTCATGGACTGATCCCATACTGTAAGGCTTTTGTGCCAGCCGGTCTGGGTATAACTTGCTCATAACAGTCTGAGCATGGCTCTACGATTTGACGACTTAAAAGTACCTATACGGTTGTTTTAAAATAGGTTATAAAAGATGGATACTATGGTTAGGTTTGGTTTATTTCTGCAATATGTTTTTAGAAACACTGGTGATAATATATGTTTACAATAGAGAAGGTATGAGCGACAAGGTGAGACGGTAGTCATGGGTGTTATTTCCAGACTGAACCATTAACTTCCGGGAGCCATTGACCAGATGTGAGCCTGTGGTATGCTGGGATTATCTGAGCAGTTGAGCTCACACCTATAATGTGTGGAAATTATTTATTTGAGTTTTCGAATCACATTATATGTCTGTATTTAATACTGCAGATCCACTAATATCACTATGTCAGTGATTATTATTACCAACAACGCAATCTGAAGAAGAGAGTGGATATGACTTCTGCAGTAATGTGATTAAGATCGCTGGTTATTAATATTTTAAGATTATATTAACATGTCTGCTCTTATTACATTAATATGACTGATTACCAATTTGACTGATTACTATTTACGGGTCATGACTATGTACTGGGATCAATTGGCTCAGTTTGAACCGATCTTTTTAGGGTTTTCTCTGTAGATATCACCACTGGCCTTGGTGAAGGCCATCATGTACTTGACGTTGGTGAACTTCTCGTCTGGAGTCACTTTTCTGATGTGGTCAGACTCGAACAAAGTTCCAGCCAAGTACATCTCGCCAGTGTATGGGTTTAGGGTGTAGACCAAGTAGTCCTGGACGGTTCTGACGGTTTCCTGCGACTCTCCTCCTCTTTCGATGATCACCTTTTGTTTGGTTCTAGCCTTCAACACAAACTGTATGTACATGGTTATTTCGTTTGCGTCCGGCAACACATTGAAAGAAACTACCTTGGGGTTGGACTCGAGCGACAAGAGCTCCCACTGGAGCTTGGAGTCGGTAGGGAAGGTCTTAGCTCTAGACACCAAACTGTTGGTCACTTCCACACAGCTGACCTGTCCCAACTGCTTCTTCAAGTATTGCTCTCTCTCAGCAAACCTCTTGCTGCACCCACTGGCGAAGATCTTGTTGGTCTTGACAAACAAGTCGATGGCATTGTCCTTCCACTCGTTGAAATGCAACTTCAAGCCAGTTTCTCTTCTGTATTTGATGATACTGTAGGTATTGACCACAAACGCACCCAAACGTCTGAAAATCAACTTGTGCCACGAGCTGGGAGGGCAGTCTCTGAATCTGGGAGGGATGTAGAAGTCAGCCATCACTCCAATGAAGTTCAATGGCACTTGTGATATGTCACCTGACTTGGGCACTTTTCTTTTGGAGGGAGTGGTGGACGCATATCTGAATGCTGGCAAGACTGGCTTGCTGAGCATAAGCCCTGGGAGTCTGGCCCCGACGGTTCTGATCATTGTGGTTCGAGTTGGAGTGGAGGCCTGAAAAATTTGATAACCACGTATACACGTGCCGAAAGATCACGTGAACATCTCTTTCGCGGTGATCAAAATTTCCCGATGAGATAGCAGCTTATTGTAGTAGCACAGTTATAACGCCGCTTTCCAGCTCATACCGCCACATTTCGCCTGGAAACGTACCGCAAGCTAGACTCACCACTGTCATCTGATTTTCAGGCCAAAAAACTGTCCAAATACCTTTGGAATAGTGCAGAAAACGAGCCCCACAACCAGGCGATCCGATTGCAATATAACATTGAAAGACTACCGTTTTTCCAACCAGCAACAGTTTTCCCATAGTTCATCATGCCTACAGCCCAGCCCAAGGGAGGCAAGCAGAAGCTTGCTCCCGAAAAAGAGAGATTTCTTCAGTGTTGTGGAGACATTTCTCTCGAACTTGTGGCATCTTTAAAGACCTCCAAAGACATCAACCTTAACGGACTCATCATCAGATACGCAAAGAAGTACAAGCTCAAGCAGCAGCCCCGGTTGACAGACATCATCTCGTCCATTCCCGATCAGTACAAGAAGTATCTCATTCCCAAGCTTAAGGCAAAGCCAGTCAGAACCGCATCAGGTATTGCTGTGGTTGCAGTGATGTGCAAGCCACACAGATGTCCTCATATTGCATACACCGGTAATATTTGTGTCTACTGTCCTGGTGGCCCTGACTCCGATTTCGAGTACTCCACCCAGTCATATACTGGGTACGAACCCACATCCATGAGAGCTATCAGAGCCAGATATGATCCCTACGAACAGTCCAGAGGCAGAATTGAGCAATTGAGACAGTTGGGACACTCCATCGACAAGGTGGAATATATCATTATGGGTGGAACGTTCATGTCGTTGCCAATCGACTACAGAGAAGAGTTCATCACCCAGCTTCACAATGCATTAAGTGGGTACAACGGACGAGATATCGACGAGGCTATCCGGTTCTCCCAGCAGTCCCAAACCAAGTGTGTTGGTATCACCATCGAAACGAGACCCGATTACTGTACCGAAACCCACTTGAGTGATATGTTGAAGTACGGTTGCACCAGGTTGGAAATCGGGGTGCAGTCTGTGTACGAGGACGTCGCTAGAGATACCAACAGAGGCCACACCGTTAAGGCTGTGTGTGAGACCTTCGCTGTGGCTAAGGATGCTGGATACAAAGTGGTTTCGCACATGATGCCGGACTTGCCCAATGTTGGCATGGAAAGAGACTTGGAGCAGTTCAAGGAATACTTCGACAATCCCGACTTCAGAACCGACGGTTTGAAGTTGTACCCCACATTGGTGATTCGAGGCACAGGTTTGTACGAATTATGGAAGAAGGGGCTTTACAAGTCATACAACGCCAATGCGTTGATCGATCTCGTGGCCCGTATCTTGGCGTTGGTGCCACCATGGACCAGAATTTACCGTGTTCAAAGAGATATCCCCATGCCGTTGGTCACTTCGGGTGTCGAGAACGGTAACTTGAGAGAGCTTGCATTGGCCAGAATGAAGGATTTCGGAACCTCCTGTAGAGATGTGCGTACCAGAGAAGTCGGCATCCAAGAGGTCCACAACAAGGTCATTCCCGACCAGATCGAATTGATCAGAAGAGACTACTATGCCAATGGTGGTTGGGAGACCTTCTTGTCGTACGAAGACCCCAAGCAAGATATTTTGATTGGGTTGTTGAGATTGAGAAAGGCCTCCAAGAAATACACCTACAGAAAAGAGTTCAAGGACCAGCCAACCTCTATCGTGAGAGAATTGCATGTGTACGGGTCAGTGGTTCCCTTGCATTCCAGAGACCCCAGAAAGTTCCAGCATCAAGGCTTTGGTACTTTGTTGATGGAAGAAGCTGCCAGAATCGCTAAGGAAGAGCACGGCTCCAGCAAGATCAGTGTTATATCTGGTGTTGGTGTCAGAAATTACTATGCCAAGTTGGGCTACTTTTTGGATGGTCCTTTCATGTCCAGAATGTTGGACGATGACGAGTAAGCCGTCATGGATTGTATTTAGGTATTATTTAGTGATACTAATTAACGGTATTGAAGAATAGAATAACAGTATACTTATATTTACGAATATTGAACATTGGCATAGGAGAAAATGTACTATTATTGTGAACAACAATTTGGGACAATTGTCAGCTACTATTATGTCTTTTAAATTATCCGTTGAACTATTCTATGTAACTATTACATGGTGATTTTCTCAACTTTACTGTGTTTGAAGCAATAACTTCCTAAATCAGGCACATTATATAAATTGAAATTCTCAACTACATTCTTGAAACAATCTTACTATGGTCCTTTGTGTTGCAATAAATCTAGATTATATAATTATGCAATTGAAACAGCTGTGTGACGAGTTAACACAAGATCACGGAAATTCCATGATCAATGTACATACTACAGAGTTCAATAATACATTATCTATCATAAAGGAATCTATGGGCTAGTGCCGAACACGACATGTATTTCGACGTAAAAGTTAAATCAGCCAAGTGGAAACTTGACAGTGAGGATGCTTATCTGTAGTTGAACAGCCGCTATCGAGGCACTTCACCATATATGCAAAATCACAAAAGTCTATCGGTTCATGAAATTTCTATTGGCGACCAACCCTCCTTTATGTAAAGCTGGTGGTCTGACTTTGTTTCGCAACAAGGACTGGACATTCTCGATATTGGGAGGCGTCTGTCCCAAAGAAGCCACTGAATTTTTGAGACTGCTTGATCTGCTCACCGACTTCTTCTCGTCTAGAGCATTTACTCGAGCGGTTACCAGTTCAGCCATGTGAGGATCCACATCTCTGTACTTAATTAACCACGAGTTATTCAACAAGGCAGCGTAAGAGGGCCTTAACTCAGGGTTCTTGTTCAAGCATGACTTAACAAACATCTGTGCTTCCTTGGAGTAGTAAGCTGGATCCAACTTAGGAGGGTCACCATCAACAATAGCACTCAATTGTGAGAAGATGTTACCATAAGTCTCAGTGGGGTATGGATAATGGCCCGCAGCAACTTCTAAAATAGTCAAACCAAGCGACCAAACATCCGATTGTACGGAGTAGGTAGCATCATCGGGATTCACACTCTTGATTCTCTCTGGTGCCATGTATGATTGACATCCGATATTAGTTTTGGCCAAGGAAGCCACAAGATTTCCAGAGACTCCAAAATCACAGAGCTTGATCTTACCCAAAGTATTGACCAAAATATTGGTAGGTTTAACATCTCGATGGATGATGTTATGTTCGTCTTTCAACTCTTTCAATCCCCGAATAACACATTCGGAGATATAGGCCAAAGACGCCTCATCTTGAAGTCCTCTTTCTTTACCATAAACCTTGTCAAGAGATCCAGCATCCATGTATTCCATACACATGTAGACGGCACCCTCAACGAAGAATGCACCATAGAAATCCACGATGTATGGCGAGTCACACTTGTGTAAAATCTCGAGTTCCATCAAGATCTGGGTGAATTTGGATTCATCCAATTCCAAACGGACTTCCTTCATAGCCATGGTGACCCCTGTTGGCTTGTGTAACACTTTGGAAACGGAACCGTAGTTACCTCTTCCCAATTCTTCAATGTATTCCATGTCCTCCAAGGAGATACGGAAAGATGAGCCTGAAGAAAAATCAACACCTTTGGAATGTAACGAAGCTTTACCAGCGAAATTCAACTGACCAGACTTGATGTCCACGTATTTTGAGTAGTTGGCAAACAATCCCTGCAACTGTGGTTTCTTGTCGTCGTCTTGTTTGGACTCCTCGGCAGCGGAGTCACTGCTGGTGCTATTCGAGCGACGGTGCTGAGGAAGATCGCTATTGCTGGCATCGAGATTTAACTTGAAATTGGGCTTGTTCTTGCGTTCTGACAACCTTCTTGAGATGCCACCTGTGGTCTGCAATGGTGGAGATACCACATCCAGAAAGCCGGGCCCACTGGGGTTATTATTATCTAGATTTATGGGTTGGTTTAATGCTTGTGAGTTTGCTGGGGGAGAATTGGCCATTGCGCTCATATCGAGCTTCATGCCTCTGCGTTGCGACAACGACGGTTTTTTCTTGAGGTCGACGGTAGGATTACCTGCGAATCTGGGGGTATTCTTGGAGTCCGGGAACCGGGCCATTGCTTGGGGAGTGGCATTGGAAGTGAGCCCAAGCGAATTGGAGGGCGTGGGATGCTGTGGAGGGGCGTCTATAACCGCAGGGGGTGCTTGGTGGCCAGTGCTGATCTGGGGAGACGGAATCGAGTATATGGGAGCCGAGTCGTTGGCTGACAACGACCTCTTGTTGGCAGGGTGATCTTGCGACAACGAAGGAAGCTGAGGCAACGGCTTGTTAATTGAGGCTGCTGGGGGGCTTGCATGGCCTGGCAGGTTGATGCCCTTCGTACGCTTCTGCTGGAACGCCAAGAGACGAGCCTTGATGTCGCTACTCAACTGGGGAGCCGAAGAGGTNCCCATGGGGGGCGACTGAGGCGCCTTGGGGGTATGCACTTGGGGAGGAAGCTGCGATGCTGGCGTGTGGGGGCTGTCTGATGGGGTTTCGTTGGAGTCGTTGGAGGCAGCAGCCAAGGACGAGGCGTCTGTTTTCAACGAGAGCTTGTCGATGTCGGGGAGATTGTTATGTGACATGGTTGAAATGCAAAGGAGGGTGGCAGCAGAGGCGTAAATGGTGATTGGAGGTGATTGGAGGATTGAAGGATCGGAGGACTGGTGAGTTTCGATGTGTTTGGAGTGATTTGGAGAGGTCTATGGAGCCGCTAAAAAGTGCTCGGACCGTTCTGGTGCCAGCTGTTGGCAGGTATTGAAGAATGGGAGACTGTAAGCACAATCTGGGAGCCTGCTGGGCCTGGAGGGAAGCGTCTTGTACCAGGAGAGAGTCCCGACGAGGAGGTGGTGGGTGTAGGGACACGGGTGGCGCTGTAAGGAACGGAGGACGCGTGGAACAGGCAGACGCTGGTGCGGGAAGCTCAGTGGTGGCGACTCTGGTACTGCCGGAGAAATGTGGCTACCGATAAAGAGTAGGGTAGATGGCGGCTGCCTAATTGCTGGGTTGCCGGTGGTGACAAAGCTGGGGCTGTCTGCAGGACGCTGGTACGGAAGTTCAGCGTAGGGGCGTTGCTCGCAACCGGTCCCCTGGGCGTGGCGGGGGGCGTGGTGCGGGCTGGCGCATGCTTGCGCGCGCTAGCTACAGTATTTCACCAGGCTCCAGGGCCCCTAGCGGCAGACGCACAGTGTGCGTCGCTAGGCCAGGGCCCCACGGTACCGGCGCGGGAGCTGGCGAGGGAGGGTAGCAGGGGGCACCAGCTGGTTGTAGGCTCTACGTTTGGGGCGGGTGGCGGCGGATGGTAGTAGACTACCCTCCCCACTACACTTGCTAGGGAGGACCCGCCTGAGCTGAAGATCCAGAGGTCCGCCTTGCGGCTCGTAAATAAGCTTCTTCTGGTGGGCCATCGCATGCACTGGAACCGATTGTTTGGCTTCTAAGTATAGCCTGGACTGCGAGACAAATGGCCGATGGCCAATAGGAACGCCGTGGGGACTGCAACGGCTGGTGGAGGCAGCAGGAGGCGCCGTGATGGCGCCAGATGGGCAAAGGGGCCGTTACGATGCCATTAGGGCGGGACGGTGAGGTAACGGTGCAGGTAATTTGTAATTGTGAGGCAGAATCCAGATAGAATTGCGGAGAATTTTCCGTGGTGGTGAGGGCCGATCCAGCGAGTAGAGTAGCGAGGCGAAGTAGAAGGGCATTTAAGCCAAGGCACTGGTCGAGGCAACGGAGTCAACGAAGTGGAGAAATTTCTGGATGTGGTTGCTAATCATGGCTGGTGGGATCCGGAAATGCCGGGCCAGACGGGGTTCAGTCTGCATCGATTGTGGCAGGAATTGTGACACATGTGGAAGAATTCGATAGGATGACAGGCTCAAGCATGCCAAGGGCAGCGTTAGGAGCCGTTAATGTGTCTTCGACTCTCCTTGGCACAAGGACTAGTAATGCCTCAGTATGCCGCAACGTGCCTCCCCGGGCACCCCGAGACGCTCTCGCTATGCATCGCGACTCTTCTCGGTATCCTCGCTGCAACTCTCGCTACTGGCAGTACCTCTAGCTATGCACCGCAATCCTCGGCACACCCTTACTATTTCGGATACCCTTCGGAATGCCTCGCTATTCCTTCTGTGTACACTAATGAAACTCAGTAGCATAACCGTACAATACTCCCTGATTTATCCAGCATTAGTAAGTATGCTTTGTATTACATCTCACTCAGGAGGAATGCATCTTATAGGATATAATAATATTCGTATATTACTTGGTTTAGTTTATTGTTTTCTAATGCACAGATAATTATCTCTCTGGTGGTCCTGTGCCCCTTCTATAGCTGAGCGAGGATTGTTGCCATTTTATCTAGGTTAAATACGTAAGAGAAGTTGGAGGTAGATCTATCTGAAAATTTATGGGGAACTATAATTGTATTGAGATCCTATGAGAAATTTTAATTTAGTTGTAACGATATTCGGATCATTATTAGCTTACCAGAACAGACCATCTACAGAGGTAATTGTTCAATCCCAGTTCTTCTACTTATTCGAGGAAGTTCTTCCAGATATGGTCTAATTTTCTTCGAAGGGCGTTGAAACGCTGCAGGTACGATAGCTTTGAGAGATCTACTGGCAACGCCTTTGAGAGCTCAACTGACGACGCGTTTGAAAGTATCTGGCAGTCCAACATCTATGATGACATAGATGCAACTTGAAAAAGGCCAAGGTCATTGGTGAACAGGTCGGTATCGGCCCAAGACGTCTCTGCAATGGAAGTTTCGTTGTCGTTCAGAACTTCTACTTCTTCGTATTGACGTTGTTTTACTAGGTAAAGTTCATTTGACTTAGCTACTGTTTTCTACTTTAATCCTGGCATAAATTTTGTTTCTAGCTTATTCTTCAGAATTACTTCCCGAGCTCTCGCTATACCCACGACGCTCACACTTCTCGCTACGCTTCTCGCACTATTCTCGCTAATCTGACTACCGCTCTCGCTACCCTCGCACTACACATCTCTTTCTTCTCACTACCTCGCTACCACTCCTGCACCACTCTCGCACAAGTTCCACCTCCATCTCTCACTACACCCACCCCCATCCCCATGCCGCCCCATGCCCAATGACCTCTCGATCCAAATCAACGACTACGACACCTACCAGGCCGCCCCCTCCAAGCTCGACCACCTCTACTCTCATGTGTCGCAGGTCCCCATCATCAGAATCTACGGCTCCATCTCAGTGGTGAATCCCCACAAAAGAAGAAGACCCCAAAACGCCACCGCCCCCTCTCCTCCTTCCTCCTGTTACAACGTACTCGTCCATGTCCACAACTTCTACCCCTACATCTACGTTGACTGCCACGAGGACCTGCCAGGCCCTGAACACCTCCAATACCTCACTGGCCACATTGAAGCTGCGTTGGCGGAGTCGTTCGCGAAGTCGAGGTCTAGAGCAGCTGCTAACGACGACGACGACGACGATGGCGACGACGACATTGCGCCAGCCTCGCCATCCATCCGCAAGTACATCGCCAATGTCTCAGTAGGAAAAGGTACCCCCATCTACGGATTCCAGCTTGGGTTGCAAAAGTTCTACAAGATCTCGTTGTTGGCAGCTCGCCACAAGACGCGCTTGATTAAGCTCGTGCAAAGCAAAGCCATCAACTTCAGTGGCCTCAACAGCCCGTCAGCGTCTCGAAACGTCTACGAGGGCCACTTGACCCATCTTGTCCAGTTTCTCACCGATTTCAACCTCTTTGGGTGCGGATGGTTGAATGTCAGCACCGATGGCGTATACTTCAGGAGCCCTATCATCAACCCGGCTCTAGCTCGGTTCCACACGAGCGACCAGGTCAGCACGCTCGTGGAGTTCTTACAGGCGTATATCAGCCATTCCAACGTGCTAGCCAGCCTGGGGAAAGGTCAATTGGAATCACAGCTGGACTCGAGCACGGGAATGGTCAATTTTGACCGTATTGGCAAGTCCATGTTGGAGCTTGATATCACTACCAAAGATATCTCTAACCGCCAATGGCTCGTCCAGAGAGACCCCCACCTGGACTTCAATGAGTTGCGACACTTCCGGCAAAAGCTCCAGGAGGGCACCCATACACCGACCCCGCCTCAAATATACCTCTCGTCGCTTCAACATGTGGACGCTGACCTCAAATTCCAGTGTGAAATGAAGCAACTGACGCTAGATAAGGCCCCATCCATCTACATTCCCTCGGAATTCCAGCTCCCTTTTGGAGTCCATTTTTTGGGTACAGGCTCCACGACCTGGTCGAACCAAAAAGAGTTGGACGACTTGTTGGCATACGCTATCAAATTAAATACTCCAACTCAAATGGATATCGACACCTATTCAAAAAAGGTGTTGAAAAAGCCCCGTCAAAAGTCAATTGTTTCGGCAAAGTATCCCGATATTCTGTTCCGAACTTGCTTCGAATTAGTTGACTACGAGAGTCATCTCAAACATCACGATTTTGTGCTCCAAACGGGTCCAGATCTTGTGCAATGGACAGATTATGCCTCATTATTCACTAATTCGGTTGCACCTCCAATTCTATCTCGCCCAAAGACCGATAGTCTGATTCCATCCACACATGTTTTGGCCTCAAATGAAATCAATGAACTGATTTTGAATATGAGCTTCACAAGCAACTTCTCTGATAGCACACCAGAATCTGCCAATAAAGCGACAGCAAAGCATGAACCTACACCGAGGATTGATACCCAGCGACCCAAAATAACCAATAATGGAGATACTTCAGAGCTGGAGGATTCAGATGAATTTCCAGATAGTCCAGAAGTGCCAAAATCAGAAAATGAATCGGATAGTATCGATTGGGGAGATGATGATCCAGCATTGAAAATGACTGACGAGGAATCCGAAAACGAATTCAGTAGTGATAATCTTGAGATCAGTCAGTTGCATGAAGTCGATGAGAATATAATGTTCGAGCTTACTCAAAGGCGGGCCAACAGAGTGACTGGAGTTCTGCAAAATCCTACCTTTTCCAGAACCCCTACTACCCAAATACAGTCTAGCGCTGGTTCAATTGCCCCTAAATCAGTTGATGAGGGTTTGGAGTCAAAATTGCAAATTCCAAGTTCGTTTGAGCCCCACCCTCATTCGCAACCGGGTTCTATAGATGTGGATGTAGCATTTGGACCTATTGCATATGAAGTCCCCGTTCCAGCCGAATTGGAAAAGTCATTCATATCAGAAACATTCGATCAGATGGGTATTTTGGAGATAAATTATCCAGATCCTTTTTATGACAATGAGGCAGATGTGCCAGCAAAACCTATGGTTTTTGCGAATAAGAAAATCCCAGTTCCGTTAGTGAATGAATCCACCTTAGCTTCGTTACCAGTATCAGCAATGATTGAAAATTATATGAAGGAGCATCCTGTTAAAGAGAAACACACGAAAAGTTATGGTAAGGCCTCTTGGGAATATTCCATTGAACCTCCATCAAAAGAAGAAATGGACGAATGGTTGAAAGAGGAGGAAGAATACAAAAAGCAGAAATACTTGAAGTTCAGATCTCAAATTGAGCCAGGGATTACTCAATCGCATTTCAAATTCACTTATAATTCACTAAAGGTTCAAAGAAAACCGAACGATTTTAATAACCTATCAAACTTCTTCTTAGAGATCCACTCAAATAATTTTTCGAAAGATCATTTACCAAACCCAGCGTGTGATCCGCCAACCATTTTATTATATCATTTTGATGATGCAAACGATATGTTTACTAGCAATACTTTGACTACTGGGATTTTGATATTCAGCAATAAGCATGAAGCAAAAACCATGTCTTCTCTTCTGCAAGCACTTGATATCCCCATAGAGTTGTTCCAACACGAGCTAGATATGATTAAAAGATTAGTGGAATTAGTCGAGTTGTTTGACCCTGATATTTTGTCAGGTTACGAGGTTAATGCATCAAGTTGGGGATACCTCGTAGAGCGAGTTAGAACCAAATACGACTTGAATTTATTGGCAAGCCTCGGAAGGGGCCATTGGAAGAGCAATGGTAAATTTGGAGACCGATGGGGTTACACACATACATCAAACCTCACTGTCAATGGTAGACATGTATTCAATGTTTGGCGAATCCTCAGGTCAGAACTAAGCCTTACGTCTTATACTTTTGAAAATGTCTGCTTCCATTTGCTCCATCAGACTATTCCAAAGTACTCAAACTATCAGTTGACAGAGTGGTTCAACACTCCTATCTTTCTGCTAAACATAATGATGTTAAAATACTATCTTCAAAGGATCGATCTCACATTGAAAATGATCACGGTTCGAGAATTGATCTCTAGAAATGTCGAACACTCTAGATTGATTGGTATCGATTTCAACTCTAATTTCTACCGTGGTTCCCAATTTAAGGTTGAATCCATTTTGTCTAGAATTACGAAGCTGGAAAACATTCTCTTGAACTCACCATCAAAGGACCAGGTGCAAAAAATGCGACCTATAGAGTGTATTCCGTTGGTTATGGAGCCGGACTCCAATTTCTACAAATCTCCTATGGTCGTTCTCGATTTTCAGTCTTTGTACCCGTCGATTATGATTGCGTACAATTACTGTTACTCTACAATTGTTGCAAGGCTCCATAATTTCAATCCTAAGAAAAATATTTTGGGGTACTTGAAACATGTTCCGTTGCCATCTGGTATGATAGATTTATTAATGAAAGAGGATGGCCTTAATGTGTCGCCTAATGGATATGTATTTGTCAAAAGCCACATCCGAAAATCAATTCTTGCTAAAATGTTGGAGGAGATCTTAAATACAAGAATTTTAGTCAAAACAGTTATGAAGCTATTCAAGGAAGATAAGGAGTTGAACAAGCTTTACAATGCGAGACAATTAGCATTGAAATTAATAGCTAATGTTACATATGGTTACACATCAGCTACATTTAGTGGTCGAATGCCAAACCTGGATGTTTCTGATGCAATTGTTGCTACTGGAAGGGAGATATTAACTCAATCAATTGAGCTTATCGAGGGAGGAGATTTTGGTGCCAAAGTGGTGTACGGTGACACCGATTCTCTTTTCGTGTACTTTCCAGGCAAATCGAAAGATGAAGCATTTCGAATAGGAAAGAACATAGCAGAATATGTTACTAACCAATTCCCTGATCCTATTTTTCTCAAATTTGAAAAGGTTTACCATCCATGTGTATTGTTAAGCAAGAAGCGGTATGTTGGTTATAAGTTCGAATCTGAGGACCAAAAAGTTGCTTCATTTGAGGCGAAAGGGATAGAAACTGTCAGAAGGGACGGGATTCCAGCACAGCAAAAAATTGTTGAAAAAGCATTAAGGATTCTATTTGAGTCCAAGAACTTGTCTAATGTTAAACACTATACCCTAACCCAATTTCTCAAGATTGTTACGAACAAAATAGCAATCAACGACTTCTGTTTTGCAAAGGAGGTCAGATACGGAACCTATAAAGATGAGCGGTACTTGCCACCTGGAGCAATTATCGCAGAAAAGAATGTTATCAAAGATGCACGCAAGGAACCCCAGTACAGGGAAAGGGTTGCTTACTTGGTTATTAAAGACTCGTCGAAACCTAGAATCAAAGACCGGTGTATAACCCCCGAAGAATTCTTGGAGAGTTTCAAAACCTCAAGTCCATACAACTTGGACTATGACTACTATATTACCCGTGTACTCAGTCCACCATTGGAAAGAATATTCAACTTAATCGGAGCAGATATCAAGGCCTGGTATAGGGAGATTCCGAAATTTATCAAGGGCACAATGACAAACAAGGGTATGGAAACGAAGACTCTGTTAGATTTGAACGAATTTATTCAGGCCAACTCTTGCCTAAATTGCAGCACCGAATTGCCTGCGATGTACGATTTCATGCTTTGTCGGGAATGCAAAAGCGATGAATTACGACTAATGACTAATTTTTCTATGGATCGAAAGCATAGCCAGTTAAAGCGTTTTGGTGTGGATCAAATATGCGACTCGTGTGTAACGACTAACCTCCTGGTTGCTGGTGGTGTTGTCAAGAACTTTTGTATGGAGGAGTGCTCGAACTACAGTTGTAACGTCTTGTATCGGAAAGCAGCGGTGAGGAATGAAGGACGCATAAATGAGGAGATTAGTGCAAGAGTTTTCGATGAAATGGAGTGGTAGCACTCGAAGATACAAATACAACATAACAAAACTTATGTAAGTTTCAGACTACAGCAAAAGAAGTCATACGAAATGTGCGTTGGATACTGATGAAGTCTATTTATGCTTAAATAGGTTTAGTGTCCTTCCAGCTGCCTTCAAACATGTGCTTGGCGTATGCCATAGGATGAGTAGTGTCTCCTGCTCCCATTTGTCCCACATCAGGACTGAAAGAAGTGATGGGTAAAACCATCACATCGTCAATCGCAATAGGCATTTCCATGCCCGTGAATAACTTCCAGGAAACCACCTGTTCGATAACATTCTTTTTCAAATTTTCGGGGGATTGAAAGATATTGTTCATGTATTCAAACACCATGTCAGTCCAAATTCCAGGACCAGTCCAGTTCATGATGTCACCGCCGGCATCCTTGCCCAATGTCTTTTTCAAGGCACCCTTTTTCTTGCGTTCGAGGGTAATTTCGGTGATTTTGGTAATCAACTCTCTCAACATGGGATGGCCCCTCTTAGCCTGGATGGTCCACTGGCAGAATTGAATTCTTCTGGCATACCATTCTGCCCAGTCGGGTCTGTCTGGGTCTGCCTCAATACCTACCACCAACCCAGGGTTGTTTGGCTTTCCGTACAAAGTTGCGTTGTTCGAGAGCCAGGTATCTATCGGCTTGATACTCACGGTGTCGATATCGGAATAGACTCCTCCACGAGCAAAGAGGATCAAGTATCTGAAAAAGTCTGCTTTCAAGATGCTCTTGGGCATAATGTTGTAGGCCTCAACTACGTCGGGGACGCCCTGGTACAATTGGTTGATCAATTCGATGCATTCTTCATCTTTGATCACGAAATGCTTGTAGCCCTTGTTGACTTCTTCCCAGGAATTCTGGAATTTTCTGAAGTTGGCTGGAAATTCGCTATCTTCCAAATCGACCTTCCATGTTTGCCAGATATTTTTCTGAAACGGCTTGTCCAGCTCGTAGGGGAACTGGTAGGCAAGTTGCTGCCTTACTGTTGATTCTATTGGCAAGGAGGCCTTCTTATTAGGCTGGAAGTTAATTCCGTACTCTTTCCAGTTCATGTTGTCTTCCAATTCTCTTGCCAACTGAAGCCTGGCTGAGTCTATGGAAGTTCTATGCGATGCTCTTGGTTTGGAGTACGAGTGGGTCAATGCGTACATGAAATAGAGTCCTAGGAGTGTTCCAACGACAAGCCTGTTCCTGCGGTTCCAAAAGGACATGTTGTAATCTTTCGTTGGTGGTACTCAGAATGGCACAACAGCACAGATTTTTGGCAGATGGATGCAATTCAGCTGGCGTGGAGGCTAGCTGGAGTATAAGTGTGTGTGGCTGAAGAATCTAAGAAGACTTCAAGCAAAAACAGCCTTTCTGGATCGAAATATCTGGATGGATAAAACAAGACGCCTCGTTAGATCAGGATATGTGTTTGTTAGTAGATCACGTGCATGCAGTTGTGATTGTTCAAGGCGATATTTTGGAGGTAAAGGCAGTTTACCAGGCCCACAGAAGAGTGTGGAGCGTCTCTCAGGAGTATACATAATTAGAAGCGATAATATACTAGAGAATATTAGAGTCAAACAGGTATCTAGTATTTCTAGTATTTCAATGATAAAATTATTTTTGCTGTACCCTTTGTTATAGATAGTACTACCACCCTGAAATATGAATGTGCCCATCCACCATTGCCTACATTTATTGATAATTAAACTCGCAATATGCATTTAATAAATAAGTATAACTTTATAAAATTACCCAATGTCTAAATCCAATAGTAATAACTAGAAAAATAGGCACTTTTCAATAACCCAAGAAAACAAAAAGATTTATAAATTGACCCATTAACAACTTTTCTATAATCTGTTTTTCTATCTCGTAAAAAAACGTTCTTTCGCCTTTTCTTTCTATGAATGTGAATATTAATACAATTTATGATTTGAACTGAAAACGTGGAGCCAACTAGGCCCTATCAGCATCAACTCATAAAAAATGAAACTTTGTAGCAGCAATTCAAAAAGAAAAAGCCTGTTTTGATTTTCTGAAACGAAAAAACCAAAAGTAATTAATGCAAATGTGATGATAATCTTTTCTTCTTTCCTGACGAAAATAGATCGAGACATGGAGTGATATAACAAGTAGATGAAATAATAGTGAAAATGCACAATCAAGTGATTCGATAAAACACAACAAAAATGAACAAAAATTTAACTGAAATGTGAATTCATAAAGTCATAAGAAAACCAATCTATGAATACCACCTCAGATAATCATGATAATCAGCTTACCACCAGGAGTTGGCAGATGAGCTTGGGTTACCGTAACTGGATTCACCTCCGTAAGAGGATCCACCACGGCCACCGTAACCACCGGAAGAGGAACCCCAGCCACCGGAGGAGCTGCCCCATCCACCAGAGGAGGAGCCGCCGTAGCCACCGCCACCACCTTGTCTTCTGAAATCTCTGCTTGGGCCTCTGCCACCACGAGAGCTTCCACCACGACCTCTGCTACCACCTCCGAAGGAAGCTTCTCTAGCAATCTTGGTCAAGAAGTCTGGCATTTGTTGGTTAGATTCACTTAATAATTCGGTCAAACCCTTGGCAATATTCTTGTTGTTTCTGTTAAAGAAAGCAGTAGCAATACCAACGTTACCAGCACGACCAGTACGACCAATTCTGTGAACATAGTCATCAATATCACTTGGTAAATCATAGTTGACAACGTGAGAAACATTTGGAATATCCAAACCTCTGGCGGCAACAGCGGTGGCAACTAAAATTGGAGCAGTACCACTCTTGAAAGCAGCCAAAGCCTTTTCTCTTTCGTATTGGGATCTGTCACCGTGAATGGCAGTAGCTGGGAAACCTTGATCGTACAAGAAATCAGCTAAGTTGTCTGCCATTCTCTTAGTTTCAGTGAAAATGATGGTTAATCCGGCATCACCAGCAGACAATAAGTCCAATAAGACGGACTTCTTTTCTTCGTCTTCGACGTATAAGATCTTTTGGGTGATGTTTTCAGAAGTAGAACCAACTCTACCGACAGACAAGAAAATGTATTCTCTCAAGAAGTCTCTAGCCAAAAGTTGGATGTCTCTTGGGAAAGTAGCGGAGAACATAAGAGTTTGTCTGTTTTCAACATCAGGCATGTCACATTCTTGGACAATGTGTCTGATTTGAGGTTCGAAACCCATATCCAACATTCTGTCGGCTTCGTCCAAAACCAAGTACTTGATGTTGGCCAAGGAGACTCTGCCTCTTTCCAACAAGTCCTTAAGACGACCTGGAGTAGCAACCAAAAGATCACAACCCTTGTCCAAGTTTCTAATTTGACTTCCGATGTCAGCACCACCGTAGACAACGGCAGGACGGACCCAGGATCTGTAAGAAAACTTCTTGGCTTCATCGAAAATTTGGGAGACCAATTCTCTGGTTGGGGCCATAACCAAGGCGGTTGGGTAGACCTTGTGGGAGGAGAAGGCACCGGTGGAAGCTGGGACTTCAGCAGGACCGTTCATGTAGGATTCGGACAACACTGGGAACAAGAAACCACCAGTCTTACCGGAACCAGTTTGGGCACAGGCCATCAAATCTCTGCCCCCAGCAACGATAGGGACGGAGTACTTCTGGACAGGGGTTGGCTTGATGAATCTGGACAAAGTAACGTTTTCGACCAACAATGGGTCCAATGGAGGAGCAGTGAAGGAAGTGATTGGTTCTGGGACACCCTCACCGGAGGCTTCGACTGGGATGTCATCGTAGTTGTCAAAGTTGATACCAGAGGATTGGAAAGAGGAGTCTTCGGCGGTACCGAACAATTCCAATTCCATCTTCTCGTTACGGGGAGCAGGTTCGTGCTTTCCGTCGACCCATCTGCCGACACCTGGTCTGGAGGCGTTTCTGCCGAAACCACCACCACGGCCACCACCGAAGCCGGAGCCACCACGACGACGTTCGCCGCCAAAGCCACCACCGTTGCCGTAACCGCCGCTACGACGTTCGCCGCCGAAGCCGCCACCGTAGTTGCCTCTGCCAGCGGCAGAACGACGCGAGCCTCCAAAGACTCCATCAGGGTTATTACGGAGGTGTGGTGGGATGTATCCACCTGCTCTCTGGGAAGGAGCGGCGCCCTCACCTTGTTGGGGCGCGGCGTTGTCTTTAATAGAGAGGCTGCTTAATTGTTGAGTGAAATCAGTCATCTTGGATATCTATAGTTTACAAAAGTGTACTGATAGAGGCGATTGCGATTATATATAGGGCAGAAAATTTTTCGCGGTGGGTTGCGTGGTGGGCGCACGACAGGCCCCTTGGGGGATTTCTTTTGGTCCGAAGTGCACGTGAGGGATGAGATAAGGTCATCAATGGCGGAGGGTCAGTAACCGAGGAGGGCTGGGATGGTGGGAGCAGGCGGGATGGTCGTGTGGAGTGAGAGGGTGGGGGTTTGGAGGTTTGCAGATTGGGGGACGAGAATTGGAGAAGAGAGGGGTTGGAAGGGCTGCGCGTAGAACACACGGCTGAGCCGTTGACCGAGCGAGGGCGAGGGGCTAGGGAGATGCGTGGGATTTAGCGGGATTTAGCGGGAATCAGTGAGAAATCAGCGGGAAATCAGCGGGAAATCGGCGGTAGATGCATCGCTAGCGCGGGGCTGCTACGTTAGACGCAGGAGGCTAGGGAGAAGTCTCGCTAGCGTAAGAGCGAGAGTGAGAAGTCATAGCATGGATGAGGAGTTGCAGTCTTTGGCACTGGGTATACTTTTAACGGTACTGGTTGTTGGTGTGACTCACTTCTGGTACAACCCAATGCCAAGGACTTGGTCTACGGCAGTCTAGCTTGTACAGTTAGTGGTAGCACCGTGGTTCCTTGGAGATAGATTATAGTGCTGGTTGCACTGGCTAGGCACAACCACTTCGTAGGTATGCTGGTGATGGGTCATTCGTTAGGAAGTGCTCCACAAGAGCACTGCTAACTGACCTCGTAGAATGCTCACTTGATAGCATTTGAAACGCGTCCTCTTCTATTTGCTACGATTTGATTGTCTCGTTCGCTACCATTTTAACATTCAGCAAGGCTCTCTCTGCCATGCTTCCGCTGTTGATTCCACTCACGAGATGTCCAAAACACAAAATCGTGGTGTTAAAAGCACAAATAATCCATGATAAATCAAACGGGTTCAATTCCTACAAATTCTAATCGTAATCGTAACATTAATGCCATGAGCTAGGATAGAATGTAAATCGCCAGAGCATGCTGTAGAAAGCGACATAGGTTTTCTCCCAACAATCCAGGCTCAAGAATTATTCTTAGTATCTGTGAGGAGTGTCACTCTCGCTGTGTAGCGCTCCAGGATAATTCTGGCCCCAAGATGATCTCAGCTAGTGATTGTCAGGCTAATCACGTGACCAGTACCAATGGCCACATTAGTGGAGTTTAAGAGGCTCAAATGGGGGCGAAGACTATAGCCAGCTCGTAGAAACTGAGCAATATCGTCTAGCACATCATATAGAATACAAGTAGTGTAGATTATGGTCGATACCACCACATTTCCTGTCATTTCAGGCTACCGGAAGTCGATGGAGCACGTGATTTGGGGTCGTAAGTGTTCCTGGCCTGCAGTTTCGAACCATCTAGAGGTTGGATGGATTGTACCCAGTGTCTCTCACCATCTCATATCTGCCTGGATTGCGTTTCGCTCTTTTGTTTTCTGGAGTTCTCGCAAGCTACATCTCTCGTGTGTCTTGCTAGTGAGTCTCGCTCCACGTATGCTGAGTTTCTCGCTGGCTCTCTCTATTTGTAGCATACCTCGAGTATCTCCTGTCGCTGGCTCTTTGCTGGGGTGTCTCTCACTATTTCTCGCTAAATTTCCAGTCTGTCTCCCACCGGGTCATATTTTCCTTATTCCTCTCGTCGCTAGTTCTGCCTAGTGTCTCTCGTCACTTTGTTGCCTGATGCCCATCGGTGACATAATCCCCGATGTCACCAGCTCTTTCTGCTATTTTCAGCACAGTATCTCCTCTTTCACCTGTCTCACCTCACGGTATCTCTCGTTTTCTCTCACTCGCACCTACCTCCTCACTACACTCTATCGATTCATTTCTCATTACGCTATTGATGGTTGGCACTGGGGGTCCCCAGTTCGCTGGCTAGCGAGCTGTAGGACGAGCTCCGGGTGATGCTGGTGGGGGTGGTTCCAAAGAGTGAGATCTTGGCCTTGGGGTGCGCGTAGCACGTCCGGTCGTCACCATTGCCGTATGTGGTGGGCAGGGGGCTGATCTCGAGCACACTAGCGTCGCCGTCGCCGTCGCTGGGCGTGGATGACGAGCTATCGCTGGTGTAGTTGATGTCGAACTCGCTCTCGTGGTCATAAGTATCAATGTGGAGGTTCTCGAGGCTCACGGGGTCGTGCTTGCGGTACCGCTTCTGGTTGCCCTCGCTCAACAAGTGGCTGAATGGCTTCTGGGCCTCCCGTACGTTCCAGTTCAAGTTGCGGCTCACGCTGTCAAAGTACTCCGTTTTTGATGAAATCACGGTCGGAAACGGGAACTGACTGGCCTGGATAGTCACGTAGTCGCCCCTGCTCAACTCGGTACGCACTTTGCCGTCAAACGATGCCCACGCAGTGGCCCTGCTGGTTTCCGGCACCTTGACCTTTAAGAACATGCCGTCTGGCAACAAAATGGGGCGGAACGACAACGTGTGGGGACAGATGGGGGTCACGCTGATGGCGCTGACGCCAGGGTGCACCAACGAACCACCTGCCAGCAACGAATACGCTGTGCTGCCAGTGGGCGTAGCAATAATAAGTCCGTCAGCCTGGGCCACCGTCAAAAGCGAGCCGTCGCCGTAGAGCTCCAACTGGGTCACGTACGGACTGGGTCCCCTGTCCACCACCAACTCGTTCAACACCTGCTGATCGCACACCACAGTGCCGTCAGCACGGTGCACTCGGCAGGTAAATCTCATCCGTAAGTACGCTCGCACTCCAGCGTCTAGCACCAGGGTCATGGTGTCGCGGAAATGCTCGAACTTGAAGTTGGTCAAGAACCCCAACGACCCCAATGCAAACAGGATCACCGGCGGTACCACTCGTTGGTACATGTTAGACACGTAGAGCACGGTACCGTCGCCTCCCAACGTGAGCACCAAGTCGAAGCGCTCGGGATTGCGGGAAGCGACCTTCTTGTCCCAGAACCGGAGGTACTCACGGGCCTTGGGACAGGCTTCGCTAATTTCTGCTGCGTTGAACCGCTTCAGCTTGGCCAAGCTGCGGTCCACGTACACGGTGATGTCCTTGTGGCGCGTCAAGAGCCACTCCACCACCTCGCGGGTCAAGTAGATCAACGAGTTGTCCCGCGCCTTGGTCACGATCATGATGGCTCGCACGTCGAGCTGGATGGTGGCCTTGGACAAGTTCTTGGCCAACATCCGCACCCCATTGGCGGTTTCTGCCAACTCAGCGTGCGATTTGACCGACCGCAAGTCGTCGTTACTGAGCTTCAGCAACACGGTCGACGACACCTTGCGCTGGACCTGGTCGCAATAGAGCTTGTTGTGGATGCGAGGTTGCTCCCGAGAGTACCCCTGGCTGGTTGGGCTGGTGCTGAGGTGGGCGCTGAACTTGCGCCTCAACGAGCTGGTGGTTCGTGCTGGCCTAGCGCTGTCCTTGCCGTTGGTGTCTTTGCCTTCGCCAGCGGTGCCGTCGCTGGTGATCTGCTTGGTGAGTTGGCTCTTTGCCGCTGGCTTCCAGCCGGCGTTGGGAGGTCTGGACATGGATACAGCGGTATCGATGGAATGGTAAGGAGAGACTGGAGGCAGATGGTGATCTAGTGTTAAATTTTCAGTCGCAAATGCTAGTGGGGGCGCGCGCTAGGCCCACGGGGAGCAAAAGGTAGTACCGGGAAGATTTGGAAGTGGGTGGCGGTGGCCGGAAAAGGAGCCAGAGGCGAGCTGGGTACAGCTATTGCCACTAGGTACGTCTATAAACGCAAGGAAGTGTCTCCAGCTCGCTGCCAGCACCTCACAAGGTGCTAGGCTACACTTGTTAGTGGACTCTGGTGGCAAATCCGGGTACGGATTACGGTGCGGGCTCTAAAATTTACCGAGACTCGCTATGGCCCTCGGTACGGCAGCACTACGGGGCATCAATATGGTCAATTCTTAATTTTATGTCGAGAATGAAGACTACACCCAGCTTGATGGTTGTACTCTGATGAATGATGATCTAACTCCTCCAACAGTAGCAGTAAGGATAGGCATCAACCAGTGTCACCATGTAATAAGTACTACTAGCAGCAAGTAATCAGAAATGGTGCCATAACAATAGTAGACCTAGTATCCTGGTGAAAATCGATAGACTCATTTTGGTTTCAATTTCTTGTGAAGCTATGCATGCAATGGTAGTATATTAATTCATTTGGTGCTAATTTAGCCAGGTAGACCTAACTACCAACAATAAAAACACCAATTTTTATGAGGAGAAATCTAGTTTCAATTCAGCAGCACATCAAACTAAATAGTAGTGTATTTGTATCTGCGTAAGATTGTATAGCTTGGATATGCTAAATAATTAAAGTATCTCTGAGTTTTTTAGCTGCTGCTACCATTGATGTAAAAAATTAAAGTATCTCGATCGATAAATATCGAAGACGGTGTAAATCACGAAAGAGGGCTTTTCTGGGGCTAGGCATTGGTAGGATTACTTCCAACCCTGTTCATCTCTATTTATTGGCATTTTGGGGCTTGAATGATGACTTCCTATCAGCAATAAGCTGGTAGTATGCGATGAACTGCGAGCAACAACTCCTCCTTAATTCATCAATTATTGTACTCAAATCGCCCAGCTCACTATATGATATCTTCGCTACGGCTGTGGTAGCATAAATGGAGTACAACTTCATACCTACGCTCGAGCTTCATTTTTCGTATTTTCAAAAGGTTAATCTAATTTAACAGATATATCAATATCCCCATTGATATGATTATTGACGGCGGTTTAACTATGCTGTGAGTATTGTAGAAGGATGGTATACTATTCGAATCTACGCTGCAAGTTCACATATGTCATCCAATTCAACTCAACTGTTGTCAATCTGCTTATAGTATGCATATGGATATTAAGGGACATATCTACACTATGAGTAGCTTCAGAGCCGTTCCGTTATGAGGTATATTACTATAAATGTCTACCATAAGTTATGGATTCTACCAGTGATCTAGGCAACCTGGTCAATACGACATTTCCAGCCCTTTCCATCCAACAACGGCAATGAGGCACCCAAGCACCATCCAATTTCGTTGTTATCGATCTTCTGGGCAGTTCTCAATTCTCTGTGCAAAGGAATATCGTAACCAGTGTGCAAAAGAGCAGTGACGAACGATAAATCCAAGCACCATTGAGGCTCTTCTTTCAATTGCTTGACATGATCGTCTAACAACACGTCCTTCCACAACAGCTCACCGTTACACACCACCTTGGCCAACTCGGTCAATTCCTCCACCGTGAAAGACGAGGGGAATCCCAATGGGTTGGTTCTGTCGTAGAAGAAAGAAAACACATACATGTCAGAAGATCTTCTGAACGCCTTGGTCAACGAAGGTTGGTGCACACCGTTGAAAGAGCATGGCTTGGTGGTACACTCCTTCTCCTTGTCTAACACTTTTTCAGCAAGGAACCGGCACTGGGCTCCGTTGGCGACTGAAGGGCCCTTCATGTTGACCACGTAGAATTCATCTGCACCGAGCTCGACAAGAACGTTTTCAGCGACAACTCCTGGAGCAATGCATGGGTTGTTGATGGTGAGGGTGGCTTTGGCCTTCTTGGCATCGGCCTTGGAGCTAATCTTGGACTTGGATACCTCAGGGTTGCTATTAAGGGCTGATTGCACAACCAAGCCGTTAATCTTGTTTCTGCCTTGCATCAATCCAAAGCCCAAGTGCGAATATTGGTACAAGGTGAAATCTCTGTCGCCAAACAGGAATTCGTACTTGTGCTCGCCTTCAACCATCTTCTCATTGTTGCCGAATTCTGGCTCGAAAACAATCTGGGTGGAGCCTCCACCTAAGTCAAACACAGCAGCAGTGGGAGTCTTTTCGGAAGACCCAATGTTGCCCAACAAGTAGTTGGCAGTGACCCAGGCGTATACACCCTCGTCTCTGCCGTCCATGATGGAGATACCGTCACCCTCGACCACTGCAAATGGGTAGTCTTTTTCGAGATGTCTTCTGACCTCAGCCAAGATGTTGTTGGCCTTTTCCTCACCCAACATTCTCAAGCCTGCTGTAGCCTTGACGGCTACAGGAGTGCATGCCTGCTTGTCCTTTGGCACCGTCTCTAAAGCCACCTTCAACAAGGGGTCTAAGGACGCAGCGGCACCCTTGGTGTCAGTGTCGAACGACGACAATCCGGGATTCAACATCTTGAACTCTTCCTTTAACAATTTGGGTGGAGCTTGACAGGTATCAAACTCATACACATGCACACGAGACCCAGTGGATCCTGCGTCAATCATCACCACGTATTCCTTCTTGTCACAGGTGCCAGAGACTCCCGTCTTGGGCTTGGATCCACCAGCTGGCGCCTTGGCAGCAGTTCCAGCGGCTGGCTTGGAATCACCACTGGTGGGAGTGTCGGTTCCGATCTTGTCAGCAATGACCTTGGGCTTGGAGTTGGCGCCACCAGCCTTGTCACTCTGGGAGTATGGCGGATCCACGCTCTGGGGAGTGCCCTTGATGTTGTTTGGTTCAGGGTGTTCTTTGAAAGGGACGTGGTCGTCGGAGCTGGCCGCGGGTTGGACTCGCTGGACATTGTCTCCGAGGGAGTTCTGGGACATGGCGAAGAACGTCACGATCCCGAAGATCGCCAACACGGAGACGATGACACGGATGTTACGGGTGGAAATCATTGGTGATGTGGTGAGTGGTGAAAAGGTGTTGAAGTACGCGTAGATGGACGCACGTGATGGGTGTGAGCGTTGGCTGAAAAGAAACGGAGATGGAGTGGAGGAGTAGTTTGGGGGCGGTGGGGGTTGTTCGGGAGTTATTTGGGGCTTTTTGGGTGGTCCTTCTCGTAGTTATTTTGGGAGCAATTGAGTGGCTCTTGCCCGTTTGATGCTAAACTGCGGTTCATCGCAGATTAGGCTGAGTATTGAAATTGTGGCCACGCAAAGGACATACTTGTGCTGACTTCTAGGTTAACTTCTGGGATGCTGGTTTCGCCAGGAAATGTTGATGCCCTTAGCCCTGTCCTGTTACCTTAATTGTAATTATGTTTCTTGACTTGCAATGGATTTTGGAAACATAAATTCCGTGCTCATTCTTTAAATTCCAGTCAACACTACCATCCCACCAACTAACTATGTATTTGCTCTCTATCCCTTTGTAGTCTAGAACTTTTCCCTGGTGTCTCCCCATCCGCTCCTATTTTGTATCTGTATTTTCGCCAGTAATATTTACAACCTTATAATAGGCATAACATTGAATTTCGAGAAATCAAAATCAAAAACTAAAGGAGATGTCAGGACACTGAGTGATTTGTTGCAGAATCGAAGGGTGTTTTGCGGTGCAAATGGCCAAAACCTCTGATTTTTTAAGTGGAGTAGATGCCTTTTTGAAGAAGCTGCAAGGAGGAAATTCCTGAGGCTAACTCTAGCTACTTGCCTANGTGTATCTTTTATGCACATCATTCTTTTTTATCGTCATATACGTTGCTATTGTGTTTATCTACTAATTCTCATTCATATCCATTGCTAGTATTAATCGTCTAGCCTTACCATTGTAATTCTCGTATCCTTTCTATTGTAATTATCTTAAATTTATCTTCTGACCGGTCCTATTGAGTTTATCTTTCCCCACCCTCTTCGTCGTATCCGAAATGATTGTTATTTGCCAATTTCCATCCATCTACTTACATAATGTATGACACATAATTGAATGAATACAATCTCCAAGATTTCCATTTAGGTAACCAACCGGTGCCGTCACTCAATAATTTGCATAATATTGATAATTGATGCCAAAGCCCTTTTACTCGTAGCAATAAATTCACAACTACATTTCGATATATCATTAGTGACTATAGATGCAATTCACTTCTAACAATTTCCAAGCGTCCATTATTCCAATCAATTCAGAAATTTGCTACCCTCTGCCGTAGAAGTTAACATCTTGAGACTATGTGCGGCAGTATCCGCAATCCGCGCTGGCTTCCCGCGATCTCATCCCGCTACGCTCGCGTGAGTTTAGCGAGACACTTCCACCACGACAGACACCATCCACTATACCGACCGGCTCCAGTGACCAGCGACAGCCACTAACTGGGCAGTTCCCCTTCACAGCCAGCACCGTCATTGTCGACACTCACCACGGCCTCCGCTCTGCAGTGGCCCACGCTATTCGCACCTACCACTGCCAGACCCCACCCCAGGAAATGATGCAATCACCGCCAGAAGAGTACAACTCCGGCACCGAATCCGACCAGCTGGATGTGGACAGCATGGTGATGCCGTCCAGCAGAGACACTACACCTGACACTGAGCTCCGACCTAGTTTCAAGCCATCGCCTGTCCGCGACGACTCTATCCACCGAGTGGCTCCTGCGAGAATCCGCGCGCTCGTAGCGCAAGTGTGTCCCTCCAGCGACCGTCACTACCAGGCCATTGCCAACTTCGTAACCAACAGTGTCCTCCAGGAGTTCGCCACCTCCGACGTGCACCACATCAACAGCAAGATCTTGAACAAGAACCATGCTACCGACCTTCAGCACCAAATTGACACCCTAGTCAGAGACAAGTACTTGGACCTCTGTATCGACGAGTTCATGGACGCCTGCGCTGGCGCGCTAGCGGGGGTGCTAGCACCCGCATCCTCTACCGAGAACCCGCAGTTATACGCGCACTACGCCCTAGTCTGGCGGCTCGACCCGCTGGAGCACCGCTGGTACCGCGAACAGGACTTTGAGCCAGAACGCTTTTGCGACACAGTCGGAGGGTTTGGCAGGCTCTTTGCCACTGGCTTTAGCATGAACCTCCGCCAGTTCCGAGAGTTGTACCTGCGGGGGCCCAGAATCGACCACGACGTGCTTGTGCTGGAGTCGGAGGAGACAGGGCGAATGGTACTGGGAATGGTGGTGCGACACAGGGCGGTGGAGGGTAGAGAGACCGTGCGAAAAAAAGTTAGTTTCGCGTTGGAGAAATAGAGGCCTTAGAATTGAGAACAGTACAGTTCTGAACAAAGAAAAGAGAACAGGCCAGAGCGTTTGGACTGGGGAAAAGTCTGAGAGTTCTGAAGAGTACACTGAGGCTCTTAACACAGTAGAGGTCCAAGAGGCACCAAAACTGCAACGCATCGTTTATATCTAGGATATTGAGCCATGGAATGGCGAATATGGCCGAAATGGCTAAAATGGCCGCAATCGCCGAAACCGGCAGAGATGTGTAATGCATATACTCCGGGGACCTCTCAGACAGAAGTGGGCCTTTCGTGGCCATTACTGTTCCGGAGAGCGTGGTACTAGAGTATGTGCTTCTTACAGCCCCTGACTATGTGGTGACACTATTTGAGCACCGCTCAGAGCCCATTTGTGCCAGAAATCGATGGCCCAAACAAAGGACCCAGGTGACCTGCATATAACCTAGTCTCCCAAACCCCATCTGTCATCCCGCAAATGATACGGATTAACCAAAATACCAAAGACTATCCAATGGAATGGAAACACCTCTCCATACACATCACCTGGGCAGGTAGATGTCTGACAATTCCAAATAGAGTAGCGTTCTTGCACAGCCCCGACGTTTAAAGTTGCCTGAGTGATTCGCATCTTTCTGATCAGATCGCAGCCAGATCCTAATCTAGATACGATCGCCACCAGAAAACTCCCAGAACAATACAAGAACAATACCGGGGTGGTATACTGGTGGGTGAAAACTTCTCAGACTCGTGTCCACACACAGTGTAGAACCTCAAGAGGCTGGGAGTTTTCCAGAATCACCAAAAGAAGCAGTTTTTAAGTGCCTGCAGATAAATAGACAGCCACGATCGACCAATTTGCGGAACGATCAGTGAAATGCCGACCGACTGTCAGAGCGATCATCTTGTCAAATTTCCATTAGCCGGTGCAATTATTCTGTGCAATAAGTACCCACCGCAGATTATCGTAACACAGCAGTGATCTACCGTGGATAGTGAAACGCCCTCCAGTAGCCCCATCGCAGATTTAACCATCGAAGCATTAGAGCGCCTGCGCCTGGTCACGTGAGTGCTCACGTGATCCAAAGGTGGAGAACACAATTCCTGATCACCACCGCCAACCACTTGCATCTTCTCCCACGCCGTTCTCTGTCCTCCTCACCTCACTCCCTCCCATCGCTAGTGGTCTCTTTGCCCTGCCCGCATCTAATCCCTCCCTTCACAATCTCCGCTGCCTCATCGTCGTCTTCAGACGTCTACCACCGCCCACATGCTATCCACAGCCGCTGACTCTCCTCCTCCCCAGCAGGAGTCCACAGGCGACCCTCCCAGGAAGAAAAAGAGGACGTTAGGCACTTTTCCGTGTGCCCACTGTGACAAAGTGTTCACCAGATCCGACCATCTTGCCAGACACAACTTGAACCATGAGCCCAAGGAGGTGTTTAAGTGTGACTTCGTGATCGTTGAGTACGGCGGAAACCAGCGAGTTTGCGGCAAGACTTTTGTGCGTAAGGATCTCCGGGAAAGACACATGAAAAGACACCTGGAGGTGGACTCCAGGCCGCAAATGAGCAATGGAAGTGCCAGGACCAGGTCTTCCAGGAAGTCCAGCGAGTCTGGCTCTAGCGTGGGCGACGATTCGCCTCTCACAGGTACAGACGGCGAAATACCGTCTTTTACCAAGCGTGAAGTGTCATCAGAATACTCCAACCACCCAGAGATCGTCCCGTCTGGAATAGCACCGAGCTTCAACCCGCAGTTTGCCCCTCCTTACCAAGGTCAGGCTTCCGCCCAGGCTCCTGCCCAGACTCCTCGAGCCCCCGATCAGGCTGCTCAAGCTCCTGCTCCTACTCCTATTCAGGCTCCAATACAGGCTGCAATACACGCTCCTGTTCAGCCTCCAATACAGGCTCCAATACAGGCCCCAATACAGGTACCCCAAGCACAATTGCCCACACAAGTCCACCAAAGCCCCAGCAACTATCACATCCGCCATCCCACCAATCCAACGTTCCCTGCGCAGCCTCCCAACCACTACATTAGCCCCATCGAATTCGCTAGAGATCTCTCCACAGGTAGCACGCTCCCCCAGAGCCAGAATGATATTTTGTCGTGGTTGTTCACCGAGTCTCCACCCAATAATATGGTTCCTGGCAGTTTGCCGAACTCCCATATGGGAAATAGGCCCAGTGGAGAAAATATGAGACTACCTCTTGACTTTCCATCCCATCAATTTATGTCGTCTCCCTACGGAGGGTCCCAATTTTCTCCGCCCAACGGAGAAGTTCAGCCAGGTATGAGCCAACACTTCAGATCGCCCGACCAATTTCCAGTTCCTCCGCAGGGAATGATGCCATCCAAGCCGGCCCAGGCTCCACGCACCGATGACACTTTAACTCCTTTCTACAACTTGAACAACGGTGCATTGACCTATGAGCTTCAGGACCTCAACATCTTTCTGAACGAGGACAATCCTCTCGACGAGGTGTTCATCCGCAACCGCGCGCAGACCAACTTCAAGAATCCCCTCTTGGATGGTTCCAGCGTAACCACGCCTGCTGGTGCCACTTTTCCTTCCACTGCATCCTCAAATTCGCCCACTGAGTCCAGCACCTCTCGCAAGGCTTCTGTGGTAGGTTTCAGTCCTGACTCCATTCCTCCTGTCAATTTCGAACCGTTGGAATCCAAGCTCGCAACCCACCGTCTCAAGCACAACCTCTCCAATAACCCACATATCTTCGTGGATACTCTTATCATTGACCTGTTTTTCAAGGCAGTTCCTCAGCTTTCCAGAAGCAAACTTGTGGCTCTTTTTGACCACGATGAACTCCATCAGAACTACACAATTGAGGACCGCTTGTCATACTACTTGTCCATTTATTGGCTAGTCTTCCATAAACAATTTACCTTTCTTCATGCTCCATCGTTTGATACCAAAAGTGCACCACCTCTCTTATTATTGGCCATGATTTTGATTGGATGCAATTACAGCTCTCCTGACCAAAGCGAGCATTTGGCCAAAGCAGGCAAAAAGTCGCCAGAATTCAAATTCAGCATGATGATTGCGGTTCCTCTCCGGTACTGTATCTTTGAACACGAGCATTTTCAGTCACCAGTGAAACTCTGGGTGCTCCAAAGTTTAGTGTTGCTTGAATGGTGTGAGAAGAACTTCTTGCTGAGAAGAATGCACGAAAGAGCACATGTTCACCATGGAACTACGGTCCAATTGCTAAGAAGATCTCCCTTATTGGGTGGCAACCCGTCTGCCCCAAAAAAGAATTCCACTTCAGCATCCGGATCAGCCACTCTGGCTGGAGAAGACGATTCAGATACGGTGACCAAAGAATTGGCTGCAAAGAAGGACACCTCCGATTATGATTTGTTTGTGAAGTGGGTGGAAGCAGAGTCCATGAAGAGAATTACATTCATGACCTTTTACCTCGACACTATAGATTACATCAAATTTCGTCACAATCCGCAAATTACAATTTATCAATTGCAGTTATTGAGTCTTCCAAGTGATGATGATCAATTATGGGAGTCCAAAGATGTCAATGGCTCTTTCCGCAAAATTGTAAAGAGACAGAAAAAACTACAAGCTCAAATGGAAAATAAGAAGAGGTCCAAAATTAGACACGGTACAAGCTTCTTGAATGTACTCAAAAAGCTTCTCAAATCGTCGCAAGCGTCGGAGCCAACTAACTCCAGCAATCTTTCATCATTCACACGCAAAATTTTATTGGCTGGATTGGTATCTATCATGTACCATTTGCAACAAGCTGACGATCAGAACAGTTCGAGCTTGTTGAGTTCCAATGGTATCTCCAATGGTCAACGCAGTAAAATGTGGAAGGAGACTTTATCCAAAGCATTTGATAATTGGAATACAGAAATTCTCCAATCTTACACGCAACCCTATTTGTCACCTGTCAACTTGTCAATCTTCAATGACATCAACACTTCTCAGGTTCCTATCCCAATGTATCATTTATCACAAGTGATAGGAATGTCGGACATAAACCATTTTGACATAGCTATATATGGTGGATCACCAGCGAACCAAAGTGTTGAGGCCACTATCAAGGATCAATACATTGTGCAACGGAAATTGACTAGCATGTGGCCCAAGTTTTCACCTCAGCACAAACGGACTGCCAATGAATTGATAAACTTCAAAAGTGTTATCCACTGCTACATGCTATTGTGGCAGTTAATGTTAAAACCGCTGGATGACGGTTTAGATAGCAATTTCCAATATTTGGAGTGGAACGTGAATCACGATTTCTTCGACAGTATGTACGCTGTCAGCATTTGTACCTTGGTACTTTGGTGCTATTCATACTCAACCTTGGGCAACGAGAGTAACAGATTCAATGAGATCCAGGAAGACGAACTACACACTCGAACCTACGATAATTTGGTCCAGTTCAGTGCAGAGGGTGGATACCAGTATCTTGCAAGAGTAAAACAGGAATTCCTCACACAATTGCGGAAGGATAATTTGCACAAACAATGCATTATTTATCCTTTCAAGCCGAATCAAGAGAGGACGTTTTCACCACATGAAGCATTAACCAAATACTGCGATATATTACCCCACATCACAAACAAGCAAAATATGAGCGGATTATGCTTTTTGGTGGGAACCAAGCTATTGAATAGCCAATGGGAGGTGATCCGCGAAAACGCCAAATTGATCTTGAACTGTGGCTATAGGTCTATTGGCAAAAAAGAGGTTGTTTGTCAAGACTTATTTGGAGAGTTCGACGATTAACCTAATGAAACAAGATCGTATCCTTGTCTCTGCAGTCTTGATGTACTATTTTTTACCGAACTAACTCTGGTACTTACTGTAATACTACTGTATAATATCAAAACCCATGCAATAACTAATTAGAGAAGAAATTATATAAAAATTCTCTTGCTAAAATACAATGTGTGAAATCTGAGCAGATCTGTGTGGAGAAGTATACTTGGGAGTGGCCATGGTTAATAAAACGTCCGATTGGTAGAGACGATATTAAACCAACAAAACAGCATTCACGCATCCGTCTCTGTCTGGCTCGTTGGTGATCTGGGCGTACTTACCCCAAACAACCTTACCACCGGCAGTCACCAATCCTAATTCCGAAACGTTGACTTCTATGATGGTACCCTTGGTCAAAACACCAAGCTGTGTGTACATGGGGGATTGGGGGTTCTTCTTGACTCCCAAAATAGGCAAGAAGACGGTCACCTTCAACTCAGGGTGGGTGACGTTGGCCTTCTTTTGTCTCAAGGCAGCAGGTCTGATGATTCTCTCCATCTTGACTGGCTTACGGGTAAAACCCTCACCCACGAAGGTGTGCTTGGTGATCATTCTCTTCCAGGCCTTGGTTCTGGACTTACCAGACTTGATGACCTTGAACATCTCCTCCTCGGAGATACCTCTGACCTTAGGCAAAGGCACTGAGAACTTGTCGGCCTTCTCCAATCTCTTTTGCTTGATGGAAGACGATATGGCCTTGGCAGTATTGTTGTTCTCACGATCCAAAAGATATGTAGGCAAGGCCTCTCCATCGTCGGCCTTGGGGGTCGAAGGTCCCTTGACCTTGGACTCCTGGTGCGCCTTGATCTTCTTCTTCATGGCCACCTTCTCCGAGTATCTCTTCTTGGCGAACTGCTTGGCTCTCCAACCAGTCAAGTTCTGAGCATCCTTGGATATTCTGTGGCCCTCTCTGGCCTCTCTCTTTCTCTTTCTCTCCTCATGGTCCAATCTCTTACCATGCTGCTTGATGTGCTGCTCGATATATTCGTTTTGAGGCATGGTGGTGGTGGGATGGGGTTGGTGGTGAAGGTGTAGGGCATCTCAAATCTATGCCATCAAAAAAAATTCCTGGTGAGCTGCCGCACGTGAGCATCCTGTGCGAAAATTTGGTGATGCCATCGCGCCAGTGCTAACAGCCATCGATCGTTCTACTGGCCAATACTGAACAAGAACGGCTATAACCTGCTCGTATTGACACAGAACTCTACTGGAAAGGAACTCATTGAAGCCATTCCATCGTCAGAAATATACTCCCAAAACGCAAGAGTACAACCACTAATTCTCACTAGAGAATACATCCATACTTCACTCTCCAAATCAACCCACCAGATGTCCAGCGTAGACGAGATCTTAGCAGGAATCTTGGCTTCCGTCGGCTCCACCAAGTCCAGCATCGATGAGCTCACCAAAAACCTCGATCAGGAGCAGTACCCCCAAATAGTCCAGACGTTACTCTCCAAGATTGGAGAGAACAAGCTCGAAGGCGTATCATTATTAGCATTAAAGAACAACTCGTTGGTTTCATACTTGAACAACGTGGTGATGGTAATATTGAGTCATTTGGAACGTCTTGAAGGCCAGGACGTGGAGAATGACAGACTTGAAACCATCCAGAGGTCCATCGTGCAGAGAGTCAACTTGGAAAAGGGAATCAAGCCATTGGAAAAGAAGTTGAACTACCAACTAGACAAGATGGTCAAGGCATACAACAGAATGGAGGCTGACGAAGAGAAGGCCGAAGAAAAGTTGAATAGAATAGGCAGTGACAGTGAAGCCGAAGACGACGACGATGACGACTCCGAAGACTCGGACGAAGACAACTTATCATACAAGCCAGATGCTGCTGCCCTTGCCAAGATGAGCAGACCAAGCGACGACCGCAAGAAATCGAGCTCCAACGAAAAGTATAAGCCACCAAAGATTTCGGCAGTTGCCCCACCAACCTCCATAAGCAAAGAAGATGGCAAGGACAAGGGAAGAAACAGAAAGTTACAGAGTATGGAGGAATACTTGAGAGAGCAGTCCGATATGCCCACCACCGAAGCCTCGATTGGTTCTACCATCGTTGATCATGGTAGAGGAGGTGTCAAGACCCAGCATGACAGAAGAAAGGAGAAGGAAATCCAAGAATACGAAGAAAGCAACTTCATCAGATTGTCCAACAACCAGGTCAAGAAGTCATTCAAGGAGAAGCAAAGAGACAGAGAGAACCAGTTTGGTGGAGAAGACTGGTCGATGTTCAACCAGAAAAACACCAGAGAGGTCAGCGGTGACACCTCCAGAAAGAGAAAGCCCAACACGGTTTGGGATAGAGTGAAGAAGAGAAAGAACTAAATAGATTTTAATAATGACAAGAAATAGAACGGGTTGTAAAGAAGCTACGGGTGAAAAAGATGGAGCGACTATCACAATACATTTTCGCCTATGTACGATCTATTTTCAGGTTAGTGGAATCCTGAAGTAGTCATTCCCATCAAGTACTTTGGAATCGAAAAATCCAACATAATTTCCTACCAGCAGATAGCCTCACGAAAAAGTGTCTAAAGGGAATGGCAAAGACGACGACGGGTCAAGATTTTTCTAAAGGATAGAAAATTGTACATCAATAGGCCAATTCCTGGTAATATATCGAAAGTCCGTAATTGATCCCGTGTCCGGTAGGTTCAAGATTTTTGTTGGTTCTTGAGGTGAGTTTCAATCAAGCGGCTACACGAGTAAACCATTTAGCCCAAAAAATTTGCAGATTATTGAACATCTCCAGGGCAATAGCAATCACTTAATAAATACCTTGACGTATGCACAGTATCTACCGCACTCAGTCCTCCGAAACTAATATTTGTAGGAATGTATAGCTTGATGTTATTATTAGCAGCCACCACGGAAACTAAATCCACTTTATGGATAAAACTGTGCCTGCTGTGTCGTTAGAAATCCCTTCAATACCTCAACACCAAATAATTACCTATAGCCACAAGCATATCTCAGGAAATGCCTTACTAGTTTGGCCACTACCTACACCAATACTTCACACTCTATAGCCATGCATACACATCACTTGTAGGCTGTTCCCAATGCCATCGAGCAGCCTTGTGAATTAATACTATCTTTTAGTTGCTATCTATTGCAAAAATACATGGTAGGCTCGTTATGGCATATCTGGCTCGAACTCGGGGTTTTCCAGTCAGCCTCGTATAAATTCAATTTGGTCTCGTTTCCAGCGTTGGCATTAACGGTGTACCGCAAGTTGCAACATGAGCTCCTACATTGTTAACGAAACAAATTCGCACCCGTAACTACACAGTTTCATTATTTTGCAAAAAAATGGCAAATTGCTCTTGAAAGAGAGAGGCGTAGTTACAGGCACCAGCAGCAGGCACATTGTGATGTAGCGAGACTACCAATGTTGGGCAATCGCAACACCAGCTATGTATCAAAGCAACCGACCGCGGTACTGGCCACAAATTGTAACTTCCAGTAGCACTGATTAAATTTAGTAATCCTGTACGATTCTAGATCACTATAGTGAGATATCAGTATACCGGTTAAATTAGCTAGAAATGCGATTCAATGGGTGCTGTCCCAGTCCTTTTTGCAGTACGCTACCCTACTAGTCCTGGGCTGGTCTACATGCCTTCTTCTATAGTCTTTGCCTCTACATGCTCTTAATGTCTACATTCCCTATTCGTTAGCGGCCTCACTTATTGTGCCGTTCTGGGCAGAAACAGGAAGTACCCGACACAAAACGACCCCACCGTGGCGAGCCTCCAGAGTGCTCCAGTACAGTGACTACCCTCTAAAGATCCAAGAGAATTGTAGCCAATTGGAGTCAACCACCACCACACACAACCCCTACATACGAATGCAACATCACTCGTGGTGCAACTTCAACTGCCCACCAGTTCATTTCCTGGCCTCTCCTCTCATCCTCGCTCCAGCCTGCTTGCCGGGGTTCGAGTGAAAATTGCTGCGTGCCTGTGAAGAGTGTCGGCAATTATTGGCCAGCGGCCCCAGCCGCGACTGTGGCACCCGTTTGTGGCCGCCTGCCGCCACACTCGCGCTGTGGCCGCTGATAACGTTTGACAGCCATTCACCACCAGCCACCACTGGCACTGGGCCAGTGCCACCACCAGACTGGGCCCAGCGCTAGCGAGCTGTGCTAGTGGGGACCCCTGCCAACCTGCTCGTGTAGTTCCCGAAGCCCCCATCATCACCAGACCCTCGACACCCATGTTCCGGAGGGGCAGGTGGGGCTCGCTTTGACAGGGCGATCCGAGGACGGAATTGATGGGATGAGGTCCCCGTGTCGGGAGTCTGGCACGCTGGTTGTTGGGTAGGCTGGGTGTTGGAAGCAGTGGGGCCATTCGGCCCCCGTTGGGTGTCTTGCCACCGCTAGCGCCAGTAGGTGCTAGCACGCTCACCCACCGGCGCTTCTAGAATTTCTGGGTTTATAATCACGGACCCGCATTTATCAGCATATGGACCCGAAAAATCTCACTATAAAAGGACCCGATCCGCCGACATTTGCTCAGCATCTCATCCACATCCAACATGGTCGCCCAAATCCAAAAGCCAGCTCCTACTTTCAAGAAAACCGCTGTCGTCGACGGTGTCTTCGAAGAAGTCTCCTTGGAACAATTCAAGGGACAATGGGTCGTTTTGGCCTTCATCCCATTGGCTTTCACCTTCGTGTGCCCAACCGAAATCATCGCCTACTCTGAAGCCGCCAAGAAGTTCGCCGAAAAGGGTGCCAAGGTGTTGTTCGCCTCCACTGACTCCGAATACTCGTTGTTGGCCTGGACCAACGTCGCCAGAAAGGACGGTGGCTTGGGTCCTGTCGACATCCCATTGTTGGCTGACACCAACCACTCCTTGTCCAGAGACTACGGTGTCTTGTTGGAAGACGAAGGCATTGCCCTCAGAGGTATCTTCTTGATCGATCCAAAGGGTACTTTGAGACAAATCACTGTCAACGACTTGCCAGTCGGTAGATCCGTCGAAGAGTCCTTGAGATTGTTGGACGCCTTCCAATTCACCGAGAAGTACGGTGAAGTCTGCCCAGCCAACTGGCAACCAGGTTCCGAGACCATCAAGCCAACCGTTGGTGACTCCAAGGAATACTTCGGCAAGGTCAACAAGTAAGTAATAGAATAGAATACACGTGATAATAGAACTTTTGTAGCTCAGTTCAGCCACACACAACAGCCTTCGGGTACGTGGAACTACAGCCCAGAGCCCTAAGTATCAACCAGTAGCTACAGCACAGCCATCAAGTATCTGCCAATTGCTTCAATGGCCCATCACTGCTGCTATTACAATACGTTACAACTCCATAACTACCATGGGTGAAATCTCATTTTCGCACTCAACCTCGGATCGCTTCGCTATTCTATAGTGCCAATACCGCATCTAGGCAATCAGAACCCCCATAAGCATGTCGGAAACTATTCATTTCTACAAGTGGGCTGTCACCAGCCAGGTGTTCTTCAAGTCCAAGTATACGTTTGCCCTCGTTAACCTCAGGCCATTGGTGCCTGGGCATGTGATGGTAGTTCCACTCAGAACTTCAGTGCAACGTTTCACCGACCTCTCGCCTGAAGAATCGGCTGACTACATGAACACCCTCCAATTGATTCCCAAACTCATCACCAAGGTGTACAAGGCCGATTCGCTCAACATTGCCATCCAGGATGGTCCTGAGGCCGGCCAGTCCGTCCCCCACTTGCACACCCATATCATTCCTCGTTACAAGACGGACGGGTATGGCGACGGGATCTACTCCAAGTTAGAGCGGAACGACACGGCAGCGTCCTACGAGGAGTTTGAGAAGCGCAAGGCTGCGTTCAGAAAGAGCTTGGACTCCAAGAGCGAGCTCAGTGTGCCAGACGAAGACCGCCAGGACCGTACTGCTGAAGTCATGAGCCGCGAAGCTGATTGGTTGAGGAGCGAGTTGGAGGCCCTTGCCTGATGGCAAATGGCGTAGAGAGGTATAGAAACACGAAGTCATGATGTGTTACGACTGAGAGATCGACGCCACTATTATTCAGGAGGAGCGTCAGAGGGTTCCACAGTTAACAACTGATTGGAACAGTTCTCAGCAATACATGGTTTGAGGGATAGAGAATGCTATGTCAGGATGTAAAGTTAGAAGCGGTACCAAAATACCATCGTGGCCTTGCTGCAAAAATAAGGTAACACTGGAGAATACGTTGTGAAAACCCCGATTGGCTTAATATGTCAAGTTATTATGAGAGATCTATTGTTATCAAAATTGTTTGCAAATATTAAATTTTATGATTAGTTAATGAAATGTTTTCCAATGCAATAGGTTCATAGTTTGCCGGGCAAGCTTTTCTTAGTTACTTGAAACCTAACAAGTAATCTTGAGAGAACATTATATACACTTCCAATTGACAAAAAACATTATATTTATAGACATACAGGTTGTAGTTCATTTCGAGGTCACTTCCAATTCGGTGATTTTTCTTCCATTTTCAGTATCCAACTATAACATTTCGGAATTTGATCATGAAACTGGGGATACTTCCCATTTCTGTTCTCACACTGGCCCTAAAATCTGCTTTCCGAAGTTTTGGATGTTTACAGAGTCGTTCACTCCACTTTTACTAATAATCTCGGAGGAGTTATCACCATCTGAAATCACCAATAGAGTTATCATTAAATTATCACTTTGTTCCAGATTATTGTAAGGGTTTGTAGTTACTACAACGATTTGAAGAGATCTACAATCCTCTCTCAAAATCCAATCAGCACTGATCAGGAGGGTTTAATCACGGTGATAGAGATCAAAAGGCTCCATTCTACTCCCTAAATAACCATTTTTCCAGTAGATTAAGTGTAGCAACTCCAATATCCATAGCCGTTCCCCCAACACCCCAATATCAATTAACTCATTTTATCAATTTTATGGATAATCTTTTTAAATTTAGGACCAGTGTCAACATCCAAAACAAAACGAGACGCCAGACTGTACGTCCTTCATCACAGGGCTACAACAGCATCCTTTTGATCCCTTTTGTCCTTGATGAGTCTTCTAATGATATAATGCAACCAATTCAGCTACATTCTTTGTGAGAACCTCCAGCACTGCTGAAAAGCGAAACGGGGGGAATTTACAGGATGTCACCACTGCCTTAGTGTGTCTCTCCTGCTTCACATTCACATTCTTACCCTCTCTGCCTCTCCCATTCGGTTCCGTCGCAGCCTCCATCTTCTCGCATTCGCAGCCTGTTTTTTTGTGCCACTCGATCAGACTCGCATTTATCACCACCAATCCATCAACTTCATCCTGGCCATGGCAGAACAGCTCGACGAGATCCAATGGAAGTCGCCCGAATTCATCCAGGAAAGAGGTCTCCACACTGGAAATGTGCTTGAGTACTTTGCCCTCTCGCCATTCTACGACAGAACCTCCAATAACCAGGTGCTAATGATGCAGTTTCAGTTCCAACAGATCCAGATCCCCATCGGAGTGTCGTTCCACCAGTATTTCCAGAACAGGCTTCTGGAGATGACGGGAGTGGAGTTTGTCATTGCCTATAACCGAGAGCCAGACTTCTGGATCATCCGCAAGCAACGGCGGCTAGACGCCAACAGCACGTTGACCTTGCAAGACTACTACATCATTGGCGCCAACGTGTACCAGGCGCCCAAGATCTACGACGCGTTGTCATCCAGGCTTCTCTCCAGCGTGTTGCTGCTCAAAAACTCCATCGACTTGTTGAACAATATGACCAAGTATCAGATCCTGGACGGGGGCCATTCGTACAACAACGCCCAGCCAGTGGCGTCCACGCCGTCCACATCACAACCCAAGCCTCCCGTCAGCGCAACCCCCGTGTTGCACACTCCCCAGACCGTGGGAGGAAGTGCTGGCACCGTGGACTCCGTTTCGAACCAAATGAGCACCAACGAGGGTATCGAAATCACCAGCAGTGCGTTCAACAACTTGTTGAATAACGTGGTCCAGGCAGTGCCCAAGAGCGGAGGCGCCACACCAGGAGAAGAGGCCCCAAGCATATACCTTGACGACATACCCTTGTATGGCAAGGGAAGTACGGTGGAAATGTTGGGGTTGAAGGTCAGTTCAGACCCGTGAGCTGACATGAATTAGCGGGAACTCGATAGCAGCTAATAGGTGTACAATTCAAGAACATGCATTATAGGGACACGAAGTACTGGTAGAGCTAGTAGAGACGATCATGGACTGAAAGTGATACAATAGGGGGTTACCTGCCGAAACTAGTTTATGGTAGAAGACCACATCATCACTAACGAGGGCATTACATGAAGAATTGCTAGAACTATCTAATTGAACAATACAAGACCAGAACATACATTTACAGCGGAGGACAATTACCTCCTAAAACTAGCTAATAGTAGAAGTCCATTATTCCGATAGAATTTCCCTGATAGCTCGATTAGAGCTCATCCTTTGGAATGTCTTCTGCTTCAACTTCAAGCTCACCAGCCTTGGCGATCTTGATGGTCTTAATTGGACGGTTTCCGGCACTGGTCTTGACATTCTCAATGTAGTCAACTACGTCGAAACCATCAAGAACTTCACCAAACACAACGTGAGCGTTGTTCAACCAACTGGTGACAACGGTGGTGATGAAGAATTGCGAGCCGTTGGTGTTTCTGCCCGCATTGGCCATGGAGAGTCTGTATGGTCTGTCGTGCTTCAAGGTGAAGTTTTCGTCGTCGAACTTGCCACCGTAGATGGACTTACCACCGTAACCTTGACCGGTTTCGTAGTCACCACCTTGAAGCATGAACTTAGGAATGACTCTGTGGAAAATTGAATCGGTGTAACGGAACTTGGGGTCTTCGGAGATGGCGAGTTGTCTGAAGTTTTCCACGGTTTTTGGCACGATGGTGCCGAACAAACCGATGGTGATTCTACCTATAGGCTTGTCATCTTCCGTGATGTCAAAGTACACCTTGTGGGTGATTGGAGGGTTTTCGGGCAATTCCACAGCAACCGACTCCTTGAAGAAGAAAAGGAAAAGACTGGCGATCACAGCAAGGATGGTAATGTACTTCATCATTGGGGTGGTAGAATTGACTGGCGAGATAATTTATCTGACGTGGTTTGGTCGCTAGCACGTGACGTGCCCGCCACCGGCGCGGCTGCGAAACGCCACTGTTCTGGGGCAGAATTTCCTAGCAAATGTCGCGTCACTATCTGTGGCATATATGAACATGATTAGTGGGAAAGAAGGATATATATTGGATACAATTATGGGCACGACCGTCCAATGTCACTCTTTGAGTGTTGGAACTTGAAATCGGCAATCTCGAAACTGTGTGAAAATTTGTAGTCCCCCAAAGTTCACTTTTCTCCTATAATTTTAAGTCTCAGAACCACGAGCTACTATTGGAATACTTACGAAACTATGTAAAATATGGGGACACTGACACAATATTGCAGGTGAAGCAGGATAAACCAAGTCCGAAAAGTAGGAATAAAGCTAAGCAGGTTTCCATACTAGACTAATAGTAGTCGATGTGACTGGCTGGTAGTATTTGGGTGCTATTTATTGGTTTCAGCCCTGCCGACATGGTAATCGAACTATCAGAAATGTAGTGGAAGAATAGATGTGGAGTTTGTGAACGATTCTGATATGGACGGAGAGAAATAAATAATTACCCACAATTGCACTTATTGGTACTGCGCTGGGGCTTCGGGAATTTACTCCAAATACCTCATAGTTGCAGCTAGATTAACTAACATTGTGTCATATCTGGAGCTTTGTCTGGTTAAAATGAACCAATAATGAACCAGTCTTGATACTCCGAATTAGCCAGTACACAGAAAAGTTAGACAATTTCCAACTGTCCTTTCAGGCACACAACAACCTCTATTGGGACTAGGGCGTGGGGCACACTCTTGATTGTCCAACATGGTTGTTTAAAAAAAGCAGAAGTGGTTCGAAGAGCTTACTGGCGTTTACAGCAAACTTAGCGAGATGCAAACACAAATGGAGAGGAACTTGTCTCTCTTAGTGAGGAAAATGGTCCACCTCCGATACTCGAGCGAGCCCAAGACTCAAAAATAGTAAGCCTCCAATATTTCCAAATCAGCTCATGGAATTGTTGATTTTCCTCTCATACAACCCTGGCCACATTCTCATGTCTCTTTCTTTCCTTGGCCAAGTACGCCTTGACTCTGATTTTCATCAACTGGTCTTCCACCAAGTCACTGGACGTGATTTTGTTGGTGCACCCGTTAATAGGACAGTTGTTATTGCTGACCAAATGGGTCAAAATCGACTCCTTTTCAAACGTGTGCTGACATCTCTTCGCTATCACTGGCGCAGCAAAGTAGTTCAACGAGATCGGATCCTTCAAGGAGATCTTACCACCCGAAACATTCAAGTCCTCGTCCTCTTCATCGTCAGGAATTGGCTCTTCGGGATTGTCGATCACAAACAGCATCTTCTTCAAGTTCTGATAATCGTTATTCTTCTTGAGAAACTCCGCAAACTCAGCGTCCACGTCATTGACCTCCTTCTCCATGCGAAACTGCTCATCTATCTCATCTGCAAAGTTGAGGGCATGTTCCTTGGCGTGGTACACCTCGAGGGTTTCGAGAGATATCGCAGGCTCTTCTCTACCCACATGCTTGATCTTTTCCTTGGTGGATTTCACCGATTGGGTGTACTTTGCAAGATCAAACTGGCTGCGGAGAAGAGCTTCCAAGCTCGCCAAGTTAGATCCCACTACCGCACTGACTTCTACACTCTCTGTGAGCATCTGGTCAATGTATCTTTTGGTGTCTTGCAAGATCATATCGACGAGTTCTTGAACCTGCTTAGAGAGTGCAGGTCTGAACGCGGTGGCCCTGTCGAAGTCATGCTTGAGGGACGCGTGGAGCGGTAGGTAGTCGGGCAAAGTGGTAGCCATCTTGGTGGATCCAGATAGTGGTATGCGTGAAGATATGGATATCACGTCCTGCACGTAGACATAGAGTATAGATGTATGGAGAGAAGGTCTTTCGGGGATGTTATGCTACCAGACATCGCGATAGTGGTCGTCGAGGCACCTTATCGCCACAAGCTACGCGTCCAAGGGATTCTAGGCTTATTGGATCTACTACACTTGCGGTGTCCCTCCTACAGCTGGTTGGTGTTCATGTCTCATTAGCTTATACTACGCTTCTGATTCATCATCTCCGCCATTAACGGAGTCGTCTGGGTTAATACCAGAATCGTGAGGCGTTTGGGCCGAAGTGTTGGTGGTGCTTGTGGTAGTGCTAGAATTACTAGGCACACACCAGTTTCGATGACAGTGCCAGGCTCGCATTTGGCACTCTCGGGAGCAATACTTGGTACGTTTGCATCTCCGGCATTTCAGGAATTCGCGGGGGTATCTCTCCCACTTTCCACATTCGAGGTTTCCACATTGTCTAACACTACCTCTGAGTTCGTTTCTTCTGCACGAGTTTCTCATGATTACTCCTGACCAGTAGTACATGTCGGTACCGGTCAAGAACGTGAACTTCTCAACAATCGGGAAAAGATTCACCTTCTTGTATTCGATCAACGAGTCGTCTTGGTCTTCATTTTTCTCGTCGATATCGAATCCAGTGTAATCATCATAATTCCATTTCTTGGTTAAAAATTCTTTCTTTTCTTTGCGTTTCAAAATAATGGTTTGCACCAATCTTTTGCTCTCCACTTCAATGTACTTGTTCATCTTTTCGTTGATTTGGAAAAGCTTGATATCACGTTCAAGATCATCCACGATTGACTCGCAATTAACAATAGCTTCGTATAGTTGATTAACATAATCCGATTTCGTGATTGTCATAGCCTCTTCTTGAATGGCTTCATTATAAATATTATGGGTACATTTCTCTTCAGGCTCGATCTGCACTTCGGCTGCTTTGTCAAGTTCGACCTCCACATCCTCATCATCTTCGATTTCGTCGTCTTCATCCTCATCCTCAACTTCGGCATTTTCTGTGAGACAAGTTTGCTTTGCTTTATTGTAAAGTTCGAATTTGTCTTCATCCAACAAGAAGTTGTCATTATGAATGGCATTTATATCATCCAACATTTGGGGAGAAGTAGAGGCAGATGGATTAAAACGCTTAAGGTAAGTGGAATTCTCTTCACAACTTGCCGAGCCCTCAAGAGTTTCAGTTCTCTTTGATTTTCTAGACCTCGGGGTGATCTTAGGCCTTGGTTTCATTTTGAAAGCCATGTTTTTCTTAATGCTCAATTTCATTTGTTTTTCAAGGTAAATTTTCAACTGTTTATCTCTAATACTCATGTCAATGACCAAATGGGTGTTCTGCAAGACATCCTTCAAGTAAGAATACTTGGAAATGTAGGCAAGTAATTGCAAGGACCACACAATATCATCATCCCTAGGTATAACCACACCGGTCTCAGTGAAGTTTCTTACGGCAATTTTCGAATTTATCAATGCCTTATTAGTTTCGAAATCTTGCAAGTATAAATTAGTCAAAAAGTGCAAGTTATTGTCCATTTCATAGTCACCATCATTAAGAAAACGGTCATCCAAGATCTCAAGTTCCTTTTCTTCCTTCAACTTTTTGATAATATGAATGATCATGTGTCTTCTGCGTACATCATTCATGACAGAAGTATTTCTGGAGTTGTTCATCATATTCACATTTTGGTTGATATAATCATTGTAATTGTTGGAAGGAGAAGGATTGGGGTTTACTGAGTCATAGTTCGAAGTGGTGGCCAGGAGATTAAATGTACTAAACCTTATGAGCTTAAAGAGTTGATCAAGCGTCAAGTTGTCATAATCATCGTTTGTTAAATTGTTGGCATGGTTATTATTGAAATAGGTTGGAAATGTAGTACTTATGCTAGTGTTCTCTATACCCGTGGCTGATAAGTTTATAGGATTGGCAGCTTGAGAGGGATGAAGTGGAAATTGCTGCACTTGAGAGATTTGGGATGGAGGCTGCTGAGGGATTTGTTGGTTTGGTGGATCTTGACGGGGAGGGATATCGAATCTATGGAGGGGGTTTCCAACGGGGGGCTGGGAGGTTTCAGAAGGGTCGCCGTGAATGGTAGGATCTTGCAGGGACAGACCAGGAGCGGCTTCTTCTTGATGCTGGTGGATGTGAAGATGCTGGTGGGTAGAGTGTTCGTTGTGTTCGTGATGTTGGTTCAGGGAGGCAGAAAACCTTTGTGCTTGGGCATTCTGGAATGCTGGGGGTGGTTGCTGGGCTTGTACGGGGGTGGGGACGAAGGGAGGGAACTGGGCATTTTGTGACGCCTGTTGCTGCTGCTGTTGATGTTGCTGCTGCTGTTGTTGTTGCTGCTGTTGTTGCTGCTGCTGCTGTTGTTGTTGCTGCTGCTGCTGTTGTTGCTGCTGTTGTTGCTGTTGGAACTGTTGATAGTGGTGCTGGTAGTGGTTGGAAGGGCGGGTCTGGGCGATGCTGGGCAACTGGTGCCTCGAGTTGGCGTGGATAAACGTGCGTTCATGCAACGAGAGATAGTTGTCCAACACGGTAGCGATGATGGGCAAGATGCCAGCCTGGACCACCTTCTGCCTGATTTTCTCGGTGCCTCGGGTGCCCACCAAGACCAAGCACTGGAACGCCAACGTCCACTTCCAGGCAGTGAGGAGCTTCTTCTCGCTGTTGAAGATGGTGTCGTTCAAGTTGAAGGTGGCGTTGTGGCACTCGTGGAGGATTTCCACCAACCGTTCGATGCCTCCATCGGCACTGAGGGTCTCACGGACCTTGGCCAGCGACGATACGAGGTACGTCAAGTAGTTCAACGAGTTGACCAACGGCTTATCGGAGGTGACGTCTAGCGCCCTCCGATCATATAGACTGGTGGTGATGGTGACGGCCGCTTTGTTGGAGGACACAGCCTTGTAGTTGGATTCACGCATGGGGGTGACGACGGGATGGATGGGGAGACGGTTAGCACAGCGTGGGCATGTATGGGCCTTATAGGTGGGGATGGGAGGGAGCGGGTTGTGATTGGTTTGTGGATTGCCACTGGTGGCACGTGACCTGCTGGGGCGGTGGCGGAAGTGCGGGAGGCGGGAGGCAGGGAGGGATGGGGAGCAGGTAGTGGTGGTGGTAGTGGTGGTGGTGGCACTAAGGGTGGTAGTAGGAGAGGTGGTACGAGAGGTGGTTCGAGAGGTGGTACGAGAGGCTAGGGTAGTAGTAGTTGCGGAAGTAGTGGTAGGAGAGGTGGTACTAGTGGCTCATCGCAGAAATCCCCATCCCGCACTAGATCTGTGCTAGCGCTGCCGTTCCTGCGGTGGCCCCGCTAATCGCAGGGTCCGCCCTATCGCACCGGGTAATTGCTTCGCTACGCGTAAGCGAATGATCAGTAAGGAATGACCGCGATGCCACGGGCGAGCAGTCAGGATGCCACGGATGAGCACATCCGCACGGGACTGATGAGCATAACGACTATGCCATCAAACGGTTGATTGCCTGCCAAAGGTGTGGACTCACTGTCTGGTTCGCGCTCCTGGAGACTATTTTAGTGGGTTCGCAGTTTTCCGTCGTAGGGATAGTACTAAGCCCTAAGTTGATGTATCTTGCTGACAGCTACGGGGCTGGACAAATCGAACCAGCTGTTGTTTCAGGATAGCTACTGGACTGGGTATTGAATCGAGCTGTTGGCAGTAACTCGAACTATTCGCAGTAATTCGGCATTCGCTGTTCGGGCTAATATACAGATTAATCTCGCTATATGGGCCCTCCTGTAGCATGCAACCAGCGATGTTGAATCGTGATCTAATCTTTTCGTCTAGTGTTCTAAGCCAAGTATACAAATAATTCAAAGTAATTTATATTTTGAATTAAATAATCATATCGCTCTACACCTTCCAGCTGCGCCTATTCAAATACACCTCTTTCAGCCCTTGACATTATTATATCGTCCCCTAAATCCTTCTCCTAAAATCTTTGAGTCATAGATGATATTTCCAGTACTATATCTGCGCTATAATTTGCCGGTACCTTTTAGCTATGGATAGTGTCTAGTTAGATCTTACTATGAATCCCCAATATAGGCTCTACAATCACTCGATAGTATATTACCCTATTAATTCATTCCATTCTTCCTCTCTGCGGCATTTTAGCCCACTGCTATTAGTTCGTACTGAATAGTTCTTTCCCTCTAGCCATTGATAATAGAAGATACCAAAAATGAAGTTACAACGAGAGCAATAAGTCTTGTCGCTAAGATTATTATACAAAGTACGGATATCGTACTCATTAATTCCAAGAATCTTTCAGACATCGCTCTGACCAACCATTCTCCTGGTATCCACTAATGAATCGTGATTCATAAACACTCTCTTCACATTAATAAAAATTTCCATATGTTGAAGGAATCCAAATTTCTCTCTATCAGACATCAATCAATTATACCATCGCTTACATCATTACTTGTTCTAGTAAATCTTGGGTATTTATTCTATCTCTATTTGTGGCAGGAGCTATTCATAATTTGGAACACTTGGTGTCATAATTTCCGGACTAATAGTCCTCATCTCCCGTTAAAAAACTTTCCATAATCTGTGTTAAACACTCAATGTCTTCCATCTCTGATCTATATTCTAACTCATTATCTGAATCTCTGCTCCACCTTCCACACAAACTCCATGCTCTGCTCCATGAACATCAACATCAATACTGAGTGGGGTCCAATCCGGAAGAACTGGGCCCAGAATCCCTTGTACAACGCTCCAAAGCCTTCATTCCGCACTGTCTTCCTGAAACAGTCCACTGGTCCCGAATACAAATTTCCCTTCTGGTTGTAGACTCTGGTCAAGATCACGTCCCACGGATTCATCACCACTGCCACGGCTGCACCTGCCACTGACGACGACACGAGGTGGAGCCAGATCGAGGTGGGTGCAAAAACTGAGTGTGCTACGAGGTAGTTTTTCGTCAAGTAGTAGGTGGGTAATTGTACTGAAGATCCAGCACCTGTTCTCATGATGGCAGCATCCACACCACGATACAAGCCCTTGAAGCCCTCTGCACGGTACACGGTGGATAAACCGTCCCATACGCCTCGGTAGAACGTCTGCTGGCCCACCAAAGTGTCCAGATGGGCCTTGGTGTAGGATTGCATTCTGGTCTTGATGAGGAAGAGTGGATTGGCTACGACCGACCCAATGGCTCCCGAAACCATGCCTGCCAACACGTTAATGTGGAGCTTCTGGGGTACCTTGTCGTCCTCGCCCAAACTGCCAGGATGGAGCACTTTGGTGAGGTAGTATCTGCTACGTTCGTAGAAGCCTACTCTGCACCCATTCAATCCTATCTGGTAGAGATATCCTGAGATGAGGCCCTGCTGGATGCCACGGATACCTTCGGTACGCACAATGAGTCCAAACGCCTGGAACGGGTTGCGATAGAGCACGGGAGCGTCTTTGGCCAGCTTGATGAGTTCTCCCTGGAGCTGCATCCGGGTCTTGATGAGATCAATGGGGTTGGTGAACGTGACTGCACCACACGCAGCTATAGCGCCGGCGAGAATGGACCCTGCGGTCGATAGCTGCTCGGCAGCCGACTTGCCTGTGTTTGGTGGTGCCAGGGACATGGTGATGTTGGAGGACGTAAAATTTCAGCCGGTATAGGTATAGGAAGCGAGGTTAGGTCACGTGACCTGACGATTTCGGCTGATTTCGTGCGCTGCAGCCAGGATGCAGGGACCGCGGCCGAGGGTCCGGCCTGGCGGCACTGGGCGAGCAGGTGGCTGGCGTGGATCTGTCCGCTTTTGCCGGGCAGGCGAGTTTTGGGTGCTAAGCCTTGAGATGCGCATCGCCGGTACCGGTGGGGTGGTGGGGCGGTCTGGAACGCGGAATCAGTGATGACGTAATCAGATGCTAGTGAGTCAGCAATTACGTAATTGCTGACCATTGCTGGATCTGTATGTGGATGTTTCGACCAGTATTCTATAGTGCTTGTCACCGACTATTACTCTGGACCTGAAGATGTCCTTATGTCCCGAATTATTTCATCAGGCAACCGTGTTTTGTAGACGATACGAGGTACTCTTCACAGTGGATTACTTGAACATACCTCCTCTCTACCTTTGCAAATTCCCGCCCCCCTTGCTCCACTCTCGTTGCTCTACCTCCTTGCCCGGCACCTCCTTTGCCCGGCACCCTCTTCTACTAGTTTTTCCACCACTTTCATCCCTATTTGTCGCCTCCCGTATGTCGTATGTCTCGCTTATCGCCATCGGACCACGTGACCCACACTACTAAAGGTTTTCCCATACTCCGAATCAACCCACACCATGTTGAACCGCCATTTCTTGTGTTCGAAGCAGAAGGCTCTAGGCCTTCGGAGACGCTTCTTAGCATCAGCTTCAAAGTACGCCATAGGAGAAAATGTGCACGGATTCACAATCAACAACGTCCAATCCATTCCTGAATTCTCATTGACTGCTGTCCATTTGAAGCATTCTGCCACAGGGTCAGAACATCTCCATCTCGACTCCAAAAACGACACCAACAACGTCTTCCTGATTGCCTTCAAAACAAACCCTCCCGATGCCACCGGAGTGCCTCACATTTTGGAACACACCACGTTGTGTGGGTCCACCAAGTACCCTGTTAGAGATCCGTTCTTCAAGATGACCAACCGGTCGTTGAGCAACTTTATGAACGCCATGACTGGCCACGACTACACCTACTACCCGTTCGCCACCACCAACGCCAAAGATTTCGAAAACTTGATGGATGTATACTTGTCGTCGGTGTTTCAGCCATTATTGACCTACAACGACTTTACTCAGGAGGGCTGGAGACTCGAAAACTCGACCACTGACGACCCTTCCAGTGACATCACCTTCAAGGGTGTTGTGTACAACGAAATGAAGGGCCAGAACTCCAATTCTGCCTACTACTTCTACATTCGCTATTTGGAATCGATCTACCCAACCTTGAACAACTCAGGCGGAAACCCCGAAAGCATTGTTGATTTGAAGTACGAACAGTTGCGTGAGTTCCATCATAGAAACTACCAGCCTTCCAACTCCAAAACCTTCACCTATGGCTCTATTCCATTGGAAAACCACTTAGAGAGATTGGGCCAGTATCTCGATGAATTTAAGGTCAGCAAGGAGTTTTCGCCCAACAGTGACATCAAGTTGCCCGCATTTTCCACTCCTGGTTACACCAAAGAGGTGTCGGTCCCTGGACCTATCGATACCATGTCTCCTAGACCCGTTGCATCTCAATACAAATCATCTATCACGTGGAATTTGGGCAACCCCCTCGACGAAGCCAACCACTATGATGTGTTCAAGTGGAAAATTTTGAGCTCTTTACTTTGCGACGGCCATTCTTCTCCATTCTACCAGGAATTGGTTGAAAGCGAGTTGGGTGAGGATTTTGCACCAAACTCGGGTTTTGATACCACCACTGCATTAGCTTCGTTCACGCTAGGATTAACCAATTGTTCTATTGAAACAGTCAACACCTTGGAGGAGAAAATTCTTGATATTTTCAAGACTAAGGTCCTTCCCGAGTTGTCTGATTCATCGTCGTTCGCTGAACGTGTTGAGGCCATTCTCCACCAAATAGAGTTGAATTTGAAAAAGCATAAGCCAGATTTCGGATTGGGGCTTTTGCATTCTATCATTCCAAGCTGGATCAATAATGTGGATCCTATCAAGTTACTCGAGGTTGAAACTGTTTTAACTCAGTTTAAGAATGACTACAAGGAGAATGGAATGGAGATTTTCAGAGAACTCTTGGACAAATCCGTTTTCAACGAAAATGTTGGCAAGTTCAAGTTTACTATGGTTCCTGACGAACAGTTCCAAGACCGTTTGGCCGAAGTAGAACAGGCCAAACTCAAGGCGAAGGTAGAGCGCTTGTCCAAGGAAGACCGTGAGGAAATCTTCCAGCAGGGGTTGGTGCTTGCTAAGCAGCAACTGGAAGAGCAAGATGGTAGTGTGTTACCTACCTTGACCATGGAAGACATTGCAAAGGAAGGTGATTTCCATCCTTTGGTTTTTGGTGAGGTCAATGGCAAAAAGGTGCAGCAAAGAATTGTGGATACCAATGGTCTCGTCTACGTTTCCGCACTCAAGGACGTCTCTTACTTGCCCACTAAGTACTACCAGTATCTTTCACTTTTCAGCTCATGCCTCACCAATTTGGCAGGAACTTCTGAAACATCGATCACCGAGTTGGAAACCAAAATCCAAAAGTTAACTGGAGGTATTTCTTTCAACTTCCGCGCCTCTCCCAATCCGTTTGATATCAGCCAAACCAAGCTCCAATTCAGCTTGTCGGGGATGTCGCTCAAGGAGAACTCATCTAACATCTACAGCTTGTGGAATGAGATTTTGACTCAGACTAAACTCGATGCGAACGACAGTGCTGTAGTCGACAAATTATACCAATTGATTAAGAACTTGGGACAAAACCAGCTCAACATGATTGCTGACCGGGGCCACTCCTACTCGGGAGGTTACAGCAGCTCCAAGTTGACAGCTACCAAGCACGTTAGCGACATCATTGGTGGTATGAGCCAAGTGAAGTTTGTCACTGAAATGAATGCCAACTTGGAGAAGAACGGTAAGGACTACTTGGTGAAAGAAGTGTTGCCTGTTCTCCAGGAGATTAAACAATTGATCCTCGATGGTACCCATCAACAATTTAAGTATCGGTTGGTAGGTGACAAAGCCATTATTGAAGAGAATGAGAAGCTCTTACAGAAGTTTGATGAATCAATCAGCAAGCATAAGGGAGCAGTTATCAAGGGCGATGGATTGGATGCATTGGTCAAGAAATTCAACTCAAATCAGCTTGGAATCAACCATGACTACACCTTGATTAACTTGCCATACCAGGTAGGGTACGCTTCTCTTGCCAAGTTGGGTTCCAACTATGCCCATAAGGATGGTGCCAGTTTGCAAGTGCTATCACAATTGATGACTTTCAAGCACTTGCACTCGGTGATTAGAGAATCGAACGGTGCTTACGGGGGAGGATTGCTTTATGATGGATTGGGAGGTATTTTGAATTTCTACTCTTACAGAGATCCGAACCCAGTCAAATCCATTGAATCCTTTAAGGAATCGTTTGATTATGGAAAGCAAGCAGAATGGGATGCCGATGACTTGCAGCAGGCCAAGCTTAGAATTTTTCAAAGCATAGATGCTCCTACAAACATTTCCAGCCAGGGTTCGACCGAGTTCTTCGATGGCATTACTGATGAAATGAGACAGGAGAGAAGAGAGAACTTTTTGAGTGTCAACAACAACGATTTGGTGAATGTGGTTGACAAGTACTTGCTTGGCAATGACAAAGACCTGGTGACGGTTATTGGAGACAACAAGTTGTTGAAGGTGGACGAAAAGTGGACTGTCACGGAATTGGCTACCAGCTGAAGCCGAAAATTGGAGTTAGCCACACATCTTGTATATAATAAAACTTAATAGAGAGCTAGCATTGCTGGCTGTTTTAGATGGTCTGTAGAGGTAATGAGGGCAGGTTCTACGCTGTGGAGATAAGCACAAGGACTCTTCAATCCTTGATGTTATACATAGAGGAAATGAGCACAAATGTACTTCGATCCTCGCAGTTCTACAGGATGGGTATAAGAGCTTAGAGCCAGATTGGAGTCATTTTCTGATATGGGCAGGAGGCAGGGGGAAGTAGGACTGATATGGGTAGACACGAGATGGGATGTGGTTGACTAAAATTAGAGCAAAGCTCCTAGAGCGAATGCTGACTGTGGCCCGTTCTTTGATAGATTTGTGAGTGAAATAATAGGTTCGTTAGTCGATAGCATTTGTCTTGATGTATGTGGCATTCTTGATCGATATTATGTGTTTTTCTCTGCTTGTGTTCTTATTCTTGTGATTAGCCAACCTTGTGTTACTTTCTGTATCTTCAGTGACTTGTAATGGTAGAATTTCTTCGTCATAAACTCCGATTCCAACGCCCTTGCGTCCTTTTTCTTTCCATGATTGCTTCTTTCTCTTCCTTCTTTCTCTTCCTCTTTCTCTTCCTTCTTTCTCTTCCTCTTTCTCTTCCTCTTTCCCTGCCTTCTTCCTTTTGGCTTCTCTATCTGGCTCTTCTCTCCCACGTCGTTCTTCTCAATCATTCATAACTATATACAAGTCGTTACACACGATGTTTTCTGATAAAGTCCTTGGGTGCCTGTTCGGGTATTCTTCTCTTCTTGTCCTCTGTGAACAAGCAGTGTCTCTTTGCTCTTGGATCGTACAAGATCAAGTTCAATCTGGGCTGGTGTCTGGGGATGTTGAACCACTTCTCGTAGCCTGTCTTGGCGGCCGAGATGAGCTTGACCATGGTGTGGGTGGACTTGGGCTTGGCCATGGTGGGATGTTGTGGATGGTTAGTGGTGGTGCTAAATGTGAAGATAGCTCGCTGGTGGGTGAAATTTTTACCGACTGCCTATTCGGGCAGTCTGTGCGGGCCCCTGACAGTTTGCGCAACCCCAAGGACAACACCGCCGCTTACGTAAGGCGCACGCGTAAAATTTTTGGTGGAGAAAATGGACACGCCATAGATCAAGTCAACAACACCAATTGCTCCCACCACCGCAACCAAAGATGAAATTGTTGTTTGTTATAGCATTCATTGCATCCTTGGCCGCTGCCTTGCACTTGGAAGTGCCAGCCACCGTCAANTACCCCCAGCCCGTGTGTATTCGTGACTTTGTCCAAGAAGAAAGCATGGTCGTCATCAACATCAAGACCAACGGCAGACATGGCGATGGGCAGACGTTGGACTTCTACGTGGTCGACCTGCTTGGAAACGAGTACAGAAAGAAGTCGGACATCGTCGGCACCTCCAAGGTTGCGTTCACCAGTCATCACAGTGCTGCGTTCGATGTTTGTTTCACCAACCTCAAGAACCCTGCCTACAAGGGGCACTTGTCCAGAGAAGTCGAGTTGGAAATCGAGAGTGGTTCTGCTGCCAGAGACTGGAACGCCATCCAGACCTCGGAGAAGTTGAAGCCTGTGGAGCTTGAATTGAGAAGAATCGAAGACTTGACCGCAGAAATCTATGAGGAATTGCAATACTTGAAGAGAAGAGAAGAGAGAATGAGAGACACCAACGAATCCACCAACGATAGAGTCAAGTATTTCTCCACCATTGTGATTATTTCCTTGATCGGCTTGGGTGCTTGGCAAATCCAGTACTTGAGACACTACTTCAAGGTCAAGCACATCATTTGAAGCATCGATTGTTTCATGGGGGTATCCTCACTATAAGTATACGTGCGCCAGCCTTGCTGGCGGTGATTTCATGCTTGTAGACTGACACGGTAGATGAAATTCCACGCGTCACGTGCGTAATATGGAAATTCTTTCCGCTACCTACTCAAAGTTCCCTTTGACGTGTACTATGATCTAACTTATGGACTCTGCTACTTAATCAGATTAACCTTTGACGTGTACTACTACTAATCTAACGTATGGATTCTTATTTCGTAAATGTCTTTAAATTTTGTCCAGTTCTGTATTGAGGACATAAGTTCCGATTTCTTGTCACTTGATCTGACGGTATCCAAGTAACCCTTGAATATCAGTTCCCTCAAAGAATCAGCATGAACACACTTCTCTTCAATGCCACTAAGTCTGATATCTTGGGGCGGGTCCTTCCTGAGAAAATCTTCCAAGTCTTCAAAGCTCAAGTCTAGTAACCATTCTAACAAAAAGTTAACCTTCCACCAGCACTGTTCAAATTGATCCAAGGATTTGTAGGTTTCGTCTTCGACAATAGGAAGGTAGCATTCAGGCTTTCCGAGTGCTTCCAAAATACTAAACATGTTCGTAAATTGCCAAGGGGTGACCTGGGAAGGTTTCTGTTTTGGTAATGGCTCGTCTGAAATAGCTTCAGTCTCGCTTTCATCAGGTATCTCAATCACGTTGTCTAGTATTTCCGTGACTTCATCACTATCTTCAACCTCTTCATCTCTCAAGAAATTACTGTTACTTCCATAGTTCCTCCTCAAGATGAACAGATCATAGTCCACTACCTTGGTGATATCCAATAATAAAGTTTGTGAAAGTTCTACCAACATTGAAATGTTATAGAATTGAGGTACAAACTTATTTTCAATTCGGCCACATGCAAAAAATTCTTTCAAGTATTTGACATCAATGACTTCAAATTTGCGGCTCAATTCACATACCAAGCTTCGAGAATTGAGGTGTGTCAGGTTTTGTGAAGTTGCAGTCAAACGTTCAAATCCCAAAAGCGATCCGCTTGAATAGAACAAAGATCTGTAGTAGATAAGTGACAAAAAATTGAAACGGATGCTCATTGAATCAATGTTATCGTCATATTCGTTAGGTTTCCAGTTTGGGGGGATTATAAATTTTTCCTTCGTAGCATTGTCTCCCTTAATTATGATTCTTTCTCGATTATAACAAGAAGCAGGTGTTACGTTGCTTCTGATACCTAAACCATTCAATAGATATTCAACTAAACGATCGTACCAATCGATTGGACTTGAACTCAATTGAGTTAGCATGCAATAAAGTAAAAAGGAAGAGTCTTCCAAATGGTATAATACAAGTGTTCTCGAGCTTTTCGAGCTCCTGAAAAAACACATCATGATATCCTGAGACAGATCATCTAGATTATCTTGGATATGGGTGTGAGTCCTGATGGTGTGAAAAAAGTTGAATGCAATGATATCGTACATGACTCTAAACAAGTCACTGTACGTTGAATAAATAATGTGATATGAAGTGAATGATGAGTTAAGATGGCTGTTATTGTATTTGGAAGATTGATCGGCACAGTAGAAAGCCCAATTCATTAAGAGCCAAAAATTGAACTGCAAATTTAATTTTGGATTCAATTTCTTTCCTAAAAGATCGTCGTCGTATAGTTTAATGTTCTCCCATTTATGTAACGGTGAATCTTTAGTCATATCTTCAGGTTTTGATTGTTTGGAAGGTTTGTCGACTTCCTGTGCATCGCTATTAGATGTTAGAGAATCCAACAATCGAAATGAGCCGTTCAAGCCAGAGATATCCTTGTTTGGTTCTAGTAAGAAGCTTTTTTGGGGAGATGCCTGGAACTTGAATAGCTCGTCTTCCATATTTGGTGCTGTTTCGAGAACAGTAGCCTCATTCTCGGAATCGCTGATGAGGTCCGTTTCGGTTAGGTCATCCACAATCTCTGGCTTGCTGGGAGACTTTTGGAAGAAATTGGTGATCTTGAGCTGCTTGGTGGGCGATGCTTGTGTAAGCCTCTTTTTGATGATGGGGCCCGAGTACGTGGAGACTCTTTTGACAACTCTGGACTGGTAGATGAAGTCTCCTAGAACAACAAGAACCTTCTTATACAAGAGCTGGACTATGGGGTCCAGATGGGAGTCCATGACAAGGATGTCACGGTACTTTCCTAAAAGCCAAACGCTGCGCTTGTTGAGGGGGGCGCGGAGCACCGAGTTATCGTAGTCTTCGTTCAAGCTCTTGACATAGTCGTTGCTGGGAGCGATTCCCGCCATGGTGAAGTGCTTGGTGCTCCAGTTGGTGTTAGGACTGCGAGCTGCTAGCGTGAACACGATTCGGAGCACATTGTAGGATGGTAGCACCAGGTTGATGGGGTCGTTGGAGGCGAGCCACGCGTTGGTGTTGAAGCTGGTTTCGTAATGCGAGAGAAGCTCGTCAAACTGTCTGACATTGTTGAGGTTGATTGGCTGGTCGAGCTGGGCGAGTTCCGGGATAATCTGATACACGAACCTTTCCTGGGCGTCTAAGTGTGTAGTTAGATCGAAGAGACTGTGCATCCGCGCTATTTGCAACTTTTGTATGAACACTAAAGTGGTGAGCCACTTAGGGAGTGAGAGCCGCTGGGGTCACAACGGCTGGTTCACGGCTGTTTGGGGCACAGCAGGAGGCTGGGGGGCGTAGTACCGTGGTATGGCGGGCGGGCTTGACTGGGGAAGCCGTTTCGCGCTGGTACTAACGGTTCCAGAGCCTCTGGATTGTTTGTTGATTTGGTGCAAGTGAGATGATGGGCGACCTCCGATAAGCTGATAAGGACGGCGAGTGGAAGGCGGCAAACAGGCGTGAGCAGTAGCTGTGGTAGGTGGTGTGGCAACAGCAGGGTGGTGGGGATTGGATGGAGGTGGTGGCGATGGTAGACGCTGGAAGGTGGCGGTAGAGTAAAAATTGAAAGCTTGCACAGCGAGGAATTTTTCTGCTTCCACCAGCTGGCGGCGCCAGCGGCGGATGGCTCGCTAACAAATCACGCTAGCGAGCGCTCGCACCAGCGATGGGGATTATCCCGCTAGGTCCAGGGACAATTCTCACATACCATCTGCCAGCACGATGTCACTAACGGTAAGTTCCCCATCCTCTGTCACCATGGAACCGCACTAACCCCAGATCTGGACCCGAACAGGACCCTTGAAGGTCCAACTCCACTACGACGCCCACGATGCCTCCCAACGCAAGCATGGCGAGAACTTCCTCGTCCATTGCGCAATGGGCACCTACTCAGGAGTGAGAATCTTGCGGTATATCCCCAACTTTATCCTCCAAACAGGCGACAGTTCCAACACAGGAAAACAGTCCAGTCCTGCCAACCCCAGCCATGTCTACACTGCCATTGAAGTGAAGTCCCAGGCGGCCCCGCTGGCGAAACGAGGCTCTATCTATGCCGTGAATAACCCAGCTACTGAGGACGGATTGGGGTCGCAGTTTTTTTTCGTACTTTCAGAGGCCCATAGCCTGCTGATCACACAAGACAACTACACTTATTTGGGGGAGGTGATTGACGGGCTCGACACACTCTCCAAGATCGAGCACGACGAACAATTGAGTGCGGGAAAGAACGGCAAGGTCAAGGGCTACTGGAAGAGCGAGGCGTGGATCGACGATGTCACAGTCCACTACAACCCGTTTGCAGTCGCCTGAAGTAAATCGGTCATTTGGCTTTCTTTGCTCGCGTTAATGATACCTTTCTGGTGTTGACTTGAGATCCTACCAGTTAATTCGGTAGTCCTCTACTACTTCTCAAAAGGTAGTAAATTCAGAGAATTAAATGGAGTGAAAACTATTGAATTGAAGTTGGTGCTTATTAGAATACATTACGAATGCTCGGAGATTGGTATTTTATTAGTGGAGATCTCTTGTACATCACCACTTGTACGACTATCGGTGGAACAAGTCTAAGTACTACTCCTTCACCATTTGTACGAATTCAAGAGGTTGCCAAAGTCTAGAAACTATATTCTACACCAAGAATTGGGTCGTTACCACTGACTAAGAACAGGAATAGTTGGCAACATCCAGCTGTCACATAATACTAGGAGTGTGGGAAGTTTCATGAAATGATACAAATCTCAATTAGCAAGGGCAGGTGGCCTCCCTCAAAAATGACATTTTCCCAAATGGTATATAATGCTTTTTAGTACTGTAGCCTCGGTGTGAATCTTTTCGAAGGAAGGGTTCGTGAACTGTGATTTGTGAGATGTGATGAATATTTACTTCTTGCATCTCATCCAGTCATCAAAATAAATAATTCAATTCCACTAATGCATTGTGCAAACGAGTAATTTTACGTAGGTTGACACCGAAGCAAGTGATTGAGGTACTGGTGGGATGTTTTTAGGGCGTCCTGATGTATGAATGCGAGTATTCGGGTAGTTATTTTACGTTGCGGTTTCGTCTTGAAGTATGAAATGAGGATTCAGTTCCGGATAGAAATTTTAGGTTTGTGCTTTGCATCCTGATGTATCAATCCGAAGCTCGTGTACCTCTATTCGAGCTCTCCCAAGTTGCCCAAAATCTCGGCGAAGTCTTTAATGGACAAGTACGATCCCTCCTTGGGCTTATCGAAGTCGAAGTTGATTATATTTCCGTCGGAGTCGGTCGAGCAGCAGCTGAGCATATCGATCAAAAGAGAGTCACTAAAACTGGTTCTTCCCTCGCTTTCATCCAAATTCAATACTGCCTTGATGCGCTTCAAGTCAGGAAGACTTAGCTTGTAGTGTACAATGGCAGATTTGGAGGTGGAGTCTGACGCTGCCTGCACGAACAATTTCCAGCTCTCGTATATGTGGTGATAGTTGTTGCGGAACTTGACAAGCTTGTTGCCATGCCGTATTAGCTTATCGATATCCACGATATCGATCAAATCGGAATCGGAGCCAGTAATGGTATATGCCTGAAGCAAGTTGATAGTGGTTTGCTGCTTCACATTTCTAGCGTCCACCACCAACTTGTCCCGCTGCATGAACTCGTAGTAGTACTCTGTACATTGCAAGATATCATAGATGAAGCAATGGGGCACTTTCAAGAATGTGAAAAATTCTGGTAGTTGATGGAGGAACAAGTCAGGAGATTCAGCAGTGAGTTGGGCATAAACCTCAAGAATCTCATCCTCTATATCTGGGTTGAGCTGCTCAAACTGTTTGGACTTGGCGAACCCGTCGTTTCTTCTAGATTTGGCCATAGGTGGTGGAAGGAGAGGTGATCTGCGCACGTATTGATAAGCACTGCAAATGAGGTACTTTGATCTGAGAATTGGTTGAGAAATTAGCCATTGAAATCCACCCAGCCTAGAAGTTTGTATAGTTGAGAAACATTCACATAGCCTAGAGTATCATCAGATAATTGTGTAAACGAGATACAACCCTGACTCATCCCCGAATCTTAGTTTCCAGCACTCACAAGCCACTAATCTCAATTACTGTCTTGAGGTCACATTCTTCGCCTACCAGCAGAACTCTTCCACCCCACATACCACTTGTATCCTCAAACCATGACGTCCACGAAGCCCTCTATCTCAACCTCTCTCGTCACATTTCCTCACAACCACTTCAAAATTCTCTTCAAAAACGAATCGGAACAACCTTCTGGGTCCTTCAAACTCCGAGGCTTGGGGCATTTGATCGGACACCTGATTCACCAGGCTCAAACTCTTGGTAAGACCAATGTGGCCATCTTCTCCTCCTCGGGAGGTAACGCAGGACTCGCAGCTGCCTTCTCCAGCAAGCACTATGGTCTAAAATGCACGGTGGTGCTTCCCACCATCTCCAAGAAAATCGTAATCAGTCAACTCGAAGCATTGGGGGCCACAGTCATAGTCCATGGTGCCCATTGGGGTGAAGCTGATGAGTACCTCCGTACCACTGTCATTGGCTCGCTTGACGACTCGATTTATCCTGTCTACTGCCATCCTTTTGACGATCCTATCATCTGGGACGGCCATGCCCAATTGGTCGACGAGCTCCTCCAGCAGCTAGAAAATGCTGATACTACGGCTGACAATATCAAGGGTGTGGTGTGTAGTGTCGGGGGAGGTGGCTTGTACAATGGTGTGGTTGAGGGATTGCAACGAAACGGACTCTCGGTTCCAGTACTTGCGGTGGAGACCACACAGACAAACTGCTTCAGTTCAGCCTTGGATGCTGGCAAAGTGGTCAGACTAGCAAATATAAAGACGTTGGCTACATCTTTGGGGTCGCCATACATTTCTCAAAAATCGTTGGACAACCATGCAAGCTACCCCACAACTGTGAAGGTAATTGATGACTTGGATGCGGTTCAGGGAGTGATAGACCACTTTGACCACACTGGATCCTTAGTGGAGCCTGCTTGCGGGGCCACGATGGCATTTGCATATGGCAAAGTGGACCAGTTGGAGAAGGTGTTTGGAAAATTGACCCAGGACGATGTGATTGTATTTGTAGTGTGTGGAGGAACTGGAGTTGACCAGAGCATTCTTGAAGAGTATCGCAAGCTTGTGGAGGCTGGTAATGTGCAATAGAGTGGCATGAAGAACATACAGCAGCTGTAGCATTATTATTACTTGATTGTTATTTTAATACCGATCTAATAATGGATGCAAAGATTGAAAGAATGGCCCACGGCATAAGGGTCAATTAGAATCATGAAATAGATGGTCAATTATCACCACACAATTCCAATATGGCCCTGTGGTCGATAATTGTCAAAACTAGATATTATTAAACTTCTTCAAAGTTCCTTTTTGGATGAATGAACAGTAAATACTTATGAATATTAAATTTTAATAGTAGAATAGAAGAACAATTTGATTAGCTTTCATTGCATAAAGTTTAGGACATCAGTAGCGAAATCCCATCCACTAACTAGAATGAGAAGATTCCTTCAATGTCTCGTTTTAAACATCAACTGAGTTGTTTGGCTCAAAAGATGATACAATGCAAAATCTGGTTCAATTCCACCCAAGCCTTACTTCTGCAGCTCAATTGTTCTAATCACGGTATCTTTACTTATTTTCAGGCGTATCCGATAGTGCAGAAAGTCATGTCTGCCTGCCAGACGAGTTGTAAAATTCACTTTGAATAACCAAAAATACCAATTACTATGACTAACATTAACGACTCTTAGCCCAAAAGATGTCGTGTTACTGCTTGGTCCTGAAATGTTCTTGATTTCCTTTAACGCATCCATCTCCTCCCAGTTTGCATCCCATGTAACATACTAAACTGCCTACCTAGCATAACAATCCATTGCGACTGTTCGCTCCTCCTAACTGTCCATCTTCGCCTCCAGCTCCTTCGTTCTCTGTTTCCTGTTCTTACACCATCACCATCCTGCCCAGACACTCTAAGCTTCCCTTTCACTGCTCTACCCAGTCGCAGTCGCTTTTGCAGCACCAGGCGCCACTAAATCCCCTCCAGCAACTTCTTGTCCAGCACTTCTCCTCCAACAATCCGACACTACTAGAGCTGCTACAGCCCAGCATCCACTACACTTGCTTGCCCTCCACCCTTCAAGCCCTCTTTCCACCAACACATCCTGTTCTGGCGAACCACTCGCAACCACACGGTGATTATCACATTCACTGCGCACTATAAATGAGGAGAAACGGGCAATCTACGAGCCACTCGACCATGTCTCGATCACCCAACCCCAACTCAACTAGCTGGCTACCGTTGTGGAACAGCTCTGTCAACAACTCGGCAGTTTCAGTCAATTCAGACCCGTTGCCAGACAAAGAACCGCTGGTGTCTCGACCATCATCGCCCTCCAAGGAACACCGAGACTCGACTTCGGAAGCAAAGCCGGCAATGGAACCCCAAGACCGCAAGAGAAAGTACAGCGCCACCAAGCCGTTGAAGCAGAAAGGCTCTACCAACTCGCTTGCCTCAATGACCACTGGCAACTGGTTAACGTGGACTTCCAGAACAAGGGAGAACCAGCTCTCTGAGGACAACGAGGATCCCGTGGAAGAAGAGGAGGAAGTCCCTGAAGACGAAGAAGGTGTGAACGACGACGACGACTACATCCCTGACGATAATGGCGACGAGATCGACGAACAATACTCCAAGGACCGCAAGAAAAGTGGTCCGTCATCGTGGACCTTCTGGAACAGCGACAACAACGACCAAAACCAGGCCAAGGAACACAAAACAAGCTTGTCCAACACTATTGTCAACTCTACTCCCTCGATTCCATCCAAGCAGGATATCCTTGGCCCTGGCCCCTCCAAGCCCAAAAAGGTTGATAAGGCCAACGATGAAGACTCAACGTCCCCGCCTCCCGAGAGCGGGCAAGATGACGCCGTGTTATACAAGCCACATGATAAAACTGCTCAGTTCAATCAGATCAATACCCACAAGAATGAAAACTTGAAGGAGAATGTTATTGTCCCCGATTGGAGTCTGTGTTTGCCAGCCCAAACCTCGACCTCTTTGAACTCAACCTTGGCATCGTCAATCTTTGGCAATTCGTCTACGTCAAACCAAAACAACGCTCAAGAGTCGAAAATGGATCTCAAGAACTGGAGAAACTTCATCCATCAATTATCTTCAAAGTTAGGTTTCAGCAGTCAATCCTTAACGAGTGTTGTGTCGTCCACTGATGAAGAGGCTGATTCGAAGGAAAAGGTAGAGAAGGAGTTTAATCTTCTTTATGAAAAGACATACCGTCTCTATGGAAGATCTTTAGAAAAGCTCCCCTCGCACAAGAGAGCTTGCTTGCCCAACTACAACAAATTTTACACCAACAATGATGAGGAAGAGACTTACAAATTTGATCAGCAAACCCAACTTGAAGAAGATATCAATGACCCCAACTCTATTTCCATCTCAAATGATCCAATGGGTAACTTATTGATCAATCACAACTCGCGTAGTTCTAAGCATCACAAATCAGATGTGGTCTCATACAAATCAGGCCCCTTGAAGAAGATCAAGAAAATTCTTATCATAGGTGTTCATGGGTTTTTTCCTACAAAGATGATAAGGCCTATTATAGGCTCGCCCAAGGGTACTTCACTTAAATTTGCTAATGAGGCCGAAAAGGGGATCATTAGGTATTGTATTGAGAACAACTTGATCAACGAGAACGATGCCAATAGTATTAGTATACAAAAGATTGCGCTTGAAAAAGAGGGCAAGATTTTTGATAGAGTGGATTTCTTCACCAAGATTCTTCAAAAATGGCAACAAGAACTAAATGAAAGTGACTTTATATTTATTGCTGCCCATTCACAAGGTGCAGTGGTATCAATCATTCTTTTAGCTAAGCTCATTAGTATGGGTATTTTGAAGGATCCTATCAGAAAGAGAATAGGTATCCTAGGAATGGCTGGAATTAATAATGGTCCCTTTTACGGCAGCGACAAGTCATTCTTGATGAAAGCTTATTCTGCTATTGAGCACGACTCGTTAACCGAGTTGTTTGAATTTACAAAATTCACAAGCGAACAGTCATTGGTCTACAAACAGTCGATTCAAGTAATTGTGAATGCTAATGTCAAAGTTTGTTTTATAGGGTCCATCAACGACCAGTTGGTTCCATTATACTCGGCACTTGCTTCCCATGTCTACCACCCAAATATTTATCGCGCATGCTACATTGACCATTCCTCGCTGACCCCATTATTTATTCAAAAGTTGGTCTCTTTGTGTTGCCATTTACAAAACCTTGGATACTTCGATAACAATGTGCTCAAGGAATTAAGCACTTCATTGGCGGGTCTGATGACAGGGGGAGGCCATTCCAAGATCTACAATGATGGTAAGGTGTATGACTTGGNTATCAAATTTGTTTTGGATACTGATGATATTGTCATTCCTTCAAAACTGTTAGTTGTAAGGAATGATTCAAAAACCATAGATACCAGCGAAGGAACATCCAATGGCCAAGTGGTAGGATCAATAGCAACAGACAAACTTGTCACCAGTGGGATCGGGACATATGGATCTACACAAGATAATGGGGAGCTTGAAGCAGCCAATATCCCTGTGACAAACCAAGTGTACATTAAAGAATACAACGTGGGCAAGATTGGTACCAACCCATTTATCTTACCTTGGTGCTTACGAGGTCTTTTGTTCAATATTGAGAAAAATTGGCCCAATAACAATAAGTTGTTAGTGGTTGACAGTGGAAAGGACTTGGGCAGAAATGGCTACGACGAGATCAATGATCTCTATGACCTGTTCGACAACTGGAGGCCTGATTCTAAGGTGTTAAGGGAGCTCAAGTTCAGGTTGAACGGAATGCGAGCCAGTAAATTGTGATCTGGGAGAGCACAACACAACGAATGCAGGTCAGGAATTGAAGGTCTTCGCCGATAAGGTTGGATTGGTAACAAGTCCAAATTGTGGGCTGGATCTCTTCGCTACCTGCCACATCTACTTCCAGGTGAGTGAGCCTAGGTAACAAGTCAATCACATCCTCTTTAGTTCATTTCTGGTATATGAATATTTTAGTTCGGACTATTTAAATACACTTACTACATCTACTACAAAGATACTAGTGATAATGATACACTGTATGGAGACAAAGAAGAGTAATTTGGTCAGGATAATCAATCGATTGAAAGTATTCAAGACTCCGTCCGTCCAGAAGGATGTTCCGGGTACGGAATAAATTTCGTGATATGCTGAGAAACAAGAATTGTACTAATATTGGTAATAAGGGCTAGCAGCAAAACGTTGATATTCTAAGGGGACATATTCTTATCCGGGTCTTAAGCGGAATTTCCATTGCTTAGACCACTTATTCTTATTAATCTTGTAGCACCTAGCACACTACTCCTCAATTATCCGTTATATCACTTATCATACGAACAAAAAACCACTATACACAATCTGAGGTGCTACACAACACAAGCACGTCACCGGGCACTGCTATACTTCTGGTAATCTTACAGGTTTCAGTCTAACACCTCGACATCCTCCTCTCGATAATTATTAGCCAAGGAGTTAATTATGGCAATTAATACCAGTGTTTCGTACGCAGTTACTGTGTTCCCTCAAGGTATTGCCCTCCATGGTATCTGATAGTAATTGATTTGTTATCTACGCCTGTGGGTCCTAAATTAGACCACTAGTTAGCGGCGTCCAAGCATCGTGAGCAGAAGATTTAGTAAAGATATTTGAATCCTTACATTTCCGAGCTGTTCACTCCCATCATTCATTCTTCTGGGATCTTTCTGGAACTAGCCATTGTGGGCACATTTTTGCATTCTACATTGACACCGCCATATTGTTTGAATCAGACCAACTACAGCTAAAACTTTAATGCAACCACAGATATGCTTCTAGGCGGTGGATCTACCTTTGATTTCGGGCTCTGGATACGGTGTGGTTTGTGCCTTCACCACCATCCAAATTGTACAAAACAACAGCTCAAATCCGAAAGAAACACTCTCCTGACCCACTCAATACCAGCTTGCCATACTGGCACCCATAGCAAAGCCGTTCAAGCTTCATCGAATGAGCATCCACCGTATTGAATATCCCACACTACTGAGAATGGCGCTTTTATCATGAGCGGCCACGTGATGCCCTCCACCATGGAACGCGTTTCTAAACAAGCTGCTCTACCATCGCCAGATCAACAGTCCCTCTGTACTACGCCAACCTATCCTTATCTAGTGTCCTTCAGTCACGAGACTTGTATGCCCAGACTCCAACTCTCGGCATGAACTCCAAAGGCTTTGTAGGCGAAAATGAACCACTATTTTCACCTCTCGATCAGCCAGAACAGACCCCAGACACTTCAGACCACTCCACAGATGAACACACAGACAATGCAGACAGCATTGGCCCCGCAGGCTTCTCCCAGCATGACAAAAGCATGGTGACCAAGCTTTTGAGCGGTCCTTCTACGGTATCAGAGGTGTCTCAGCTCTACCATCTAACACCCAGTGAGATTGCCGCCAAAGTGGTGTCTCTGGAGCATACGAACCAAACAGTATCGATGAAGCTTCAGGTTCACAGTCAACTCTATGGGAAATGTGCTTCTGATCTGGTGGGAAAATCACCCGAAGAATTGAACCCAGAATACATCTCCATCATTGCAGACTTGGCCCAGGATGACTGGAGCAAGCTCGAAATCGAAAAGTTGTTTTCCATTGTATTGCATGACTTGACCAGCAAGGGAATAGGCTCCCTTGCCTCAAAAACGACAGAGCAAGTGTTAGAGGCTGCAGGCAAATTTCCCATCATTCCATGGACAAGCGGTGAAATCAGCCTCATTAAGTTAGCGAATCAAGAAGATACCAAAGCCCTGAACCTACTCTTCTACCTTCCGTATAGACTGCAAGAGTCCATAGAAAGGGCCAGGGCTGCGTTTTTGTCGGCTCCATCGTCCGAAGACTACTACAACATAAACAGTGAATTCAACAAGAAGCTAATAGTTCAATGCATGGAGTCCGATCTATCTTTGGATGCCCTTGTGTCCACATTTCAAAATATCCCCTTTGACCAAATTGTGGAAAAGATTCGCCTGTTGGGTGATCTTGATTGTGGTGAGCTTACTGTTGGAGAAAAGCACACCTTGAAAAACTGCATATCTAATGGCCAATCCATAGGTCATATATACTTGAGTCTTCCTTGTAGATCAAGGAGTTACGTTGGCTCAAAATACAAAGAAATGGAGTATGTATCTTCCAGGAAAACCAAGTTCAAAAGTCATGAAGAACGGTTAATTTATGAAGCCAAATGGGTGATGTTCACCAGTGGCGAATCTTCAACTCGAAGAGCAAGGAAAAGGCATAGCGATCAGGATATCGAACAGTTGGAACAAGATTTGATCCAAAATAAATCGAAACCAAAAGAAAAGGTCGAACTTACACCTGAGCAAATAGCTGAACGAGAACTCCGTAAGGAAAAGAGGAAACAAATGCTACTTGAGAAACAAGAACAAAAACGGATACAAAGAAAAGTTTTGAGAGAACTGTTGGAACAAAGACGGCTTCAAGGTTTAACCCGACCTCGGAGAGATGTGCAAAACTCTTCTCTAAAATCCCTTCTTGCTGGCTCACAACACTTTCAATCAGTTATCGGTGATAAAAAGGTGGTTGAGCAGGGCCAAAAACGGAAGCGCATCCAGGCAGACCATTACAGACCTGAGATTGAAATCAAGAAGACTCTACTTAAAACTAGACCTAGGCAAGCTCATAAAATTGCTATTAAAAAGGCGTTAAAATTAACACATGGTGAATCGACCAAGAAATTGGTAAAGAAACTGGAAAAGCCAAAAAAGCCAAAGCTGATGAAGGGCGAACAGATAGATAATTTTTCCAGTTCTGAAACTCCAATAAAGACGGAGGATGAAGAGGATGATCAAGAAGACTATGTATCTCCGTTTGATCCTACTGATATTAATTCAGATACCTTGGTGCCGCTTAATGGCCGAGAATTATTCGAATCTGGATTCTACTCTAGCCAAACTATCACGAACATCAATTATGTCAATGGGGATGGAACTGGGGAGAGTTCACATCTGATTATGACAAGTTTGGACGACTCCATATTGGCTGAGGATGACTTAGCTGTCCATATTGTGCAGAATCATTCCAAGAATTATCGGTCATTACCCATCTCATTTCCACCCATGGAATGCAGTGAATCAAGCGAAGAGTTTGCTGAGTCCTTTAATAGACTAAGGAATATTGTCAGAGTAAGATTTCTCGTTCATCCACAACATAGTGAACTGTTTCTATTAGCTGCTCCCAAGAGTAATGAATTGGATCCCATTTACGAAATCATTAAACTCTTCATGATTCACTACACATTATACTTTTCACACTCTCCAGTATTGAAAAAGATAATCACTGAAGACTATTGCGAAACCTTGGAAAGATCTGTTGAGGAGAACGACTTCGGCATGTTTATGTCTGTTATCGACAAGTGGAATTTGCTTATGCTTGAATTATCTCCTAATTCAGAAGAGCTAGTGCAAATTCTGACTGATAAAGATTTAAATCCTGAAGTAAGGGAGTTTCTTGGAAAAGAGGAAGTCAAGAGGCCTACTCTGCACGAATTAAAATTGGCGGTATTTTTTGAAGAGATCACCAAGGAATACCCTAGTCCACTGTTTCAAATAGTACGTGGAGGAAGTAATTCGCATACGAATGAAGAGATGACTCGAGATGGAGTCCACATTCCTGTTTCGGTAACAAGGGAAGAAACACCCATAAAACCCAAAGAATATAATGCGGCATTCTTCAGCAGACTCCTGGAAATGACAAGTATCTCTCGTTTCACGATGCAACAAATCTTACTTCGAGTCTATTCAAGAATTGTCTCTACTGATTCCAAGAAATTAAGATCCTATAAAGCGTTCACTGCAGAAGTATATGGTGAGTTGTTGCCGTCCTTTACTAGCGAAGTGTTAGAAAAAGTGCTGTTGACGCCTAACCAAAATTTCTATGACTTAGGTTCTGGTGTTGGAAACACAACCTTCCAAGCAGCATTGGAGTTCGGTGCTCGTATCAGTGGGGGGTGCGAGCTCATGGATCATGCTTCAAAGTTGACCAAGTTGCAAGAGGGTTTAATCCAGAAGCATTTAAAGGTCCTAGGCTTAAAGCAACTCGAACTTGATTTCGCGTTACTGCAAAGTTTTGTTGCTAATGAAAATGTTAGACAGAGTGTGTTGAATAGTGATGTCCTCATTATCAATAACTATCTTTTCGATGTCAATTTGAACACCGATGTTGGACGACTTCTCCACGGGTTAAAAGCGGGAACTAAAATCATCAGTTTAAGAAATTTCATCCGTCCAAGATACAAAGCCACTGGTGACACCATTTTCGATAGATTGACAGTTGAGGAGCACGAGATGAGTGATTTTCTTTCAGTGAGTTGGACGGCCAACAAGGTGCCGTATTTTATCTCCACTGTTCAAGAGAACATTGTTCCAGAATACTTGGGCCGTGATGATAGTCCTGAAAATTGTGGGTCTGTAAAGGTTGAGTATAATGAATTGGCGCAGTTGGCAAACTAAACGTCCATATTGATTATTTGCCAAGGCATCATGTACCAATTTGTTGAATAATAGAGAATTTAGCTTCTATGAACTATGCTCTCTTCTCTTGTATTATACTGATCAATGCTTCTAAAATTTGATCTCTTTGCTAGCTCGCTGGCATTGTTTGTATTATAAATAAATTGTATATTACAACTGATTATCCTAATGATTATTGTCGTTATCACATATTGTACACTAATTTACTGATTGACTACTTATGAATGGTCATGCATCTTGCTGGTAAGCTTCTTGTGATGTCTGAGAATCTACTGTATCTGACACTCGAAAAGTTCGCTAAGTTCAACACTTCGGTGTACTAACTTGAGTCAGCAATCAAGCAGACAACTTGCTCTTTTTCTCTTGATTTCCATTCACTTCGTCATTTATCCGTTTACCGTTACCATTGGGCTCAACTGATCCTGGCCTAGAGCTTGGTGTAGACACTTTAGTCTTTTTCTTCGCGGCGGCAGGCCCCTCCATCTCTCTCGTGATTGCAAGCAAAAGAGTATTGATTCTTCTACCAATCTCCTGTGGTGTTCTCGACAACATGTACCAGTCAAACTTGAACAAATCACTAGCCATAATCTCTTCCTTTACTTTTTCACTTAAATTCTCACTGAAGAGGCCAAACTTGTGGACGCAACATAAAATGAATCTGTCTTCTGTCTTCGAGTACACCCTCTTGGAATTGTTGGGAGGGTATTGAATCTTAAGATCCTCGAATGGATCAGCAACCAATTCCATCTTTAATGCCAAAAACTTTTGTTGGTTCATCAACTTGGTATACTTCTTTTCACTTGATTCAATCTGCGTCAAGTACTTGTCGTAGCCTTCAATGCGCTTATAATCTTCCCAAAATTTCTTCACATACTTCTCTGTATCCTCTTTCGTCTTATTACCTAACGCTTCTGCAATCTTCTCATAATTATCTCTACCGTATTTTGCAGATGCATGTATGAAATTGGTGAAGTCTCTTCTAGACCAATTGTGAAAACTTTCGGCTAAAAGCTTGGCTTTGAGCTCATTTTCTTCCTCAGTAAGAGGAACCACTTCATCGACCTTCTTTTGCTCTCTTGCCCGCTTTTGTTCACGACTTACGTCCTGTTTGTATTCTTCTGCCAAAAATTCTTCGTCGCTATCACCAAAATCACCAACAGTAAACCTATAGCCTATTTCTTTCTTAAATGCAAGTTGTTCCCTTTCAAGCAATTCTGGAAGTCCTTGAGGGAAGAATTGATGATCCTGTATGTTGTATAACTTAGGGGCTCTGGGTAAGCGTGCTGAATTGCTTGATGCTGAAGGAATCTTTAGCACATCCTTATAGTAGTTATCAATAGAGTAAACATTCTCTTTTCTTTCTCTCTTAGAAGGATTGATCCATGCGAAACCTAATTTTCCTGAATTCTCCTTTTTTGCGAAGTTTTGTCCATTCCATTCGTAAGTCGATGAGTCAGAAGTGAAGTTTTGAAGATCGTCAAGTCCAAGCTGTCCGAACTTGGCATTCAAATTTGCTGTCTTTTCGGCTCCTCTCTGCAAGATTGCTTCGATATCATCATCTAAAATGGTAGACTGTCCCTTCTTTGCTTCGAATACTTCCTTTGCACCATGCTGAATCATTCCAACCAAATCATCCTTAGAATTACCAACATTATTGTTACTATTGGTTTGTCTACCTTGTTGGATAACAAGCTGGTCCAACCTTAATTTTTGTGCAGCTCTCTCCAAAACTTTCTCTTCAATAGCATTTTCGGTGACAAATCTGTACACTTTAACTTGCTTTTTCTGTCCAATTCTGTGTGCTCTATCCATGGCCTGTAAATCTGCTTGCGGGTTCCAATCCGAATCGAACAAAATGACAATGTCGGCTGTAGTTAAATTGATACCCAATCCACCCGCTCTGGTGGTCAACAAGAACAAAAACTTGTCCGAGTCAGGAGCATTATAATCATCAATTGCTTGAATTCTGTCTTCATGTGAAGTTGAGCCGTCAATTCTGCAATACTCGTAATCTCTGAAATAACAGTAATCTTCGAGAATATCCAATAATCTAGACATTTGAGAAAAGATCAACACTCTTGACCCTTCCTTTTTGAATTTCTGGAGCATCTTATCTAAGATAATCATCTTACCTGCGTTAAATACCAAGTGCTCGTCTGTCGTGAAAGGTGGACCTGGCTCTGCGCCATCGAACAAGTATGGATGATTGCAACATTTTCTCAATTGCATCACAATATTAAGTAACCTGGTCTTTCCTTCTCTCTTTCCAACTGCACCATTAACTGCATCGATATCTTTGTCTAACAATTTTTTGTACCACTCAACCTGCATTGCAGTCATACCGATATACACGTTTGTCTCTATCTTTGGAAGCAAGGACTTTTCCACGTCTGCCTTGACTCTTCTTAATAAAAATGGACTAAGAAGTTGATGCAATTGCTGCACTACTTTGTCTTGGTTTTTCTCTTTTGCATCTTCATCTCCTCCCTGATTCTCGAACCATTCATCAAACACTTCGGAATCTCCAAACACATCCGGAAGCAAAAAATTCAACAAGGCCCATAATTCGTGAAGATTGTTCTGCAAAGGCGTCCCTGTGATTAATAGCCTATTTTTCGAGTAGAATAATCTGATGATTTGTGAAAGCGAACTATCCTCATTCTTGATTCTGTGTGCTTCATCCACAACGATATATTCCCATCTGAATTTTTTCAAATGGGATTTTTCTCTGATGACCATTTCAAAGGAAGTGATCAACACGTCAAAATCTGCCTCCAACAATTTATTTTGGATGATTTCGTTTCTTTCCTCTTTGTTTCCCTGCAAGACCACGGCATTCACCTCTGGTGTCCACTTTGCGAATTCCCTTCTCCAGTTATCAAGGGTGGACTTGGGTACAATCACAATGAACGGGCCATCCACGTTTTTGATGTAACGAAGGTACCCCAAAAACGAGATTGTCTGGAGCGTCTTCCCAAGACCCATTTCGTCGGCTAGAATACCACTTAGCCTATTTTCGTAGAGGGAAATCAACCAATTGAGCCCTTGGATCTGGTACTCTCTGAGGACACCCTCTTGCACGTAAGAGGGAGACTCGGTCAACACGGTGGGCTGGTGGTCCTCGTCGTCCTGGTGCTCCTCGTCCTCTAGCAACTCGGCGTCCTCTTCCTTCTCGGTCTTTCTCCGCCTTCCCTTGGTCTTTTTGGTTTGTACAAACGAGGTTTTGTTATCGATCTCGCGGATCTTTCTCTTGAACAGAGCATCCTTGGACGCGTTGAGGTCGATAAAGTAGCGGAACAACGGCGTCAAGTTCAACAAGTACTTGAACCGCTTGGTGGAGTCGTCCACGTCGTTCTGCTTGGCGATTTTGGGGTCCACATCGAGGAGGAACCGCTTCTTGCGCTGGGCGTGTGTTTCTGGTTTGGAGGTGCCGTTCGACACAGCGGGATCCGCAGGAGAAACATCTTCTACCGGGTCCACATCGTCGTTCTTTCTGCGTCCCCTTCGGCGACGGTTGTCAGTCATAGTGGTGTGGCTGAGAAGAAGGTGTTGTTGTTGAGAATTGCCAGTAGGAGCAATTTGTCAATCGCACCCATCTATATACAATACCGGAGAACCGGCGAAAAACTATATTGACGCGATAACGATAAAAAGTTACTATTCTCTAGTGGGCGGTACCAAGCACCTGAGCAGGGCCAGCCAGGCGTGTGGGTACTCGTTACAACACCACGTTATTGGCTAGCAAGCCCCAGTCGATTTTGTCACGGTTGTTAGCGTGGAGCCACGAGTTGCACTTCTTGAACACCTGCAGATCAAAAAACCCTCTTCTGGCAGAAAGAGGCGATGGATGCACGGTTTTTAGCACCAAGAACCGGGGATTCTGGTGGAGCGAAGGATCCACCTTGGCCACCCGTAGTTGTGCAGGCGTTCCCCACGCCATGATGACAAAGCCCAGGCCCTTGGCGGCGTGGTGGTCGATGGCCACCCTGATCACCTGCTCGGTGAAAGTCTCCCATCCCTGCTTGGCGTGGCTGTTGGCCTTATGGCACTCGACTGTCAACACAGCATTGAGCATTAGTACTCCCCTCTGGGCCCATTTGGTTAAGTTACCACCGCCTGGGTGGCCCTGCTTTTGCAACACGGCGTATTCTGGGATTTCAAAGTTGGGATAGTCGATGTGGATGGTTTTGTAGATGTTGAGGAGCGACGGAGGTGGCCTTGTGGGCTCAAGCACCGAGAACGCCAACCCGTGAGCCTGGTTGTGGTTGTGGTACGGGTCCTGGCCCAAGATCAAGCACTTGACGTTGGGCAACGGCGTGTAGTGAGACCACGAGTAGATGTCGTGGGGCTTGGGGAACACGGTTTTGGATCCCTGGGTTTGGAGGAACCGTTTCAACTGGAGGAAGTACGGCTTGGTGAGCTCCTTGTGGAGTGGCCCTAACCACGACTCGTGCAAGGTGTCGATTTCGAGCTGGAGGAGCGCCTGTTGCTCGGGAGTGAGCGACAGCACCCATTTCTCCTTGTCAAAAGCGCCGATTTTCGGAGTATGGACACCCTTCGAGGCATTTGGGGCCGATTTGGTGGCCAGTCCCCTGTGAACAGGTTCGTTGGTGTCCTTTGTGCTGGGATTGGTGTGGTCTGCTGCCAATTCAGTAGTTGCACCATTCTCCACGGCCAGACGCGATTCGGGCGTGATTTGTGGAGTAATTGGTTCTTTGGATGGCTTCTGATGCTTAAAGAAGTCTGTGATGAGCTTTTTGGGCCTCGTTGGTGGGGAATCGTTTGGTCTCTTCATGGCCTGTGACGCGTGTTAAGCGAGAATAATTGTCTGTTACTGCGAAAAAGACTGTTTCTAGAAGGAAATGAAAAAGATACAATTCTCGATAATTCGGAAAAGGTCTGTGTGACTAGTTGGGTTATTCAAGTATAGCCATCGGGTGTTTCTGGTCCAGCTGGTGAATTTTAACCGTATGTTCGGATTAAAGGGAGCATTCAGCGATAGTTGGGCAGAAACAGTATTATTCAGTAATATCTTAGGTAGTAATTCGAGGAGTTTGGGCAAGAATGACTCAGTAAGTATGGCATCATCATGGATACACTTGTTGAAATAATATTACTCAGCAATTTTGGAAGAAACGGGAGAACACTAATTAATTAGTATCTAAGGGAAATGGCAAGGAAGTACTTTGAGTAGATTAAGCAGAAATAGTATTGCTAATAGTAATTTAGCCAGGCAAATATTGCTCTGACAATGTACTGAATTATAAGTTTTCTATTTGTTTAATGTGATTCGAAAGGATTTGGCCATCAGATAGTAAAAATCAATCAAAGAGACTTAAACAGTAGCATCTGTTTGAGGTCTGGGAGCATTATTGTATTTGGCAGTTTCTTGCGGTCTATTATCTATATATTGGTAAGCTCGACAGGTGTTCTCTTGGCCAAATGATGCCGCAAATGATACCGAACCGAGGCGTCTTGCAAGACTAGCAGGCGATGAGCTCGTTCCTTCGGAATCTGGTGGGGTCTGGACCCTCCGTGGTGAGCCAGGTGCGCCACAAGCAGCTGGAATTAATAGCCGGAAAGATGGCAGCGGAAATAACAAAGAAGGATTATGATCAGCTGATAACCAATAAGAACGATGGCACCTCAAATAATCAAAAACTCTGGTTTGCATAATGAGGGCTGCCTGGTGGAGTATTCACCAGGCTATCTCCCTAAATAGCCATGATGGTTAGTACAACCATCCCTCTTCAAAATCTCCCTCTTAGAACAACTTGGCCAAGCCGTAGGGGTAGCCATGTTCCTTTCGCAAGAACATACTGGTCAAACAGCTGAAGAGCACAAACAACACCACGTTGGCCACCACCACCAATGCAGAACGCGTGGCCTCCAGGTGGATCCTGCTGGTCTCAGTGATCTGGTAGCGGCCCAAGTAGATCATGGCTATCAAAGTCATTGCCAACGAGAAGTAGTTTGCGGCTACCATGACAATTTCGATCCCAAACTGATAATAGAGACCCCCACTGATGTAGATGATGCCCTCCTCGTTTCGTGCCACGAATGGCGTGCCCTGGGAGGTGGTGAACTGGTACCCACTGACAAACACCAACGTGAGGATGACGATGAAGATGGCATAGCCCTTTCTTCTGCTTTGGCCGCGAATAAACGAAGGGCCTCGCTTCTTAAGAAACACGATCACCGCAAACACAGCCACGAAGGTCTTGACGAACTTGGAGGCTGGCGCCTCGTCACGGATGGCGATGTTCTTCTGCAACAACTCGCTGAGGAACCGTGCCAACTCCAACACCTGGTCGCTGACGCCACCCACCGGCAACTTGAACGCGTAGTGGACGTTATCAAGCAACGAGTACGGATCAGCACTGGCTGTCATGTTGGGAGGAATCAACCACACGTGGGGAATGGAGTCGAGCTGCAACTTCTCGAAGATGGGGATGTTGGTGCGGTCCACCACGTCCACTGTGGTAAAGAAGAGCATTCCGCTGCTGTAATCGGCGTGCCATGAGTGTGCAACGGTTGACACCACCTCGGGCAACGTGTCACAGAGCCCACACTCGTGCTTGGGGTCGGTGGACGTGAGCACCAACAATGTGTAGTAGTCTCTGGGGCCTGAGAATAGCGAGAGATTGGCATTGGCCACGGGGATGATGTGGTTGTCGTGGCGTGCAGCCTCTTCTGCTAGCGACAACGACGACGCTGCAGCCATTGCTAGCGCAGCCGCCACGACGATGGCTCTGTATATGGCGGGAAAGATCATATGGATGGTGGCTTTTGACGATGTTTCGCGGTGATAAAACGATGCGAAATGATAGCGCGAAATGATAGTGGGAGGAAATGGCTAGTGGACAAAATGCACTTGGATTTGGTAGAGTATGGTGCATTAAGGTGGTGGAAGTAAGGATGTTTGCTGGCTTTTGCAAGTGTTAGTTGGCCTTACGGTGTTCATTTTTCAGCTTCTGGTTTCAAGCTGTGAATAATGCAAATACCAGCTATAACGGTCATAATATGGCAAACACTCCCAATAGGAGCCATTGTCGCCGTGTTTGGTGGTTCCGGAGGCTCTCGTCTTGGCTGTTACATTTCTCTATTTATTCTAGTTCTTAGGGGTAGACGGCCTGTCAAAGCATAAATTAGACTCACCTTGTGGTACAGTCCCTGTGGGTCTCATTAATACTTGCTTCTCGCCTGCCTCAAAACCACCCTTTTGAAATTAATTAAATACGTATTCACAGTGGAACTATCGTTCTCATTGATCCAGAAGCCTTGATTAGACTCATGGCAGACACCTATAGAAATACGGTCAAAACTACTTTATTATCCTTATCTCTGAAAAGATCCCGTGAATAAAGGAACTTCACGACTATAAGTCTCCGCAGAACTATTGGGAAAGTTTTCAAAAATAAAAGCACCGAGACCAATGAAGAACTAGTAAGCAGAAAATCGGCACATTTCCAGGGGCTAATTACTTCTATGCCTATATTACCTACATGTTTTAAAGGGTTCTTATCAGTTGTAGCTGATAATCTTTTCATCATTCTGAGCTTTCTCACACTCAGCTGGCTCTAAATCTTGCAATTCAACAAGTTATACTTGCTTCTTTGGAATGGTTTGTTTTGGAAATTAGTTTTTATCGCCCAAAACGACCACTCTACTGATCCGTTCATTTAAAAGAATAACTGGAAAAGGTATACTATAAATTTACCGTGGCGTATTCCACCATCACCGTCTGCAAATACAAATTGAATTAACTATTACCGATTTCTTAATATCTATCAGATCAGGACTCTTTTCTGTATAAAGGACATCACCACCCACTTCTTGTACGCATGTCCCACTATTGACTCCCCAATCGATCTCCTCTCTACATCACTCTTGCCTATCCTCTATTAAGTATCTATATCTCCTCTCTCACGAAATCGCTCTTCTCATCTTTGTTGATGATGAAGAACCCCAAGGTGACAATCAGGGCCCCGAATAAGTACCACCAATTGATAAAAAACCCTTTGAACACCCAGTCTCCGATCATGGCCAACGGAATGGTCATGGAGAGCCCCACAGTCACTGTGAGCGGACTGGTCAAAAGAACAGCCTTGCACCAACAGAAGTCACTAACAAAGGTGATGAGGGCGTTAACGAGCAAGAGTGTGAGCACCAGTCGGGATGGAGGAAGCTCAAACGTCTCGTAGCCCGTGAAATGGAGGATGAACAACATGGGCCACAAAAACACCAAGCAGAAGATGCCCACGAAGCCAAAGAACAAGTGAGTGTTGAGGTTACGCTCCTTCTGCGAGTGTTTGATGGAGATCTTGAACTTCAACAAGATGGTGTAGATGCCGTAAATCATGGCACCCGCAAGGGCCAAGATGTTGCCCCAGAGAACCATAAGGCTGGAGTTCTGGTTGGTGGAGGACGAGGTGTCGATCTCGGTGACGATCAATACCCCAGCAAAGCTCAATAGTATGCCCACGATCTTGTTCTGGTTGATGCGCTCCACGGAGTAGAGGTAGCCGATTATCAAGGTGAAGAACGACGACGTGGACGAGAGAATGGTCTGCGATGCCACCGAGGTGTAGGAAAGCGAGGCGTTGGTGACCAAGTTGGCGGAAAACCACAATGCAATGAACTGGAGCGACAACAAGATGGTCTCGTAGAGGTTGATGTTGTCGTCGTCGTCGTCGTGCTCGTCGACGGTGGAGGAGATGCTGGTACCGTCGATGCCAGCCAAGTTGGAGCTGGAGCCGTAGTCGTGGACAAGGCCTTCCTCGTCCTCGCGGTGGACGGTGCTGTTGTAGTCGTGGTGGAGTCTCTGCAAGAACTCGGCGATTGTGAGGTTCTCGTACTTCAAGTAGGGAATGAGGTAGAAGCAGAAGCAGCCTGTGTTGACGTAGGTGATGAAGAACGGTTTTCGGTAGCTGTCATCCTCAACCAATGCATTGACCAAGAAGCTGGACATCACCCAGAACACCACCACGGACGAGAGGTTGATGAGCCCAAGCACCCATTTCTGGGAGGAGCTGAGGTTGTTCTCGGGAAGGAAGAAGGCTAGCACGTACTTGCCTAGCGAGCTCTTCAAGTTAGTGACCGCCGACATGCTGGTGGTATACAGACGAGCTTATCATTTTGGTGATGGTTGGGATGGGCACGCCGCGGGGCGGTCGTGTTTGGGGCCGGCTGGAGATGAGAAGGGTAATGCCTCCTAAGAAGTGAGTATGGCGCGGCACGGTGCCGTATAGCCATGGCGCCCGTAGGGTGCTGTGGTGGTGGACTTTAGATTGATAGCACGGAAACTGCCTGGTGGAATTTCCAGTTCGTTTGGTAGTGGGATCATTCTCATTGACAAGATGGTTGTGGAAATGTTCGTTGGGTGGAATTCCTTTCATTGAAGCACGGTTGGAATCACTTCAGGCGGTGGCGGATCGCTTCGAGGTGATTGGCAGACGGAGGTATCGCTCATTGGGTGAGAATCGCTGCCAGTTGGTGGTGGAACTCCTATTTGAACGAGAGGTGAACTCACTTCCAGTTGTGGTGACACGATCATTGCCTGCCTATAGTAGTGGAAAGTGGTGGATTCACTCCATCACGGCTGAATTTGATTCCAGTTGATTGGTATAATTGCTGCCAATTGATTGCAATTGATTGGTCTGATTACTACCTTTGGATTGATAGAACGAACCAGTCACCACCATTGATACTTGTGGAATTTATGCAAGCTGAAGATACTGCCTTCGCCATTGAGCTGATACACCATCAAGTTACTATGGTGGCTAAAAACGCTACCAATAGTGCTGGTTCCTTTTGATGGCTTTTTCACCATCGATGGAGTTTACCACTTCCACCATGGCTTCTCCACAGCTATCACCCTTCCTTTCCTACTAACTAGGACCTACCAAAGCTCCCAAGACTAAGGTCGACCCCCTCCACTTCAAGTACCCCCGTGATGTGCACAACAAATTCAAGTTTGGTGCCCACGTCGGTATGGCTGGAGGGATCTCCAACAGCGTCACCAATGCCATGGATATTGGTGCCAACAGCTTTGCCCTCTTCTTGAAATCGCCTCGCAAGTGGGCCTCGCCTGATATCAAGGACGACGAGGTGGCCAAGTTCAAGCAGCTCTGTGTCCAGTACGGATACGACCCCTTGAAAGACATTCTTCCCCACGGATCATACTTGATCAACATGGGGAACCCCGACGCCGAGAAGGAGGAGAAGGCCTACGGATCGTTTGTGGACGACTTGAAGCGGTGTGAACGTTTGGGCATTGGCCTCTACAACTTCCATCCCGGGTCCAGCTTGGGGTCGGACCATCGCCAGTCGTTGGTCCGTTTGGCTAAGAACATCAACAATGCCATCAAGGAAACCAAATTCGTCAAGATCGTGCTTGAGAACATGGCTGGAAAGGGCAACTTGATCGGCAACGACCTCCAGGACATCCGCGATGTGATAGACTTGGTGGAAGACAAGTCCAGAGTAGGTGTCTGTGTGGACACATGCCACACGTTTGCTGCGGGCTACGACATCAGTAACGTCGAGACCTTCGAAGCGTTCTGGGCCAAGTTCGACCAGATCATCGGCTGGCAGTACTTGAGTGCCATCCACCTCAACGACTCCAAGGCTCCGTTGGCAGCCAACCTCGACTTGCATCAGAAGTTGGGCCATGGCTTCTTGGGGTTGGAGGTGTTCCGGATCATTGCAAACTACGACAAGTTCCAAGGCGTGCCCATCATCTTGGAGACGCCCGTGGGAGATGACGACGGGGTGTATGGCGAGGAAATCAAGTTGTTGGAGTGGCTCCAGGGCAAGAAACAGCTGGATCCCGAATTTATCGAGAAACTGAAGGAATTGGCCAAATTGGGAGAGAAGGAGAGGGACGAGCACTTGAAAAAGTTCGAAGTCAAGAAGGAGAAGACCGTCAAGCGCAAGGGAAAAGACGTTACCACTATGGTGAGCAAGAAGGTCAAGGTGGAAGCCAAGAATGGGGAGGAAGAGGCAGAATCGAAATCCAAGGTGAAGCTGGTCAAGAAGGAGGAATAGTGGCTAGAGTTCTACCAAGAGTGCTGGAGAGAATAAATGACGAGTCCTTCACCTCAGTCATTTCTAGCCAGTCAGAAATATACTGTCCGATTTTTTAGCGATTAAGTAGATGAAACAAAAGAAGAATCATCTGCTAGTTATTGTAAGCCTTCGAACCGTTTTAGAGACGATGCAGTAATGCAATTATCAAGACTTTGTAATGCAAACAGATTTTAGAGAGTTAGAATAATGCAATGCTATTTGGTAGTGCAAATCTACTGTATATTCAACGTGTTTATAACTCATTTATTCCTCATAGAAATCTTAAAACCTTACTTTCTGTATTTATCCGATGAGCTTCCATACTTTCATGAGTGGGCATGTAACGATGAAGTAAATTTACTTCTTTCATATTGGCTCAAAGTGGAGTGAGGTACGTATAGTCTAGGTAATCACATCACGAAATTCAGCACTGTGGATGCACAAGAGGCTCTCATTAGTGTTCTCGATGCTTAGAGTCGATTTTACAACCAACCAGCGATATTTAGACGATAAAATTGTAGATGGATGTACCCAAACCAGCATTTCAAAAAGAGCTCAAAGGGCCAGATAAAAGTGGGAAAAGGTCTTTCTCCTTATCGCATTGTAACCACCGTCAATTGACAGTGGATGCTCGAAATTACCAAAATTCATTCTTATCAGATTATCATTAGAATATAATCTTTACATTCCACAACCTATGTTTCGCACGTGATATGCCACGTGATCCCTCCAATAAAAAATTGAGCATCAACATCTTCAACTGCACACACCATGTTTGGAGGTTCTTCTACTGGTTTCGGCGGCTTCGGCAGTTCGGCTGCCAATAACGCTTCGCCTTTCGGCGCTGCTGCCAACACAAACACCAACAACGCCTCCCTGCCTTTTGGCGCAAGCAACACTGGCGGAGGTATCTTTGGAAACAACAACTCCACTACCGCCAACACTGGAGGCACTTTTGGTGCCAATGGATCTGCTTTTGGTGCCAACAACACTAACTCAGCATTCGGTGCCAATTCTAACACTGGCGGTGGGCTTTTTGGAGGTGCTGCCGCTAACAACACCTCTCCATTCGCATCCAACAATAATGGATCAGCATTCGGTGCAAACACAAATCAATCAGCATTTGGCTCCAGTAACACCACCACGGGAGGTGGCTTGTTTGGAGGAGCCAACAAGTCCACTTTTGGCGGTGCTACTGCAAGCACTGGGTTCGGAGGTGGTTCTACTGGCTCTCCCTTTGGAGCATCCACCACTGGTGGGTTTGGAGGCATTGGCGGAGATGCCAACGTCAACAACGGTACTGCTGTGAAGCCATTCACCCCCTTCAGCGAAAAGGACACCAGTGGAGCCGTCACTGTGTTCCAAAACGTCTCATCTATGCCCGAATACAAGAACTTCTCGTTTGAAGAATTGAGATTGAAGGACTACGAGCAGAACAGAAAGTACGGCAACGCCGCAGGCCAGCAACCTGGCTTTGGCGCTGCACCTGCTGCCAATGGTGGGTTCGGTTTTGGAGGTCAGGCTGCCAATACCTCGACCTTTGGTGCCAACAACAACAATAGTACCCAACCATTTGGTGGCTCCGCATTCGGTGCAAACAACACAGCCTCGACTGGCTTTGGTGCAGGTAATACTGCTGCGAACAACAGCTCGCCTTTTGGCTCTAACACCACCTCTGCCTTCGGTGGAGCTGCTGCTAACAACTCTCCCTTTGGAGCGAACAACGCTGCGTCCGGCTTCGGTAACACTGGTAACAATGCCTCCTCTGGCTTTGGCAACTCCAATCCCTTTGGAGGTGCAAACAAACCTTCAGGTTTCGGTTCTAATGCTGGCTCGGCATTCGGTGGAGCTAGTAACACTGGTGGTGGATTGTTTGGAGGTGCAAACAACAATAACAACACCAACACCTCGCCATTTGGAGGAAACAATAATTCCAATGCTTTTGGTCAAGCCAATAATGCATCTCCATTTGGATCCAACAACAACACCAATAATGCTTTTGGTCAAACCAACAACTCTCCCTTCGGAAGTCAGAATAACACGAACTCTGGGGGTTTGTTTGGTGCCAACAACAACAACAATAATAATAATGCATTTGGGGCCAATAATAACAACACTGGTGGTGCTTTTGGTGGTGCTAATACAGGTGGTGGATTATTTGGAGGTGCCCAAAATAACCAGACCGGCTTCGGTGCCAATAAACCTGCCACAGGTGGATTATTTGGTGCCCAAAACAACAACACCAGTGGTGGATTATTCGGTCAGAATAACAACGCCAACGCCAACAACACCAACTCAGGTGGCTTGTTTGGAGGTAATAACAACGCTGCTGGTAATACTGGTGGTGGTTTATTTGGCAATAAGCCAGCAGGAACAACTGGAGGTGGTTTGTTCGGAGGCAATAACACAAATAATGCCGGTACCTCTGGGGGCCTCTTTGGGGGTGCTCAAAATAACAACACTGCCAACGCCTCTGGTGGTCTTTTTGGCTCCAAGCCTGCAGGCACCACTGGTGGTTTGTTTGGTAACAACAACAATTCTTCTGGTGGATTTGGCCAAACTAACAACGCCCTCGGCAATAATAACCAGTCTGGTGGTTTATTTGGCAACAAACCTGCGGCTACTGGAACTACAGGTGGATTATTTGGCTCCAATAACAACTCAGCACCACAATCCAGCGGTGGACTTTTTGGAAACAATAACAGTACAGCACCTCAAGCAAGTGGTGGGCTCTTTGGAGGTAGCAGCAACAATGCATTAGGTGGTGCTAACTCGTCTGGTGGGTTGTTTGGAAACAAGTCTGCTACTACAGGTGGAGCGACCTCTGGTGGACTTTTTGGTGCTAATAACAACAACGCCAACAATGCTGGTGGTCAATCTAGCTTCCTTGGAGGAAACAACTTACAAAACTCGCAACTGCAACAATCATTGGCCAATATCAACTCCCAAAACCCATACGGCAATAATCCATTATTCCAGAGTCTCTCTGTTCCGCAGGGGGCCAACTCTTCCTTTCCATTGGCAGTAAAGACCAAAGGTGCCAATAAGAAGAAGGTTTCCTTGTCTGGTGCACCATCAATCCGTCCATTGTTCCGCCCAACTGCATTGCCATCTAATGTGAAATCTCGCTCACCTAGTAGCCCTGCCCCTACGCCAAATTCTTCGTTGTTCTCCAGTCAAACTGATAACGCAATCACCTCTTCAGAAATTTTTGCACCTCAAGTCAATTTCAAGAAGTTGGTGGTCAAGGTTTCAATTGACCAGGACACCAAATTGATAACTGCCGACTCCAACAACGCCAAGCCAAAGAGAGTTTCGTTCTCGGTTGCAGTCGCTAACGAGAGCACAGTCGATGACAGTAAGTTGGTAGAGATCGCAAAGGAGGAAGGTGTGGCTGATGTCAAACAGACCCCAGCGGATGCTACTGCTGCTGAAGTAGAAGAGGCTGACGACAATGGATACTGGCTCTCTCCATCACTCTCAGAATTGAAGAAGAAGTCGCTCTCTGAGCTCCGTGCGATCAAGGGGTTCAAGGTCGGTCGCAAGTACTACGGTGTCATCGAGTTCTTAGACCCTGTTGACTTGTCTAGCTTCGTCAATTTGGACGACATTGCCAACAACTTGGTTGTGTTTGGTACCAGATCTTGTGTGGTGTACCCAGATGGCAACGCACCCAGATTGGGCGAAGGCCTCAACTTGCCTGCCCAGATCACCTTGGAGAACTGCTACCCTATCAGGAAGTCCGATAAGTTGCCAGTGATAGACCCCAAGAGCGACTTAGTGGACACGCACATCAAGCGTTTGAAGAAGTTGCCCGAGATGGAGTTCAAGTCATACGAGCCCGAGACCGGTAAGTGGACTTTCACTGTTGCCACTACTGTCAGCTAGAGCCAGGAACTCCAACTTCGATCCTGCAAAAAGCCCCTCCATTGGGCATAGCCGTGTCCAGCCCTGCCACGTTAATATTTATCTCACAGGCCGCCTGAGCCTGGTCAAAATTGGTATTAACGGTCACCTGTAAGAAAATTCGTTTTCACACGGCCAACCACCTTAGAGCCGACTTATCCCCTGGTCTCTATCTGCCACAGTCGGACAATCCTCGTTGCCAAGTCGTGTACACGACTGTGAAATTACATAACCATAAGCCTCCAGATAACTCCCTACTCAAGATAAATCTACGTAACACTCTTTCTTCTCCTGTAAAGCCGTCGTTGCACGTTCTGGCAATCTTTCCACGCCCAGCACCTCCTCCTCGCCAGCTTCACCGCCATCTCGGTCCTTGCCCGCCCACCAACCATCCGTCCCTGTTCTCTTGCGTCTTTGTTCCCCATTCGCGAATTTACGGCTCGTTACGCAAAAAGGCTTATCTATAAACACCATCTGAAGAGGTTTTTGATCCATTGCTTCACACCACCATGACCAAAGCGTACATCACGTTGTTGACCGACGAGTCTTACCTTGCCGGAGCCTTGACGTTGGCTGCCGCATTGAGGCACCATGGCACCATCCACAAACTTGTTATCTTGTTGACCCACGAAGCCCTTTCCTCGGACTCCATCGACCTTGTCCACGAGGCGTACGACGAAATTGTGCCAATAGACGAATCGCTCATCCAGGCACCATTGGAGGGCGTTCTATCCAAGTTGGGACGTGCCGAGTTGTCGGTAACCTACTCCAAGTTCTTGCTCTGGAACCAGACCCAGTACGACCAGTTGATCTACCTCGACAGCGACACCCTCCCGTTGACCAACCTTGACGAGCTCTTCGTTGAGTACAGTGGGGCCTCTGCAAACCAGATCGTGGCCAGTCCCGATTCTGGCTGGCCCGATATCTTCAATTCGGGAGTTTTGGTACTCAAACCGAGCACCACTGTTTTCGAGGATTTGTTGGCTTCCGCCACCACTACCGAGTCGTTCGATGGTGCTGACCAAGGATTGTTGAACGAATTTTTTAACGTGGCTTCTGCCGGCAAAAACTGGATCAGATTGCCATTTCTTTACAACGTGACCCCTAACTTAGGCCAACACTACCAGTACCTCCCAGCATTCACCCGATTCTTCAAGGATATCAAGCTCCTTCACTTTTTTGGCAAAGTGAAGCCATGGCACCTGCGAGACATCGTGTCTTCCGACACCGCCAACTTCCACCACTTGTGGTGGGCCCTGTTCAACAAGCATTTTTCGGACCCCAAGGTAAGAGCAAGGTTATTGCAAAGGGCACCTGGCGAAGGCTACAAATTGAGATTCGAAAAGTATACCAATACATGGGACGAGCCTGTCCCTGGTCCTCAGGAACTGGCAGCCTTACCCCAATTGGAAGAGCAAGAAGACGAGATTCCGTCTGTATTCCCATGGGAACAGAGAGAGCATGTCGCTCCAACCAGAGTATTCAATTCCTTCAAGTCTTCTGGTCCAGCTGAAACTCAAAGAGTACACAGCAAAGCTGACTCCGATTTACGCAAGAATATCGAGTCCCTTTCTCTGGTAAAGATCGGCTCAAAGAAGCCATCTTCCCTCCTGAAAAACTACCATTTCAGCGAGGAAGGAAGCTTTAATCCGGACCAAGCGTTTGAAGAAGTATCCAAAATTCCTCTTCAATTCTTATCTAAGCAGAACAAGAAGAATTCCAAATAGTTTGGTGGTTAATTTCGCACGCAGTCCAAATCTGCATTTGTTGTGTCTCGTGTCTCGTTGATTTTAATTTTATAGTTGTTTAACCAATTCTGTATTTTTGCCCTTAGTTGGTATTGAAACTGGAATAACGTTCTAGTCCATCCAATTTTAAGATGGTGTCTTTATAAAGTGACTCTGAGCTTAGTTAGATAATAATTGTTTTTAATAATATACCACTTTTGCTTCTTGACATATTTTTGTTCGTTGCTGTAAAATTTCCAGCTTTTTTCGGATTAGAACGAAAAATTAATTACTTCAAGCTAAAAGCTAAATGAAGGGAAATAAAAATTGTAACACATACATGAGTGACCGCATATTGAGTATACTGGCTTTGTGTTAAAGTCAGATATCTGATCCACAGATCAAGATTATAGATCTAAAAAAAATTGCCGGTCCCAGGAATCGAACCTGGGTTTGTTCGGCCACAACGAACTGTACTAACCACTATACGAGACCGGCCAATTGGTTGACATTGGGTGCTCAAGTTACTACCACACTCGGTTTGTTGAAACTAAATTTAACCTTCTGAGGGATTTCTGGCTTACTACTACAATTTAATCACTTCACCTTATGATATTAGTTAATGAATTTGAATTTTTGTACTCAAAAAGTTGCAATTTATAAAAATCAAAAATTTCAATTGAGATAAATTACTTGCTTCTTTCCTATTGCACCCAGATAAAAGTTTTCGAAACCCCAAGATACTAGTGATAAAGAATATGTGCTACACGAAGTTTTGCAACTGAGGTAAACATGAAAACAAAAAAATTATTTTGTGTGGTTTGATTGGGAATAGTTGCACCTCTGCAACGAAACTACGGCTCTTACTTATCAACCTTGACCCTTTAAGAAAAACATACAGCTTCTATGAATAGTCGAAAAACTTACAGTAATCAAATTAGTTCAAGTATAAAGAACTTCTAATAATTTATTAAACGGATGGTTTCATTCTTGTGCACACAAGACCTTTAAGATTAGTGTTCATCAGATTATGGAGATGTAATGTCAAATGAGTTGTCTGCGATACAAAAGCTTAACAGTTACATTCAAAGATAAGATGACAAGTTAAGAAAGCAAATTTTGTACATTTATTACGAATTTTTTGCTTTATTGCAATAATCACCAAAACATCCTCCTTCTCAATTAATTAAAGTGCATTGCGATATAGTATCAAGCTCTAATATTTATCATACTGCCAGCATCTGATTGATAACACATCAATTCACGAGTTATAGAAATGACCAATAATTTAAAGTATAAGCTTACATGATCTACTGCACAACAGTATCGTGTGTCGCGCCACCAGTTGCAAAAACAACCAAACAACAATTCTTATTGCAATATCAAATTTATAACGGTTTGGTCACATTGGTGTATGTCTTTTCTGTAATTTACTCTTTTAGAGCATTCCTGGGTGACTGTAGTTGAGTGAGAGCTCGAAACGTACATTTAATGACATCCTTCTGTTTATTATATATAACACGATTTTTCGCATCTCTAAAAGGGCATGAGAAGATAAATTGATGAGGAAAAATACTTTGAGCAACAATCCCTGGACCAACTGTGATATAAAACTGCTATAATTACACCTAGCTCTCTATATACTTTGGGGAAATTACAGGTTTCACACTACTATGGTGTTATCGGAATCCTTTGGTGGATACTAATGCAATGATTTGATTTTTTTGAGCGGACATAACTATTCGTTGTTTTGAATACCTAAATAGAATGCAATCTATCAAATAATAGCTTTTTGAGAAACGAGTATTGATTACATTATTATGACTTGAAGGACAACGTATTAATACAATTTTGTGTCGACGATACCGAAATTTTGCATCTGATTTGAAATGGTCTGTTGGTTAGGAATACTTTCCATACAAAGTACCATGCTCCAAGTGAAGGACATTTGTATAGGCATTTCCAAGGATTTTAATTTTGTCAGGAATATGTAGGTTTTATCAGCATAAATAGTTTCTTTCGACATACAAAGGTTTTGGTGCCGATTTGTTTTCGGTATCTTTTTACCTGGTACACGGAGGTTTTTCTAGACGTTTTGCCATACATCAAACATCCGTACCTTTTGTTTGAACACATCCTTACCACTAATATATGACTGGAAAATCACGAAGAAAGCCAGTTCTTGAAAACCTTGTATTTGGATTTTATTTTTACGAATGGGAAGTATATTATAATCTACTGACTATACCTATTGCAATGGATAACACACCATTATGGTCAAACCGTTGTAATTTAATTAATTTTTGAATTTAATTTTGTTTTTTGATGATTTTTTGCAACTTGGTGCGCAACAAAAGGCACCTTGTAGAACCAGCTCATGTTAGATAAGATTTTTATTAGGAACTTTGGCTGGACAAGAGGAAAGACAATTGGTTGGTGGTTGTAGGACGAGCATGGGCCTCCCCTTGAGATTAAAACTTCTGATGTCTGTGTCGAGTATATGCTCCGCGGCAGCAGCGAGGCCTCGTACATCGTGAAATTGATCAGAAATCCCTAAAAATTGATTTTTCTTTATTTTGCTGCATGATAGTAGATTATAATTCATCTTCTAGATAACTAGATAAATGCCAGGAGAGCGAGAATTTTGAGTTTTTGATGTGGAGTTAGACAAGACTGAAACCATATAAAACGGTTGGTTTTACCGAATAAGTCCCAGTGGCCGAGTGGTTAAGGCGACACCCTGCTATTTGCAGCTCAGGTGTTGGGTTTTACCTGCGCAGGTTCGAATCCTGTCTGTGACGTTATTTTTTTGATTTTATATGCGAATTATTATCTTAGAGTGCTACTTTTTGAATGGTCCTATGCTATACTGTTTGAGCTACGAGAATACGATAACGAGTATTAATGATCGCTCGTACGCTTCAAGTGTTATTTTTTAGTAGAAATTACAGTTGAGGTGGATTATATTTTCATAGTAGTCCAAGATACTTTGCTATGCAAATGCTTGATCTTGACTGGTCGACTGGTGCTATAATATCACAAACATGTCACAGAGAGTTGAAACATACATCTGTGACCACATGTTTTTTAAGGAGGATTTAGCCTGATATGTTCTTACTATCGACGCACGAGGGACGCAAAAATTAGACTTTGCGTCGTAGATAAAGTGCGTAGATAAAGTGTTCTATTGTGCACTTCGGCTAAGCATAAATCGTACAGTATTAAGAACTTAGAACCTATCAGGCCTGAAACTTCGATATCACCTAGTCAAGAAACAACCCAATTATTGTATAATCAGGCGATGTAATTCCCATGAATAATTTGGCGAAACGGAATACTATTCCAGGCGCTGTTTTTGAATCAACTTGTCTTTGAAGATGTTCAGATAGTTGAGCGGGGGCGGCCCGTATTATTTCACTTTGACTTTGATGCTTATTGCTCGTTTTAGGAATACCAGCTGGTTGAGATTTGCGCTATTTACTAGTTATCTTGGAATGGACCATATCTACTGAGTGATTGCGGGTTACAAGTTACATGGGCCACTGAGGAGAAAGAGATTCACCTGTGGTCTCTGTTTAGCCTTGTTTGGGATGAATACAAAATGTGAAGTATCGCAATGATAATTAAAACTTAAAGCTAGGTGGAGAAACAATTGCCGAGAAAACGTTTTTCCCTATTCGCGAGGAATTCAATTTCGGGTAATTTATACGAGAGTTCGGTACAGCAGCGACGACTTGTGACAACTACATGAATAGGGTATACGAAAGCCCCCATGCCCAATTGTAGACAACGGCTCCCCACGCAAGGCGAATCCTTCATAGGCGCATAAATTCAACTCATAACCAGCTCGACGCGATCCCAGCATTGAGGCTTAATCTCAGACAATACTGTTTTGCACCCAAGAGAATAGTGACCAAATGAAATTGGAAAAATACTGATAGGGACACTAACTATGGAGCGGGCTTAGCTTTTCCATCCCCGCAAATACAAACCCCTAGCGGCTCCCCACTATGCGAGGGCTGATCGTCGCGAGATCAGAAACGGGGTTATAACGGGTTCTGTCATGTAAGTCATGTGGGGCCTTCCGCATGACATGTAAGTCAATACATTACCTTTGTCTGAAGAGAATTGTAGAAATGGCGAAAAAAATTTGTCGTGGAGTGGGGAAGTATGTGGGGAAGAGAGTGCTGAATCGTTTTATTTTTAAAGTTCGAGAAAGCTTCTACATACGGAACGCAGCATAACAATAGGACAACCCGATTCGGACTGCGATCTCAAGGTTACATTGTGTGAACAGGAATGCTTTTGATGGAATGTGGTCCGGGCCAAGCTAAATAACGGATTTACTACCAGCCTTATCCGCTAGTACAGCTCGCTACCGTTAACCGTACTTGAAATTGTCTCACGCAGGTTAATCAACCTTCTGCGTGTGGTGATGATTGTTGCTTTGGTCGTCGAAAAACTCCCTTCTTTAACTTTGGAATTTGGGGCGTGAGCAGGCTGAACCGAACATACATTTACAAAGGGTCCACGGAGAATCTACCCTACTACTAAGTATGTGGCTCGAGTTATCATGCTGAGTCAAGTATCGTGGCTAAAGCATTTATGCGGCTCGGTGCCCAATCTGCAATGCCGCCTGGGTGACGATAGCACCAGCCAATTCGATGTGGCTAATACTGAACTGGACCATCGGCCTCACTCTGATAGGGGGTTTTGACACGTTTCATTGCCTGAAATCGGCACAATAGTGGCACCCTGAAATTTACATCGTGTGGTTTATGGTGCCATGCGGCCACTGGGGATTTCTTCCACATTTGGGTTTCGTTCTGAATACTAAGGCGTTAAGCTTGTTAGCTGATCTGAAAAGAAGATCTAATTACCCAACTATTTAGAAGTCGGTACACAGTATAATAATAAACGAGGAAAAGCATGAGGAATTACGAAGGAGAGCCAGAAAATATCCACGCTAACAGAAAAATAACCGAAAATGAGCAAAATAATGTCCTCAAATAGTTGGCGTTGAGAACAAGGTATCCACCAATAAAATAAATTAGTAATCCGTTGGTATGCACTGCCTCACATAAAGGATTTAGTGTGCCTACAAAAATAGAAGATAATTTGGGAACATGCGGGTCCACTATTAGATCAAGATGCAGAACTCTCACGCGTAAATACGCGACGGGCGACTCTCCTAATGTGAGATCCCCGGAGTTAATGCGAGCCATCGCAGTATCTATTGGTGCTCAGGCGAGTAAACAATAGGCCCGATCTCCAAGGAAAGAAGCCAAGGCATCATCCAACGATGGATGTGGGCCGTCATGATGCCAGCTTCAAATATGTATGCAGAAATGCGCCCGCCTCGGAATTCTAGGTTCGCGTACTCTAAACTCCGAGTGTATCCAATTAGTGGATGTGGTAATGTGTTTCACAAACGTAGGAGTGTGTTACTAGATATTGGATGCATCACCTGTCTTAATAAGCTTTCGAATAACCGGATGTGTGTATCGAATAGACTAAATGTTTGACTTGGTGCTTGTCCAATCTTGCTGAATGCCATAGGGACTCGTGGAGAAACATGGGGTTGGTGCTAACAATAGATCACTAACGTGGTCACAGGCAGCACCGGTGCAGGAAGAACACAACTTGGACCAAGCGGATTTACAAGTAAGCCCTCGTTTGCCGTGGGATTGCCATTAGGCTGGGCAGTGCATATCCTTTGCGGGCCATCATGTAAAGAACAGGCCATTAATACATGAATAAACCATACGCACCAGTAGGTGCATATACAACCATGCGTGGTCAAGACGCAAGCCAAATCTATATACACACAATACGACACAACTTTGTGACAGTGACGATTAATAGTGCTTGCCATAGAACGATACCGATTTTCTACAGGTTCCCGTAGATCCTTATTGTGGAGCAGTAGCGCATATGCATGTTGACGCACATATAAGGAAGCCCGCGCGACTCTAACGCGGAGCAATAGTCTCCGTCCGGTCCGGCCGCAGATTGGTAGTGGCATCCTGTCTCCTAAGTACAGTCTGACGCTGAAGTATTTTGCAAATACGAATAAGGGTACATATTACTAGAGATTTCATTCTATTATTATTTCCCATGAACTATTATCTTAATTCACTTAGACTAACTCTGTATTATGTGGCTTTAGAAAATAACATCCTGAACATAATGCCCTACGATTGTAACTGAACAGATACGGGTCCGACCCAGAAATGACCCTGGACCAGAAAATGAAAGGCGGGATCGAGTGGCAAAAGCACCTGTAAATATTGCATCAATAAATAGGTCACTCGCTAAGGCCATGTTCGGGCTATAGACAGGCGTTTTAATCTATTAGCAAATGCGTAACCTGTAAATATTTGCCAATAGCCACGGCAGCGGAATTCGGCCGATGCCGTTGCTGCAACACCAGATATCCTGCATCCAGCCCAAAGCCTACTTGTGAGGAGAAATACAAAACCTAAATAGCGGGAAAAAACAATTCTTCATCCTGCACCCAAGCCCAACATCGTATATTGCATTACAGATTGGAAATATTACCTATTGCCAGCACAATAATACGAAGCACGGTTTCGGTAAAGATTAGATAATAGAGAATATTTTTAACGAATGAATACATCGTGATTCAACCACGGCACAACCAGATGTAAGGGCTTGGTTCCTCCCGATTGTGATCTCGTTGGCACAAAAGATTGCCCTCCTCCCGTTGTTGGTGTCTCCGTTGACAATTTGCCCCCACATCCAGATGGCCAATTTTAGACTTTGTGTTTTTTTTCTGGAAACTCAAAATGACTCTCCACCAGCGGGTACTGTTGCATCCAACAAGAAATACTCTACCAGGAAAAAAAAATCAGTATTTTTTAAACCAGAAATACAAGAAAATATCGAGCCTCAAAAAAATAAATGTGGGAAAAAAAGAAATGATCTTAGAAGTAATACCGCCCGGCTACACCCATCATAACCTATAACTACTCTACGATATCTTAGGTCATTAAGTTTGATATAATCTGTGGACGCCCATTCCAGAGGACCCTCACACCGCACCTCATCGCTTTGCGTTTTTAACTGCTGTCCATTCGTCCCTAACCATCGGTTATAAAATAAATCTATTTTCCCATCCTATCAATTGACAATTTTAACTCCTGACACTATTATTTTTGTCTGACCGGTATTATATATATCTGAATCGGAGACCAACCATCTATCCATTATCCATAGTTTATCCCTAGCCACCACTACCTGAGCATACCCAAGGACTCTCCCACCACACAGCACCGTCCGCACCCTCTCCGACCCCATCCATCATCTTTACGTCTTATGTCTAATCCATACGATAACACTGCCAACACAAACAAGTCCACTGCCTACACCCACCCTTATCCCGGAGTCCATTACGTGCCCCACCAGCAGATGCAGCAACCGGCACAACAAACCACGCTGAACCAGCAGCAGCAGGCGCAACTCCAGGACCACCAATTGGCCCAGCACGCCATCAAAGATGCATCCGGAGCCTACGACATCCAGCCACGGTTCTACACCCTGCCCATGGTGCTCCAGCAGCCGTCGTACTTCCCCCAGAACTCCCAGTACACCTTCAACCAGTCCATTGTGTATCCGCCCAACTTCCAGCAGCAGATCCAGCAGCAGCAGGTACAGCAGCAGTTGCAGCAGGCCCAGGTACAGCAGGTGCAACAACAACAGCAGCAGTTGCAGCAGGCCCAGGTACAGCAGGTGCAACAACAACAGCAGCAGCAGCAGCAGCAGGTGCAACAACAGGTGCAGCAAGCACAGACCGCCCAGCAGCAGCAGTACTTCGACTCGATGCCTGTCAACAATTACATGTTGATACCGAACAACTCGTCCAACTACACCAATTCCTCTGCATCCACCAGCTACAACGGCGGCGTGCCCGCAGCTGCCGCCACCACCTCCAACGCCTCCAACTCCACTCCCATTCCCGCAAACTCCTCCATCAACAACTTCTACGCCAACAACTACTCCCAGCCAGTGCCGCCCCACCACATGCCCCACCACCAGGTGGCGCCACCGCCCGCGGTGCACCAGCCATCCAAGCCCGATGCCTCCGGTGCTAGCGCTGGTGCCGTCGCCGCCAACGCGACGCCCGCCGTGCTCTATCCCAACTTCCCCGAGCGCTTGCAGCAGCTCTTGCCAGCACCGCCCTTGTCCAGAGCCCCCACCCGTCCCGACATGGCCCTCAGCATGTCGCAGAAGCGGGCCAAGCGGAAGTCCAAGTTCTCCAAGTACCAGGACGAGTTGATCTTCCTGCTCAAGAAGAAGGGCAAGTCGTGGGTCGAGATCGCAGAGGCCTCCAACGTGGGCTCCTACCTAGCAGCCAGAAACCGCTACCAGGTCATCGTGGGCCAGCAGGGTAATAACAATTCCTCCAGCTGGGACGTCCAGGACAAAGTGCATTTGCAGCAGATTCTCGATGCTGGCGAATTGGAGAAGTGGCGCTTCATCAGCCTCGAGTTGAACAAGGCCACCAAAAAGAACTTCAGCGCTTCTGACTGTCGTGAGTTGATCCGTCTCTTGTTCTGGTCGGATCCAGCCCTGTTTGGCGTCACCGAAGACACCATCAACGAGTGTCTCAAGGAAAAGAAGTTGACGGAAAAGATCTTGGACCAGCGCGACCAGAGCATGAAGAAAAAGTCCGACAAGTCCACCAGCGAGCAGGCGTACGTGGAGCCCATGTTGAACGCGAAAATCAACACCAAGGACATCAAGAAGGAGGCCATAGGCGTGGACGTGTCTGCTGGCACCAACAAGGGTCAGAACGCGCTCCACTACGGCCACGGAAGCAATGTCAACGCCAACTACTTCACCACCACTGCCACCACCCATCCCCAGACTTTGCCACATCCCTACCAGCGTGGAATTAACGGCACCACCTCCAACTACGGCCAAAAATCGGGTGGGGGCTCTGCTGGCACCCCCTCGTCAGCTACAGCCAGCACCCAGTCCAACTCGTTAGGAAATAACCCCAACCAGTACGCAGGGTACCCCAAGCACTACTACTAGCTCACAGCACACTTCAATTCTGTTCAATTCTCATAATGGCTATTATGTCTTCGGGCCTGCTTGCTTCATGCAGCTATGTATGTTTGTAATATATCAAGGCAGTCCTTTCAATAAAATGGTTTGACGGTAAGTTTAGTGCAACGAAAGGTTCACTCGTCTACTGTCGATTACTAGCATTTCTTCGATTTTTGAATTAACTATAGAAACAGTAATGTATACGATTTTTGGATTAGTGTAGGATAAAACAAAGGAGGTGCATCAGAAGGTAATATCGCGCAAGGGATCTATTAACCACTAGTTGATTCTATTGACTAATTAGACAAGCTATTCAATTCGAGGATATTTCTATCGACAATTGAGCAGACAATTGAGCGATTCTCTTGCAATAAATTCTCTCTGAAGGTGGTTTATCCACTGAAGATTTGGCAATTTTCAATTAATTCTCGGAGGTGGATTTATCAATGGAACTTAGGACGAACAATTTTCTCTTCTTTGCAATCAAAGCAGAACATTCATTGGCTATTAAGCGATTTCCTCTAAGAAGAATTGATTCTTTAATCAATTGAACTCTTCTCTTTCAATAAACTCTCTCGATTCAGCTATTGAAACCGTACAATTCTGCCATGTTTCAATAAATTCCCTCCTCGTTTCAACAAATTCTCCAGAAGCAGAAATTGCCCATTGACCACTCGGACGCATGTTAACACACCAAAAACCTCCCCAAATTTCGCCCACATCTCTCCTAGGCCAAGTTCTTCAACTTGGACTGTACCACATCAATCTTATCTTGGGGACTCTGGTTTTTATCTGTCCGGGTCCCGACACGGATGTCGCTTTGGATTCTGACCACCCCACTGTCGTGGAGGATCTGGTGCATTTGACCAATTAAGTCCATCACTTCGTTCCAGGGTCCGTCAATCGTGGTGCCAGCACTGTGGAGGGTGGTGGCAAGGTGGGAGTCTTGGGCTAGCTTTGTGATTTTGGTGACCTCATCAGAGACCGAGGCGGAACCAGTTCCAATCTGGCGTTAGTAGGACGGGCAGGCGGATCAGGAACTACTTACTGGAATCAAGCAGACATCTGCAAGGCAGTGGATGGTGACAGGTGCCATGGCTGGCGTGCACCAGTTTGTCCGGACACTCGAGTTGTGTCGGGGATGGGTCACGTGTGCATTGATAACGAGACTCCTGGTAGCATATCGGTATTGCTACAGGCAGACCTGGGCAAAACAGCACATTGTCGAGAAAATAACGTTGGTACTAAAGTGACTGTTCATTCTCCAAACCTTAAATGATTAATATTTGCTGGCCAAATACAGTTTGCCCGACTATTATTTTGCAGTGGAATGCCTTAGACGTATGCCATCGCCCACCAAGCAGATCTCGGTCATCGCCAATACGCGTTTGCCCAGTTGGGAAAATTTTTTGCTGGATTGCTCCTGGCGGGCTTGTGTAGCGTGGGGCCACTTCTGGCTACTATTCGCTAGCAATTGTCCCCATTCAGTCCGAGGCCCCCCATTCAAGCCTCGGTCTTTGATGCAGAGGCTTAAGTCCAGAGATGCGGCAAAATAGAAGGTTTTAATCCATACAATGTCAATAATTAGTTTTTATTGTGTGGCCGCACCGGGTGTTATTCCACATGAATAATCCCGTCAGTGCGTCGTAGATAAGAGGGTGCATAATGTCTGAAATAGGCTGGATCTTGGCTGTTCTCAACATACACTGGTCCTGGCTTGGGCCAGCAGTGCACTGGACACCGTGACACGCTTCACAGGTTGCGCACTGTTAAAGTCAGTCTCTGGTCAGAAGTTACATACCACAATAGCCTGACGAGCCCCAAATTTCAGTTCAAGGTTTCCAATACTTAAGGCGCCGATTGTTGGTACCTAAAACAGCCCTTCCCTGAATTAGCACTGGGTTGGAAGCGCAGTTGACGAAGCGACAGGCAAGCTGTTGGCTGGGATTGTGGCTGTCATGAAATTCGCATTAGATGTGCTTCGACTATCAAATAGTGCAGTGTATTGCTTGACCACAACGTGCGCAAAATGGAAGTCAGGTGTATGGATGTCAGCACTAATAAGAAGTATTTGGGATGCTAACATGTCACTTGGAGAATTATGTTGACGTGCAATTGAAATCTAGCTTTGTTTCCAGTAATTTGAAAGGAAAATCGGTCAAAGACATTTGTATGTAGCAATTATTCCAATTGGAACATGTAGTGGATGTCGAGAGTTTCTATAAATTGACATCAAGGGTCTGGGGAACCGTTTTTTGTTTTTTTTAATTTTTGTCACAAAGTGCAAAAATTTAAGTATTGTCTATTGTGTATCTATCAAAAGAATCTGACACAAATTCTGAATCATCCTAAATAACCGAAACAAAATGTGCTCCCAGTGAATGTAATTAGGCACGGATGCTTCAGAGAGAGCAAGGCGAAGATTTAGACAATTTACTCACCATGCGCTGGAACTTAAATTTCCAGTGAATTGTTCGAAGTACAGCATTACGTCACCCAAGCTCAGAAGGTTAATTCTACCGAGAAATTGATGGCTAATTTGCAACTAACTGTCAAGAATCTAAAGCATGTCGAATCCCTGCTGGCGTCAAAGTGCATTTCATACGTTTGTTCAGGTAGTTCAGCTGGAGACTGCATATTTTCCCCCAGTATGGGAGCCAGCCTGGCCATGACCAACTGTGCAGTTTGCTGGTGGGAAGATATCCACGGAGCCCACCCACCGGTTAATTACCTATACTATAAACCCCCCAATACAGCAGTGTAGGTTGCTTCAATTGTAATGTCGCTGTGCTCTCTATGAGTTCTCTATGAGTTCCGTTCTCAGTGATTATGCTGATTCCAACATTGGAAAAATCCTTCTTTACTCTTATATTTAAAGCAAATCGAGGACTTGTCTGTGTGTAGCTTGACACCCTGGAATAATTTTTCTTCTTTTGTTCAGTGCTTCATCTGGAAAATGATACCCATAGCTCAATACACAAAAAACCCTCAACACTCATACTACAATACTTCCAAAATGCTATTAGGCACACTCTTGTGATTTTCTAGGACCTTTGGGGCCGCGAAGCATCTAATCGCAATCATAGACTAGTTCCAGCTGACACTTCGGTGTCTCACTCGCGTGAGGTGTCTGCATACGGGTGTCTGAGACTCAGGAGTGCACTTCGGATTTGGTGCCAGGAAAAGTCCTCACACCCCAGCAAAGACCTAACCAGCTACTTGGCATCGTAGCGACCCCGTCAAACCACCATTGACCCCCAATTCGTCCTGCTGTGCTTGCCACGCCGTGCTACGCCTTCATCTCTACTCCTCCACCTCTCACCAGACCTCCCGCACTACCTTGCACTACCTTGCCCGCGCACGCCCTTGCTCTCCGTGGCAATTTCTCAGCAGAACCAGTCTACACTTCAAACCACTTCTACTATACCCCACAATGAGCGACAACATGCAAATAGACTCGCCCTCTCCCAGGGAGATAGACGAAGGCTTATACTCCAGACAATTGTACGTCTTGGGCAAGGAGGCCATGTTGAAAATGCAAAACGCCAACGTATTAATAATCGGCTTGAAAGGTTTAGGTGTGGAAATCGCCAAAAACGTGGCACTTGCTGGTGTCAAGTCCTTGAGCTTGTACGATCCTAATCCCGTGGAATTGAAGGACTTGTCGTCCCAATTCTTCTTGGACTCCAAAGCTGATTTGGGCAAAACCAGAGCCGAGGCTTCTGCTCCGAAATTGAAGGAGTTGAACTCCTACGTGCCAATTTCTGTTCTCGATAGCTTGGAGTTGGACACTTTGGCCCAGTTCAAATGTATCGTGTCCACCGACATTTCCTTGGAGGAACAGGTGAGAATCAACAACTTCACCCACGAAAGAAACATCGGTTACATCCACGCAGACATCAGAGGGTTGTTTGGATCTTTGTTCGTTGACTTTGGTGAGAAGTTCACCATCATCGACCAGACTGGCGAGGAGCCATTGACTGGGATTGTCTCTGACATCGAGCCCAACGGAACTGTTACCATGTTGGATGACAACAGACATGGGTTGGAAGACGGCGACTACGTCAAGTTCACCGAGGTCGAGGGCATGCCCAAGCTCAACGATGGAAACCCCCACAAGATTGAGGTTTTGGGTCCTTACGCCTACAAGATCAACATCGACGAAAGCTACGGCACCTATGTCAAGGGTGGTTTGTACACCCAGGTCAAGGTCCCTAAGGAGATTTCGTTCGAGCCATTGGTGAAACAATTGGCCAACCCAGAGTACGTGATTTCTGATTTCGGCAAGTTCGACAGACCTCCGCAATTACACTTGGGGTTCCAAGCCTTACACGCTTTCCAAACTAAGAACTCTGGCAGATTACCAAGACCATACCACGAAGAAGATGCCACTGAGTTTTTGACCTATGTCAAACAGCTTTCCACCCAATCGCCAACCATCTTGGGAGAATCCGAGATTGACGAGAAGTTGTTGAGGGAATTGGCTTACCAAGCCACTGGTGACATTCCAGGTGTGGCTGCATTCTATGGTGGTTTGATTGCCCAAGAAGTCTTGAAGAACTGTTCCTCGAAGTTCGGTCCAGTCAAGCAATGGCTCTACTTTGATTCCTTGGAATCATTGCCTCCCAATGACAAATTCCCAAGAAACGCAGAGAACAACAAGCCTTTGGGAACCAGATACGACGGACAGATTGCTGTCTTTGGTAAGGATTTCCATGAAGCTATCAAGAACGTCAAGGTCTTCTTGGTGGGTTCAGGTGCCATTGGTTGTGAGATGTTGAAGAACTGGGCCATGATGGGTCTTGGTTCTGGTCCAGATGGTAAGATCTACATCACCGATAACGATTCGATCGAAAAGTCCAACTTGAACCGTCAATTCTTGTTCAGACCAAAGGATGTTGGTGGATTCAAGTCAGAAGTGGCTGCTTTGGCAGTTTCTAAGATGAACCCTGACTTATTGGGCAAGATTGACGCTAAGTTAGATAAGGTGGGCAACGACACTGAACATATCTTCGATGACAAGTTCTGGAATGAATTAGACTTTGTCACCAATGCCTTGGATAATGTCGATGCTAGAACTTATGTTGACCGTCGTTGTATCTTCTACAAGAAACCATTGCTCGAATCAGGAACTTTGGGAACCAAGGGTAACACTCAGGTTGTTATTCCAAACTTGACTGAATCCTACTCTTCTTCACAGGATCCACCAGAGAAATCCATTCCATTATGTACTTTAAGATCTTTCCCAAACAAGATCGATCACACAATCGCCTGGGCCAAGTCTTTATTCCAAGGATACTTTGCTGATTCTCCAGAAAGTGTCAACTTGTACTTGAGTCAACCAAACTTCGTTGAACAAACCTTGAAGCAGAACCCAGACATTAAGGGTACCTTGGAAAACATTGCCAACTACTTGAACAAACGTCCTTACAGCTTTGAAGATTGTATCAAATGGGCACGTACTGAATTCGAGACCAAATACAACCACGAGATTCAACAATTGTTGTACAACTTCCCCAAGGATGCCAAAACCTCTAATGGTGCACCATTTTGGACCGGTCCAAAGAGAGCTCCAGAACCATTGAACTTTGATATCCGCAACGATGATCACTTCAGATTCATTTCTGGAGGTGCAAACCTTTTGGCCTTTATCTATGGATTGAAGGCTCCAAATGCTACCTTTGAAGATTACGAAAAGGTCTTGGCCAGTTATGAAGTAACTCCATTTACCCCTAAGTCGGGTGTTACTATTGCTGCCAACGATGCTGAAGCTGAAGAACAAGCCAAGGCTGGTTCCGGCTCCATTGATGACCAAGAAATTAAGTCTATTGCTGGTTCATTGCCTGAACCAAGTACTTTGGCTGGCTTCCGTTTGACCCCTATCGAATTCGAAAAGGATGATGACACCAACCATCATATTGAGTTCATTACTGCTGCATCTAATTGTAGAGCTTTGAACTATGCCATTGAAACCGCCGATGCTCACAAAACCAAGTTTATTGCTGGTAAGATTATCCCAGCTATTGCTACCACTACTGCCTTAGTTACTGGTTTGGTCAACTTGGAGCTTTACAAGGTTGTTGCCAAGAATGATGATATCGAACAATACAAAAATGGGTTTATCAATTTGGCCTTGCCATTCATTGGATTCTCCGAGCCCATCAAGTCCGCTCAAGGGAAGTACAACGATAAAACCTTCGATCAAATTTGGGACAGATTCAACTTGGAAGGTGATATTACCTTGCAAGAGTTTATCGACCATTTTGAACAAGAAGAAGGCTTGGAGATTTCCATGTTGTCCTACGGTGTTTCCTTGTTATACGCCTCGTTCTTCCCACCAAAGAAGGTTAAGGATAGATTGAGCTTGCCATTAACCAAGTTGATCAAGGAAGTTAGCAAGAAAGACATTCCAGAACATGTTAACTACTTGATCTTCGAAATCTGTTGTGATGATAAGGAGGGAGAAGATGTTGAAGTCCCATACGTTTGTGTTAAGATCTAAATAGAGTGCTCCATGTCACATGTTAGAGCTGGCCAAGGTAGAGATAGCTATATAGTAATTGGTAGAGTTTATCGAATAATGTTATGTTAATGTCTCTAAAGAACTAGTATGTAGTGTGCAATCTGTTGATTTTGAATGAATGCATTCTAAACGTACCTCAAAAATTCATCTCGAGCAATTAGACTTGTGTAATTCTGGAAAGCTCACCGTCAAGGTTCTTTAGCTCGTGATAGGTCCCTTCCTCAACAACTTTTCCTTCTTTCAAAATCACCAAATTATCACACACTTCCATCAACTTTTGCTCATGTGTCAAAATCACCACTGTGACTTTTCCACGTAAGGCATTGACTAAGTTACACACCATGTCCACGTTCTCGGGATCGAGACTAGAAGTACATTCATCCATGATGAGGATTTCTGGGTGTCTTAAAAGAGCACGAGCAATGCAAAGTCTTTGAAGCTGTCCTCCAGACATCAAATCTGATCCTATCAAGGTGCTTAATCCTTCAGGTAAGGAAACAACGAACGAGGTGAGATTCACTAACTCCAAAACTTCGTCAAGGGCTCTAGGCAGAAAATTTGCACCCAAACCATAAGTCAAATTTTCATAAAAAGTACCTGGAAATATCTGGGGGCGTTGGGGCACTAATGTGACCCGTTCCCTCAACCAGTCAATATCCCAGGAAGAGATATCAACACCGTAGATATAAATCGAATTCGCTGCAACATTTTGAAGTCTCATTAAAATGGATCCAACAGTTGACTTGCCAGCACCAGACTCGCCTAAAATCCCTGTAATGGTGTTTAGGCAAACGTCAAAGTTAACTCCTTTGAGAATGATCTTATCAGTACTTGGATACTTGAAGCTTACGTTTTTAAACTGTATACCAGCTTTTCCCCCAACTTTTACGGGTTTTTTTGTACCTTCATTTTCTGTTGGAGAAGACTTCAAATCCAATAATTTAATCATAAAAGTCCCAGCCCTTTGGCCTCTTGTAATCTCTGGCAACTGTCCAAGCAAGGCACTGGAGCTGGTAAGTGTGAATGTAAGTAACGTAATGACTTGCAATAACTTGTCACCAGTGTACTCTCTCTTACCTACCAAAATCATCCCATAGAGAAGAATGCTCCCGATGGCAATAGCCATACAAAGTTCCGAAAGTGCCTCGCCAAAACCAGTATGGAAAGACCTAAATACGGAGACTCTCAGTAAGGTGTTCATTTTGCAATAGAACGAATTTGAAAAGTAGTTTTGGAGATTAAAACCAATAATGGTTCTAATGCTTGAAATCACTTCATGAACATGTGCTTCTACTACAACCACTTGGTCCTTATAGTTCTTCTCTGAGCGTTGAAGTAGCATACCATAGACACATGTTATCAAAAGCACTAGAGGTACAAATGAAATACCGACAAGAGCTAGTTTCCAGCCACAAACGATGGACCAGGTAATTCCAACCAATACTAAGGTGACCAAATTAATAGAGAGAGACATAAATTGGGCAACAAGTGCCCTTAAATCTCTTGTGTCGTTCATGATCAAAGTTGTCAATTCTGCGGGGGATGCCCCTTCAGAGAAATATGTCATGTCTTGTTCATTGATCTTCAAAAAGGCCTGCTTTCTGAGGTTGACTATCCATTTTTCACTGCAGAATGCCAACAAGAAAGTTGAGAAATAATTTGTCATACCGATAGAAATTGCAACTCCTATTACTATCACTGACCACTTCGTAATTGTGGAAGTAATACTTTTGCCTAGAGATGATTCTACTATTGTACTGAGAAGCTTAGAAAAGCAGTACGAGAACACTGGATTTGCAATTCCTTCCACAACTGAAGCAACAATGCCTAGAAGTAATATCCATTTATGCTCCATATTAGAAGAACAGAACCATAGAATGGAAAGAACAGACCTCATTCCCTGTTCCTCACCTTTATCAAAACTATTATCGAGATCTTTCAAGATAGCTGGATTTGTCAAATAATTGAAAGCGGGAACTTCTTTTTGAATTGCCAAACTTTTCAGCTTGGGTGAATGAATTCTTGTCATCATTTGCCTGTATCTAGAGTTTATATCCCCATAGTTACCTTGTGTTTTCACACATCCATTTTCTATAACCACTGTGAAATCGTCATTTTGAATCTGACTCACATCATGGGTGATCACTATTGTGGTCTTTCCTACTCTCCACTCTCGAAGAGATGCAAAGATCGATTCACTGGTCTTGTTGTCTAATGCACTGAAAGCCTCATCCAAAATCAATATTGGAGAATCTTTAATCCGTGCTCTAGCCAAGGAAATTCTTTGCTTCTGACCTCCCGACAAACTATCTTGCTTGATCACAGAATCCAAGCCACCTTTACTCACGATCATGTCTTGCATTTGTGCAAATTCACAGGCTTCCTGAATTTTATGCTCTGGCACGTCACTTAACGAATCAAAGTTGTTTATCACTGCTAACCCGATATTATTCTTTATTGATACAGTGAATATGGAAGGTGATTGTTCAATAAGCGTGATCCAATTTTTTAGCTCTTTTGAATCAATATCATCCACATTGTGACCGTCTAAAAGAACCTCACCTTCGGATGGGCTATAGAATTTGAGAAGTAATTGAGACAAAGTGGATTTTCCAGAACCAGATTTTCCAACCACGAAGTTTATCCCTCCAGGCTTAAACGATAAATTTATATTTTGTAATACTGAATTTTCTCGAGTGCTGTATGCAAATGATACATTTCTGAACGAAATAACTCCATTATAACTACTCTTGGAAAGTGCAGTTGGGGAAATCAATTTAGAATAAGATTTTGGATTATCATCTGTATTCTCCCAAGATTTAAGTCTAGTCATTGCTGCATGTGCTTTGTTCAAAATTGCCAATAAATGGTTAAATTTTGTAACTTGCGATCCTAAGAGCAAGCAGCTGCTGAAGCAAGTAAAGACCTGAGCAACATCAAGTTTTCCATTCTGAATCATATGATTGCCAAACCAAAACCCTTGGACAAACATCAATAGAATTAAAATCTTTAGCACCGATTCGTTCAAAGCTATAGAATTTGCTAGCTTGTAGTATGCTTCAGCAGACGATTGTACTACTTTGTTGAACTTGACCATTTCATAGTATTTCGCCCCCAATATTCTTACCAACGAGCTGGACACGAACGACCAGTCCAATATTCTGGAGGCTTGAGAACTGTAGTCGTTTTCAATGAGTGCCGACTTGTAGGTAAGCAGGCCAAAAAACCACCCCAAAAGTCCCATTACTGGTGTTCCTGCCATAATCACAATTGTCAATAACCAGGAATGGTACAAGGATGTGACCAACAAGGCAATGACAGATGCGATGGTCTGAATAAGAAGGCCCATCACTTCAGAAGTTCCTGCTCTTAATTCCTCGACACAACGATTTGCTTGGGTAACATCCCCCATCAAGCTTGTGGCGGTGTCATACCAAGAGATATCTTTGGCGAGAAGCGAAGTGAAAATGGTCCTTCTCGCACGAATTTGCTGGATTTCACCAAACTTCATCCATAAAAAAATACCTGTCCATGTGAAAAGCATCTGACCCAATCCCACTATCATGATCTCCCCACATATAAGCTTAACTTTGGATATGAATTCTGAAGCTGTAAGGCTGCCTTGGAAAAATTGACTCATTTTGGAGAAGATTTTGCCATAGAGTACCGACTGAAGTGGAGAGCCTACTGCTGTAAAGCATATCAAAACAGTAGCCACGGTGAGTATTAAAGTGTCCTTGGGCTCAATAAATGCTGTGATATTAGAGCGACGAGTGGAAAGATTAGTCTGGTTTTCTCCTGGATTGATAGAAGAGAGTTCGATGCTCGTTTGGTACAGAATGCCATTCTTGTCATCGAAGGGGTTTGAGTTGACAAGAGTCAAGGTGGGCGACTCTTTAGACATGGTGGACAATGAAGTGGAAACATATCTGGAGCAGCAACCACCACCCTATATATGGTGGTGTACATCTTCCTAATCGGTGATCTGGATTTTGCAATCCGGTGCAGCAAGTTTTCCTGATTGGGAACTAGCAATGCCAGCGGTGTGGAAGTCATAAATTTGAAACGAAAACCCATACTTCCTAATGGGGAGTTGAGAATGGAGACAAAGATAGGGCAATGTTACAGGCAGAGTGACTTATCCTCCGTTGTGAACTAAATGATTAACTTTGGAGATTCGGTAGTGGGCAGAGATGTAGTGGGTGGAAAATCTTATTTTCGATGGGTGAGCTACAAGGGAGAAGGTTGAAGAGTATTTGCAATCAGTAGATATCGTTGCTGTAGACGGGATATAGCCGAAATAAGGAGCTCGGTTCTAAATTGTTAAGCTCACTCAGCTGGCTCAGTTATTCCACTACAACTGTAGTGGTTGAGAATTCCTGGTGGTTCACTCTGGTCGATTACAGGCAGTAGCCAATGGAAACACCTTCCAGTGGGATGGGTTAGAAACACACTATAAATGAGCTATAGGTCTAGAGTTTATTTTTACTGTAATACCGAATAATGAATCCTTAAATTTCAAATTATAGGAGTTTTTTACGAATGTTTACCCGAAAATTCAATAGGCCATTATCTGAGGTTCTCCCCGAGTGCCCCAGGATCACTTCCAATTTGATAATACAACTGCACTATAGTACTGTATTTACCACAGGAACTCATATTATCACGTCTTTGGATACCTAAAATGCACCCTATCTGATGATTTACGGGTATATCCACTATCATCACACATAGTCTAGTGTCTATTATATTTCCTATAGGTTATCATAATTGTCGTTTAAAATTCTCACAGGTATAGTATCTCCTCTTAAATCATAATCTAATCGGAGTCTACGAGTTAGCTCTTTCGCTTCCAATCATCACAGTCTATTGTCTATTATATCCCTATTATACACTTCATCGCCTGCTCTTGCTCAGTAACGGCGAGCTGTCCAACCGGAACGCTGGCGGGCTCTGGAGCCCTGTGGTCACGGCTGTGCTGTTCAGCCGTGCGTACGACTCCGACTGGTACCGTTCGATCAAGCTGTCCTTTTCGCGGATTGTGTGCTCCAATTTCTGGATTCTCACTTCGTTGTGCGCGCTGTTAGCATACGACTGGCGGTAGCTCAGGAATCCCATGTTGGTGGCCACCAACGATCCGCTAAACATGGCTCCCATGAACACCAACGATTTCCAGCTGATGGGCCGGAAGAACCCGTTAACGATGTCAGCAATCGTTTCTGCCGTGATCTGGGACTTGCCTATCATGCTGGGGTCTCTATTCATACATTTGCTCCAGGCGGTGCACGCCAGCTCTAGCGCGGGCGCGCGGTGGTGGCCATCTTCTAGCGAGCATTTGTTGCGGTAGTACTCGCGGGAACATAGCGAGATTTCCTGGAGGGCGTCAGCGGTATAGAGAGCGAGCTTGTGATTGATATCTGCGTTGATGGTTCGCACAAATACGTAGCCGAAGTAGAGCACGATTGCCACGAGTACGATGTTAATGGCGAGCTGGAGGTATAGGGATAGCACGTAGGGGAGGGATGGATCTGCCCAGCGGGGGGTGGGAACATTACTCGGCGTGGAGGGCTCTGGTACGTCCTGGGAAGCTCTCTGGTGAGGCTGTGAGCTCCTGCGGAGCGCCACCACGTCTCTGGCGGGCGAAAACACCGCCTGGGCCACTCTGACAGGGTTGAACGGTGGTGTGGCCGTGAGAGTAGCATCGTGGCGGGATTGGGGCGATCCTGGCACTGGTGACAACGGGTCCACTAGCACGTCGTTGTCGCTAGTGACATGGTGGCGTCCCGAGAGAGGGGTAGACTCCAGGCGGATGCCGTCCTTGGTGATAGGAGAGTGGCCAAGCGGGTTTTGGGTGCCTGGCGACGCTTCGTAGTAGACGGAGGTGTTTTGGGACATCACAACACGGGTGGGGGCAGAGGGCGCTGGAAGCGGTTTGAAGGACTTAGTGGGGGATATTTGCGTGGGGGATGCGTTGGGAGGACGACGACAGCAGGGCTAAAACAGTTCAATGGCGGGTGGTGGTTGGTAGTGGTGGTTTTGGTGGTTTTGGTGCTGTCGTGTAGGTGATGATGTTGGGGGCAGCCGCGTGCTTATATGCCGGCCAAAAGTGCGGGGCAGATGCGATGAGCACCATGGGTTCTGATAGCTTGCGCTCGCGAATCAGAGCGTTCCGGTATCATGATGATGAACAGGATGCAGCAGATCAACTGACAGAGTCACTTAGAGTCGATTCTCCGTTTTTGCTGGCGAAAACGGGCCCGAAATCGCCCCACAAAGTCCACAAACCGTCCAGCTCAACAAAACGCAGGTCAACGGCTACGGTCAGCAAATCCCGTCAAAAGGCCCCAACACCGGCACCCAGAGCATTGCCAGACCTTCCACCGTGTCTCACCACCGAGCAGCAAGTCCTTTTTGTCGGATACAACCCTGGAGTTGAGTCGTCGCTCCAGCAGCACCATTATGCCCATTTCACCAATCTCTTTTGGAAACTCTTCAACCAGAGCCAGCTCTTCACCAAGGTGCTCCAGCGCATCCAGTACGATCTGAAGGACCCCTTGCTCGAAGAACCCTCCATTAGGCCCCACCATGATAACGATTTGATCCGGTTCAAGATTGGTTTCACTGACTTGGTGCTCCGCTGCACCAAAACAGCCCAGGAGTTGAGTATGGCCGAGAAGTTGGCCAACGTGCCACGACTCTTCCAAGAGTTCCAGTTCACTCAGTCTCGCTACCTTGTTTTTATAGGAAAAGGCATTTGGGAGATTATTGTCAAGTACTTGGCCACGAAGCTAGCTATTAAGGTCAAGCTCACAAAGGGCAACTTCGCATGGGGCGAACAGAAAATTCGGGACGGGACAGGCGAGGATGTCCGTTTGTACAATTATATGTTGAAAGCAGCGAGGAAGGAGATTCCTGAGATCACCAGAATTTACGTGTTTCCCAACACTTCTGGGTTGGTGGCCAGCTTGTCGTTTGGCGAGAAGTTGGCACTCTGGGTAGACTTGGTGGAGCAAATTTGAGCCGTAGTGATGTATTGAATGTATAGAGCAAATGGAAATGAAAGCAATTCGAGATAGTTTAGAGGTGAAATGTGGATGGAAGAGTTAAGAGTCAACTAATGGAAGCAAATAGTAATTCGAGAGGAAAAATTTGGAGTGTTGAATTGCTATCCGAGGTCATTTTTAGCGATCCTGGTAATATGTATTTAACTGGTTCAAATCCCTGGAAGAGAAGGCATTTTCTACCCAGACTTCGGGAGTAATATCCATAATTTTATTATATCTAGTAGATTGAAGATTCACGATTGAACCGAATCTACAGAATTTTCCAATAGAACCAAATGCGTTACATAAGGGTCCAAAGAGCGAACATAGATGAGGCATTTACGACATTATGTACTCCAAGCCAGGCGGTATGCCATCTAATTATGAAGCGAACAAATGTCTGACTCAGGAACTAAATCCTAAATAATATGCCCCAAATTAAATGCAACACCTTTAAATAATACAACAAATAATAATCTATCAAAATAATTAGTAGCACTTAAACGAAATATTCTTCCGTCTTTAGAAATATTCGTTTAAGGGTGCTGTGATAATCTTTGGGAAGCGGATATTGAGATAGATTGTTTAATTACAATCCCCCACAACCTTCACATTCCTCTCTATGGGCTAAAAGCTGGAAGAACCTGACAAATTAGATACCCAACCGATAGAATTAAGATATAACTCGCGACAAGAAGTAAGCTAGAATTGCTCAAGGTTCCTGGTTGCATTTCTGATGATTGTCTCTCCTAACTAACCCTCAGTCAGGCCCATCGAAACTCTATTAGGGTTGAACTACTGATTTAGTATTAAGTAAATCTGCTCAAATGGTCCATTCTGTTCTATGTGGGCTTCTCAAGATCAGTGTCATCCACATTCAAAAGGTCCACTTTGTTCTCTATAAGCCTTGTCGAGTTTAGAGCATACGACCTCACTACTCTGCCCTTACTATTGTACATTAGTTCATATTTACAAGTGCTTGCCTCGCGTGGATCCACTGAGCCAACTGCATCTGGATCGAACCCTCCACTGGCAATATGACTAAACTGACACATCTGCCCGTTGCTTATTAACCCAGCTTTACTTCCACACCTTGTAGAACATGCCGTCCAAGCTTTTGTCAAAATTGGCCTTTGTCACTTCGTTCACCTCGTCTCCGTACTGTCCAAAGTTTTCAGTGAAGAGCTTGTCGACAATGTAGCGAATCTTTTCACACTGGTCGATGTCTACACAGTCCTCGTAGTAGAGCTTCTTCAACGCTCGGTTTTGGATCTCCACACATGCCGTAGTCTTGCCTATTTCGAACTTACACTGGGTGGTAGAAGTAAGGTTGAACGACCGGAAGCAATCCACCACCTGCTGCTGGATTTCCGCACAGTTGACAGCAGTGACAACCTGTGGCTTTTCCTTCTGCTTGTAACGCTCGAGTTCGTACGAGTACGGGGTATTCTGCTTCTGGTGCTTGAGTAGCACCTGGTTGACTCGTTTCTGATGAGGTGACTCTTCGAAGATGGACTGGTGCTTGGAGTCGGGGTTGTTTTCCTCGAAGAAGCCCTTGAGGTTCTCGGGAAGCTCTTTGGTGAGCTCGGAGGTCTCCTTGCCTTTGTTGGAGGTGAATGGCCAGACCATGGAGGAAGTGGTGGTTGGTGAAGCTGGTAGTTTTGGCTGGAGAGATAGTTTTTCGCGTGCTTGCGTGAAGTCCTCGCTAACGAAAACTAACCTAGGGACGGATTTTGGGGGGTACGAGAAGAGTAGGGGCTAAGGGAAGTGTATAACTAAGATCAGAACTATTGGTTTGCCCAGTAAGGAACTGTTCTTAAAGCAATTGACTGCCTGGAGAGAAAGCTGAGAAATGGGTTCATAGATGATGGTGAGAATCGCAAAAGATTAGCGAGCGAGCTTAGTGAGAGATTGCGAAAGATTAGCGAGAGCTGGGAGGCCATAAAAGAATAGAGATCAAGCAATGCTCTAATTACTTTGGAAGGCCTTGTTTGTGGAAGAACTACGTAGCATGTGGCTGGGCATAAAGGAAGGGGACTCTACCAGAAATACAGGGTAAACTCCTATGAGTGATTAATGGCATACGAACAATGCAAAAAGTCCACGAAATGCTGCGGTAGCTTTACGGGAAAATCCGTACTCCAATAGTCCAGATCGAGGTTTCGATACTAGTGTAGGTGTCTTGTCAGTCCAAGCTAGAATTAAGCCATACCATTGAAATTGACATTGGAATTCACAACTGAGGCATATTCTTCCGATTCTCCTTAAAGCATCAGTGTACTTATCCTGTAAAAGATTAGAGAATACTAGGAATGTCAGCTGGATGCAAATTTCCGTTGTTGATCGACGCTAATGACATCCTCTGGCATGTGAAACTATTCAGAAGTGATACCAGTCCAGTCCCTGCTACAGTACCATCTATTTGAACAGCTCCTTGCTTTTGGTGGGTGGATAGTGTGTCAAAACGTTTTCTTGCCATTTTTTGAATGAAAATTGACAATTAATAATTTGAAAAATCTTGAAATTCAGTGGTTAGTATGGAGCAATCGATAATTTCATTGACAAATGGAGTAATTGATAATTTTGAGTTTCTTTTCACCATTGACGAGTGGTTTGAAGTAATAGATAAATTCAACCTAGAATCAAGATCCATTTCTGTGCCAGATCTTCAAAGCTCGCTCCGCTCGAGCACACCTTCGAACAACCGTCCAATCTCAACGTCGAGTATATCCAAAAGGTTCCTGGACTCTTCAATCGCATTCGATGCCTGGAAATTGCGCTGTAGAGCCAATCTATTGGTATCGAGTGACGACACGATTTGGATTCTCAACCGGGACGCTAGAGGGATCAAGCGTACGACCTGGGTGCTGCTGAGCTTCTCTGTGGTATTGCCGACCTCGTAGCCATCCATCAAGAGACTGAGCTTGGAGTCTATGTCCTGAAAGAACTCGAAGAATTGGATGAGTTTGGATCTTTCCGTCCCAGATATCACAGGTACCTGGTTCTGGAGCACAAAAATGGTTTTGTAGTGGAACAAGTAGTCCTCCAAGTCGCCTAGAATCTTGATGAGGTAGTCAGCCTGGCCAAAGAGCTTATTTCTCTTTGTGATGGAGACCCAGATGAGCTTGATGAGCACCAGCAACTCTTTCTGGAGCTGGGAGAGCGAGTAGGTCTCGATTGTATCAGCCTGGTCTTTGATGAATTTGCGCTGGATTTTGAGGAGCTCCTCGTCCAAGTAGTTGATGAACTTGCTTTGCTGAGCAGGGGTAATGGGCTCGGAGACAGGCAAGATCTGGGACTGGAGGTATGAGTAGACTGAGTCGAAAGGCATGGTGACGGATGGCACGGGTGAAGTGAGAGCTTCCTGGGTATGAGAGGGTTCTTGTGAGTGTCTGGAGGTCGTTGCACGTTCCAAAGGCAGGTTTGCCAGGGGTGAAGTCACTTTGGAGTTGGTCAAATGAGTCGAATTGGTTTGTTCTGGTCCATTCGTCTCCACATCCATGATTTCTGGATCTTCATTCTCTCCATTTGTCTCCATCGTATCTGTCTCTTCAGCTCCCTCTCCTGTCCTCCCGAAGAGAGCACCTCCGTTATACCCAGGATATTCATTCACATCTGTAGGCTGGGGGTCGTCTGGATGGGGATAGCCCGGATTCAAGCGCTGGGGGCGTGGCTCGGAAATTTCGGCATTGTCGTCGTCCAATTCAGGGTTCAAGTCGATGTCCCATGGCAGGTCGTCGTTGGCGAGCTCGATGGGGGTCGTCATGGTGGTGTCCGAAATCGGTGTTTGAAATGGTGGCGCAGAAGGGGAAGTTAGCGAGAGAATGCTAGGGAGAGAATGCTCGGGAGAGAAATCCGCGGTAGGGAGAATTGGACCAACTCGTGGGGAAGATTGCACCGACTGGGGCATTAGAGAACACGAAAGCACTACTACAGAGAGAATGCACAACCCTCCTACTAGCAAGAAAGACCTGTAGAGCTCTAGCGGAGAATTTACACCAACTTGTTGGAGATAATGCCACCGTTCTCTCACTAAAAGGAAAACTCGGTAGGCTAGCGAGGCCCGGTGGCCTAGCGAGAAATGTTCAGTTCGCGCCAGGAATGTGGCCCTAGCCATTGCGGGTTTGCACGGGACTGACGGCACCCGCGACCACACGCCTCTCGGGGTTCGTAGCACCATTCTTATCAGCGTGATCAACAAACCCCATCCGTCTATCATCACTACCTGTCTTTCCATCACTGTAAACTTCCCCACCACTATCTACCACTCCTCAGCCGCCTTCTTCCGGCCTGCCAGCACAAATCCACCCTCCCAGCGGCTGCCATGCCAGTAACAGAAAACAGGCCCCCAGAGGACCCCAAGCGGGTATGCTCAGACGAAACCAGTGATGCCGACAGCTTCACGTTTGTGACTCACAAAGGTCCTCCAGCCGGTGACAGAGCGCCACGCCTCGAATCGGACCCCATCTACACCCTAGAACGAGTAGACTCGGGTGGTGATCCCCCGGGCGCTGGCGCCCAGGAAGCCTCCAGAATCGACTCCGAGACGCTCGACTCCCACCACAGACCCGTCAACCAACCGTTTGGGTTGGAAATCTCCCGGACGCCATCGCTCCTTCCCCAGCACAAGGTGGACTCCTTCCAACGTGCGAGCGCCAGCCTCCCCAGTCATATTCCCAAGGGCACCAACAAGTACCTCCGTCCCAATGCTGTGTTCGTGGGTGACCAAGAAAGTGACAAACGGTGCCACGTTCGCGTGGAGTTCAAGACGGTGGACCTCGTCAACTCGGTGCTCACAGGCTTTCTCCAGATCTCGGGATTGACACCCGAACACTCGGAAATCTCCACCTGCTTCCGTGGTGAGATCATCAACAACCCGCTCAGCTGCTACAAGTGGTTGAACAAGCGCAACTCGCCTACCGAAACTCCAATACAACGGTACTCGTTCATCACTGAAAACAAACAGTGGGGCTCGTACCCCAAGAACGACCTCGAGCACTGGCGTATCTTGTCGTCAGCATCGTACTACGACCATGATAGTCCCGAGGAGCATTACATCGAGCAGGAGGAGGCGAACTTGAAGCAAAGGTTGCGCAACATCCAGAACGGCCTCGAGGACAACCAGTTCATCTACATGCGATGGAAGGAAGAGTTTTTGTTGCCAGACTCGCGGGTCAAGCAGATCGAGGGCGCTTCGTTCGAGGGCTTCTACTTCGCCGTGCTCAACATCGGGGGCTTCGAGTCCCAGGGCCAGGGCCACTCTAATAGAATTGCTCCTGGGTCAATCAATGGGCTATACTATCACAAAACATCGAGCCAGTTGCAGTCACTTAATTTGAGGTATGTGGGAGAGGATCTGGTTTCTGACTCGTTTGAGTTTTTGTGAGCTAGCTGTGCTAGATTAATTTTTAATACCACGTAGAGTCATGATAATTGTAGAATGGAGACGGATCAGATATTACTATAGTCGAGGGCTTGAGGTTTGACGTCTAGTAATGATTTGAAATATTTCTTCAACATAAAAGCCCCAGATATTAATTTAAGTGGATGAAACGTCATGGTTCAATACTCCAAAGGCCCAGGTGCTTAGGAATTTAGCCTAAAAATACGGTTTCAGCTAGAAATGCTCAGTTGTTCAGTATGATGAATGCGAATTATAGATTTGTTTCAGTAATACTCTTCTCGTAAGATTCGAATTTGTGGTAATCATTAGCTTCGACGAATGTAACTAAGAATTTCTATCCTTCAAGTTTGGAAAATAAGTTCCTTAAATTTGAGGGTAAGAGGGTCATCTCAGTGGTAATTACCACCATATTAATAGCTTGCCAGTACCCCTTGAGAGTAAGTACTGTCCTGGAATGAAATAGATTGCCCCCAATTTTTGTAATTGTTTCCATTCATTGACGCTTGCCAACGACTAATTTGGCATTTAATTCGAATGGGAGCCGGTGGGAATTCAATTTTACGTGGGCACTTATTTCCATTCTTTCATTTGTTAGTCTTTATAGCCAACACATAAATGGGCAATATTTGATCCCAACCTTACATTTAAGCACTGAAAATGGCCTCTTCACATTTTAATCGAATATTTTATTACACTAATAAGCTATCTACTTCTTAGCGCGATTTCTCGCCTCAATTGGTCTTCTTCTGGTCTCTTTGGGCATAGATTTTGGCGGTGAAAGGCTCCTCAAACAACAAGGCTATCTTGTACATCACATACACGAAGCCAGTGACCGCAATTCCCGCAGGCTTTCCGTACCACAACGCAGTTCCCAAGAAACAGAGGGTCGAGCCGTTATACATGGGGTTGTCGTTGACGTTGAATGGGAATCCTGTGACTCTATCGTCCATCAAGATGCCAAAGTAGTCACCGAGATAGGTCCCTGTGACCCCCAAAGCGTACATGGAGGTCAAGACAAGCACGTTACCGAACCCAAACAGCAACACAGCCAATGCCTGGATAATGGACGAGTCGAGCAAAGGCTGGTACGTAGGCTGGGCCAGGAGTGCCTGGTGGTAGACGTGGTCTCTGTAGATCCCCAAGCCGAAGATGGTGAACGCAAGCAAGTAGCACCCTCTCCTAGCACCTCCAGCGAGTTTGGTGAGGAAATGGGTGTTGTACTCCAGCCTAGCCACGATGTTCCAGAAAATGGGGTTGAAGGCTATGGTGGCTATTGCGTACTTCAATTGCAGCGTGGGGTCCAAGTACGACTCGAAGTTCTGCACGAGGTACACGAGATCGGTCTTGAGAAGCGAGAGATCGTCAATTAAGCTGGCCATGGCGGTGTATGTGGGAGCAATGGCTGGTAGTGTTGGTTCTTATATAGATCTGGGGTAGTCAGATCGCGCGCATGTGACATTGACAATGTTGAGCCCAGAGACGAGAGCAGCTAGAGCACGGCAAGACGGACAAAGAGGGTGCTTGAGAACGGGAGTGTACCACAGAGGGGATCGGGGTGGGGCAGTACATCAAATTTCGGGTTCTGGGGTACTTTCAAGGACGGAGAGATCAGGGTATAAGGGTCCATTGTGCGTATGGTATAGAAACGAGCCTGAAAAAGCACACATTGGACAATGGAGGTGGCGGGAGAAAGAGGCGAGAGTTTGGGAATTTTTGGGCTGGGAATTAATTATTGAAAGAGGTCCGCTAGTAATGGTGTGTCAATTAGTTTCTGGGACGTAGCAGGTGTCTCTGACGCGAGTATTGCTCTATCAATAACCAGGCTAATATGATTATGTAGAACTTTCCGCAAGGAAGGGTTTTATGGCAGAATAAACATGAAGCTGCTCAAGGAGACTGAACAAGTTCCTGAATGATAATTGACCCCGATCGAGTGTGCGCACAAACAGGAAACACCGTTATAGCTGATAGTTTGACACACAAAGAAAGGAAAACAGTTACTGGGTGGTAATTGTTGGTGTGATGGATACAACACCATTCAGCGAGTGATTCTCACTTCTAATTACTTAGTTGACAATGTATGTGACTCGACGAACGATATTCCAGTCGGGTGGGTCCGCTTGACTCACTGCCACTACCTAGTATTCCAGCTGTTATTCTGTTGATGGTTTAATTAATGAATTCAGTTTCTGGGTAATTCAACTGCTGTGGATTAGCAACAACACCACTAGCACATTGCGTTGCGTCTGTTTGATGTTTTATATTGTGCAGCTTTCAGGCAGTTCTAGAACGGCCAAAACAAGCCATTTTTTTCGGTGGCATAGGGTTGGATGCCATGAAGAAATGCTTTTTGGTAGATTCAGAATCTGCTAACCAATAGCAGGACTAATCAAAGAACCTTCACTTTCTGATGAGAGAATGCTAGCTACTACTTGGTAAATACCACTAAGATCTCTCTTATTATCCTTCGAGGGGAGTTTTTCTTTTTGCACCCATTAGGCTAAGCGAGACTACCAGTCCAACGGAGGCCAGCATAGCCCCTTCAAACTAGACTACGTGTTAGAAACAAAACTGGCCTCATGCTGCTTCTTGATGGACTTGCTCATGTGTTGTTCACAATAGGCAATTTTCAGTAATTACACACTGTCATCTCTCCAGTCGCTATCTCTATATACCACCACTCACCATAGTCCCTCCTCTTACACCTACTCTTGCACTTTTCTTAATAAACCCTCTTCTTGCACCCTCTTCTCACACCCACCTCTCTCTCTGAATACCCAATCTACTCCCCAGTCTGATTATTCTCTCCGAGCCCTATCTAATACCCAAGATGCTCCCCCTCGATGTTCTGTCTCACTCAACTCACTGGCGCCTATCGATGATTCATCCCCACTGAAAAGTCGCGGTTAGCTCTGGTTGCCGTTTTGGTCCAAAGAGTCATACCCCTGACTACCCCAGAAAACCACCACCAGCTCACCAGAACAGCCGGTGCACCAGCATCAGCCCTGTTCATGGCTTCCGCCGTCCAAAACGACCCCGATGCCAGCTTCCCCGAACCCCGAGTCCACGCTGGCGCTTGTCTTTCCTAATCGGGAACAGCGATAATGATTCACGATAACGTCTGAAAAATTATATAATTGCCCCCAATTCCCCAGTTCTTCTACCCATCATCCACAATGGTTAAGTAAGTACCACGTCCTTCAGCACCCTGTCCCCCATACTGACCCCCAGAAACGTCCTCTTACTCGGCTCCGGCTTCGTAGCCAAACCCACCGTCGACATCTTGGCCAAGACCCCAGACGTCAAAGTCACTGTCGCCTGCAGAACCCTCTCCAAGGCCCAGGAGTTGGCTGGCACCGTGGCTGGCGCTATCTCGTTGGATGTGACCGACGAGGCTGCGTTGGACGAACAGGTCGCCAAGGTCGACTTGGTGATCTCGTTGATTCCATACACCTTCCACGTTCTCGTGGTCAAGGCCGCCATCAAGAACAAGAAGCACGTTGTGACCACCTCGTACATCAACCCACAATTGAAGGCGTTGGAGCAAGAAATCAACGATGCTGGAATCACCGTCATGAACGAGATCGGCTTGGATCCAGGTATTGACCACTTGTACGCTGTCAAGACCATTGAGGAGGTCCATGCCCAGAACGGTAAGATCACCTCGTTCTTGTCGTACTGTGGAGGTTTGCCTGCTCCTGAAAACTCCGACAATCCATTGGGTTACAAGTTCTCGTGGTCTTCCCGAGGCGTGTTGTTGGCATTGAGAAATGCTGCCAGCTACTGGAAGGATGGCGAGATCGTCAACGTCAAGTCGGAAGACTTGATGGCCACCGCCCAGCCTTACTTCATCTACCCAGGTTTTGCCTTCGTGTGCTACCCCAACAGAGACTCCACCACCTACAAGGAGTTGTACAACATTCCTGAGGCCCAAACCGTCATCAGAGGTACCTTGAGATTCCAAGGCTTCCCTGAGTTCATCAAGGTGTTGGTGGACATCGGATTCCTCCAAGACGCCGCCAGCGACGCGTTTGCTGCTCCTGTGGCCTGGAAGGACGCCACTGCCCAGTTGATCGGTGCTGCCTCGTCTTCCGAAGACGACTTGGTTGCCAAAATCAACCTGTTGACCAAGTTCAAGTCTGAAGACGACCAGAAGCGTATTCTCGCTGGATTGAAGTGGTTGGGCTTGTTCTCCGACAACAAGACCACTCCAAGAGGTAACCCCTTGGACACCTTGTGTGCTACTTTGGAGGAGTTGATGCAATACGAAGAAGGTGAAAGAGATTTGGTATGCTTGCAACACAAGTTCGGCATCGAGTGGGCTAACGGTGAAACCGAGGTCAGAACCTCCACCTTGGTCGACTACGGTGACCCCAACGGCTACTCTTCCATGGCCAAGTTGGTGGGTGTTCCATGTGCAGTTGCCACTCAACAGATCTTGGACGGAACCTTGAGTACTAGAGGCTTGTTGGCACCAATGAGCTCCAAGATCAACGATAGCATCATGAAGACCCTTAAGGACGACTACGGTATCTTCTTGGTCGAGAAGACTCTCTAGACGTCCAGAACGGCTGGAGACTTCCTCATATAGTGGCCAGCAGTGCTGGACTACAATAAATATTTGTGAAACAAGTGTAGGCAGTAGATTGGAGATCCCACTGTATAGCTGGAATTTTTCACTTCAATAGTTGGTCATGTCGATAAATTTGTCCTGAACGGCACAGTTTGCTACATCTACAGCATATTTTTGTACCAAGTGTAGTTTGGATCCTGGTACCATTCAAGGTAGCCACGCTGTGCCATACTCTAAACAGTTCTGATGCAAGTGCTTGAATTATAGTTAAGTTCAATATAATTTTTTGATCGATGGTGGATTTGTTTCGTATAAATTTCGTCCCATAGTAATAATATATAGATTAGCTTTGCGAGGTTGTTCGATGGTGTCAAAAGATGGTGCCGAGTAATTTCATGTACAACTCTATGTGAGATACGACATTGTGTGATGCAGCAAGTGTATACAATTGATGATGTAATTCTTTCAGATTTATTCTATAAATTATGACTTACTTTATATAGCACTGGAAATGTGAGAATAACATACATATATACCTACATTTAATTCTGATTGTGATGATAACTGCAATAAATTCTTACTCGAAGATTGACGGATAGTTTTCTATTTAAATAATATTTTCCCATATACTTTCTATTAAATCTCGTTTCACTCGTCTTCCAGGTCACTATCTTCGTACCCGACGGTATACTCATCAATGATACCATTGATGTCCTCTATCAATTCTTCTTTTTCTTCCACAACCTCAATAACGTTGTTGCGGCGAATATTGGAAATTATTACCTTATATCCCTTCATGGTGTCCCGGAAAGATGTGGAAATATTAAATTCGCTGTAATATTCTGTATTTGCTCCATCCCCCAAGATCTTCGAGGGGAACGTATCACCTTTAATTATATCCTGTAAATGGTGATTCTCATAAATATTGCTCGCCACTCCATCCTTTGAGAGGCTGTCTTTAAGAGCTGATTTTCTAGGGACCACGTAATTGGTGACAAACTTTCTTTGCTTCAGTGGTCTCAATTTAACCGGAAGATTGCGAACACTCAAGTCAAGCACAGCTTCGGCCGGTGGGAGAGGTTGCTCCAAATTGAAATAAGCATTAATATCCACATTAGATATCGTACTTCCCGACGATTCTTGTTCTATCTTGTGCAATTTAATTTCATTGACAAACTTTCTGCTGGAGTACCCTCTTAACAAATTCTCCTCGATTACTGCCATCGATGTCAGATTTTCCAATTGAGTCTGAAGTCCCCAGAGTGAGCTGATAAACATCGCTGGCAAGCTTGAGGTGTGCCACAAACTTGATGAGGAATACTGTTCAGAAAGGAACGGAGTAGTAGTTGGCACAGTATTGATTGGCAAGAACAAAGTGGAATTTTTCGAAAGTTCAATTGTGCTCTTGATTCTCGTGATAGTTTGATGGAGATTTGGCTTGGCTCCGCTCAAGCCGTAGTACCATATGCTGTTTTTAGAGTTGCTGATCCCACCGTTGAAATATTCATCAAGAAGCTGTTCCATCAATTGGTTTCCAAAGCCTCCCCATCCGTTATCGATCTCTCCAATGACATTCAAGCCTTGGAACAAATCACACTGTTCCAAGTAGAACCGGAACCGATCTAGTTGGTCGTCTATGTCGTTGCTATTAAGCTCTTCCTTACCGATGTTGTAGGCAGAAAACTTTAGGTTGGCAAAGTTCTTGTGGACTCCGTTCTGCTGGCCATTGTAAACGTAATTCTCGAGCGTGAACAATGATTTGGGGTTATAGATCAACTTATTGTAGTCCGACCAGAACTTGGTATTGTTTTCGTTAAGAACATCGCCATCTGTGATTCCTCTATCCAAGTTGATCTGATATTCGGTCTTTTCGCCAGGCGTGTGATACGATTGGACGTCGTGCTTTGAGATTCCATCGAAGTTGGGTTTCTTTTCATGGTATTCGTGCTTGTTCAAGGCTCCAAAGCCACCCTTGAAATCGTAGACGACAGATCTGGGAGCATAGTTTGTATGGTTACCGTTTTTGGAGGTAGTCAAAAAGACTGAATTGTTGTGATGAACCGGCTGGGTTTTCTTGTAGGGTATGTGCGACTCTTGGGTATTGTAGAGATGGGTGGTGACATGCCCTGCCTGTTGTGAGAGGGATATTGTGATGGCTTCGGACATGGTGTGGCGATGGAGATGTGCGTCCCAGGTGACTGGTGAGAAATGCTCGCTGTGATAGGGGAGTGCTAGCGACAAATTAGGGAGAGTGCGTCCCACTGGCGCTAAAAAAACTGTATCGCATCAGCAAGCTTAGAGAGGGCTCGCACTAGCACTAACAAGTTTCCTAGAAGTACCGACCCGCACAGCGACACTTCTACCGAGCACCTCCACGAGCTCGCGCTGGAATTTTACTGCCTTTTCTGCCTAACAATAACTTAAGGCGACGCCGTGCACATGCCGTTGTCTATCTAATAGTCAACGATAAGCCTCTTTGATTGGGATATGGCCCAATTGGGTGCTTATGATCCCAGAGGCTGGCTTTACCAGCCCATGACTTCCTGATTAGGGAGAAATCGACACTAGACGCTTTACCGCTCATCGTTGCCATTACCAAAATACTGTCTAATGGGTTTTCCAGCCCCTTAACCATTTAGGGGTAGGAATAAATATTGATCCATTTCGGCGGCTAGCGCCGTCAATGTTACCCCCGATGACACTCACACTTGACTGTCACAACTGCTGTTCCCAGACTACTTCCACTGGCATCGCTATTTGCTGCCGCTATACTGCTAGTTTTGCTTCGCTTTTTGCCACTTTTGGCATCCTAAATTCGATTTCAAACTATCACCAACTCCCAGGAACCAGTCAGTGGCTGGCGAGTCCCAATGCCTGTCAATTGTCTGCTACACTAACAATCAAACGCCCTAGCCTGCCCTGGCGTGGTTTGGACAGTCAATCTATTGTGATGTCTAGGACGCGCCCAATTTGTCCTGAAAAGGAAATGTGATCGAGGCTGCCTCTCCAACCGGCTCCGGAGCCTGTGTGGGGCCACAATCTCCATGATTTACGTCCAACTAGGGCAAATCAGGCTGGCAAGTGTTTACTGGTGGCGCCTCGTGGTCCCCAGGCCAAAAAGTGCCATGGCAGGGCTATTCCCTTCCATAGGTCGCGCATCGTTTCGCCTGTCATAACCACATTCCACCACCACGGTGTCAACACCCGTCACCACGCTACCGCATCCCGTCCGAGTCGTTCGCTAGTGTCGCCAGCCCACTCTCCACCCACATTCCCCCGTCTTACCCTCGCCGTTGTCGTATATTCGCTGCAGAACAATGCAAGTGAACCGCCCCTATGGTAGTAGGGGACTCCCAGGCCTCCGGGTAACCAGACGCGCACTTCCTGATTTGTCTTCCCATATATAGACTCGAGAAGCCAGGGATATCCACATCACCACACAAGCCCATGTCACTATTGTCCGAAGCCCCAGTGGCCGCCACCATGGCCAAGTCGCCCTCAATATCATCCATATCCTCGACAGGAAGTAACAACTCCACCGACAACCTCCTCAAGAAGTTGGGTGCCCAATCCGCAGCTGCCGTGCCCCCCGAGAACGGTGTGGAAACATCCCAAACAACACCCAGACTGCCACTTTCGCCCACGTCCATCAACAGTGGCGACAAGAAGAAACCCATCAAGTTCACCGTGCGCAAGGTGTCGCACGAACCCATCCAGTCACCTACGCTTGGGGCAGGCTCCAAGACCAAAGGCACCGATGTCAAGGAGCACGACCGTGACAAGCTCGAGTTGGCCCAGGCCAAATACGACCACTGTGTCAACAAAATCAATAAGATCGACAAGGAGATCGACTTCTTGACCAAACTCCTCCCACCCTACAACGTGGAAATCGACTACGCCACCCGGACCAAGATCACCAAGGCCATCGAGAAGTTGCGTATGAGACAGGACGAGATAGAAAAGAAGAAGTACAGCTTGGGTATCACCATCAGCAGACTCTGGAGGGTCCATGATGACAGTGACATCTGGGTGAGGCAGTGCAGCAAGCAGTAGAAATGAAATGACACCAGGGTCTCCAATTCAGGAAACAGAAGTCCATATTGTGAACAGAGCCCACAAGATATGTGGTATACCCGGAGACAAGTACCAGATACCACGAGAAACGAGCAGAGACCCAGTTCCAATAGCACCGGCTTGGTATGGGCATCCCGTCAATGACTGGGAAGTTGTAGTATTAGCATTGTATAATTAATAAAGGAAACACGGGTGTGCTGTAGGGTTACTGAGATACTAAGCAACCATGCTTGATTGGAAAGCGAGATATTACATTGACAGTTGAATCGTAAATCAAAGGGAAACGGAAATGTCCAAGGATTGCTCTTTCTGAAGGTATGTGACCTTAAAGGAATTTGGAAGGAAGAAGCCAGCAGTTCATTCTAATCCCTCGACCGGATAACAGGAAAATCCTAACAAGTCATAGAAGAACAATAGTACTTTAAAAACTGGAACTATCAACTTCCTGGAAAATCTGAAGTAGATGGCTATGTCCAATGAGTGGCTGAAATTCACCATGCGAACTAATTGATCAGAAATACTGGCTACAAAGATCATTGGGCAAAAAAGGTTTTAAAATCAGCCGGGCCAATTAGGAAACTATGTCAACTTGTGGAGGAAGATTAAACTATTTCCCGAGAGTATCTTTAATATTATGAACTGTCTAAATGTGAAAATCCGAGGCTGACGATAAATCCGATACCTATCTGCCTGAGGCTTCAAATGATTCGAGAGAGCATTATCTAGTGGTGAGCTGTGGGCAAGGTATCATTGAGAATAGTCATATTCTAAAGTACATTGGTAGGGATTTGAATTTGTAGAAGAATACTTAATCATAATTAATCAGTATAATTAACTGCATTATGATATCACACGGACACCTATACACTACCAAAGAACTAGCTATTTGTCGTTTGTGCCTGAAATTGCTTGTGCCTGGAAATTAATTCTGTACAGTTTTACTTTATTTGGCATTAAATTACAAACACAGCTGCATCAAGTACCGAAATTACAATTAACGAGGCTTAACTGTGAACACAATTTATACGAAAAATTCGAAACGTGGAATCGGCAATTGAATGCCCGTCAGGTGAGTGACATACGAAGAAACGAATTAAACTGCATACCATGCCACTTTCTACAAGACTATCAATGACTAGTGAGTACAATGGTCGTTTTTATGCTGGTTTCGATTTTTTACCGAACATTACATGGCCTGCTAGTGGAAAGTTCACAATTGACCCACCCCAAAGAGACCACTAAGCTGGTGAGCCATGAAACTGCTTGTTAGCCATCAACAACAGCCATTAAAAAGCTGGCAAGACTATTATATCCACTGTACAACTGTACAACCCATTCTCTATATCGTAGCACATAAACATCAAAAAAGCAGTTCCCTACATGCGGCTCAGCAAAAACCACCAGCTAGCAACGCATCTACGCTTGAAGGCCTCACTACCCTCCACCAGTGCCTCTAGTGCCCTAGTGGTTCATCCCCCTCCTCGCTTACGTAACTATGGCCTGTCCCATTTTCCAGTCCCTATTCATTTTTCAGCCTTGCTAGCTTTTTCGGGGCCCTGTACTGCGCAAGGGGTGGCCGCTCCCGCCACGCTACCACCACCCGCGCGCAGCTCTCCCTTCACCGAGTCGCCGATCACCTCAGCCGTTCGCGCTGGCGAACCTTCCACTCCGCAATCTGACATCACCACCACCGAGCACCTGTCCCGCTACTAGAGCTCTCCTCCCTGTTCTAGTACCTCACTGACCACCCTGACACTACCATAGACTCTACACGCCACCTCTGCCACCCTAAAACCCCATCATTAACCCACCTGCCCTCGCTGGCCTCACCCACAACCCTCCCACCACCCCACCGGCCCTCGCTATCCTCCCACCACCGCGCTCTCCGCAATAGGTCCGCAAATTTTTTTACGCTTAATCCACATCCATTCGACCACCAAGCAGGACACTCCGCCAGTGCCTTTTCTTGCCGTCAAGAGGACAGTTTCCCGTCGTCTACATCTCCTAGCTACTCCCGTTCTTCCTGCCGCCGCCTCCCCCAAGGCGCCATTCCACCACGGCTCCTATCCCGCTGTGCTTATCTAGACGCCCAAACATCCTCCCCCGTCGTGATGGACCACCACAAGCCTCCAGGCTCTCCTCCCAGCGCCAGCGAACGCTCGCTGTTCTACTTGTACGAGGATGACGGCGACGAACCCATTCCCATCAATCTCCCCAAAAGAACCGCCAAACCTCGCAACAACCCACTATCGATAAACCCGTCCAAGAGCTCAAGGCGACCCTCATCGTTCGTCAACGACCCATTGGCATTGACCCCCACTACCTCCAACAGCTCACTTCTCACGCCAGCCAGCGCATCCACCATGCTGTCGCGAGACGGCACCTTCAAGAACTTGGAGGACATCTTGAAGTTTCCCATCGAGTCGTCCCACGCTTACTCGTACGCCCACTTGTCGCCCAACTCGTTAGCGCTCCGGCTCAATGTCTTGCGTAGGTCGTTGGAGATCTTGAAGGACAGACCTGGCTTGATCAAGTCGATTAACTTGCTCAACGACGACTCCGACCGCCAGAACCAGGACGAGCCCCAAAACAGACGCCACTCGGTGGTCAGCCTCCACTCCAACAACTCGACGGCCTCCATTAACAACATCCCTGAACATGACACCTTGCAGCCTCCTCCATCAAATCCATTGTACAAGCACGGCAATAACAGCTCGGAATACTTTAACGAAAACAACAAGAAGTACAAACTCCAGTCCAATGCGTCCTCGGCTGCGTTAGCTGCATTGTTCCGGCCCCAGATGAAGCGCTCCGACAGCTTTCCGGTCAACCAGATGTACGGCAAAGATGACTTAAACACACGGCCTCGAAACGTCAACGAACGCGTCATCTCCACCACCCAGCCTTTGTCGCGAAAGACGTCGGCCCCCAACACCTTTACATCAAGTCCCCACGATGCCATTCTCAACGACGATTTGAAAGAAATCATCACCATTCTCGAGAACGACAAGGAATCCTTATCTAAGCACTCCGAAATCGCTTCCAACTTGCATGATTTGTCCTTGTCAACTAACCACACGGACTCGGACATTCAGTTAAAACAAGATATCCTCAAAAACAAGCTCTTGTATGCATTGGCCACTCCTTTTATCGAAAATAGCATCATGACCTCCTCCTTATTGCAAAATAATGGCAACAACACTCCAACCAGAACAGGCCCAGGCTCTCACCATCCATCATCAGTGGCTTTGAGTGCCCTAAACAACAACCCTAGTGGACCTAACAGTAATAATAGACCTTTTCATTCCATTTCATCAGGAAAACATGCACAACCCCAATCAGTCTTCACAGTGGAAATAGATAATCCTTGGTCCGTCAAAGCGGCAAATGACTTAGCCTGTTTGATGTTTGGTGTTTCGAAGAATATGATCAAAGCTTTGACGTTGATGGATTTAATCGCCCCACAATTCCGGAACTTTGTGACCGAAAGACTTACCAACTACATCTCCCGCAACCTTGATCTTTCGATAAGACTGAAGCGGAAATCCCCCAACACCCAAGTTACCAATAATAATATCTTGTTCGCGGGTGAAATTGTGGCCATTTTAAGACCTGGAGACCAGAACTACGCATGGACCTCGATGTGGGCAAAGAGAAAGGGAGATATGATCATTTGCATGTTTGACCAAATTCCTTGCGATGCCTTTGATATCGTCATACTGTCCAAGAAAATGGAAGTTCCTGAGTCGAATGAAGAACAAACTTCTCCATCTTCGAGAAACAGTACCTTTTCCAAGTCATCTTCCATGTCTCTGCTTTCTGACTTAGACTACAGCGTGGATTCATTCACAGAGATTGCAGGTGATCTCATAAGTCTGATTGATACTTCGAACATGTCCCAGTTGAGTGATATCAGTGAATCGTTATTCAGAGAAGTAAGCCGCCATAAAAGATCGAACTCCACCTTCTCTCAAGCACACAGTGAGTATGACTCGAGTTTTGAGGCTGAGCAAGAGGATGCCAACGATGGTGAGGATGTTCTTGATTACTATATTTCACAAGACGTCAGTGATTGTGAAAAAATCAACAGAAAAAGATATTACACTTTGCAGTTTAAGGATGATGAAAACATCCCATGTGCTATTACTTCAAATCCATTAGAAATTAATCAAGACAGATTCGAGATCAAATTGAAAATCCACACTTTACCATATATTGCTGGTATTTTTGTGGTGGATGCCAACAACTTTAAGATTTTGTCATGTAACAATGCCATTGCTAAGAATCTTTTTGGTCGCTCTTCGGAAGAGTTGAATGAAAAGTCAATCGAAACTTTAATCCCCAATTTTGTCAATATTTTGAAGTGCGGTTTGGAACATAACTCCATTTCCTTCGAATTGACACCTGGTTTGGTTTTACCCGAGCATTTCTTCAGAAGATATGATGCCTATTTGAGACACCAGGAGGACACTTCCACTGATATAGAGGAATTGTTCTTCAAATCACATGGTGTTCCTGGTTTACACCGTGATGGTAAGAAGATTTATGTCGATATACAAACCAGGGCATCCGCAAACGACACTTTGGTTATCTGGATAACTTACTCAAGACTGGCCAGGAAGAGTAACCTCACCAAGGAATTGCACAAACTTAGCAATAACACTTCCTCCATTAATTTAGCAGGCTCCAGGAAATCATCACTGACTGAGATCCCAACAACATCAGAGCAAACTATTGTGAAAGAAAAGAAAGAAGTTGTTGAGGAAATTAAAAAACCACCCGCTATAAAAGAAGTTTCTGAAAACCATAGAAGAACACCTACAGGCAATGCTAAAGGTATTTCTAGCTGGCCATCCCAATTGAACTTATTCTCAAGAAATAAGCAAGAATCAATTCATTTTGCTCCTAGTAGTGAAGAGATTTCACGTCAGAACAGTACTAGAAAGGCACGCAATGACTCATTTGGTATCCCTGTCTCAAGACTAAGTTACTCTGTTGAAAAGCCACATGCCCTCACCAAGTTGTATGATTCAAAAACTGAAAAGGGAGAGGATGAGAGTAAAGAGAGATCCCACGCTCTATCAAGTAGCACTATTAATGATCCAAATGATGAAGAGATGTCACCTAGCGTGACTCTGGAGGGCAGCGCTACTCTGGATGATTCTACCCCCAACAAGGACTCCAACATCAATCCTTTCTATAAAAAGTTCACAGAGGAAGAAATAATAAAGTTGGAGGACGAACTTTTGGAGGAGAAGAAATCCAACTCCACGCATTGGCCATCTGCAGTAGGTCTCAAGAGACGTACCAAGAAATTTACTGAGTTTAAGGTCATCAAAGATATGGGCGAAGGTGCTTACGGTAAGGTGGTTTTGGCAGAACACAATGATGATCCAGTATATAAAATCATCATCAAGTGTATTGACAAAGAGAGAATTTTAGTTGATACTTGGGTGAGAGACAGAAACCTCGGAACCATTCCTTCAGAGATCCAAGTGATGGCATTCTTGAACGACAAACCACATCCCAACATTATGAAAATCATTGACTTCTTTGAAGACCTGAAGTACTACTACTTGGAAACGCCAATCTTTGGGGACCCTCCGGGAATCGATTTATTCGACTACATTGAAGTCAAAAAGGATATGAGCGAGCTCGAGTGTCAGTTTATATTCAAGCAAATCGTTTCTGCCATTTACCACCTTCACAATAACGGAATTGTCCACAGAGACATCAAAGACGAGAATGTGATTGTGGATGAAAATGGATTGATCAAGCTCATTGACTTTGGAAGTGCTGGCTATACCAAACAGGGTCCATTTGACGTGTTTGTGGGTACCATCGATTATGCGTCGCCTGAAGTCTTGAGGGGTGAGAAGTACGAGGGTAAGCCTCAAGATGTGTGGGCATTAGGTATCTTGTTGTACACCATGCTCTACAAAGAGAATCCGTTCTACAATGTTGACGAAATCATGGAAGGGGACTTGAGAATTCCCTACATTGTGAGTGAGGGATCCATGGCGTTGGTTAAAAAGATCTTGGTTAGAGATATCGATCAGAGACCGTCAATTACTGACATTGTGGAGGACGAATGGTTGCGTATTTAGTGTACAGATTATAGAAAAATACGAATAAGATAACAGGCGTAGTGCTCCTCAGAATTATCGCTGAAAGCAGTTTAAAGGCTCTAGCTCAGTCTTCAACTCTGCAAAGGCACTAGTGAGTAAATGAAACGTTAACTATGTACCCGAAATTCCAGGTCTACGGTTTCAGTCTCCAGACAACTACATATACTGATATGTCTCTTATTAGAGGCATAAAAACCACCCAAAGTTGCCCCCAATTTTCCCACTAAATTGTCCGCACCACTTCGCTAACTTTCGCCATTCCCTCGCTAACTCTGGGGCCTCTTTCCCCCGCGCTCTCGCTACCACCAGCACGGGCCGCCCATCGCTCACTAAATCTCCACACCAGTTCCGCACAGCTAGACCACCACCACCATGGCGCCAGACGTCCCCACCATGCTGGCTGCATTTCCCCTATCGTTCGAGATCATACCGTCGGGGTCCAACTCCCACCCACTCACCATCACCGTGCTCCAGCCGCTTCCAAACCTCAAATTCGACAAGGTACCGCTCCCTTTAATATCCCTAGACGCCTCCAGAAACACCATAACTCCTGGCCAGCGACTCTTCCGGCTTCACCATGACTCCCACTCGGTACTAGAGACGTATAGCAATAGCTACTTCTTTGTGAAGATCCAGAAAAGAGTCACAGACAAGGAGCATGCCTTGGGCATTATCTTTAACATCCACAACGACTACTACTGCCTAGCAGATCTCGACCCAGACGCCAAGTACAAAGACATACTAGATTCCAACAGCATACCATCGCGTGTAAGACACCCTCATGACCTTGTTCCTCAGATTCAAAGGCCCCTGGCGCCATATGAGCTCAATTCTGACCAATTGGCAGCTATACGAACGTTTTCCATGAAACCACCACAAGCGATCCAGAATGTCCAGTCGTCTCCCCAAACAGCGGAAACACCGCTCGAATTCTTGCACTCACGGTACTTCACCATTCTCTACTCGCTTACCATCCCATTGAGCTACTTCCCCAAAACGGCCTTGACCAGATTTGCCAACTTGTGTGCCAACGACTCATCCCTCATCGGAAGCACCTTGGTCAAGTTGGTGTGGAGCATTGAAAAAATGGATGCTAGACATCAAGACAAGTATGGGCTTCTCAACTTGATGGGATCTGCCGATAAAGCAGCTCCCACTACTGTCGCCAGCGAAAAAGACGCCCAGCTAGACTTCATTTCGAAAAACCACACTATACTCAAAGACTATTTCTCCATTCAGTCCAAGAGAAAAGAAGAATCCGAGGTCGCTTTTTCCACCAAAGAGTTGTCAAACGAGGAAATCGGACAGAAGCTCTTCTTGGAGCTCAAAATCAGAGAGGCACAGCTCCAGATTCTAGTGATTTTTGAAATTCTCAGGATTTGGAAGGTATCAGAAACCGAATATCTTGAGAAGTGCTTGAAGAAGCAAAAGAAAGATATAGCCAAAAAGAGCAAGGAAGCAAAACAGTCTTTGGTCAGGAAGAAAAACCCAAAAAAGATCAGGAAAATAATCCCCACCTTCTTGGGAATGGGAGTTAATGTCAGCAATATTGATAGCTCTGAATCATCTGCTGCCCAATCCATAGATGAATATTCTCTTTTTATCAATTTGGATACCATCGTGGATAGAATGGGAGTGTGGGATACCCTCTTAGGAAGAACCAAAGGAAATGACAGTGATAGTGCTTATGGATTCTTGGCATATGTTCTAGTTCCTTACTACAATAAGAAATTACCAATCATAGTCAAATACGTGATTGATAAGATCAAAGACCTGAACATGAAGTTGGTGACTCCCTCATTCAAAAAGTTCGAACGAGACTTACAGCGGAGGTCATCTGAAGGATCTTCTCCAAGGGAGGATGAGGACACTGATAAAGACAGATTAAAGGAACCTGCTCGGCCATCAAAATTCAGAAAAACGTTATTACACCAAAAGGTGCCAACCCTCAAGAAATCGGCCACCATAGACTTATCTGAAGACGATAACCTCAGACCCGCATTCGCCCTCAAGAGGTCAAAATCAAACCTATCATCCAAGCATCTACAAAAGCGTCAAGTGGATATTTCAATCAATACCGAAAAGAGCCAGAAGGATAAGGCAGCTGGTAAATCCACCGCTGATCAAGGTAGCAAGGAGAATAGCTCTTCGTTCATTTTCACAAAGGTCAAACGGACCAAACTCACAGCAAGCACAAAAGGTTCCGGATCCAATGTTTCTAGAACCTCCTCAATTTCTCAGGTCCAGGCCACACCTTCGAAAAATAGGCTTATCAGCTTCATTGATGGACAGGCAGCCCAAGTCGACTCTCCTCCTACCAAGGCTCTGCATGCTCCCAATAGTTATAGCTCTGCCCTGATTTCACAGATAGAAAGTACCCCACAAAATAAAGGTAAAGTGGTGGATTTTACGGAAATAATTAATACCCCACAGCAATTCGTCAAGCCATCCACAGCATCTGACACAAGACGTGCTGGGTTGTCTGAAAAATTGTTCCAGGCATCAGAGTTGACTGTACCCGCAGTTGAACTGGGGATTATGAGTTCGCCAGTTAAACCACAAGAAACCCCTAAAGAAAATATTGTGAGCTCGCCTCTTTCGACTTCAAGTCGTAGAAAAAAGCCAGGAGAGCCCATATCGGTTAGCGAGTCACCATTCTTCAATCCCAGTCTAAATGGATCTCCAGTTTATGGGGGCATATTTGGTGGGAAGAGAAAAAGTAAATGAAATTAGCTGGTAATTACGCCAATCCATTTTTAAATTGGTACTACTGCTGGTGATATGATCACTCAAGCCTGGTAGTTACAGCAGGTAATATTAATGTACATTAGTATAATACATAGACCTGGTCCGGATGACCAGTACATCACAATACGACGTAATTTTAGAGCCCCTTAACATGCCAATAGTTGGAGAATACTTCTAAAACAGTCATCCTTCGCTCTCCCGGAAGGATTGCCAACACGATAATTCAACTCAAATTTTCTAGTTTCCAGCCAATCTCCATTTCCCACTCAGACTGTCAACTCACCAAAGAAGAATCCTCTGATAATACCCTTTGCGTCATCTTGTTCCAAGACAGCATTAGCTAGAATGTCGCCGATTCTTTCTTTCAACTTTTCTTTAGCATCCTGAGAAATATCGTCTCCGTCCACTTCCATATTGTCGCTGTTATCCAAGTCCACCTTCAATACTCTCAAAGTATCTATGGTTGTATTCAACAAAATATTTTGCTCGAACTCACTCTTGGTTCCATCCTCCATGACCAGCTTGTACCAAACTTTCAAATTTCCCACCAAAACCAACTTGATGACTTCACTGCCCATATTCTTCAAACCAAGTAAAGCACCAAAGTGAGTCCCTGTAGGCTTGGAAGAATCCAACAAAGCCCTCAATAATGTTCTGGTGACTCTGGGTCTCAAAGTGGAGTATGACGAGCCATACACCGTTATGATATGCTTCAACAAAATGGCAGCAAACTCTCTCACTGCCAATTGGCTCCTTAATGCATCTTGTGCTTCTGCTGTGTTTGTTTCCTTCAAAATGGGACCTATCCTCTTAGCAAGCAATAAAGTCAAAATGCATGGCATCAAGGAATGGACATATGGGTCCAAAAAGATCGTCTTGTTGTCAGCAAGGGCACTGATGACCTCTAGCATGGTGGAAAGAATCTCAATGTTGCGGAGTTGGTTGGTGATCTGTTCTGCCACGAATTGAATAAAGTATGGTACCAACTGGTGCAAACCTGNATCATTCTTCAAAGACGTCAATGCGGCGTTTCTCAAGTGCTCCTTTTCTGGGTCAGTGGACACAAGCACCTCGACCACCTTGTCGAAGTACAACTTGAGTTCCTTGGACAACACATGTTTGACGAAAGGCTTGACCTCGAGCTCCTTGTCTGCCTTCTTGTCCTTGGACGACGACGATCCTGGTGCCGCGTCCTTGTTGTCGCTGTTGGCCAAACTTAAGATGTCGTTGCCTAGTATGGAGGAAGTAGCACCTCTGATAATTGGAGGCAAGCTCTTGATTTCCGATGGGAGTGGGTTTTGGGGCACCATGGGCTGAACTCCCTCGATGGCAAGCCAGTGAGCAGTAAACGTCGTCTGTCTGGGCACCTTGGGGAGCTCCTGGTTGATCAACTTCTCGAATTCGATTTCATGGTCGTCGATGTAGTACAACGTCTGGCCTCCAGCGCCAACCAACGCCTCCTTGAACGCCAATGGCTGGGAGTTGTCGTAGCCGTAAAGAGGCTCGATGTTCAACATCTTCAACGCGTGATTGATGTCGCCTGTCATGAGGAGTTTTCTCTTGGAGTGTCTCATGAATTGGATGGCAGTTTCCAACACTTCGTGAATACGATACTCCACGTCCATGGCGAGGTTTTTGGCGGCCTCTTCGGGTAAATTTATGCCCAACGACTCGGCCACATCCTTGACAGTCTCGTGGGGGGACCACAACGAGTGTGATAACGGAATCTTTGATCCAGAGTCCATGATGGTGGTGGTGGTAGAGTCTGTATAGTGCAATGTTTTTGAGCAAAACTAAGTGCACGTGACCGCTAGGAACGAGCTTTTACGTGGGGGTCTGTAGTGAGACAGATGTAGGAAGAGTATTGGGTTCGGTTCTGTGCAGTTCTGTGCTTTCGTAGTTCTGTGCAAAGGTGTACTGATTCTGTTCAAATTATCATATAATTATTCTAAAAATGCTATGAATATTGCCCTAGAGAATATCTAGACTGTGAAAGATCTACCCTTTGTATTTTGGATTATGGGGGATCACAGTTTTTGGCTGTTTCAGCTCATTATTCGAGCTCTTTTTAATTATTTGGTCAACGTAATGTCGTTGCGTCGTTTGTCTCGTAGCATGCTAGGTATGAGTCTTGCTTGAAGCTTGATGAGGAGTATGGGTCGCTAGCTATTTCAAAATGGACAGCTGCATTCCATCCTGGATAACAATCCCTCTCGACAGTGATGGTGGAGCTCACTGATGTCTCCTTCAAGTACTTCGATCACCGCTAAGTTCCCGTTCAACAATAATGGGGGCTCATGTTCCCTCAACAAGATGAAGGCTCATGTTCCCTCAACAAAATCGTAGAGCTCTCTGATGTCTCCACAATTCATCCACTACTCGCGGTCGTGGAACTTTCCTCCCAACAAGTCGTGGTTCAACTCGAGCAACCGTTTGTTTTCGCTCATCAACTGGTCCACCCGCTTCTTCTTCTTGGTCAACTCTTTCTCGTAGGCCTCCAACCGGATCTTTTCCAGGGCATCCTTGAATTCGTCGATAAGCTTCTTGGTGTCCTCGTCCACCTCGTAGTCGCCTCCTTGAGGGGCCTGGAGCGACTTCTCAAAGCGAGCTCTCTGTTCCTTCTCGTACTGCTCCTTGCCTAGATCTGCTAGCACCTTGGCGTCGTAGCCCTTCAAACGATGGAGCTCGTACAACAAGAACTCGGAGCGAGTGTTGCAGTACTGAATGGCGTCAGTCTCACTGCTGTTGGGAAACATCCGTTCCCGGTCTCTAATGTCCATCTGGCGCTTGAAGTTCTGTTCCAAGCCCTCAAACATCTCCTTGAGATAGAGTCCATTCAAGGTGGGAAACTCGATGTGTTCCTTGGCATTCTCCTGTTCGAATGCCTTGGTGAACTGGTAGTTGTTGACGTTTATGGCCACAATCTCCCATTTGGACTCCTGCTCTTCTACTGTCAATTGAAGGTGGGGCAAATGCTGGACAACTTGTATTAAGAGAGGCTCTTCTATAATGGCGGCGATCCGCTGCCGTTCCTTCTTGTAAAAGGAACTGCTCTTGCTACCGAAGACTGCCATGGTGGTGTCTGTTTGGAGGAGACTGGCGGTAAATGTGTTTGGTGCGCGTGGCATGACCAGTCGCCACTGAGCGCCATGGCGGTAGCGCTGGAGGCACCACTACAGCCTAGCACGGCAGTAGCAAAGGCCACCAGTGCCACGGTGGCACTACCACCACAGGCAACCAGCCTGGAGCGAACCACCACCACGCCAGCGCCGCTAACTTCCTCGTCGTGCTGCCAATCGCTCTCGTACTGACACTAAAGCTTCTTCTCCAGCTTGGACATCTTCGACATCGTCTTCAACTTGTCCTTGCTCTCTCTGAGCTGAGCCTGCTGCTTGTTGTAGCGCTCCTCAGCCGCTCGTGCCACGGCATCTCTGGCAGTGGTAGGTTCGTCGCTGGACTCAGAGCCCCCAAGCCGTTTGCCGGCCTCACTGGCGTCAGCGCCTCGGGACGATTTGCCAGTCCTGGCGCCGGCCACTGGCTTGGTGGCGGGCCTCGTCCTGGCAGCACTGGTGGCAGCCTCGGCGTTCTTATCCTTGGAGACACAACTTCCCATGATAGTTACGGAGTCTATATGTACATGGATTGTTATATACAAGATGCGGGTAACCCGCGTTGGGAACGGTAAGTGGACATGCAAGTTAAATGGGCAGGGAAGCCAGGAAACATTCACCGAGATGAGTAGAATCGACGCCATACCTGTAGCAAACGCACCGTATAAGGTAGGCAGTTTTGAACGATTCACTCAATAAAGTAGGCAAGATACTCCGAGCAAACTCACTGAATAAGTGGGCATACTTTGACAAATTCACTGAATAGAACAGAAAATAGCCGAAGAGAAGGAATCGCCAGGCCTGGAGTGTGTGTAATAAATCGAGACAACGGATGGAGGCAAATTTGGCGAACCTAGTGTCTGAGTATACCTAGAAATATCAAGCATGTCCGATGGCTGGCACCCAAATCATCTACTTCCCACTCTGAAACTGGACAGGAATCTCTGCCACTCGACCTCTTTCTCTATCTTTCTAGGGTATTATTCTCTAACCAGTGGAGTAATATTCAATCAGGGAATAATATTTTCTAATTCTTCTGATCAGTCCTCATCCACTCACTTGCGGTTATGGGTGATCTCCTGGGTGATTTCCCGGTAGTTCACGTTCTCCTTCAACCGCACAAATCTCGGCACCACCACGTCCACGTCGCTGGCAAATTCAGGACTATCCTCGAGAGTAATCCGAGCAATATCCTTGTAGTGTTCTGGCTTGTGGGTCCAGTTGCCAAGGAAACGGAGAGCAGACTTTCTGTCTTGCATGTAGTTCTTGTACAAGCTGAGAATCTGCAAATACAAGTTCTTTCTTTCGTGGGAGTATTCAGACAAGATGGTGGCATCACGCAAGGCAGCCCAGTCGGCCACAGGAATGTAGGTGTAGTTCTGGCTATCAAGCAAGGCCAACGACTGGTTCCACTTGTCCAAAATCTCCTGGGTGGTGTAGTCCTTCAACTGACCAACCTTTTTCAACCCAATACGGTACGAGATGGGCGATCTGGTCACGGAATACACTCCGTAGTTGTCGATCAATTGCTCGAAGACAGCCTTGTCGGCCCAGTTGTAGTTGTTGATGATGGTGTTCAAGAAGGTCTCGTCCACTGGCTTGGATTCGGAATACACGGCAATAATTTCTCTCAATTTGGCTAACGACTCGTTGGTCAACTCTGGGTACAATTTAAAGAAAATCTGGAAAAACGAGTTGTTCAAGTTGGAATATCTCGAGTTCAACGAGTAGCTCTGCTTCTCGGTGCTGTAGTGCTTGATGGTGGAGATCCAGAAGTACATGATGTTTTCGATGGGTTCCTGGGCGTTGAAACAGTTCTCCAACAACGAAACAACGTGTGGAACCTTCAATCTGATGTCGTAAGGCAATTCGAACTGGATGACTTTGTCGAAGAAGTGCTTCGAGATCTTGATGTCCTTACATTGACCAATAAAACTCAAGTGCAAGTCACTCAACGACTTCAACACCTTCTGCTGGTCATATCTGGACGATTCGTACGCCTTGAGCAAGTCTTCCAAAGCATCCAAACCACGAGAGTAGTCCTCGGCACTGATGGAGATCTTACCTATGGAAGTAAGAAGAGTGTGGTGCACTGGCTTATCAGGGTTGGTGTTCAATTCAAAAACCTGTAACACTTCTTCGTAGCTGAATCTGCCGTTGTTGTAGGCCACTGGAAGAATCACAGACAAGATGTCCTGGTTCAAGTACAATCCACCAACAACGTCGTCATTCACACCGTTTTCCCACAAATTAATCATTTCTGGATAGAACTGGTACTGGGCCATGGCATAAAACAACATCTGCAAAGCATGGGTTGTGAGAGCTTCCTTGATTTCTCCACCGACAATCAATTCACTGAGGTGTAAGACCGCACTCTTCATGGCCATTTCATCCACGTAGTTGGAGTTGAATCTCTGGTCCTTGTCACGGTTCCTGTCATTGGACAATCTGGAGGTTCTGTTGTGATACACAGACATGTTCAATAATCTGCTGTAGTTGCTCAAATCATTCTTGCCCAACTTCTTTCTCATGAATTCGTCGTCAAATAATTCGAAAAGATTCAACACGGTGGCGTAGAACCCTTTTTGCGATTGGGGACTCTTGTCTCTTCCCTGCTGGGTGGCTAACGTCACCAATTCTCTGAAGTGAATAATCTTGGTGTTGTCACCATCCTGGACCACCTCTTTCAATAATGGGTCTTTTCTGGCATTTTTTATGAACGAGTCGATTTTGGCCTGGCTGGAAGGCTTGGTCAAGTGAGCATTATTGGTGGAGTTGGACGAGTTGGATCTGCTGAACGAGGCTGGGTAAAACTGCGATGTAGGAGGAGTTATGGGGGATGGTGTGTTTAACGCAATTGGTTTGTTCGCTCTGACCTTGAGGATTGCAGGTCTGAGACCTTGTGAGGACGAGATGAGTCTGAACATCACGGGGCTGGCAACTGGGACTAGTCGGACAGCAAGATCGATGCTGGTACTTATACGATAAGAATCTGGTGATGTTGGGCTGTAGTGCAGGAAAAATTTTCGATGGCACTGTCTGGTCACGTGACGCATGATGGCAAACTGGATCCAGTAGTGGGTGACAAGGCAGGCGCAGATAAGAGGTACAGGGGGCTCTATGGGGCATTTGGGGCGTTGGGGGCGTTTGGGGCGTTGGGAAGTTTAGAAGCTGGAAGATGTGGTGGTTGATAGAGGTATATTTAGGTTACTTTTCAAGCGTTTAGGCAGGGAAATAATATGGTTAGTCCAGATACCCCAAGCCAGTATCCAAGAGCGTGCCTAGATTGACACAAAGAGCAGGCTTGAGATCTCTTAGCAGATACTTGCTTTCATATTTGTGTTAATTCTAATTATTAGTATATAAAAAATGCATCATGTTCCAAAAAATCTGAGTGACACAAAGCTGCCAGGGCTCAACTGAATTACAGTGAAGTGGCAACGCATTCAGGAGCAATTAACGGTAGGGATAGGCTTACTGGCTAGCTGGAGAAGAAGTAAAATAGTCAACTTGAACTTTTACTCCATTTTGTTTTTTTATCCCAGTAGGAAAAGTTGGGAAATTTTTGGAATTTTGCTGGGAGAATTACTGTATTGTCTGATCTTGCAAATGTACAATACTCAACATTTTGTTTTGCAACGAAACACACAACCTTACGATCAGCGTAAGCTTTGAATGTGTTTGTAAAGAACTGGGTTATCTCCTTATTCTTTCGTTGGTGGCCAAGCATTTATTTACCAATAATTTGCCAAAATCTTCGAAAATTATTGATTTCGAGTGTTCGTGGTTGCGAAAATCAAACATTTGTTGAATTTCAATATTGGGTAGTTGTACACGGTTCAGCCCTTAGGTATCTTCACAAATACGAGTCAAGTCATACCTATTCTACATATACAATATACTCCTATGTTGATGTAATGNTATTTCCTGTAACCCCAAGTGGGTACTACCATATTAGCACCCACCATTCTGTATTACTCGCTTAAGCTGGCCTCGGAACTAGGTGGGTGCAAAGCATGGTGCTTGCTGTTTCAACTATACCACCAGAACCAATTATGTTACCGGAGTCAATTGACACGATAATACTCTAGATCTTTCGCTGGTGGCGACCACCATGCACGAATTGTGAGCTTCTCTATATTTCAGCATTGCCAAAATTCTAAGATTTGGCCACGAAACCGTCTGCCTTCTTTTATGCATCCAATTAATGAAGAAGTACTTCCAGGACGAATTATTGATGTAAGTTTTCGAACAACGAAGAATAGTCCCAAGAGTATTGGAGCAGTAGAAGCATAGCTGCATATACTCTCCTACATAGCCGCCAATGTAAGTGAATAGTTGAGAGGGAGCGTATAATCATGTTCCTACATGACTACCTATATAAGTGTAATTTATAGCTTCATGAATATATACTAAGCGTGGTATATAATGTTCTTTCATTATTCTGAGTTTTCCCTATTTCAGGGTTTGTCACCTCGATTTTGCTCCGATGCTTGATTCCTCCACGATTTTGACCAAAAGCCAGAAGACTTTCCCACTTAGTAATTGGGTGCTCATCCCTGCCCCAATCTTGAATGGGTCACCGCCAAGCCAGTGCGCCACAGAGCTTCTAGAATGTGTCAGTTTATGCAACATCCGATCGAAGGTGCGCTGAAACTCAAGAATAGCCCAACAGGGAGATCCTTCCGAACTGCTCCATCCTGACTACTCTGAGGATACACCAGGCATGTCAGTTGTTATCCTGTTAGTACGAATACACAGTGCTAGATGACCCCCCCTTCTCCTTCTCCTGCACCCAGCCCTCGTCTCGAGGCGTGTGTGCAGGCAGCGAAACTGGCGATAAGCCTTCGACTATCTGATCTAGCAACACCATCCGGCTACTCGTTACGCCCAGCCCTCGCAGCCCTAGCCCCACACCAAGGACGTGTCTAGTCCATCGCCATGTCATATCCCACCGAAACATCCACACTTCTACCGAAAGACCGCAGAAGAAAGCCCAAGAAAAATGACCCATCAGCAAAGCTAGGCACCTTCGAAGGGGTGTTCCTTCCCACCGCACTCAATGTGCTCTCCATCTTGATGTTCTTGCGGTTCGGGTTCATCATCGGCCAGATGGGTATTTTGGGCACGTTTTTCCTCTTAGTGCTATCGTATGCCATCAACATCCTCACCACCATGTCCATCTCGGCCATCTCCACCAACGGAACTGTCAAGGGTGGAGGTGCGTACTACATGATCTCGCGGTCGTTAGGTCCCGAGTTTGGTGGCGCCATCGGCATTATCTTCTTCATTGGCCAGATCCTCAATTCTTCGTTGAACGTGGTGGGTTTCATCGAGCCGTTGTTGGTCAACTTTGGCCTCAACGATGGTGAGGTGGTGTCGCTACTTCCCATGGGCTACTGGTGGGACTTCCTCTACTCGTCCACCTTGTTGGCCATCTGCACAGGAGTGGCATTGGTGGGCTCGAAGCTCGTGTCCAAAACCGCATTCTTTTTGTTCATCGTGCTTACCTTGAGCACGATCTCCATCCCGATCTCCACGCTTTTTGTGGGCCCTTTCTACCCGTTGCCATACCCTCATAACGACCTCTGGTACTCGGGGTTGTCGTGGACCACATTCACGGAAAATCTCTGGCCCTCGTTCACCAGCGGAGCTGCGGGATCAGTTCAGCCTCCTGGCCAGCCAGAAACGTTCCGGAACTTGTTTGGAATTTTCTTTCCAGCTACTGCTGGGATTTTTGCGGGTGCCTCCATGTCGGGCGAGTTGAGAAGCCCATCCAAGAGCATTCCTGAAGGTACCTTGAAAGGACTCTTCATCACCTTTATCTTATATTCATTGGTGATCATTTCCATGGGCTCTTCTGTCCCCAGAGAATTACTTCACACAGACATCAAAATCATCCAAACCGTCAATTTGCTGGGAATTATCGTTATCCTAGGCGAGTTCTCGACTTCGTTGTTTTCGGTGATCATGGGCATTGTTGGTGCAGCCTCCATGCTCAATGCAATTGCTGACGATAGAATCATTCCAGGATTGTCCATCTTCACGACCTTGAAAAAGTCTAAGGAAGCCAAGTACAAGGCCCAAGTTGCCAGTATTGCCTTGACCTGGTTCATTGCGCAAGTATTCTTGTTCGCAGACATCAACCAAATTGCAACTTTCATCACCATGGCCTTCCTCATGACATTTATTGTGACCAACATTGCCTGTTTCTTGCTCCGGGTAGGTTCAGCCCCCAACTTCAGACCCTCATTCAAGTATTTCAGCAGTAAAACAGCATTCACAGGCGCATTGATGTGTTTGGGTGCAATGTTTATTGTCGATGGTATATCTGCATCGTTGGTGATCGTCTTTTTGATGTTGCTCATCTTGATGATTCACTACACCACGCCTCCATCGAAGTTTGGGGACATTTCCCAATTGCTCATCTATCACCAAGTCAGAAAATATCTTTTACGCTTAAAGTTGAACATGGGTGTCAAGTACTGGAGGCCTCAGATTCTTTTGCTTTGCGACGATCCCAGAACTTCCTGGAATCTCATTGGTTTCTGCAATCACCTCAAGAAAGGTGGGTTGTACATCATTGGCCATGTTGTGCTCATGAACGATGACACAGATGCCAGTGGTAACAATGCCGTCAATAAATCGTTCTCGGCAGATTCGTATAAGGAGATTAGGGATCAAAAGCAGGCGTGGATCAAGTTGAGAGATATCTCTAAGAGTAAAGCGTTCGTCCAAATCGCCCTTGGACCTACATTACCTTGGGGTGTAAGAAACATTTATCTTGGTTCGGGACTTGGAGGAATGAGACCAAATATTACCGTCCTCGGGTTTTACGATTTTGTAAAGCACGGAGTTGCATTGCCCTCATTGGAATCTGCTAACCTCAAATTACCCACTGACAATTGCAGAAAAGAAAGAAAAGTCTCGATTAATCAATGGGTTCAAATTGTGGAAGATTTAATCATTTTGCAAGCGACAGTTGCAGTGGCGGCAAATTTCGGTGGCATGAAATTGCCAAAGTCAGACGGGAAACCAAAATTCTGGCAAAAATTTGGCTCGTTCTGGGAGGATGACGTTACAGGAGTTAGAAAGGACAACAGCAAGAAAAAGTACATTGATTTATACCCTATTCAAATGTGTTCAATTAACCAGATGGACGACGGTAAATCAGTCTTGTCTACCAATTTTGATACTTATACTTTGATCTTGCAGCTTGGTGCAATTTTAGTTACTGTTCCAGAATGGAAGTTTAATTCTCATGAGCTCAGAATTATCGTTTTCGTTGAAACCAGCCACGAGATAGAGGAGGAGAGGAAAAGATTACAGACCTTGTTATCATCTTTGAGAATAGATGCTGAGATCAAGATTGTTAATCTTGATGATGGCAATCTTGCTTCATACAACTTTTTGGTCAAAGGTTATTCGAAGACTTCAATGAACAAGGAAGTTTTTGAGAAAATTGATTTAACTTTGAAGGATGATCAGTGGTGGAAGAATTTGTGCAATGCCAGAGAAACACTCAAAGAATTGGAAAAGCAAAGGTTAAGAAGACAACAAATAAAGCAAACAAAATCACAACTTCGTTTGCATGATAGTGCCTCAAAGTTGGATAGGACAAAGTTCAGTCCTTTGAATTTAAATTCTTCATCCCCACCTCCGTTACCCTTGTCTGCAAGTTTAAGCAACAGACGGTACACAATTTCTAACTTGCATCAACAGGGATTATCATTGTCACTCAACATGAACACCCAGAATGCGGATCAGTACTTTAATTATAACAACACCATAGAATCTAGTGACAGCAGTGACAGTGAAAAGGAGTATAATTATGAAAGTGATGCTTCCATTAGCAACTATCTTACCCAAGACAGTGACAAGCGATCCACAAACTCCAAAAAGATAGGGAGTTCAGGCCAGTTAGAAGGCACCCCTATCAACAGTTCCTTGAACTCCTCGCCATTGCAATTGGCTGGAAGTAAAACGCCTATGGATAAATCAGTCGGAAATTCACCAACTCTTGCACCATCTGGTAGTCAAACCCCTAAGATTACTAGTACCAACAAGTTCAATGAATTGAGGCACAACAGATTTGCAGGATTGGACAATGAGACTTTTAATAAGAGATTTGGCTCGACTGACCAGCTTTCTATCAGATCATCGAGATCTAATTTAAGGCCCAACTTCCTGTCTGTGAAAATACCAGAGTCTCAGATCAATGATGAAGAGGATGAAGAGGGTGGCGAAGATGAGAACAAGCCCTCAATTCAATTTGTTGATGACGAAGACGCGGAAGGAGAAGACGACGAGGAAGATGATGAAGCACCAGACGAAAATGAAGGTGAACAGGGAGAGGAAGAAAGGAAAAATCAGTCCAGCAAGGAGAAGGAGAAGGAGAAGGATCCTTTCGATGCAAATTTTGCAAAGGCAGACGAGAAGCTTCCAAGTAGGGGCAGTTCCAGAAGAACCTCTAGAAGCAATTCACGAAAGCCATCAAAAAGAGCGCCCTTGTTGTCACCATCCATCATTACTAATGATGATGAAATTATTCACCATTTGAAAACACCTCAATTTTTGGCTGTCGAAGACGATGATGAGTCCGATGATGAAACTGGACTCACATTCTCCAAGCGCGAGTCTTCACTTAAGAGTCCCTTCACTTTGGCATCGGGACCTGCAAATTCCAGGTCCGAGTTTTACAAGAAAAAGAAGCCAGTGGAGCCTAAGATAGAGGAGAAGAGCATTACTCAGAAGCAATTGCAAGAGGAATTGAAAAACTTGAGTTTCAACGATATTCCTGCCAAGGGACAGCACTTAATCTTGAACGAGTTGATGAGAAGAAATTCCCCCAAGGATTCTACGGCAGTTATCTTTTCCACATTACCTGCACCTTCGATCGGGACCCATTTGGACGACAAAGATTCTTTTGACTACACTAACAATTTAGCCATATGGTTGGACGATCTTCAACCGATGATGTTGTTGAACTCACAAACAGTCACGGTGACTACTTCATTGTGAAAGACTCGGCTCATTTTAGTTCTTTACACTTTAAATAGCATTAAAAAACATTCATTATATTACCAGACTCACAATCGAGGCTTTAGTTAGCGACAATCATTATACTTATGGTCTATACAAGCTCCCAGCAGGCATTCTGATTCAGCACATTCAATCTCTTTAGCGCATTTACTCTCCCCTCCTGTAGAACTCAGAGAAGAAACATAGTCGAATGAATGAAAAACCAATCACCAGACCTCTAATTAGCTCTACAAGCCTCCAAACTACTCTCGCCCAGGCTCTTGTATCTCAGTATCTTGCATCAGAATTACTACCACTCCCATTCCCGTCCTGCACATACCCTACCCCAAAAACCCCATCTCATCACATCCGATTCCACTCCTTTAGCACACCAACACGGGAATATGTATGGTACAAGCTCTGATACCGTCAATGGTAATCTTACTAACAAAAGCCCCAATGATGACACCCTCTCCAAAGAAGAAAAACGCCGCAGGAGAATAGAGCAGTTGGCTGCTTGGAAGCTCAAAAAGGAACAGGAGAAGTCACAAGAAAAGAATGAACCTATAGAGGCCAAGCCTCAAGCAACAGTCTCTGAGAAGCCAGAGTCGAATCCAGCCGAGGACAAGAAGCTTCTTGGCCAAAAACGGTTGGAGGAATGGAAGCGCAAAAAGGCACAATCTGGCGCTACTCCAAAAACGTCCACATCGTCAGGCACCAAAACATCCATAAAAATCGGGGTCAAGAGGCTTCAGCCTGCCAATTCATCACAGGAAGCAAGTGTGAAAAAGAGGGCTGTGTTTGACGACGACGACGACGAGGTGGCAGTAAAGAAGCCCAAGTTCAAGGTGCCTACAATGGACGCAGGACCAACCACAGCTGAACAGGAAGAAGCTGACGAATTGGAGCTTTACTTGAAGAGCCTTGAAAGTGACGGATCTGGTGCTGCTTTGGCTCAGGAAAACCCCTTTAACGACGGAGACGAGCAGGGAGATTTGGAAGAAGAGCTCTTGGAAGAGGAAGAGGAACAACAGCGGTTGTTGGCGTCCAAATTAAAGAAACAGAACAAAGAGAAGGAGTTGAGCTCGATAGACCACAACAAACAACTGTACAAACCGTTCAGAAAGGTCTTCTACAGCGACCCCATGGAGAAGTTGGTAAAAGCCAATCCAGAGTTGCTGGAATACTTGAAGGAAGACTTGGGAGGCATCAAGGTCCGAGGAGCGAATGCTCCTTTGCCTGTGCACAATTTTGCCCAGCTTGGTCTTCCATCCTCGTTCATGGGTATCATAGAGGAAAAGTTGAAGTTCACAAAGCCTTCTTCGATTCAAGCTCAGGCACTTCCCTCAATCATGCAAGGCCGGGACTTCATAGGAATTGCCAAAACTGGCTCGGGAAAGACCCTTTCGTTTGTGCTACCCATGCTAAGGCACGTACAGGACCAAGACCCCTTAGAGAAAGGCGACGGACCCGTAGGCTTGGTGATGACCCCTACAAGAGAGCTTGCCCTACAAATCCACAAAGAGGTGATGAATTTTGCACCCAAACTCGGTATCACGGCCAGCTGTTGCTATGGTGGCTCGTCGATAGAACAACAGATTGCAGAATTGAAGAAGGGTACACAAATAGTCATCGGAACTCCTGGAAGAATAATTGATTTGCTTTCTGCTAATGGAGGAAGAGTCACTAACTTAAGAAGAGTCACTTATGTGGTGCTAGACGAGGCAGACAGGATGTTTGATATGGGGTTTGAGCCTCAAGTTACCAAAGTGTTCAGTCAAGTGAGGCCTGATCGTCAAACGGTATTATTTTCAGCGACATTTCCCAAGAAGATGGAGCTTTTAGCTAGGAAAATCTTGCAGGACCCAATTGAAGTATCTGTGGGTGGAATCAGTGTCGTTGCTTCTGAAATCAGCCAGAAAGTCGAGCTCTTTGACATGGACAAATTGAACAAGACTCTTGACGAGGACAAGTTTGAGAAATTGGTAGAGACTATTGATCAGTTCAGAATCGCTGATAAGAAAGGCAAGATACTAATCTTTGTTGAAAAGCAAACCAACGCTGACGATATTCTTGTGAAATTATTATCGAAGAATATTGCATGTAAGGCCATTCATGGAGGGAAGGACCAAATGGACAGAAAGCATGCAATCAAGGAGTTCTCCTCTGCTTCTAGTGGAGTTGATATATTGATAGCAACTTCTATTGCAGCCAGAGGTCTTGATGTTAAGAATTTAAACTTGGTGATTAATTACGATGCCCCAAACCATATGGAAGATTACGTGCATAGAGTGGGACGGACTGGAAGGGCTGGCAATAAAGGTGTGGCTATAACATTTGTCAGTTCGGACCAGGAGAGGTCTATAACTGATCTTGTGCGAGCCATGCGCTCTAGCAAGATGGAGGAAAAGGAAATCCCTCAGCAATTGATTGATATTAGCACAGCCTTCCTTGACAAGGTCAAGAGCGGAAAGGAAAAGTTTCAGTTCGGCTTTGGAGGAAAAGGCTTGGATAACTTACAGGAAAGAAGAGATAACAGTATGGACCTTCAGAAGAAGGCTTATGGGGGCGATCCAGAAGTTGCAAAACTTTCAACTCCTGCTAAACCTGATTCCGCTACAACTAATCCAGAAGTGGCAGATAAATTGCCAGACTTCAAAATAATTGAAGGAAGAGCACCTGAAACATCAGGTCCAGACAAATGTAAGTTTCACTCACGTATCACCATCAACGATTTGTCTCAAAAAGCAAGATGGGTGGTTGTCAACAGAGAAAGTCTTTCCAAGATCATTGAAGCTACAGCGACCTCCATCACGAACAAGGGCCAGTTCTACCCACCAAACACATTTCCGAAAACAGGAAAGAAAAATGGAAAAGAGGTTCCTCCAAAGCTTTACTTGTTGGTTGAAGGATTGACCGAGAGTTCTGTAAGGGAGGCGAACAACATGCTCAGACAACGAATGATCGAAGGTTTGGAAATTGCTGCCAAGGAAGAAAGCATGGCACCAACAGGGAAGTACACCGTTTGATATGGGAAGGAATTATTTAGAAACACGAGTAGATATTCGAGTGTGGTACAGGCAAGAGTAATAAATGTAGGATGAGGGTTTGTGTAGACCCAAAAGCTTCTAGCATGAGCTGTAGCAAGAGTGTCAATTGATGCCACCGAACTGGGATCAGCAGCATAGTAACTATCATTGAATAGCATAATAAATAATCAAGGAAAGAAATGTTGAATATTGCATATCATATTCGATTTATTTAGCAAGGACGAACTGGGCGGTGGGTAGCATATTAAATAATGGTGTTGATCATATCGAATACACATGGGGCCATGAAATTTCTGGAAAGCCTGATGTGTACGAACCCATATGATACTGAGCATATAATCCACGGAATAGCTGTTGCAATACATTTCTGACTGTGATCAACTTTCTTCATATTACCTTCGCAGACTAGCTTTGATTATGAACATGCAGCTGCGAACTCACTACTACGACCAAGGGGGTACTTGCTCAGTTATTGGTTTTCCACTAGCACCATTGAAATTATCAGTAAGTGACAGAGCATTTTCAGTGAGACCCACTGAGCTATAATAGCTATTTTGCAACCACTCACCACACCAATGAATTCCTTGTAACACCCACGACTCTAGCCACAATTTCAAGTAGTCAATGATCAGATAGTCTGTTCGCCAACATATCACTTGTGCTGCGTATACGAAAGAAATAAGAGACAATCTAAATAATATCGATCTGGTGCCTGTCGTCTTTCTCACTGAGAAACCTCACACTGAGAAGTCTCACTTTTTACCATTTTTCATTTTCAGCCATCTCAAGAGTGAAATACTCCAATTCCAGCTCATGAATAGCCAGCCCGCATCTGCGAGATGCTCGTGCTACTATTTTCTCAGTACATTGGCCGTACTACTAACAATGCCGGTGGCATTTTGCAACTGCAACCTCAACCGTCGCACCAACCATACTGCCGGGTAACCCCAAATACGTCTCGGAACCGAAAAGTTTTATTTCATACTACACCACCAAGACTACTCCACCACCATGTCGTACCTCGCCAGAAGACCGTCAGGCCTCCAGGCGCTCAGGTCCTACTCCCGTAGCTTGTCTTCCACGTCCATCCCCATAACACAGGACCTCATACAAGACACGGAGGCCCCAGCACTGGTGGGATCAAAGGCATCCAAAGTCAAGCACATATTGTCCCAAATTGCATCCGAGACGTACCTTTCGTCGTTGAGTGTCAAGTCCCTCAGCTTGAGCCAGTCATCTTGTGTCTCTTCTGTCCAAAACCACGTCATCAAGCGAGAACTCTACAAGCTTGTGGAGAACCAGTCATATTCCACCTTGATGGATGTTTTACTACAATGGTCAGTTTCTTCGTCCACGCCCATCACTTCGGTGCTTTCACCAGAAGAAATCTCGTTCTTGATCAAGCATGTGATCAACCACCAAATTTCGCTTATGCATCAGTATACCATCACCACTCCCGTTCTCAAGGCTGCACAAAACTTGAACTTGACAGACAAGTTGAAGAAGTCCCAGCAAGACCCGAATTTCGTCCACTCCAGACAGTTGGTGATGAAAATCAGAGACTTCTACAGCAACTTGATCTACTCGAACTCCAGTGAAAGCATCTACAGTGAGTCTAAGAAGTTGGACCTTTATGACTCAGACAACTTGACTGGGTACCAGTTGAAGGTCACAGACTACGAAAACTTGATTTTTATGGAGCTCCACAACTTGAAGCTCGACTTGGCCTCCAAATGGTTTCAAAGATTCGAGGCCCAGTTTGGAGCCGATTCCATTGACCACATGACCTACAGATTGTGGATATTGAAGTTTCAGGTGTATGCTGGAGGTTCCCCTAGCAACTGGATCATTCAGGAGACCGATTTGGCAAGCTCGAACTACTACAACCCAAGACAAGGTCCTATAAACTACGAGGTCACATTTGAAACGTTGTACAAGGATTTTCTTCGCTACAACCTCCGCCAGAATTCAAGCAAAATTGTGATAAATAACGATCTTGTGACCACCTTGATCTATTCCATGGGATACTCCAAGAACGTCACTGCTCTTGTGAACTATGTGGAGGCCAAATGGGGCATTGGCACAGACGGAAAATTGGCAGCTGGATTCACAAAACCAACGCCAGATGATCCAAACTACCCAGACATTTCTATCGTCAAATCGGTAATGATCTCCTTGGCCTTCAACGGCAAGTTTTTCGACGCATTAAAATACATCAACACATTCCAGGATGCCTACAACATAGACATCTCTGGACCATCGTCAAAGTCATTCTGGCAAGACATATTTAAATGGAGTGATATAACCACCCGTTTCGAGTCCAAGAAGGCGTTACAGTACTACTTGCAAAACATCCAAGGCTCGGACTTGGGTAAGAAGTATGGCAAGGCCACCCCTAGTCTCAAGGAAGTCCAGAAAAATGCCAACTTTGATTATTCAGGATACTTGACATTTGTCAAGGGTATTCAAAGTGAGCGTCACAACAGTTTCACGGCATTATGGGGATTATATCAGCAGAATAACGGAGTGTTCTCCAGATACATTTACAAGAGATATCTTGATTTCATAAACGAGGAGTTGGAAGTGGAAAAAATAGAGGATAACTACTACCAGGTGTTGACCTCCTTATTAGAGCAATATGAGCTGTACAAAATATCCAAGTGGTCTTTCAACAAGAGAAATGCCAACTTGAATCCAGTCAACTCTGTTGACGATGCCATTTACAGCTTGTATCTCCATGCCCTCAAGAGGTTCGTGGATTTCAAGTGTAAGACCCTCAATGGGGGCCACTGTTTGCCGTTAATTGCCAAGTGGTCGATAGACACCAGCATGAAGGAAGAATTGACCAAGTGGTTCAAGGATGAAAAGAACCCGCAATATAGAGAAATGCTTGAAAAGAGAAGGGAAGAAGTGATAGCAAAGTTGAGTGCCGAGAACGACGGCGAGGATGACAGGTTTTTGGATTTGATATAGTTGGTAATGAAGTTAATGATAGAGTTATGAATAGTGGTGTAGATATGTAAGTGATTGCGTAGGGGCGTAAAGGTAACTTGTCAGTGCAGGATACACGAGCACTTAGAGATTTAGTGGGTGGACTGGGACTGAGCCATTCACTATGGATGTTAGAAGAACTGATGCGCTACCAACTATGGCAGATCCACTTGATGGGAGGAGTAATTCTGCCGACGACGTGTTCTTGGGACGAATTGGATGATCAGTGAACACTGCCCAGAAGCTTAGATGGACGTGAAAATTAATAATGGATTAGGTAATCTACAATTATAACTAGTCGTGAACTCTAGGCCAAATGAAGGAAAATTAACTAGTTCACGGGATAAATTCCGTTGTGACTATGTTACAATGACCATTGGCGCTTCCAGTTCCGTTTTGCGTGGTACACTCAGTTTGTTATAGTTGAGTCTCGTAAATATCGTAGCAGTTTTTGCATACGGGCAGACTGGTGCGATATAAGTCCGAGAAAAANAATTTTCTTGACTATAGTATTACCATGCAATTTCCTACCACAGCAGGTGATAACCATCATAAAGGTACCATGCGCTGCCAGAAGAGTCACAGCTTGTGTCCTCTTTCACTGTAAATTGCCCAAAGTCTTCAAATTCGGCATTGAAATACTTCTCCCCCGAGCCTAAACCAAATCGCGCCTCACCGGCACGTGACCATGTGCACTTATCAACACGTCGTCCATTTTTCATCGAGTCACCCACCACTTACCATCAATAATCATGGCTGCTGAAGGTTTAGAAAAGTTCACAGAAGTCCCAGTCGAATTCTTCAAGGATGGCAGTGCCTTCGTCAAGAAGTGCCAAAAGCCTGACAGAAAAGGTACGTAGCACGGCTCGTTTCCACCACTGACTCCGTTACTAACATATAGAATACTTCAAGATCATCAGAGCTGTTGGTGTTGGATTCATCATGATGGGTGTTGTTGGCTACGCTGTCAAGTTGTTGCACATTCCTGTCAGATACTTGATTGTCTAAGCGTGCTTTGTCCACTTTGGTTACTGGGATAGTGAATGGCGAATTTGTGGACGTTCGGCCAGGCCAATGCTGTCTCTTTCAGAAACGAATCTGTCTATCATCAAGGTGCTTCTATGTCGTGTTGGAACTGTTGGTCATGGCCCAGCGGTCTGGGATCGCAGTCTGCTCATGGAGCATGACATGTGCCACATCTCCAATGTGACTCCTAGTATCTCCATCTTGTATGTATAATAAACGTAATATGAACAATCGTAGGGAAGGCAGGGGTTTGCTGGCCTTGTTCGCCATAGAAATGTTATTAAGGATAGAAAAGTTGGCCTAAAGAAATTCTGTCCCAAGAAAGCCGGTCTAGAGAGCTCAAATTGAGCTGGAAACACAAATAGCGTTGCAGCGAAGAAGAAACCGACAAATACTACACGGGTAGAGACGTCCACGCTCCTCCAGCAGTTGCTTCGTGCCAAACTCTGGGCCATTCATTCCTTCCTCTATGTATATGTCACGTGCCCATCTACCTCATCGAATTTTTTTGAGCATCTCTTCTATCCCAAATACCATCATGTCTCAAACGTCTGCATTCGTCAAGAAGTTGGCCTCCAACGAGAAGCCTACTAGAGAGGCCGCCTTGGAGTCCTTGAAGAGGTACCTCACCTCAAAGTCCTCGAAAAAACTTTCCCTTTTGGACATGGAAAAGTTGTGGAAAGGTTTATACTACTCCATGTGGTTCTGTGACAGATCCAAGGCTCAAGAAAGATTGGCCGAGGGCTTGGGGCAGCTTTACTCTGGCGTGGTCTCGGTGGACCAATTTGCATTATTTTTGGAGGCCTTCTGCGCTGTCATCATCAAGGAATGGCCTGCGATCGATCAGTGGAGAATAGACAAATACTACCTTTTGATAAGAAGAGTATTAAGACACAGTTTCAAGTTCATCAAACAAAACAACTGGGGAGTGGCCACCAAGAAGAAGGTTTTGGACCAGTTTGTTTCTGTTTTGAACAAGACCATATTGAGCGGAGATATGTCCGTTCCTGCAGCTCTCCCATACCATTTCTGTGACGTGTACCTTGATGAGTTGGAGATTGTGATGTTTGAAGAGCTCAGCCAATTACAGTCGGAAATCGATGATCTCGACGCTAGTGACAAGAACTACGACTCCAAAATTGAGGAGTTGGTGACCAGAAAGAGAGAAATTGCCGAGGACGTTCCTATTTCGGAGTTGACAGCACCATTCGCCAGATTGGCCAAGGAGGCCCGTACAAAGACTTTGAGAGATATGTGCAAGAAGGAAGTCTTGGCTGATTCTAGATTGAAGACATGGGGAGTGGTAGAGCAAGATGAGCAAGACGAAAAAGATGGTGATGAGAACGAGGAGGAAGCTGGCGAAGACAGTGACGAAGAGTGGACCGGATTCTAATTAGATAGCATAATGTACAATACTTAGAGGAAGATGTAGCTGGGCGAATGGAAATACTCAATTTATGGGTGCGAGAGGTGTGGTGAATTAAGCAAGCAGCTAATATAGCTGAGGGGCCACAATTACGCTGACTGGGGCAACGAGAGACTGGTCGGAAAATAATTATAAAGATACTAAGAGAATTCTTGGAATCAGATAATATTTCATAATCGACACTATTCATCAAGAAGACCAGACTCCATCAAAGAATCCTCAATTGTAATGCAAATTAGAAGGCAAGCAACTATGTAGTTGGTTTGGTGCAATTGGAGTTTTCTACCAGGTTCTTAAGCCAAAGAAATTTTGAATTCTATGCCCATTGAAAGGTCATCTGCCCTTTGGAAAGTAGAGATCCCAAAGTACTACATCGTCGTAGTTGTTCAGCAATATTTAACACAATGTGCTGTTTCTGAGACTCTTATACCTGGCCAAAGGCCTTTATTCTTCTTACTCATGAGGGCTATTCGGGTTATCGCCTTATGTTATCAGTGTCAATGGAACTCCACCACAACAATTGAACTCTCATTTGAAAGCATAAATGGTGATGTTCTCAGTAACATCAACCTTACTGCACAAATCACTCACACACATTTCCCGAGTTATCACAACCTTCTCTTTTACTAAGTATCATCACTTCAGGTATTACGTAAGCTGTTACCAACCCACATCTCTCAATAGTGAATACACCACCATCCTATCCAAAGATGCAAAATGGTGATGATAGACCCCAGCACCCGTCGGAATTGAAGAAAGGCGAGGTAAATCCGTACATTCCAAAGTACATCGCCGCCAAGCCGTGGTATCAAGGCGGAACCACCGACAAAGAGGATGATTACCTTGCTCATCAAAGGAAGAACCCCGAAGAGATCATCGACTATAGTGAAGCCAAGGCAGGGCAAGGAATCCAAGATGAGTTCGATGGCAATGGTGAAGTCAGAGTCAAGAAGAATGAGGACTATGTGTCCAAAAGAGACCGTTGGTATGGATATGAACTGAAACAATGGGAGTCCGTATTGGCAAACTGGGAAGACATGAACAGGAAAAGGCGCAAGAAGCAGCAGCAAAAGGGAGGAGAGAGCTATGACTCGGATGACACTGACTATGAGTTGGAGTTGGTGGAATTGGGGTTGGATCGCAAAGACTTACGTACCAGCATCAAGGAAGACCCGTTAGAACAAACCATTCGTGACCGACAAGATGTACCTTCGTACATCTACAACATCACAAGCAACCCTGGAAACAAGATACGCATCGAATACGATCCCAAGTCGAGGTTGGCCAAGGACTTGACCAAGGGCTTCTTGAATGATGACACCGAGTTTGTCAGGAAACAGGCAGATGATGGCATCAGTTTGACGGAAGTGCAGCGATTTGCATGGGAGGAGGACAACAAGAAGAAGAAGCAAGCACGGGCAGATGTTGGTGGTGGGGACGAAGTTCCCGAGGCCAATCCTGATTTCAATGTTGAGGCCAGTCCTACGTTGATGATGCTCAAAGCAAAACAGCACAAGGATAACCTCTTGATGGAGGCCAGCTTGAAGAAGCAGGCATTGAAGGACAAGTATGGAATCGCCAATGCACCAGAAAGGTCGCTGGTCAAGGAGATCGGCATCGACCAAACTCCCATTTCAGACAATGATCACAACGGATTAAAACGTACCATCTATGCCGAGGACAAGTACGACTTGAACCATACTGCCGTGTTTGGGAGCTATTATGAAGATGGAAAATGGGGCTATAAGTGCTGCAGACAGACGATTCGAAACGTGTTCTGTAATAAGAATGAATAGTCGATGAACTCCAAGGAGACGAAGACTGGAGGAGTAACTCAAAAATTCGACATAGGCACCAGAATATTAACACAATTGAAGGTCCAATATGTCTGGAATTCTCAAAGAGCTGAAGGTCGAAAAGCTTCTGCACATCCACTTCGGTGTCCCTCGAGGAGGCAAGCGACCTCNTATCCTTCTCTTGTTTGAGTTGTTCATGACCGGGTGATAGTATAAGGGCAATCTTCTCAGATACTAATATTTATGATCTGAGGTGTTGCTAAGAGGTACTCAACATGTTAGAGCTGCCAGAATTTCCTTGATCCAAATCATTTTTGGAATCGAATATCCAAATGATCCCAGTTATGACTCGACGGGTGCCAAATTCCTGGATTTCCACCCAAAATCGGAGGACACCACTGGAGTTCTGACTCCATTCCAGAAACTATAGAAGCTGAATTTGATGCAACAAGTTCCACTGGTAGTATCTCCAGTACCAGACCAACAGCGATCATGAGTAGCTTGACTCCCTGTGGGAATTCGTGCAAGAGGTTCCCTCATGAGACTGCTGGGAGAAGCCATAAATGAATGCAACGAGATTGTTCCAAACCTGTTGAACCACGATGCCTAGTTCAATTATCGTCAAACCCCTCCAAGGCCATGCTTCCTTCATCGGCTCAGCGAGCCGCCAGGTCTTATCCGTATACATAGAGCTACATGTTGCGGTTCTTCACGTGCTTCATCCATTTTACTATCAGCTTGTCAGCAAATGAATTCCACCGCAGCTGTTGCTACAGGGTCTCCTGTCATTAACGCCTAATTGAGCTTCAAGTGGCTGTTCCAAAACATGGCTGGTACAAGGACCAACTTCTGGTCTGCTTTTGCAGCAAAAATTAGTGGCAAACTTCGCAGTGTTTCTCATAATTGTACGGCTATTACTTCCACTCTACTAATGATAAGTACACTGACCCCGCCTGTTCGTGTCAAATCCCTCCTAGACTACTGCTGCCTCCACCACTCAGAGTCGTCTCCATCACTCTACAGACCGAACTCATGGAGTTTGGAATCGCTAGTGCTAGTGGGCCTACGCGCTGCCACTACGGCGTACCGCCTTAGGACCAAGACGAGCAAAAGGAACTATTAAAGGGAAAATGGCGCTAAACTAGCAAATGGCGCCAATGCCGGTACCAAGTAGCTCTATCGATGGGCAGAGGGACCACCCTGGTACCAAACGGCACTATGAATCACTTACCCGGTCACCGCGAACTGGCTAGAGTATGGCAGCAGGGATGTTTCGGACTACCATTGGACTGGACATGGTGCTACACTTCGATAGCATGTTACAAGTCCTCACACACCAGATCACCCTTTTCCCCACCAGTCTACCCCTTCACGACCACCCACCTCGATCCATCTCAGCCGTGCCCACGTGATGGGGCGCTACACTCGCACGAGGCCCACGGGGCCTGTCTCGTGAGACTCAGGAAAATAGATCCACATGGGCTACCCAGTTACATGCAGGTAGGCCATCCCATTCAAACACCTCCACAGTGCATGCCAGTGTCTACCAAGAACTGCGTCGCCCAGGCCAGGCTTCCCGATCGGGGCTGGCCACGTGAAATGCCCCAGTTAGCCAAGCACTAACTGCAGCCCCAAGCCCCGCAGCCCGCCCGTGCCCTCGCTATCTAATCAATTTGTCACACGTGGGACAGTGCCACAAAATCGCCTAATACTATCGGCTGCCAGCTGTACCACCCCCAACCACCCACATGTCGTGTGACACATGGCCAGGCACGTTTATTTTTACGTCAATTGATCGAACGTGGGTGGTGTGTATATATTATGCACGTTTGCCGGTAGCAGCAGGCACCACCCAACCATGACCATCTTACCCAACCCTCCGGTCCTTAAGACCACCATCATCCAGCTCAACAAGGAGCTCGACTCCGATGACCACAACTACGAGATATTGACCAACGACTACTTGAGTGAGGCCAAGGACAAGGACGGCTTGGACATCATCGCCAACACCTCGTCGTCGCTCCTGCTGCAAAAGAAGAAGAGAAGAAGATCTCTGGCCAACGTGGACTCTGAAGAATTGGCCAAGCGCAAGCACGAGACAAAGCAGTTGCACTCCATCATCGAGAAGCGCCGGCGGATAAAAATCAACCGCGAGTTTGAGGCCTTGAAGTACCTCATCCCGGCATGCCGCTCCACCTCGCCAGTTTCCAACATCAACAGCCCCACCATTAAGCCCAACAACAAACAGTCTTCCACCTCCAACAACAATGGCAACAAGATCGATGGCATGTACAAGTTGACCATCTTGAAGGCTTCGGTGGAGTATATCCTCTACTTGCACCATGTGATTCAAAAACAGAACGAGTTGTTGCAGGGATCGCAGGACTCTCCCGAATTTGATCTTGGCTTTGCTAAGGTTCCTCTTGACGTCAACCAATATAGAAACATCGACAAGGAGTTCAACTTCAAGGACTTGTTGAACGAGATCGACACCTTCAACGAGTCGCCTTCCAGCGAGGAATCCCGCAAAAACTACGAGTTTGGCACCATCCACGAGGAAGCCGAAAACCACGAATTATCCCTGGTGGACGCTGAAGACGATCTGGAACTCCATCAACAGAAACAGAAGTCCAAGTCGTTGGATATCACTTCGGATCCCACTAGCCAGCTTCTCTCTCCAGAAATCACTCCCGACATGGCTCCCATACTAACCATGCTCAACAAATACTCATCGACGGTATCGTCGGAGGCTAGAAAGGCGTCGCTTCCAATTTCCCCTCACACCATATTACTCCACTCCAACGCAACCTCCCCCCTCACCAACCCCATCAAATCAGCGTTTTCCACTCCATTATTGTCTTCAAAGCTCAGCAAGAGCCAGAAACCGGGAGACAACAAGTTTTCGTTGCCAGACCCAGCCATAAACCTGTCTGCGCAAATCTGTGAGCCTCCGAAGAAAAAGCTTTTCAAATCCAAGCCTCTTAATACTACAATTGTGTTTGGCCACGAAAGCCGCACTCCTTCGAGTGAATACGAAGACACCAAATTATCTGATCAAGATGCCTCAAAGACTTTATTGGCGTTGAGAAAGTCCAGTATAGATAGTTTGCTTAATTAATGATGGGATGATGTTCAATTCTGCTAAGGTAATTGACTGGTCGAGTTACTGATATATGCTAATAAATGAGCTAGCGAGCTAGCACTTAATACGTTATAGTAGGCGAAGATGAGATGGTCGATAGTGCGGCACGTGCGATGCATCGCGTGATCCATCTGAGTGGTCTATTGGCACCCGTGGTGGCTCTGGCGGTTCTGTAGTGCTGGATCATGATCTGCCAGGTTCGGGAATATTACCCGTCATGGAATCAGTTCAAATAATGCTTGGAGCTAATTCAGTAATGCTTGGACCTGAAATTATTGCTCTGAATAAATTATTGCGGTTCATTCAACAATTCATTTTCCTTCAAGTACTCGATGTATTCGTCCATCACGCTGGGCCACGCTGCCATCTCGTCATAGTCCTTGAATCCAACGGGATCAGACACCACGATTTCCTTGAAGAACAAATAAAACATGGACCAGCTATCTTTAGAAAAGGCCCTGGTATACTCGTTGGAGACGAAGTCGTACCACTGCTGGGTTCGCTTGTTGATGTGCTCCACTGTATCTGTGTCAGCTCCACTCACGGATATCACTATGGGCAACAAGAGCTTCCAGTATTCTATGGCCAATTCGTAGTCCAACAACTTCTGGTTTTCCAACTCCATCAAGAAGCCAAAAGTGAAGTCGTACAACTTGTGGAAATCCTCGTCCCCGTCCTGGTCCTTGGTGCTGTGGATGGTGTTCTCGTGGAACGTCTTGATGTACTTGCTCATGCCAGGCAAGTCGGAGGCCTTTCCGTTCCATCTGGCGAGGAATTCGCTCTTCAAGAATACTCCCACGCTGGGGCTGTGGAGAAAGTATGCTAGTGTCAAGCTCAACGGATCTTCTGGTTCGATGCCCAAGTCCTCGAGGTACTGCAACGTGCCGTTGATGTCGATCTTGTCTGGGTCGCTGGCGTCCTTGTACTTATCAAAAATTGCGGCGATTTTGGGGTCTGGCTTGGCTCTGGACAGTTTCTTAGACGTGCTGGTGGCTGCGCTGAGGTATCCGTCGATAGCCTTGTTGAGGTTATACTCGTGGAGCTCCAAGTACTTGGTAGCCGTGGGCACATTTGTGTTTGTGATCTCCACGAACTGCTGTTGGAGGGTTGCTCTGGAGTATCTGGGCTGTGGCGTTAGTAAGTGATTCTGTATTCGGCGTGGCCGCTACTTACCATTGGTGGTGGTGGTGGTAGAGATAGTCAGAGCAGGTGGTGGTGGTAGAAGTCAGATCTGGATCTGGTGAATTGAAATCGGGTTGTGTGCAGGTCGCGATATCATCAGATCGCACTGCAATTTCTGGTGGTGGATGTTGTTGCACATCCGTACTTCAGCACTGAAAGGTCGTTCATTCTGCGGCAGACTGTCACTCATTGAGGTGGTTATTTGATTTCGGCTCGTCAGAACTATTTGGGGAAATCGTAGCGGTACTTCTAGACGCGGTTAGAGAAGATAGAACTATAAACAAGAACTATACCAGTACAGGAGTGGTACTAGAGAGATACTGGACGAAGACTCTGCTGACAAAGAGAAACAGGCAGAAACACCCCTGAACTGTCCTAACTCACTTACTAAACAAGATTTCTGGAAGCAGCCTCTGTGACTAGAGAGATACTTGAGCATTCTTCTGAACTGCCCTAACTACTCACTAGAGAAGTTCCTAGAAGCGTCACTGACTCTGGAAGATTATTGGAAGACACTCTCATCCATTATTGTGGGTGTTTGTTACTTCTCGTGGTAAAATTCAACCAATTGTCCTCATCACAATCCCAGTCACTGGTTACCTTAGGCTACTGTTATTGTTAGACAATTTCCTACTCAATTGCATCCTACATCAGAAGTGACACTAGTTGCTTAAGATATCCTGAATTACCAGGTCTCCATTGACATTCCAATTGCACCAATACACCAATTGATCCTGAGATTCACCTGCATCCTAACTATTTCCCATTGATCTTTCCTCGAACAAGAACTAGAGTCATTGCAATCGCACCATCAACATCCTCCTCGCCAGCTACCTAAAAACCATTTCCACAATCCAGCCATGTCCCTTCCCGCGAACGTCATCAACTCCATCCTCCCCAGGCCAACGCTTCAGGACCTTCCCCAGAACCAGTCAGACATTGACAATGACATCCACTACCTACTCAACTGGTTGAGTCCCTACTTCCCCAGCGATTTGGCAGCTCAAAGTAAGCAGAGGCACAACAGCTCGCACAAGTCCACCATAGCACCATCCCAGCGACTTCGCTCAGCCATCAGATCGTGCCTCAAGGACGACTCCAGCCAGCAGGAGTTCGTCAGGTTGTACATCAACTCTATCAATCGTGAATTCCATCGCTTCTTTTCCACCACCAGCCTTGACGATTTCGAATTCATGGACTACTACACGCTTATCCGCTTGGTTCTTGACTACTACAATGGATGCATTGCCCAGTTGCACCTAAGCCGTTTGGTGAAGAACTTGTTCCAGCGTAACTTGAACGCGTTGTTCCAGACCCATCTCATCGGAAGCCACTCTAACTCCCGCTTCTTGGGCTTGTTACGAGACTACTTGAGTAGTTGTCTCGTCACTCCCCTCTTGGAATCTCCCACCACGCACAAGAACTCACACAATCCCTCCAAGACCCTCATAGACGTCATCACCACTCTCTCGTCGCTAAATATGACCAACGAAGTCAACTACATCTTGATCCGACTCTCGATCCAGAAAATCCAGAAGTATGTGGCTCTCAACTGCTCGCGTGTTTGGGACGTCGCTTTGCTCCACCAAATCAGTCAGTTTATCCAAAGCGAAGTCTACTCCAATTTTTCAGTGATCGTTGCTTATTCCACCGACTCGGGCCTTGCAGACGAAATAAACAATGCTTACTTGTACGAGTTGATCAAAATAGCATACGATGAACTTGTGTCATTGAGAATCAAGGAGATATTCGAATTGGTTGTGAGTTTCCCATCCAGTAGGATTGCCCTCGATGAACTATACCAATGCTTACTGATCAAATATAACCACGACCACTACAATGATCGCAGTCATCATGACATAAGCCAAACCCACAACTTAATTAACGATGTAACGAACTTGACCAGTTTTGAAAATCTAGCAAATTATTCTCTCAAGACACAATCATACCAAAGATCCAAATTGGTGGAAACCTTCATAGACTTATCACATTCCCACCTACTCCACTCGGGTTCAAATACTATTGATGTGATAACAACCTACACCAAGACTATTAATTCCTTTTTGATCATAGACCCTAAGGGAGTTTTGCTCGACAAGGTAGTTCGTCCAATCAGACGGTACTTGAAGACCAGAGAAGATATTATAATCAAGCTTGTTCACGGTCTCTTGGATGAAAATGACGAAGCAAAATTAGGCTTAGCACGGGAATTGCGAGCTACTAAAAGGAATAAGTCTACTTACACAAGTGAATCTACGAACATTGAAGATGGTTTGGACCTTCATTGGATTCCTGATCCAATAGATGCATTGCCAGATTTTAAGAAAGGTAAGGTGAGTGATATTATTGAATCTTTGATATCGATCTTCGACTCAAAAGATATATTTATTGATGAGTTCACCAAGTTATTTGGAGAAAAGTTGTTGCAATTGCATAACTATGATGTTTCTGAGATTGAAGAACATTTGGACCTCCTCAAGACCAGATTTGGAAAGGGAGAATTCACCATGTTGGACATCATGATCAGAGATATCCAAGAAAGTAAAATCATTAACGAAATCTTACCGACCGGCTCTTCCAATCCTCGCTTTCACTCTTCAATATTGTCCCATCTTTATTGGACCAGTTTGGAAAGCAAAGAACTACGTGTTCCAGAACTTATCCAAAACAAGTTCGACGACTACAATAGTAAATTCTCCAAACTCAAAAGAGGCCGCAATTTGAAGTTTGTACCAAATCTAGGCTTGGTCAAATTGAACTTGAAGTTTAAGAATAGGACTATGTACTTTGAAGTCAGTCCGGACAAAGCAGCTGTGATATCACTATTTGATGAAGAGGAAAATGAGCTTTCAGTTGACTCCATTGCAAACAAGTTGAACATGAGCCAGTACGACGTTTCGAAATGCTTGAGTTTTTGGGTGGGTGAAAACGTGTTACTTGAGCTTACCAGAACGTTGTACATAATTAACGATGATGAAGAAGATATCCCGTTTGAGGAAACAGGAAACAGTATCCCATCTATTTCAGCCGCTTCGACAGAAAGTGTGGGCAATAAAGAACACGAGTTGATTGTTCTTTGGCCCCATTTGAATACAATTTTGGAGAATATAACTTCGTTGTCCTTTGAAAGAATAAAGAGCTTGTTGAAATTAACAGTTCCCAAAGAAAAGATGGATTTAACCACACTAAAGGACTCGCAACTTGAGGACTTTCTCGATTGGTTGGTGGATGAAAACAAGATCTTGCTTAGTGCTGGCACTTACAAATTAAAAAGGTAATCCCCCAAATCTTGCTAACTCTAAATAACGCACAATACAATTGTTGGTGAGAGTTTGATTCACCATTTTAGGTACTACTGTCCACTTCTCCGACCGATAACTAATCATTCTTATTCTTATGTAGTTCGTTCAATTATTTCTATAATCATACATACCTGTTCATTTCCCACTACTACTTGGCTTGGTAGCATCAACCTCTGCCTGTCTCTCAGAATACTCGGACGTGGGTTGCCATCTTCTTGGGGGCTTAACGTCGTCCAGAGTAATTCCTGGAATTTGGATGTTCCAATTTCTTTCGAGATGAAGCTGAAAATCTTTCAAGTCCACCTTGTCTACCTTACGATGCTTGGCAATCTTGCAAGCAAACCCAGTGACTGAGGAGACGAATTCATCTGCCAAGTCAAGCAACAAATCCTCAACATCGTTGTCTATAGTAGTCTTGCTGTCACCCTCTGTTGCACCTATGGTGTTGGCCAACTCCGCGAGTCTTCTCTTAGTGAGTACTCTTCCGGAATTATCTGGGATACTTGTGGGTGTTATATGAGAATATTCGTAGGGCATTCTAGTGATGGATGGGGAACTCAAGGAATAACCCAAGCTGCTCCCTATTCCGCCAGATAACACTGGTCTGCTTCCACCTATGAGGGGCTTGGTGGTGAGAGGGGACCCTCTCATTCCAGTCTGGATTGGTCCTGACAGTATACCTGTAGGGGTAGTACGAGTGAATCCAGATATGCTGGAAGGAATTCCCACGGGCTTTGGTTTGTTCAATGCGGCAGGAATCCCTGGCTTTGGTGCTGAGCCTAGACCGGATCCAGGGACACTCATTTGTGAAAAGTTAGGAGTGGAGTTTGTTCTCATTGCTTGTTTGTGTATGTCTTGTTGGGTTGCATCGACGTCTGTGTTCATCCTGCTTGCTGGCTTGGCTGCGTTCTGATGTATATCCTGGGTGGATCCTGGGGTGGGAGTAGACACTGGGGAGGAAGAGTTGCTTTTGCTTTGATTGGCCAAGTCGTTTTTGAAATATTGAGCGATCTTCTGGAACTGGGCCAACTTGGGCCTTAATTTGGCAATTTCCTTGTCTGCCGTTTCAATTTTTTGTTGATTGGTCTCTCCTACTTTGGATTCTTCCAATTGCTTTATGCTTTGAGCTAATTGCTCCAAGGTGGTCTTGACTTGGTTCAATTTCTGTACTGTGATTACTGAGCTCTTTCCGTTTCCATTGCCGTTGCCTCCTGCGGATGTTGTGTCGCTCAAAGGATTGGGCAGCTGTGATTGTATCTTTGGAGAATTCATCGCTGAGGGTTGTGCGCTTGGTACACCCGAATTCGTACCAGATGTGGGATCAATGGGGGATCCAACTTGCGATCCCTGCAGCTCTTGGCGGGCCTTTTGCTGTGCTTGATAATTGAGTAAAATCTGGTTGATTTTCTCCGCTTTGGCGTAGTGGACCTTTGCCTTTTCCTTGTCATTTCCAGCTGCTTTTGCAAGTTCCATTTCTTTTTTGAGGGCCTGGACCAACACACTGGCCTGGCTAGGCTGGATATTGATGACCTTGCCTTGCGACGACGAGCCAGTACTGCTATTGCCACTCATATCTGTGATAGTAAAGGAGTTGTTTATCCAGAAAATTTACGTGAATGAGAGTTGCGCATGTGACTTGGAGCACGTGAGCTACAATTTGGGGTGCAAAATTTACCAGTAGTTCTGAAGTACACGTATTGCAGCTATGAAAAGTACATTATCGGCTATTCTATAAACTAGGAAATTATTCAGCTTATACCCTTGTAAATTGGGGCTCGGAGAGGTCGTTTTTTCCACTTCATTATCTTAACATATATTAGGATAAGTCGCACATAAACGCTAGAATATTTAAAGCGTAATCTCTGTTGAATATGATTTTCTTTCTTAACTGATCCCAAATACATCAATGTTGGTGATCAGTACTACGATATTTTTACACTTTATGTCTTTATCTGAACCCAAGATATCTAGTTAGTGGCGTTAAGTCTTGAACTACTCTCCGTTTTATGAATTCCTTTCTTCCCAAATGTATTAATGCTAATCTGCTTTCCATTCATATCAATTTTTCAGTATTGTGAACAATCTCTCAATTTAGTATAATTTCCTTATCGGTTCCCATATAAATCAACATGATTTGTTCACATCGCTCTCTGTTCTATATTTTTTCCTCCCTTATCTGACTCTTTTAGTCCCGGGGTTTTCTGAGCCATTCTTGCACTGAATCTTAGATTTTGGTTTCCATCTAAATAGAATTCAGTTAGGATTTTTTTTCTCTATTCTCAATCACGATGATTAATCCTAATTATACATTTCAATACACATACGTGTTGTTACTCTATCTTCTCTATTTCTATAAATACAAAAATTACATGGCAAAGCATCTTTCCACGCTCTTCTCGTTATTTCCCCACCAATGCGGCATGTCGACCTGCTTACCCCACGAAAAGAGCAAAAAGATAAGAAGAATTGCTAAGTTGTAACCAGTGTCTAATGCAGCAGCAAGGATGTAATTGTACTTCTTCCACACGTCATGCCTGTATCTGAACCCCCAGAACATGGCAACCGTTCCGCCAATGAACTTGGAGAGATGACCCGTCGAAAGGTTACCGTAGAAGGTGCTCATGCTGGAGAAAAACACAGTGGTGTTCCACAAGTCAAAATTCATCCTGGAATTAGGATATTTCTTATGCAACATGAATAATGCGATGGGTGCAAAAAGTCCGAGCGCAAACCCATACGGAAGCAAAGGATAGCGCGAAAAGAGGATGGAAGGACCGAGCACCACGTATTGGATGGCGTTGGTGTGCATGGCCTGGATGCTTTGTCCTGTCCATTGGTGGAGAGGGTCGATCTTGGTTCCGTTCAAGTACTCTTTTTTGGTGCTCAACACCCATCGGAGCCCCAAGTAGTTGATAGGAACACCTATCAATTCGCCATATAACTGGGAGAAAAACACTGCCTTGGGAGGTATGTGGTTGTAGAATCCAAGCCTCATACAATGCAAATGGTGCTGGGCACGGTACCAGGCATTACCTGCCACAGAACCAAATACCAACGCTCCTGCTGGGTGCTTGTAGTGGTAGTTTTGGATCATGTAGCCGTATACCAACTCGTTGAAAGTCCCGATGGCCAATTGGAAGTTGGAAAGGGCGTAGAGCCACGCCAATGGTGTGACGATCACCGAGCCCATCATGAGAGCAACAAGCACACACCACCAAGGCATGAACATCTGGCCTGAAAGGAAGATGACCATCAACGTCATAAACGATATGGCAAACAACACCACGTACCACAGGCGAGGCACCTCTTCGTAGCAAGCATTCAACTTGTTGAGACGATCCGAGAACACGGTCTTGGTTTTAAAATTATTGTAGGAGACCCGGAACTTGTCGTAGCCAAAGAGAACCAACCACACAATGCCACTGACGTACGCTGCGTAGTCAAAGAACATGTTCCAGGCTCTTTGGGCCCCCAAATTTACGGGTCCATAGTGTTGGTAGGCGGTGGTGTTCAAGGTCAAATTGGCCGTGAGGAGCTCGTCCACAGGGTACCGTGTTCCGTTGGAAAGGAAGAGGCTGTTTGACATCAATCCGTGCTCAAAAGTGCCCAAATTGCCCCATTTGACGAGAGGAATCATAATCCATGCTCCCAAAACGAAAGCCACGAACTTGATCACCTGGATCCAGTACGGATATAACATGATAGACGAGGTTATGTTGGCCCAGTCGAGCGAGAGATTCAACACCCCCATGCCTCCCATACCAGAGCCGATAAAATTGACTGTTTCGTTGTAGGGTGCCATCCAGCACAACACTGCCAACGACGAGGTGAGTGGGAAGAGAAACTCGGGGAAAAACTGCCACATGGTGATTCCTGTCATAACCATGAAGAATACACGCATCTGTCTGGAGCCGTCTCTCGAGTCAGTATCGGACTTTGCCTGGGTCTGGAAAAGGGCAGTTTGCATTAAGGCACCAGGCCAGGGAAGCTGAGGATCGTAGAGCAAGAAGCCTTTGGCAATGGCTGCATACGAGTACCCTACAAACACAATTGAAAGCATGAACAGAATGGCAGTGGCTGGATGGACTGTTTCGTCGAAGTACAACTCAGCCAAAGACACTGCGTTGGTAGCCAAATTGCCCGTAGCACCACTGTTGGCAGTGATGGTGACCATGACAGTTTCCTTGATGGACCAGGGACCAGGATTGAGGTCGAAACCGAAGCCAAAAGCCTCGACTCTTCTGTGAGGAAGCACTTTTGCAAGCCATTTTCCGAGCCAATGGCAGGCAATTTGCACAAAGAAAATGGAGTAGGCAGCAGAGGTGGTGCGGTACGAGTTGATGGTGTCGATGAGAGCTCCAGGGATGATGAACAACGTGGAGAGAAGCACGTAACGAAAGGTGAACACCTGGATAGACGGGTCATCCGTCAAGTCCACGGTTTCCTGAATGATTTTGGGGAGCACCAGCACATCTGAAGGGACCTGGTCGTTACTGGGTCCAATCGATCCGTAGGAGCCTCTCGAGGAGTCGGAATCAAGAAGGGCATCGGACTTTGGGTCCTGTTTGGTGCCCATGATTCGTAGTTTGGAGACTGAATGTACGGAAACCAGGGGGATTGAAGTCTAGCAGGAAGAGTTAGGGGTACAGGCTGTGGCTGGAAGCACCGATACGTGGTCAGGACGATCTACACGGGGCTGCATGGGATGGAGTGCCGTTCGGGGTTACAGTGGTGGGTCCAGTTGATGCCGTAGCACGTGATAACATTAGTAATCGGATGACATGAGCACTGCACCGAAGAATCTAAACCAGATTTGGATGGTCGTGTTGCAGATCCCAGGACAATAGTAGGAATTAAATGGTCATGGTATGGGACATTGTAATGTACCCCAACGCTGCATACCGTGATCGTAAATAGATACTAATTACCATTAATAATAAACCAGATAAAGATTATTCAAAATTATAGCTGGCCATGGCTTGAGCCTAAATTAGGAACGGCAATAATTACAATGAATTTGCTCTATAAAAAATTGTGATTGTAATTAAAAAGTTTACGGATATATGATCTCAATTTTGGTGATTTTAAATTATTTGATAGACATAGTTCTTCTAGCTAATGGAAAATACAATGTTATAGAATCAATTCTTCTAATCTAGTCTCAGTGGAGTCTCTAATTGTGTTAATTTCATGGCATAGCTCTCATGAAAAGACAATGCAACAAACCAATTTTGGAATATAGATTATGGTAACTGTGAATAAAACGACACTCTTATTGTACGACAATAGAGAGTGGATACTAGACCGCAATAAAAGATCTCGATTTTCACTATTTATTGCAGGCATTGCACATATGCACAGTTACTCTAGAGCAGTACTCCCATCGTTAGGTTGCAAATGCGGTATTCCTAGATAGGTGTCCTAATCATGGCAAATGTCGAATAACAATTTTGCTGGAAGATTCCCTTCGTTTGGCAATGATTCATGGGTTTTTTTTCAATACAACAAAACGATAGCACCAGAACTAGTAGTTGTTCGTAACACAAATGGTTATTCGGTGGCACTGATCTATCAAAAATTATGTTTGTCACTAGCGACGAGAATACATACATTTTGGCAGTCATTCATTGCAAAGAGGTTTTTCCATTTGCACCCAGTATGGCCCGTCAGTGTCGGAGACATCTGTTTTGATCTTGTCGTAATTGTGCTATTGCTAGTATTTTCGCAGCCATGTCATTGTCTGGGTTGCTTATGCCCATTGCAGTAATCGCTTAACTGGTCTCCTATTCGTCAAATATCCCATCTACCGTACATTGTGAACTGTGATACTATTCGTGCAATATTTATTTTGTAATCTATCTACGTTTCTTCTCTCTATACGTTCAATGCCCGCTCCACAATCCGCAACACGTCCTGGTTGGCCTCCAAATGGGGCTGCGACAACTTCTCGTCAATGAACCCGTCTAGAAGCTTCCGCAACCGCTTGATAAGCACGGCATTCTTGCACCAGGTCCTCACAGGCAACCACCGGTCCACCACCACGCCAGGGCACGATTTGGTTGCAACCAAGTCATACTCAATGTCGCCTCCGAAGAGCAAGGTGGCAAGCGTAGAGGTAGGAGTCACCTCCCGGAGGTAAAACTTATCAGTATGGTTGGAGTCTCGGTACACCATGAAGGGAGCCTTGGCTGCAAGATCGGTCTTCTTGGTCTGGGGGGTGAGGTCGTACAACTTGCGAGCAGCTTCATAGTCGATTTCGCCATTTTCGTCAGTTACCCTATCAAGAATGTCCTGGCTGAAGGAGGCATCGACCTCCTTGCTGGAGAAGTTGACAGATGATGGGTGCATGAATGCACGGGTGGCAGGATACTGGTCCTGGTCTCCCACCTTGTAGCTGTCATTTCGCAACCAATACTTATTTTTTTTTGCATCCGGATCCACAGCAACAGCACCAGCCAACGACTTAAAGAACTTGGGGTCCGGAAACTGCACCTGTGCAATCTGGGGATAGTAGGCCCCGGTGATAATCGAGCGGATGATCACGTAGTTGGTGTTGTTTCTGTTGAGGGCAGGGTCGTTCTTGTATCCGGTGGGCACAAAACCAAGGTCCTGGAGGATGGATATGTACTGCATCCGTGTGGACTTGATTTCCTTGATGGTCAAGTACGACAAGCAGTTTTCCTGCAAAAACTTCTTTGAGTTTCCTGACTGTTCATATTCGTTGAATGCGTTAACCATGGCTATCAAATCACCATTGCCTGCTGAAAATTTACTCTTAATCTGCTTGATCCGGTCCCTCATTTCGAAATTGTTCATGATAGGCGAACCAGTCGAACTGATGGCTGCCAACGTAAGACAGGTGTCCAAACAACCAAAAATGCATCCAAAAATCAATAGCTTTCCACTCTGAAGATCGGTGGGCAAAAACGACAAGTATTTACCAAGATGAGTCAACTGCTCGTGGTCCAAGGCCCCGATATCACTAAGGAACTTCTTGGACTTGCCAAGAGACGACAGGTCAGGAGCATCTAAGCCCTGATTCAAAAAGTTTTCCACGTTGCTAATACCCATCGATTTAACAATCAAGTACAAGTTTTCAAGTCTAGTTCTCTTGATTTCTGGAATGGGTTGTGCCAACATCAGGTCCTGGCTGTCTTTGGTGTACAAGTGGTAGCAGGTACCATTGGTGATACGACCAGATCTACCTCTCCTTTGCCCGATTTCTGCCTTGGAGCACCAGTTTTCCACCAACTTTGTAGTGTTGATCTTATTATCGAAGAAGATAGTTTTGGATCTACCAGAGTCTATGACCACAACACAATCTGGGATAGTGATCGAGGTTTCCGCAATATTGGTAGATACAACGATTTTCCGAGCACCGTTCTTGGGGCTTTGAAATACCTTCTTTTGATCACCCGACGACAATGCCGAATGCAAGGGAAGACACCAAGCTTCCTGGCTCTGTTTTCGGAAGAGATTCTCAATCTCCCGGATGCATCTATTGATCTCCATGATACCAGGAAGAAAAATAAGAATTGATCCCTTATCGCCAGACAGGGAAAGTGACGAATCTATTTTCAAACACAACCTGGCAACTAAGTCGTAATTCAAGTTACCCTTCTGGAAATAGGCTGAGGTTGCCTTTGGCCTAATAAGTTCACCATCTGAAGTCTGGACAGTGTAATCCAAGTCCTCAAGAATAGAATCTAGATAATGGTCTTCAATTGGAAACGTTCTACCCTCGATGTGAATGTGGTTCAAAGGTGTCTTGAAGAAATTTTTGAAGGTACTAATATCAATCGTTGCCGACATTAAAATGACCTTCAAATTTGGAAACTTATCTAAAATATTTTTCAAGATGATCAACAAGAAATCACTATCAATAGATCTTTCGTGGACTTCATCGATGAAAATGTATTCCAAATTCTCAAAGAGTGAAGCATCTTTGGAACCCGATGATAAGAAGGACTGTAACATCCTCAACAATACACCGGTGGTAACGAACGAAAGCCTGGTCACCTTAGACGTACGGTTCTCACCTCTGATGATATAACCAGTTTCTTTACCAACTTGATCAATTCTCTCATCTGAGATTCTTTCGGCCAACCCGATGGTGGAAATACGTCTTGGCTGCGTACAGATAATTCTAGACTCAAAGTTTCCGCTGGCATTCAACTCGTCGAGGATGAACTGCACAATTTGTGTGGACTTACCTGAACCTGTTTCACCAGTCACAAGTGTAACCTGGTTGGAATTGATCACAGAAACCAACTGGTCCTTCTTCGACCATGCAGGCAACTTGCTTCTTTGTGATAATGACTGCTTCATCTTGGAAGTGGCCAATCTTGAAGTGTATGATTTTTTGAGTTCTTCTATATCTTTTGGTAAAAGCTTATGCACCTTTGTCCCTGACTTCGCTTGCTTACCAGCCCTTTTTGATCCAGCGACTTTGCTCAAGATTTCTTTAGTGACTAATTCTTCACCGATCAATGGACCCGGATTATCTATGACTTTATGAATATTTTGCTCCAACCATTCTATTATGCAATAAATAAAGCAATCGCCAACAAACATGTTTTTGACTAGGTACTCTCCGACCTGCTTGATTATGGAAAGCTTGATGTAGTCGGCTAGCTTCTGGTTCACAGTATTAATGATGATCTGGAGGCCCGGCATATCGTTTGGGTATTGGGGACTTTTGAAAACTCTCAAGCTGAAGGTTCCTTTGGGTAGTTTTTCTGCATTCAAGGAAATATCTGCAACCTTCTGGTCGTATCCCTCGACAAATTGTACTTTGTTGGAACCAAGGAGCTCGATCCCTTCTATTTCTTGCACCCAAAGTTCATGTGAATCTGGGTCTTCGTTGTCAGTAATCTCATTTTCGTCTCCCAACAAGTCTCTGGTCAACTTGACACAAGTCTTGACTTCATCGTTGGCACATTCCTCCAACGTGCTCAAAATCTCATCCTCGTCTACTCCTGATTGTCTAAGTCGTTTCAAGAGATACTCCTGTTGGATGTTCTTGGAGATTTTGAGCAACACTCCCGAGTCTCTGTCTGTCTTGGCAAAACGACGGGGCAAGTCATCCTCGGGCAAGTGAAACAATAACCATTCAAGTGCATCGGTGAATGTCGAAGTATACTTGAATGCCTCTCTTATGTGAGACTCTCTGAACTCTAATTGAGTGAGAGTTTCCATAAACTGCTTGGAATCAGCCGAGGTCTCCAATGGGTTCCTCATCTCATCTTGTAAAATCCAGTCTATGTGCTTTCTGATGGAATGCTCGATGGACGTTCTGATGTCTGATGGGAAGTCTATAAAGGGAGCATTATCCCAAACTTTACGAGGGAACGAGGGAAGCTTGTCGAGATGTACAGGAGGAGCTGTTCTTGCTGGGGTTGCTGATGGCGCTTTTTTGGTCGAGATACTGATGGTAGGCTTCTTGATTTTCATTTCATTTTGCTGCTGGACTAGCTTTTCCTTGGCCAATTTCTCGGTTCTTTCTCTTTCCTCGAGTACCACCCCGAAAGGATTGGCATTGTAGATCCTGTCGTGCTTTTGCTTGTTCTCCTTCAAAACCAGCTGTCTTTCCTTCTCAAGATCCCCCCAATAGTCTGCAAACACCGAGGGCAAGACCATCTTCATGTTCTTGATGAAATTGATCCTGAACATAGCATAGGTCGCTCCAAAATGCCGGGCCTCGTTGGAGGTTTCTTTGGGGTTGTACAAGCCTAGATCGGGAGTCATTCTCACCACAATGTTCTCGTTGGTACGGGGATTGACCCAGCTAAGCCTCACGGTACACATGAGACCGGGACCCTTGCTTGACTTGTTGTTCCAGATATCGTACTCCACTCTGCCCCACTTCTGCTTCTGGGCATATTCGTTCAAAAGAGTAGCCGGTAACTTTCCAGTCCACCCGAAGTTATCACCAATGACTCTTCCTCTAGTAGGTTTCAGAGGGTCTGCGACAGGCTCCTCCGGCTTTACGGACTTCCTAGTCTTCTCCTTCTTGGGAGGCTCCTCAACACGCTTTGGTTTCTTCGCCATGGTAGTGGTTGTTAGATGGAGAGATTTGGTGATAGTTTAGAGTGCGACCGATTTCGAGATGCTGCGATGATGTCACAAATACGACTGAGGGTACTTCTGTGGACAGAGGGCCAGGAGATTAAAAAATGCGGTAATATGGCTGTTGGGATGTATGGAGTAATCTTCCACGTTCAGCTGTTTCTTTTAACGGTATATTTTGGTGAAAGGAGTACTAAATAGAAATTTGTCCACATACGTCAAAAATGAAGGCTTGAAAACAAAAAAATTACAAAAACGTTTAAAAAACGGTTGAATTTGAGAAGAAACAGAAGATCAATAACTTCCAGGTTTTATGCACGAATCAAAGTTTATCCCTGAACACAAGCCTTTCTGAGCGATTGTGTACTATATATCTTCCTTAAAGTGTTCATTGCATTAGATCTGGAAATAAATGTAGTCAACAAAAAGAACCGCCAATTATGATAATTTCTTCTTTTGACTTTAGGTACCTTTATTTGATTGAATCGCAGTCTTTAACAGTAATTATCTGGAAGTAACACCATCTGTTACTTAAATACGTGCTGTGCCAGTAGGAGTTCTTAATTAGATCCCTCGAAAACCAAATATTCGTATAATTCTTTACCACTCGACTCATCTGGCACCACCTTGAACTTTGTTCCTTGAGGTGCTTCGTAGTCTAAAAAAATGACATCTCTGAACTTCAACCGTTGGACCACATGCCCTTGAATCTCAAGAAAGCAAATAAATCGTAGTGAGGAGGCCGCATCTGGAACCACCTTGGTAAGTTGTATCCAAATCCACCTAGAGAACACTTCCCATATTTATTGTGGTTACCTCTGCAAAAATAGTGATAAAGTGACACTTTTCAGTTTAGGACAATAGTGTCAACTCATCCTTCTATTAAATTGGATACTGAACTGTTTGAAGAACTGGTAAGTCTAAGGCAGATAAATTCTACCTCCGATTCCAAACGAGTCAAATCATTCTGGCATTTGTTTGAATTCAGTTCTAGTATCTTTTTATGGGAAGTTGACTATTTTTCTGAGAACAAAGGATTATTGTACTTAACAGGCAAATCCTCGATACAAATTCAACACAGTATATAGTTACGTCCAAATCATTTTAATTCCCTGAGAGGATCCTATTGAAGTGAGGAGCAATACGAGCCAAGCATGGAAATAGGGACCAGTACTTCCTTTCGACTTTGGCCAGCGTTCTGCCGGAACATCCGGGAATAATTTGAGCAGCAAAATTCCAAATGCAGTCATGAAGACAATATATGCCGAATTTCACCTTAGTTCCAAAAGGTCTAACGCTCACGGTTGTTGGACACGTTAGCAGATAAAGACGGAATCCTACAAGGCAGGCTCACGTGGCTCTGGGTACTTTGTGCTTGAGCTAAAATTTCACGAACATCTGATTCCGATTACCAGCTAGAACCTAAAACGTACAAGCCTTGTTTGCTGCGGCTTGAACAACCATAAAGGACTGTACGGCTAATACGGCTAACAAGTGTTTGGTCGAAGGCGCGGCTTGTTGCGTCTAATAGAAATTTTAAGGTGGATGCGGCTGCAGCGGACAATTCGGATCTAATGCATGTGCCAGGTGGTAATGCTAAGATTTGTGAATAGGGGTCCCATTTTTACCTTTAAGCAAATGCAAGTTTATATTATTTAGACATTCAAAAATAAAAAGGAATTGACACGGACAGGAATTGAACCTGCAACCTTTCGATTTGGAGTCGAAAGCTCTACCATTGAGCCACCGCATCACCCTTAAAAAAAGAATTTTCCGCAATATATACACAGGATCAGTGTACTTGAAAAAAATTTGGGCAAAAAATTGTTCAAAAGTTTTTCCCTTGATGGATTTTTTCACATTTGAGTCTGCTGAGAGTTTTGCCTAAGTCTTCCTGAAGAAAGAGGTGTTGTATTAACCTCATTTTATTTTACAGACTAGACAAATCTTAATTCATAGAAAATCTTTTTGAAAATATAGTCAAATTTAGCACTTTATACAAATAGGAAAATAATTCCTTCTAGAACTAAATTGCGTTACAACATCTGTAACGTATTTCTGGGTCAATGCCGTGCTCGTGGCTCAATTCTCTGTGTGGTTAAAGCCGTTTGACACTAATTGGGTTCCGCCTAATCCGAATTACATGTAAATACTTCCCAAAATAGCCCACCCTATTCAGGGGTAGTGGATTGTAACGCTGTACTCAGAACTTGGCTTCTTAACCGATATTATTTTGTCACTCACATGGCTCAAAATACCTGAAATCTTTTACATGTGGAGGAGCGAAGGGACATGGGTGAGCATGAGATAAGGTTGGGGTTTTGGCAGGCTGTGGGGCATACAATGAATTCGTGAGTCCGAGGTCTCTCCTAACAGAGCGGGGCTGCGTCCAAGCTCGCCTGCGTTCGCATAGAAAATGTACATATCACTCTGTATAATTATTTTTGAGCAGTGAGGTTGAGTTGCGCCTGTGAATGTACAGATAGGTGCATAATTGACTCTGTTAGATTTCGTATCTAGCCCAGATTATATGTTGCATTAGGTGGGCATCCTAATGTGACATTTTAAGGTCTAACTTTTCAGACTTGCATTTTTGTGATGGAGTAGGTGGAGGGTACCACTGCAAAATATTGCTAGCCTTGCCCGCCTCATATCTCCACCAGGCGAATAAATACGGACAAACGATGCAACGGAAGCATCGGAATAGCCGCTTAATTTCGCAAGGCTGAAATGATGCATGGGCACGTCAATATTTTGCGCTGAAACCATGCATCACTCAGAAAATACGGCGTTATAGCCTCTCTAGGCATTACCGACATCTTAGAGCACCTGACATATCTGCGCGTGCTGGTTTAGCCGCAAGGCTGGGCCACTAAAGACATGGGGCTGCCTAGAAATAGTGCAGTTGTTGGTATTGCCAAATCGAATTTTTGCATTTTCAGGGTTCTTATCTGAATGCTAATGCAAGGCACAGTGGTGGACCTCGGATGGGAGAAGAGGGGTTGGGGTAGGCACTCGTAGGGGAAGGAGTGAAAAGCACCAAAAGGGGGTATAATTACAATTTCTGGCTCCTCTTTCAATAATTCTCCACCCTGTGACAGACAGCTTGGTCTAGCCTTGCAGCAGCCAGATGCAAATTCCGGGGTTCTAGAGCAAAGAACGCAAAGAAGCGAGGTACAAAAGTGCCACAATTGGACACCAGCACAGGCAGGGAGCACAAAGAACCAGACGTGCGATTCCGTATTTACGCGGTGACCATCCCCAAATAAAGTTCTCAGACAAGACCCCTTCCTAACCGGAAAGTCTCGGCCTTTGTTCCCAAACCGGCAGCCACCTCAGTTGCTAACGCTGTTTGCGAGGTTACGTCCGTAGTACGCCCGACTTCCACCCGTTTTGTTCACCTTATGGTGATCTAGCCGCTTCAATGGTGGTACCAGAGCCTGTCACGGCTTTGTGCAGGCCCTGCCTATATATATATGCTTTGCTCCCTCCGATTCGCCTCAGCCATTCTTACTAATCGAATCTGGCATCCATCGACTAGCCATTACTAATTATTATTCCTGACAGTTCTTTTTTCTCATCGCTGCCACTATAAACCCCCACAGCGATCCTGCCGCCAGAACGTTGATGGCTCACCAGAGAGGCACGCCACCATACCACTACCATGACCCACTCGCCCACCTCGGATCACAGCCACCACCACCACGGCTTGCACCACACCAAGAAGAAGCGGGTCGGCAAGGCCTGCGACTCGTGCCGTATCAAGAAGACCAAGTGTGATGGCAAAAAGCCTTGCAGTCGGTGTATTCTCGACAACAAGATCTGTGTGTTCACAGAAAAGAAGAAGCAGCGGGAGAAGAGCCACCCTGTGGGGTACGTGGAGCTCTTGGAGACACGCTTGGACATCTTGACCAAGGCGCTTGAGAAGTTGGTGGAGCTCAGCACGCCCCATCTCGAGTTCTTGCAGCAGTTGGTGGCCGAGCACGAGGCCAAACGGACGGGAGTAAAGCAGGAGGAAGAGTCGACGGACGAGCTCAGCGACTACGACCACACTGACGAGGACGACGAGGAGTCGACTGACGGCGAGGTGGCCAGTGACGGTGCAGTGCCCATCAACAAAGTGGTGGCGTACTTGATCAACCGCGAGGCCTTACTCTCGTCGTTGCCAGTGGAGTGGGAACGGGGCGCGCTCATTGCTGCAAACTTCTCCCGCAAGGATGTGGGTGCCAGTGCCCGCATGTTTGCCGAGCATAAGCTCAGCGTCCAGGACCAAGACCAGGAAGCTAGGAGCGGGCCCCGCGTGCTGCCGCCTGCGCGAGCATCGCTGAACTCCAGCTTGACAGAGGGGGTTCACAGCTTCGGTGGCATCTCCTTTATCAACTCCACCAACTCGTTCCTGTCGCAAGAACACGCCAGCGACTTCGACAGCGACTCCAACGCCAACCTTGCCGTCAAAACCGAGCCATCGTCACCCCCCTCGGTCGAAGGCTTCCATCGCAGAGCCAACTCGTTGTTCCTCCACTCCACCGCCAACGGATCCGCAACCCAGCTCAACCAGTCTATTACCCCATCCTCCCGCAGCAACAGCCTGGTGGCGTTGCTCACCTCCAAATTCGAGAGCCAAGGATTGACGTCGCCTGCAAGCTCGCCCCAAGACGTGGCTGCCGCAGGACGTCTGCTCATCCTGCGGAGAGCCAGCCAGCGCTCGAGCTCACCCTCTGCGATCAAGATCAAGAATAACGGCCATGTCCACAAACGTCCCCACGCATCGTGCCGCAATGACAGCTTCAAATCTGGAGTCGAGCTTTTGGCATCGCGCGGCCGCAGAGGCTCTAGCGTCAATGGCACCAACGGACAATACTTGATGATGAATCCAGGCGATTCATTGTACGACTCCAACGCACAAACATCCAGGGCGGGCATCATTGACAACATTGACAACATTGTGTCGCTCTCACCACAAACGTCCCGCAATCCAGACCCATTGTACGAGACCAAATATGACGATTTCGGAGGCTCCAGCATCGACGACTTTGGCACTACATTTCCCGAGCTTCCGCCTGACGGTTTCAGGATGGGCCAGGGGGTGCACTCGCCGTCGTCAATCTTTGAAAACCCGCTCCCCTTGGAGGTGTCTGCCGCGCCCTCGTCGGGAGGCTTGCTCGAGGAAGACGGGTTTGACTTCTTGAGCAACAGCCCCTACATGACCTAATTCTGCCACGATCACCACGATCACCTCCACCACCCCTGGGTTGCCCCTAATTTATGCCTGTAACATACTCTTACATAATGTATATTGACAATATACCGTTGATTTCCACTGACAAATCTGGTCCCGATAAGAAGGGGGAGGTGACTCTCCACTCGTACCACCACCCCTACTAACCCTCTGGCCGTGCAGCGGCGTTCTGCACTGCACGCATCCTATCTGATGATCTTAGGGGGTGCACCACCACCGGGCTGGGGGTGGGAGTGACCACTTGGCATCCGCTGATCACCCTGGTTCAAGGAAGGCACGTGACGCCACTGTGGTAGCGCCGCGTGGTGGTATTGCCGTAAACCAAGCACTCGGCCGAGAAACGAAGAGTTCCGGTCCGGTTTGTAATCGCCGGGGTCATCCAAACTCTCAGGGTCCAATAACGGCCAAAAACTAAAATCCGAGCGATATAATCGCGCGCTTCGTCCCCGGATCATTACCGGGACGCCCGACCTGGATCCTGAAATAGAGAGGTTCCGGACGTACCACCCCATAGAGCCGTTGCACAATGAGCTGGAGACTAGCCAGCCAGATTTGTGGCCACAATGCCAGGGCTGGATAGTATTCGACGGATGTCCACAAACGGCCGCTGCTGCTGCCAGCGCATCTTGGCATGGCTTGTGAACCAACAAAGGGCCATTTCCCTTCCAGGACAGTGGAGAGAGTACCGGGCACCACCGGAAGTAGCTGGAGTGGGGGTAATCGTAGTAGCTACTCTAAGAGATCGTTATTTCGTCATTAACGTGGTCCCTGCTCAAATTTAGCATACACCACTAAATCACAGAAACGGCTAAACAAACCCAAATTCCACGTCTAGATGCAAAACCCAAATGGAAACACCCAAAAAAATTAACCGCATGTGCTGGCGCCTGGCAATGAGTTCTACCCCTATGTGGCAGCGATGGTGGGGCATATCCAGAGTTTTCAAACCTAAAACAGGACAGAAGCATCTGCAATGCGATTTTATGTCACCTCTTGTAGTTTAATTGTCAGAGCCGTTCCGGATATAACTGGAACACTAGGTGGGGCGTAAGTTCAAAACGACAGCTGGGGGTCCTTTGGGACTCCAAGAGGGTCTGGGACGACTGGCGGGTCCATTGGTTGCGGCTCCATTGGTTGCGGCTCCATTGGTTGCGGCTCCATCTGACAGGACTCGTCCTAGAGCGCGATCTGCAATTACAATTGAATACGAGGCGTGCAGCGCACTAGGCAGTTACGAAACAAATCGCCCAAAACCCCACTGCGGGCAGGGGGTGCTGCTCGGCTGCTAAACCAGACTACCAGTGATATTTTCAGTCGGACTCTAGGTTGCGCCAGACTAGCACAGACAAAGGCTTCCATGCGGGCCGTGGGCTTCCATGACGGCCGCAGCCTGCATGCGGCGCTGGCACCCGTGTGCATTAGTGCATCTATGTAAGACCTAACCATATTGTTCTAGGGGGCCCAACTATGGGGCGTCGGTGCACTCCCAGTCGGTGGGATCGTAGGAGTCTGGCTGGTCGATGCCCGCGATTTCGTCAGGGGTCAACTCGAAGTCGTTGACCTCCAAGTTTTCCTTCAATCTGGAAGGCGTTTTGGACTTGGGCAACGGAATGTAGCCCTTGCTGAGCGACCACTTGACCAACACTTGCGCTGGCGACTTGCCGTACTTTTTGCACGCGGCTGCGAGCGCCAGCCCAGGCTCAGGTGCTGCCAAACGGTTGCCGTGGGTGAGAGGAGCGTACGCTTCCACATGGATGCCCTGGGCCAAGCACCATTGGGCCAATTCTGTGCGCATCACCCAGGGACTGATTTCGATCTGGTTGACCGCCGGTGGATGTGTCAAGCCCGACCACTGCAAGAGCTCTTCCACATGGTGACGCCCGTAGTTGGACACCCCCACGGAGCGCACGTGACCGGCCTCTACTGCCTCCTGTAACACTGCGTAGCTCTCTAGCCGTTTCTTGGTTCCCGGAAGTGGCGAGTGGAGCAACAACAAGTCGATGTACTCGAGGTTGCCGATCTTGGCCACCATGTCTTTTACGGCTTTCCTGGTGCCTGCAGTACCTTGCTGCAGGTCCCATACCTTAGTGGTGTAGAAAAACTCCAGTCTTTTGGCTCCAGGATGGTCCTGAAGGTACTTGGAAATCCCCTGGGCCACCTCTGCCTCGTTGTGGTAGAGAACAGCCGTATCGAAGTGACGGTAGCCGAGCTTACATGCCTCGTAGACAATGGAGCTGGTCTGGGCCGGAGGGAGGTTGTAGCAGCCCATGCCCACTGAAGGGATTGAGTAGCCTGAGTTGAGCTTGATGAGACGGAGCGACATCGTTGGGTGGCAAGGATGTCGATCTTGGGGTTATATATATTGGGTCGTGTGCTGGTAATAAGACTCTGTGCAAGTCACGAGTGCATATAAGCCGGGGTTTGGGTTATGTGCAGGCTAGTAGTGCACCCAGGCTAGCAACGATAGCCCAGGTGCAGGATGGCCACGGTTGCGATAAGCAATTGACAGGAAGAGTGTATTGCGGTATGGGTATGGTAGAGGCGTAGCAAGTGACAGGACTACTGCGGTATGGGTGTACTTGAAGGCGTAGCAAGCGATTGCTGCCAGCGTTGTTGCAATCGCATTGTTCAGAACCAGCTAATAGGTAAACCAGCCAATGATGATCTCAAAAATCACATACTTAGTTTAGAATAGCCTTACTACGAAATTGGCATCCGGAAAAGGAGTGGTGAATTATGTATCAAGCAGTATGCTTACTTCCGAATTCCTAATAATAAATACGATTTAAAGTATGGCTATAGTTCTAATTTGCAACTTCTGTATTAATCTCTGAATTTTTCAGAACTAATACTAATCAAACATCCTTTTAGTTCTATGGGTAGAATATGAAGGGAGACGCAATAACAAGTCATACCAACCTAACTTAATTGCGCAGACTCATCAAAAGTATAACTGAAAGTATAATAAGAAAGGCACTTTACTCCAATTAATATTTTGTGTGCTTTCAAAACCGCCAATTCAAAATTCGAGTATGATGATATAGTAGACTTTGTACTATGAGTGTGATGGGCGAAGGTTGTATCATTTCGCATTTTAAGAGCAGTACGTTAAGTTTTGAAATAGTGTGAGACTTTGAACGCATCCACTTTTTGCTTTGATAAGATGAGTACTCTCGTCGTAAATAGAATGAAAATTGCTTGAGCTGTATTTGGGCCAAAATTACAGACCCATTTCCTTGATAATTGCGTTGGAAAGGATCATAATTGGTGCAAATTTGATCCAGAACTTTTTGCACCAAAATCTCACTCAGTTATTCTGTATTCAATGCCCAAGCTAGCTTTTAAAACCACCACATAAATTACTAACATAAAATAATTAGTCATGAAGGGTTACCATAGGAATTCAGATAATTTATTCAGAACCAACAATACGTACATCGGGAACATGGACAAGAGGAACAAAATAATGCCAAGGCTCAATTTATATGGGCCGATAATGTTGGCTAGACCAAGTGATAGAGGTATAGAAGGATGTGCAGAGGAGCTGATAGTGCCTGAAATCTTCAACAGCTAACAAGGCATACCGTTTCTAGCCTTCAAATTTGCATCCTTTGAGTATCCTGAACCAGCACAGAAAAGGTATATTCGAAACCACCATGGTGATTTTCCAAGAATGGGTGCCATAGTATGGTTTTTTTAGAGTAGCAAGCCCATTGAAGATCCAGCTTTCCATTTACTTATATTATTCAGAACCACGAAGAATGTTGTTCAGAACAACTTTACGAAACCCACGACCGGTGCCGTAGGTGTGATGAGTAGAAATTGTAACACTCAAAATGACTCGAGTGTTCCCATTTGCATCCTCTATATGAACCATCATATACATGTAATTATACTGGTGAAGGAGACCTCCAGGAAATTAGAGTCCTGAGATGGAATTACACAATTTGGCCATAGGTAGCCATGGTTTACTATATTACGTGTTCTATGAATACAAATGTAGCTGGCCCGGCGTTCCATTCATTTTTGTCCTATTGTTCAGAACAACCACCTAATCAATGTTCAATTTACTCATAAGTATTTTTTGGTTTTGCAGAAACACCACCTGAATAAATTATGAATAATCTCATGAGACTTAATTTAATTTATTCAGAACTACCTGCATTATACAAAATCTAGTCATAATTTCCACCTCCCCAGCAGTACAATACGTAGAACTCGTAGCACAACACCCACCGGTGCAATGCAACCCATTACAATCCTACCCAACATATTTCCGTATCTGTCCCAAAGCAATCTACCAACATCACCTGACAAGCAATTTCACCACCAAATCGCGCAAATCGGAACCCGGTGGCCCGCATCTGCCACCTAACCTGCCTGTAGCGCACTCACAAGGTCACCACAAACTTTTGTGCCACGCCAATCTCCGCTAACTGGCCAATAGGAACGCGCAAAATCATTCCGTTTGTCCCTGAGCGATTTTTGTGGTCACGCCAGCCTGCTTGCTATTGGTCCAGAGCTGGCCAGGCGGGCCGTATGCCAGCTGGAGGTGACCTGGGCCCTTTGTGTCAGGTCTGCGTTGCCATTTGGCCAATAGGAACGCGCGAAATCGGTCCGATTGCCCCTCCAACAGCCATTTTGGGCAATTGTGGGCCACTAACGCCATGGCCTGCTATTGGCCCAGAGCATTGCGGCACGGAGGCTCCCCCTGCACAGCACTGGCGTGACATTGCTCCGTGGCTGCCACCGTGGTGTGAGTTCGGTCTCGGAGTTCTCCCACCCTGGCGGTTTACAGGTTAGCCCGTGCCCACGCACCGACCGACAATTTTCACATTTTCACACCGACCCCGGGACTGGAGCAAAGGAACCCTTTGGCCCGGAGCCGACCGGCAAAAACCCGTGGTCCGTGGCCAATGGCCTCCCCCACAGTATGGGCCCGCTCCACCACTCTCCCACCACCCCCAGCCCGCCGCTAACCGCCGGGACTCCCCCACAATGCCCCTGACCCTGCCCTAAGGCCACGTCCCTGGTGCAGCAAACCTGCAAAATCCCTGGCGTCTCTCCGACTGCAGAATGGACTCCTGCCCCCCGGCAGCCAGTATAAATAGCTGCGATCCGCCACCCTGGCGCCAGATTTTTTCTCTCCATCCCCCCATATTATAATAATTTAAACATGGCTATCAAGATTGGTATTAACGGTTTCGGCCGTATCGGACGTTTGGTGTTGAGAATCGCTTTGCAAAGAAAGGACATTGAGGTTGTCGCCATCAATGACCCATTCATTGCTCCAGACTACGCCTCCTACATGTTCAAGTACGACTCCACCCACGGTAGATACGCTGGTGAAGTCAAGTCCGAAGGTGACTCCTTGGTCATTGACGGCCACGCCATCAAGGTCTTCGGTGAAAGAGACCCAGCCACCATCCCATGGGGTAAGTCTGGTGTCGAGTACGTCATCGAATCCACCGGTGTCTTCACCACCCTCGAGGGTGCCCAGAAGCACATTGACGGTGGTGCCAAGAAGGTCATCATCACTGCTCCTTCCTCTGACGCTCCAATGTTCGTTGTCGGTGTCAACGAAGACAAGTACACTCCAGACTTGAACATTGTCTCCAACGCCTCCTGTACCACCAACTGTTTGGCTCCATTGGCCAAGGTTATCAACGACACCTTCGGTATTGAAGAAGGTTTGATGACCACCGTCCACTCCATCACCGCCACCCAAAAGACTGTCGATGGTCCATCCCACAAGGACTGGAGAGGTGGTAGAACCGCTTCTGGTAACATCATCCCATCCTCCACTGGTGCTGCCAAGGCCGTCGGTAAGGTTATCCCAGAATTGAACGGTAAGTTGACCGGTATGTCTTTGAGAGTCCCAACCGTCGACGTCTCCGTTGTTGACTTGACTGTCAGATTGAAGAAGTCTGCCACCTACGAAGAAATCTCCGAAGCCATCAAGTCTGCCTCCAACGGTGCCTTGAAGGGTGTTTTGGGTTACACCGAAGACGCTGTCGTCTCCACCGATTTCTTGGGTTCTTCTTACTCTTCCATCTTTGACCAAAAGGCCGGTATCTTGTTGTCCCCAACCTTCGTCAAGTTGATCTCTTGGTACGATAACGAATTCGGTTACTCCACCAGAGTTGTTGACTTGTTGGAACACGTTGCTAAGGCTTCTAAATAACTATCCACCAAATTATGAGTCTCCCCGGAAACTTGTAATTTGAACTAGAGCCGAAGCAAATCCTTATATATGATTAATGAGATGCTTGACTTGGCTAACGCCAAGTAGTAGTTTTGCTTTTACTAGTGTAGCAAGCTTCAAACGCTTTTCCTTATAATCGAGTCACGTGACCTGTCACGTGTTCTTGATCTCTCTTCATAACATCAACAACTACTTGCTTGTTCCTCCTCCTTCTCCAAGCCATGGACCCAGACGACTCAGTCGACCTCTTCCTCAACCAGTCGTTCAAGCTCCACAAAACGAACCAGCTCCTCCCGCTGCTCTCTCCCCATCAGCTCGAGTACCTCAAAGTCAACCTTGCACAACACCTCTACGACGACTACTGTGCTAGTATACGCCACCAGGAGCTCATTCCACGCTACCACTCCATCCAGGATGTGTACAACCACCTTAAAGTGTCACAGGGCCTGCAGAATGCCCAGTACCAGATACAATATGTGGTGATACGATGTGGGACACTTCTCCCCAAACAGATTCTTATCTTCATCAACAGTGGCCAGAACAGTGCCAGCTACAACACAGTGGTGCTCAAACGTATCACAAGCTACAATGACGCGTATTTGTTGTCATTGTTGGAGAATATGGTGGGTTTGGAGGTGCCTATGGTGATTCGTGAGTACCGGCTCCAAGACAGGCACATCTTGGACATCACCAACCAGCTCTTGACTGGACTCGTGGCACGCCACGAGCAGCGTGTTCCTGGGCGTACCTCAGGTGTTTTGGAGCTGGCAGTTGGAGATATCGAGATCACCTACGGGATCTCAGACAAGGCCATCAACAAGAACCTCCGCGACATCACCGTGACGGTGCCCAGCACCGATCTCGACAAGTTCCAGGACGGTCCCGTGGTTTCTGAGATCCATGCGTTCATTCTCCGGACAACCACCTTGAATCTCGAAAATTTGGGCATCGTGAAGTTTGGCTCTGCATTGATCTCGTTGACGGTGGATGGACGTGTCAGGATTGGAGGCGACAGATTGCCGGACAACATCAAGCGTGAAAGTGTGTGGGGGGTGATGGAGAGCTTCATGGCACCGATTTCGGGCTCAGAAACGGCTTCGTGAGTGGGACTTACTACAGATGATGAAACCAATTTGGCCAACCTGAGTTGTGTTATTATGGATGTTCTAGCTGAAAATTGTGAATAAATATTACTATTGGCCTTCGTACTCGGTTTTAGCTCGAAATTCCAATAGCGTTTCGGAGGGTTTTATTCGCCAATGTGCTCAATTAATATAAATACATACTACGAAATTATGATACACGTTAATTTAAAACTAGACGCAGATGTCTTTACTACTATTCGATCAATTAGAACGCTTATCAATTAATTATGGCCCATCAGGGCCCAATTCCCATCAGTGCTCGCAAAGAGAGAAGTGCCTTTGGTAAGGAAGGAAATCATCGTCGACATGATCCATGGACCTTTCCTTCATCAAATCCTCTCTTGTATCCTTGGCTTCTTTCATGGTTTGTGGCCACTTTTTCTCGCCTTTAAGTTTGAGGATTGCTTCTTTCATCGAGTCCGAAATAGAATCCTTCAATTCATCATCTGCTCACCATTCCTCCTGCTGGGGAGGAACATCCTCGGTCGAAGCAGTTAGCGTGTCGTAGGGGTCCACTAAAAAGAAGCACAATATTTTCCTGTGGCCAGATTTCAGTTTATCTTTCAATTCAAACAGATCCACATGATGCTGGAAGAAGTTGGGAAATACCACAATCCGATCTTCCAATGCCTCAACACTTTCAAGCGGACCCAGGATTATGTCTTCATCTTTTAAGCCGTAGTATACTTCTAACCATGCCACGTCATCTTGAGCGTAATTAGGCTCATTGTACCCGGTTCTAAAACTTAAGGTCGAAGTAGTGATATTCTGAACATCATAGTAGTACAACACGGTTGCCACGATATTCTCGTTGATGGAGCCTTCGACGTGCCAGCTTCCTCCAGGATAGGTGGGGTTTTCGGGAGTTAACTCGATGTTGGCCATCTTCACGATGACCTTCAATTTACTAAATTGCTTGAGATCTACAGGATTCGTAGGCTTGGGGTCGTCGTCAAACGATACCTTCAAAGGCTTCAACCACTCACGTTGCCTGGCATGGTACAACTTTTCCATCTGTATGTAGTCAATCTTGTACCCTTCAATTTCCTTTTCTTTGGCCATTTCTTCTTTCTTCAAGATATCCCAATAATCTAGCACGCTGTCGGGATAGACATCACCAGGAACCTCTACCTTGGAGCGGTTTCCCGAGGCGTAGAAGGATAACGAAAAGTCCAAAGCAGGAACAGTAGCGTTGAAAACCTCGGCAATTGTGCTGTAGAGACCAGAAAATTTGACTGGGTGCAAATTATTGATGTACGAGCTGAATTGAAAATTTTTAGATTCGTCAAGCGTCATGGTGGCAGGTAACCATTGGTATTTCGTGGAAATTCCCCAACGTACACCCTGCTTCTTTTGCTCGATTGTATCCAGATATTCGGCGATAACTAATTCTCCATTGGCATCTTTGATTGGGGTGACTCCATACTGCAATGGGAACAACAGAGGATGTACCAAATCCACCACATTGGTGGTTCCCGGATGATAGTCGACCTCAGCAAAAGAGCTTGCCAACTCGTTGGCCTGAGATTGCAATTTCTGCTTGACTTCGGCACCTACCACCGATTCGCTTGCACTACTGGCAAGAATTTTCTCATCAGCACCGAGAGTATAACCACCAAGCGTGGACTCAGTGCGGTCGATCCAGTCCAATTCCTTAAACACGTAGTTGATAACGTCTTCGATGGTTCTAGTTTCGTCGCCAAACTGCTCGCGGAGCTCCTGTCTCCATTTTGAGGCAATGACATCATTAGTATATTTCAGTTTCCATTGGGGCTTGGTACGGATGGAGTAGCTTATGCGATTGATTAGCCTTTCTTCTATGGTCGGATAAGTGGGTCCATTGCCTATCCAGACTCCCCAGTATGGGTGTGGGAACGGCGACGTTGATGCTGGGGTACTTGGCATAATTTGGATCGTCTTTGTAAGTCGTTTTGGGGAGGGTTTCTGGTTAATTTATATGCCCCACTTTTAACTGATATTGCTCAGTTGGATGCGGAGATGGCATGTGGAAATTGAAGAAGTGGACTGATAGAGCAAAGAGTTTAATATTGGACAGGAACCTGAGGTATAAAGATTTACACGAGGCCCCTGCGTTTTGAAAAAAGTACGAATCTCTATATATAATTCCGCTGTCATGTGTGTCGTCTAAATTCGACGCAGGTACCTAATGGCAGAAAATACCTCTGCGAGAAAGCAACTGAAACTCTTCCCACAAATCAATTGGAAGCGTTCTAGAAGCAAAATAGGGCTGTTCTGAGCGTGGCAGGCTTATCGTGGCTGCTGAGAGCGTTTTTGGACAAGAGAGCGGAACCAATTACATATTTCCGTCTTGAGCGGAAGTATTCTGGCTGCATGCTTCCACCTCGAGTCGTCTATTGTACAAGTTCTATTGACAGCTCTTGTACTCACATATCATATTTCAACCATTGATTCACCACCTATTCAATGTCAGCTAAGATGTTTTACAAATAGTTCGTTTTAATATTGATATAAGAATACATAAATTTTACATCCACAACGTCTTGTTACATGACAATGATAACCATTCGAACAACACATTCATATTAGATACATAAAGGGAAAAAGTGATTCGTTTATGGTTCAATATCGTCATCTTCTCAAAAAAAAGAGCTGAAAATAAGCGCAGGTCACCGATACTCTGATTTTTGAACATGGAGTCCATGCTCATGAGAGTACTGTCATGGCTCCATATAGACTTTTTTGAGCACACATGTGTACTGTATGCCAATTCTTGCCGCCTGAATTATCTTCCTTCACGATCCTATAACAAATGGGGTTAACTGCAGTCAGCTTGGTATCACTCCATATTATTGAAACTTCAACAAATTTGACACAACTTTCACTGGTTCAAAGTGTCAGCTAGAATTGCAATATAGTTTAGTTTGATTTACTATACATATATTGCGCACCCAAACGGCTAAAATAATCACGGCTAAAATAATCTTTAGTTAGTCTCTACAATTGGGTAGAAAAATTCATAATTGAAATAATCATCTAAATTGGTGACTACGATTATGAAATTGAGAAGGCCGTGTATTTCAGTACTCAATGTCTGAAATTTTAGCCCAATGTACATACCAGAAGGCGTGATTAGTCCCTGTAAAAGCGTCATGCAGCTAGTTCTTCACTAAATTATCGCCCCTTTCATCATGGGTACATTTCATTGATTGCAAACTCTACGTGGTTTCTAATCTAGGAGGTATACATAAGCGTATATTGAACGATTCAGGTAATACAATCATCTTGCTTTTAGGACTTTTGGAAGGGGTGCTTGGTCAGATCATCCAAACTGTGCGAGTGGTGCTGATGTCGTCCATTGGGGTGTGAGTTGCAAAAATGACTGGCCCTGGAAATACGGGAAAAACTATACTACTGAGGTTTTACCAACCGCTCATAACGAGACAGATGGAAGTAATAACTGGACTGGTTCTATAGTTGACGATGAGAGTGAGCAAAAGGTTACCATTGGTGAACCCTGGACTCTCAAGAATTTCTTCTTGCTTACTACTTCAGGATATACTTTCGATGAGTATAATTTGTCAGATTATCCATTTCCTAATAACGCAAAGTGCACTCCTTATGCCAAGTTCATTCAATATTTTCCACTCAGATGGACCGAAGACGGCTACGAGTTTTCAGTAACCGTTCCGTACCTTATTAATACGGATACCTTTTTAGATCCATGTGCAGTAGCAGCTAACAAGAGCAACGTGAGAATCACTCCATTTGACGGTGGTTTTTCTTTTGAAAATGGATGGTTGACTAAAGAATACGAAAGTAAAGTATAGTTGTACTAACTCAAGGCCTGTTGAGCAAAACTTCCCAAGATTAGTGGTTGCTGCATGTAATAGCGAACAATAATGAGGTCATGACAGAAGCTACAATATCAAAGGAGTCTCTGACACTGGGATCCGAAATACTAGGGACTTTTTAGGGCAAAACTTTTTCACATATGTTAACTTATTGTATATTTGCTAACGGCATATACTACAATGATGCCGTTTGATGAAGCACGCACACGTGCGAATTAGAAAGTTCATGGACTATTGCAGAAAGCGTATCTGTAAGTTAAGCGTGAGTTTAATATTCTGAATCATAGATCACCAACCAAATATTTTGCTTTCTTTATTGTTCCATATCTTTGTTTATTCAATAAAAGAATGTACAAAGCACCCAAGCCATTACATAATGCTACTCAAAATTTTGACAGATTAATATTTCTAGTATACATTCTACTCAACGTCCTCCATTAGTTCCCTCAATCTCTTTTTCGACCTTATTTTCATTGGTTGCTTTAAAACTTGTCCTTTCTTGCCTTTACTGTTTAACTCGTAACGATCAAACCCAAGAAATCTATAATAATAGTCTTTAAAAGAAATGGAAACACTTTCTGGTCGATATAGTATTTGATACATCTCATCTTCATCAGTATACATGATGTGCACGACATCCTCAGTGACACGTTCAATCCTATTGTAGTTAGAAGTATCTTTTAACTCCTGAATAACATTTGACTTGAAGTTCCTAACTTCGTAATCCCCTTCAACGTATTTGATTTCATCTTCAATAATATACACTTTGTTACTGTATCCTCTTTTCTTCACGTAAATGTTCTCCTTATTCACAACAATGTAACAAGATGAGTACTCCATTTCATAGCCATTCGCTACAATTTCATAGATTTCTTCCTCATCTTGAACATTAATTTCAACTGTATTTTCATGCGATGTGCTTAGTTTACCATCAAGAATAAATATTCTTAGCGGACGCGAGCTAGATGTATTGTATTTCTCATATAATTCATCTGACATTTCGGCAACACCATGCTCTGTGCTCATATGCTGATCAATAAGCTCTAGTATATCGCCAGCCTTGACGAATTGTGTAGCATACCATTCAACATCTTCCTCTTCGTCTATCACCGCATGTCTATCAAAACCTTCACTTACTAATTGAGCTCGTATTTGTCCATCAGGAGTGATGACAACATAGAAATCTAAAATCTGATCCACCATATATCGTTTAATATCCGAAGTGGTTTCATAATGTACGTATTCAAAGAACTCTTCATCATCAAATGTGCTAAACTTATGATTGTTGTAGAAAACTACTATTCTATCCATTTTCAATGCTTGGTCTAATTATCCAACCTTGTTTGCAAGTTATTGCTTACTTTTTTGCTCAATTGATAGGTTGTATCTTCGTTGTATCCTTATAGCTTATCCAGTATATGATCACTCTTTAATTGATTCAATATAATTCTCGCGAACGGTCTGTTTTGTTTAGAGTGTTTTTAGAAAACATTCGAACCCTCGGCCCGGAACTTTTCGAAATACGGGTAGCTCGATTTTCGTAATAGGGGCCGGAACTTTTCATACTAAGGGCAGATTATTCATACCTCCAAAAAAATTGCCACCCTCTCCCCTGCCTACAAATTATTCGTGTAGCACATCTAGGGATTTGTGCTTTAATGTAATCGAATAAAACCAGACAAGCACCTCTCATAATTTCTCTTGCCTGCTCATCTAGAAGAATCGCTTTTCTCTACACAATTCCATATGCTCACCAGCATGTCTGCAAAATCCNTCATAGCTTTCAATAGAGATTTTACTTGTGGCATCTTTCACCTTTGGAGTTAATTGCTCCTTTTTACTTAGGTTAGAACGTTTTACTTTAGACTTGCAGACTGACCAAATTCTTCTATAGCATTTAATGCTGGAGAATAAGGGGGTAAATAGACTAGCTCCAATCCACTCAGAGCAACTAATAACTGTATATCACGGCGTTTATGGATAGCAGCATTATCAAGAATCAAGTATTTCATTTCCTTAAGTTCCTCATTCATTTCTATTTTCTTGATGACGCTTTTGATAAATGAACATATGTGATTTGCAGTAGTACCTCTAGCCACGGGTTGACTTACAGTAGAGTCTAACTTTCTCTTTTTATTGGCTGCGAGTTTGTTGGGGGCTCTTACCTTCAAATCAATACAGCCTTTAGANGAGATTGCACCGAGAAAAGAGACATTCAAACCTTGTGTAACAGGAAGAGTCACAACTGCCTTTTCACCCACAGCAGACCACCCATATTCTCGTCTCATACTAATATTGAATCCAGCTTCATCAATAAAAACACAATTTTTGTTGAAGTCAAGTTTGTCTTCAAATAACTCGGCCCATTCTTTTCTTTGGTTCATAAGATCCTCCGGGGTACGTCTGTGAGACCACTTTGAGATTCGCTTAAGACTGAATTTACATTCCTTAGTCATAAAGTTGTGTATTGTTGACATACAAGCTCTTGCATCTTCAAAACTACTCTTGAGGCTCAGTTCCATAAATTCCAAAGTCACAGTAGCATCTTCATGGATTAAATTCTTCAAATATTCTTTGTGACTATCCGTGAGGGCTGGCTTCGGACCACGCTTCTTTGGTTCCTCATAAATTCCATATAATTCCTTCAATACTTGCTTATTCCAATTTCTTTTCCATGTATAGGCGGTTTGCAAACAGATGTCATTCAATTTCGCAGCCCGATAAACCGAGCACCCTTGTTCAATAACCAAGTTCCAGAACCTTTCTCTAACTGCATCAGAATAATAGTTATATGGACCTCTCTTGAGTCCTACATGTTTAATATTTGCTGCATCGATATCATCCATTTCATAGTCCTCGTCATTCATTTCCATTTCTGATCCATTATTCGCAATCTCGGTGCTCAGAGCTGAATCCTTAATTCTTTTGAATTCACTAAAATCGAAACAATCCCCTAAAGAAGTCATCTCACATTCCAATGCCATCACTTCGGGCTCTAAAGGAAAACTATTTCCTAGACCATCCACGTACCTATCGTTAAATTTAACTGCATTAATATCCATGATTGATATATTCTAGTATATTTGTCAATCACATAGAGCATTATTTTTTGTCAGAATTCCGGTCNCTTCAGAAATTTTTACTTAGGAAGGAAAATGAAGAAATCCTTGTATGTTCGAACAATGTACATCTTCTACAGGGCTAACCGTTCGCTAGCACCAGTTTCATGATTACGGGAGGTATATTTTTAATTGAAGCTTAGTATGAAAAGTTCCGGCCCGTATTATGAAATTTGGCTTGCCCGTATTACGAACAATTCCGGGCCGAGGGTTCGAATGTACTTTGGAAACGCTGTACGTATCGGAATTTTCTTAGCCAAACCATATTATAGTTTCGGAGCTTTGAGATCTACCCTTATTTGTTGAGTCAACTCTCGGTAATCCACTTTGCAATACTCTTCATGGTCTTTTGCAATTCAACGTAACCAAAAGTGTTACGAATTGGATGGTTCTAGAATTTAAATAGTACCAAAAGGGTTAGCAAATTAAATCAGAGCGCAAACTGCCTCGGAAAGCTTCAAATCGTAACTGTTAAGTTTACTTTCCGAGGGTAGTAACCCTCGAAGTACTTCTATGAGATCGTTCCATAGAAGGGCTATTATGGATATTAAGGTCACCTTGGGGCCGTTCTTTATGCAACTTGAAGCAGTAAATCGACTAGCAGAGCCACCAATAATGTCCTGGAAGTGCAGAACTGGTGAACAATTCCTGGATCATCTGATGGTTCCCGAATAATCACATGATACTCCCGGACCATCCCTACTCTAACTTCGCAAACCTCCCGTCAAAACCCCCAGACGTGGCCGTTAGCATAATTGGATTCAAAGTATTTGTATTAAACAATTTGCTACTATTCTTACTTGAAGTAATTAAATGAAATTAACTAAAAAAAGGTTGATTGTAGAACTCACCAGGAAATGACAGGACAAATGTGGATAACCACTAATTGGGTGGATATGTTGAGGTGGATTCAGGGATGAATAGCACGAAATAAGATGATTGTGTTGGGGTGAATTCCTCCAATATAGAGGATGATAATGAACTGGTTTGTGAAGGTGATTGCGAGGAATTAATAGGAGGATGCGAGCCTACTAAAAGGTCAGGGGGTGAATTTTGTTCATACCCAGCTAGTACTCATATTATCAATTCTTTATTGAGCTTATGAAAATATACCACGACTATTTATCGGTAACTCCAGTCTAGAAATCAATTCAACATCCTTGTCTACACTGTACCTTTAGCAAAGCTAACAGGCTAACCCTAGTATTTAAAAATATTATCTAAATCAATAAACGGTACTGTAATCTACCTTCCTCCATGCTCTATTCTTGCGAGCTAATACCTGTTAACTTGCCGGTTTTCCTCGATATATAGTTGCATTAATGAGGATTTAAACCTGCTAACCATCCTCAACATATTCCATTCGTAAGAATTTATACCTGTTGCCCATAGTTGCACTTGAGAATATATACCTGTTGGTACTGCTCATCGAACTTCTTCCACAAAGCTCCATTCATGTAAGTATTCTGCATAAATTTAGACTGCAAAGGTAGGATCAAGAAATGTTCTACTACAAGAAAATAATATAACCATACCTGTTGGATAACCATAGTGTTGATTTCCTCCGGTATTTCCATTCAGGAGAGTGTGTTCATGCCTGTTGATACTGCTCTAACTCCCTCCTAGTATCAGTTCCTATACAGGCTTCCCTCCACTTCTACACATATCACCGCGTTCGGTGCAGCACGCGTGCGTGGCCAAAAAAACACGTAGCACTTGAAAAACTCACCACTAATTTCTCCAAAACACCATCCACCATGTCTGATTTCGAATCTCTGACGCTTCGGAGAAGAGGCAAGGAGCCCAGCGACGTCCACCTTGACGTCGATGCCGACGACGACGCAGAAAAACGCGTTCAGTACGACGAAGCCAAGGAGTTTGTGGACTCACTCCGTCGCCTTGAGGCCATCTTGGCTCCATTGGCGTTCACAATCCTCTCGTTCTTCGTCAGATTGTACAAGATCAACGTCAACGACGGTGTGGTGTGGGACGAGGCCCATTTCGGAAAGTTCGGCTCGTACTACTTGAGACACGAGTTCTACCACGACGTCCACCCCCCCTTGGGTAAGATGTTAATTGGGTTGAGTGGATATTTGGCCGGCTACAACGGTTCGTGGGACTTCCCCTCTGGTGAGACCTACCCTGACTACATCGACTACACCAAAATGAGAATTTTCCAGGCCACATTCTCTGCGTTGTGTGTGCCGTTTGCCTACTTCACCATGAAGGAGATCGGATTCTCGATCGCGTCTACCTGGTTGTTCACATTGATGGTGGCGTTGGAGTTATCGTACATCACCTTGGGTAAGTTCATCTTGCTCGACTCCATGCTTCTTTTTTTCACTGTCACCACCATCTTCTGCTTTGCTCGCTTCGACTCACACAACACCCGTTCCCAGGAGTTTTCCAGGAAGTGGTGGAAGTGGCTCTTGTTGACAGGCTTCTCCATCGGGTGCACATGCTCCGTCAAGATGGTAGGGTTGTTTGTGACCACTTTGGTGGGTATCTACACCGTGGTTGATCTCTGGAACAAGTTTGGCGACCGTACAGTTTCGTGGTCCCGTTATGGGGGCCACTGGTTTGCCAGAACCGTGGCTTTGATCTTTGTGCCCATTGCCATCTTTTTGATCAGTTTCAAGGTCCATTTCGATTTGTTGTACAAGTCAGGAACTGGTGATGCCAACATGTCTTCGTTGTTCCAGGCCAACTTGGTGGGTTCCGACGTGGTAGGCGGTGCCAGAGAGGTTTCAATCGGCCACTCTGTCGTCACCCTCAAGAACCAAGGCTTGGCTGGTGGTCTTTTGCACTCCCACGTTCAGACGTTCCCTGAAGGCTCCCAACAGCAGCAAGTCACCACCTACTCGCACAAGGATGCCAACAACAACTGGATCTTCCAGAGACCCCGTTTTGAGGAGTACTACGACGCCGACAACAATACCGATATCGAGTACGTGGTGGACGGAATGGTCGTCAGAATTGTCCATCCCATGACTGGCAGAAACTTGCACACTCACGAGGTGCAGGCTCCCGTCTCCAAGAGTGAATGGGAGGTTGCTGGTTACGGAAACTTGACTATTGGAGATGAAAAGGACAACTGGGTCGTGGAAATCATGGAGCAACACTCGCCCAACGAGGACAAAATGAGATTGCACCCATTGACCTCGTCCATCCGGTTGAAGAACGCAGTGTTGAACTGCTACTTGGGTGTTACAGGCAACTCGTTGCCTCAGTGGGGTTTCAGACAAGGTGAGGTTGCGTGCTTGAAAAATCCATTCAAGAAGGATAAGAGAACCTGGTGGAACATCGAGAACAACCGTAACGAGCTCTTGCCTGCTGCACCAGCTGACTTCGCATTGCCCAAGACCCGTTTCCTCCGTGACTTCATCCAGATCAACTTAGCCATGATGGCCACCAACAACGCCTTGGTGCCTGACTACGACAAGCAGGACGACTTGGCTTCCTCGTTCTGGGAGTGGCCTACCTTGCACACTGGTATCAGAATGTGCTCGTGGGCCGACGACAAGATCAAGTACTACATGCTTGGTTCGCCTGCCACCACCTGGACCTCCACGGCTGGTGTAGGTTTGTTCTTCTTCATTGTGTTGTATTTCTTGATCAGATGGCAAAGACAGATCGTGGACTTCCCAGCTACCCAGCCCCAGAAGTTGCGCTTGTTCTTGATGGGTGGAATCTACCCTATGTTCGGATGGGGATTGCACTTCATGCCATTCGTTATCATGGGAAGAGTCACATACGTACACCATTACGTGCCTGCGCTCTACTTTGCTATGATGGTGTTCGTGTATGAAATCGAGCTCTTCACGCTTCCCTTGAACGCAAGACAAGCATCTCCTGCTAAGAAGCTTGCCTATGTGGCTATCTTTGCTGCTGCCTACTTTGGGGTTGCTGGTACATTCTGGTACTTGAGACACATTTCGTTTGGTATGGAGGGTCCCAAGGAAGATTGGGCCCACTTGACGTTATTGCGCTCGTGGAGAATCTCTGATGACAACTATAGATAAGTGGTCAGGAATTAGTCCTATTGTTCATATACATAAGCCAGACTGTTTATTGTGGTGTGAAATCCTGAACGCTGGAATGTTTCCTCTGATGTACCGTCGAATGAGGTTAAAATAACTCTTGTTGAGATATCTATCAAGCATTATAAGAATATACATTGTTATTAAGCATCGTAGGAGCCACATACCTCGTTGTGGGAGGAGGAATATTATATTGTATGCCGTGGAAGTACAGGTGCTCAAATTAATCAACAACTGCTTGAACAATATTCTAGTTCTATTTCATGTTATTTCTATTAAATCTTGGAAAATTGGATTAGATTTTACCACTTGAAAAAGCATTTACATCGATTGTAGACTCAGAAACAAAGAACAAGTACGTGCTGGACGTTTTACCTGCCACTTCACTAAATAATTGAGCCCAATTTATGGGGTAGCCTTACATTGACAGGAGGAATGGATCAAATCCAGAATTTTGGACTACATTCAAGAATTACCAAATGATTAATTTTGAGTATTTTTTTTTTGCATTAATACGCAAGCTTGCAGGTCTCGAGGGTCTCCTAAACATTTGAGTTTCACTAATTTTGAGGAATTTAGTTGTGTGATTGAATCACTCCACCTTACGAATGTCCGTACTGAACTTTTGGTTGAATGGAACTCGGAAGGGGACATGACACGCGTAAAGCTATTGCATTTTTACTGAAAATAACCCTCTGGCTCTCCTTATCTTACTTTCGGTTTCCGTTAGACTACGTTTCAGAATAATTAACTCTAACTAAATCTAGCAAATTCTGTAATTGTATTATTTCTCTTTTATTTAAATATTTATAATCCTTTGTTAGTAATTTCTCAAAAGTTACTATATCTGTTAATAGATACTATGTAAAGCTTTAAAATTATCTTGCTACCAGGTGTAACTGGCATCTTAATTACATGGAGCCGATGGAAGGTTCAAGGCTACAGATTTACTTGCCAGTGCAATTGACCTGCACTATGGTTCAGTCATTTTTAATTAGTTCTGTGTAAATTTAAATAGGATGCAATAAAACTGGTGCAAATGTACCTGAACTAATTTAGAGAGTTTTGGTTGTTTTAGCTCATTAATCATGGACTATTGAGTAGTGCCCATAGCTTAAAGTTCAATGCAAAGATTAATTATTTCAAGAGATGAAGCATTGAAATTGAATGATCACACTACTTACACGGTACATAACACAAGAATGCTGATAATTATGTAACTCGAAGTATAGTGATTTTGTGCTTCCTATAAGTCACGTGATTAGTATCACGTGACAATGACTATACAACCAGTTTTCGTCCTTAGTAATCCTCATCCATCATGATCTCCAGAAGCAGCTTCAGAATCGCCAGAAGGCGTATAGGCGCCTCCCGCGTAGGCACTGTCCTTCCAGCGTGCGCTGTGTTGGCGCCTTCCCGCTTCTACTCAGCTCCACAAACTCCTTCTACCAGACCAGATACTTCCAAGACCCTCAAAGCATCGACGTTTAACCTCCCAAACCAGCCACAAACGCCGGCTCCCCAGCACGAGCTGGTCCCCCAGGAGGATATTGACGACTTCAACCTCACCAAGCTTATCCACGGAACCACAGACCTCCAATTAGCCATTACTTCTAGAGCCAGCAACAAGCTCAACAGCATTGCTGAAACCGATAATAACCCCAATACCGCCTTGAAAATCAGCGTGGAAAGTGGTGGGTGCCACGGGTTTCAGTACAACTTGAACCTCACGGATTTGGAGAAAGAAATAGCTGCAGATGCCGACGAAGAGCTCTTGGTGTTCAAGAGAGAAGACGGTACTGGACAAGTGGCACAGGTGGTGTTGGATGAATCGTCATTGGAAATCTTGCAGGACTCCAAGATCGACTATACCAAGGAGTTGATCGGTAGCTCGTTTAAGGTGGTGGACTCGCCATACACTTCGACTGCTTGCGGATGTGGAGCCTCATTCGACTTTGATTTCGAGAAGTTGCAGAGAAAGAAGGAGGCAAAGGAGGCAAATTAGATGGAAGGGCACTCCTAGCCGAGCATATTTATTTTTGAGCTATTCAGGTATCAATCTGTACAATTCGGGTGGTTATATCTGGGAAATTAAGGTATTTATCGGAACTATTCGGGCTGTCTATATTTGATAGTCCGGTACTTATCTGGACAATTCAGGTAATTTAACTGAACAATTTTGGTGATTTATGTCTACAATCCAGATTACTTCGTCAATAATTAACAGAACAATTCAAGTGAATATGCTAATAATTAGTTTGACTAACCGAGTGGCCTCTCATTTCCTGTGAGATGTCTCATGATATGATGATACCAGCGATATCACTCATTCTTTCATTACATTGGGATTAATACAATCTGAATCCTACTTTAACATACCCAAATAACTGTACTCACCGTTAGTAATTCTAGTGATGAGTTACTATGCTAGTTTTTTGCGTGATCCAGCAATGACAATTGGTTTTCCTGTTGGTCTTCAACGATTTTAGGTGTTCTCTCCAGCAATAATTATGACTTGCTGGCACCTCTATGTTTCGCTCATTGGAGCAGTGTACGCTACACCTCCTACGTTTGTATATATCAGTAACGAATAACATGTAATAAAGTTCATAAGAGATCACACGATCAGAGGAATTAAACTATGGAATCGAGGGCAGCAAAATCGTAAATGCATTGGGTGTATCAGGTGGGCAGTCTAGGCTAAGATCTCATTAATGCCTCTGATACTCTTGCTAGAATAGAACCTGACATCCACATCCTCGTCGTTTTGCAACTTCTCCAAGTTTTGAAGGATCTCGGTGTTGATCAACTTGTGCAATTCATCTTTACCAACGGTGTTGCTCTTGACCAAGCTCTCTACGATCACAAGGTACGACTTGGCAACGTTGAATCTGATGTTGGGAACAGCATCCACGATCAAGCTGTTGATGAATGGCAAAATCTTGGCCTCGATGATCTCGTAGTCAATTACTGGAATCAAGCTTGTTATGGCAAACAAACAGGTAATTCTAATGATGAAATTGGAGTAATCAATCTTATCGTCTTCGTCGATCTTGTCGTCGTTGTTCAAGAGACGGTTGATGATCTCGGAGTTGGCCCAGTTAGAGCCGAAGATGGTGGTCAATTCCTTCAAGTTCTTGACGGCAGCGTCTCTGATGGCGAACACAGGATCCCACAACCACGACATACACAACGACAACAATTCGTCTTTGAAGAAGGACTCGCCCAATTGATTAGCCAACTTGGGCATGTATTCAATGATGGCCAATCTGACCCTCCATTTGTGGTCCTGAGCCAATTCGGTTATAGCTGGCAATAAGTTGGTGGACAAAAGATTGATACCGATGGTTTCGTTGACCACAGATAAATTGGAGATGATGTTCAATCTGACGTCTGGGAACTCGTCCTTCAACATTGTCAAGAAGATAGGCAACAACTTGTCGATGGTGGACTGCCTTTCCAAGATGGGGGACAACTTGGTTATGCTCGAAGCCAACGAAGCTCTGACGTTTTCCTGGTTATCTTGCGACAAGTCGTTCAAAACGGGGATGATCTTGGACAAAATGGTGGCCTTGGTGGACTTGTACTTTATCAACAAGTGGCAGAACTCAGGCAACTGCTTGCACACGGCCTTTCTGACCTCTCCCTCATTGTCGTTCATCAACTTGATGAAAGGGTCGATAAGCTGGAACAACTCCTCTTCCTTCGACTCGAAGTTCTCGGCTATCTTGCTGAATCTGTCGGCAGCCGTGTATCTGACGCGCCACAGCTCGTCGCTGATGAGCTTCAACGCCGAGGTCAAGAAGTCGGAGTTGAAGCTGTCCTCACCAATGTTCTTGAAGAACTCCAAGATGGCGATCAACACGTCGATGCTCAAGAACTTGACCGAGTCTTGATCGTCGTTGATGAGATGGTGGAACATCTTGCTGATGATCTCCCAGTCCTCGTTGTTGACCTTGTTGTCATGGTTGGGGTTGGCGGAGGTGAACGTAGTCAACAAGTTGATCAATTCGGGCAAGTTAGTGGCTGCGCTTCTTCTAACCATGGGGTAGTCGTCGGTGATTAGCTTGAGGTACAGGTTCAACAACTCGATTCTGGCGGCTGCTGGCACCTTGACGAGCACCGATTTGTACAAGCCGCAACTGGCGATCTTCTTGGAGAACCAGTTGCCCTGGCTCAAGGACTGAACCAACGGGATGAACACCTCGGCAAGTTCGGCGTCCGACAACTCCAAGCTGATGTTGTTCAACGAGTCAATGGCTTTGTCGCGGACTATAGGCTCTTCCATCAGCACTAAAATGGTCAAGATCTCGATCAAAGGCAGGCAGTGAGCTGTGCCACCGATCAAGGGCACGAAGTCACCGAGCTTGGCTGCAAGAACGGCAAACACTTCCTCTTCGTCGTCTTGGGCCACGTCGTTAAGAAACGGAATGAGTTCCTTGAGGGTTCTTTCGGGTCCCAAGGCGATAGCGATGGTGTCCAACTTCTCCATAGCCTCGACTCTATTGGACACGTCGTCGTGCTTCAATTCGTCCATTAGCAACGCCAATGGGTAGAGGTCATCGTTGTAGTTTTCCATGGTGGATGTTGTTGTAAAAGTGGACGAAAAGCAAGAATAAGTGGGCGGGTAGTGTGTGTGGTTGGAGATTAGTGAGGGTGGTGCGGTAGTGCCAGCGTAGGGAGAGGAGTGAGGCTGAGGGTGCCAGGGTAGCGAGAAACAGTAGCGAAAAATAGTGCGGGAGTGCGAGTATTAGTGAGTTGCGCGTAGGAAGTGTTGGGGAGGATGAGATAGCGAGGATAGCGACAACTAGGTGATTAGTGAGGGTTAATGAGGTGAGGATTAGTGAGGATTAGTGAGGATGGCCGCGCGAAGATTATTGAAACCCTTTAGGCTTGTTCCTTTTTAACTTTTGGGGACAATCAAGTATACGGCACTGGTGACTATGCCCAATCCTATAGCTTGAAGCGTTGTGGTGTAAGGTAACACCACGAAACGCACGTTGACAGAGGAGTGAATTTACATGTAAGAAATGGTGATGAAAAGAGACGCATGCGGAGACTTCCAACAGTTTGACAGCAGTGAAATCTCGGAAAAAGCCTCATGTTTCCATACTTCAAAGTTCGTAGTGGGGCCATTCGTTTGGTTTGAGCAGTCCAGGAGTATCGCTTCCGAAGGCTGACGAAATCGAATGGAATCTGGGTGGCAGCGTAGCGAGCAGTACCGAGAATTAGCGAGGTGCGAGGGAATATTCAGAACGACGCTCAGTCGGCAGTAGTACCCCATTCTAGTTTCAATAGTGGTACTACCAGATCCGCTTTTCTAGCTTCATGCCATGAGTAGACTTGGGGCAAGAAATTCACCTGAGGTCTATTTGTAAAGGTTTTATAAAGATGAGCTAGTTTCGGTTCCCCCTGTAGCAGCTAATAGCGGACGGGGTCTAGTCTGGGGCAGCCCAGTGGCAGCTTCTATCTACAACCAAGCATCGGCACAGCAGCTCTTCCCAGCACCACCCGCTGACCCTCTCGCTAACCTCGCTGGCTTTCTTCCCCTCGCTGTCTCTACACTTCCTCGCTAACTTCCCCACGCCACCTCTCGCCCCTCCCTCGCTAACTTCCCCTCGCCACTCCCTAGCTCTCCCTAACGCTCCCTAACTCTACTCTCCCCTCCCCACCACCATTTGCATCACTTCACACCCATCACGTCCTCCACGTCCGTCACTCCTTCCACCTCTCCCTTCCTTGACTCAATTCCACCCCCATGTGGTACCCCTGGCCCCAAAACCTCACCTACCTCCTCCTAGCTGCGTCCCACCTCTTTCCCTCGTCTCCCGACCCGCGTCCTATTCTCCCTACCACAAACGTGGCCCCCGCTAACTTCCTTCCTCACCACAACATGGTTACTGGACCCAGCGCCCTCGACGTCCTCGACTCCCAGCTCACGGCTGATGACAGTGCCAGCTACACCAAAGGCTTAGCCGCCTTGGAACAGTCGTTGGACTCCTACTGGAAGTTCGAAGTCGTCCCCAATCAGTTCAAACAATCGCTAGCCGCCACCGACGACCTGCGGTTCCAGTACTTGGACGAGCACTTCGGAGTCATTGGCAGCTGGGACGAGGTGGTGGACAACTTGAAAACGCTCAACGCCAACGCTGGCGCCAACGAGCGGTACAAGATCTTGTTTCTTGCTCGCCATGGTCAAGGCTACCACAACTTGGCCCACGCCAAGTACGGCAACAGTGCCTGGAACGAGTACTGGCTGAAGAAGAACGGCGACGGAACCATCGTGTGGGGTCCAGATCCGTTGTTGACGGACTTGGGTATCAGCCAGGCCCAGGAAAACAGGGCCCAGTGGAAAATCGAAGTGCTCAACAACACTGCCAGAGACCCCAGCCTCATTGTGCCCAAAAAGTGGTTCGTGTCGCCTTTGAGCCGCTCCATCGACACCTTGATCAACACCTGGGATGGGGTGGTGGATCTCCAAGAGGTGCAGCCGTTGATCCAGGAAAACGTCCGTGAAACCATTGGAGTCCATACCTGCGACAAGCGGTCGCCCAGGTCGGTGATTGCCCAAAAGTACGAGAAGTTGGGGTTCCGGATCGAGCCTGGCTTCGAGGAAAACGACATTTACTACAAGGACGATTACAGAGAAACCGTGGCTGAACATGCTCTCCGCATCAACAGAAACCTCCAGGAGATTTTCACCACCACTCCCGAGGATATCGTGAGTATTACCAGCCACAGTGGCTCGATCCGAGCCCAGTTATTGGTGTTGGGTCACCGTTCGTTTGCCGTGGGCACTGGAGGGATGGTGCCTGTGTTTGTGAAGGCCACGAAGGTGGGTAATGCTTAAGGAGCTGAAGATAGTAGTGGTTTCCAACAGATAGTTTATGGTTTAGAGTGAAATGTACAACTGGATTTTATTTCGTGATTCTGTATTTGAGATCACACCCATGTCATATGGAAAGTGATGAACATCTGGGCTCGATAGAAATGCATCAAGGTAAACGTTGCTGAATTGGTTTCATTATCATAGATTTAAGTGATAATGGTCTGACATCACTACTATAACATGTATTTGATATTCGTAGCTATTTCTCTGAATAACTCGTAGGTTAATTGTGATACCTCCAGTATGTGGATGAAAACGACACAAAGGCTTGAGGATAGGACCAGCTCTTACATGGAAGAAGAGCTATGATTTTACTGAGGCCAATATGTCTAATAATTCCTGAGAGAAGTGTTCAAGTATATGATAGGTAAATCGAGCTTTGTAATGTCACACTACAATACGATTTATCCCCTTAAGCTGTATTAATCTTTAGGCGTTCAAGCAGTTACTAAGAGGTTATGAGACAACAATCCTACTTGCAACGTGCCGAGGAGAAAGCAGGCACAAATTGTGGATTATTGAATTAGATTTTGTAAGATAAGAGCTTGCTGAACAACCAGAAATCCATTCCTTGATCTAATCCTTACAGGGTCGATTGCAACCCGAATGTGATCCCACGATGGTTTCCCTACAAGTGTATACACATCTGGTAATTATTAATTGTCGAATCACAAAATGTAGAATGGATAGTTTTCACATCCATGCTTCAATCCAGGACGTAGGGTCCGTGAAGTAAACTCGAATCTGCAACTAGCCATCGAGGTATGCAATCCACCGACCTTCTTGGATATCTTAGAGGAAAGAATATTGGAAAGTAACCGAATCTGCTACTATCCACACTTCGTAATTGGCTATGTTTTAGCGTAATATGTTTTATTACATCTCTCTATGCGTTCAAACGGCTCGATCCCCCACTGTGTCAAACATGCTGTGATCCCCCACATGCCCTTCCTGGCCACCCCGAGTCAACATTTGCCGGATCACTGATGGCCCACACGCCGAGGTAGCCGAAAACTAACCCTAAAGCTAATCCCGATGTGGATGGTGTCGGTGATGTGCCATGCAACACGGAAAAACTGGATGGGTTGCATACTTGTGCATGAATCATATGATAAAACCGCTAATATACAGCTGCTGCAAGAAATGCACTAGTTTACTAATGGCCAAGACCCGTGGTAGCGAGTCCCGAAATTGGCTCTGTCAAAGCTGCATGGTATTAGTCCGCGACAACCAGGCAGCCCTGGCTCCCTCACAACAGTGGCACCCCCTCCGCGAACGCCTACTCCCGTGGCTGAGGGTCAGCCTGGCATAGTCCACTGGGATGTTGCATTCACCACAGGTCCCGAAACCCCAAGGGTCCATCTCATGGTGCAGAAACTACCACGGCTCGCCGCTGGATCTATTTACGGCGCAGATATCCTCAATTGGCCTACATGCGGCAGTCTGTAGGCCGCCTGCATGATGCGCACTAAGGACCAGCGCCAAATTTGTGCCTGAACTTCAAAAAATCCGTGTTGGTGAAAAGTTGTCGTCACACGAGTCAAAATAATAGAAGGGCTGGTGGTCGCACGATCAGCCCCATTCACTTGCGTTTGAAACCTTCGTTGGCTCGTACTATCGGCTCAACGTGAGCCTGTAGAATAGTGAATCTTCCAGCCAGCAAAACCACTGACCGTAGCGTTCTCTAGCCCAAAAAACTGCTAGTGAGCATAACTTGCACAGCAGGCAAGGCCAGGTTTAGACGCCTGCTCAATCTTGTGATACTTGGTCTGGTGTGGTCTGGCAGGCCCCACGTTGGCTTGGATGCAATTTGGTGGTTGTGAAGCCCGCCCATCTCGAACCGAATGCGAGCACGCCATTGGATGTAATATACGAAGCGGTTTTGTGTGTCCGACGCAAGCTAGACTACTTCAGGGGAGGCCCAAAAAGGGAGATGATCGACGCTAGTGGCCGTTACGAGACTAAGAGCGGTACGGTTCGCCTATTAGATCATCGGACGGCATGCTCGATTCACACATACCTTGCCTGAGTGAAAAATTGCATCAAAGATTTACCCTCGAGATGCATGCTCGGCAATTGGAGTGTGACACAAAAATCTTCGGGACAATCACAGTAGCACTTGTGGAGAGTGCAGCCAGGCTTAGGCACTATTGAGCACGAATGGAACTGGTGCTGGACAGCGGCTCGGGTGTTATTGTTCAGAGCCGCTGCCGTTTTGGTGAGGGAGGCGTCTATCACTTTCACTGTTGCATTTGCATGCATGCGCGCCTATGTGCGGATTGCACATGGCTGAAACTATCAGATTATCTCTGGTATGCACCTCCCAATGCGGCAACTGTAGGTGTGATGATAAGACGCCTTGGAGATGCTTTCACTAACGATGCCCGACTCGCCATGTCGCCAGACACGCCAACGGTCTTTCCCACGCCAGAGGAGCCTCCACACCACGCCTATGCCCCTCCTGCCCGTGCTACCACCCCGCCCTTCCCCCAGCAGAGCTGCTGCCAGCCGCTCTCCGCGGTTTCGGAGCCCCCCGAGTCACTCGCACCAGCCCCACCGTGACTGCAGAAAAAACCCAGCCCAGACATATAAAGATATGGGTCCCCCCATGCCGCCGGCGCAGCCACCCCCACCCACAACGCACACCACGCCAAACCCAACTAATGAAGTTTGGGAACAACCTCCACCATCTTTCCATACCCGAATGGCGCTCCTATAACATCGACTACAATGACCTCAAGGCCCAGATCCGTGCCATTACCCAGGGCAAGCCCGATGGCCTCGTGCCGTTGCGCCAGAGCTTCCTCGACAACTTCGACTACATCAACTTGTTTGTACAGACAAAGCACGGTGAGCTTGTGCGAAAGGTGCAGTACTTCCAGGTACTCTTCCGGCAGGTGGCGTCAGTAGCGTCATCGTACGACGCCAGCGACGCAGCCTCCGGCAGCCCCAGCACGCGCCAGGAGCTCCGCATGGTGTTGTACGACATGGACGAGATCTTTTACGGCGCCATCGACATATCCGTCGTGTTGAAAAACCTCTCTAAATTCATCCTCATCCAGAAGATCGCTGTCAAGAAAATCATGAAAAAGTTCTTGAAGTATTACACGGCCGACCCCGACCTCGCTGCCAGCTTCGTGTTCGGCCTCAAGGAATCGCTTTTCCAGAATCCTGCCTCCTTCATCAACTTCGACCTTTCAGGACTCACAAAACAGTTGACAGACTTCATGAAGGAAATCAAGCAGGAGCAGAAGCTGATCACAGCCAAGCTCAACGGCACGTCTGTTCATGACGACGTTCTGGTGCCCAAGTCCCAGCCTCCAGCCTCCCACCAGCACCAAAAACCCGTTTCCTCGGAGTCTAAATTCGACATGACCATCTTTTTGAAAAAGAACTTCAATCTTCACTTCCTCCTTCCCAGCGACACCAATAACCTCATCGAGTTAGTGCTCAACCTCAACATCACCCTCAACTTCAAGGGCAACAACGAGGAGTCGTCGGATCTCTCCTTTCTCTTTCTCACCAACGACAACGACCTCCACGCCGAGCCTTCCTACATCATTTCCCAGAAAAACCTCTCGTACTCCACCATAATTGCTCACACGGGTGGCTTGCGCAAGCACGCCTACTGTGTGCTTCCTAATAACGTGGTGCAGCTTCTTTTGGACCACCTCTTGAACAAAGACGACCCTGTGAGCCTGAAGAAGTTGGCATCGTACTTCGACCTGTCCACCAGTCCCTTGACCAAGATCACGTTGGACGCCATCCTTTCCAAGGACTTGAAGCCATCCATGAAGCTCGTCTGCAAGCGATTGAGATACATCTTGAAAAAGAACCACGAGGAAGAAGAGCACCAAGAAATCGAGCAACAAGAGAACATCCGCAAGGATTCCATCGATAACGCTGTAACCTACGACGACGAGCCTCCACGGGTGGACCAGATTTCCCTCGCTCCATCTTCGGACACGAAACAATACCAAGACGACTACTACATCACTTTGGACCACGACATATACACCACTGACGACCCCCAGTTGACCTCCAACATTCAGTTCCACGAACCATCCAGTTCTGCATTCACAAAATTCGATAGATTTCCCCATAACCACCTTTCATTTTATTCGAACGACTCCAACCTCAGCAATTTCGAACACTCGATGGAAACATCCGTAGACTCCAAGAACGGCATTGTTTCCACCACCTACCCGGCCACCAAGTTCCGCAAGCTCCCTACCAAGATTCAGAACATCATCTCCACCAATAACTCCTTGAATATGTTCAAGAGTTTGAGTTTCTACCAGTACATGATCTCGTGCTATTACAATGCCTTCCCTAGAGGGGACTTTGGCAATAACCACTACTCCAAGTTGTTGAACCTCAACTTGTTGAAGAGCTTTGAGAACGTGCAAAAGTTCAACAACCAGCTCAACGTGGATAGCAAGCTCAAGAGAAACTTGTCGATGAAATCGTTGGCTTCAGCAGGAGCCATGGCAGGAGCCACGGGAAACGAGCTCAAGAGACCTCCTCCTCTTGTGAACAGAAATTCCACCATCAGTGTGGTTTCAAATTACTCCATTCCTTCCATTTTTACCGACCGTGAAGAAGAAGATGACGACGACACAAAAATGCTCCAGTTTTATGATCAAAGTCCACTCAAGCTAGACAAGGACGTTGACGAAGACTATTATTCGTTATATGTCAAATTAAACGAGGAGTACGACCACGAGTCATCTCTCTTCAACACGTTTATGTTGAAGTCACATAAGCTTAAAAGAAAGTTGGTGACCAACATCGGTAAAATCTTTGATGGCCGGGAAAAGGAACCCATTTTACCTCAATATTACAGTAGCAGCCATGATGGCAAGACGAAATACGGATATGGGAATACCGAGGGCGAGTACCTCATTAATGAGAACCCTTACAGCAACTACGACTCCATCAACGAGGAGCCACCCAGCTTCCTTGATCGGAATCGTTTCATCAACATTCACAAAGAGTACGAGTTCGAATACGACCAAACATTAGCATACATTTACTTTTGCCTCAACTTGATCTGCATTTTCCTCAGTGGAATTGAGTTAGGTATAGTATATTCAATTTTCATGGACATGGATATACCAAGCAACGAGTCCCAGTTCACTATCGCCAATAATTTATGGTTAATTTTGGTGTTGGTAATTGGGCTATTATCCTCATTGATATTTAGCATGATAAGTATCAATCTTTTGTTTCAAAGGTACACAGCAGCCCCGCTATCGCACAGTTTCTGCGTCTGGGGCGGCTTTGCCATTGTCACTGGGTGTTGCATTTGGTCCACATGTATTTTTTTGCTGAGCTTGTAACACAGGCCGCATCTTTAGCATTCAATTCTACCTTGGGGTAGTTAGTCATTAATAGAATTTTATTATTATTGTGATTGTAAGCACTGACAGAATCCATTATCTGTCGGGTTGCACAAAGCGATACTCAAGGCTCAAGACGAAGTAACAAACAATTTCTAAGGATTTCATCATAAACCGACAGCAGAGCTATATTTTCAGTCGCCAAAGTCGTGATGTGTCTCTTCTGCGTCCTGATTTTTGATTCGAACATGTGAGTAAAGCTTCTGGCAATTAATAGTCGCATGAATCCATACTTTTTAGTTTCGGAGCACACTTGGTATTTTTAAATTTGCGTCTCTCCGACATCAAATACAAGAAATATTGAATTAATTGTAGACTGAAAATGACATGGCTAAAGCTAATTTGGCAGCATCGCAGTGTCGGAAGTGAAAATCGCTAGAATTAAACATCTTAGCATAATTGTTGGAAAGGGAACTAGTTTGATTAAATATTTCTGGGCTCCAAAAAACGAACTGCCCCCCAAAGATGTGCTCTGCAACATGTTGAACTTTAGACACGGCAACACGGCTCGAGGGCGTCATCGTATGCGCAAATCTACCGAGATTAGCGAGGCTAACCGGACTATCTGCAAGATTTGCACCACTCGACAGCCCCGCCAGGACGCTAGAAACAGTAATATTCGCAGGATGTGTAGGACGATCGAGAATAGGGGAGAAGAATAGCTCAGGCACGGCACCAGTTCCCAAGCCACAAAAGGGCAATGGAACACTTTGCTGCATTGGAGTGAGCTCTACTCTCGGAATGGAACCGCAAACTCGCAATAGTCTAGCAAATCCTGCTAAATGAAGACATGCTACGAGCTAGTGAGAGGCTCCTCAGCTTGTATCCATACTTCTAGTTCAGAAAAACCGAAAAATCGACCTGTCCATATTTCTCTGGCCTAGAAACGCTACATGGACTTTCCCCAGCTACTTCGGCACCACCAGCACCCCAGAGGCTTCCGCCGTGTGCCACCACCACCATCCTTCACTGTGTCAAATCCGCAGATTAGCGTTTCACGATCTCATGCATGTCGCGCGCACCCCGCGATTCGTGGCCTCGGTCCAGAATGAGTATAAGTAGAACTCCATCGCCAGCCCAAAACGCAACCAGCCGCAGCCATGTCCCAATTCAACCCAGAAGACTTCAAAAAGTACGCTAACTACCTCGTCACCGAGGTGGAGGAAGGCGTCGTACACCTCCAGTTGAACAACACAAAGAGATTGAATGCGTTCTCCGAGCAATTCTGGAGAGACTACCACGAAATCTTCGTCAAGCTCGACCAGCTCGAGTCCACCAAAGTGATCTTGGTATCATCCTCTGTCCCTCGTGCGTTCACCACTGGCTTGGACCTCAAATCTGCCATGGCAGAAATGGCACTGTACTCCGGATTATCTCCTCTGGAAAGACAGGCTGCGTTGAAGAAGCACATCGAAGACTTCCAGTACTGCGTGGGGATCCCCGCTCGCATCAGCACTCCCACAATTGGCCTCTTGAACGGACTCAACTTGGGTTTGGCCTTGGATCTCGCTGCTTGCTACTCCATCAGAGTTGCTACCGAGGATGCCAAGTTCTGTATAGCCGAAATCAAAATCGGCATTGCTGCCGATATCGGCTCCTTGCAGAGGCTTCCAGCCCTCTTCAACAACAAGGGCCAATTGTTCCAGTACTGCTTGACTGGTGAAACATTTGGCTCTCAAGATGGGTTACGGTTGGGCTATGTCACCAAAGTCGTGCCAGACTTAAAATCTGGGGTTGAGTACATCAAGGAGCTTGCCTCCAACATCAGCCCCTACCAGGGCTGGGCCATCAGAGGTACCAAGAAGTGTATCCAGGACATTTTGGACGGTCAATCTGTCGAGGAGGGCTTGAAGTTTGTTGCCGACTACAACTCCAAGAACATTCCTGACACCTTTGCCAAAAAGCCTGCCAAGTTGTAGTATAAATAGGAATGAATATTATGGATACGAAATGTAATTGGGCACCCTAGATAATTTGTAGCACAATACTATTGCAAAAAAGCTGCGTCAGGCTTTCTTTGAAGAGTACAATAGCGTAGGCTAGTTTATGGTGGGGATTGGGGGATTTACAAGTTGGAGTCCCAATGAGTCGGAGTTATTGCTGACATTTTGTTAGAGCTGAATCAATGACACAGTTATTATTTTGGATTGATGTTCATTCAAAATTGGAAAAAAATTTAAAAAATCAAAAGAATTGGAAAATCATTACAACGGTTATCATAAAATTGGAGTACAAAAAGATGAAATGAGGGATAAAGGAGCTATAAAATGATAAAAGACTCACTTTCATAAATGGCAAAAGTTTAAAGTTGCCATTCCCCAGCTCTCAGATCTTTGTGACGATCTCATTTGAAAGTCTATTAAATGACAGGCGATAATATAGTAGCAAAAAAGATTTGACAAACCCTGGAAGAAGAAACCTCTGCATTGAGGACTTTATATTCTTTAAGACTTGCATCTTATCAAGATTGGGACCTCAACTGAGAAGAAGAAAGGGTACAACTTATCGTCAGTTTTTTGACATTTTTGTAAAAGCTAAAAATACTATAATGTAACAGTTCCGTGAATTTCATGTAATCAACCTTGCAATTAGACAAAGAAATCCAATTAGCCTGGACCAAAAGGGGTCTCCCAACTCGGCATGCTAACTTGGATACGTTTCTATAAGCAGAATTCTTGAATTTTGCAATGAGTTACAAAGTAAGCAATACTCTAGAATCGAAAACAAAAATAGTCCAATGGTTTTTTTTTTGCTAATGGGAAGTATATTATGTAAATCCAATGAATCAAACTTGATGAATCTTATTAGAGTTTGGGGGACCACCTGGCCATGGCATGTCTCGTTTCTTCAATTAAAAAATAAGTGCAAGAAATGCCTACTTTTATGAATTATTTGTTCATAAAAGACGTAAAGGTCCATACTAATGTGTTGAAAGGCTGCTAGGATTGCTGAAGAGTCGAGACAAAGAAAACATATGTTTCAGATATCATGACAGAATGCCATTGTCTCCATCCACAAAACAAAATCAGGTCCCTTGGCCCAGTTGGTTAAGGCGCGGTGCTAATAACGCCGAGATCAGCAGTTCGATCCTGCTAGGGACCATATCTGTTCTTTTTTGTACATTTTTACTCTATTAAAGTCCTAGTTGGCGACTTCTGGTGAAAGTATGGAGAAATTTGCACTCTGATAACGAGAGTAGTGCTTGCGAAATAACTTTTACCCAGCATTAAAAGACAAATACGAGAAGAGATATACAAAATATCCTATATGTGAGACGCTATGGAACCCACATGACTATGTGAGAGCATTGTGTGCTGGGTGACTTGCATAGTTCTCTCACTTTCTGTATTAGCATTTATTAGTCTTGAATCAATCAGTATTGGACTGAAATTAATTCCAAATCTGCAGTCAGATTCTACAAATTAAATTTTTAGTTATTACTAAAGCATCTCCCTACCAGCATTCACATCCCATTATCCTAGGCCCAGGACCTACTTCTGCCTTACTGTGCCAGTATGGACTCTAGCTTTTGCACCCACCTGGTGGCGCACGACCTCGTAAAAAAAGTGGACGAAAATTGACCCACCACCAAATCTCGGACTGCAATGGATTCTCCACTTAACACCACGATCGGTGTTCGTATGAACGCCTATCTCACCAGTCCCGACGATTTCCGCAAGCAGAGAAAGAGAATCAACAAAAGAATCGCAAAATTACGTCATGATTTGGGTCTTGTGACAAGAGATACCAAGCAATACAAGACTAAGGAGAAAACCTCGGGAATCACCGTCCAGGACTACGAAAAGGATCCCAATTACGGATTAGTGTTGTTGTTGACAGCCGAGAGAGATGTGTTGTACGCGTTGGAGATCAAGAACACGCTCGAGATCAGCAACGAGCATGGAGCAGGCCAGAAGAACTTGATGGTCAGCAGACTCAAAAAGGCATTGAACACCTCCAAGAAGATCTTGGAATTGGCCCAGAACGAAGCTTCAGCTTTGGTTAGGATCGAATTGTACATTTTCGCTGCGTTGATCCAGGGCCAGTTGTCGGTGACCAAGAAGCAGTGGGAGCTGGCCAGAACCTCGTACTCTATAGCGAGGGTAGGTCTCGAGTTCTGGACCGCTGTCCAGAAGGAAGGCGAGAAGGAGTTCCAGGGCGAAGATGTGTTCGAAGCAGCAGAAACCCTCGAGAAGGAGTTGGTTGATAACGTCATTGATCCATCGTTGAACTTGGCACTTTCTCAAATGGATGCCAGGGCTGTGGATATCAAAAGTGTTTCCAGAAAGCACTGCCACGATGAAAACTTACCATACTTGTCCCCTACCATTTCCATCATAAAAGCACAAAAGCCAGACTTGGTTTCAGAAATATCGTCGACCGAATTGATCGACTCCATTGAATGGAGAGGACACGAAGCTCAGATCTACAACGACGAAGTTGCTTACAACATCATGGCTTTGCTCAAGACTGACGAAAACACCGACTACGACATTTTGGGAACTAACTGGTCCAATGTGTTGGATATCCATAGCCAAGATATCGAGAGAAATAACGATGAAGATGACATGGAAAAGAGTCAGAACAGAGCCATTTTGCTCACTTACATTAAGTACAACTTGCTCTTCGCCAGTATGAAGAGAGACTTGCTCATTATCGATGACATCACCTCTTCCAAGACCTACAGAAACGTGGTTCCATTCTACGACAACATCATAACCATCACCCAAGACTTGAAGGAATTGCCGGGTGTGTATAATGACGAAGAGTTGCATCAGTCGCTTGAGGACTTGGAGAAGTACTTCAACGCCAAGAAGTGTATCTATGTTGCCAACCTTTACATCGCCACCAACAAGTACGCGGAAGCTTTGACCATATACCTGAGCTTGAAGGATGACTTCATCACTGAAGAACAATTCACCAAGTTTGAAGAATTCCCCTACAATATCACATCCAACATCGACTTCGAGAAATACGCGCAAGACTTCAACGCCAAGTTCTTGCACGCACATGCATTGGCCCACAATGCCCTTGAATCTAAAGACATCGGCTCGATCGTCGAGAATTCGAACAAGTTCCAGACTGGCTTGGAGCTTGTGGACTTGGCTACTCCTCCAAAGATTCACTCGATTTTAAGCAAGCCTGTATTGTTTGATATCAGTTACAACTATATCAATTATGACTTGGGACGTTCCTCCTCTGCTGCACCAGTTTCGACAAGTCCAGCTCCACAAACAAGTGCTGAAGATCAAGATGGCAAGAAGCGTGGTGGTTTTTTTGGTATTTTTGGACGTAGTTAACTTTAAAGGCAAATAAAATGTAACACAATGTGCTAATTGAAACTAGAGATTATTCTCCAAGATAGCCAGGGTAAAATATTACTCGCTGGCCACTAAAGTTTTGTGAGTGAAGAACTTACCATTTTCGTGTATGTAAGGGTTTGTATAATGCATGTCCACTGCGTGCTTTATTGCAAAATATCGAAATAAACTCGCATAGCAGAAATTATATCCACAAACCCAAAAAATTGCAGGGGTAGATAAAAGAGTACTGAGGACAAAACTTGGGCCTAAAGTGGTGCCAGTAGTACCACCCGATAGCCCAAGCCTCCGCGAGCAGACTTTGTTAGACAATATACCACTGATCTGTGGTGGATGCACGGCAAAAGGGCCATAAAGAGTAAACTGCATAAACCGCAAAACACGGTAACCGCACGCTCAAGTATGTCATAGTGTCCACAAACACCAGTAGTGATATTTCACACCACTCATTAGCCACCGTATCCATGAAAAAACAGGGCCTGTTGGTGACACTCGTGTTCTGCGTTGCAGGGTTGTACGGATCCTTTTTGTCCTGGTCCGTGTTGCAGGAGAGGATCAACACCAAGCCTTATGGTATCGACGGCTCGTACGAGCCTGAATATTTCAAGGCTCCGTTGGTGGTGAACATCGTCCAGGCGCTCTTTGCCAGCATCATCGGCCTTGTGTACTCCAGTGCGACCCACGGCAATCCATTCCTCATATTCACCAACCAGAAACTGATCTCGTTGCAGTACTTCAAGTGGTTTCTTCTCATTAGCATCACCTCCAGCTTGTCGTCGCCATTGGGATACGAGTCGCTCAAGCATGTCGACTACCTTGCGTACCTCTTGGCCAAGTCATGCAAGCTCATTCCCGTGATGTTGGTCCATCTGGTGATGTACGGCACCCGATTCCCTGTGTTCAAGTACGTAGTAGCAGGGTTGGTGACGGCAGGAGTGGCAGTTTTCACCTCCAGCCACACCTCGCTGAAGACCAGTATCAATGACGGCAAGACTGGGTTGGGTATGGCCCAGTTGATCGGCTCTATGGTATTGGACGGTCTCACCAACCTGACCCAAGACCAGTTGTTCAAGTCCCAACAGGGCACCCACAGAGTCACAGGTGCCAGCTTGATGTGCATCTTGAATTTATTCGTATTCGTGTTGACTGCAGCCTACACAGCCGTTTTCAAGAGCTCGGAGCTCACCTACACTCTTGACTTTGTGCACAAGTATCCCGAGGTGTTGACCAACATCTTGGCGTTTGCGGTGTTCGGGTCGGTGGGCCAGGTATTTGTTTTTGTGATCTTGGAGAAGTTCGACTCATTGGTGCTCATCACTGCCACGGTGACCAGAAAGATGTTGAGCATGATTTTGAGTGTGGTTTTGTTTGGCCACAATTTAACGGGAGTCCAGTGGTTGGGCGTGGGATTGGTGTTCGGCGGCGTAGGGTTCGAGGGAGTTAAGAAGGCCCAGGGACCATCGGTGAAGCCCAAGAAGGAGTAGCCAGGGAGATAGATAGGCAATGCATGGTGCGTAGCGAGACTAGAGTAAATCTTCCCCCTCGCATAGATTCAAAGATATCAAAATAGTCACAATAAAAAAGGGAGGATACCAAAACCTTTACTATATAGAGTTGCAGATTCCAAAGTATTGACAATAAATTAAACCTTACCCTAATGTAGCATATGGGTAAATTCATAATAAAATCCAATCAAATAGATTCATATGTTTATTAACTTGAAGAAAGCGGGCCAATCTTGAAAAGTACATTTCCATTTGTATCGAGGTCTTAAAATTATTAATCTCTTTGAGATGAGGAAAGATTGAATGAATTAAAGTGATTCAGAAATTCCACGATCTAGGACTTGGCAAGTAGGATAAACCTAACAAACATTAAAGATTAATTTTTACGTTAAATCCATTTTTACTTCTATTGGAAGTAAAAAAAATTGACAATACGCATACAATAGATTCTCATTTGTAAGTAAACAACCGTGGATTAACAATTAAAGAGGAGATCTTCAAAATTAATGATATGTCATAATTATCAATTTTAGAGAAGAACTTTAAAGTAAGTAAGATCGTGAAATAATAAATTCAAGAGACGATCCTCAAAATAGAAGACAAATCATTATTTAAGTTTGAGAAATGATCTTCAAAATAGAACAAATAATAAATTTAAATTCCAGAAAAAGGAAAATATACACCACATGCCCATAATCTGTGCAGAATTGCACGTCTGTGTATGCATTACAAGCAATAATGATATGACTAGTCGCACGACACCCTGAAGAGGGATATTTGATAGTAAAGTAATAACTGCTCGCTAGTGCCTAGCGAGAAAAGCTGTCAGTAACTCACACATCCACGCTAGCGGCTTGAGCCGCACGGTACTAGCCAGAAAAATAGCGACACTGTGCCAGAAATTAGCGACAACTCCAGTACTCGTCTAGCTATCGCCACTCACGTGACGCTCCTCCTCCAAACAACTCCACACCCATGCTCATCTCCCAACCTTACATCATGCTCAAGCAGTCCAACATGGCGTCCAGGATGGAGTCGTTCTGCTGTTTGCTCGCCTCGCTTTTCCCCAAAGTCTTTTGCATCGGCGTGGTGACGTGGGCGTTGTTTGTGTTGCTCCTTCTCATAACTCCCGACATGGCAGACGCCTATGGCTCCGCCATCACCTACACGCTCGTGGTGCTGGAACTCGTGCTATACACATTGATCATCTACAGCTACTTCCTCGTCATCCGAGTAGGTCCAGGATCTCCATTGGACTACCCTGAGCTCAGAATACGAAACATCCAGAGCCTTCGTCCCCAGAACGTGACGAAAATCACAAGCACCGTGGATGGAGAGGGCCGTCACGAGGATACAGAAGGCCCAATGGACGAGTCATTGCTCGATCCCAGCCACGAAAGCCCCTACGACGACCCCAGCGTGCCTTTCTTGTCAAACACCGACGAGTTGGTCGCCCCAGAATCGCCCCCCACCGAGTTCATGACCGTCCATTCGAAGCGAGGTGGTGGAGTGGTGTTCTGTACCAAGTGTCTGGTGTGGAAACCCGACAGAACTCACCACTGTTCAAGTTCAGGCAAATGCATTCTTCGCATGGACCACTACTGCCCGTGGTTCACCACTTGTATCGGGTACTTCAACCACAAGTTCTTTGTGCAGTTCTTGGTGTACGTCAGCATCTACTCGGGACTTCTTTTCGGGGCCTCGCTAGCGGTGTTGTGGAGGTTTTTCACTGGCGAGGTGTACAAAACCGGCCAGTTCTTGTCCATCAACGTGGTAGTGCTCTTTGTATTGGCTGCTGCATTTGGCGGTGCCACTGCCGTGTTTGCAGGCTTCCTGGTGTATTTGGTTTTGAGGAATAAGACGACGCTTGAGCTCCATGAGGCCAACTGGGACAAAGGTTTCCAGTACGAATTCAACAAAAACGAGAAGGTCGGCAACATCTACGACCTTGGATGGAAGAGGAACTGGACCAGCATAATGGGCGAGACTTGGGCTCACTGGCTCTTGCCAGTAGCAGCAACATCTAGATCGATCCACGCAAAAAATAACGGTATCAACTTCGATGTTGATGAGGAAATGTACGAGCGTTTCTGCCAGCAGTCGCAGTTGCAGTCGCAGTTGAACCAGCAGCTCCAAGAGTACGGCCAAAGAAGACGGGATGCCCGCCAGAATTAGTCATCAATTACATAATATTACTGTTGCTGGCAATTGGCCATAGGCCGTGGATGGGAGTCGATTGTGGAGTCGCGCGGAACGTGAAATGATATGGAGAGGTACTGAAACATACGACAGTTCAAAAAATTGTGTTTTAAAGTACCAGTGCCTGTGAAGGAGGATCTAGAGAAATGGCCAGTAATGCAGCACCATTTGTTAATTAGCCAACAAGAGGCCAAGGATAGGTACAGGGAACTTCTTCCACGATAAGTTGCGAGCAACAAGCCCGGGTATTGTCTATATCCACAATTCAATTCCATCCCTGTCCCAGTATAGCAATTTTTTGCATTCAAACTCGCTGGATGGAACGGCGATCCAGATTATAGAGACATATGTATACATCAAATATATAAGTATAGGAGAGATTTTGAACAGAGGTATACGAAAGAATAATTTATGGAATCAGGGCCAATACTTAGGTATAGATATAAGAAGCAAGTTAAATGATAAATCAGGATGGTTTTTGCGCTATTAATGCTGAAACTATTGTTGTTAGAGCCGAACAAACTAGGGTGGTCTAGAACTCGATGATACCTCGCAGCTGGCCAATATCAAGACGCACAATAGAAGTATGCCACACGAGAGGAGGGAATTTGTCTTGCCGCAAATAACATGCTATAAGTTGACGGAAAGACTGCTAGATATTTGAGCCACGTCTTCTGGTTGCACTTGTCAGAATCCTTGAAGCAAGTTATTGTTATTTCTAACAGCAAAGATAGGAACCAAAAGTAACAAGAACAAACACCACAAAAAATACAATAACGAGCTCCTGGGATTGATGGATAGACCACAAACGAACAGGTCCCCACTTCCTTCTCTCCTAGCCCTGCTGGCTTTCCTAATACGCTAGAAGAGTATTGAATTTCATTTCAGACCACAATCCACCAATCCATTCTTGGACCATTTTACTTACTACTAGAACAATTCCTAGAAATAATCTCTCTTATCGCCATATAGCTCACTACTTTCACTACACTTGCCAACAGTAATCCCCTCCATTAATCTCGTACATTGTTCTGCATTTTCTCGCTCCATTAATCACCTTAATTCAATGGTCTGGGGAAGCCAATTGAGCTTAAAACTTACGAATCATACCAGACCTTCCACCCTGCAGAACAACATACAAACTTGGTCAATTTGACTAGCCTGTCACTACTACTATACTGCCTAGAAAGCATCTCAATCGCCTCCGGCCTCCATCCTCCATCATTCTCAGTCGCTTCCAGTTATCTCCCATCATTAATCTCACCAACCCGTCCTGCACACACCCGGTACTTTTCAGCCAGCAAAAACTCGACGCCTTCCATCACACTCCACAGCCATGTACGTCCAGCTTCCGTTCGACGAGCTCAAGGTCGACCCCAACCAGAAGAAGAGAATCGCCTACTTCTACGATGCCGATATCGGCAACTACGCGTATGGCGCCGGACATCCCATGAAGCCTCATCGGATAAGAATGGCCCACTCGTTGATCATGAACTACGGACTCTACAAAAAGATGGAAATCTACCGAGCCAAGCCTGCCACCAAGCAGGAGATGTGCCAGTTCCACACGGACGAGTACATCGACTTTTTGAGCCGCGTTTCGCCCGACAACTTGGAGATGTTTGCCAAGGAGCAGATCAAGTTCAACGTGGGAGACGACTGTCCCGTGTTTGACGGGTTATTTGAGTACTGCGGGATCTCTGGGGGTGGGTCCATGGAGGGTGCTGCCCGTTTGAACCGTGGAAAGTGTGATATTGCCATCAACTATGCCGGTGGGCTCCATCACGCCAAAAAGCTGGAGGCCTCAGGGTTCTGCTACTTGAACGACATCGTGCTTGGTATCATCGAGCTCTTGCGGTACTACCCACGTGTGTTGTACATCGACATCGATGTGCACCATGGTGACGGAGTTGAGGAGGCGTTCTACACCACCGACAGAGTCATGACTGCGTCTTTCCACAAGTATGGAGAGTTCTTCCCAGGAACAGGTGAATTGAGAGACATCGGGGTAGGTGAGGGTAAGTACCACTCAGTTAACGTGCCCTTGAGAGACGGAATCGACGATTCCACCTACAAGTCCATTTTCGAGCCCTTGATCAGCAAGATCGTGGAGTGGTACCAGCCCTCTGCCATTGTGTTGCAGTGTGGAGGAGACTCGTTGAGTGGTGACCGTTTGGGTTGCTTCAACTTGTCGATGCAGGGCCACGCAAACTGCATCAACTTCGTCAAGTCGTTCAACATCCCCATGATGGTGCTTGGGGGTGGAGGCTACACGATGAGAAACGTTGCCAGAACCTGGGCCTTCGAGCTGGGATTATTGAACGACGTGTTGTTGCCCACGGAGTTACCTTACAACGAGTACTATGAATACTACGGTCCTGACTACAAATTGGACGTCAGACCCTCCAACATGTACAACAGCAACTCGCCCGAGTTTTTGAACAAGATCTTGGTCAACATCATATCCAACTTGGACCACACTAAGCACGCTCCGTCGGTGCAGATGAACTACGTACCGCGCGATGCCGAGGACTTGGGTGACGAGGACGAGGACGAGGCTGACGCCATGGACACCAAGGGTGGCTCGCAGTACGCCCGTGACGAGCAGGTCCAGCAGTTGACCGAGTTCTATGATGACGACGAGAAGGACGCGGGCGAGAGAAACATCGCCATGGGCGAGGCGTTGCAGGAAGCCACCAAAGACGCCCACAAGACGGTGGAAAAGAGTAATGGAACTAAATCGGAGGCCGTGCCAGCTGCGGCTGGTGCATCCGTTTCCAAGGCTTCGGATGCAGGCACCTCCGAGTCCATCCTCACCCCTGACGAGCTCCAACAGATCAACGAATTGAACGGAGAGAGCTAGATGTATTTTAGGCGGCACAGGCATGTCCGCGTCTGTAAAAGTAAACGAAAGAGACAATGGCTGTAAGGGAGGATTGGAAAGAGGATTAGGAGACTTTTCAGATGGAGTTCTAATATGTTCCAACTCAGAGAAAAATATTGCAGGGATCTTCTTCCTGAAAAATAATTTGGATAAGACCAAACACCGATGTTAACTTGATGGTAAAAATCATAAGCTAGTATGCGCTAATAGGTCGTTACTACAGGCAGATAATAGTGCTCCTAGCCAGAGTAGCGAACTATAAAAGGGCCAATGGCTCGATAGCTGAATATCTATAATAAGATTCATTAAACGCACAAAAAGCAGCAAATCATCGTAATACTAAGCATCTAAGTATGAAAACCGTCATCGGGGAGCATCCAGCTAGACCACCCCACTGAGTGGCCATCTTCAAATGGCTTCCTGAAATCCAAGACCAAAATTGGCTCATGGGTTGGCAGTGATCCGGTTTCGGGCAAGTTTGATACCTTCAGTCTCTAGAAAAATCCACCTGTTAAATTTTAGAACCAATTTACAGACGTGTCTAGAGCTATTAAATCCAACAATTCGGTAAACAGCATCGAGATTGGTAGAAAATGGCATGTCTGATCTGAAGATTCGGGATTTGCATTTTGGGTGCAAAATCATATTTTATCGGAGTACTTAAGAACGACCAAGATAATTGCAGCAGCTGGTAGACTACTCTGGAGTGGTAATGGCTAGCTTTTTTAGACTGTAATTGAATTTCGAAAGATAATAGGGTATTCCATTATACTAAGATTTTTCTTATTGTCCTCAAGAAATCAAGAAAGTAATGAGTGAATCAGAGAAGATGAAGAAGGTTGAAAAACAAGTACCAACTTCAGGAAAAGTAATTTCCAATAAGAGAAAAATCAAGATACGAACAGAGTGAGATATGAACTTCAACCAAAATATGACAATCAACTATCAATATATTTCCTCACCAAAAGAAGAACGCATCTTGAAACACGCAGCTTGCGATTATGCTATTACTATACATCTTCACTCACTAGTGCTGTACAGGTTTAAATAATTTTGATTCAACACTAATGGTCAAGAAAAATAAACGGAGATTGAAGTGATGCTCCACATTAAACTCGCTCTTGCTTTCTTGGAGGTGCTACTATTTTGATAACTACGATAAATTCACCCATTTGTAGAGCATCGAGTCTTTAACCCCAGAAGCCATTAGAAACATTTAAGAATGGCATCGCTGGAAACCATTGCTCGTTGACTCACTGAAGAGATTCGACAGGTCTATTGATTGGATGCATTATCTTTGGGGCAGCTAATAGTAGGTTATCTACCGTGGTCATTTCTTTAAGATACAAATAAATGGCCGAGAAAGAGATATATGAATATAATGCAACTATCTTGCTGAGTTAGCTCATGAAATAATCTGAAATATATAATTATGAAATTTGATAGCTGTTAGGGTTAAGGGAGCTCACACCTTTAGCAACATGACAGTAGCTCAGAATATCAAAATATAACCACTACTCTTATAATGGTACCTTAAGAGGCTTTGTATGAAGAAGCCACCCACTCCAGACCCCGACATACCCTAATCTCTCACAGATCCTATAATACACTATAAACTGTTCTTCCCATCTCATGATGTTTGGGCGTGCACGACCGCACATCAACATTAGGCTCAGGCAGCCAAATTTCTTGCACCAAAATGACCATTTGCCACACACTCCAAACGGCAGCACGAGGCTCTTCCTGGACCATTGCTGCAATTAGAAGGGCATTTTCTTCACCGGCGCTGCCAGCAGGTAGCGTTAGGCGAGCCTCATGTCGCAACATTCACAGCATTTACAACACTCCCAGCACTTACATCCTCCATAATACTCACAATATCTACACCGCAAGCACCACCAGACCTACCAGAACAACACGAAACCCAATTTTCATCTCCCAACGTGCATTGAGCCAGCTCCAGTCGGCTGGCACGCTCGAAATCAGATCGTGTCGTGAGCTCACGCCAGCCAAGTTTCCTGAGTACGTGGCAGCCACTCCCACCAACCTCCACAACATGATCTGGCGATCGCCGCTTCAGAACGTGTATGTGGTTAAGAAGCCGTGGAATGCACGTGTCCGTGACGCTATGGTTCAATTCATCGACCACATCCACCACGAGTACGCCGCCGTCAACATTATTGTCAGTGAGGACGTGGCAGACGAGTTGGCGCAGGAATGGAAGGGCTCCGGACGTCGGGTGGTGTATACAGGCCCCATTGGTGAGATCGTGGCCCGCACAGACTTGGTGGTGACCATGGGAGGCGACGGTACCATCCTCCGAGCTGTCAGTGCGTTTTCCAGCGTGGGAGTGCCGCCAGTCTTAAGCTTCTCCATGGGCACATTAGGGTTCTTGCTTCCATTCGACTTTTCTACCTTCAAGCACAGCTTTCGCCAGGTGTACGAGTCGCGGGCCAAGGCGTTGCACCGCCACCGGTTGGAGTGCTACGTTAAGCGCACGGATTCCGACACCAATAGGGCACTCGAGGGTGTGGTGGGCCCCGAGAAGGTTATCCACGCCATGAACGACATTACCCTTCATCGGGGGTCTCAACCACACCTCACCTCTCTCGATATATTCATCGATCACGAGCTACTCACCACCACTACCTGCGATGGAGTGGTCATCAGCACCCCCACGGGCTCCACTGCATACTCGTTGAGTGCTGGTGGCTCCATTGCCCATCCACTGGTCCCATGCATCCTCTTGACTCCCATCTGTCCCCGGTCGTTGCTGTTCAGGCCATTGGTGCTTCCCGTCACTTCGCACGTTTCGGTGCGACTCAGCGAGGAGAATCGCAACAGGCTGATCAAGTTGACCATTGATGGAATAGCCCAGCGCAGCTTGCGGCCAGGAGACGAGATCTGTGTCAGCAACCCCGAGCACGAGCTCGTGAAACTGGAGCTGGCAGGGGCTCCAGGCATCTGGTGCGTGGCACGGACTGAGAACGACTGGACCAACGACATTAACGAGATGTTGGGATTCAACAGCTCGTTTGGGAAGGTATAGGTGGCCACTGGGGGTCATAGACATCTTTTACTCCTATTGGAGGTATAGAGAAACCACTGATACGGAGCAATATCATTAGGGTCAAGTACAAGCCTACGCCAGACATTGTGGAGAGTAAGAAACGATAATCACGTCATTGGGAGGTAGAGGTCCGTCAATTCGAAAAAGTATTGATTAAAGAGATGGTGATGATAAGGTCTGTTATTCATACTTCAAGCAAATTTTGGAAGTATGGAGATAGTATAGATAGTTCGGGAATGCATCCAAGCAACAACTGCTGAAGAGTTAGAATAGAGATACTCAGACATTGCCCAATTCATAGTCAAGCAATAGCCGTTGGAGATAGAATAAGTTAGTTCGGCCCTTTATCAGCATGTATCAAGCGAATTTTGAAGGAATAGAGATAGTAAAAGTTAGTAAAAGATAGCTCGGGACTGTCACTAATGCATATGTCAAAATGGAAGTAGAGAGAATAGACTTCAGGTCTACCAATGCGCTTCAAGCACGGGAGGTATAGAGATAATAGGATAGTGTTTGAATCTGTCACCTATGCAGAAGGTATTGACAGCATACAGCTTCTGTCACCACGCACGGAAGGTATAAAGTTATTGCATACGTCAGGACAGCGTCAGGACAGCCGTGCGCACCTCCTAGCACCAGCACTTGTAGATGTGCAGGCCACAGCTCCTGCACGGGACACAGGACCTGAGTGTGAACGTGACATGGGTCTCCGCCGGTTGCTGGGGCAGTGGACGTCAATCGGTACCACCCGGTGTATCGAACCGCCTTGTACAGCCGGGTCCGCATCGAGCGTTCTGCACATTCCCATGGATGCCGACCGATAGACGGGACCGTCACGTGTCGGCAACTGGAGTCACCCATGCTGGCCACTGTCTAGGAGCACGCCTTAATTTGCACGTCAGGCGTTTCGGGACTGGCGACGCCTCTCGCGCCATGTGGGGAGCACATGACTCCACCGGAATCTTCTCGGCAACACGAACACGTCGTCGTCGACAGCTTCAGGGGGTGCAACTTCTATTTCAAGCGAGGCCCCAGAACAGGGGTGCACCTATCCAGTGACCCTTATTGGGCTGGACGGTGCACCCCCTGCAAATTCGGACCCGGGCTCAAGACCCGCAAACCGGTCGGGCACCCCCTATTCGGCATTGATACGGATGGCGCTGCCAGATAATAACAAATACGCCACTAGGGAAGATGGTTGCCAGGGCAAAGTCACGTGGAATGGGGGTGCACATCCACCCGGTTTGCGGCAGGCACACCCCCTCCAGAATTCCCCATTCGTGTCTGGACAATCAATCGTGCTTCGCTTCCGCCACTGGGCTGCGGCTCGTAGTCGCAAGTAGTCGCGACGTTGGCCTCCACTGGCCACGACCATCGTACAAAAAATTATCTGTCCATCACTTGTTCTTCTTGCACAACCACTAATGGCACTTAATAAGGCACTCCACGTCAACGGGAGCTACCATCTTTCTCCTGCCATGAACGAGATGGCGCAAGCTGCACAAGCCCAGGCCGCTCAAGCCGCTCAGGCGCAAGCAGCGCAAGCAGCACAAGCACAAGCACAAGCCCAGGCAGTCCAGACGCAACTGGCGCCCGGCTTCCCCAACATCCTCAGCGAGACCACCGCTGCCACCTGGTTGGCCATCGGTTCGCTCGCCGAATCGCTCGGCGATCTCGAGAAGGCGTTGAGCTCCTACGACGCCGCTCTCAGACACTTGCCCAACAACCCCGAGACCTTGATCAAACTCGCCAATATCTACCGGTCCAAGGATGTCTTCTTCAAGGCCGCCGAGCTTTACGAACAAGCTTTAAACTATCACCCCGAAAACGGCGAAACCTGGGGCTTATTGGGCCACTGCTACCTCATGTTGGACGACTTGCAGCGTGCGTACGCTGCATATCAGCGCGCACTTTACTACTTGGATAACCCCAACGTGCCCAAGCTCTGGCACGGCATCGGGATTCTCTACGACCGTTACGGGTCGTTGGAGTACGCAGAAGAGGCGTTTGTGCGGGTGTTGGAGTTGGACCCCAACTTCGACAAGTCCAACGAGATCTACTTCCGGTTGGGTATCATATACAAGCACCAGGGCAAGTTGCAGTCTGCACTTGAATGCTTCCAGTACATCCTCAACAACCCTCCGCACCCATTGACGCAGCCCGACGTGTGGTTCCAAATCGGGTCCGTGCTCGAGCAGCAGAAGGACTGGTTGGGTGCGAAGGATGCATACGAAAAGGTGTTGGAGGTCAACCCGCAGCACGCCAAGGTGTTGCAGCAGTTGGGCTGCTTGTACTCGCAGGCAGAAACTACCACGCCAAACGGCACCACTGCTGCCAATGGCGCCAACGGCGCGGCCCCAGGCGCGTTCCAGCAGGACCTCGCCATTGCGCTCAAGTACCTCTCGCAGTCACTTGAAATTGACCAGAGCGACGCCCACTCGTGGTATTATCTCGGCAGGGTGCACATGATGCGCGGCGACTTCAATGCTGCATACGAAGCTTTCCAGCAGGCTGTCAACCGTGACTCGAGAAACCCTACCTTCTGGTGCTCCATCGGTGTGCTCTACTACCAGATCTCCCAGTACCGTGACGCCCTCGACGCCTACACCCGTGCCATCCGATTGAATCCCTACATCAGTGAAGTTTGGTACGATTTGGGTACCCTTTACGAAACCTGCAACAACCAGATCAGTGACGCATTGGACGCATACAGACAGGCAGAGAGATTGGACCCTGGAAATCCCCACATCAAGGCCAGATTGGACCAATTGGTCAAGTACCAGCAGGACGGTAACACTCACCCACCACAACCACCTCCAGTCAGCCAGCAGCCTAGATTGCCCCAAGGAATGGTGTTGGAAAGTGCGCAACAACCACAGCCAGGTGTTCCCGGAGGCCCTCCAGGAGCCGCAGGACCACAGCCACCGGCTGGAAGCTCGGGTCCCGTACCTCTCCACATGTTGGGAACCCAGCCACCTGCGGGCCCTCCAGGAGCTCCTGGCCAGCTTCCTCAACCTCCACAATTGCAACAACCATACCAACACCCATCGCAACTTCCCCCACAATTGCAAGCTGTGCAGCAAGCGCCCAGCGTGCATCAGCTCAACGTCCCTGAGAGAGGCAAGTCACCTGCGGGTGCGTCTGCGCTCGCTGCACTTTCTGCACCGGCTGCACCGGCTGCTCCTGCCGCCGCCACTCCGCCGGTTGCAAGTAGTCTGAACGGGTCCAAGAGAGATCTCGACGACAAGAGAGATACCAAGTTGTTGAAGAAGGCACACGCCTCATCGTCCAAGTCGTCGCCCAAGCCAAACAACAGTTCGCTCAGCTCGTTGATGAACGCCGCTGCCTCGGTGGCTTCTGAGGACGCCAGAACTGAGGCCTCGGTCAAGGCTGAAAACGGAAGTGTGCAGCCCACAGCACCTGCGGTGGCTCCTGCGCAAGCAGCTACTCCTGCGGCTTCCGCTACCCCACCGGTAGCTGCCAGCGCCCACCACACACCCGTTGCTGCGCCTGTTGCGCCTACTGCTCCAGCACCCGTAATCCCTGCCGCTGCAGCACCGGCACCAGCACCAGCACCAGCACCAGCACCACCAGCACCAGCACCAGCACCAGCACCAGCACCACCAGCACCTGCGGCAAAGGCCTCCTCGCCACCAGCCCCATCACCACCAGTTGCTCAAGTTGCACCAGCTGCGTCAGCACAAGCATCACCAGCACCAGAAGTTGCACCTGTCGATGCTGCACCTGCACCTGCCGCACCTGCTCAAGCTGCGGTGCCTGCGCCTGCGCAGGCCTCGGCACCAGCATCCAACTCCGGTACTCCTGCCCCCAAAATCCCCCAGTTCTCGTCCAACGTGACTGGCAAGAACGATGATGATGACGACGACGACGACGTGGAAGACGAAAAGAAGAACGAGGCCGTCGAGCCACCCATGAGAAAAGTCGAAGAAGACGAAAATTACGATGACGAATGATGCATCATGCACTCTTTCTCTGTTACATTAATGTATTTTTATGCGAGCTCCTATTACTGACTTTCTTATGTTTAAATATCTTCCATACTGTGTTAATATACTACTCTTTTATAATATTTTTCGCTTGTAAAGAAGACAAAATACCACCTGGAGCTAATTGGATGTGGTATAGCTTGAAAACTTCTTCGACACATCAAAATGAAGTGAACACTAACTCTGTATTGTCTAGCATCGAATGATGGGAGGTGGAATAATTGTTTGCTAAAGGGAAATAATTTGTTTCAAAGGCTTGCGCTTGTGAGGAATTTCCAGATCAATCACTCAACATAGTTGGCGTTGAAATTTCTTTCGTCCGAGTTCAAATTTTATAATATCTCTTGACCTCTGCTTTGACATCAATATGAGTAGTGACTCTATTGATGTTTGTGACTCTGTGTCCGCCCTCAATGTCCTCCGTTGATTTGTTGCTAATCCGAAAAATTAATAATATCCCAGTGATCGAATTTCTTCTAATTCACCAAGGGTAACTACCGGGAAACGACTGAGTATCCTGGTACTCTTCATCGCCCGATTCTTCCGTGGTAGGGTAGTTTTCTGTCGAGGTGGCTGGGGCAAAAAACCGATTGTATGCGGCCGTGACATTGGAATTTATCCTGTCTAAATGTCCCGGTTCCGGCTTGCTTGTGTCCTTCTTCTCGGGAGGCGAGTAGCTGGTCAAGATCCTCATGTTGGACAACTGGTTGGCCCTTTTGTAGCTGAGGTAGAGGTTGGCCAAGTCCTTTACAAACACTACTCCCACGAGACCGATGATATTGCTCAAAAGCACCAATTTCTCGTGGGGCACATTTGGCACTGGTACCATTCTCCCCAATACGGTGTGGAACACAACCGTGCCCAATTTGGAGCTCAAGTACGGCCAGATCAAGGTGGTGACACACCGGATCATAGTGGACTGTGTAAGCAAAGTCTGCGAGTAGTCGTTGACCAAGCAGGCCTTGAGTTTGTACCACCAGTTTGCAAGAGTGAGTCTGACGTAGCTGAAGGGGATGTTGGAGGTCAAAATGGTCTGGAGTAAGAGCACGCGCTTCTTCAAGTGGAGATAGAGCGAATGAGAGCCAGGCGAGATCTTAAGGTGCTTTCTGACCTCGATGCGTTCGTGCTGGATTCTGCGTTCGAGCTCCTTGAGCTTGTCGTTGAGCTCCTCGAGTACCTCCACGTCACCTGGAGGAAGGCTGTTGGTGATCTCGCGGGGCCGTATGCTCAATGTCAAGTCGAAGTGGGCCTTGTTGATTACCAAGCGCGAGAAGAGGTCGTATGCCCATCTGATGGGGATCACCATGGAAATCATGTTGGGAGTTTTCCACCAGTTGACGCCTCTGAACAAGTCAACACCCTGGAGGACGCTGGTTGGGTCTCTGGTAAAGTCGGTGACGATTCTTTGTCCATTGGCTAGCACTATTCGTGCCAATTCGTGGTTGCCCAACGATGAGATGTAGCCGTTGACGAGAAATTCCGTCACCCAGTTGCTGACCTTCAGCTCCTTGGACTTGCCAAACAAGCACTCGCTGAGCGACGAGCCTCGCATGCGGTAGAGCATGATAGGCAAGAGAGGTATCCGCGAGAACTTCAACGGATCAATCAACCCTTTGTACAACGCCTGCTCCAAGTTGTCGATGGCGTAGTTGTTGACATTGCCGAGCAACAACTGGGAGAGTGTGTTGTAGGTGGAGGAGGCGCTGGAGGCGACGTTGCGCTTGGTAAGCATCAGCACGAGCAACGGTCCTGGAATCAAGCAATCCATCATCTTTAGTCCACACGAAGTGAGTCCAATGTAGCCCATAGACACCACGCCTGTCACGGCAGACGTGAACCCCAAGAAGAGTCCTCCGAACTGGATAGTCCGAATTAACAATTGCCGTGTGTTGGTATTGGCAGCCAAAAGCGACGAGCGCTTCATGGAAAACACGATATCCAGTTTACACTGGGGACACGGCGCTAGGATGAACACCACAGGCGTGTTGAGGGCACGGGAACCGCTGAAGTCCACCAGAACTGCCTCCACATCGCCAGTGGCGTTGTCACTCACGTCTTCTTCTGAGGCACCCTCAGCGGCTGGCGTTTGCACTTCCACAGCGTCAGTATTTGCACCGTCCGACGACGAGCTCCAGAGGTTCTGCGAGATCCAGTCCCGCACCAGTCCTGGCGACAAGTCGATATAGATCTGGGTAGTGTTGTCTTGGTTATCTGCCAAGTTGGTACTGAGGGCGTTGCGCCGTGACGTGAGCGTTTCGTGCACGGCCTGGGGGTCGATGACCTGGAGCTTATCCAGAGGAAGAGCATTGAACCAGTCCAAGAGGCACTTGCGATGGCTTTGTATCGAACAGGTCGAACAGGGACATATGAAGTCCTCGCCATCCTTAAGCTCGCCAAACGAAGGCACGTCTGTTTCGCCTCCGAGGCAGAAGCAGCATACCTTGGGAGAAGCCATGGTTCTGCGAGAGTTAGTGAGGTGTTGGAGGGGGTATTAGACGGGAAAGCTAGAGGGTATGGTTGACGTATTCTGGGGTATGGAAGGAGTGACTTCTGCACGTGAATAACTGCACGTGAACAACATGTGATAGTCGGAAGAATGTGCGACATGCGACATAGGCCTGGACACTTCATGCTATCTAGCTTGGAAACAGGAAACGGGAGGGAAGAGATTGAGGTTGGTGGATTACCGATAGACTAGATAGCCATCATCGACGTTTGCAAAACTAACTGAGAAAGAGCACAATTCGCAAAGTATTTGTTGAAGATATTCAGAGTTTAAAGTATCAGAATTTACATAGAACACTTAGAAATGTCGTAAACATACTTCAGTACTCTCCCTTCTCCATCACTCTGCAGCATAGATCGCGAAGCGCAGCCATTGACTTCTGGCACTCAGGCCGAACTACAGATAAAATTAGTAACGGATTACTAATAAATGAAAGCCAGATAACAGAGGACGAAGTCCTGAGGCTGTTCAGCTGAAGACTCTACTTCTTCGCCTAGTACGACCATATCACCTAAATTGGCTCACCATATATTATGAGTGCAGGATAATCATTTCTAATCACCAAACGTTCACTTGTGGTAATCAACTCCATTTTGTATAAACGATTGATCAACCTCGTACCAGTACGCATACCTATTTACCTGGTCGCTCACAACTGCTTGGCGAGGTCCAATCCCACCGCAAAGTGGTACAACCGTGCATCAACGGTACATCCCTCGCGCTGGATCACGGCTTCAAGCTCAGCCAACAAGTTGTTTAACGGCAAAGTAAACGTCTCTATGAACTCACCATCTTCCAACTGGGGCTGGGGCAGCTTGTTGTGCACGTCGCTCAAGTCCACGTCCACATATGCGAGAACCATGTTAGCGTTGGTCAACCCAGGGTCACTGTAGGTGACAATGGACTGTCTGGCAAACTTTCCGTGGTATCCCGTCTCCTCAAGCAACTCACGCTCAGCTGTGGACTCGATCAGCTCCTTGGGGTCGATCAAGCCTGCTGGCAACTCAAGCACCACTTTTTGGGTGGGGGGTCTGTACTGCTTGACAAGCACAATTTCCTTGGGACGATCAGGGTGATGTAACACTGACACGATCGACACGGCATCCACGTTGGTTGTGGCGGTACGCGTAGTTCTGACTGCCATTTCCCATACTCGGTCCGAGCCGGTAGGATCTTGGTAGTTGATTTTGCGGGTTTGGATCCATTTTCCCTGGTCTAAATTCTCTACCAGCACGTGGCGGGCATTGTAGGGGGACAGTTTTGACATTGTGTGTGCTAAACGGGGCAATTGGCGGCAGAGGGGAGAACGGAGGGACCGATTCAACATGGGGTGGGGGAAGCGATTTAGCGGTTGAACTTATCACGCGATGAAAATCACGTGACACAATTCCATCCCAGCTATGATTAATTGTATATCATTTATACTGGCGATCTCTTCTTTCGGATGGCTCTATTGAGCATAGCAACATGTCAGAAATTCAAGATTTGCGCAAATATGGAGATTTAATATAGTACTTGCCATATTGTTGCACTATAAATTTGGTGAAGGCCTGAGTGCAAGCGGATCCAACTCTAAGAATGGAGATTTATCGATTTTGTTCTATTGAACACTATTCGGTGGAATTGAATCAAAGAAATTCCCACCAGTTTAAGGCACTACTAGTAAAATTCCAATTTATCTTCGACATATTCCTTCCAATCTTTTGGGTCCCTCGTGGGGCAATTCATTCAATTTTGGCCCATTGATGATGGGTTTCCTGTTATTCTCGGGGGAATGGACCGTCAAACAATGCTCTCTGGCTAGCCATTCCTTAAAGGGTTAGTTTCCCTTAAAGCAGGTGTCCAAATCGTGCTCCAGATCCAAGTCGTGTCCCACCCAATCTCGGTCCTCTCAGTGTCGTATTTTGCCATAGCCCAACAGCCCTCCATCACATCCACTCCCCAGCCATGGCCAAGCACGAGGACGAGTTGGACCAGATCAAGTCCCAGATCCAGGAGCATCTTGTGTCGTCCGGGAACTACGACGCCATCAACAAGCAGTTGAAACTTCAGTTGTACGAGGCAGGTTGGTTTGACAAGATGTCCCAGATCGCCAACCGTGAGTTGCTGGAGAACGAGGGAACCCGCAACTTCGACCAGTTGTACGCGTTCATGAAGCCCAAGGCCGAGGAGTTGGTGCCAGCCAAGGTGAAAGAGGATATTTTGGAGAAGATCAAGGCATACTTGAACGATATCATTGAGTAAAGCAGTAGGAAGGGTGGTTGGAATGGAACTGATCGTGTTGACTGAAGTTTCAAAAGGGCACTAGACTGGTGCACCACGCTGCTGGAAGCCATCTGTGGCCAGTTATGGCTAATGTGATTGCTAGCTGTCATTACTGTTTTCACCTCCGCTGCATTGCTGCCCCATAAAATAGCTGTTGCTGATCCAACGATGGGGAGAGGGCCTGGTGCCAAATAGCACCATGCTGGAGTTGCCATACATAGCCACGGGGTTATTATAGTCCAGTTGACTGGACCTATTATATCTCCACAGGAATAAATACACCAATCAATGCATTAAAATAGCACAATCAAGAGCATCTCGTTGGAACTATTAGTGATTCGCTATTCAGAAACCAGTAGTGGGCTCGAGTGTAGGGTGAAATGTTATTCACCAGCGATTAGTCCATAAAAGAAAAAATCGACTACGATAACTAATCACGAAAGCTCCTTCATGGCTGTCGTCTATCGAGATTTGTAGCTACCGAGCTCGTACCCTATACAGCGCTTTCTGGCTTCATTCTACTTGTTCTTCCCGTTTTTGGCGAGCATCTAATGAATGCTTTGCTAGTGTCTTGGAACACAAATTTTTTGCTATAATATACCCCAAAACTCCAAAATTCGTCTCTTATACTAGAGCATAATTGATTTACATAATCCAGTGACCCAGTGACCACTATTCTCCTACAGCATAAATTATAGTCAAAATTACGAGAAAAACCAGTACCAAAAATTTTTAAAAAAAGAGCCAACTCGGCCCATTAACAACATGCCGCCTTATTCAAGATCCCCACCCCCCTGCCGAACCTATAGTGACCCGTTCTAACCCCCCTGGGCCCTTCCCCCTCCCATCCCTCCACCACACCAACACCGAATGTCGCGATGTCGCGTGTCGCGCCCCGCGGCCAATCACGACCGCCAAATTATTGCTGATATACTAGAAAAAAACGACTCAATCTTCAACCCTAACACGGACCAGATGTATTCCTTGACTAGAAGATCCTTATTGAAGGTTGGCCAAGCGCAGCCAATGAAGGTCGTGCCATTCATGGCTGCCTCCCGTTATATCTCCTCCAAGGATTTGACGCCCAAGCCGTTGCCCACCGACTTCACCTTGTTGTCCCAGAAGACTGCCTCCAGTCCTGTGGACTATGCCTTGACCTCGTTGGACGCTATTGCCAACTGGGCCAGAAAGTCATCGTTCTGGCCAGTCACTTTCGGTTTGGCGTGCTGTGCCGTCGAAATGATGCATGTGTCCACTCCTCGTTACGATCAAGATAGATTGGGTATCATTTTCAGAGCCTCCCCTCGTCAATCGGATATCATGATTGTTGCTGGTACAGTCACCAACAAGATGGCTCCAGCCTTGAGACAAGTGTACGATCAAATGCCCGACCCAAGATGGGTCATTTCCATGGGTTCGTGTGCTAACGGTGGTGGATACTACCATTACTCATACTCGGTGGTCAGAGGCTGTGACAGAATCGTTCCAGTCGACATCTATGTTCCAGGATGTCCTCCCACTGCCGAGGCTTTGATGTACGGAGTTTTCCAATTACAAAAGAAGATGATGAAGACCAGAATCACCAGATTGTGGTACAGAAGTTAATAATTGCATTTGGCTCTCGGGTCGTTACATAATAATCGTGTGGTTAGTGTAAAATATATATAAGAAGACTGAAGTGTAGGTGATATGCTGCTAGAATTCGACCAAGAGTATGGAGTTCGATCAAAGATGTGTAAGCTACACACTGTGGGTGTTCCTGCGTCCGAGATAGGTCCAAGGTAGGCCTCCTGGGCCTCCCCCGCCTTTTCATGACTTCTTCAGTGTTGTAATTCTCCTTGCTTTGTTGAGATAAAAGATCAGTTGCTCAGGAACGGAAACTTGGCGAAATAATATTATTAAAAATTACATCAACGCCACGATTTTGAAGACCAATATCCTACTGTTGTTGCAACTGCTTTGTTAAAGGTTGTTGCACTTGGCCATCCCACGCCAATCTCTTCTCTCGTGTTGTGTTGATTTTCCAGGCACCCCCCATTTAATTATTTGTGGCCGGTTTGTGGCCTGGAAAAGTGATCCCAAATGGAGCAGCATTGGAGTAGCTGGGGGCTACAGAATCCTGCCATACGTCATTCCCTGGAGCCCATTTTGGAGGGGTTAGCTCCCGTCAAATGTAGAACAAATACATATTAATCCCAAAAGAGAAGAAAATTGGCTGGATCTGATAGCTTATCACCCAGTAACACGACTACCACAAATGACTGGAAGGATTGAGCCCGATCACTGCTCTGTGATTTTTTCCATCCATTCTGGCAGTTTCAGGGTGGTATTATCGAGAAATATCACTGGTGAACAGCTAAAAAAACCGAAAAAAAGAATAAGGTAGTCTACAATCTCTTTCTGACCTATTCGAGCATACCATACCCGTTTCCAGCCCCATACTAGCCCCCCATGGCCCACCACCACTACCACCACCTTATCGCTACAGTCGCTTATCGCACGTAGACCACGTGACGGGGCACTTCCGCAACCCTCGCATCTGATTGGCTCACAGCCACCAATTTTCTACCACCACTTTTTTCTGGTGCTCTCGCCACTTCGCGTTTCTTTTTGGTTGCTTTCCCCCTACTCATGACCCCTCAAATCTCGCCCCGTAGATAACTGCCGTAGCCCCCCCGAGATTTCTCATTTTTTCTCTCCCTTTTCTTCTCATCAACAATATGGCCAGAACTAAACAAACAGCCAGAAAGTCCACCGGTGGTAAAGCCCCAAGAAAGCAGTTGGCCTCCAAGGCCGCCAGAAAGTCTGCCCCCGTCTCCGGAGGTGTCAAGAAGCCCCACAGATATAAGCCAGGTACCGTTGCTTTGAGAGAAATCAGAAGATTCCAAAAGTCGACCGAGTTGCTAATCAGAAAGTTGCCATTCCAAAGATTGGTCAGAGAAATCGCTCAGGACTTCAAGACCGACTTGAGATTCCAGTCGTCTGCCATCGGTGCCTTGCAAGAAGCCGTGGAAGCCTACTTGGTGTCGTTGTTTGAAGACACTAACTTGTGTGCCATCCACGCCAAGAGAGTCACCATCCAGAAGAAGGACATCCAGTTGGCCAGAAGATTGAGAGGCGAGAGATCTTAGATAAGTAGGAATGTATGCGTTATTAGCGAGATGTAGAAGCGATTAGATGACGAGTGGTGAGGGGGAGCGTTGAGAATGTAGGAGTGGTAAGGGGAGGATAGAGCGCTTAGGAAGATGTGCTAGACGGGAGGAGTGGCGGGGTATGCCACCGTGTTGGTCCCGGTGGTCCTCTTCCTGGTGGTCACTGGTGGTCACTGCTGGTTACTAGTGGACACTGGTGGTCTTTATCCCGTCTCAGAAAACCTAGCCAGAACCTGATGGTGACTCCCCTTTTCCAGTCGATCGCCGTCTAACTGGCCCCTGACAATCTTACCAGCCAAGCCACACCAACCACTCTTGACAGTCCAGACTCCGACGTCTCCAAACGCCCACATGTCATGCCCCTTAAGCCGTGGCTGCGACTCCACACAGAAAGGAATGAAGTGGTAAGAACGCCAGAACAGCAAATTCGCCTAACTTGTTGTCTTTACAGGCTAGATAGCGTAGCTGGCAGGCCCATGGCGTGGTGTTGGTGGCTGTGTGTGGGATACTCTACGAGTTCTCTACGAGAACCAAGTGTGATCCACTAGCTGAAACAGAGAATACCAGTGAAATAACATCCTTCTCTCATGAGCAAGAAGGAGTTGATTCTGATGCATGGCCACGTTTACGTTATCCACTTGGTAGATAGCCGACCCGAGCTACTTCAATGGAATTACTGCGATAGTATGCCTGAACTCCTAATGATTATATAGAATCATGAAACCTACGAAAGGCCATGAAAAGCCTCAAGAATCACTAAACTGTGTTTCATCTAGTACATAAAAGCCATGTAATTACTTAAGCATCATGATGAATTGTGTGACACCCATCATAAGATATGAGTATCCATGAGTATCCATGAATTCTGTCTCACGAAATTAATGCAGATTCTACGAAAGTCAACTACTCGGAAATTGTAGTAAGTATCATGAGCCGTACGATGTTTCATGAAACCCTTGAATAATTATGCCATATCATGAAGAATCCGTAGTTTCATGAACAAGCCCGAAAGTCCTTATTTACGGACAATTCCCGTCAGCTCACGGTAAATAGAACACTTCCGTCTGACCATTGACCATTTCTAAAGCATTCAATACTTGCCATACGCCACGACCAACTCTCTCCTCATTCCTACACCCTACACCCAAAAACGAAGGAACTTTTACCATAACTAGTACCAACGGTATATAGCAACCAATATATATCTGCACCGCAGAACCAAGAATCAATCAATAATCAAATTTGAATACAACACAGAACAAGAATACCGATGCAAAACGAAAAATACTCAATCAACTTTAACGAAAACCTTACCTGACCATCGTGGTGTTTTATTGTGTAATACCTCTAGTATGATAACACCGGCGGAATCACTCCTCCCTATTTTCCGGAGCAGCAAACTTGTCTTCCTTGACTTCCTGCTCGGGTGGGTTGGATGGCTGTGGATGATGATGGGGTGGAGGAGGACCCGGGTGGTGTGGATGGGGAATAAACTGCTGGTATTGCATCTCGGGAATGGGGTAGCCTCCATTGTACAACTGAGGAGGCACCATGAACCCCGAGTTCATGTATTCGGGGTTGATTTCTCCACGTTCGCCTCCAATCGAGAGGTTGTTCATGGCGTTCATCAACTCCTCTTGCTGCCCTCCTATCTGGTGAACGTTGTAGTCATTTCCGTGGGGTGGGCCAGTGTAGAAGCCTGGACCATTTTTTGCCGGTTCTTCACTAGCAGACCCATCAAACGATCCGGAGCGTTCGTTACCAGGACCGTTTTCTTGCTCCAAATACTGGCCAGTTTCGTTCTTGGGAACTCCGTTTCCACGGCTCCCGCTCCCGTACTGCGGACCTCCATGGATTCCCATGTGTGGGCCCAAACCTCCTAGTTGTGGAGCACCAGGAATTGGAGGAGGTGGGTAGCCTCCAGCAGCTGCCACAGCAGCAGCTGCTGCAATGGCACTAGCCGTGTCCATTCCCATCGATAACGCAGCCGCTGCCTGTATTTGTGCTGCCTGTGCCACCTGCTGCTGTTGGTGTTGGAATCTTTTATTATTGATGGAAACTCTTCCCCAGCTCAATCTAACTCTGTTTCCACCAATAATGAACCCCTGCATGGCTGCAATGGCCTCCTCGGCCTCCTCGCGGGTGGAATACTTGATGAAGCCGCAGTTTTTGCCAGGGGGGATTTTTACCTGCTGAATAACTCCAAACGACTGGAAAAGTGTAAAAAGGGTGGCCTCCGATACTTCCGATGACAACCCTCCCACGAACACTGTGGTGTTGTTGGGGTCCGTAAACGGCTGGCCTTGACCATTACCTCCGGGTAATGGCGATTTGATGGAATTTTCGTGGTTTTTATCGACATAGATGTCATTTCTATGAGGAGGAGCCCCGTAGTGGGTGTATGGGGAATTGATCTGGGGAGGATTGGGTGGAAGCGGCCCACGCATGTACATGAGGTCCTGGGAGGACGAGGCATCCATGCCGTGGGAGTAGTAATTTTCGCTAGGGGGGGCCAGGCTGGCGAAACGAGACCTGGTGTTGTTTCTGGGAGTGGCCAAGGCCACCCGTAAGGGCCTTCCTCCAAACCAGACGCCGTTCATCTCGATCAATGCACGCTGCCTCTCGGGCTCATCCGTAAAACGCACGAACCCAAAGCACCTGGACTTACCCAGAACCGGATCGGTCATCACCCGGACCGTTTTGACCGAGGTGGGAAAGTTCTTTTGGAAAAATGCTAGGAGATGGGCCTCAGTGGTAGACGCTGAAAGGTCACCCACAAATAGCGAATACTCGGGAGTCTGCACGATGGGAGCACTCAAGGTAGCTCCACTGGCCCAATTGAGCCTGAAATACTTCTTTTGGTTGTCGGGATTGTTGGGATACTGTTGCTGCGATGGCATGGCGATGTCGGGAAGTAGCTGGCCGTTGAGACCCAACGCCTGCTGGGCATCGTCAAACGTGTCAAACTCCACAAAGCAGTAGCCAGAATGGGCCAAGCCGTGGTAAGTGGCGTCAGGACGCGAGTTCTTGGGCTGGATGATCTTGACGCTGACCTTCTTGTGAAGGATGCGCCACCACAAGTCGGCAATGCCTTTCTCGTCCAACCAAGGGTCCAAATCGCCCATCCAGAGGGTCCGTGGCGGATCCACGGGACCCATGCCGCCTGTGGACTCCTTTTCGGCAGCCACGCTGGACTGCTGGGTTGACACGGGCGGATTGGGGATGGCGAAGCTTGAGAGCAACTCCTGCTCCTGCTGGTGCTGGTGGCTGGCAGTATTGGAGGTGGCACCAGGGTCCACTGGTGGCTGTTTGGGGGCCAAAGCGTTGGACGACGACGATGACACGGGCGTGGCGGCTCCGTGGCGTGCCCCTGGGCTGTGGGAAGTGGACGTGTCGTCTGTGGGGGTGTGTGACCCTCTGGAGGTAGAGAGAAACGACATGGTCAGCTGGCGCTTAGCAGTGCTAACGATGGATGTGCAGACCAAAAGGGGAGAATGCCGCTGGGGATGGGGGCCAAGGACAAGGAGGTGGGGGGGACGAACACGAGGATCGATGGACTACTCAATGGCACGAGGATTGAATATGGTGTGGTCCCGGCACTTGAGGAATGCCTGGTGATCTGTTGGCAGACAGTTTTTTTGTGCGGTTAGGGGGGTGGGCGTCTGGCAGGGCGTGTGGGCAGGGCGAGCGGTGGTGTAGCGGTGGCGGAGTGGTGGGAGAGTGAGGGTGCGTGGGGAGGGGCCTAGCGAGAGACCGTGCGAGGATGCGCTGGCGCAGGGGCAGTTTGGGGGGTTTTTCGGTGGTGCGGGAAAGCTAGACGCGCCGGAGACCCTGGAAATGGTACAGTGGGAAGTTATGTTTAGGCTCTGTAAGGAGCGTAGAGCTATGAATGTGATAGTAGAATCTTTCTCCATAAAAGCTGTCTTCATAATGAAGATACTTGAGAGCCAGATGCTGAACCAGAAATAATGTCTAGTATTCTGGATCGAAAATCTATGGTGTGTTGTTTATAGGTGGTAGTATATGACTAGTATAGATAGAAGGTAGCATTCCTAGAGGTGATTATTCCTAGAGGTGATTATTTCCGGAAGAAGTATTTTCTTTCTAGACAGAGACACATGTAGAGTATCTCTTGAAAATGTACCTTGTATGATTTCTGGGTGCAAATACATGTAGAATATTTGTTGAAATTATATCTGGTATAATTTCTACATGAATTCTAAATTCTAAACTATCCTTTCTAATTTATTATCATCTGTATTGTATAAAATTACCTACAATTAGCACAAAGGCCATCTCGTGGATATTTCGTATTACGGAAACCTAGGGAATCACTGATAATAGCCTACATAGGTTATTCTTAGATTGAGTGTATTCCGAACAATTTATGATCTCTCACTCAATTTCTAATTTATCCTAATTGGGGTGGTAATCTTGGGGTCTATCACCCAACTGGTGAACGCTTCGTCCCGCTGCTATTATCTTATCCTCCCCCACTCCATACATCTCCCTTCTCATAACCCACCCATATGCAGGATTTCAGATGTAAACAAAAACCATTCCATTTGCAGCGACTACCGCCAGAATCCCACGCCCAACAACGCCCACTACCACCACTCTGATTCCCTGACAGTGTGCTGTTTCCGTCCCTCGGCCTCGTTCTCCTCCAGTACGTCCGTTCCCGATGCATCCACACCCGCTGGACTCGTCCTCTGCGCCTTCCTCCACGGCCATGAACATCCACCAGTACATCCAGGCCACGAACTTGAGCGACCACAGTCCTGATTCCACGGCCCAGACGTCTGCTGTCGAGCCTGAAAAGACCCAGGACGCGTCTTTTCACTTTATCAACGAAGGCAATCCTGAACCGTCCCAGGCAGTTTTGGGAGATCAAGACAGTCACCCACCGCAAAGCGACGATCACTCCATACGCCTCAACCAGCAGTTGGAGCATTCCAGCAGCTCCAATGACGCCAGCTTGCGTGCCGAGGCAGAGATCCTAGCCCAGAAATCACCTGAAAAGATCATCCAAGAGTCCGCGTACCAGAAGAAGCTTAAGTATCGCCCCAACGTTGAGTTTCAGGCTGGTGCCGAAAACAAGTCCTACCCCACCCAGTCAGAGCCTGGCTCGCCACTTCAATCCATTCCCAACACCTTCAAGTACAAGTCACATCCCAATGCCAGAACAAAGTCTTTCATCGGAGCATCTGCCAACGAATCATTGATCCAAGAAAGCCCCGAGCTCTTGCCTGTGGAACACGAGAAAGAAGACTATACGCCCCCAATCAGAACGTCTACCATCAGGGACAACCCAGTACCGCCTCCAATCACCGCTGCCGACTTCAACACCACCCCCGATTGGATGCCCACAGAATTGGCTGATAAGTGGGAGCCCCCAGCGTCCATAGATGAAAACAATCAAAATGCAATCATTGATCCGGATTTTAACTCCTCGGTGAGAATCACCAAAAAGAAAGATCAAGCGCCTGAAGCACCAATTGAAGACTTGGGATTGGATTTTGCTTCTGGAAACACGATGATTCACAACTCCGATTACAAAACATCTGAAACGCCAATGTGGAAGAAAGCTACCAAAGAGTACGAAATCCATAAACAATCCCAGCCAAATTTGCAAAACATCTTTACTTCTATGGATTCACACGAAAGGATTGACGTAAAAGATAGTCATCTTTCCAACAAGAATGCCCACCACTCCATTTCATCTACCCTATCTACACCCATGGCTACCATGTCGCAGCATAATAGTTTACCTCGCAACCACAACAACGAAGAACTTAAAGAGGTTCAAAACATTTTGGAACAAGAATCTAGACTGTCATACAAATTTCCAGGAAACCCCGAATCCCCACTCAAACTATTTCATGATGACTATAATACATACACTAAGGATAAACTCAACGGTCTACTACAAAGGATGAACAACAAGTCCAACTTGCAAACACCTATTCAATTGGACACAATTAATGAAGATAATGATAGAGTTGCGACAGATAGCTTGCTTCACAAATCGAATGCAATTCATGAGGATGGGCCTTCTTCAACCCCAAATGAAAAATTTCAACATCAGCAAATATCACCTCAAGAATCTATTCAGCCAAAATTGAACATCAAAAATTTCACCAAAACTGGCTCTTATACTGAGCAACAGTTTTTACAGAATGCTAATAATGTTTTCAATAATATCCAGAAAAGGGGATTTATGGGAAAGTTTGAGAATACTGCCAGATCAATTTCCAACTCTCACACCACTGCTACATCCACTCCTAAAAACTTCAAAGCAGTGAACCGTGAAGAATTACAGGATGACGCATACTCATCATTCACCTCTGCCTTTGGTGAAAGCTCTGAAAGTAACATCCACCAGTACAATACAGATGATGGTATCAATGGTACTGATGGTGCAGTAAATGAGTATACCTCCTTCGATCATAGCAACAAGAATTCCAACAACCGCAATGTCGATGAAACCATAGACTATCTTCCACGGTTGCCGTCTATGAATTTAGCATCCAGAAATCAAAAGAACCATACATATAATGATAGCTCTTACACTTTTGATGAATTTTCAGATGATAATGAAAAACCGGAACCTATCCAGAATTTTGATTCCTTGTCAACTAAAAACAATTTCAATAATAATCCTGTGTATGAAAGTTCAGAGGTTCACCCTTCTAAGCGTCATATCGAAGATACAATCAGCCATCAGCCATCCATCCTCCAGAACTCCACTAATATTATCGAAACGCATGATGTTGAAAGACAGGATATTCATAATAGAGTTGCTGAATTGGAAAAAATTATACAAGACTTGGGATCCGGTAAGTTAATGGAAGAAATACAAAATTTGGCCCTTGAGAATGCAATCTTAAAGGAGGAGATCAATGGTCAAAGACATGTAAAGAAGGCTGACACTAGTGACTACTCAATTGATTCAATTGATTTTACTCAAGAGGATTATGATAAAATGCAAAATTTTATTAAGTGGAAAAGAGCTTCTCAGCTCAAGTTGCTGCAATCTCCAAAACCACCAAATAGCATCATCAAAGATAAGAACGTCTATGATCAGTCAATTTTGAAAGGAAGAGTAAAACCCGGAATTGATCTACCAGTTGCATATGAAAATATGGTCCTAGATGTGAAAAATCAAAGGTGGATCGCGAATGATGATAAGGAAAACTTCAGAGGAAGCTTAGACTCTATCGAAGATCTAGTTTCCCGTACCGAGGAACAAGATTTTGAGGATTCCAAATCTTTCAAACACGAGGGAAAATTGAAATCCAGAGCATCACTGAGTGGAAGAAGAGGAAATAGCAAATTGGAAGTCTCCTTCCATTTGCCCCATCTGGATTTTGACAGAGTTACTGATAAGAGTCCACTATCAGATGATGTGACGCAGGTCTCACAATTAGACGACATTACCTTTACACAGACTCAAAAGAAGTTGGTATCAGTCGTCACCGAAATTCTCTCATCAGGGGACACTTTTGATGATATTTCGTGGAATGAGGTGAGTGAAATCAACCTAAGTGAGCATCAATTGGATAGCATCAAGGATCTCAACAAGTTCTTGCCAAAACTCAAAAAGGTTGATTTGTCGGGTAATGAGATAAAATATTTGGATGGATTGCCCAAATCAATTCATAGCTTGAATATTTCATCCAACAACATTGAAAACATCACTTCATTTTATCAATATCGTGATTTACAGAGATTGGATGTATCATCTAATAGGATGTTGAATTTGACAAACTTTGGCAAGAATATTCACCTCACTCACTTGAATGTTGCAAACAACAAATTGACTTCTTTAGATGGAGTTAGCAACCTTGTAAATTTGGCAAAGTTAAATGTTTCCCAAAACTCTTTAAAGGGGCATATTGACTTCACAAAAGTGGGGTTACACAATCTTCAAGAGCTCAACATGTCAGAGAATAGAATTGAGTCATTGGATGGATTAGAGAACTTGCTATCCTTAAGGATATTGAATCTAAATGAAAATGAGTTAATCCAGGTTTCGTGTAAAGGAAAGCATGAACACTTGAAGAAATTACTATTGAAGTTCAATAGTTTAAGTGAGCTTGATTTGAACCCATACCCTCATTTAAGAGTATTGAGGTTGGATGGAAATAGCTTAGAACTGATTACCGATATTAAAAAATTGAGATATCTCGAGGAAATCTCTTGCAAGTCACAGAATAGCCCCACGGTACTCAAGCAATTATTTACAGGTTCAAGTGAAGTACACGTGCTTGACTTATCTGGTAACTCGAACTTCAACTTGTTCCACCCAACCACAGTGGGAAAGCAGTTGAGATCAAGTCCATTTTTAAATGTGAATCGGTTGGTTCTTTCAGCAATGAACTTAACGAAAATTCCTGACACGATGGCTGATTTATTTCCTAATGTGAGGGAGCTCAACTTAAATTTCAACAAGCTTAAGAACATTGTGGGTTTGTCAAAGTTCCAGTACTTGAAAAAGCTTTACATGGTGAGTAATAATATTAACAAAACTGAGATTCTTGTCACAGGTCTAATCGGATCTCGCAGATCTCTCAAAGTATTGGATTTGAGACTTAACCCTTGCAATATTGAGCTATATCCATATGTGTTCAACCCCCAAGAATTGGAGTATGCCAATTTGCACAGCACTGACAACATTAGTCCCATTCAATTGGAGACATTGGATGATATTGAAAGTTTTGCAATCCATTATCAATCCCTTAGCAAAGGCGTAGATGATTGGACCGAAAGAGACACCAAGTTCATTAATAAATTGACCCATGAATCCAACAGCAAGGTGAGACAGAGATTGAACTACGAGACTCTCCTAATCAATTTTTTCAAGAGCTTGGTGAGATTGGATGGGGGTCTTATCAATAAAGAGAAGAGAATCATGTTCAGCAGAAGATTGCTTACAGAAAATAACTCCCACCTTCATTCTGCTTGAATTCACATATTGCAAATCAAGAACAAAACGACCACCAGGAGAAGGGATCTGCAAGGACTTGCCAATGGCCAAGGGAATACTAACACCTTTGCCTCAACCAAAGTTCGCAGCACCTCGTCGCGGATCGCCCAGACCTCTTTAGCGGGTGCTGCATGGGGAATAATTTTCCGTCCCCACTTCCACCCGCACTCAATCTGTGTACTATATATTTCCCCAGATCAACCATAGTTTCCAGCACCAAACTTTTCCATCATGATCTCAACCCGTGTTAGTCTCCAATGGAACGATGATGCTCCAGAAGAATTGACCAGTACCATGGCCATGACCTCCCGCAACAACCACTTCGTTGATCTCAGAGTTTACAAGAAGAACTACCCATACCACCCACAACAGCCAGAACCATTCATTGAAGATGTGTTCCAATGGGTGATGTGTGGTATCGAGCACCCAATCGAAGGCACTGGCAAGATCAAGTTTGTGACCACCATCGACTCCAGCTCCATTGCTCCAGCCATCAAGCTGGGTGGCCCAGTGGTTCCTGGTCCTCCAGATATCGGAGACTTCAGCGACATCGAAGGCAGTCTTGACAGAAAGGAAGTCGGTGAGATGATGAGCCCAGACACCGGCAAATTGGAGTCTTATGTCGAGATCTGGAGATCGCTCGACGCCGAAAACCACACTCCTGAGACCGAAGTCAGAGAGGGTGCCAACAAGGACGACGTGGAGTGCAAGGTGTTGGAGGTGGTGGAAGACGAGACCTACCACGGCAAGCTTATCCAATTGGGCAACTGGCTCCAGGGTATTGTGCACAACAAGAAGAACAACGATCTTCACGTCATCAGAGCCTTCAAGGAGGCCGATGGATGGAGAGAGATGATCGGGTATGGAAACACCGAGTTCTTCCCCTTGGACTCCGAGCTCAAGAGAGCTGAGGTCGAGTGGAAGAGAATCGAATAGAGCCGAGTTACGGAATAAATCAACAACTGATAGACACTAGTGTAGCGACGAAGCGGTGCTTCCTCATTTAGAGCGATCTACCGATCGCTAGGTGCATGAAATAAGTCATCGAGCGCCATGATAATTACCACAAATCCCCTAGCGATAGGCTCGCTAGCAGGACGACCGCACCGCACCAGCCACCACGAGGCGGCACCGCAACGGGACCGCCCCCGTACAGTCGCATGCCATCAGGAGCCACAAATGTATCCCCCAAAACACCGCTACAAAAAGGCCATGTCTTAGCCGATCGTTCCTACCTACAGCTCACCGCTTCCATACCGGTATATCTCCGTACTGGATCACTAGCTGGGGCTTATCGGCCTCGTTTTGTCGCTAGATTCGTAGCTTCCCTGGCGCTCTCCCTAGCTCCCACACCCACTATCGCGCCAACCAGATCGTTAAAAATTTGTCGTATTTGGCGGGCGAAACTAAATTTTATCTATACCTTATCACGATGTCTGGAGAGAGTTTGTAAGTACTAAGCGAAAGAAGAGGGCACCAGCCAGGGTCCCGTGGCCACCTGCAATGCGCCAATTTGGGCCTCTCAGAACGTCCAGGAATCCCACCAAACAGCCTGCCAGGGCTGCCACACGGAGCAAGGAGATTAGTCCAGCATCCACACCACCATCGATACGCCAAATCCAACGTCACCACTACAACAGTACTGCCGGCTGCTTCTAGTGCCCTTGCAACGGCCAGCTGTGCTGGCAAATCGCTGTTTGGCAGGTATGGAGCCCATTGGTGTTTCATGATAGCGGCCTATCACTAAGTCCAACCCTGAACCAACCCCGAACTACGACTATCTAACCCCTGGCACTGCGCTATCTACCCTGGATGTATGAGCTCCTCTGGCTCCACGTTCCCACTAACGTCTAGGTTATTTATTTTGGCAGTTGTTGTCAATGCCATCAACTTGTTTTCACAAGTGTTTTTCACCATCATGTACTCGGACTTGGAGTGTGACTACATCAACCCAATCGAGTTGTGCAACAAGTTGAACCCATGGTTCATTCCTGAGGCTGGCTTGCACGGTGTCCTCACCGTTTTGTTCTTGGTCAACGGCTACTGGTTCCCATTCTTGATCAACGCTCCATTGTTCGCCTACAACGTCAACAAGTTCTTGAACAAGAACCACTTGTTGGACGCCACTGAGATCTTCAGAACCTTGTCCAAGCACAAGAAGGAATCGTTCATCAAGTTAGGTTTCCACTTGTTAATGTTCTTCTTCTACTTGTACAGAATGATCATGGCCTTGGTTGCTGACGACAGCTAAGCGGAGGGCTCCAGACACTACAGTGCCCCGCTTGACTTTAATATTGTCCGGTTGATTTCTCTGTCTTGTATTCTTTACTAATATACATCTGAAACAAAAACTTGAATTATGGACGATACAATGTCCACTAGCTAATGTTTGATTTACTGATTGACTCAGATGTGAACTAATGAAGGATCGGTCGATTCAGTTTTCGGATGGTCTCCAGAGTAGTAGTACGGTTGTAATGGTACATGCAGATGTAATCGTGATGTATCTAACTTATTAATCGATTCACCTGGTTCTCTTATTTGGTCCAAATTACATATTAATACCTTCAACAAGATTGGCTTAGGATAGTGTAATGGGTTCTTTCCCATCTTTTCTACCACTGTCATCAATTTTCTTAATATCCAACATTAATCCTTTCAGCGAGACAGATTTGGTACCATATTGTCCACACACTGTAGTTTCTCATTCACAACCATTAGCTTGTCGTAAATCCCCGAGACAGGGTTTACCACCCTCCTCAACTCCCTCAAATCGTTGTGCACGGATTCGCTCAATCTTGGCTCTGAGGAGGTGTCAAACGTTTTCAACACTTCAAGCTGTGCATTGATAGTTTTATTCTCTTCAAATTTCCTCTTCTTATTATTGTACTCCTGTCTGACTTTATTCAAGTCGTTTCCCACTTCATTGTGTTTCTTCTTCAACTCGTATATGCTATTTCTGACCTCGTTTTTCAACCGCTGACAACTGGCTATCTTCTGGGATATCTCATTGATGCTTGCATGTGCATCCATCAACCTATCCAAATGATGGTTAACATGTAATTTGAATGTGTCCTGTAAAATGAGCTCCTTTCCAGTAGCTGGTTTGTTGCTGGGTGTAAATTCCTGTACCAAGTGCTTCAACACATCCAAGGTGTGGACCTTTGTTCGTTTATCACGATCTTTGTAGGTGGTTAGTCTTTCGATATCCACCACGAGTGGCTTTTGAGCTTCTCCTCTCTTCTTCTTGGACAACGGCACTGGTGGATTGGAAGGGGTAAGAGGAGCTTGCACCCTTGATCGGAGTCTGGGTGATTGACGAACAGGAACATCCTTGGCTAATGCTCTTTGACGTTTCTGGACGTTGGACCGTATCCGACTGACTTTGGAGGCTGGAGACTCGGGGGCTGGAGACTCAGAAGCAGTGGGAAGTGGAATTTCAGCCGGGGAATTTGGTTCTTGTGGGGTTGAATCTGGAGAATGTACGGAGTTTAGTGGTGATTGAGGATCAGTTGAGACTTGTTTGGAGGGTCCAGGTGGTGATTCAAGCTTCATCTTGAGCTTGGATGTTCGGAGCCTTTTGAGGACCAATGACTTCGTGAATTGGACACTGTTGCCCTCGTCCGGTCGTATCTTGACTCTGGGTGAGGACTCGTTGATCTTTCTTGGACGGCCCCTATTGGATTTCTGCTTTTTTGGGCGTCCTGGCTTTCGTTTGGGGGGTTCAGTAGACCCTGGAACCGCCAAGTTGCTGGAATCGTTATCTGGATAGTCTATTTCGTCGTTGGTGATGGCGTGGTTGATCTGGCTTGCTGGTGTGATGTAGCCTTCATTGGAATCGGCTGAGTCTAGGACTTTCCTCAAAGTTGCAGGTTTGATGTTGGCCAGTGACTCTGCCAATGGTATTCCTCTGGAAAGCGAGGCTCTTCCACGTAGCCGGGGTAGGTTCTCAAGATCATCATTATTGATGAGGGCCGATTGGAGGTTTTTCAAGCTGGACTTTCTCCTCTTGGAGATGATTTGGAACTCGTTGACCTGTACATTTCTCAGTCTGGCGTTAGTATGATCGAAAGAGGGACGGAACGTCCCAAAGAGAGTTCAGATGCCAGTCATGTAAACTGTGACAGGCACAAAATAGCACGAATTTGACGTTTTTGGCCCAGAAAAAGCACCCTGTGTCTAATGCACCCCTCCCAGTAGATACTACGTACCCTGAGCCACGGATTCTGGCTTCCTTTCGTAGGTGTCTGTCAGACATGATGTCTGTTGTTGTTGTGGATGTTACGCGCATTGCAGCCAGTTCTGGGGCGCGAACTTGTCGCTACTGGTCGTGCTAGTGGGGGCGTTAGCGAGAACTCCCGCTAGAACACGCACTCTACGCTCCAAATCTGTCACTAGAAACCCATGTAAAAATGTTTCTCTCACTAATTAGTGGGCGAGTGCAAGCTGCTCGTGCTAACTCTTCGTGCTAACTCCTACGATTTCTGAGTGCGGACTACGGTATTACAGGCAGAATTCATAGACATGGAGAAGATATAGGAATTGCAGCTGTAGGTTAAGCAATAACGGATGGAATGTGTTTGCTCTTGCTCACGGTTCTAGGATTGGAGATTTTAACATCAGCCGAATTGGAAACAGCACAATTGTACAATTATATTAAAGAATTAGTAGATACAATGACTATGATGATAGTTCATTAACTTCAATGGGCTAAAATATGAAGATAAAATTCATTTTAACATGGACCAGAGCCATCATCCACTAGCTGTAACTCTTCATCGTTCTCTGATACGCCGTTGCACCCAGATTAATTAAATGAGAATATCGTGCAATTTGCACTAGTGGTTATGCACTTTTCCATCAGCTTCTCCCACTATGAAACCCAGACTCGGTCACATCTACATCCTACATGCCCGAAGGCCAGTGAACTAATAGCATTATATTAATATACAGTACTACCATCCCTTGATAAGCCGTAGACTTATTGTTGGGAGAAGTGTTCCAACAAAATGTTTCTTTCGTCAGAGTCAGCACCCCAGTTCTTGACAACAACACAAGAAGCACCAACGACCTTTCTGGCGTTACCTTCTCTGTCCAATTGACAAAGACCAGCCCATTCACCCAACAACTTGGCGTCAGAGACCTTGATCAATGGGATCTTCTCTTCTGGCTCGTTACACAAAGCTTCAACCAACTTGATGATGGATTCTTCGGTGACGGAGTCACACAAGACACACAATTGGGCTTCTCTTCTGGACAAAGCCTTGGAGGCTTCTCTCAAACCTCTGGCCAAACCGTCGTGAACCAAAGAGGTTCTCAAGACAACCTTTAAGGCGTCTTCGATGGTGATGGAACCGGATTCTTGTTCAACGGCAACTTCTTCGATGATTTGTTCTTGTTCAACGTCAGACATTTTGTAGTAGTATAGACTTCTTCGACAGTGGATCTGCTCAGTACCGAAATAAAAGTAGTAGGAACAAGTTGTGAAATGTTGTCGCAGGCGATGGTGGGAGTGAAAATTTCGCGGCCACAAAACCGCTAGGGCTGGAGCCCTGGATGTTGGGCGGTGAGTGTTTGGCACGTGACATGGCTGCGAAACACCACAAGGCAGGACCTTGATGGTGTGTCGTTCCACGAATGTCCGATGATGGTTATTGGAGTCGACTGCTGGTAGGAGAGAATTAAAATAGCACGTGGTGTCCTTTGGTACATTTTTATCGGATTGCATTCGGTGGTTTTATGTTCCATTATTCCCCACTGGTGCACCTAATCAGAGTAAGCAGAAAGCTTTTGCAACCCGTGTGCTTAATAACCGGACAAAGGGATATCCCAAGAGTTAGCAATCGCTACGGTCTAGGGGGAAGATGCATGTTTCATAAGCGGGTGAAAACATCTGGGATGATACAATTTATATAATTCGTAGCTTGAAACGGCCAGGAAATTTACCGAATAGAAGATTCGATCAACTGATTATTAATAGTGGTAAATAATTACACTTGAAAATTAATAGTGGTGGATTTCTGGAGGTAGCATCGAGAAGTGTTTACCCCACCTTTCCATGGCCATTCAAAATTCAGTGCAAACTCACTCTAGCCACCAACAACCTACACCATTCTAATTAAATATCTTCGCGTTGCGATATAAATACTAGTAAATTAGCTAGAATTAAAGACAAACACCTTACCCATTAAACCAAAGCCAAAACAGTCAAAATCAAACACCGTTTATGGCTCTGCATCACAACTCCATCTCATCAGCGCCAAATGGTTTATGTCCGTCGTCGCTATCATCATCGATTGCGTTTTCGTTGTCTAAACTCATGTCGTGGTCGTCGTTGACAACTGTAGGTCTGGAAGAAGGACCGCCGCCAACAACACCACCAATGGCGCCGGTAGAAGGCTTATGTGCCTGGACGGTTGCATAGGATTGATCCTCTTCGCCATCTTCGTCTTCAAAGTCAACGTCAAAGAAATCATCATCGGTTCCTGTAATTCTTTGATAAATTAATTTGGCCTCACTGATGATCCCGTCGTAGCTGATTTCAGAAGAAGGCATGTTAGAGAATACTATATCGTTTGCTGCGTCGGCAAGGTTCTTCAAGACAACGTTCTGGTTGGTTTCGTCGGGATGGAATACATTGGATAAATCTGGTTTGATGTATGTCTTCTGAACATATCCCAATTTACAGACAACATCAAGAGTCTCCTTTGGAACAAAATTTTGCAAGGATTCACCCAACTTGAAGGAGTTGGCTACCACAGGGTTACCACGAGCATTGACCACAAAGTCGGTGTCATCTAACACATCATCAAGATCGGAAGACGACGATTCCCTCAAAAGAGCGGATTCCATCTTTTCGTAGGCAGCCTCCAAGTCGGTCTTGGCACGGTTAAGGTCTGGTTCGGTGGAGTGACTGAACCAGATGGATTGGCCTTCAGGACAAACTCCCGAGCCGCCATTTTGAATGATGACTTGAACTGTGTGGATGTTATCGGTGGGCAAGGAGTGTGGTGGAAAAACAACCACCGCGGAAGATTCTTGGTCGGACATCCACTCCTTACAATCTCTTCTGACCACTGTTATAAGTCTAGTGATGTTGTAAACGGGCAAGTTGTCTGTGATTTCGGAGTAGCCGGACTGTAAGAATTTTGGCACTTGGGTGGGGGATATGATAATCTTCTCGTTTATCTTGACTCTGCTTCCATCGTCAAACTTGGCAGTCTTCAGCTCTGGGTCGTAGTCGGTCAATGTCGTGTTCAATTTATAAGTTGTACCAGCAACTGCAGCACTGCGGCAGAATCCTTGGGAGATTTCGCCTGGGCCACCATATTTCGACACCATGACGGGGAAATTGCCATAGACATCAAAGGACCCGAGGAAACGCTTGATTTTGGCCAAGGCCTCGGGGGTTTTGGTGTCTTCCTTGATACACAAGCCCAAGGAGTAGACCAACTCGTTGACCTGGGGAGGCTCCAAGTTGAACCTGGTCGTCAAGAACTGCTTTATGGGGGTAGTGGCGTTGTCGGAAATGACCTTCTTCTTGTCGGGGTCGCTGTTGTCCTGGAGGATGAACTTGAGGAACTTCATCAAGTACCTCTTGGTGAGTAGGCTCAAGGACTTATCAGTGAAGATGTCCTCCTTGGTGGTGGACGAGGTGACGCGCTTGTTGAAGTCGTCGTTCTCGAACACGTGGAAGTTGGAGATGCTCTGGAACTCCAAGTACTTGTAGACCCGCGAGCTGATGAGGAGAGTCAAGAGGTCTGAGCGGCAGAACATGAGCTTTGGCGACAAGTCAATGCCGTAGTCCTTGCTGTTGAACTTGTTGGTGGTCTTGCCGCCTGGGATGTAGATCTGGGCGTCCTGGAAGTGGGGAATACGTCCCAGGTTGACCTCCATACACCACTTCTTCAATTGTTCGATTGTCAAGGTGGAAGACGAGTCACCATAGTAACTCTTGGTGTCGATGTGCAACACAGACAGGCCCTGCCACGATAACGCAGCGGCAAGGATGCTCTCGACGAGTCCTGTGCCCATGATCAACACGTCACACTGGTCGATCTTGAGACTGTGGTCCTGGGGCTTCTCCAACCCGGCCAAGTGGGGAATCACGGGAGGCGTGTACGACACCGACGGTCTGCGTTCCGCCATGGACTTGCGTCTTTCCGTTCTGGTGTTATTGTAGGGAGGCATGGCCAGAAAGTACCGGGGAAGAATTCCTGGAGAACAAGTGGAGGTGGCGACTGGGTGGTGCTAGGCGAGTGGCGATTGCGGGAGGTGGAAGGCGGCGCTGTGAGGGTTGGGCCGACTGACTGGTGGGTGCACTATGGGACGACTTGATGCACTGGGGAAGAAAGACTCAATCAGTTCTTGCTCATTTGGCTGGCGCCAGTGGATGGTTTTCGTTTTTTTCTCGGTGATTACGCTGCTAGATTAGGTAATGGGAGAGCGCCAGAACGATCAGGGTGGAGGTGGTGGCAGTGGTGCAAGTGGTGGTGGGTGGTGGGGAAAACCCAGCGGGAATAGCGGGTTTGGAGGTGGTGGTGGGGAAAACCCAGCGGAAATACCGGGTTTGGCGGTTTGACAGGCGCTGGCCCTCGTGCCAGTGGCTCTCCTCCGGAAGACCCACGCGGTTCGCAGCCGATCAGCAGTCACCGCGGGGCAGGTGATTCAGACAGGGTGCTGGATCTCGGGGCGTCACGTGGCGTTTACGAGGGAGGAGAGGGCAGGAGGTGAGAGGAGACGGGAGGAGACGGGAGGAGAAGCTGGCCCGGGAGGAGAAGAAACCTCCGTGCTGCTGCCTGACGGTAGTGGGGCCCGTGGGGCTGGATGTGGCCTTTACCGTTTTGCTCCTGACAGCACGACAATGGCGCAATCGCTAGGCTAGTTCGGCTAGGCCTTGCGTTAGTGGCTAACGCAAGATAGCGCACGCAACGGATATTAGAACGTGACTGTGGTCACGTGACCCGGCAATTTCCACCCGCCACTTTGATTTCCCACCATTACCACAGATCCGCTCTCCGCTGTAACCCATTGGCTATTTGGCTGAACTTCTTGTATCGGACCATTTATCCGGATTTGCCCTCGGAAGTGTCCGCACGTGTTTTGCGACTTCCGGCCACCTGGGTCACCACCAGCACCCGTGCCCCAAGCGGGTGACATCCTTGAAAACGGACCAATTGGCAATGCTAACCAATACTTCAGCACGCTCTCTACATCCTGGCCGAATCCCATCCACCCCATCCAACTACCGGCCCCGTAGGTCGTGGTCGAAGACCCGGGCATTTACGGTCACGTGATATGAGGTCTTCTGAGTTCCTGTAGGATTTTAGCCCAGTTGATCATCCCAACGGCCCAGCAGGTCATCCTAGACTATCTATCACTCCCCTACTCCTCCTGCCCAGCTCCCCCTGCCCCTCCTCATATTCCCTCGCTTAGCCTATCCAACTCTCCCCCACCATTCTCGCCTATTTCACGTGCCACCACTCCAATAACTTCACCACCATGACTGCTATCGAACAGCTCCTGGAGCTATCCCTCAGCGACGCTCCCAATGCTCAGTCCACTCCCTCTCCTGCTCCATCCAAGACCCCTGTCAATGGCTCTGCCTCGGAAACGAAAGGCTCTCTTCTTTTGGCCTGGCAGGTCAGAGACAAACACTGTTTGGTGATCGGTTCTGGAGAAGTCGCCTTGAGCAGAATCCTCCATCTCATCCGTGCACAAGCCAAGATCACGGTTGTGGCTGGCTCCAGAGATATTCATCCTGAAATCGTCGCTTTGCATGAAAAGAGACAGCTTTTCAAGCTCATTCGTCGTGAGTACCAGACGCCAGACTTGACCATCTACGAGAACATCCACCACACCATTGCCGATATTGATACGATTGGACCCGAAAACTACGCTCAGATCGACCACCAGGTCAAGAACGAGACGTTTGCCATCGTTTGCTGCTGCATCGATGACTACGAGTTGTCCACCAATATCTACTACCAGTGCAAGTACTTGCGATTGCCAGTCAACATCGCCGATAAACCACCCATGTGTGACTTCTACTTCGGGTCGATGTTCAACCAAGAAAACCTCCAGATCATGATCTCCACCAACGGAAAGTCGCCACGGTTGTCCAAATTGATCAAGGATAACATCGCCAAAGAGTTCGAGGGCATCGACTTGAACCATGCAGTGGAGAACTTGGGGCTCATCCGGTCCAGACTCCGCGAAACCATCGTGATAGACGATGATTTGGTGAGCATCGACACCAGAATGAACTGGATCAAGACCTTGACGGATTTCTTCAGTTTGAAGCAGTGGAGCGAAGTCGATTTGATTCCCGCCAGCTCGGCTCCGCCCTACGACAACAGGTTCAGATACGTGGACAATATCATCAAGTACTTCCCAGACTTCCCACCCAAAGACTACGACGAGTTCGTCAAGGTAGTGTGTGAGAAGTAGCATCGTTCTTGAAAATGGAACTATAAATGAGGCTGGAAGACCTTCATGAGTGGATTTCAGCCATCTACTGTTTTGGTGAAAGTCAAAAGAAACGCAAATCGAACTCAGCTAAAACCAATTTTGATGGTGATGAGATTTGCCATACTTTCCTGAACTCTGTGGCACCAGAAAATACACAGAGAACTTGTATATACCAATGGTGTCTTATGGCACTGCTCGGCTTGTGGTAGTTATGTAGCAATTACAAAAATTCAGAAAACCAATGTAAAACAATACTCAATCTCTAAGAATGGTGTTGAAGAAAGAATTGCAAGTGATAAAATAACATTGTGCGTACTTAAATCCGTGGTTACGTTCATGCCATGTTGCTTTTCGATTGACTCCCTTCAAAATGGTAATACATATCTATCCAAGTCTGGCGATGGAACCATACGTTATTTTATGATACTCTGAAAATTTGACAAATTTGTAAAAAATTTGAATATTTCGATAGATTCAATGGACTAAGTAAGATGCATATTCTTTTACCAACTTAATCAACTCCAGACGCTAAACTAACGTGGCTAGACTCCATACTGATTGAGTATACATGGTAGGTATTCGTTATTTCTTGCATGACAGTTTTCTGATCTACATGAGATGGCTGCGAAATTTTGATAATTTTGTTTGGACGATCCCACAAATCTTGGCTAAAAATGTCGTAGTCCACGAATTGGATACTTCACTTGGTTCCAAAGTATGATGTTGTAGATTTGAAAATAAAGTATAAGTATAATGTTTTTTTTGTTGGCAAAATCACTGTATGGAAAAGGATGGTTGAGGCGAACCTATAGAAAACAAAATACAGTGCATATTCCTGTCATTATCTCAAGCTACGAATACGAGCATACGAGAACGAACTTGCCGATACTTGGAGAAATAAATGAAGGAGTGAACGTTTGGATGCCCACAAAGGCCCAGTGGAGATTGACACAATTTACTGGAACCTGTAAGTACCGACTGAACTGTTTCTCTACTAGAGCAGTCTCACTCCTACTTATAGAAGTATTAATAATTTAATTAATTTAGTCTATCGGGCTTTCTAGATCTGGGCCCACTCCTATTTGTAGCACAGTGCCTGTTCAATTTATTTAATTACTCTATCGATTGATTTGGTAACCATCACACGTAGCGGACCTGCTGCAAGTCACCGTGAATTACAATAATTACCTCTACTCATCTCTGCCGCATTTATTCACTCTAGAGATCCTCATGCACATACAACTTGTTGCCTCCTCCACCAACGTACTCGCCCACAATGTGGCCATCTCCCTTCAACTGGTACTGGTAGCTCATCAAACCCTCCAACCCCACAGGGCCTCTGGCATGGATTTTGTTGGTACTGATGCCGACTTCGGTACCGAAACCGTATCTGAAACCGTCAGCAAACCTGGTGGAACAGTTCCAATAGACTCCAGCCGAGTCGATGGCCTTCAAGAACTTATCAGCTGTATCCTTGTTCTCGGTGATGATACAGTCGGTGTGCTTCGATGAGTGGATGTTGATGTGCTCGATGGCAGCCTCCACAGAGTCCACGTACTTGACAGAGATATCAAACGACAAATATTCCTTGTCGAACGAGTCATCGACCACGTCCACGACGTAGTCCTGGTTCAAGCTACCCAATTTGGCCTTCACTTCCGGAGTGACGTGAACAGTGACGCCAGCGTCCACGAGGCCTCCAACAACGGCCTGGACCTTGGCATCGTCGATGCTCTTGTGGATCAACAACTGTTCGACTGCGTTGCACCCAGCAGGGTAGTTTGTCTTGGAGTCTACGGCAATTCGGGTGGCCTTGGCCACGTCGAAGTCCTGGTCCACGTAGATCGAGCAGATTCCGTCAGCATGGCCCATGACGGGGATCTTGGTGTTGGATTTGATGTTTCTGACAAGCTCGTTGGAGCCTCTGGGAATCACCAAGTCGATGTACTGGTCTTGCAGCAAGAGGTCCCCCACCTCGTTACGCGACTGGATGAGCTGGATGGCGTCGCTGGGAACGGCTGTCTGGGCTTGCAAGGTTGATGAGACGATTTCACTCATGATCTTGAATGTCTGGTACGACTCTTTTCCTCCCTTCAAAATGGCAGAATTGCCCGACTTGATGGCCAACGCAGTGATGTTGGCGATGACCTCGGGACGTGACTCGAAGATGATCAAAAGAACCCCGATAGGTGCTGAAATCCGGTACAAATTCAAGCCTTCGTCCAACTTCTTGGCCAATGTGACTTTACCCACTGGGTCCTCGAGCCGTGCCACGTCCAAGATTCCCTGCAACATGCTGTCGAATTTGCCACTGTTGGAGAGGTCCAATCTCTTGATGAGAGACGAGGGGAGGCCTGCTTGTTCTGCGTTTTCCATGTCGATCTTGTTGGCTTTCAAGATGTCGTCCTTGCCTGCCTGCAACGCAGCGTGGATTTTGGTCAAGGCATCTGTTCTCTGATCGTTCGAGAGGGTCTTGAGGAGACTGAAGGCGGCGTTTGCCGACTTTGCTATGGATTCGGCCATGGTCTGGAGGAGTAGCTGGCGATGATAGGGAAGAATGTGGAGACTATGAGTCAGGTGAAAAACGATGTCGCGGGTGGGCGCGACTTACTGATCCGGTACAGGGCAGGTGGGCTAATTGTAGAACACACCTGATAAGAAGGGTGGGCTTGATTAGTTGTAGGAGATGGCTGGAGAAACCAGAGTGGTGAAGTACGGATGTTTCCATTTCTATTAATTATTGTAGTTCTTTCTGCTCGAACTATGGTTCCTGGAAACGATCCAGCGGCCGTCCCTGCGTTATTAACTCTTTGAACGTTCGAAGATATTCTAAGGTGAAAATCATTCTTATTATTGCGTTCACTATGATTTGGGCTAAATCATCATAACTATGTAACTTTCATGATTCACACTGCTACATTCATCTGCCCAAAAAGGAAAGAATAGTTTAGTTCAGCACCCTCGTTTAAGCATAAGCAGTATTATTACCTAAGAGGAAATTAAGTTCTAGTTTTATCAAAATGAGTTTTAAAGGCCACATCCCCGTGAAACACCTGCTACCACTCCCTCGCTTATAATAATACCCTAATAATAATATACTCACCTACCCCTTCCCTTCCCAGACATTGGATCAAACATTCCCATCACGCCTCCACTTAACACAGGTGCGGCTGATCCGCAGCACACCCACACGTGACCGATCACCAACCACCTAACAAAAATAACACGAACCTTCCTTTACCGCCATTCTCCATCTCCCCCAATGTCGTATGGGAACTACTCTGGAAATGGCCACCAGAACGGCCAGCCCTCCACCAACCCGTTCGCCGGTTCAGGTGACCTTATAGACTTGGAATTGGACAACCATACTCCAGCCAACCCGACACATCACCCCAACTACGAAACCTCACATGGCCGTTCCTCTGCCCAAACGACGCCGTTCGCCGACCCAGAAAACCCCTACAGCTCCTACAGTGGCCAGCAGGCATACTCAGGTGCACCCAAATCGGCGTACGACCCGTTTGACGACCACTTCGTGTTATCAGACGAAGAGTACGAACACGACACCACAGCCACCGGCACCAATTCCAGCGGCAGACAGGTGCCGTTACTCAACACTGCCAACCAGGCCAAGGAGAAGCCAGGGTTCTTCGGAAACAAACGCAGCAACTCCGAATACATTGACATGAACCAGGGCCCAGCCATCCAGAAAGAGTCCGACTTCGACATCCGCCGCATCTACAACAGCTTCAAGTCCAAGCTCCCGTTCAGCTCGCGTAACCCATCTAACATCCCAGCCGTCGACACCCGGGGACCCAGACAGATCTTCATCATGAACCAGGGGGCCAACGGAGCATTTGGGTACTTTGGCAACTACATCTCCACCACCAAATACAACTTCGCCACGTTCATTCCCAAGTTCCTCTTTGAGCAGTTCAGCAAATATGCCAACTTGTTCTTCCTTTTCACCTCCATCATCCAGCAAGTGCCCCACGTCTCCCCCACAAACCGATTCACCACCATCGGGACCTTGACCATCGTGTTGTTGGTGTCTGCCATCAAGGAGATCTCCGAAGACATCAAGAGAGCAAATGCTGACCGTGACTTGAATCGAACTCGTGTTTTGGTGTTGGATCCGTCCACGGGACAGTTTGTGTTGAAAAAATGGATTCAGGTACAAGTTGGAGACGTGGTGAGAGTGAATAACGAGGAGCCTTTCCCTGCAGACTTGTTGCTTTTGAGCTCGTCAGAACCCGAAGGCTTGTGCTACATCGAAACGGCCAACTTGGACGGTGAAACCAACTTGAAAATCAAGCAAGCCACGGTGGAAACCAGTTCTTTGGTCGACCCAAGGGACGTGGTCCAAGAGTTGTCCAAAGCAGAAATTGTTTCCGAGCAGCCAAACTCTTCGTTGTATACCTACGAAGGTAACTTGAAGAACTTTGGTCCCGACGGCCGTGAGATCCCGTTGAGTCCCGAACAATTGTTATTGAGAGGTGCCACCTTGAGAAACACCCAGTGGATCCATGGTGTGGTTGTTTTCACTGGCCACGAAACCAAATTGATGCGTAATGCAACAGCTACACCCATTAAAAAAACTGACGTGGAAAGAATCATCAACTTGCAGATTATCGCATTGTTCTGTGTATTGATCACTTTGGCCCTTGTTTCTTCCATGGGTAACGTTATCAAGACCCAGGTAGACAGTGACAACTTGGGATACTTATACTTGGAGGGTGTCTCCAAGGCCAGACTCTTCTTCCAGGATTTATTGACCTACTGGATTTTATTCTCCAACTTGGTTCCAATTTCGTTATTCGTCACTGTTGAAATCATCAAATACTACCAAGCTTATATGATTGGCAGTGATCTCGATATGTACGATGAGGAAACAGATACCCCTACAGGTGTCAGAACATCTTCGTTGGTTGAGGAATTGGGTCAGATCGATTACATATTCAGTGACAAAACTGGTACCTTGACAAGAAACATCATGGAGTTCAAGAGTTGCTCCATTGGTGGCAGATGCTACATTGAAGAAATTCCCGAAGATGGGCACCCCCAGATTGTTGATGGCATCGAAATCGGGTACCACACCTTCGACGACATGCGTAGTGACTTGGCTAACACCTCCCTGCAACAGTCCGCTATTATCAATGAGTTTTTCACCTTGTTGAGTACATGCCACACTGTTATTCCAGAGGTCAACGAAAGTACCGGAAAAATTAAGTATCAAGCTGCTTCTCCCGATGAGGGTGCTTTGGTGGATGGTGCAGCAGAATTGGGATACAAGTTCATCATTCGTAAGCCCAAGAGTGTTACCATTGAAAATGTTTTGTCTAGAGAGCAATCCGAGTATGAATTATTGAACATTTGTGAATTTAATTCCACCAGAAAGAGAATGTCCGCAGTTTTCAGATGTCCAGATGGCATAATCAGATTGTTCTGTAAAGGTGCAGACACTGTGATCTTAGAAAGATTGTCCCAGCAAGAGCCACAGCCGTTTGTAACGGCCACATTGCGTCATTTGGAAGAATTTGCAGCTTCGGGGTTGAGAACTTTATGTATTGCTTCCAGAATTGTGCCAGATGATGAGTACAAGGCATGGGCTAAAAGATACTACGAGGCTTCTACTTCCTTGGAAAATAGAGGAGACAAATTGGATGAAGTTGCAGAACAAATCGAAAAGGATATGTTCCTTCTTGGTGCTACTGCAATTGAAGATAAGTTACAAGATGGTGTCCCGGAAACCATTCACACCTTGCAAACTGCTGGTATTAAGATATGGGTTTTGACCGGAGACAGACAAGAAACGGCCATTAACATTGGTATGTCTTGTAAATTGTTGAGTGAGGATATGAACTTATTGATCATTAATGAAGAAACCAAAGCAGACACTCGTTTGAATTTGGAAGAAAAATTGTCAGCAATCCAGGAACACCAGTTCGATGGCGAGGACGGATCCTTGGACAGCTCCTTGGCCTTGATCATTGATGGCCACTCTTTGTCTTTTGCTTTGGAGCCAGAATTAGAGGATTTGTTCATCCAATTAGGTGCAAGATGCAAGGCAGTTGTGTGCTGCCGTGTCTCACCTTTACAGAAGGCATTGGTGGTTAAAATGGTCAAGAGAAAGAAGAAGGGATCCTTGTTGTTAGCTATTGGAGATGGTGCCAACGATGTTTCGATGATTCAAGCAGCACATGTTGGTGTTGGTATCAGTGGACAGGAAGGTATGCAAGCCGCAAGAAGTGCAGATGTTTCGATTGGCCAGTTCAAGTACTTGAAGAAGCTTTTGTTGGTCCACGGTGCATGGTCATATCAGCGTATTTCCAATGCTATTTTGTATTCCTTCTACAAGAACATTACGTTGTACATGACCCAGTTTTGGTTTGTCTTTGCTAACTGTTTTTCTGGTCAATCTATTGCTGAATCCTGGACCTTGACATTCTACAACGTGTTATTTACTGTACTTCCTCCATTTGTGATGGGGGTTTTTGATCAGTTTGTCAGTGCTAGGTTGTTGGATCGTTATCCGCAATTGTATCAATTGGGACAGCAGAAGAAATTCTTCAATGTGAAAATTTTCTGGGGTTGGATCATCAATGGTTTCTACCACTCTGCTATCATTTTTGTTTGTTCTATGTTCATTTACCGTTATATGGATAGCGTTTCGAGCGGCGAATTAACCAATAATTGGGCATGGGGTACTGCAGTTTACACTACCTGTACTTTGACAGCCTTGGGTAAGGCTGGGTTGGTCGTGACCATGTGGACTAAATTTACATTAATTGCCATTCCTGGTTCCTTTGTGTTATGGCTTTGTTGGCTTCCAGCATATGCCACCATTGCTCCGCTCATCAACGTTTCGCAAGAGTACAGGGGTGTGCTCGGTGTCACATATCCTAGTTTGACCTTCTGGTCTATGGTATTTGGAGTTTCAGTCCTTTGCTTGCTTCGTGACTTCGCGTGGAAATACTTCAAAAGAAGGTACAGCCCTGAAAGCTACCACTATGTGCAAGAAATCCAAAAGTACAACATCCAGGACCATAGACCTAGAATGGAATTGTTTCAAAGAGCCATCAGAAAGGTCAGACAAGTGCAGAGAATCAAGAAGCAGAGAGGATTTGCTTTCTCGCAAGTTGAAAATCAAAACCAGGAGAAGATTGTCAGGTTGTACGATACCACCAAAAAGAGAGGAACATTCGGGGAGTTGTCGCAACAATGATAGTCATTGCTTCCGGCAACAACTCCGGTGGTATTACCAGAGTTCCATTATGATGTTGGACTTTTGTTTCCAGCGGAATTTTATAGACTATGTCTAAATTAATGCATCAACACATATCAGAAAATTTACGTGAAACGAAAAAAAACCATTATATATCTTAACAGATACCCAAAGACATTGGCAGAATTTTGAAGTGGGTGTCCTTATTGTAGACTATTATAGCATTGTACTTATGTGAATCGTCTTTAGTATGATGGACTAATATCATACAATGTACACAACGCTCTGAATCTGAGCTGATCGACTCTCTTATCCAAATTGCTTTCCGATTGGTCCTTTTTGCGCAGTTTCTACCAAATTGTCATATCCAGTCGATTAACCGTTTCAGAAAGTGACTAAAAACCAAAATGTTCAAAAAAAGTTGCAAATCACCAACTACCGTGTATTCCATTAGAAGATTCAATGCTATGAGAAATCAAAACATATGGATTATCCGAAACGGTGACTAGCATAACCTCTTCAGTTTTCTTTAGATACCTCAATTAAATATTTCTAGTGGAAGAAAGATAGTTTCTAAAATTCACAGATACCTTTGAAAGCCCTACAAATATAGAAAACAGTATGGGTCGAGCTCAGTACTAGTCAAGACGAGATTTTTTTCCAGTTGGATGAAAACAATCCTAAGCAAGGCACAGGATCTCGATAGCCAGTACAGATAGTGGCAGCGGTGCAGCGCAATAATATCACCAAATTAATAGTATTTACTCCATTAAGAAAACAAGTGTCCAATGGCTCAAATTATTCCTTATATTCGGTCAGTAGTTCCATTTACTAGTCCAGTAGTTACAATATACACCATTTCAGTAGGTGCTCCCTAAAATCCAGCTAGAATACTCTCCACAACTACTGGAAAAGTATTCTCATGCTATTTGGTACTCAATTTTCGCTCGCTTCACGACCTCAAAAATTTAGATCACCATCCTCATCACTTCTACCACCACAACCACCATGGCTGAACCAAAGGAAGCTACGCCCCAAGTCGAGGCACCAAAGGCAGAAGTCAACAAGACTGCCGATGCGGTCGATCCCAAAAAACTCTCCAACAAAGAACTCAAAGAACTTAAGAAGAAGGAGAAGGCAGCCAAAAGAGCCGCCCAAAAGGAAGCCATTGGAATAAGCCCTGAACAACAGGCCCAAATTGCCCAACAAAAGATCGAGAAGAAGAAGCAGGCTGCTACCAACACAAACCTCAAGAAGCAGCTCAACCAGACACTAATCAAGGACAATGGCACCAAGAACAGGGTGCCCAGTTTGTTCAGCCACTTGGAAACCAGAGAACAAAGAAACGCCTCTTCTCCATCTATATCACACCTTGTGCACCCATCGATCCTCTCGTTGACCTTGAAGTACTCGTCGTTCAAGATCGTGGGGTCCATACCAAGATTGAGAAGCATGATGGAGGTGTTCAAGAGGGTGATCCAGGACTACCAAACACCCGCCAACACCACATTAACAAGACATTTGACAGGACACTTGTCCATCCAGATCGAGTACTTGAAGACGGCGCGTCCTTTGTCCATCTCCATGGGAAATGCCATCAGGTGGTTAAAGCAAGAAATCAGTCACATCTCCATCGACACCACCGACCAGCAGGCCAAAGACAGCTTGTGCCAGTCTATTGACGACTTCATCAGAGACAAGATCGATTTGAGTGACAAATTGATCATTACCTATGCTGCCAACCACATCACCAACGGATCCAACGTCCTTACCTTTGGCCACTCGCAAGTGTTGGAAGACTTGTTCAAGTACTGCGTTCTCGAGCAGGACAAGAAGTTCAACTTGATCGTAGTGGACTCCAGACCTCTTTTCGAAGGTAAGAAGTTGTTGAACAACTTGGTGAAGACCACCAAAAACGGGGTTTCCATCACCCAAGACATCAAGATCACCTATGTATTGATCAACTCGTTGTCGTCCACCATATTGAAGGATGTCGACTGTGCATTCTTGGGTGTACATGCCATGTTGTCCAACGGCAGATTGTACTCCAGGGTTGGTACCGGATTGATTGCCATGATGTGCCACACCAGAAACATTCCTGTGTTGACCTGTTGTGAGTCCATCAAGTTTTCTGACAAGGTGCAATTGGACTCGGTGACCAACAACGAATTGGCTGACTGCGATGACTTGATCGAGGATATCAATTCCAAGAAGCCACCACAAAAGAAGTCGTTTGCGTTGGAACAGTTCATTCAACAATGCGAGGCCGAGTCCAAGGACACCAAGACCAAGCAGCCTACCAAGAAGGGACAAGCAAACGAAGTCAAGGAAGTTCAAGACACCAACAAGTCGCCATTGCAGGACTGGAGAAACATGCCTAGTTTGAACATTTTGAACGTGATGTACGACTTGACTCCACCAGAGTACATTAAGAAGGTTGTTACTGAGTTGGGTGCATTACCTCCATCCTCTGTTCCTGTGATTTTGAGAGAGTACAAGAACACATGAACATGATACAGCCTAGGATAGAATAGACGATTGAGGTAGCATGTGTAGCAGTAAAATAGAAGTCAGCTGTGAGGTGGCGGCGGATTATGGCCAGTACTGATTCAACTGGAGAAGAGAAATATGGAGTACCCACAAGCACAAATGGGTGCAAATCAAAATAAGTAGTTCTGGAATAGAAGCTAGCAAAAATTATTCCAAGAGACTAGAGAGTGCTTGGACACCAGTTATTGTGGTAGCAGATATAGATAGAAACAATGATGGATAGCTCCTAATTTTCCGGAGGTCCTTGTAGATTTTCTGGATTTGGCGATAGTAATGGAGGTAATTTCACCGTCAATTGCACGACATCTTGAGCCTGTTTGAATACCGAAGATATTCATTTGAAGCCAGGATTTTGAGAGAATCTGCGAAGATCTAATAGCACATATTTGGTTGTTTTCAGTTGCCATAGAAAGATAAGTCAAATTTACTTTTAGCACAATCCACAACAGGGAAGTATAGTTTGGGTGTTTTAAAATAATTGATGAACTTTTTATTTCAAAAAAACAATCCATAAACTGGTACACTTACATATACCTGGTAAAACCTATGCTTTGTAAATACCCATATATTGCCTATTAATTTATCGAGCGTCCCCCAACAAACACGATATCAATTGCATTAAATTTAGTAGTTTTCATATTGCACAAGGCTCGGAGTTCAAAGATTTCACCAAGTAATCTTGATTAAATACCAAAAATAAGACAATTGAGTCCATTCTGGCTCAGCTAGCCCACAACCATAGGAATATAAGTATCGCATTTGCAATAATTGTTATAACAATATTGCCACGGAAAATTTTCAATATTCAATAATTCTTCACACAAATAAAAGATACATGTACATTATCCGGGGAGATACACGAGAGCAGGGCCATAGTCGTATCTTCACCCTAGAACTTACACCCAGGGCAACTTCCCGTATAATTTCATTTCGTGATTTCGCATTTCGCTTCGCGCGTGGAGTCGCGGCGCCATTATCACCAGAGGCAAATGTTGCCACCACCAGTTCTTTCCCCAAATCACCATGTCTGAAGCAGAGCTTTCCCTCATCAACAAGGTAGAGCTTCGAATAGCTCTTGCCGAAAACGACACCCAGCTTGAAGCGTCGCTCAAGCTCTACTTGGCTCCGCTTCTCTTGAAGCTCGCCAGTCCTCATGCTGCAGTCAGAAACGCCATCTTCAAGGTGATCCAGAACTTGATTCCCCGGATCACGGCTGCCAGAACCATCAAATTGCCCATCGAGGCGTTGTTGGAGCAAGTCAAGGCCTCCGGTGACCCTGCGCAAGCAGGCCTGAACACCTCAGTGGTGTTGTACTCGTTGCTCTTCGTCTCGCGAGGCATTGACCGGTTGTCTGCGGAAGAAAAGACTCAATTGGTTCCCAAGGTCATCAGCAACATCCACACGTACCCGCCACAAGTTTCTGCCCGGTTGTTCAACATTCTCTGCAAGCTATTGGACTCGTGGAAGGTGCCTGAGCGAGGAAGTGCCCAAGAGGAGACGATTGGCGCATTTCTCGGGTTTGACCAGCGTCCAGAGGACGAGAAGTTTCTAGCCCGCATCATCGGTAAGTTTCTCATGCTTGAACCTACCGCCTCTCCCGTTGCTACGCCAGGGTTGAGTGTGAAAGAAAGCTCGTTCTTCACGGTGGATGCTGGAATCACCTTTAAATCCAACCAAGAGATTCATGCCTTGAAGGTGCTTTTGCTTGATTTCTTGAAGGCTGGGTTTGCCGATACGAGCGTGGGTGTCCCATTGTTAATTGCATCGGCCGACTCGTCTTCTGCAATCAAAGATCCATGTGAAATCAGATTCAAAAAGTTGCATACCGATCCTGAAAACAAAGAGTACATTTATGAATTGATCAGGTTGTTCGTGGGAACTAATGACACCCCTCCAGTAAAGTCGACTCTACAAGACAAAATTGTACAAATCTTTTCCAAGAGTAAATTCGTTACTTCCAGTGACCAAATATCTCAAATTGCCTCGGTAGGGTTATCCTCAGATTATGTCAGGTTGAAACAAAGTACTGTCCAATTCATCAAATGGGTTGGTTTGAATAACTCTGAATTTGCATCAGGTTCCGGCCATGTGTTGGAAGAGTTCAACAAGTCCATGGCGCTCAAACTCAAGGAAAACCTCCAGTCCGAAGGATGGCCACAAAGGGATACATCACAAGTGAAGAATTACTCGTCCAGCATAAGCCAAAGACTGTTGCACTACGAAGCATTAGGAAATATTTTGAGAGCCAATATTGATTTGATCAAGAATGATCCCAGCTATATCGAATTCTTATTCCAGTCGCTTGAAGGTGAAGTTGCAGACATGAGATCCACAATTCAGGATGCATTATCGAATTTAACCATCCATTTGCCCCGTGTATCTCTGGATGTTAAAATGAAGATCAAAGAATTAGGTCACTATTACCTCTCAAAAGATATCATTGACAATGACAATTTACACTCATGCCGTTATATTTCCATAAAGTATATTAACAGTACCTTCAATTTTGAAGATGCTGAATCAAGATTACTTTGTATTCTTGGTGCAGGCAAGGAAAACAGATCGGACACGACAGAAGAAGCTTTACGAGGATTGCATCCTTACTGGTTCAACCAACTCCAGTCCGCAAACACCACGGACTTTAAAACCACCAGTGAACTTTTAGGTGAAACAACAGTCGTAGAATTCCCACAATTTGGAGATTTCATTAAAGTTTTCAAGAACGAAATTCACAGAAGAAAAGATGCAGGCTCATCATTTATAAGCTTATCGAAAGGTATTCAATTTGGTCTCCATGTGTTAATCATGCAGGCCATTAAGGGCAAGAATACTGTGGTTGTCCCTGATAGGGAATGGGAAGTTAGGGTGGATAAAGCATTAGAAGTTGACAAGCAAGTTAGAGATTTATTAATCGAAGAAATTGCCAAGTTGGCCAAAGAAGATGGGATATTTACCGTCTACTTGGGGATAATATTTGAAGCTTTGTATGGCCAACATAATCAAGGGCATATCTCTTCAGATATATCATACGGAGATACCTTCTCGAAATTGATATCCTTAGCACCTTCCAGTGTTGTCGAGGAACTGATCTCCATCGCTCCTAGATTGTTAGAGCTCACTAATGATAAAATTTCTAATGATTTAGCCCTATACCAGGTAGCCAAATCCTACGGTATTATCACAAGTCACCCTGCGAATAATGATGATGTGATAAGGGGGCTCTTGAACGATGTTTCGGAAACTAGAGGCAGTCTTTTAGCCACTTCTTATCTTGTTTCAAGGTTGGTACTTCGTAAGAGAATCAACTTGGTGCTGGTTGACTATTTGAAGAGGTATTGTGATATTCTCCTAAAGAAGATTACGGAGTCATCTTACTATACCGTAGTGCTTGAATGCATTGATCAACTTTCAGTCTACGGAGCATTAGGGCCAATCATTAATCCTGAAATGGAGGAATATGTCAAGAAGTTTATCGACGCAATTAGGCCAAAGGTTAAAAAGTGCGACGAGAAGTCAGTGGTAGCCTTAGCATCATTAGCTTTAGCACTTGGAAAGAAGGTTATTGAGCTAGACAACAACCCCCCAATTGAAATCTTGGAGGATCTTAATCTCGTCGAGCAATTGATTTATGATACACACGTATCGAAACAGGTCGAATACACATTCACAAGTGGTGAAGCATTCGTCATTGCTACAGCTGGATGGGAATCCAAGCTACTTGAGAGGCAGATTGATATTCAAGGTGAAAAGGTAGAGTTTGTCCCATCTGATTTGTCAAGATTACCGATCATATTGGATCGTGTCTTGAAATCATGTGCAAACACAAAGCCGTCGTTAAGAAAAGCTTCCTGTATTTGGCTCTTGTCTTTGGTACAATACTGTGGCCATCTACAATCTGTCAAGAGTAAGCTTACTGAGGCACATATCTCATTTATGAGATTTTTGGGGGACAAAGATGAGTTGGTTCAAGAATCAGCTTCAAGAGGTTTAAGTATTGTTTATGAAATGGGAGATTTTGAGCTCAAAGAGGTATTAGTCAAAGGTTTATTAAAATCATTTACTGATACCACCTCAGCATCTAAGTCTTCTGCAGGTTCTGTTGACCATGACACTGAGTTGTTCGAGGAAAATATGTTCAAAGTTGGTGACAATTCTGTTTCCACTTATAAAGACGTGTTGAATTTGGCATCAGATGTTGGTGATCCAAGTTTGGTGTATAAATTTATGTCATTAGCAAAGACTTCAAGTTTGTGGTCGTCAAGAAAAGGAATGGCTTTCGGATTAGGGTCTATTTTATCTAAATCTTCATTGGATAATCTTTTGAATAACGATAGCAAACTCTCATCGAGATTAATACCAAAGCTCTTCAGATACAAATATGATCCATCCAGTGCAGTCCAGCAATCAATGATTGATATTTGGAATAGTTTGTTTAAGGATACTTCCAAGACCATTAATGAGAACTTCGATATTATTTTAGAAGAATTGTTGAGTGGTATGGGAAATAAAGAATGGAGAGTTAGACAGGCTAGCACTTCTGGGTTGGCGGACTTGTTGATGTTGGTACTGGATGAGAGGTATGAGGATCATTTAGAAAGAATCTGGAACATGTGTTTCAGAGTCATGGATGATATTAAAGAAAGTGTGAGAAAGGAAAGTGAGAAGTTAAGCAAAGTGCTCACTGCAAGTTTGATTAGAATGATCAAAACGGACAAGGGCTCTTCGGTTAATGTTGAAGGGTCTCGTCCATCCATGGTTCTTCACAAGCTTATTCCTTTCCTTCTTGGAGCCAGAGGTCTCATGAGTGATTCTGAAGATGTTAAGAACTTTTCCTTAGAGACCATTCTCAAAGTGTGTGAAACCAAGGGTCCTTTCATCAAGCCATTCATCCCTACTTTATTGGGTAACTTTATCAATTTAATGTCCTCTTTGGAGCCCGAGGCAATCAATTACATTATCCTCAATGCTGATAAGTACAACCTCAAGCAAAATGACCTCGATAGCCAAAGACTTCAAAGTTTGGGTAGATCGCCAATGATGGATATTATCACTAAATTGATTAACCAAGTAGACGAGTCCATTATAGAAGAAGTGGTTCAGCATTTGGTTTCATCAATCAAATCTTCAGTTGGCTTACCATCGAAGGTTTGCGGATCCAAGGTCATCATTGACTTGATTACCAAGAATTCCGAGATTATTAAGCCATACTGTGAACGATTATTGAAAGTATGTGTTAGTCAAATGAGTGACAAAAATGAAACAATTGTATCATCATATGCTGCTTCAGCGGGGTATTTATCCAAGGTTGTTTCGATCGACTCCGTCGTCTCCTTTGCAGCACATATTAACAAGCTTTACTTTGAAAGTGAGGACGAAAAGGGTCGTGAAATTGCCGCTACATCGAGTGAGTTTGTTTCGAAGTACTCAGGGGAAAAGTTTGATCTTTTTGCCAGCGCTTTCCTTCCTCTAGCTTACATCGGGCGTTTCGATGATAATAAGAAGGTAAGGAAGTGTTTTGAGAGAGAATGGGTGGAGAATACTACAGGTAGCAATTATGGAATCAAATTGTATTTTGACGAGATTATGAGCTTCATAAGAAGGTATTTCCAATCCTCAAGCTTCGAAATAAGAAAGATTCTTGCAAAGTCGATCATTAATTTGAGTGATTCCTTGAAAGAGTCTAGTAGTGTATCCAAAGAAGGATCCTTGGAATTGGTCAATTTATTAATAGAAGCTAATAAGGGTAAGTCTTGGGATGGTAAAGAGTTTGTCTTTGAAGCGTTGGTGAAGTTCTCCATCATTGCAAAAAGTTCCATAGACGATGACGATTTGTGGGAGAAGGTGGACCGAGTGGTCATAACCGAAATAAAACGGAGAAATAAGGAATATCAGAAGCATGCCGTTAAGTTGGCTGGCCATTACATCCATCACTTTCACAATGAAGACGTGATTGAAGTATATCTTGAAATCATGGGCAAGGTCCTCAAAGATAACTACTACAAAGAAGATCTTGGAGAAATTGGCGACGTTTACGATTCCGATGAAGAAGATGAAGACGCTATGGATGTGGATTTAAAGCCCAAAATCTCATCCAAGTTGAATGTTGAATTGGAGGAGAAAAAGTTGTCCTTTATTGACAATTTGATTCAGAGCTTCTACGTAACGAATGGCATCTTCAATCATGTATTACTCCAATTCATATTGTCCCAGACCAAAGTTCTTTTCCATTCCAAGATTATTGAAAACACATGGAGAAGTAAGATAGCAATCAATGAACTGTTAAGCAAGGTTTTGGTGTTGGTAAACCCCGAAGATGGTTCATCAAAATATCCAACCTTAAATAGTAAGGAGATTGACTTGTTGGTTGAAAATTGGACACAATTGCTGTTGCTGTGCTTGGATTCGGATAGTATTGAGAAGGTGAAGATTCAGTTTATTCGATTCTCCAGTGTCATTTCCAAGTTCTTGCATAGACTTGGTGACGAGAGAGCAGACAAGGTGTTACGTGAATTAGAAAAGTTTAGAGAAAGTGAGAATTCCAGTGTGGTCAGGACCGAGTTAAATAGAGTATTACTGAAGTAATCCGATATAGGTTTGATATTAGACAGGAGCAATTTTTCACGGGACTAGTAAATTACGAAGGATCAGTAGCTCTGTAAAAATATGTCTGTGCTGTTCAATTGATATACATCACTATAGACATGTAACATTTCTCTAGGCTCCATTACACTTTTGGCAATTTATGAAATACTACTCTAGTATGTTTAATAGTCAAAATTGTATTAGTTGCTATATATTAGTGACTTAACTTTTTAACTTATTAAAAACCACCTCTCAATCTTAAAACCAAGTGGAGAGTGGATTCCTTTTGAATGTTGTAGTCAGACAAGGTTCTACCGTCTTCCAATTGCTTACCAGCGAAGATCAATCT